ACATGGGCCGGCCCACATCGCCCGCTTTATTGGAGCCGACCGGTACCTGTCATCACGGCCGAGAATATTGAATCTCAGCCAATAGATGTACCGTCCTCTATGATTACATAGAAAAACACCGTCATAGTGTGGGCTGTCAGCTGTCAGGAGGTAAGTCTGATCAGCCAATATATTGTATATACAGGGTAGACCCAAATCTAGCCCTGTATCAGTGGTAGTTCAGCTCGGAGACAGAAGTGGACACCGGTATGGAAGACATTTTCGTACAAATGGCTGGGGAGGGGAGGGGGGTAATCATGTGACTCGTGCTCGTGACCTTGCCACAGTTTTGAGTGCTTCTCCACTCGCCCACTTTCCGTTGCCCGCTTCACCAGTGAGCATTCCCCCCCCGGATTACGCGAGATCGTACTGACTGCACCAGTATTGAACTGGAGAGGGCTGTTTTCGGAGTACTGTACAGTGATTGAGTACTGTATGGAATATCGCTTCCGCGGGGGCTGTATCGTTCCCCGCTGATATGATCGACGAACCGAAGCGCGCTCCTCGGCGACTTCCCTCGGAGAGTCAGCTGTCCATCTGTACCCGGTCCACTGTATCTCCTGATCACGCCTCGGCCTCACTGACAGCTTGCGGCATTGGTGGCGGCTGTAGGTCTACATGAGATGCTGTTACGTATGACTTCCGTCTCCACGCCTCGGCAAGCATTCTTCCGGGGATAGACTTTAAACCTCGGCACGAAATATCGCGTGGAGCGAGGGCGGGAGGAGCATGATAGACGCCTTTGCCGTTCGAATTCCGAATATTTCAATTATGAGAGCGTGACACTTTGTTAATTGCATTGGACAGCTATAGCTGTTCCTTAGTCAGGAAGTTGGCCAGAGTAGTAGTAGCGTCGAGAAGACAACCCTGTAACGCTACTAGGGATGGTCATTATTGGCAGCCTTGCTGGAAAGTTCCTAATGGCCCGTAGGTGGATCCTCCGTTCAGCCAGTGTTGATCGGCCCCCTTCTGCGGTACATACATTGCAGCATCGAATTGCCACCGTCTGGTACCACCCGAATTATAGACATGGTGAGACTGAGAGACTGCTGGCTGAGTCGATGGGCTTCTCTCCCGGCCCGTTTCTGAGGTCATCACGACGAAGGAGGGGGAGAATTTTGAAGAGAAGCAGGGCAAGAAGTCTTCTTCGGGCTGGGGAGGAATGATAGAACCACTGTGAGGGTCAACCCACCATGGTCACCAGTTTGACAGCCATCCCGCTGCATGGTGAAATGCTTTGCAGGCTGTGTGTGATATCAAAAACGGTGCCATACAGTACATTCAGGGAAAAAGATCCATGACCAGCAAGCTACATTGGGCGAATCGGAAGGATGGGCTCGGGTAGGTGGACTACGGACAAAGACTGGGTGTATAGACTTTGTACTCCATTTTGAACCATAATTGATTAACTGGATCCTTGACATATTGCGGTGGTTCGCTAGCCTTTGCCCCGTTCCACCGGACATCGTGAAGGGCCATATCAAACGACTAGCCCGGTCCCTCGGGGAAAGGTGGAGCCAGTGAAGGTTTCCTAGGCAGATCGACTAGGAGGACTTTTTACAGTACATTTTAGATGTTGAGATTATGCATAAAGAAGTAGAGGTAAGTGCAGGATATAGATTTGATATAGGGTTAGTGATAGTATATACTATCTAGACAAGAAGAAGTACTTACGATATGCTTATGTTACAGTAGAAAGAGGAAGTACCCCGAGTAAACTAGATTCCTCCCCCGCAAAAGCTTCCTGGTTCCTCCGCCCCACTGGGGATCCCCAGATGATCCAGAACCACAAAATCATCACACCGAACAAGAGGCAACACAGATGGAACTCCACATTCCCCAAGACCTCTCGTTTGACGTGGAAATATCACATGATGGATGAAACGTGCATCCTGTGCGACTCCACGTCCGCCAGTCGATCGGTCCAGTAGCGTCGCCCAATCCCCCGGGTTAGGGGCGAAGCTAAGGGGAGGAGGGGTGGGCTCAGGGTGAGGCGTCTCTAATTCCTTTTTCGGGGTAGGGGAAGTCCGACGGCCGAGTATGTGTGGATGTGTATTTACTCCCTTTACTTGATATCTTGAATCATCCGTACGGTATACATAGTATGAACTCCGTGGATAATAGGAACTAGCAAGGAAGAGTTCTCTAGGTTAACTCTCCGGTAGTGGCCTTCCTGATCTTGACCGTCGGTTGCTGATCCCTCCGTCATAACAGAGATGAAAGACAATGCCAGCTGGCAGACTCGTGACTACGAGGCTGTGACACTTGGGCTACCAGTGTGCTTAGAGGTCCAGCAGAGTGACCAGGATGTGGCATCCCGGGAGATAAGGATGCGAAGGGGGGCAGTCAGTCAGTCATCAGTATGAAAGATATGCCGCGTTAAAGTCCCGTAGCCTTTCTTGAGTTTCTATTTAGATTTTAGATTTGTCGTTTGACTTTCCGGGGGGGGGGGGGGGCTTTTCTCTGGCTGACATGTTAGTTATCCTCATCATCCCAGCTGATGCTTATTCGGATCAGAGCCTAAAAAATGGGCTCGGGCCTTGACCGATCGCGGTGTGGAATGCATCACCTTGCACAATGGAAAGATGCAGAAGAGATCACGCCTCGAAATGACGGGTTAGGTCATTATGCACTTTTTTACGAAATCCTTTAAAGTGAGGGTGATCTATGGAATTATTGCTTAAGTTCCCCCAGGAGGTATGTATGCAGTTAGCCCTAGAAGAAGAATAATCATCGAAGATTGGCTATCCCTTCTTGCCGGGTAATAATCGCTGGGTGCAGCCAGCCTTTGAATACTTCCACTGCCGCATTTCAGCCGGCATTTTCCCCCGGGCACTAGTGGGAAAACAATCAAAAGGAAAAAAGGAGATGAACAAAGTACATATTAATTAGCCTAGTGGATCAAAACAGGGAGAGGTCACGATTAAAGTCCTCCACTGTTGACCTTAGTCTCCGGGATATATGGAGTACTAAAATCTGGGGCTGAACGTTTCGCCTATTATGACATATCTATTCGGCTGTTGAAGGTATCGGCTGCTCAACTCCCACAAGCAACTAATCCTAAAGCGAACAGGGGAGACGGTCTTCCGGGAATAATCTGTGACGTTCTAACGTGGCTTGGAGAGATCTTGGGGAAAGGACAAGGCGATCCCTCCTTGCGGACGGCGGTGTCCCTTCCACATACTTCCCCCAACCCTCCAGAAACAGCCCCCAGTCCGTGACGAAAATAGCTAAACCACGAGATAGAAGATCTTACAGATTACCAAAGTTCCTTATTCCGCATTTAGATATTTGATTTAGACTTACTCCTTATCTAAGTAGGGCTTATTCAATAAGAATAATTTGACTACGCATCGAGGCAGAAGAGATTCTTTATTTCCCTAGTGGGCGAGAGTCAGCCGGACCCGAGGGTTGTTAGGCGGCCAATAGCTTGCGGTGCGACAATTCATCAGTCAGTAGGCCAGCTGCTTTGTCTAGGATCATTATTGTTGCTTCCATTCAAAATGGTAATCATTCTGGTGGCGAGGGTGATTGTTCAAACGACATGGCCGGTGGCGTGGAGGATTGGACAAGGAGGCCTAGAACAGAAAAGGACTTCTTTTATTGCACTTTAGTCACGTTAGTGTTACTATCTGAGTAGTCCATTTGAAAGGAGAGCTCATTACCGAAGCACATCTAACTATTCTCATGCCATCCTTGTAGATTTGATTTGATTTGTTTTCGTTGGGATTTCCCCCATTGCTGATGTGTTGGTTTGCCGCCAGATGGTCACAAGTTCTCATCGACTAAAAGCCCCTTGAATCTTTGTGATTGATACTATAGTCTGAATACGGACTTCAACATTCAACTATAAAGATGTACAGTACTTAGTATTATGAGGACTCATATAACTTTACTCCGGAGTTGAGCAGTCTCCAGTACCAGGTCCGGAAACAGACCAGTACTATACCATTAGTCACGGGCGCAATACCCGCCATTTCACTCTTTTAATTACCACTCGGGGCGAGTGGTCCCTCAGTCCACAGTACGGGGAAGATACCGGGGGACGACCGATGACAGTGGAGGGATGGTGCGTACGAGGCGTACGAGGAGAGTACCGTGGATGTACTGTACGTAAAGAATCGGGCCCCGTGATGCGACTGAATTTTCTTCACCGGCCTCGGCCTGGGGCCCACTGGGATTTTTTTTTTTCGGGATTTTTGACTTTGGGTTTATTTTCTGGTACGGAGGCCCGGCTTCTCTCCTTGTATTGTCGTATGGTCACCGCCAATACCAATTTAATTCGATTTTCTTTTCTTTAAAACTTCCCCTTTGGGTCTTTTTTCTTCGCATTTTCCGATTTTTCTTTTCTTAATACACAACTCCCCCTCTCTGCGCTTTCCACATCCACTCCACCCACTGCCGCCCCCGTCATTCTTATTATCGTTCCGACTGCCTTCTTTCCCCATTTCTCTCTCTCTCCTCTTCTTCACAACCTCCCAACTCTTCACCTTCTCGTCACCTCTCGTCAACACCGGGAACGCGTCAATCCCTCTTTCCAACGCGGCAAAACCTCCCCCGGACACTTCTCGCCTTCCCGACTTTCTACCATCTCCGCATCTCTCTCCCTCGGTGGCGCCCTGACACAATCTTGACGAATATCGGCTCGCCAGGAAAATTCGATCCCCCTCCAGTCCTTCGCCTCCACGCGTGATCCGCTGCATTTAGTGCCCAAGCATTTCGATTGCAGCCCCGTGGTGCCCAGGAATCTCGATTGATCCATCTCTCTGCAGCATTGTGCAGGGTCCAGACTCGAATTTTCAAGGCCTCTTCTTCGTGACCCGCAGATCATTCGTGAATCCTCAACTCCAGTTTCTACGCGCCGTACGACCACTCTCGGGGAAGACGGCGACCCCGGAAACACCACGTTCACGATTTCTCTCACTTCCACTCACGCAAAGCCTAGCTGTGGCGCCGTCACCATGCCTTTAACAACACCGGTTTTGACGGTGGACGCCGGTAATATTCACAAGGTGGACACCGCAAATGCGCAGTCGCTTCATGGAATGTGGATGGGTAAGTTGGAGAATACTCTGAATTGGACCTCGAGAAACATGGACTGACTGAAATTGACTTGCACAGTATTCTCAAAATGTGCCGACTACATGGACCAAGGCCGACGCCTGGAGAACCTGAGCTGGCGCCTGTGGACTCGCGAAACCTTCTGCGTTGAACCCGACAAGTCAGAGTCGAAATCAACCGACACCTCCCTCCTGCCGAAGCTGCGCTCCGAGGCGGCTGATCTTCCGGAGCTCTCCGCCAGTGTCGAGTCGGCCGCGTCCGACCAAGCCGAACGCATCGAAGCACACATCAAGCGACCTCAATTCTCCGATTACAGACCTGCCGTTGTCCGTGAAGACTCCCTGGCCAGCCTGGGTCGTGGCAAGGAGAAGCATATCACCTCTTTGGACCTGGAGCGTATGGTCCTTAACATTAAGGAGCGGAAGCAGTTGCAGCCGATCGCCCCCGTGGTCCAGCCTGCTGCCCCCGTTGTTGACATTACTCCTCGTCCCTCTACTCCTACTCCCACTCCTCCCTCCGTCTCTACTGCTCGACAGGTCCCAACCTTCCCTCGTCCCGCCCCTCAACCCCATGAATCGACCGAGTCTTGCTCCACCACTGCCCCCGAAGGCAACGATAGTGACTCGGCCAATGCTACTGCCTCTGACACCAGCGTCTCTTCCTCTGGGGTTCTCCCCAGTCAAGCTGAGTTGATCAAGTCGCCCAGCATTGTCCGCGGTTTCTCGCCCTCGCACATCTCGTCGTCCTTCCGATCCCAGACCAACCTGGCTGTCAAGTCGAGTCCCTCTGGTACCACCGTTCAGCAGCTCAAGCCATCTCCTCTTAAGAAGAAGGGTGGCATGTTTACACTGGGTGGATCTTCTGGTGATGACGATGAGAGCTCTTTCGAAGACCGCATGGGTCCCAATGCTCCGCAGAATAACCCGACCGTTGGTGGATTGAAGCCGGCAACTAGCAACCCCAGCCCCTCTAAGAAGGTGGCTTCCTTCAGCGACCACGTTGACACTATCCGACCCTCAAAGAGCCCCCTTCGCTCCGACGAGGACGCCATTGAAACCGACGATGAGGTCTCCGAGAGCGCCATTGAGGATGACGAGGATTCTGACTGGGAGGACTCGGTAACAGAAAGCGGCAAATCTAGCGTGGACGAGCGTCCCGAACTTTTCCAGCGAGTCGATTCGCGACCCAACCTGGTCTCTCGTCGATCGCTTTTGACTATGATGATGCACCAGCCAGGTCGCATGCAAGGAAACGCGTTCCGCTCCAGCCCTGCCCTCCAGCGGTCTCGTTTGACTTCGCCTAACGGTCCCTCCATCCCGGCCTCGCCTCCAGAGAACGACGAAGAGAATCTGACTATGCGCGGACCCGACGTTCCTCGATCCAAGCCCATTGTTATGAAGCCGCCCCACCCGCAGTCCGTCGCTCACTCGCCTCGGACAACCCGCCGTAACATGCTTGCGACCGAGCTGACCGAGTCCCTTCGCCGACATCTACTCTGGGAGCGCCAGCAGAAGAGCGCGACCGCCAATGCCTTCCTCAAGCGCCGTCACACCGCCCACGATGTGAAGAATCTGCAGGAATACCCAGCACCAAAGGGACCGAATCGGGCAACGGGCGCGGCAGGCCCATCTACTTCGGGTGAAAACCAGCCCGGCAACCAGGCTCGGGATAAGGATCTTTCAAAGAACGGATCCTGGACCAACTACACCACGGACTATGGCCCATGGGAGTACCACGTCAAGGGCTGGTAATCCAAACATGAGCCTAGAGTCCCACTCGGACTCTCTCCCCTGTCCACAACACTCTTCTCACTCTTGATATCTCGTCTCGCGATCAAGCGACTCTTCTTTTTGACACGTACGATCATGATCATGCATTGCATCTAGGCGCACACTATGGATTTTGCTTTTTTTCCCCTTCTATTCTTCACATGTGAACTGTTATGGGGGCGAGGGAGGTCGGTTCTGGAGGGTTCGGGGTGTACTCCTGTTACAGCATTCAACTAGGCGTTATCCCTCGCTGGATTCTTCTTTCTGGCAACCACCTTTTCCAAATCCAACTCTACCATCCTGTCCGAACAGGAGGAGGTTATTGTCCCTTACGAACTTAATTCATGTACAGCTCAAATATCCACGTCCCATTCTTACATTACCATGATTCCCATCCCACCTCTACCTTTCCACGATTCACTTTCGGGCGCTCGAAACGGTTGAGACAATGGAATCTGTTTTCCTACATTCTTCCGCAAGACAGTGTTTCGCTTGAGCATCATACGCAGTCCTCTACACCTGCTTTTTATGGCTGGAAAGCTTTTGCACCAAAATGTTCTATTAAAAAAAACCGGGTCCTTCTTCATCAGCGTCATCTCGTATCTCATTCTGCAGCCTCTCGAGTAGAGACGGCTTGTAGAAAATGTGGCACAATCTCCTATGGTCATGACCAGGACGAAAGTCCATCCTCATTTCTCATCATCTCCTTTCTCGCTGTTTTTGCTTTTCCGTGATACCAGATACCATGCGCTTGTCTTCTAGCTTCCCCCTCGATACTTGCATTGCCTGCACACTCTGCCTGGGCAACCTTCGAGACCCGAGACCTAACTCTACCCTGATCTATGTACGCTACATACCCAATGAACAGGAAATATCCAAGCGCAAACGGAGAACAAAAAAACCTGGCAATGGAAACGCAAGACCTTCCAACCTTGCTTTCTCATGCATATATCCCTCGTATCGAACTCCTGCCTCTTATAGTCCCGTAGGGTTGTAACATCAAGAAACAACCTATAGCTTCGAGCGTGCGTGAAAGTAAGAAGCCACAACATGCAGACTCTCAGATCATGGCTTGCACCATGCATTGGGGTTGTGAATTGGCGGTCTGGAACGTTGTTGTGGACAGGTGGGAGAGGGGGGAATTGGGCCCCGGGCCCCGGGCGCTGGAGCGCTCTGGAGTGCTGCAGAACATTGAGTGTTGCGCTGTGGCTGGAGGCCTGGGGGGTTATCCCTGCTCTACCTATTTTGATTAGTATATGGCGAGGGAGAGGTATCAGGTGGGATTTGGTGTTGAGTTATTGGTTTGGTGGCGCTGACACGTAGGAAGGTGTGACTTGGGGAGTTTGATGGGTTTGGTAGGTCTACGTTGTTCTGTAGATGATTAGATGCATGCCTTAGGTTACTACTGTCTACTTGGACTTGGGAGGGTAAGGGGAGAAGTATCTAGGGAGGTCCCGGGAGGGGGGGAGGCCCAGACGTAGAGATGAGAGGGGTGGCGGCTTTGTGTTTGTGTACATAGGTATGTACATAGATAGGGCTAGATGTACTTTATTCGGAGGAGTATACGGAGTACAGTGTTCACTGTATGGTAGTAGAGGTAGTGGAGCATCCATGTTTACAGTGAGATGGCTAGGTATGATTGTGCGATTTAGTTTCCAAGCATTTGTTTCTGTATCATGCTACCTGCCTAGGCGGGCATGGGCCGTTTCATAGGACGCCGAGGCACTGGGTATCTCAGATCTGCCTAGTGAATTAGCTTCGGTCCTAGTTATATGAGTTTCTTAATTAAAGCCGGGAGGAGCTAGAGAGAGATAAGTAAGTATTCGACTAAGGCTAGGCACCAAGGGGGCGAGGAAGGGGTCAGGTGGGAGGTGGAAGGGGGATAGAAGGGGACAAAAGTACCGAGTGGCTAGGGGGCGACGATATTCTCCGGAGGCACCGAGGAGTAAGTTCAAAGTATAGATAGCTGGGAGGTTTTGATAAGTATACGCTTAGACGTACTGTACATGCTAGAGCTCACAAAGACCGTGCGCTTATTTTGATTAAAAGTCCCGTTCGATATTGAAATCCAGATTCTAGAGTCCTAGAATCTAATATCCTGTTCCCAGTCCCCCTTAAACCTGGTGAGCACTGTTCGCTTCACATGCGGATCCATGACATCTACTTTACATTACATTAGCTCCTGCACCACTGCTGGTCTGCGGACAAAGTGGTGGTGGTGGTGGCTCCGCTACGACTCGACGAGATAAGCGCTCAGATCCTGCGTAGTGCATGACCTGGATAGAGGAGACAGCTTGTAAGCTCTGTACTCTGCAGCCCGTGTCGTTGACACCCTTGGCCACGGCACTGACGATCGGGAATGCCGATCGATTGGCGGGGAGGTCTAGACTCAAGAGGACTTAAGAAGTTAAGGTAGAGTAGGTGTGCAAAGTTACCAAGTTAGGGTAGGTTATTCATTAGCTATGGACGAGCATATGATAGTACCAGGGTCAGGGGAATTGGAAGTGTGATTCCGAGTAGCCTCATCGTGATCAGTATGATGTAGTAGCTTCATCATTTTGGCGATCATTTTTCGGGTCCTTCTTGGAAATCGGCTGTCAGGTACAGCGTTTTGTGACATTTGGTTTTGGCAAGCTTGTCTGGTTAAGTTACTCGACTGTTTTTGCAGTGTAAACGAGAACCACGGCTAATTCTTTACTCTTCGTTCTTTCGATGCCGTATCTGCCTCGGCCAGGTGGATCAACACATGACCGAACACATGACTCCCGATTTCTTCGGTTACTTCAGTCCGCAAACTATCGTTTTGCCGTATCCTATAGTATTGCAGTATCAATTTGTACTTCTCCGGGAATTCCACCGGATTCGTACAAGTTCGACCTCAATAATCAACTGCTCGACGGTTATACCCCAAATCCCCAACATCCTCCCCGGCGCCAAACCCTTCCCAATGACGTAGCCATAGCCCCCGGAGCTTACCTTTCTGGGAACCAATTGCTCATGAGTTAGACGATTTTTTCTTTTCTTCACGTCCACATTCACTATGTAAGTAATGAAAGTGCCTCAAACGCACAAGAAACAGTCCGGTCTTAAAAAAGTGGACACCAAAGCATCCAACGCCCAAAGAAAAGTACGATTCACAGATTTTTAATGCTTCATTCCCCACACTTCCGTTCCTAAAACGCCCGATGCTGCACTTCATTTCTCCTCCTCCTCGAGCCTCCAGTTCTCCAGTCCACGCGAGCTGACTGGATGTGCAAATTGCGGTCTCCGGCTGCCCCCGAATTTCGTGGGGCGTGACTTGCAAAAAAAAAAAAACCTGTGGATGGAGGATGAGTGGTTGGTACCTGCGCCGCAAAATGTGATAGTTCCTTTAACGGGACATTTTGATACTCCGGTGGTTTGGTACGCAGGGGGTATTCTGCAAGCTTAACCTTTACATACGTCGATCGATGATAGATGAAGGTCGCGGCGGTGCTGGTACCTTACTTGCACCGCCCTCCACTGGACTTCTATGGAATAAACGATTACTTCATATCAAGACCAGCGTCCAGCCACCTCCAGATTGCTTGGGAACTAACTAAGCCCAGTTCAGTCACGTTATTCAAAGGGATCCGCAGACCAGGTATGTTATATATTACAAGCTGCGATCTCAGCTCTGCTGGACTCCCACCATGTGGATATACAGTGGAGTCAACCGCAACACTCCAAGCCTATGATGACTGGGCCAGCGTCCCAGGCTCGTCTCACCGGTACAGAAATGTTTTACAGTCACATGTTTTTGGGGCTCACTTTCCCTCCGTTCTCCGGATGTCCGCCGTAGTTACCCCTTCGGGTTGACTTGGGGGCTGTCAAGATGGATTAAGTGGTTCCGAAGCCCACTCCTCTAGGTGTTGCTAACCCCCACGAATGGGAGGATTCAAACGGCGAGGCGTTTGGAGCAAATGACAGTGCTTCGGAAAGTGGGCATGCTTCATTTTGTGTCTTGACGCTCTGACATTGGGCTTCTTGGTGATTGGTCTGGAGGAGGTTTGATAATTCGTAGGTATGCGTTTCGGCAAGCCGATGCTGATCTTGCCTCAGATATTGAGTCAAGCCTAGAGCGAGACTTTGAGCCACGTACGTGAATGGTGAATGCGCCACTCTTGCGTGGAACTAGATCTTCATCGCCATTTTGATTTGCCTCCTCGATGCTGTTCTTCGGAGGACTCGGTGTACTTTACTCCTTGTTTAGTTACTAGAAGGTCTGGCTGTTATGGGTATGCCGTGAAACTTGCCATCAGTCAAGCTCTGCGTTCTGGATCAATCCTCGGTCAACTGATCGACCAAGCAGCGATCAATGCGGGTTTCCTGTCTGGTCGATCCAGCTCTAGAACTGATCAGAGCTCAAACCGGTTTATAGAACAGTATTGAAATCTCTGATACGGAGATCTCGACCTCTCTACGTGTTCTATAGCATGTCGTGGTTGTTTCTATTTTGAGTTACGATTCTTCAAATGCTGGAATCTGCACGTTTATTCATGTCGTCCGTCGAGGTTCTGACTACTGTATCCTAGGCTGCCATTCTCAGCACAGAGAACATCAAGCCCTGTCCCGATGCCGAGAATATCGGCTCGGTGGGATACCGAGAAATTGGGCACCAGGATTGGCTGCCCAAGGTTAATGAAATGCCCAGAAGAGTCGTGGGGGTGAACCAGAGTGGACAGAGCGCGACGGATGAGTGTATTGTGTGCCCCCAAATCCATGCGTTGTGCGCGACTCCGCGACGAGATTTACACAGCTACTGATTGGCCATGCCATTTTCTCCTCGTGGGCCCTCACGTGCATCCGCATCGGGGAGCGCTGTCCTCCGGCGAATCACCGCCAACTTGAGCCCACCACACGGCGTGCGGGGGAAAGAGATTCTTACATTAGACAACTCCACGATCCCCATGAGAAGGGGAGGCTATTCCTGCATTCAACTCGAGCAAATACAATATGCCGAGAAAAAGTGCCGAAAGTGTTGAGTTTTGCCCTGGGCAATGCTCTCCGTGGTCGGCCGACTGACAATCCCATGGTCTTTGCGGCGGGCTTCTGGAAGGGGTGGAAGGGTTCTGGAAGGACGATCCGGTTGGATGGTTTTTTGACTGCAGATGCACGCTAACCTTAACTGGGATTAGCATGGAAATACGCAATTACCTAACCATCCCGATTGGGCTGCGTTACATACCGCTAGCGGCATTCTGGTATTACAGGGTGGAGTCAATCATACACGCTTACACACCCGCTTCCGGAGGGTCTGTTGTGATTGTTTATTACGGTGCCATAATTTCTGTGTATTAATGAGCTACGGAAAAGAAGCAACGAGTATGGATAGCAAATATCATTATCAAGTTGACGCCTTATGCGCCCGATAATTAATGAAAGGGCACGAGGAAGGGTTGTACAGAATCATTAACAATGCAGTGGGAAAAGTATCGCCTCCCCCTCTCTACGCCCCCTCCCTTGCAACCGTTTCCGACATGGCCGCGAGCATGGCCGAGCTTCCCCCAGTCCTGGGATTCCGACCGCTGCAGCTAGTAGAGTCTATCAAAGCCACCGACAGGGTATCGACCGGGGTCGGAGAGGCTGCGTGACCGATTCGATTTGCTCTCATTGCATCGCCCGAATACCCGCTCCTTTCATGTTAACCTGACCCTTGTTGGGGGAGACCTTGGTGTGGTATGATAAACTTTAAGCGCGATGTCTGTTTCTTTATGCGATGGGCAATGTTTTGGATTACCAAGCCGCGACCAATCTTCTCTCTTGACTATCCCAACTTTCTGAAATTGTGATGTTGGTGGGAGTTTGTCGAAAGTATATACGGAGTACAGTCGATTCATTGTTTCTTTCCATTGATTAAGTCAACTTCAGGACAATGCCGTACTTTTGGCTTGAATGATGTGCTTTCCCTCGGAGTTCCAAGAGCAGTATACCGGATACTTGGCAACGCTGCCCCTGCATGAACATCGTATACCTGCGCGCATTATCACTATCTTCATAAGTAGACCCAATTAAGTGGCGGCGATTGCCTCCGTGTGAACCTTTCATTTGGACCAAATTCGCCACTCTGTGTTGCATAGAGGGGTTAAGTCATACTGTATATGCATGTCCATGCTAGAACATGATATCGACTAGAGTGGCGGGATGGAGATTGAACTCCTCATCAACTCTGCGAATCCTTTGAATGGGCCGGAAGGACAGGCGAAGAGACGTGTTTCGCTAATCGATGGTTGTTATGGTCTTATGAAGCTTTTTGGTGATCTGGTCGATGTCAGAAAGGGTCGGTCTTTGTGTAACTATCAGGGAGGAAGATCTTGTGGAGGGCATTGTGTTAAATATGCTGAATAAGTAGTGATAGAATCTAGTTGTTGATAATTATGTATAGACAAGCTAAGATGGGCGAATAAAGCTTCCGTATGCTTATGTATCTTTAGTCGAGGGAGTCCAGGAAGTAGATAGTACCTCCCATACATAGATGTATCTCGGCATAAAATAATGTACATTAATCCGAGGTACCATTCAGTATGACTTTCTTCACGTAAGTTCGCCTTATTCGATCTAATTCGATCTGGTAGTGAGTCACAAACTAAAGACTCATTCTGAGCCTCCATGTGGACTGTGGTTGAAGGTCGAGAATACGACCGTGGGCCTATCGAAGGTGAGTCAGATTGAATCATGGCCCACTTTTACAACCCCGCGGTGAGATCACTGGCGACTGCACAAATTCTGGGAAAAGGCTTGGCACCGACCACCTCTTTTATTTGCTGCTTGAGAACTATAACTACAACGGCATCAGCGGATATACAAAAGGTTACTTGTTTTCGATTCAAGAAAGTCACTAATCTCCCCTACTCACCTTCCCTACTTATTTCCTGCGCAATATCCTTGTGCATCGCAGCTTACCCAGAACTGCGCACCGCAGATCTGGTCCTGTCGATCCCCAGGTCACCCGATCTCTGCGTTGGCAACTCAGACGTCACTTCGACAAAGTCGCAGGTCAACCCCCGTACCCCGATCCGTTCCTACAACCATGGAGAACGGGTCAAATGACAGCCTGGCGGGTCCAGAGCCCCAAGTTCAACGTAAGTGACAGCCCTATCTCCATCCACCCCGGCCACACATGGTGCAGGTCATGGCAGCGCCCCAAACTTCCCCGTCCCATCCCGTGCTATTTGTGTTTGGCAGGCTTTGGCCTAGCCCATTCGCAAAAGGGCAGGAGGCATGTATCTCCGTATACATCCACCTCAGGCCGGACATCAACCCTGCAGGTGGCTGAGTCCCCACGGTCTCACGTCCACTCAGGCCTCTCACTATCCCCATATTGCCCTGCGAGCCTTCTCCCATCATCCCATGCCTCGGGGCGGACCCAACGGCCCGCAACCTTTTTGATCACACGCTCACCACGAGAACCTGGCACAGGCACAGAAAACCAGCCGCCTACCGCTGGTGATGAGTTGGCAGGGCCGGCGCGAGCGCGTGGCGCTGTATCCTCGCAGGAGGCGAGTGCGCCGTGCCAATCAGCCCCGAAGAAACGGGCTAAATGTCGCTATTTTGCTTCCAAGAAGGGTATGTATCCGTGGAGAGTTTATGCTGTTTCATGTTGGACCAATGTACTTTGTTTCTTGCTCTGGTATATTGATGTGCGAAGATCATATGTACGCGTCTCTCGGGTACGGATCCTCTTCAGGCAAAGCATGTGCCCCTTGTGGATGGCTATCGCGTGTTAAGCTATGAGGCTGGACGATAGCCTGTGATTAGACAGAACGAGCCTGCATTACAGGGCGTGTGCTTTTGTGTTTTGACTTCTGACCTCGGCTTTTGTTATATACTATATGGCATGATCTTGCAAGATACTAACGTGTCGCTCCAGGTTGCCGTGCTGGCGCGGAATGTCCATACATCCACGATGCCGCTGGGATTGAGCAGAGAAAAGCCACACCCAACCAGTCATCTGGACCTCAATCATCGACTAATGATGCCCGGACGTCAGATGCCGGCATGGCTAGTGCGATCCAGGACTTGAAGATTACTGAAGCTGTGTCAAAGCAAGCCGTGACAACGCCTCAAGTGGCCCAGACTCCACGACCGGTCTCAAAGGTAGAGAAGAATGACCCGAGAGAATTCCAGCTCAATCAATTGAGGCGACGGTTCCGTCCACAAGAGGAGAGTGATGATAACGGGTCGACTCTATCGTTTGGGCTGGCTCCCTCGGACCCCGATTTTCCTTTTGAATTGGACGCCTTGCAATGTATTCTTCATGTGCCGAATACATACCCTGGCAAGGGACGGCCGAGACTCACTGTGACCAATCCTGAAATGGAGGCTGCCTTCCAGGCCAATGTATCTAGGGGATTCGATGATATCGTCGACTACGCGATTCGGACTAACGCCCGAGGAACTTTGCTCAATTGGGTGAACACTCTTGATAGGCAGCTCGAACGGCTTCTGACTACTCTAGAAAGGGGACCCAAGCTTACCTTTGTGGCCAATGTTGGTAGCAGTCCTGCGAATCCAGTACCGACGCAACAGCAGAAGCCAAGCTCAGTTGCGACTGTGCAGCCTCGCGCACCTCCTACGGCGTCGGTTTCTGCCACATCAGTTGCAGCAAGCAAGCCGCCCGTTATTGCTCCAAGCTACACGTACGAACAAAAGGCCCAAGCCGAGAAACGGAGGTCGATGGAGACGAAACAACTTGAGGCTCGGCTTGGAAGACTCCCCTTGTTCCAGAAGCGGTCAGAAACCACTTTCAATATCCCCATTCAGCCCACCAAGCAGGATCGTCTACCGAGGTCACTTCAAAATGTGAAAACAGTGAAGCTCATTGTGCCTCCGCTCTATCCACTGGAGCACAGCTCCATCGAAATGCAGGGTGTGGACAACCCCGAAGCCAGATCTGTGGAAGCCGGATTTGCGCAATGGTTCGATAAGAACACTTCGATGAACTTGGTATCACAGATCAACTACCTGGCAAGCAATATGCACAACTTTGCCAAGACACCTCTGCCCGAGGTCGCAGAGCAAGCTCAACACGAACTCGTCCAAGAAGAGGAAGATACTTCTGCGCAGCAGTCTGAAGATGGTGTTCCCATCGAGGCTACAGGAGATAAGCCTCACTTGCATGTTATCCCACGTCCACCCGAGTGGTCCGTCCCCGAGCAACAAAGTGGCAGCGACATGACCGAAGAATCCAGCTACGAAGAAGACTCCGAGGAGGACGAGGAGGCCGAAGACTCTGAAGAAGGCGGTGCCCCTGTCCCCGCGGTTCTGGATACCCCAGGCCGAGGCGTTGCACTTTCATTCCCATTCCTGGAACTATATGGCATCGAGTTGTTGGAGATAGCCCACCTCGCTATTACTATCAAGTGTGACCGCTGCAAGGAATCGATGGATATCAAGAATGTACCGCAACTTGCGGATCCCAAGGATATGCCGAAGATCGAGTCTTGCAAGAAATGCGCCAACTCGATGAGTATCGGGTTTAGGAAACAGCTGATGCATTCGCACGCGAACCGGGCTGGGTACCTTGACTTGGATGGGTGTACTGTTTTGGATCTTCTTCCAAGGTATATGCTATGATTTTTCCGACATTTGATCGCCGACTGACCCGTCTCTAGCAACTTCATCCCAACCTGCTCCGAATGCTCTACCACCTACCATGCCCCGGGTGTATCAGCCGTCCGCGGTGAGAGCGCCATGGCAATTTGCCGACACTGCCACCGCAAGATGGTCTTCAAAATGCCCGAGGTCAAGTTCCTGGTCGTAGGTACGGCGGCTATGTCCTCTCGTGCCGCGCTTCCATTGAAGAAGAGGCCAAAGGAAGTCCTTGGTATCGTTGCCGGACAGGAACTTCCCCGGCGCGGTCGGTGCCAACACTACGGGAAGAGTTACCGTTGGTTCAGGTTTAGTTGTTGCGCGAAGGTGTTCCCTTGTGATAAGTATGCCATCCTTCACCTGCTCTTGTGATGATGTCAGGATGTTATACTAACTTGTTGCTTTTCAGATGCCATGATGCGGAAACGGATCATCCTAATGAACACGCTAATCGTATGATTTGGTAAGCCATCCCAGAACTCGCCTTTTACAAAATTCAGTATTCTAATGTACATCAGCGGTTTCTGCTCTCGCGAGCAAATCTACAGACCAGAGAACTGCGGAATCTGTAGAGCCGTGCTCATCGGCAAAGCTGGTAGTGGATTCTGGGAAGGTGGCAAGGGAACGAGGAATCGGGCTCTTATGAGTCGTAAAGGTATGGAACAGCATTCTTCTGGACTTTCTTATTCCTGTGCTAACAGATATCAGATCCTCGCAAGTATAAACGGCGTGGCGGGACTGTGCCTGGGGGATCTAGCTCGAAGAAGAAGTAGAGCTTTGGAGGAGCCATTCAGGAGCTTGGGATATAGATCATTGCATGATGCATTTAATATCTAGCGTTTATTCAGGCATTTTCGTTGGCGTGAGCAATGAAAAACCGTCTCCACGGACAAATCCAATTCCACCAACGTAATGACGTGAAACTAGAAGGGCTTCAAAGCTGTGTTACATCTGCACTCAGGAAAATTGGGCAGTAAATTGACGCTGCGGGTATCTTGCTATTTTTATGTACACGAGACACATCTATGATGGAAGATTCCAAATGAAATCTAACCCACCACCTTCATACATCGGGAACTGACCATTATTACTCATTCCAAAAGGCGCCATGGAAGGATCAAATGGTAATGAGAGCCAGTCATCCGCCATATCATTCAAAGAAGGGATGTATCCCAAATCAGACGTTAACTCCTGAGACACGGGAGTATTGAGCGTATTGGAGCGGTCGTTATTTTCTGGCCAGGGCGGCGGACCCATGGATGATCGACGGGTAGCGGATCGGCTGTTGTTGATAGTGTTGTTGGTATTGTTTTTCATAGCCTTGGAGGAAGCGAGGAGATTTCGTCGCAGGCGTGAGACATGCATATCTAGGAGGGTGGCATAGCGAGTGCTTAGATGGACATCGTCGAGTGCATTGGACTTGAGAGCACTGATGCTTCGCTCGAGCACTTCGAGTGACTCTCGGAGAGTGGCTTGTCGGGTACCCAGGCTGAGTGCTTTCATTAAGAAAATCGAGGCGCTGGTAATGCGGAGGACGATGCGGACGGGCGAGAATCGTAGTGCGCCTACTTCTGCGAGGTGTGTGACTTTTTGGAGGATCTGGCAGCAGCCGTCGATTACTTCTTGGATGTATTCATAGTCGGTTGGGTCGATGGTCATTGGTCGGACGTCGTCGAGGTTGTTGAGATCGGCGTCTGCTACTGCGCGCTCAACGACGGCTTGCATTCCGACTGAATGGGTGTAGACGCGGACGAAATGGTATTCGATGAAGAGATCGTTGTAGAATGCCGTGTCGAGGTTGTGTGGCTGCAGATACTTGTCCTTCCACTGATTGAGTAGAGGCCGGAAGTGCTCGAGGAGCCCGACGTAACGACCACTGTGGAGTTGCTGACGGGCAAACTTGGCAGAAGGGAAGAACATATCCGTGACGGATTGAGCTAGCTTGGTGAGTTCGATCCAAGAATCCATGAATATCAACCAGGTGCTCCCAGGCTGACTTAGCCCGCGAGGCTTGCGTCCACCGAGGACTGCGTGGTTGAGTGATTGAGGGATTGGGGACATGCAGCCAATCCGCCAAGCGAGTTGGTTTATGTAGACGTAGAGGAGTCTTTGAACTCGCTGTCGCCGAAGTTTGATTTGTTCTCTCCATTGTTGGTCATCACCGGGGGCGTCGATTTCCTCCGTCTCAAAGATACCCAACTCGTGGGCTAGAGAGAGCGCGCATCCAAGCAGCATCCAGGACATCTGATCGGACCGCCTCGATGGCTCGATCATGTCCTCAATCCATCGGTTTGCCGATGTATCTTTAGACTCAGAAGGGTCGATAGGTTTAGGGTCTACAGAGATCAGATCATCATCCCAGCCATCGGTTTCAGGAGGAAAGTGTAGGGAGCGAGGATGCCATTCAGCCATGAGCAAGAGGGCTTCCACCGTTCCAAGACTCCTAATCTTAGATTTTGTAGACTTTTCTTGCCCGAAAATGAGCCGCATTGTCAGCTGCTGGCAGTGTTGCCAGAGTCGATGATGGATGAAAAAGTTTCTCGACTCCCCACCTGCACCGGGAAGAACGTGATAGCGAGAAGAAATCATGAGAATCGTTGAACATAGTACGGGCTCTCGGGTGATCAGTGTGAGGTGATTCTGGTGGTTGGCGTAGAAGTCTGTCAATATGGGTGATAGACAGGACATGTTTTTGTAGAACCTATTCTCTGTTAGCAAGAAATCCGGATCTAGGCAAAATGTTCAGGGGCGAGGACATACAGGTCAATAAAGGTAACCGCTTCCCTCGCAGTAAACCATCCCATCTTGACAAAGCGACATGCCTCCCATATCTGTAGAGTTTCGGATGCCACCTCGGAAATTTCGACAGGACGTTTTACCCGTGAAACATTCTCAAAAGCAGCTGGGCTGTCAAAGTTCTTTGGTGTCGCTCGTTGATGACCATTAGAACCACCCGATTTCGATCCAGCTCCACGAGGAGGACTCTCATCACTTGGTGCATTGTCCTCTTGGCCAGCAGTTGCCGCTTCAAACAGAATATTCAAAGCATCATTACCACTCGCGACGACCGTCCGCATCATCGAGCTTGCAAGCGTGGAGCTAGACCGATGCCGATTTTCTTGATATGCATGAGCCGGCGAAGTTTGTGCATGCAAACTGGCATCTGCCATCGGTTGGGGACTAATGCCGATCTGAGAACTATGATCATTGTGTGGGGATGGATTGGGTCGCGCAAAGGCCCATCCCTGTTGAAATGGACTCGTCGAGTCCTGCGGGTACTGGACAGACTGATGGCCTTGCGTAAACTGCCTTTTAGCATTGTCCGGGGAGACAACAGCACCTTGAAACTGTTCCTCGCCCGGCGATATACCGGTCTCATTGTCCTCGAGGGATCGTCCTAGACACAGGCTGATTAGAAATCCGAGTAAGCGGATTCGATGCACCGATCGACCTACCGCGTTTGCGGGACCTCTCCCAGGCCCGTTTCTCGGGGAAAACACACTCTCTCATCTCTCTGCGACATCGCGCGCATGGTGGGCCGATCGGTAAGCCGTCCGGACCCGTTCCCAGATCGCACTTTGCCTTGCGTTGCCGACAAGGGATGCATGCCTTGTATGTGCGCTGATACGGCCGGTCGGGACGGGATGGTCTGGCCCCGTCCATCGTCAACCACTTGCCTGAAGCGCGACGATAAGTCTAGCGCGGATGAATCAGGCGATCGCGACTAGCAATGGCTATTTTGCTGTGGGTATTTGCATGGAGGAGTGGATGTTTGGAAAAACAAATGTGAGGGTAAGCGGGCGAGGGGGTGAATTGCCGCTGCTAACCGGGCCAGAAGCGGACACGACGGGCCGAGGAGCATCCAGTCCATCGCGTTCGGGATACTCCGTATGAGACAATGTCATGTAAACACCATTCTTATGTAGTAGCAAGAATGGGGCTATTATTAATTGGTGCATGATATTTCATTTTCAATTAGCAGTCTCTAATTTTGGCTTCAGAAATTGGGGGAGCCGTGTTGCTTCGATCTCATCTATCTAGCTGCACTACGGATATATCTCCCGCTACGTGGCTCCCTCATGGCGAGAACCTTATGGATCTCAGTACAAGTTAGAAGAACAAAAGTAATATTCGACTACTTTATTTTATTTTAAACGACATGCTAGCACTATCTAACGTCTTATAGGGGGCCATCGAGCTTTTAGATAGCCTGGAACTATGGAGTCCCGGGTGCGTTTCGGAGGAACTCAACTCGGCCGAGCTAAAAGAATGGGTGCCAGGCGTGATCAATTTGAGTGATTTGAGAAGTCCAACCGAGAGAAGATGAAGTCAAAAGTAGATTTAAAATCCCGAATGTTGTCTGAGAATTCAAATAAACCAAGAGAGAATATCATGAGCTGTATTATCCCTAGATCGAGGTTACTCTACCAAGCCTAGCTATATGGGATCAAATACATGGAATTCAATAGGAATATGTATGCAGTACCAGTGGACAAATTCAGACTGGAAACGCCCCATGAAGCTTAATATATACCTTATTCACGGTCATCCCATAAGCCCCCAAGCTCGAAGCGCGTGATCGCTCTTGGCTCGTCATAGACGCCATCGGATACCCAGAAAGGCTTATCTTAAAGGCCTATTTCCAGTTAAATTGCGTTGAAAAATTCTCGTCAGAGATCTTTCAGAAAGCTGTTTACAATGACAAAGTAATGATGAGCTTTGGGCACATGAATGCTCGATCAAGCCTTGACTGGTCTGACTGCCGATGCAACAAACAAAGTACAGCGACAGAGTTGAGGCGCAGGCAAGACTCGACTAGTCTCCTATTACTTCAAGTAAAAGGCTTTTTTATCTTAAAAACCGAAACTTAAAGTGTGCAGGCCATTTAGAGGGCACCTTTGTTTACGAGCTGGAAGGTTGCCTTTACTCAAGTAATACCTGTCCTAACTTAACGACGTGGATGACCCCTCTATTTACAACGATTCTGTACGTTATGGCCTTATATGTATTTGTCATTTTATTTTGACAATGGTATGCTAGTAGATAGATGTAGTACGTATTATACCGAGGTCCCGAGAATATGCTTCATATCCAATGACGAGGTAGATCATGGTATTGTATTTCTTGGCTTGTATGCACCTTGTTGCCGCAGTAAGATATGATTTGTCATTATGCACCTCTATTATGATTTGAGTATTATACTTGAGATCTTTCTAGAAAATGTAGTGCAATGCAATATTGTTCACAACCCCACCTTGAGTCCGGCGGAAAGCAACGGGCAGGACAGCGGAATTTCCGCGCCTCCAGCAACAGATCGTCTCTCGACGGCTTTGATGAACCGCAACTCGAGGTCCGTGGTATTCACAGCTATTATTTATTAGTATAGTTTAATAACATGCGAGCATGTCAGTAGTATCTATTACTTGACAATCCCATCCTATCTTGACATTTCCCTACAACCCATATCCCCTACACCACCCACTCTCCTCTACCAAAATGCCCGACCAAGTAACCCTCTACACATACTTCCGCTCCTCCTGCTCAGCACGCCTCCGAATCGCCCTCCACCTGAAAAACATCCCCTTCACCCCAATCTTCATCAACCTCCTCCGCGACGAACAATCATCCCCAACAAACCGCTCCATCAACCCCTCCGGCACCGTCCCAACCCTCCTCATCACCGAGGGCTCCAGCACAGTGACAATCACCCAATCCCTCGCCGCCCTAGAATACCTCGACGAAGCATTCCCAAACAACGGACCCCTTCTCCTGCCTTCTTCCCCGCAAACCCGCGCTATTGTCCGCACGCTCTCCCAAATAATAGCCTGCGATGTCCAGCCCGTCACGAACCTGCGGATCCTGAAGCGTGTTGCGCCGTTGGGCACGGACCGCGCGGCTTGGTCGAAGGATTTGATTGAGGATGGATTACGGGCTTATGAGGCTATTGTGGAAAGCTCGGCGGGCAGGTTTAGTGTGGGTGATCAGATTAGTATGGCGGATGTTTGTCTTGTGCCGGCTGTTTGGGGCGCGGAGAGGGTTGGGGTGGATTTGAGTGGGTTTCCGGTTGTTGCGAGGATTATGAAGAATCTTGAGATGGAGGAGGCTGTGAAGAAGGGGCATTGGCAGACCCAGCCGGATACTCCTGAGGATTTGAGGGCCAAGTAGGTGGTTGTACAGGTAGTTGGAGGTTTAGATTGTGTCTAGGGTGGATCTGGAGATGATAGTATTTGTTTTCTTTCCGGTATATTGATAGCCGGATTATCGTGTTATTGCGAGTTCTAGTAACTATTTACCGTGCCAAATTGGTAATTTCATCAAAACATCATAGTGGAAATTCGTCAACACCCTTATCATCCTTTTTCGTAGTATATCCTTCTTATAGCGAGACGGCAGGAAGGATAGTACCAACGCAGTCGCCGAATCCGACGTAGTTACCCTCGGTACCAGCAGTACCGCGCAGAATGATCGTATCACCGTCCTCGAGGAACATACGCTCCGAGCCATCGGCAAGCTTGATGGGGTTCTTGCCGTTGGTCTGCTCAAGGAAACTGCCCTGGGTCTTAGCATCCTTGCCGGAGATGGTACCGGAGCCCAACAGATCACCAGTCCTCAAGTTGCAGCCAGTAATGGTGTGGTGAGCAACCATCTGAGGGAAGGAGTAGAGCAGGTTACGAGCGTTGCTGTTAGAGATCAGGGTAGGCTGACCACCCTTGTTGGTGATCTCTACCTCGAGAGGGATCTCATAGGCGTTCTCGGCGCGCTTCTCGCGCAGGTAAGGCAGGAGGGAGTCGCGGTTTCCAGGCTCCAGACCGGCCGCACGGAAGGGCTCCAGGGCATCGAGCAGGACAACCCAGGGAGTGATGGTGGTACCAAAGTTCTTGGCGTTGAAGGGTCCCAGCGGGATATACTCCCAAGCCTGGATATCACGGGCGGACCAGTCGTTCATGAGAACCAGGCCGAAAATGTGGTCCTCAGCCTCTTCGATAGAGACGGGCTTGCCAAGGTCGTTGGGCTTGCTAATAAAGCAAGCCAGCTCCAGCTCGATATCCAACTTCTTGCAAGGGGAGAAAGTAGGGATCTTAGGATCGGCAGCGGGGTTGACTAGGATCTGACCGCTAGGACGGTGCAGAGGAGTGCCCGAGGGAACAACGGACGAAGCACGGCCGTGGTAGGCGACTGGCAGATGCCTGTAGTTGGGCTGCAGTGCGTTATCCGGCCCGCGGAAGAGCACTCCAATGTTATAGGCGTGGTTCAGACCGGCGTAAAAATCAGTGTAATCGCCAATCTGCATGGGAAGATGGTTGGTGACCTCAGAAAGCGGCACGAGCGCCGACTTCTGCAGATCGGCATTGTCCTTCAGCACCTGAGGGAATTGGGTGTCGGCGCGGAAGACGTTCTGCAAGTACTCGCGCACTTGGCGATGCACGGGGCGACCCAGAGCAGCGAATGCATTGAGAGTCGGCTGGTCAAAGACACTCAAGTGCTGCTGGATAGCGGGCAATTGTGAGAAACCTCCCGAAGAGGCGAAGGCGTTCAAGTTCAAAGCATGGTCACCGATGGCAATGGCCGGTACGCGCGAGGCAGACTGAGCGGAGATGATGCCGAAGGGGATATTGGCCAAGGAGAACGGAGAGTTCTTGGGGATCTGGAACCAGGAAGCCATGATGAAGCAGATTGACATGAATGATGAAGAGAGAGAAAAAAAAAACACAGCTTGCTGGGGTCAACTTAACTGTTGGAGCTTCGAGTCTCCTGCCGGACAAGGGCTCCGAGTAGTGCGGAATTGGCCCGTCCCAGGAATACCCCGCCTCCAAGCGCAACAGGAGAATGCGGAAAGAAGAGCGGGGATAATCGCGGATGTCCAGCTGCAAAGTGCCGCGGGTGACGTGCCAGTCGTGCGAGAACACAATTATTCTACTGGGTGTGTACCTTGGGAACTTAACCCGAGTCGGTTCTTGTAGAATACAAAGAGAAGACCCCTTGTAACAATTCCATCTTCGATTCCCTCCTTTCCTCCTCCTCCTCCTCCAAATCATCCGCCCATCATGCCCGTCACCAATTTCTCCCACCCGGATCCTTACACTTACCAGACCGGCTTCGACTCCTACCACGAGTATGTCCCTCGGGTGTAAAGCGTAATTCAAGCACTCCTTCCTAACTGCGGGATAGGTCCGAAGCGATCGAGGGAGCACTCCCTATCGGCCACAACTCTCCGCAGAAGGCCCCCTACGGTCTGTATGCTGAGAAGCTGTCCGGTACAGCCTTTACTGCCCCTCGTCATGAGAATAAGCAGACATGGGTGTACCGTATACTCCCCGCTGCTGCCCACGCGAACTTTGTCGCCGAAGACGCCGATTCCTATCACACTCGTATGACCACCGAGACACACAAGCTGCACCATATCCCCAACCAGCTGCGATGGAACCCCTTCGACTTGGATGAGAAGGTGGACTGGGTTCATGGTCTGCACCTTGTTGCGGGCTCGGGAGACCCAACATTGAAGCAGGGTCTGGGTATCTTGCTCTACGCCGCCGGCAAGGATATGGGCAACGAAGCCTTCTACTCTGCGGATGGTGATTTCTTGATTGTTCCTCAGCATGGTGTTCTGGACATCCAGACGGAACTGGGCCGCATTATTCTGCGCCCGAACGAGATTGCCGTTATTCCTCGTGGTGTTCGGTAAGTTACCTCTTTGCTTGTCTTCAAGTATAGCTGGGTCACTAAAATTGCTAGATACCGCGTAACTCTCCCCGATGGTCCCGTGCGAGGCTATATTTGCGAGCTGTACCAAGGCCACTACCAGCTGCCCGAGCTGGGCCCCATTGGATCCAATGGCTTGGCTAATGCCCGCGACTTCCAAGCCCCCGTCGCTGCCTTTGACGACGAGGAAGAGCCCACTGAATACAAGTTGTTCAGCAAGTTCAACAATACCCTTTTCTCAGCACGCCAGAACCACACCCCCTTCGACGTGGTCGCCTGGCACGGTAACTACTACCCCTACAAGTACGATCTGGGCCGATTCAACACCATCGGCTCGGTCTCGTTTGATCACCCCGATCCATCCATCTACACAGTCCTGACTGGCCCCTCTGATCACGTCGGTACTGCCATTGCCGACTTTGTCATCTTCCCTCCTCGCTGGCTCGTTGCGGAAAATACTTTCCGGCCTCCATGGTATCACCGTAACACCATGTCCGAGTTCATGGGCCTGATTTATGGTGGATATGATGCAAAGACTGGAGGTGGCTTCCAGCCTGCTGGTGCTAGTTTGCATAACGTGATGAGCGCACACGGTCCGGACTCGGATGCATTCGAGGGTGCGAGCAATGCTGAGCTGAAGCCCAACAAGATCGGCGATGGCAGCATGGCGTTTATGTTTGAGAGGTATGTGCAGATCTTGAGGTTATCTTGTTTGTGTTTCCAATCCTAACAGCTTTTCTAGCTCGCTCATGGTCGGTGTCTCCGAATGGGGTCTCAAGACATGTGAGAAGGTGCAGGAGGAGTATAACCAGCACAGCTGGGAGCCTCTGAAGCGCCACTTCAAGAACCCCAACACGGCTTAGATAAAGTGCATAGTTTGGTGGAAAATAGCGATGTGTATGTGTAAATAGCAGCTCAGTTTGGCATGGAATGATTTGACGATACCTCAATCAATGAAAGAATGGAATGATTGCATATTTAACAAAACGTGTTCGATCTTCTTGTAATTCTCGCTCATTTTCAACTCTATCCAGGATGCTTATAATATGACATGAAAGTAACCAATCGCATTACTCCATTAAACTACCGAAGTTCATCTAACTCAACCCTCCATCTCCTTCCTCATCGCCTCCTTCACAATAGCCCCACACATCTTCGCATAAGGATTCGTCTGCACAGCCAACTGCTGTGCAACTTTATTCCCATACCGACCCCCAAAGAAAAAATCCCGACTCGCCATCTCCTCCAACCGATCCGCACTATGACCACGCAACCGCTCCGGTCCTACATTCTCCACCTCCCTCTCAGACCGAGTCTTCTTCACCCGCGCAGCCTTCAATAGCAAATACCCGCGATGCGTGTGCGCATCAGCCAATAGTCGCGCCTGCACCGACGAAATCGGGTCTGCGGGGGACGCTGGCGTGGCGAGCGTGATTGCTTTGCCTAGATCGGCGAAGATTCTGGATGATAGATCTGCCGCTTCTGGGGTGAAGAGGGACTCGTCTGTGTTGGTTTCGGTGCGTGATGGTTCAGCGTCGGTGTGGCGCTGGTTGTATTGGAGGTCTGCAAGGAGACGGAGGGTTTGGGCGCGGTTTGTGTATGCGGGTGGGTAGGTTGGATATTCTTCCAGCAGAGCGTTTAGCTCTTCGAGTGCTGATTGCACTGTTTCTTGCGTTGGTGTTTCGGTTGTTTGGAGCTTGAGGATGATTTGTGTTTCCCGGGCTTTTAGGGCGTTGAAGTCTGCTTGGGAGATGTTTACTGTTGCTGGCCAGGGTGGGAGGGAGGAGTCCACTGTGACACCGGATGAAGGTGAGGATTCGGCATCGAAGAGGGCCTGGAGGACTGCGGCGTCGTTGTTCGTCAACGAAGGACGTGCCTGTGAGATGGTCGTCATGATGACTCTGAATTTGAAGATGAAGTATAGTTTCGGTATGAGGGTTGGCCACGTCGTAGAATCGATAGATGGACAATATGAGAAGGAGCTCTGGCTTGTGTGTAGAAGAAACTTGAGAAATTTTGTTTCCCTTTTTTTGAGAAAACAAAAGAAGTCAATGAAATCACGTCAAGACCACCGAAACCCCGAGCGGCGATGTAGCAACCGCTGAGACTCGGCCCGGCTGTTGGCGGATATTTCCGGCTGGTGCAGGAAACCAGCCGAAGCTCTCATGGTATCCGCGAGGCTACCAGCACAAACCGTGCCGATGACGATGAATGAATTTTAAAGATATCCGCTGCGGTTAATAGAGGTAACCTGAAGAATGGGGGAGATTGATTTAAGACCTGGATAGGTGGCGTCTCCAACTTATCCCTTTCCCATCAACTATCAAACATCTACTTCTTCATCATCTCTTCTGACACACCCTACTACACTTAAACCTCCACGCACCCAAGAAAGAAGAAAAACAACTAGTTCAACAGAGAGAACAAAGACTGAAAATGGCTCCTTCAGCTATCTCTACCAGCCCGCCTCCCTCGACTGTAGGCGAGGCTGCTATCGCCAGCTACCGCGGCTACGACCATGTCCACTGGTATGTCGGCAACGCCAAGCAAGCTGCCAGCTACTACATCACCCGAATGGGCTTCAAGCGCATCGCCTACCGTGGTCTTGAGACCGGCAGCCGTGGCATCTGCTCCCATGTCATCCGCAACGGCGACATCACCTTCATCCTGACCTCTCCTCTCCGCTCTTTGGACCAAGTCGACCGCTTCAGTCCCGAGGAGCAGGCTCAGCTGCGCGAGATCCACTTCCATCTTGAGCAGCACGGCGATGCCGTGAAGGACGTTGCCTTTGAGGTTGATGATGTCGATGCCGTTTACTATGCTGCTGTCAAGAATGGCGCCAAGTCTGTTTCCAAGCCTCGTGTTCTTGAGGATGAGGGTGGGAGAGTCAAGGTTGCTACTATCCAGACTTATGGTCAGACGACGCATACTCTGATTGAGCGGAGTCAGTATCGTGGTGCGTTCTTGCCGGGGTATCGTCTTGAGGCGGGCGTTGAGGATCCTGTCGCCAAGTTCTTGCCTGGTGTTCACCTTAAGCGGATTGATCACTGTGTTGGTAACCAGGATTGGGATGAGATGGATAAGATTTGTGAATAGTGAGTTTCTCTTTGCTTCGTGCTGAGCAAAGTAAGAAGCTAGTTGAGCTAACATGTTTCTAGCTACGAGAAGGCTCTTGGATTCCACCGTTTCTGGTCCGTTGACGACAGCCAGATTTGCACGTGAGTCAACATGTGGCAACATCTTGAGATGTTACGAAGAGAATCGAATCTAACGTTCAACAGTGAATTCTCTGCTTTGAAGAGTATCGTCATGGCCTCGCCCAACGAAATCGTCAAGATGCCCATCAACGAGCCCGCCAAGGGAAAGAAGCAGTCCCAAATTGAGGAATATGTAGACTTCTACAACGGCGCTGGTGTGCAACACATTGCCCTGTTGACCGATGATATCATCCGCGACATTACCAACTTGAAGGCCCGTGGAGTCGAGTTCATCAAGGTTCCCGATACATATTACACCGACATGCAGGCTCGGTTGAAGCAGTCTGGTTTGGTTCTCAAGGAGGACTTTGAGACTATTCGCAGCTTGGATATTTTGATCGATTTCGATGAGGGTGGTTACCTCCTGCAGTTGTTCACTAAGGTATGTGAATTCCTTAGATCGGTTTTTTATAGGAAGCGATATGTTCAGAGTACTGACTCGTGGTGATAGCACCTGATGGATCGTCCTACCGTCTTCATTGAGATCATCCAGCGACACAACTTCTCCGGCTTTGGCGCTGGAAATTTCAAGTCGCTGTTCGAGGCTATTGAGCGCGAGCAGGAGCTGCGTGGTAATTTGGTCTGATTGGACAAATTTGGTGACACTAAAATTGGCATATGAGAGTTGCGGTCTTCTTGCACATATTTTGATACCTTTTAGCATGTATCTCATGAGATTCCATCGTCAATACATTTCTTGGCTTTATGTTTTTATCTCGGGTTTCTAGTTTCCTCATGTAGACTATTGTCTGTTATATTAGGCAAGTATCTAAAGATAGATTCTTTTCCAGTAGAGAGTGCCCTGATTGGTGTACAAAACAGGATGTACTTCCATTCCTGCCGAGAACTGTACTTCCAAGAGGCACAGTCCGGTCGGAATGCCGAGCGATCGCAAGATCCACCGTATACTCCCTGACAAACTTTGCAATCTGCATCCTGTGGCCAAAGCATAAAGACTAAAAAAATTTTCTTGGCCAGTTGTGGCACAGCCCTCGAGCGCCCCCAGATGTAATCATGGGTGGCCCGGATTATTCTCTTGCCTCCCCCGGATGTGGAAGCCAAATCCCAGTAAAAAATTAAAAATTGGACTCCTGAAGCTCCCGATTGCCCGGTGGCGACCGGGTTTATCATCACGTGAGGTCACGTTCCCCCGGACAAGCAAAGACGAAGAAAAAGTCCTCCACCCGCACCCCCGACATCATCACTCCATCGCCGGTTCGCCTCTCACCTTGGGCTATTGCCTTTCCTCTCTCCCTGTCCATCGCGACATTTTTCACATCAATCCTCGACACTAGCATTCATCCGATTACTTTATCCTTGTTGTCGATCCCCGAAACTTGCGTCTTCCTGACCTCGAAAACCCCTGCTCACCCGACCTTCCTCCTCCTCTTCTTTCAACTTCACACATAATGGATCACTCCAGAGATCCCTGCCCCTGGGTCGCCCTGAGCGATTTCGGTGGTGCTTTCTGCATGGGTGCTATTGGTGGTGCTGTCTGGCACGGTGTCAAGGGCTTCCGTAACAGCCCCTACGGTGAGCGCCGGATAGGCGCTTTGACTGCCATCAAGGCTCGCGCTCCCGTGCTCGGTGGTAACTTTGGTGTTTGGGGTGGTCTGGTTAGTTTGGCCTGATTATGATGGATTATTGTGGCATTGCATTCTGACAGTTGTCCAGTTCTCTACATTCGATTGCGCTATTAAGGGCATCCGCAAGACCGAGGATCCCTGGAACAGCAGTATGTGTCTATCGCTCTTGATTGCTTGCAGAATCATCTTCTAACCCATTTCTAGTCATCGCTGGTTTCTTCACTGGTGGTTCTCTGGCCGTTCGTGGTGGTGTCAAGGCCGCCCGTAACTCTGCCATCATGTGCGCCGTCTTCCTGGGTGTGATTGAGGGTGTTGGTATCGGTTTCCAGCGTATGATGGCCGACAACACCAAGCTCGAGGTACGTTGACTACTCTTCCGCTTTTGTTGCGATCATTCTATCATGATCATCTGCTGACTCTGTCTTGTTTAGCTCCCTCCTCCCCCTCCCTCTGAGCAGAAGGCTCTCGCTTAAATCATCTCCATCTTCACTTCCTCGATCGATTCATTCCTCCGGTGGCCGACAAACCCACCTTCGATCTCTGTCTTCATAAACACATCCCCACGTTGAATCTCCCTTCTCAGGTGTTCGGTCTGGGTCTTCATTCTTAAACGACATGGCATAGAGGCTCCTGCTTTGTTTCTCTTTTTTTGCTTACGCTTTTTATACCGCCTTTCCTCGGCCCTTGTTTTCGGAGCATTGTATTTTGTGGACGGCATCCTTTGGCTGGTTCCCAGGATTCGGGACCGGCGTGTGGTTTCCTTTTTTGTGGCTATTTGGCCAGTCAAAAGAATATCTCTGCTCATTGCTGCAACAAAAAGCGTTCGGATCGGGACGTGGTGGAGTCTTGTACATTAACGCATTGGTAACAGGCATAATACGCATTTTTATTGCATATATTTGGACTTCGGTCGCACTTTTCCAATTCGGCGGTTTCCTTCAGATTACAAAGTACTGGTTTTGACAGGGATGCTTCTTGAATTCTAATCAGATTTGCAGAGATCGGTCTTTTCCGCGATGCGATATGATCCAACGGTGATGCAGAGTCGGGGCTGCATGCCGAACTTCGTCGACGTGTCCGCCTTATCTTTCCCCGCATCCCTCGAGACTTCTCTTCTTCCACACCCTCCCACTCATCCTCGAATTCCAAAATGTCCGATGCACCCGCGACTTTCAAGCCTGCCCTCATACTTCATGGAGGCGCAGGCAATATCCAACGTGCTAAGCTCCCACCGGATCTTTACGCCCAACATCGCGCCTCCCTCCAATCCTACCTTCGCTCGACCCACACGCTCCTCAAAGAGGGCGCTTCGGCCCTTGATGCCGCGGTTCATGCTGTATCCTTGATGGAGGATGACGAGCTATTCAATTGCGGTCGCGGCAGCGTTTTCACTACAGCGGGAACAATTGAAATGGAGGCTTCCATCATGGTTGCTACCGTCCAAGACCCCGACCAGAACCGACCGGGGGAAATGAAAAAAGCCGCCGCTGTCATGACCGTCAGGAATGTACGACACCCCATTCAACTTGCGCGCGAATCGCTCTTGCGGACAGGCTATACACCTGATGGGAAACCCAAGAAGGACGGTGGTAGCATGCACCCCCAGCTTGCCGGTCCTCATGTGGAGACCCTTGCTAGGGAGTGGGGTCTGGAATTCAAGCCTGATGAATGGTTCTGGACACAGCGTCGCTGGGACGAACACCGGCGGGGGCTGGAGGGCAAAGAGGAACCTATATCTTTAAGTCAGGGCACGGTTGGCTGTGTTTGTTTGGATCAATGGGGCAATTTGGCCGTCGCGACCAGTACGGGCGGCAAGACAAATAAGCTTCCCGGTCGCATTGGGGACACTCCGACTCTGGGAGCAGGCTTCTGGGCTGATGCGTGGGATGTGACCTTCCCGAGGCCAGAGGCCGCGTCTCCTATGGCCTTGCACAGTAAGGCCGGAGCTCTCCACCCCACGCCAAGATGCACGGGCAACCTCGCCACTGGCACTATGGCTAGTGTGCATGAGTTCTGTGCGAACCTGGGTGATAGCTTGCGAAGCTGCCTGGCTCCACGGCCCAACGCCGAAAGCCCTGACCCCCCAGCCTATTCATCTCGCCCATCCAGCCCATGTGGAAGTGCGGTATTTCAGGTCCCTGAAAAGCCATTCGGCATGCAGGACGCGACAAGTGCAAGAAAGGCCATTGCTATCTCGGGAACTGGAGATGGCGATGCATTTCTCCGTTTAGCTGCTGCGCATTCAGTTGCCTCGCTATCTCGGTTGCAAAACTACTCCCTTGCCGAGGCTGTCAAGTCGGTGGCCGGCTCTAATGGCGCTCTCCAACGATCGGCAGGCCCCCGATGGGGAGTCACAGGCGAGGGCGAGGGAGGGTTCATTGGAATCGAGCTTGACGAGGAGCACGCTACTCGTTCGACTGGAAGGCCGGAAAAGCTACGTCGTGGTAATGTGGTCTTTGATTTTAATTGTGGTGGCATGTGGCGTGCATGGGTTGAGCCTGGTCGGAATGGAAAGGATGTCGAGAGGATCATGGTCTTCCGAGAGGAGTACGAGTTGGGTGACTCCCATTATAGAGTAGGGACACTGCGAAGTGTGGCATGATAAAAGAGCTTTGATGTCTAGAATACTCTTAAGATGATTCAAATCATAGATTGTAGCAGCCACATATCGTCCATACATATCCGTACTCATGAGAAGTATTCTCTCTAGACAATTGGACCTCTCCTTTACGCTATTTCCTACGGAGGACAATCGCTGATAAACTTTGCCTAATTATGGAGAACTCCCATAGTTAATCACTTTCAGATACCATTCTAGAACGGGGCCGATTATGGACCCAATACATCGAGCAACCTGATGCTTAACCCAAGACTGACGTATTCCAGGCCAGTTTGCTTCGTATGGAACCCACCTAGTCTTGCATAGCTTCGGAATACCAGTATTCGCCCCAGTGGCTCCCATGTATTCCGTCTGTACCTGGTGCATTGATCGCCATGAAATACTTGTTGTACCTGGATCCACTGGGGCGAGGAATCATAATTACAAAGAACAGAACAAGGAAGGACCCGCTCTTGGAAATCCAGACTTTGGAGATAAGAGAACTTGAAAGATTAGAATACATACTCTGCCTTGTATTCTTTCGCTAAAGATTCATACTACTTAGCTATCTGGTGACTAGGACTGTCCTCTTTCCCCTGTCGATCAGCACAAGTCACTCTGCCAAGATGGATACTTGTAGACAAGGATTGAGTGTGATAACTAAGACGTCGAGAAGAATAAGTATCCCCAGCCTCCCAAGAGGTCCGAACAAAGAAAGAATCTACCATATCTTGGTATTTTACTTTGTAATGCGGATGAGATCCAGTCAAAGCCACGCGTCTCAACAGCCATAGCGTCACTCCACCCCGCGCTGCCATTGAAATACCCGGTTTAAACGGTAATTAGTGGCCGACTGGCGTATTAAGCGTTCCGTAACCAGCCAATCATCAACCTCAAATCTACTAATATGCTTGGCGCATGATGCATAAGGTAAGTTCCTACGTACGACTGTTGACTTTGCCGGATCTTGTTTGCCCTGTCACAAATACTCTTGCGGACTCTTGGGTGGGTTATAAGTATTCTACCCACTCTTTGCTGGGCCTGGAGGGCTCTTTGATTCTTGCCCTGAAACAGTTCCTGGCTCAATTGAATTTGGTGCAGTTCTTGCTCTTCTTCAAACATTCTTCTCTCGCTCCTGTTCGATCAATCGTTGCATCGCTCGCTACAATGAAGAGCTTTATTGCTATTGCCTCTCTGGCCATTGGTGCCAATGCCCTCGTTGGCCGTAGCGACAGCTGCTGTTTCCACCTCACTGCTTCTGGTGATAAATCCGGCTCTCTCGGCCAGCTGAGCGACGGTCAGGTCCGTGTTGGCGATGACTCCCTCTCCGCTGCCACCTTCTGCCTGTCCGGAGGTGTTATCACCGATAGCGAGGGCCGTGGCTGCGTGATCACTAGTAAGACATCATCTCTTTCCTAAATACCATGACCCATGGCTAACTGAATCCCTCTATCAGCCGAGACCACCCAGTTCCAATGCGATGCTGGCAGCGCCGGTACCTCTGGCTTCTCCCTCAGCTCATCCGGTGGCCTCGAGTTCAGCGGTAGCTCCAGCTTCGTCGCCTGCGCAACTGGCCAGAACGGTGGCGACAACATCTACACTACCGAAAGCGACGCCGTCACCCAGTGCGTGAGCGTCGAGCTTACCGCTGACTCGACCTGCGCCGCTGCCTCGTCTTCCGTCGCCGCTGTCGCTCCTACTTCTACCTCAGTCCCCGTCAGCACCCCCCTGCCTGCCACCACTCCAGTTCCCTCAGGCTCGTCGCCTGTCGGTGCCTCCTCCGGTTCTGTCTCTGCTCCTGCCAGCACCCCGCTAGTCGGATCTTCCAGCCTCGTCACCAAGACTTCCTCCACTGCTTCGGCTTCTACTAGCACTGCTGCTGGTACCAGTACTTCGTCTGCTTCGTCTTCTTCGTCGACTGTTGCCCCCGCGTCTAGCTCGACTGCTGCTAGCGCTGCTACCCGGTACGAGCTTGGTAACTTGGCCACTGTGATGGTGGTTCTCTCCATGGCATCTCTTTACCTTGTTTAAGGTGATGGATGTGAATATGGTTACATGATGTCTTGGAATACGATTAATGTTGGGGTAATGAATTTGTGATAGGCTACGTAGTTTACTTGTGCTGGTATCGAGGCACTTAATCTATGGATGAAATAAGATAGCCCTTAACCCCGCGGACAAATTTCTTTGATTAGATAGGATCTCGTTACTGGCGCGAAAAACTAGGTCCAACTGAGATAGCTCCTGCTCTACTTTCTGTGATAGTCCTTGATTAGAGTTTAGAAGAACTTTCTTGACCATAGCCAGAACGATAGCCCGGGAGAATATTCTGAAGATGTCTAGGGAGACGGCAAAAAAGACATTTGGAAAGATCTTTCAAAAGAGGCGTAGTTAAAACGTACATATATACAGGTTCTCTCTAGCTTCTAGAGCCATGACAACTAATAGATGTTCGGCATAATCCGCTATCCCTCGATGGCCCCAACTGAGCGCCTTCAAAACACGTTCTGGCCAGCTTTGTGATTCAATCTGCGGCTTTTTTGACCTTTCTAGTCTTGCGCTCACTAAGCCATCGTTTCAGATCTCGAATTCCATGGAGATAAAGCCACGAGAAAAGGAAGAGGATGACGAAGTTGAAGATGACAAAGGCCCAGAAGATTCCCTGTTCAAGAAATATCAGAGGAGTGAAAACTCAGTTGCGAGAGGACAACCCACATAATCTCGCCATTTATGAGAGTAGAAGACATTGAAACTGGCTGCCTGTTTGGTTGCATTATGGTCAGTTACTATCTAGATCGGAATGTTGAACAGGGAAACTCACGAATTGATCGCCGGTAGAGTACTGACAAAATGCGCACAACCCATTCCCAGCATCACGGACAGTGCCGTGAGACTTCTGCGCATATGAGCCGGCATATTCCTGACAAGTTATGCCAGGTGGCGGACTAAAGAATGCCTCTTCTCGCTCAACGCATTTAATAGGGATGTTGTGTGTAACGACACCCAAGAGACCCTCGAGCAGATAGTGGAACGGCGTGAGCCAATACATCCACGACTGCCAAAAGTGAGGTAGAGCGGCATAAGGCACGACAACACCACAGAAGGAAATGATAAAAGAAAAGAATGCAGGGACGAGTAACGATGCGAAAAGCTCATTCGGCGAAAATGCAGCGATGAATTGTCCCAATCCGACGTAAAAGCATTCAAATAGCATTATCATCATCCAGGTGTAACCTGTGCTGAAAGAGTCCCGTGGGAACCAAACGCCCCAGTACCTGTTACTTGTAAGCGACCTGAATTTTGTTCAAAACTCAGATACTACGTACCAGCAGTTGAAGTATACCGATCCGGCAACAATGGAGTATGGTAGTTCTGGGAGGATAGTGCTCACTACGAATGCAACCCAGGAATAAATCTTGGAATTTGACTCGCGCGACTCGTAGATACCACGGAAATGCAGATAGCGTGGCTGCAACTGTTGAATGAGAGGTGGAGAGATGGTCAAAGTCATGAAGATGGAGAACAGTCTTGACTGCATGTCAATATAACTGTTGCCCAAATGCCAGAATGTGAAGGTGTTGAACAGGCCCGTAAAGATATGTAGCATCATTTTGCCCTACATAATCTCAGTGTTAGTATGACTACCAAGCAGTTTTGGAGTAACAGCAACTCACAAGAACGTAATCTGGGAGCCTCCAATAGGCCACGAACGCTCGCTTTGTCACTGCAATTATCTGAACGTATAGCGGCATGGCGAACTCGCGATCATCCTTGGTGACCTCCTCCTGCTGTTGGTTACGGCGGGAACTGATGATATTCTCTAACTCATCAGAAAGCTGTTTAGATTCTGGGGAGTTTTCCCACACATCTCCCCAGTCCTGACCGTCGTAATCCGGATTTCCAGCACCGATCACTTCAAGCATGTACTAAATCCCATGTTAACGAGAGCACGCTTTATATGGCTTGAGATACTGACCTCTGCTGGGTTGGCATTTGGAGGGCATTTCTTACCCCCATTTCGCTCAAAATAATCAATCAAGGTTTTGGAATCTGACCCAAGGTTTCCGTTATAAACAACTCGGCCACCACTCTGTAGCAGAAGAAGTTCGTCGAATTGCTCAAAGAGAACCGCTGACGGTTGGTGAATGGTACAGAGGACTGCTTGGCCGGCATCGGCTAGTCGTCGGAGAAATCGTACGATATTGAATGCAGCTAGTGAATCGAGACCAGAAGTGGGCTCATCCAAGAAGAGTAGCAGCTCTGGTTTACTGGCCAGTTCTACTGCTATAGTTAGGCGCTTGCGCTGTTCTTGGTTCAAGCCAGAGCCAGTGGACCCAACAGTAGCACCGGCAATTGAGCGCATCTCCAACAGATCAATGATTTTCTCGCAGTAGTCATATTTCTCTTGCAGAGGAACCTCTTTTGGCTGCCGCAAAAGTGCAGAAAAGCGTAGAGACTCGCGGACAGTGGCCGTGGGCTCATGTATGTCCATCTGCTCGGCAAACCCGGTTGCTCTTTGGAAGCTTCTGGGGAGTGGTCTTCAAATACCAGGTCAGTCTGCCAATTCACCTAATGGAGAATTCATTACTTACTTTCCATCAACCAGGAACCTTCCGGTGACAACACCAAAATTGACTCGCTGGGCTAAGGCGTTGAGGAGAGTTGTTTTCCTGATTATACGTAAGCCATTGGCTATTGAGACTGCCAGAATGATCGATTGTACCCTGCACCTGATGCACCCATCAACGCCGTGAGTCGACCGGGCTTGACGTATCCATTGACATTCTGTAGCAACTTGCGCTGTCCACCCTTATAAGGGATTGTATAATTCACATCGTGCCACGTAAAGATGGATGTGTTTTCGGCGATATTCTCGACGTTCCGACCAGCCTCGTCATTTTGCATGCCTGAAGACCGACCATCTTTCTCAGCAGATTCCATATCTGCTGGCGGCCTGCTACCTTCTATCGCTTCTTCAACTGCTTTCGGCGCCTCGCCTCTTTTGAAGACAGTGACAGAGCTCCCACCTCTATTAGGCTTTTGGATTTCCATCCCAAGCATGGTCAAAAACACAAAGAAAAGAAGCCAAGCTATCATGATACCAAGGTTCCGCCAAAGGTGGGACCGCGAGTACGTGAATGCAGCTTTGATGTAGTCAGAACCATGTACAACCAAGCTGTCCGGACTGCTCCCTTGAATTGCGCAACTCTGATGGGAAGAAGATGCGTTAGGTCCGTCAGGTACAATGTACGGTGGTTCGCATTTGATGTCAAGATTGTGGAATTCATTTGCAATCAATGCTTCGAATGCGTATTGGACTGGATTTATCCAGATAAGCCACTTAAGCCATGGGTGCATCTTCCAGGGTGGAATCAGGTATCCTGAGATTGAAGTTAATGCAATGCCTTCCAAGTAGAGATATCAACCGCTTACCAGTATATACGATGAATGCTTGAATTGCAACTCCCGTAAGTCGAGTGGCTATACCGAAATTAGTACAATCCAGCTCCCGCAACAAACTCCCACTTACCAACATCCAATGATGCGCATAACGCACCGAGTGCGCGGAAGAACGAATACATGGTCATTGTGAGGATAAAAATGAAAAGAAGGTTAATAAAAAACTGGGACCCTGTTCGCGCAAGATTCGACATACTGCAGAGAACATGTTAGTAGGGTTCAAATTACTGTGTGGGCAGAGCGTACAAGTAAACGATGATGTCAAAAAGCAACACTTGGATAAATACCAATGGGACATCCACGACGACTTGTGCCAGCGCATATGCCGCGGGTCGATAAAAAGAGCTACCCAAGTCAGATTCATCGATGTCAGGGCCAGGTATCTTAACTTCACTTACAAGCTCTTGTGTTTCATCAGTATGGGTCGGCTCTCAAATGCGGCTGTGAGTTCAGCTAGTGCAAGTAGAGCATTGAACAGAAGGATATAGAACATCACGCCACCTCGTGTGAAAACTCCCGAGCTGCATAAATTTATTAGTTAAGAGTTTTGAGTATTGAAGCATGCAGACCCCTACCTTGTGTTAGGAAGATTGTAGAACAGGCTTCCTACAATGAGTGCCTGGAAGACGAGGACACCCCATTTACCAACGAGAGCGGCTCTATTACCGAACATGACTAGGAACTGTCGATGAGTGAGGATGGCAACCTGTTTCCAGAATGGGACCGTATAATTCTTTGTAGTCGCTTTACTTCTGGCAGCCTCTCTCTCACGCTTTTGGGACTCGACCTCGTCCTCGAAGCTTTCAATATCCGTAAGCGTCGCTTTGAAAACATCGCTTTGTCGATACGCCGCTTGAAACTCATCGGCAGTTCGTGGGATACGATCTTCCCATCCAGGCTTCACTCGTCTTGCATGAGGATCGCTGACGGATGTCAAGAAATCGGGTGTTGTCCACCGGGGAGGACATTTAAATCCCAGATTTTCAAAGTAGACTTTCGCTTCTTCAGTATGACCAAAGAACGCGCACTTTCCACCCTCGATGAGAATCACCTTATCAAAAATATTGAAAAGATTCTCTGAAGCCTGATAGAGCGCAACTAATGTTGAGACATGAGCTGTATTTGTAAGACTTCTCAAGCTCTGGACGTACTCAAGCGCGGTGCTTGCATCAAGGCCTCTGGTTGAGTTATCCCAGCATTGAGTACTAGCCTTGGTCACCATCGCTTCACCAATTGAAACTCGCTTTTTCTCTCTATGATTTGAATCTTTTTAGCATTGATTTTGCTTGATTCGAATTGGGGTTTCACTCACCCGCCCGAAATTCCACGAATCAATTCATTTCCAACTCGCGTCCCAAGGGCATGCTCGATCCAGAAGAGCTTTGCGATTGCCGAAAGGAAGGTCTGCTGATAATCTGTTCGGCTTTCACCCGGAATACGCGATCGTTTGTCTGGGGTTCGGGTCTTGAGCGCAAATAGCAATGTATCTTTCACAGTCAATGTGGCATAGTGGAGATCATCCTCGGGATTGTATGAGACTATTTGCTTTTAGCATGTCTGACTACAAGTGCTCAAGGGTACTCAATTACCTTCTGAACGATACTTCTTCTTCATAGTGGTAGAGTCGGTTCCTCCATATCGAACATCTCCCTCGATGCTTTCATAGCCGTGTGTTTGGTTCCCTATTACTTTCAGGAACGTTGAACACCCTGAGCCGGGGCGCCCTAGGACCAAAAGCATCTCTCCAGGGCGTACGCATCCCTTAATTGACGGTCAGCTCAATCAAACCACATCGTCAACATCAAGGCATGCTACATACTGTGAAATCATCCAAGATGGTGCGGATCTCTGGTTTCCCAGCACCAGTACCCTTTCTCCCACGAGTAAAAAGTCCCTTGATGAGCCTCGGTAGGGCGAGGAAGATGTCCCCGTTAGTAGGCTGGAGTGCTGCCCCGAGACCCAACCCTTTTACTGTGAGATTCTTCCAAATAACACCAACGTGTCTTGTCTGCTCTTCCTCAGAATTTGCCTTTCGCTCGTGTCCGAACATACGCGAAATTAATCGCTCGATCTGCGCCCATTCTGCACCTTCGTGGCCGGAGGCATAACTCCGTCGACGAGATAAAGTCTGAGCGACCCCATCATCATTCAGGCTCTCGCCTTCAGAAGCTGCGTCTTGAGTAGGGCCAGCACCCTCTGATGAGCGTGATCGCGCTGACGGACTCGCATTTGCAGGAATACCTTCTGATGTTCCCTCGGCTGTATTTTGGTGGGCCTCCGGCATCATTCCTCTGGTGATAGACTGACGTTGATCCATTTAGACGCCCACCTAATGAAGATTCTCGGTGATCCAAGAACAACAGTTTGGTTTGTAGTCGCATGTCACACAGGGTGTGACTAGAGAGTTACCGAATGTCGTCCGCACTACGCGCCCACATGTTTGATAGATGTCCAAGTAGTGATAAAACAATCTCTGACCACGATTCGTAGCGATTACGTCAAATATCAAAACATCAAAGGGCACTTTGCTCGGTCTCGGAAGACCAACTTTCCGACAGCCTACTAAAATCCGATTACATCCGGTCGTAAAAACGAGCTCAAATCCAAGTATGATGACGAGCACTGCATGGGTTTCAGATTATGTGAGCTGCATATCTACGGCGGACGATATCGGCCAATCTCCAAAACCCCTTCCCGCCCTTACTACCGCCCCCATAAGTAGACTAGCCTACTAGGCCCTTGTCACCGCCCTTAACTATCTTATATAACCAATCAATCACCTAATCCTCCTCCATCACCATCGAATGCTCCTCCATTATCATCGAATGCTCCTCCATTATCATCGAATATCACTATGCCCCGGCCTTCTGTTAACCTTGATCCTTACCAGGAGGAAATTACTAGGCTTGTTTATGCGAATTCTACCAATGAGGATATCTGTGCTTTCTTGCTAAATACATATGGTATTAGGATCTCTCCTACTACTTTATGTAGACGGCGAAATGCATGGGGTCTTCATACTCCACGGGCTTACTACCAAAAGGATACTCCTAATGAGATCAATCGTAATCAGATAGTATATAACCTTCTTCAGCTATCGTTAGATACGCAGGAAATCCTTCGTCTCTTACAAAAGAAGGGGATACCATCATCTGAACGTTCTCTTTATCGTATACGGCAAAAGCTTGGTGTTAAGCTACGTGTTAACGATGCTGCTGAACGAGCGTCTCAGGAAAGAATTATTGAGAGGATTCTTACTGCAGAGGATCAGATTGGAGATATTGAAGGATATGGCCGACGTTACCAGCAAATTCACCTGCGTAGCCAGGGAGTTTTCATCGCAAGGTAAGTATCATATGGTCGTGTTTATCGGTCATATAGTCGTGTTCATCGGTCATATGGTTGTGGTTATCGGTCATATGGTCGTGTTGGTTAGCGATATGTTTACTAACGATTATATAGAGATCGTGCCTATGAAATCTACCGAACTATTAACCCAGATGCGATTGATGACCGCCGGTCTGGCTTTCAACGCCGACGAGGTGCCTATATATGCGATGGGCCTAATGCAATTTGGCATCTTGATGGCTATATGAAATTAGAACCTTTTGGTATTGAAATCTACGCAGCAATTGATGGCTACTCTCGATATGTTATATGGATATATATCGGGATATCTGCACGTACTGCAGTAAGTGTCCTTCGGCAGTATCTTGATTGTGTGAGATCGAATGGGTATATACCACGAAAGCTTCGGGTTGATCTTGGTAGTGAGACGGTATTGATTGGTGATGCCCATCTTACTCTACGAGAATCGCTTCTATCACCATCGAATACTCCTCCATCACCATCGAATGCTCCTCCGTCACCATCGAATGCTCCTCTATCACCATCGAATGCTCCTCCGTCACCATCGAATGCTCCTCTATCACCATCGAATGCTCCTCCATCACCATCGAATGCTCCTCGATCACCATCGAATGCTCTTCCATCACCATCGAATGCTCTTCCATCGACATTATCATCAGTTTCTCGGTTTCGAAACTACTTTATCTACGGGCGTAGTATTGATAATCAACGTATTGAATCCTGGTGGGGGCAGCTTGCACAGTCAAGTCTCTTCGTCTATCATGAGTATTTTAATATACTCTTAGGCGATGGAATCTATTCAAAGCAGTGCATTCCTGAGCAGGTAAGCAGCGGTATATCCTCGACAATTTAACCTAGTAATCCCTACTAAAAGATGTCTAGATAGTACTTCTTGCCATCTACATGCCTATTCTACGAGCTCGCATTCAATCATTCGTGAGCAGTGTATGGAATGTACACCCGATTCGTAAACAGCCTAAGCGGCCACATGTCGTTTCTGGTAAACCAATGATGAATTACCACTATCCTCCCGAAGGTATTCCTGATTGTAAGGAATCTTTTGACCCTTCTCTTCTCCAGAGGTATGATTCTATGGTTAATTCCTTATATTCTATGGTCAATTCCTTCTATTCTATGATTCATTAATCGTATACTATGATTCATTGATCGTATACTATAATTAATTCATCTTATATTAGGCTCCAGGAGGATGTGGCAGAATGGGATCCTGCTGAATACCTTCCACCTTCTACACTAGCTTGGTGCCGTCTACAATTGATAGAAATTGGCCAGCAAGAAGTGGGCGAGCCGTTTGACCCTGAAGACCCTCTCATTCAGCTTCTAGGTGATAGAAAGCAGCCATATCGGAAGGTATATGAGACTATGCGTGCTCGGGCCCTTCTACACGACCAATTAGGTACTTTACCTATATTAACACTAAGTATAAAACCTACCGGTGCATTCTCATGGGGTCCGAGCGCCCAATGGCATCAGGGCGCATAAGCTACTTAATCTATAAGATTAGAAGACGGCATAGCATATTCTCTCTTTCATCGAACATATTCTCTCTTTCATCGAACATATTCTCTCTTTCATCGAACATATTCTCTCTTTCATCGAACATATTCTCTCTTCCATCGAACATATTCTCTCTTCTATCAGGATGGCATCTGAACTATCTTTCCCCCTCGCTACTCTACAGGCTACTCTTAAACAGCTATTAGAGACTATATCGGCAGCTACAGATCCTTCTTCATCTACATCATCATCAACAAGAACACCAACAGCTACACCAACACCATTATCATCATCGATATCTGATATTTCGACATCAGCTTCGCATATTCCAGCATCAGCTTCGCATATTCCAGCATCAGCTTCGCGTATACCATCGCAGCTCAATTCGCGTTTTGGAATGCTTTCTGGTACTACTAGCCAGGTTCGCAGTGCTTATATTGGACGCCCACAGGCAACTATACCGCCACCACCACCAGAAGAGGTCACAATCAATGTATCCTTCTATCTATTAATAGAGAGTGAGGATATTATACCAATTAAAGGTAATATACTATCTTCCCTCTATCATATACTTCTATATTCTTACCATTTACTTCTATAGGTGCACATATCTCTACCAACATAATTCCTTCGCAGGAATGGCTCACTATGGGTAGTTTTGCATACTCTCTGGTACAAAAACTATGTTACCTACCTATTAATTTCGAATTCAACCACGACGATGAGGCATTCCTAGCTAGGACGGTTACACAGTATACAAAGAAAGGACCATTAGAAGCGCAGTATCTCCTACCTACTAGTCCATCTGGGTCTACTAGGTGGACTTCTGGTCAGTTATGCCGATTGGTCAACCAGGAGAAGGGGGCAAAGGTCTTCTATGTTATTATAAAACGATCAAAAGAGACCGTGGAAAGGATGGCACATGGACTACCATCTCGAGCTACGATATCAATTGAAAGACAGCTAGGATCTATGGAAGACTCGGCAAGCATCATGGAAGACCCGGCGGGCATCATGGAAGACCCGGTGGGCATCATGGAAGACCTACCACGAAGGAAGCGAAGACGTGCTACACCACCACCAGTGACGCGGCGGAACTTACGTCGGCGACTACAAGGATGACAGAGACTATGTATTTATACTAGAGGAGGGAATTACTACTGTCGGTAAATCATGTACTTAATAGTTATATAATTTAAATTATCCTTTTATTATATCAGTCCTTAATGACGATAGAAGAGCATTCAATGGCGATGGAGGAGCATTGGATGGTGATGGAGGAGCATTGGATGGTGATGGAGGAGTATTGGGTGATGGACTTAGAAGTTTAGATGTAATTCTGCCGTTTTTCTGCCAGTTCTATCTAGGGGTTTTGGAGATTGGCCGTTATCGGCCGCCGTACATATCCCGATCTGGGCAGTGCGACCATGCAAATATTCTGCGGAAGCAAGATTTCCGCATAGCAGCTCCCATGCGGTCTATAATGAAGTCATCGATCTCCGTCGGGTCCGGTTCCAACCTAGCCGGGGAGAAGGCATGAGATAACTGTTGATACCGATAAGGTTTCTGTCCTATCCAAGTTATTCACTTTTATATTGTTGCTTCTACTACTTTATGTTAAAGCCAATCGCCAAGAACTTCTTCATTCTGGTATGGTTACAGTGACCTTGCGACTGTACGACCACAAGTTTCTTAAGGGCAGCTTTAATCAAATTATTCCAGCTTTCGAAAGAACAATTGCTTAGTCTCTTGGCTGACAGACGTCTATTAATCGTATTCGGAGACAGGCAGCATGTTTTTTACCTTTATTTTTGTGCAGATATCGGACAACATCTTCCCATGACAAGAAACGCTCATGGGCTAGTTCAGTGTCAGGCAAGTACATACCAACACCGTGCACCATTTATGTCCTTTCAAGGTCCAGAAAACGTTGAAAAATATCGTAATACATAATTCCGGCCGAGGAACTTTAGTTGCGGTTCAAAAGTTTGAATCGAAAGGCCAGGAAGCAGCGTAATCCAATGTGCTCTCATTTCTCCTCTTGCCGAATCAACCTAAACCTTCTCCCTCAGTGGCAGATGGAATATCTCTTGTTCCATTATTCAACTCGTAATTGCCAAATTGGGTTTGGAGATTAGTAGGATCCCCGTTATTGCTGATGATACGATCGCCGTCACCCTAGCATCATCACTAGTGCCGAGCCCAGAAAATGTTGCAGGGGCTAACGAATGGCCTGCATTCTAATTCCTAGTTTTGATAGAGTACCGTTTGAATGATCTTTAAATATTACAGTGTCAAGATCTTAATTAAACTTACATTGAATCAGAATCAGAGGAATTTATCTCTTCATAATAGCTGGAAGCATGGCGACCAGTCAAAGTGTATAGTGATGGCTACAATCCATCATTTTGAGCACGCAATTGTTACGGCACAGGACGCATAACTACAAATATATCCCTACCCAGAGTCCATCAAGTACGAATCCGCAATCCTTGCAAAATTACTATACCAGTCCTATTCTGTTCATCACTCGATGCAGCCCAAATCACGACGCCGCCGACGCCTGTTACAAAAGCTTTGGAAGATCTTCAATCCAGTCGCTTCAAAAACGAATGGATTGAATCTCGTCTACTTCCCTAAGTAAGTACCGCGCGAGTGTATTGTGGTAAGATGTCTCATCTTTCTTTGTAGAGCGCAGAATTGCCCATACGACTTTGACAAAAAAGAAGCAATTGACGACGATCCGCAAAGCAGTGACAACATCGATGCTCCACCACAATATAGTTCAAGCATCAGTGACGGAACCCCCGCAAATCTACGCAACAGCCTAGAAGCTGAAATTGTCCATCTCTGGAAGAAAGTATGGCTAGGACTTTACGAGATCGACGTCAATGAACATCGCCTTCGCTCCAGTCAACTAGACGCACTATACCTTGGTGCTGGAATGACAGGATATATGGGTAGACTCGGAGCTCTCAAGCACGCGGCCTACAAGAACGTGGGCGTGAACAACGAAATCGCATCTTTGAAACTTTTTGATGGGTTATCTATCACGACCCTGCAATCTGTCTTAGAGATCTTGAGAGCTTATGAGAGTGAAATTGATAATCTGGAACGGCTCTATGGTATTTTGCGGAGGGGACAGCGGAGTCTGCGGCAGTCTACCTGGATTACACCGACAGATACACTCCAGCGGCAGTATCTGGCCATTGCAGAGCCGATGGAAAGAAGAATCAAACAGTATGATATCCGGATGGATGTTCTGAATCATGAAATGCGAGACGAAGTCATGCCAATGGGTGACGAAATTCCAGCGCCTCAGGGACAATTAGTCTATGAGAAGGCTTTTCCTGGCCGTTGAGCGTACCATTTGTGCTATTGAAATTTGCGCTTTCGTGTTGTTTATTCTTGAAAGAACAATTACAATCATCTATTTCTTGATTCCAGCTATCTCTTCCCGCTCCATCATATTATGAGACATCGCCATGGATAACTGTATAGTCTGAGTATGTCGTCCGTCCAGCATGTCTGGCTTAATGGCACTCTTACATTGTTCCCACTGGCCATTTTCTTCATTATTGAGCTTTTATTATATCAGGTCATCTAATTGAATATTGAGAACACCCTCGAGCTCAAACAAGATCAAAATGAGTTTCAAAGAATACCTACTCTATTCCATGCAGAGCACACAACGAGCACGAGATGTAGATCGGTCACAGGTAGGCCCTAAAAAGTAGGATCATCCTCCATCGTTGCACTACAAAACATTTTCATGTCACTATGGCGCTAAGTCTAATTAAACACGCCTTACGAGTATAAAGTAGGATAACGACGCTAAGGGCATCCAGGATAGTGGTTGACTTCGGTATACCGAAGAGCTCTATAAGTTTAAAAACCTCAACCTAACTTCTAGATTATCTTATCAGTTTATAGGGTAAAAGATAAATCGAGAAATATCACTACATAGGGCTCTTCGGAAAGACCATTCAAAAGATATTCTGAAAGATATTTAGAAATAGGGAAGGCTAAGCCTATTTAGTTAGATCTTTCTCTCTATCTCTTATTCTAAATTTTGAACTATCACTATACATACATAAGGATAGATATCGGATAGACCATGTTTCTCATGTAGCTTGCTGAAGGTTGCACTGTCAGAGACCGAAAATCCACCTATCGGTTTCCATGAACTACGCGTACCGGGGGCTCTTAACGGGATATATAATGAGATTATCTAGCAAATATCCATGGCGTTGACGGGGCCGAGGGTATGAATTGTACCAGAGTGAAAGGAAATCTATACCAGTAATGGTCTATGATGTTTTGTTCCATGCAAATTGAATAGACTGCGCAAAAAATCAACTTAATAGGGTATGGGGCTCCCTGAAGGCGCGGCTCTAGTCCGAATCGAAACCTAAGGTATCGGAGCCGACGATCGTTTTGGACTAGCTAGACGCCGCGCAATATATCCGACCTCTTCTCTTCTTCATCTATCGAAATATGGCCATTGGCTCAATTCCTATCTCCTGAAGTGTTCCAAATCGCAATTACGTATCCCCCAAGGGTAGGATGGTGGGCCCCAGTTGGGTTACATCAGAGCTAAGCAGAAATACACCTGTGTCGACTGTAGAGCCCGTTAGCATGAACAACCTCATTAGGATAGTTTGCCATTCCTAACACTCAAAATACTCGATGCCAATCCAATTGACTGACCTAGGGCTCCTTGTATTGCAATTCTAGTTGCTTTCCTTAACGGCAGACAAGCCCTTGGCCCTCGTGAGCGGGTCCGCTTCAAGTCGGCGCGCCAAAGCTTGGCGTGCCTCTTCGGAACTTCGCTTCACCACCGCCCCCAATTCTTCCTCCCGATTTTATCGCATGGACGAGGAGTACTCCTTTTGCCATGACTGCATGAGCCTTGAGCAGCTGCTTTCGTGATTCTTTTACGTATATCATTTCTCCCTCTACCATCCTCGCATCCCCCCGCCTTGCCCGCTATGACCGAATCAGCACCCAGCGAGACACCCGAGCAGTCGCAAGCCGACGAACAGCACGACCAGGAGTCGGCCTCCAAGTCAGCTCTCAACCCAGCCCTCAAAGATCGGAGATGTCAATACTGTGGCCAGGCATTCACATCATCGTCTTTGGGTCGTCATCTGGACCAGTTTCTGTTCAAAAAGAAGCCCGATGGAATCCACGATGTTGAGGAGATTCGGCGCATCCGTAGTGGAATCACTCGTCGGCAGGCTCGGACAAGCTCTGGAAAGCGCGATGGCAGCCCCGATCAGGCGCAGAGAAGAGGAACGTCTGGCACGAATGCAGCTGGAGAATCGGCTTCGAAATCACGCGACGCTCCCGTACGCATGATGTTCAACACTCCCACATGGCACGCAACGGGTGTAATCAACGATATACCCAACCCAAGTCGTGCCGCGGATGGACCTCGAATTGCGCCTGTTCAATCACGAGCTGGATCATTGCAGCTTCCGGAATATGCGGCGCGAGGAGCCACTGCGAATAACCCAGATACCATGAAAGCACTAGAGCTGGCATTGCGCGAGGTGCTAGACAATATTAAGGCAGCGACGTATGTAGTGTTTCGACTTTTCTACTCGGGTTCATGCTCCATCAAAGCTAACAATGAGATTCTAGTTCCCGAGTTCGCCCGCGCCTTTTGCCATTTGACTTCGAGATCCAAGCCCAGACTTTCCCCTCGCTCTGTCTACAGCTTCTCCCTCCTCCCCCGAGCCTCTTCGCTTCTCATCCCTTCTCATCACCGACATCATTTCCTCTTCAACCACCTGGTCGGGAACATTTGGATATTGTTCGCCAGGCTCTTCGTTCCAAAATTTCACAATGGCGAACCGATCAGCTCTCCATGGACCCGGGAGCGCGACTGGGGAACGTTGGAGGCACTCTTGACAATTCCATGATTTACCGGACAGCCCATCAACACGAGGAAATGAGTATTCGACACTTGGAACTGGCCTTCAACCACTGGAACACATTACCTCACGAAACCCGTCGCGAGGCGTGGCAGCTTGAGATCACGCGCGCTTTCGCCCGCGAACTTGAGAAGCGCAAGTCTGTGGACGAACAACTTGCGCGGGTGCAGCAGGAAGCGAACCAGCTCCGGGCCCAAGTTGAACGATTGGGCTCGTGCCAGTGGCCACGCGAATTCGCTCTCTTCCCACCAGACACACTTCCAATCTCCCGAGATGTAGCGCGCGAATTGGATGCGAATGAAAGCCAGATCAGTCCCGAATCATCGAGATGGGACTTTGACAGTGTGGTTTCCAAATGGAAGCGTGTTGTGATGCATGATAAGAGTATAGGCCGAAGTGGAGTGGGACACAGTTCTACTGCGCATCCCTTGGATGTGGATAATCCCCAGCACGATGTTCGTCCTCCACGACCGGGCGAGGATACCTCGTCCCATCCGAATCGCTTGCGACCTTTGCAAAACACCGTTGCAATGAGTCCAGATCCTGCCAACGCATCTACCCCGGCATCGTCAACGAATTATGCCTCTCCTTATTCACATGCCGATCCTCGCAGTCCGCCGACTGCTAGCGCGCCCGGCCCACAGGCCAAGCGCCCACGGCTGATGAATGGATCCGAGGGTCTGTCAACAGCGGAGCCGGCGACGACTAAAGCCTCCGGCCCTGGTTCGTGGCCTTCCTCTACTCCTATCCTCTCTAATTTGGCCGCTCCGTCAGGGCAAACGCCCCCATCAGCTTCTCGCCCTTGATTGATTCATTATACATAATAAGAGCGTTTGGTCGGTTCCTTGTTTTGGAGCAGATCCCACCATTGCATTAGGAATGTGTCGATATTGCTACACATAATATATACCCCATTCATATTGTTCATACATACAGGACTCTACTTGCAAGTGTAACTATCCAGGTAGATTAGGATGTCTAGTCGCGTTTCCAGCCAGTATTGAAAATTGCAGTAGAGAGCAGCTAGGTGAAATTTCCATCCAGAACACTTGATTCCTATATCAGCACTTCACGGTCACAGTCATCTCAATCATCTACCTTGTCTCCGTGGCTTTAGAAATCTCATCACCGAGATACTCAGCAAGAGTCAGCATCTTCTCCTCCTGCAGCCTCCGCCCAACAAATTGAACTCCGACCGGAGCGCCATGGTACGTATCGGCGTCATCTGTACTCAATATTAGCCGAGACCCCTCACAGATAAACACGAACAACTTACACTTCCACTCAATATGCCCCGCCGATTCAGCTGTAGATGCATCTGCCGAACCCACATCGATACTCTTATCCGCAAATGTCACCGGCACGGCCACGCTGGTGTAATCCAGAACGTTGACGAAGGAGGTGTATCCCACGTAATGGTACTCGTTGGGAATCACCGCAGCGTGTGGTGCAAGTGGACAGAAGAATCCGTCGACGGGACGGCCCGTACCTGTCAGTTCAGCGGTGCTGTTCCAGTAGTCCATGTACTGCTTTTGATACTCGCGCTTCGCGACATTCAACGCTGCGAGCTCGGTCATGGATAGTGGGTCTTTGTCGGTGATTATGACCTGGGATGCTTTGGTTTCACCGGATAGACCGAAGTGATGGATCAGATCAGCGCCACCATCCATGTTGAATGCCGTAGACTAGGTTGGATTAGCGATGTTTGTATAGTGACTAGGAGATGAGATGGACAACTTACACCCAACGTGCCGGCGGTAGCATGAGATGGTGGATTCCATGAAATCACTTTATGGCCCAGTCGCTTGAGGGTTTGTTCGACAATTCTCAACCCACGAGCAATGGGCGGGTGAACGCGCGTGATACCATCCCAGTGCATGATTCCGAAAGCCAAACTTGACTTTCCAGCCTTGGCCTGATCGATCCAGGAACGGGTTTCTTCCACAACGGCATCTCGCCAGGGTAGCTCGAGCACGAGTGGATCATGATACCACGGCTGCTGGCTAAGCACAGTCTTAAACAGCAACGCCAAAGACCTTGCTGTAGGCGCAAGCGGTCCGATAACAGACAATACAGTACTTTGTCCATCCATCGAGTTGGCCGCGCCCTGGTACGGCATTCGTCCAGATGACGGACGAAGTCCATACAGAAAGTTGAATCCAGCAGGAATGCGAACACTCCCACCGATATCAGTACCAAAACCAACAGGCGATCCACGCAGAGCAATCAACGCTCCTTCACCACCTGAACTGCCGCCGCAGGATAGGAGGCGATTCTTCGGATTCCATGTATACCCGATGATGTTGTTGATAGTCTCACCGGCCATTAGCGTAGCCGGCACGCTTGTCTTGCAGTAAAGGACGGCACCGAGATTGCGCAGCTCCCTTACCAGCTCGCTCTCTTCTGTGCGGAAACGGGGATCGTCCTTTTTGCCTTGGAAGGTACCGATCCAACCGACATAGCCCATGGTGGTCTCCACGCCTTTGACGTGGAATTGATCCTTCAGACTCACGGGGAGACCGTGGAGCGGGCCAATGGGAGCTTTGTGCTCTGCATAGTAGGCATCCAGCTTCTTTGCATCTTCGATGGCCGCGTCGAAGAATATCTCGTGCAAACAACTGACCTGGACAAGTATTATTTAGCATCGAGCAAAACGAGATTCGGATCAGAAAGCATACTAGTTGGTGTGCCAGCGCAGCACGATGACAAAAGGCCTCTGCGACTTCAACGGCAGACCAGCTACCAGTAGTCGTTTGTGCAGCGATGTCAACTGCATCAGACTCCGTGATTTCGATCTCACGCTCGCTCAGATACTGCTGGATATAACTTGCAGTCACATCGCGGATCTCCGTGGCGGGAGGAACGGGATCTGTCAGTCGCCATTTCGCGGGGATAGCGTCGAGGATGGATTGGCGTTTAGCTTCGCCTTGAGCCAGCCAGGGAGATGTTGTAGCCATTGCTGATTTATTTCCAAGGAGTTCAGAAAGTTTCAATTTTGGGAATCTTGAATAACTACGTTATTGCTGCTTATAGAGGTGTGCGTCTCCAGTTATTTCTTATCGCAGCGGGCGGGGAAGTTGGGGTCAATTGGAGAAGGTTCCAACGTGGAGGGGAAAGGAGTAGTAACGATGGCTAATAAATAACCTCGGGAGTATCATTAATTGATTTGCCGAGAATCGGTCTCGTATTCGAGTTGCCTAAGGCTTGATATACAGTATGTGTGTTGTGTATCTTACTGAAGGTGTGTTGTACAAAGTACATTGTGGAGAAGTTGGCGGAACATGGAATTCCGCGATGTGCCTAGATACCAACAGCCTATCAAGAAACCTGGATAATCACTCGATAGTCGACCCCAAGGACATTTTTTGGGGTGTCTTTCATCTTGATATCAATATCTTGACCCCAACAGCCCCTGCTGAAGTATGAATAGCAAGGATTCTCCAAGACGCGGCGTCTTTTGGAGGAGGCTGGGAGGCAGCGTGATCTTCTGGGCGCTATCAATCGCCAAAGCTCATTATTCTGACTGGAACAGCCTCCATAGCAGTGGCAGCGCTGGAACAATAGCCTATGCAGCTGCAGTGACCCCAAATGGCGTTTCTCAATTCGTAAAGCAGAGCCACCGTTGCTGCTTCATGGAGCAGGACTTGTCATCTGCCGTACATTGAGATTGATCCGTTTCCCGGACATCCATCCTTTCCACATATCATAGGGAGAGTGGGTAGCAGGCGCATCTTCTCCAAGAGATGGCCAGTCTGCCAGCCAACTGGGGCAAGTGGCTGGCAGGATCTTGGGGACACCGTGCCAAGCAAAGCGCGATGTACCATCCATGTATACGGCGTCGCCCGACCTGAGTCGGATTACTTCCGCTCCATTCCCATCGTCATGGCTAATCAGGAATAGACCGTCGCAGCCAAAACTCACACTAATCAGGCCAATATCGCACTCTTCACTCACGTCCCGATGCGCACTGAGGGTATCTCCAGCGGAGTATAGATTCAGAATCGCTGCTTGGGCATCCGTCTCTGGAAACGCCGCCTTCAACAGCTTCGCGACATCTGTTGGAAATGGTGGTGGCGCCTCGGACGGATATACTTTGGCAGTCCAGTCGTACTGGCCTCCCAAGGTGACCCACCGGAGCTTCTTTTCCAACACGCTCTGGACTGTAAGAGGTTTATGCACCTGGGGATCTTTTGGTTGAAGTATTCGTGTCGGGTCATCAGCGAAGAATGACTTCGGGGTGTCTTGATTCTCCAGTCTTTCGGGGTATGTGACATCGTAGTGTAGGTGGAGGTTGGTCTTGTGTTCGGGATTAGGGAGGTCGCGGTGGAATAGGCGAGAGAGTAACTCGATTTGAACGGTAGGAGGGTATAGAGAGGGTATCATCAAAAGGCCTGTTTGGAGTTAGGTTTGCTTCGTTTGACCTCCGTTGGTTAACTTCGGGGTAGTTGAGGGATGTCGACTCTGACCGGATACTGCATTGTGTGTAAAGACTGGAATATTCTCAGCAAGAGGAGCATGTTCCTTGTCCGAGGCATGGCTGCCGCGAATGAAATCATCGAATGCAAGCCGGAGATCTTGACTAGACATGTACTGCGAGACGGATATACTCGCAGGAGGCTGGTCCGGATCTAGTCGTTGAAGGTCAAGGATCTCGGGGTCATGATCAATTTCCGACAAAGAACATTTTGAGTACTTCTTGTAGCATTGCCGCACAGCCTCCGGCGGGCGATCATGAGCATTGAGGCCTTTGATCTGGGCCATGGCGAAAGTAACTGGCCGGAGATGATCGGCGCTTCGCCGCAGAGGAAAAGGTACGCGCTCACCGCCTTCCAGCGGCGCGGGGAGTTGTTTGTTTTTGTGGCCTCCCCACCATGCAATTCTGACTGCGAATATCTTCAATTTCGACAATCTCGACAAACAGCTGGGTGTGGGGACCTGGAATTACCGATTGCGGCTGTCAAACCATCAGAACCCACGTACATGTTCGTTGCTTTGGTTCCTCCCTCGTCATCGCCCTCCTTGCTTCCTTCTCTTTCCCTCCTCCCTCTAAACCCTCTTCTCTGCGTCACTCCAATCTCCACGACTCCGTTTACGTCGCTAACATGCCTGCGAATAGATCATCCTGGGCATCCGCATCCACCATGGAGAATTACCAGAAGATCGAGAAAATTGGTGAAGGTTGGTGTCCCTGACATGATGTCTCTGTCCGGCCATCCTGGTCTCCCCCCCAACTCACGCGTCAACTCTCCCTAGGAACCTACGGTGTCGTTTACAAGGCCCGTGAATTGAACTCGCCCAACCGTATTGTCGCTTTGAAAAAGATCCGTCTCGAGGCCGAAGATGAGGGCGTCCCCAGTACCGCCATCCGTGAGATCTCCCTTCTCAAGGAGATGCAGGACCCCAACATTGTCCAATTGCTGAACATCGTTCACGCCGACGGCCACAAACTCTACCTTGTCTTTGAGTTCCTCGACTGCGATTTGAAGAAATACATGGAGGCTCTGCCGGTTAGCGAGGGTGGCCGTGGTAAGGCTCTTCCGGATGGTACCATGATGAACGCCAACTTGGGCTTGGGCGACGCCATGGTGAAGAAGTTCATGGCCCAGCTGGTTGAGGGTATTCGTTACTGCCATAGCCATCGCATCCTGCACCGTGATCTTAAGCCCCAGAACTTGCTTATCGACCGTGAGGGTAACCTGAAGCTGGCTGATTTCGGTCTGGCCCGAGCCTTCGGTGTCCCCCTGCGTACTTACACCCACGAGGTACGTACTAGGAGAGACAGACACCAATTGGCTCATTTTACTAAACAAGTCTTCTATAGGTCGTCACACTGTGGTACCGGTCTCCAGAAATTCTGCTTGGTGGCCGCCAGTACTCTACTGGTGTCGACATGTGGTCCGTTGGTGCCATCTTCGCCGAGATGTGCACTCGTAAGCCCCTCTTCCCCGGTGACTCTGAAATTGACGAGATCTTCAAGATCTTCCGGTATGTGATGTCTCTACACAAGCTTGCGTGTCCATGTCTAAAGATTTTCTTTACCTCTAGTGTCCTCGGTACCCCTGATGAAATTGAGTGGCCTGGTGTCACCTCGTTCCCCGATTACAAGGCCACATTCCCCAAGTGGAAGCGTCCCGATGCCCCCATCGTGCCCGGTCTGGAAGAGAATGGTCTCGCCCTGCTGGAGTCGCTCCTCGAGTATGATCCCGCCCACCGGTTGTCTGCCAAGCAGGCCTGCATGCACCCATACTTCAAGAATGGCAGCTCGTACTACTCGGGCCGCACTGTCGGCGCCCCCCGCAACGGCTATCACTAAAAGACGATCTCGTTCCTGATCTATTCTTGTAACGCTATTGAAGGTCGGAGGATCGCATTTACGTTGAAGACCTCGGACCTATGATGTTTTGTTTTGTTTTTCTCTCTTTTTGGGCCTTTTCTCTTCTTTGTATCTGGCGTTCATGGGGGGAGTGACTAGGAGGGCGGGATTTACTCTGTTATCAACGTGCTTTTAGTCAAATGCAAGGCGTACATACCCCTTTCGGTGGATAAAAAGAACTTTCTTTCTTTTCCTTTGAGGAATTGCAGCTGTCTCAGCCCATGTCAGCCTCGATTCACTCTGGAGCGCAGCCGGTCGACAGTAATCTTCAGTGTTACACCGTCGCTCGGACACTACGCCGTTTTATCATCCTCAGCCACGGTCAACCTACCAATCAGACGCCTCCAAAGTAAAGTGCCCCAGCTCGTGTCAGAGCTGAACAAAAAAGGGCCCCACTGCAGACAAAGCGGATACGAAACGACCCTGACATGATGACATCGAGTCACGAATCGAATGCTAGTGATATTCTTGGAAATCAAAACCCAACGGACAAGCATCCTGCATATTCTGGGAACGGCAACGGCTTCTATGCCCGGTTTCTGCAGGAGGCCCGCGTCCCAAGTCCTCAAATCATTCACTCCGTAACCAATCCTATAGTATACAGTAAGTATGCAGTCTGCACTATGGATAGAAGATTATGGGGGCTGATGCTATTTAATATTGGGGGCCGTTTTTTCTTTCTTTCTCGGGCGAACATTCCAAGCTGAGCAGAGGGGCTTACCAGAACTTATTTGGGGGCCATGCGATAGTCTAGTGGCCCGGTATGGCCGATTCTATTCGCGGCTCGTGGGTGAGTCTAACGCACGCACCTGCAGCCTTACGGCGAACGCCTGAGGAGTTTCAGGAAGTGCTGTGGTCCAGCTTGTGGAATCCGCGAATCCGGAGGCTGCTGATGGACTCGAGGGCTGGCCTCGGCAGCGCCGGTGCGGGACACTCGAATTGGAGGAATTGGAGTAGTGGCTTGGACTGGACTTGGATTGTTAGTTAGCTTCTTATTAATAGTCGATGGCGCTCGTTTTCTTTCGGCCCCGATCTAGTTTAACTTGTTGGTCAGTGCGATTAACCTACGAAACTAAACAAAAGAAGAAAAAGACAACTTAAACTCGCCCACTGCCCCGCTCAGAACCACGGTCCAGTTTCTTTTTCCTCCCCCGGTGCGGAGAACTACCCTATTTACTAACAGAGTCACCCTACTCTGCTATACTCTCCTCTCTCCTCTTCACCATGGAATTCGACGACGAAATGGCCGGTGGCTTTGGCAACCCAGGACCCGCCGCATCCTCTCGCTCAAATAGTCGACCCCCTCCTCGCGCCCGTCGCCAAGCCCCCCAGGAACTAGTCAAGCAATTCTGGGAACAATTCAACACGAAGTATCCCGGGAAAGTATACACGGTGCTACCCGATAATCCCTATGCGCGCACGAGGGCGAAGCGTGTTCCTAACGGGGTGATCCGCGGCCATGCAGCCGTGAAATCGTACGAGCAGGCACGGACGGAATGTCAGACGTCTGTTGATCGGATTGTGAAGGAGTGTCGGAGGGTTAATCAGAAGTATACGGATCCGCATTTTGATATTGAGTTGGATCTCAAGTCGAATCGGAGACATTATTTGGATGAGTTGGATAAGGTTAATGATATTATGAAGCCGCGTGGTGTGAAGAGGGTGACGGTAAGTTTGGAGGAGAGATTGGCATTTTCTTTTTGAATACGGCTGATTTGGGTGTTAGGAAATTTTTGAGAATCCTCAGTTCTATGTTAATGGGCCTACGGCGTCGGATGTGCGTCAGGGATATGATGGTGACTGCTGGTTGATGGCTGCACTGTGTACGATGGGTAACAAGGAGGGTTTGATTGAGAAGATCTGTGTTGCTCGGGATGAGACCGTTGGTATTTATGGATTCGTCTTTTACCGGGGTAGGTGGACACTGCTTTAGCACGGAGTGTAGGAGCCCTTACTGACGAGTGTGCTAGACGGCGAATGGCAGCAATGTATCGTCGACGACAAGCTGTACCTACGGGCAGCAGACTACGACGAGTCCAACGAAGAGCGAATGACGTGGGATCTGATCAACCGCAACGATACCGAAGAAGAGTACCGCCGTGTCTGGCAGACTGGCTCGCGGGCACTATACTTTGCACAATGCGTGGATCCCAACGAAACCTGGCTGCCTCTACTGGAAAAGGCATTCGCCAAAGCCCATGGTGATTATTCCGCCATCGAGGGAGGGTTTGTCGGTGAGGCTATTGAGGATTTGACTGGAGGCGTCACCTCCGAGGTTCTCTCCAGCAACATCCTCGATAAGAACCAGTTTTGGAACGAAGAATTGATGAAAGTCAATAAGGAGTTCTTGTTCGGCTGTGGCACGGGATTGTTCTCAAACTGGTTGGATTCGCGGTCTCCGCCACGCGATCGGAAGGGTATCTCAGAGAACCATTCGTATTCAATCATGGATGCGAGAGAGATCAAGGGGAAGCGGTTGCTGCGATTGAGAAATCCCTGGGGAAAGAAGGAGTGGCATGGTGCTTGGGGTGATGGGTCCAAAGAGTGGACGGCGGAGTGGATGGATTTGCTGGGACACAAGTTTGGAGATGATGGGTTCTTCTGGATCTCGTATGAAGATCTGCTGAAGAAGTACCAGCATTTTGACCGAACTCGTCTATTTGGAGATGACTGGACTATCACTCAGCAATGGACTACTCTCAATGTCCCCTGGTCTGCCGACTATCACAGCACCAAGTTTGTCATGAATGTGACCGAGACTGGGCCTACGGTCATTACTCTTTCTCAGGTATGCACTTGATTCTTTAAAAAGGGATCCATCATACTAACAAATCCAGTTGGACACCCGCTACTTCAAAGGGCTGGCCGGCGAATACAGCTTCGTGCTCAAGTTCCGCCTCCAAAAAGAAGGCGACGAAGACTACATGGTCCGCAGCCACAGTAGCCACTTCATGGCCCGCTCCGTCAACGCCGAAATCAACCTCGACCCAGGCCGCTACCAAGTCCTCATGAAGATCACCGCATACCGACACGACGACACAGAGTCCACCGAAGAAACCGTCCGCCGTCTAGCCTCCACTCACCGCGAAAAGCTCGTCCAAGTCGGGCTTTCCTACGATCTCGCCCACGCAAAGGGCCTGGTTGCCGAAACCGATCAAGAAAGATACGAATCAGAGCGCCGAAAGGCCGCAGAATGGAAGAAACTCCGCGACGAGACCAAGCGCAAGCTGCAGAAGGAGTGGATCAGGGAGCGCAAGATGGCCGCGCGCCAGCAGCGCCACGCAGCTCGTCGACCACGCAGAATGACAAACGGTGCATCACCGGACCGTGGACCAATCCCTGGCCAAATCCTGGCTGACAATAAGGCCACTCAGTCTCCGACTGAAGTTGGAAGTATCTCCAGTGATGCGAGTGACCGTAAACCCGTCGTCAACGGTACCAACGGCTCCGTGCCAACAATCCAATTTAACGGACTCCACGAACGACACGCAAGTGGTTCGAACCGCCGGAGAAACTGCTCGCCCCGTCCTAGCCTAAACACACGTCTTGCGAACGATAACCTCGATATCACGGACTTGGAACTGCTGGATGGTTTCGAGTTCGACAGTGACTTGGACATGCCGATCGAAGAACCTAAGAACCGCCGTCCGTTCGGGGACTTGGAGGGTCCTGCTGAGGATCCGTGGAATGCGGTTTGCGTTGTTGGGCTGCGTGTTTACTCTAAGGATCCGAAGTTGAGTCTGCAGGTTATACATCCGGTGCCCGAGGATGATACCGAGGCGCCCCTGGATAGAGATGATCCTGCGGCGTCGGCGACACTGGAGAAGAGTTTTTGGAGTAGTAATGTCCAGGTTTGAGGCTGCATCATGAATGGATTTCTGGAGAGGGCTGTGTACATCGAGTGACTTGGTTGACTAATTTGTAGAAGAGATTTCTGTAACTATTTCGTTCCACAGATTGATTTACAACTTTAATTTTCATGGGTCATTATCTAGCGATTTTGTTACTTTCAATACAACTCCCAATCTTCTTTTGCTTATGCTTTTTGAAATTTAAGCTTATTGATCACTACTATGTAGAACACGACTATGGACCGTGGCGTACATTTTGGTTTGCAGTCCTGAGCCTTACCAAAAGGCGGGTTACCACTGGGTGGACACCTCAGTGCAGGCTGAAGTAGTCTGTAACGCCGAGCCTGGAAACCTTCATCAAGTACATTGTCAAATATTTCTACTAGCTCCCCAGGCGACTCAAGCGAAACGACGCCGGGCAATTCTCAGTCCCCCAACTAGCACTTTGGATCAAACAGGTAGTTCTCCGAAAGCCACTTTCCACGTTCATCCTTGGCGAATACGTAGTAACAGTTCCTGCGTTCATTTTTTTTAGCATGGGTCGCCCGCAGACTTCTTGCTTTGTAACTACTTACCCTCCGGTGCCGACATCTTCATTGTAGTTGAAATCATGTCTATCAATGTACTCCATGTATTCCAGGAGGGTAAATCCCCGACTTCGAAAGACCTGGCCCAAGTCGCAAATGGGCAAAGAGAAGATTCCGGGAAAGGAGGCAAACGCTTCAACGTTGCTGCTCCCTCGTGAATCAAGTATATTTCCAAGAAGTATATCGGGCTTAGGGCCAAATCCTCTAGATTTATAGGCTTCAACCGAACTTTCAATGGCATCCCACGGAGTGATTCCATACTTATCTTCCATCTCTCCCCAGAATTCTGGTAAAGTCGCCGTCCATCCATCAAATCCTAGAGCAGATTTTTGATTTGTAAGACGCTGGAGGAAGTGACCATTTCCAGGCTCATTTCCCTCGCATTCAGCCGCAGTCATTGGAATCGACGGGATCCAAGCTCCCTGCCTTTTCCAGGTAGAATTCGCCAGGTTCCCCAGGACTACCTTGAAAAGCCAGTCTGCTGTATCCTGTGATTTTGCAATGGGAAAAGCCAAATCTGTGTCCAGGGAAGGGATCTTAGTGTAGTCAACAAAGTATCCATCTTCGAAAGGATCGTTCAAGTTGACTTACTTAACGTTTGAGTCGCTTTGATTACGTCCTCTTCCCATAGGATTGATATTCAGATCCTCCAATACGTGGAGGTTCTGCCCAAAACAGGAATGAACTAATTCGGCCTCCTCGGCTATATTTGTCAGACTGACATCGCTTGCTTGCAATGTAGCTGTGATGCTGCGTGCTGCACCAGTGAAAAGCTCTTCGAATGCGGTTGTGGCTCCAACATTGTCTTTGACAATACCGACAGGACCCATCCATCCTGTTAGAATGCCGACGGTAGAACTCATCGCGCTGAAGCCCTCACTACCGCTGATATCCTTTGCCGCCGAGCCAGGGTCAAAATCTTGCTCAATCGCAACCTGCAGCGTAGCGTATTGGGTGTTTGACAGATGTAATCCCTCGCGAATTGGGTTGAAAAAGTTATTCAGATTCTGCATTGATTCAAGAACCATCCATCCTTTGAGCGTATCATCGGTTTGAGGGTCTATGGTCCGGCAGCGGCGGGCTTCACATGCAGATATTTCACCACATTTAGAATAGCTAATCAGGATGAATGTAGCAGACGATCATCAGGGTCCACAGTTTATATCGAAATATTACCTTGATACAATCAATTAGCCGCAGACGCTCGAACAACTAGAAGATTCCCAACACTCCTCTCTCCCAGGACATTAAACGAATATCACCCTATCTCAGCCTCCGATACATCATGGATCACTTTACGAGTTACGAAGAGGATATCTAGAGACATACAAGTAGAGTATCTGGGACAGATATTGATACAATTTCTAGCTAGTCTCAACGCAAGTAGAATGTGGACACTTCGCTATTACTTATCAAAGGTTTCTTGTTTAGTGTTTAGATCAATGTAGAACAATTGTGGCCAATTTTGGATCAACGGAAGATAGTAAAAAGACATCGTACGTTCTAATCACAGTCAAATATGCATTGAGATACTGTAGGATAATCCTAAGTTAGGGACTAGTGAACTGATTCAGTTCAAAGCCCTCAAGAGATTTACCAAGGCCCCCGAATATGGATGCAAAGGAGGCTTCAGGGCAGCTGTGCTTAGAGCTGGATCCATAGCCCGAATATCTTGATTCCGAATCGTACCATCGGGGTGATTTGATGGCCATTATCGTCTGCACGAGAGACTTGTAACTTAAATTTGGAAAAGGCCATTCAGGTTTCGATAAAAGCAGATCGTTTGACTGGATAGTCAGAGCGCCGTACATGATTGAGCTACATTCAAGACAGCAGCCCCGATCGCGGAGTAAAAAGGCTTTGCGTGTTCCGTCAAGAAGGTCAATTAAATCATTGATACCCTTCTCTCGTCGTTCATTAATCGAAACTAAAATACCATTAGTCTTTAAGCAGTCGGAAGAATATATATGTACTCACCAATGACCTCTTTCGGGATCGGAAGTCCTAAGCTATCAATATAGCCATCGCTCTCCGACATAGCGATAGAAGTTGCTGATTCGAAATGGGATGGGAGTCGAAAAAACCAGGCAATCCATAGCCATAACATCAAATCCCTAGGAGCTGCTAGCGGAATTTTCACGTCCACTTTCTCGATCCACATATCTTCCAGAAAAACCAAAGGCTCCCGGCATTCGTAGTAGTCTGCAATAACAGCAACCTTCGCAAGCATCTCCAGGGTCAGCTTTCTAGGTATATCGTTATTTTGACCATGAATAGCCCGAAGTACAATCATGAGAGCTTCAATATCCCAGTCTTCTGCAGTGATCTCAACTGAGCCTTTCTGGAAGTAAACAATGCTTTCTTTCCAGCCTCCAGTTAGTAGCCTTTTAAAAACCGGAGAGGCAAACATTAAATGTTTCGCAGAGACCTGAATACGCGGGCCGCTATGAGCGAAAGGGACTTCGACAACAGCCTCTTCGGCAGCATATTCTTCAGCGGCGGGCTCTTCAGCGGCGGGCTCTTCAGCGGCGGGCTCTTCAGCGGCGGGCTCTTCCACAGGGGGAAATCAGCGACCTCTTCAGTAGCATATTCTTCAGCGGCAGTCTCATCCATAGGGGGGACTTCAGCGGTCTCTTCAGCAGCATATTCTTCAGCGGCGGGCTCTTCAACGGCGGGCTTGCTTTTCTTGTCCCTCTTCTTCTTCTTCTTTTTATCCTTTCTCTCCCCGGCCTGTTCCTTAAGACTCAGCTCTAGCGGTTTGTAACTGAATCTTGGAACACTGGTCAATCCCTGGGAGCTCAAGGGGTTGCAAAATAAGAATTGAGAGAAGTCAAACTTTCGACGAGTACGTGGATCTCCAGTCGCTTGTGCAAAGGGGCTGTTCTCATTGTGTAAAATTATGATAACTTCACCTTCTGGATCTATTATATAATTTGATGTATCCATGGTAGTGCGTAATTAGCTGGAGATTGGAAAATAAACTTGAGGTCGATAGAAACAGAATCATCAAAGTTGCTAGATGAAGACAGGAGGTCAGACACGAGCTGAGGGCACCGTCGGGTACCGTCGGGCACTAACTGTTTGCTTTAATGGGAGCTTGACATGAGTTACTTGGTCTATTTCGGAGCAGTGTTCTGTTTATATTGTTTGTTTCGTTTGTATGAAGTATACATGCCTTTTCAACAAGTGCACTCTATACAGAGCATACTTCTTTGTGATATGTAACGGTGGGAGGGAATACTGTACAATAATAGGTGCAGGTGAGGAGAACACACGAGTGGGAGTGCATACGATTACTATTATGTTATAATACTGTACGCCCTAGGTTAGTTATATTAATTACTGGGCTTATTCTGCCCGACTAATACAGCGATGACCCTAAACAAGATTAGCGTGCTACGGATTTAAACCCCGTCTCGGTGACATGAAATAATGCCCTGTGTGATTAAAATGCCTATTAGGTACCTACATATTGAAGTACCGTAACTCCCATCCCACATAGTGAAAATTGCTTGAGAACAGCAGAAACAATAAGCATTTGATTTTTTTGTTTCCAGATACCTCTTTTCAAACAAAGATTACATACTGTTGAAGTGGCAATTTATAGGACGACAAGCTATACGAATATAGAAATCAGTCTGTACTAGATAGAATATATGTTCAATCCGTAGACTAAGAGCTGGCGGGCGATCGCCCGCGAGTCTTAATCTACGATAGTTTCGGCACCCACGAGTCTTTGGAGGTCATAGAATTCTCGATTACTAACAGCATAATCCTGTATTGTTGCCCTTCTCATATGTCTTATAAACTATAGCCGTGTAGGTGTTTTTGGCCCCTTGAAAACGGCATACCGGGCACAAGTTCAGCTGGAGGGTGGGTACCATCCGTAAGCCACACTTCGAGCCGCTTAGATAGGGTTACCTAATCTTCAGAACGGGTTAGAACATTAGCGCCATTCCGTGCCCGACAATAAGCCCCCAACTCTCCTTAATTCAAGAGGAACATCGAGCGTGAGATGTTTATGTGTTGGAACGACAACCTCAGGGTATAATGGACCGTTACACCCACTGAATTTGGAATGGCAAGCGACTGGAATTCAAGTAGTGGGCTAGTACCAATTGCCCCTGCCCCCATGGGAGAAGGCCTCAGCGTGGGCAGTCAAACAAATACGCCGCAGTCTGCTATGCTCTACACATGCCAAACCTGTGCAAAACGAAAGGTCAAGTGTGATAAAGCTGCCCCAATTTGTTCTCGGTGCCGCAAGGGAGGGTTCGAGTGCGTTTTTCAAGCACCGCAGCCGAGGCCTCGGAAACGAAAACTGGATGATATGATGCAAAAGCTGGCTCGATACGAGTGCATTCTAAAGGAGAACGGTCTGCTGGATACTGAAACAACGGATGAAGAAGTCCCTATTCATCAACAGTCAGAGACCAGTCACGTCGAGCCAGTCACGTCAAAAACGGGCAGGCTACTTACCGGCCAAGGCAGGTCGAGATATATCGATAGCCATATGTGGTTCAACCTCGGAGATGATGAGATTCAACAGATATCTGCGGATGAGGACGATGATTCAATGACCCCTGATTCTGTTTCTACCAAAGCCATCCTACCGGATCCGTTGACGGGTGGGTTCTTGGGTTGTCAGCAAAGTATCCTGCACTGTCACCCAAGTCATACGGATGCCATGAAGCTGTGGAAGACGCACGCTGAGAATGTGGAACCCATCTGCAAAGTTTTACATATCCCATCGACTGGCAAAATGGTCGAATCCGTTTCACAACGACCTGAAATTGCTTCCAAGGCAGATGAGTGTTTACTGTTTTCAATCTATCACTGTGCTGTCTTTTCGATATCGGAAGAAGAGTGCATGAAGGTGTTCAAACAAGATCGATCAACAATTATGAAACGATTTCACGCTGCCGCGCGTCAGGCTCTAGTGAATGCGTCGTTTCTTAAAACAACAGAAATCGTTGTCTTGCAGGCACTTTATCTATACCTCCTATCCAGTCGTTACGCCTACGATCCGCACACATACTGGATCTTGACTGGGATATCCGCCCGCATTGGACAACGGATCGGCCTCCATCGAGATGGAGAGAACCTGGGCCTGCCACCATTTGAGGTAGAGCTGAGACGTCGATTGTTTTATCAGGTCTTTCCACACGATTCTCGAGCAAGCCAGTCTGCTGGAATTGACTATATGAGTTTGCCGGAAGCCTGGGATACAAGGCCCCCGCTCAACATCAACGATGACCAAATTTGGCCTGGAATGACAGAGAAACCAGTGGAGCAAAATGGCGCCACAGACATGATGTTCTGTCTGTCCCGCGCATACGTGGGGAAGCGACTGGCTGAATCAGGAAAGTCGATCAACACGGTCGGACCTTGGAGCTCCTCTGATAGTCGTGAAGCTGAAGAAGTCATTTCTGCAGCAGAAAGTGAAGTGGAGGAAAAATTCATTCGTTACTGCGACATTGTGAACCCCCTACACTTCCTTACTATTGGACTTGCAAGGTCCGGTATGACGGCCATGCGGCTCAAACTTCGTCTCCCCAAAGTAAGGGACCAGACCGCTAGCAGCCAGGAGAGAAAGGAACTATTCCAGCTTGCGCAGAAAACCTTGGACACCGATGCGGCAGTCCATTCTCATGGTGGGACTAACAAGTTCCAGTGGCACATCAAACCATTCTTTCTATGGGGAACTCGAGACTCATTCATCTTTATGCTCACGACTCTCTTGAAACAAAGAGATTTGCTCTCCCATGATCAAATCGAGGCAGCTTGGAAAAGTGTCGCCGAGCTCTACCAGAACCACGATGAGCTTTTCGATAGCCGACAAGCCCTCAGTATGGCAATGAGATGCCTTGCTTTGAAGGCTTGGGATTCCTGGAAATCAAGCAGTAGTGCCCCGGAACCAGAGTTTATCAGGACCCTACGGTCTTTGAGGAAGAACCAAGACAAAAGACAACATCAAAGTGATGCCCTGATAACTCCCGAGGCAGCATCATCAAACGATCTGTCGCCTGCAACTGGAGTGCCGGGTGTGGATGCCTTCGATGTTATCGAGGGACTTGAATTTGATGTTGATGATTGGATATCATGGGATCAATTGTTAAAAGATCAATCGCAACTAGAGAATCAACAATGAACTCGCGAAAACTAATGATTCGTGCGAAAGAGACCGTTCGGGACTGTGATTGGTTGACTGCTCGGGCAGTTCCTCGCCCGAGCCTCGAGTCTCCCGATTCCAACACGAGCCAATTAGCGATCGCGCATGCTCGGCCTGAATGTGCCCGAGGTACAGATGGATTCGTATCACCAAAGTTATATAAATTATCCTGCGGATTTGTTTCTCTTGGAATTTTTGGTATGATATAAAGACAAGCAACTATTATATCAAAGAAAAGTTCTTCACAGAACCATGTCAAGTCTGAGAGTCCTAGTCGTGGGTGCCTCCATTGCAGGCCCGGCGACAGCATACTGGCTCGCCAAAACTGGTGCCAAAGTCACAATCATCGAACGATTCCCCCAACTCCGGACCAATGGCCAGAATATCGACATTCGCACAACAGGGGTCTCGGTAATGCGGAAGATACCTGGTATGGAAGAAGCCGTGCGAGCCAACCTACAGTCAATCGATGGCATCAGCCTCGTTCGCAAGGACGGCCGTGCGTACGGAACCATGATGCCCACCGGAGATCCCGACCGCCAATCGTTGATTTCCGAGTATGAGATCCTCCGTGGCGACTTGTCACGAATTTTGTACGACTTGACCAAGAATCACAAGTCTATCAACTACATCTTTGGAGAACAAGTTGCCTCCTTGCAGCAACCCGAGACGAGCGACGGGCCTGTTCAAGTCGAGTTTATGAATGGAACACCATCCTCGGAATACGATCTCGTTGTCGCCTGCGATGGGGCGACCTCAAGAACTAGAGCGATTGGCCTCGGATGTGCCATGCGCGACTACATCCAGCCCGTAAACGCTTGGGCCACGTACTTTTCTATCAAGACGGACCTTCTCAACGGGAGCCAGATAGGCCACGCATACAGTGCCGTGAACGGACGTGCTGTCGGCGTTGGGCCTGACCCATCTGGTGGCAATCGCATTACGCTGATGGGCATTAACCCACGCAACGACCACAATTCAATGGCGAAATTCCGCGAGGCGAACAAGCTCGGCACCGACGCACTGAAAGATTTCGTCGCCAAACACTTTCAGGGAGCTGGCTGGAAATGCGACGAGGTCGTGCAGGGCATGATGGAAGCCGATGACTTCTACGGTAGTGAGTGGGTTCAAGTCAAAACGCCGGCCTTGCATAAAGGACGCTTCGTGATGGTCGGTGATGCCGGCTACGCCCCTGGTCCCACGGGTACCGGGACTAGTCTGGCTCTGACTGGAGCCTATCTGCTAGCTGGAGAGGTGGGGAAACATCGAGGTGATTTGACAGCCGGGTTGAAGGGATACGAAGAGCAGATTCGGCCGCTCATTGACAGGATGCAGAAAATTCCACCTCTCGTTCCTGGGATGTTTGCACCTCAGAGTGCTTGGGGGATTTGGGTGAGAAATATGATCTTTGCATTCCTTTGTTGGAGTCGTCTTCCCTGGCTATTCGACAAGGTCTTTGGAACTGCTTCTGCTCATTCTGATGGGTATAAGTTGCCAGAATACCAGTGGACGGGCTGAGAAGGAATGTCTTGTGTTCGTGTGTCTCGAATTTGTGTATCACCACTTCTTTGAACCTTCAATAATCTTAAATTACATCATTTCTTGTCCTGGACAATGCCCGAGTAGCCAAAAACACATTTCCCTATAATACCTACTATATTGTTAGGATAATGCTGCTGCCACCCCCAGATTTCCCGCGCGCTACCCTTTGGGCCTTAGATTTCTGCCTGGCATAATAAGAATACCCGCCTGCTTCAGTAAATAATACATTGTCTGACGACTCGGCACGCAAGCTACCTTTTAGGACCCAAATTTCCGAGTCGCGTCTGACGTACCAGCGACAAGTTAGGCGGAAACCAGCCCCATCGTAGCGAATTCCTCGCGGGCTATGTCACGGAGCCAATCAATATCGAGGGGGAGAACAGTTGCCCTAGTTGTTCCCGGTAGGAGGGACTTCCCAAAAAGCTCGCTTCGTAAGACGCGCACTTGTTGCTAAGGGGCCCCTAGTGGTACGGGGAAGATAGTGCCTGTTTAGTCCAGGCGAGGTATCCCTTGTCGGTCGAGTCGGTACACCTCGAGGAAGCCGGAAACGCTGTTTCCGTGTCTTTTCCACTTAATAATAACGAAAACTCGAATATCACCTTCACCCCCAATAAGTAGCCGATTTATATCGTCTAGAAGAGTATCGTGGAGCTCCGCCTAGCTAACTTCCACGGTAAACGTGGGAAGAGTCTGTCCCGTCACACGGAAGACAGCGTCCGGTTCCTTTTTCAGTGAACGATACGGATCGGTTTGGAATTTGAGAGCTACCTAGATTAGCTATGTCAATATTAGATCAGTCGTAAGAACTTACTGGCGTTAGACCCAGTACGCAGAAGGCGTTCTTCTTGAGGAGTCGTGAGCCCCGTGCGGCTCCACGATAATATAGCCCGTGTTCACCATCCGGAAGCGACATCGTGAGCATTAGTAGGCATAATTGAGACCCGTAAGGTATTCTTGATAGGGTCATATGACTTCCTGGTCGCTGGGAGACTCTCTTCGATGTCCCATAAGAAATCCTCCCACCCAGGGGGAACGTCGGTAACCGTCAGGAGGTGATACCCTTTAGATCTTCGGATAATGCTCGTTATAGACTGGGCAAACGTTAAGTGCTCTGCAAATTCCTTTGCGGATATCGTAGTTATGATGGGTCTGATGGGGGATTTGGAGGAGAAAGCATAGTGAAGAAGGACGTCGAGTGAGGAGTGTTGGGGGAGGATGATAGTTGGAATCGGAAAGCGCGAGTTTGCTAACTAGGCAGGGACCTAGGTTAGTTAGTTAAGGTATAGTTAGGTAACTACCAGGAGTAGACTAACTTACTCAGTTCACATGATGATGTAAGAGCACGGGCTCAACCTTATTTCATAGTTCGCGATTTTCAAACCGGCAGAATCTCGATTTTATCACAGGAAAACGATTGAAATTGAGTTAGATCAACTTAACTAATTAGATTAGTAGAACTAAAATCTAATATAATCTATAAGTTATTAATCTAGGTATAAATTATTAAATCTCAAGGTTAATCTTATTATTAAACCAGCCACGTTAGTATATAATACTAGTAAATAATGATTCTTCATTGACGATCTTATAGTAACTTAGATAAATATCTGTGTGATTTATCATATAACCTCCATACCTAGTTAGTTATACGTGAAGAATATTTATGTAGAGCATATAGGGCGGTGGAATAAGCGGTGAAGTGAACGCAATAGTCCGCCGTACGTGGACTGGTGCCTCAGGCCCCAAGGGGTAAAGCCGTTGCATTATCAGCCCGTTGACAAAAACAACTTCAACTGATCAATCTCCCCAATGCAATGCGCTCATTAATACATACATCCAGTCGTCTGATTATCTCTCAACCTAAAAGAAACCGCCTTCTTCACATCACATATTTTCGTGCGCGCTTGCTATCGACATCGTCCAGTTGGACACACGAGTCTTTCGAACTACCGATTGGAAACAATGGAAGCATATCAATAAGGTAGACAATCTCCTCTGATTCAATTCGCACACCCGTCTTGTAATATATGATACTAAATATGTCATAGTGTGACGCGACCTGAGGCCTCAAGTTCGCCCACGCAAAGCAATTCGCGCTCTCAAGGGCCGAATGTCATCCTGTACCTCCCGCCAGGCCCCTTGTTCCAGGGACACGCAGATCGCGCCCGGGAAGATGTCAAATCGCATGATTCAACGCTAAAAAATCGAGAATGGGTCATCGACCCTGGACCCGCTACTGGGTTAATACCACAGCAGACTCTGGCCTCTACCACATCCGCTACAGTCGTAACAGTCAACTACCGACTCGGCGCGGTGTCGCCGCCGACATCAAATGAAGAGACAATCCAAAATTCGGGTCAAACGCCACCCCTACCATCATCATCGTCACCGAGTCATTCCACTTCTCAGTCTCAGAGCATATTCTACAAATACCCAACCCCAATCCACGACACCCTCGCCGCATTCGACTGGATCCAAACTCATCTCCAACCGGCACAGCTCGGCATCTTCGGCTCACACATCGGGGGATCACTAGCTCTCATGCTAGCCCTAACAGAAGCCCAGTCTGTGAAAGCCGTCGCATCGATAATGCCCGTCTGCGACTGGCCTGGTTTAGATGAGTACTGCACAACCGAGCAGCTCAGTGCCAGCGCTAGCGGTGACACGACTGACCAAGCGTCGCAAGGGAAACCGACCAAAAGAGCATCTAAGAAGAAAACACCCTGCGCCACCGCACCTGCAGATCTAGTTCCACTACTTGCTGCACGCGAAGCATTATTCGCTTCCCCGGAGCGCTGCTTCGACGCGTTCGCTTCACCGATATTATTCCTCCGCTCTGCGGGTCGCGATGTACCCCGGTCATTCCCGGAGTACATGATCGGACCCGAATATCCCATCCCAGTCCTGAAGACCCCACAGCACAACACACTAGACGCCTCACTATCAAACCCAGAATTCGACCCCCTCGCTGCAGAAGAAGATGAACTCAGCGAAGCGGGCCACCCGACTATTCGACGCCGCAAAGCGTTGTCCCGCTGGCCACCCTACGGACTGGACTACGGAGCCGGAGGCCGGGGGTGGGGTGGTAATGGGGTGCGGAGGTTACAAGTGACTCTGCCTTGGGTGAGGGTTTATGTTGAGGGGAAAGAGGGAAACGAGAATGGGAGTGTTTTGGCGGAGCAGGGGGAGGAGATGGTTTCCGTTATGCGGCGGGCTTGCTTTTTTGGGAGGGAGAAGGGGTTTGGCGAGAGGAGGGTTAGTCTTGAGAGGGATATTGGGGGAGTGGGAGCGGAGGTGGGTGGTTGGTTTGAGGGGATTTTTGACGGGAGGATACGTGATGAGTGAGGGATTTTGGTGTCAATTACTGCACATATCACGAAAAGATTCTATATTGTTCATAGGATTTCGCTGTGAGGTGTCAAGGATTTATTGACAGTGGTAGAATACCCGAGAGGTTGCAGCGCTAACAGCTCATGCCCCCCAAGGAGCTTTGATCATTCACAAAGATACCGAATAAGAGATGGAGAAATACAATGGGCAAGAGTATCCAAAGCTACAGCGACGTCCCTCCCATCCCCGAGGTCCCATGCGGCGGACTCCACCACCCCTCAAGATCCCCCAAATCAGGCAACATACCCGGATCAGCAGGGAACTGTGATTGCGAAATACCGCCTATAGAATGACCGGGACTACCATTCACACCACCATCAGCGAGAAGATTCAAATCCGTATTCCGGATCCAGTCAAGTTCACTCGCTTGCGCTGCTTGCGCCGAGAAGGGATGTTGTTGAAAAGACTGCTGTTGATGGGAGGTGTATTGCTGGTAAGAGTGGCCCGCGGCCATGGAGGTTGACAAGTCATCTCGCGGGCGGTTCTGCGTGCCTGTATCAACGAGACGGGTTTTCTTGCGGGATGCATCGATGCCATGGTCCTTGTGGGAAGCCTGCGTAGATACTTGTCCGGACATCGCTAGGAGATTCGCGCTGCTGATCTGCCTTTTCGCAGCGGGCCCGGTACGTCGCATGTGCGCTTGCCAGCGTCGTTGGAGTGTAACCAGGTAATCACGCGTCCGCTTTGCATTCTCAAATGACTGGCCCAATTCATCCAGGGCACGGAAGCAGAGATTCAAGTACGCAACCATCTCCGCATTACGCGGGTGCGCGGTACTCGATTCCCCGGGTTTGCTTGGCATCAGTGGTGAACTGGAGACCGTGACGAACAAGAGCATCAGCGCGGCACTGAAGATTATTGCGACGACTTGGTTGTTCATTCGTCGGAATGTATAGTGTTTCTCGTAAATGTGAAGCAAGCGAGCTACCGCGGTCGCGGATTCAACGCACATGCGGCGTGCGTGGTGGTAACCCGGTCCCTGGCGTGGACTGCGTGGTTGGATGTAACTCTTTGATACCCAGGGGCGGTGGAAGAAGATGATGATTTGGTGGTATTGCATGTGAAGGATGAGGAGGTGGGGGAGTTTCGGGGTTGAATCGTCGTCTAGATCGATTTGTAGCGTTGAAGGGAGGTTCGCTTTCCAGGCGAATAGGTCTTCTGTTACCTGGAAGGTAATTCTTTGTAGATCGTGCGGGGATATATCTGAACACCCGTAGAGGATGTGGCCCACAGGAGACACCATCTCCCATAGAATGACGAATTGCCGGCTGATTAGCTCAGTGGGATTTTGTAGGCCATCTTCCAGTATTTGGGTAGTAGATTGAAGTCCGTACGGATGCCAAACTCCTTCTTTCTCGATTCCGAGAGTCGAGGCTGGTTTTGGAACTGTCACATCTCCGGCATTCATTCGGAATGGTCGACCAAGATAGAAGCCCCAGAAATGGTCAGCAATATAGCTCCCCCAGAATGCAGCCCTTCGGACATCTGCCTCGTGGGCACTCATGTCGCCTTGGTTGACATACGATGTCATATCGAGGTGCAGACCGAGGTCAAATGCCAGTCGCATCGACATTCCACTATACAGCCAGCCTCGGGCATCACGATTTGACGCTCCCTCGTGACAGCTCATGAGGACAAGAGCTTGAACCGTCGCCACACAAGGTGAATCGAGCTCAATCTCCAGTAAAGCCTTGGCCCTGTCGGCAAAGAACTCAGCCAGGGATTTGGGGAATGTGATGAATGTCGGGTGATACCGCGCCTCGAAAGCACTGCCAATAGCACACATGGCATTCGTCAGGACCTCCGAGTAGAACGGAGTATCGTCAAATTCATTACGCCATTTCGATCGAGCCGCCATATACATCTCCTTATCCACGACATAAATGCTGGGATTCTGCCATGTAAAGTACAACTCGACGAGATGATCTTCCAAAGCCTGATCAACCGGCTGACCAACCCGAAGATGATTCAGAATATCCTGTCCATCGTGACGTACTGTCCGCGCATCTGGCCGCTGTCGCTGTTGTGTCGCAGATACATCGACAAGATTGAGATTAGATGTCGCTCCGTAGAATCGCAAGTGGCCATCTCCCGCGATTTTAAGCGTGCCGATACGATGGGATAATTGCTCGATGACGTCGTTCTCAGCCTCGTTCTCTTCATCGCTGTCCGAGTCGAGGTCCCGGTCAGGAGGCACTTGGCTCAGTAAGACGCCCGGCTGCTGCACCATGTCCATGCCCAGCTGGAAACTATATGGGCTCAGATTTGTATTAACTGGTAGCCCTGTTCCCCCATTGATATTGGCGTATATCGTATCCAAACTTTCGGCTGTCGGTAGCGTGAAGCCCCAGTGAACAAAGTTCTGATTATCGGGAGCACCTCGCACCATGCCGAACGGGCTCCAAGCTTCAACGGACGATAGTTGCTGACCAGCCATGATGCCCTGCGTGGGGGAAGCACCAGTAGCAGCAGTCTCTGTCGATGGCTGCGGTTGAAGCTGGGGCTGGCCATTCGGCGATGTATTTGGCGAGCTCTGTGACGGGGACTGATCCGATCCCACTGAGTTCTTTCCATTATAACGGAGCCTTTTGTCATTGCCAGAAGAAATATTGGCCCTGGTGACACCTCGTGGGATCTGCAGGGTATCAAGAACCCGATTCATGCCCGCCTCGTCGTCCGGCTTCATAGCCGGAGGCTCAAGACCCTGATCCTGAATAAATTGAACCAGCTGGTCAATTCTCGCGGAGAAAAGCTCCGTCGCAGCTCGGAGCGAGACCCTGTCGTTGATGTTAGCCGGCCCATTATTCAGTACCTGATGCCATCGGCGGGATGCCGAGTCTTGCTCGCAGCGGGCCGAGAAGCAATTCGCTTCGGATCGAACGGTGAGCGAGCATTTCGAGGGTATACATACTTGCGTTTGTCATCTCCATGCTGATATTTGCAATCTTTGCCTTTCCGCTGGCAATTCTGGCAGTGTGGTGTTGACCCGTCGCACTGGAGAGAAGCCGATTAAAAACGTTATTCCACTGCCGATCCCCGCAAGGCGAAGCGTGGGAGATTGTACATACCCGAATCTTACTCTCACGACATGGCACACAAGCCGTCGTGACGTGCTTTCGAGGGGCCTTTTTAGGCTTCTCCGGCTCTGGAGACATGTTTCTGTTCTCTTCCCCGCACTGGGAGTACTTCAGACTCGGAGATCTGCGCTGTAATTCGATGATGCGGTTTTCTGGTTTGCTCGTGGGGGTGGCGGTCGAAATTGCGCGGAAGTAGATTGCGCCGTGCTGTTCACTTTGGGCTGTGAGTTAAGTCATCCCACCTCGGCGGATACTGTCGCGGCCATGGTCTGTACAGTGTGAAAGCCAGTATCGAATGAAGCTGAGAAGCCCTGGTGCGAGTTCGGACTGACACAAAATGTTCGCCAAATGTTGGTCTGGGGGGCGGGGGAAGGGTCCACTTTGCGCCCGCCTATGAGGGGATCGGGGATAAGCCGGTGGTCCATGCACGTCGTCTCGTGGTCAAGAAGATGAAACTATTGAAATTTCTACATGGAAGATAGAAAAATGTTGAGGCTAGAAGACCACTACATTGGGTTTTGTATGTACATCGTAGCGTAGGTCTAGTTGCTATACGAGTCTTCCCTTTATGGCTTTCATGTTCAATGCGCCGTATCTACCAGTTAGAGGTGCGCTTGATGCGCTCGTTCTGGATCACCTCAATCCAGTAGTTATCGGGATCCAAGACAAAAGCAATGTTGCTCATGCGACCATCAGTCAGACGCTTCTTGAAGGCGACATTGACCGTGTCAAATCGGTCGCAGGCCGCCTGGAGGTCATCGACAGAGATACCTATTGCGCAGAAGGTCATGTGTTAGCAAACAAAAGACTAGTCAAACACACCGAAGTGACACGGTGAAACTCACAGATGTGGCCGAATCCTTGGGGCTCCGTGTTACCATTGTGGTAGACGGGACCCTCCTGCTTCTCCGTGCCGTAGTTCCAGGTCAGCTCGAGCAGACCCTCCCACTCAGCGACGCCGTTCTTCGCACCCTCCTTGATCTCGGGGTTAGATTTGGGGTATCCCAGGAAGTACAAGTTAAACTTGGCATCGGGGTTCTCAATGGTCCGGACGAGGGTCATGCCCATAGACTCCTGGTAGAACTTCAAACTAGTCTCGGCATCCTTGACACGCAGCATGGTGTGGTTCAGACGGTAAGAGCCCGGGTCGGTGGTGGGAGACAGATCCTCGTCGGCGCGACGGATGATCTCAACCCAATATCCATCAGGGTCTTTGGCAAAAGCAATGTGTCGCATACGACCCTCGGTCAGCTTCTTCTGGAAAGCATATCCGGCGTCCTCGATGCGCTTGCAGGCAGCCTCGATGTTATCCACGGAGATGGCGATGTGGCCGAAACCGCGGTAGGGCTCCGTGTTACCATTGACAACGCTGTAGTTGGGGTCATCCTCGGTACCGTAGTTGTGGCAGAGCTCCAGCACGGCATTGCGGTCGGTGAAGTGGCGGTCACCACCCTGCAGCGAGGTCGGTCCATTATAGGCGAGGAAGTAGTTGCAGAACTTCCATTCGGGGAAATCCAGCTTCTGAATGACGTTCATACCGAGGAATTCGTAGAACTGCAGCGATCGCTTTGGGTCTTTGACCCGCAGCATCGTGTCTGGATGGCCATCATGGTCAGTGATGATGGATGAGGTAGAGGCAGAAAAAAAGACGAACGGTTAAGCTTGTAGGTAGAGGGATCGGTAGCCATGGCGGCGAAAGATCGAATAGCTAAAAATTGATGGTCAGTGATTGGAGGAGGGTTAGATCTAGGGGGCCCTGGGGCGTCTGGGGTGCATTACCAGGGATACGAGTAGATGGAGTAAGGACCCTGGGGAAGAGACGTGGAAGTCGAGCTAACATAATGAATTGATGAAAGGCGAGGGGGTTTTGTCAGCCGTGAGGGGGAAGAGTGGGGCAGTTCCGCCTACGTCAGTCGTCGACTGGCGAGTTTAGTCTTAACTCGACAGTACATGGAAGAAGAAGCTTAGTAGATTAAATATTGGCTAGCCTCGGGCCGTCAAACGGGCTATAGAAGATCCTTGAAGATCATCGATCTCATGGTATAATATACCTAGAGTATACTCCCTATAGTATACTATAGGGTATACTATAGGGTATACTGTATGGCTCCAGGTATTCTTCAACCTTGATATACCCTCCAAGTACCAGACCCCATGATTTCTAGCTCTTACGAACACTCATTACGTCGATTCCGGGGTAATCGGACTAGGAAAGAACCCCTAACTGCATGCCACATCGTACTTGCAGCGAGCGCAAAAGTCAAAAGAGCCCAAAAAGCCTAAACGTCCAACAGCGCGGCCCCCGCGCGAATCTCGCGGGATCGTTTTAATGCGCTGCGACCTCTTCCTCCTCCATTCATCTCCTTCCTCGTTTCTCTCCCCTCTCCACCTCCTCCGCACCTCCACACGCTCGACGCTGTACTCGCCCCTTCGCACAGGCCAGGTTCGTTTGAATTCTCCTAATACCCTTCGACCTTGTCCATTCCACATGTTTCCCACACCACCCTTCTCCCTTTTGAGTCCTGCAACCCCCGCCTTCCCCAGTTGATCATCCCCTGCCATTGGTTTAAACACCCGGGCTTAGCTGGCCTAAGCTGGTCTCTTTTTTGGGGTCCAGTATTTGCCCCCCAAGCCCTCGTGTCAAAACGGTGCCCGTCTGAATCACTGGGGGCTGGACCTTTCCTTTCTTTTTCCTTTCTCATTGCCCCATTTCCTGCACACCCGCGCTTAGCACTGGAAGGACCCTCAAAAGGCTCACGCGTCCTGCTCCCCAATCCGATCATCGATGCTTTGCCCCAATCAAACCTTTCATTCTTAACACGTTCCTCGCCCTTGACCTGTACGATGTTCGTGGCGCTTCATCCGCGGAGCCTCGCGGCGATCGCATGACTGTACTCCTACTTGGGCTATTCCTCTTACCACCCAAGTCTCCTCTTTAAATACACCTCCCATGCCCCTCTAACCCTGCTCTTGTGCCACCGGGTACATCTGGAATTCTTGTGACTCGCCATCTGGACCGGACAAACAGTCCTCTTGACGTTGTAGTCTGCGGATTCCACGACGCTTGGTGGTCGTTGACGCTTCTTTCCCCTTGTGTATCCCGCGTCAGCTATGCAAACACTGCCCTCGTGCCTACTCCTACTCCATCTATGCTGGAAAGAAAAAGACGCGACTGGCTTTCTATTCTCTTTCTACACTTCTCTTGTCGGCCATGGGTCTGAAGATGGCTGAATTCGAACCCTTCCCAGTCTCCTCCGAGTACTTCGCGAAGCCCGGTACCGCGCCCCACTCCGACGCCCCGTTCCTCCCGTACTGGGCCCGCTGTCGCACGCAGTGCGCCCAGAACTTGCTCGACTGCTCCGACGAGCCCATCGAGTACGATCACGACGACGAGGACTACAGTGACAACTGCTTCTTCTTCCCCGAGGACTGCTCGTGGACCCCTCCCAAAGACTGGGTCGTCGAGGCGCACTGTCAATCGATCAAACCGGTCCCAGAGATTCACATTCACCAAGATACCCCGGTTGGCCTGGACGCCGACACCGACACCATGATTCCCGGTCTACCTGATATTAAGATGCTTGACTCGGAGGCATTGGGTGATCTGCTGGAGGACAACCTTTCTCCGCCGGAGATTACGACGATGATGTAGGTTCTCCTGCCCCTGGTGATGATCTGCCGAGGTGTTCCAGAGCTAACCATTCTGTCTCTTTCACAGCGTGTTCGCTACCAACGGCGCCGTCTTTGCCTACGCCTCCTCCCTCTCTTCTCGCCAGCTCCGGAACCTGAGCTCGACCTACGGTGCCGCATATACCTGTTACGCCAAGACCGCGTCGAGCGGAAACCTCACAGGGGTAAATCCCGCCAGTCACCCTTCATCCTATGTGACGGCGCAATCGATGTCGCTGGGCGACGTGGGATCTATCGTCTTCGAGCTAGATGACTCGGTGGCAGTGGTGACTCGTATTGCGGACAAAGTTCTGCTGGCCGCCGTGGGTCCCAACAAGCTCGACGACATGATAAACGGCGATGGCCCCGACCATCTCGCTGTTGATGGCCCAGGTGACTCAACGGCTGGCAATGGAACCACTACAGATGAGTCACAGGGTGATGTGCCGTCTTCGAACCCGCCTGCGCACAACGGCGGCCTAGAGTCCCAACACGAGATCGATCACAGCGCAGATCTGTCCAGATTGGCTAGTCTGAACCTCTCTGCCTCTCCGTCTGTGCTGCTCGCTCTGGAGTCTAAGTGTGCGGCTCTTGGGCGATTCCTGGGTGAGAAACTGAGTGACCTGGAGAGTCCGGAGGACTTCTAACATCCTCCAATGATGACATGCATATAAGTGACTCACAGCGGTGCTTCATTCCGGTTACTGTTAGGCTGGAATACCCTACCCCAGGAGCGAATGTCCTCTCAAGGATTTAATACACGACTTTATGATTATTTGAATATGTTCCAGCCAATTTTGGTATATGTGGCCTCTAAATGCCTCCGCGCAGTTGAGTCACTATCTCATGCCTCCCTTCTTGTACGCCGTAATTCCTCCCCAACGCTATTCTACCATCATAGTGTGGGCTATTATGAGGACTCCATGTTTGGTCACACCGAGATAATCTGATTAAGTTTGCTCTGTGGGTGATAGATAGGTACCATGGAATCAAAGTCCCAAGCAAATGGCTTGTGCCCGTAACAGGAAATAGCCATTTCTTTGCCCACGTGCCATGGTGTTTGTCAATAGGATCCCCCCAGATATAACACATTTCCCTCTTCATTTTCTCTTCTCTTCTTGAACTCCCCTCAACTACACTTCTATATTTACACCCACCCACATTGACATCGTGGTTCAGGATGTCTATATATATCGACCCTCCGCTGCCTCCTCTGCCTCCTCTGTCTCGTCTCCGGGGGTTTCGACAACGGTTAATCTTCTTACAACACCTTGCCAATCTAACTTTCCTCCGTGTCAACTCTAGTGAGAGTATCTCAGCTTTACCTCACCAATAGAAAGACTGCACGAGCGACGAACCCTATACCCCGTCTTCAAGATGTCTGCGCGCTTCACTTCGTCACTCCCAAACAGTATCACGACCACACCAAGCGGAGACCGTCAAGTTGTGCATCACTTGGACAGAGAGCCTGGACTTCGTGGTTATTTCGCGAGCAAGAGGCAGAGCCTTGGTCATGGGTCCTTCGACAGTATCAATGATTAGAGTTCCCCTGAGGTGTGGTGGCACCTCCGACTTGGTCAGTCAGCCCCCAGAGGGTGTTCTGTAAGTACAAGCTCGACACAGTTTTGGCTGCATTCTAATCAAGATTCGACGCCACAGAAAGACCAAAAATTAATGCGATTCTACAGTCTGGTCAGTAAGAACAGTCAACCGACATAACACCATTCTAGCAATCTGCTGCCGTTCGACGTAGAGAAATGGACGAGCAAACGTATTTGTTGTACAGTTCAACACGAGGAGCAGCATGCGCAGGACCACGCTATACGAGTTAAACCCAGCCCTCTATCAGTGTTACTCCTACGACGAAACTGGTGGTTGCTATGATCGGTCAACAACGTACACAACCCAAGCGGAACAAGGCGAACATGGATCACCTGGTGGATGGACAAGAAAAAGAATTATTGAAGCCGAATGCGAAAATATTTTCCCCGGGAGAAGTCACTCAATACCGCAACCGAATTGGTTCACTCATTTGGTTGATAGTCAACACAACACCAGACGTCCCTTTTTCCAGGAGCTAAACTGGCCAGGCATGGACAAAACTCCACCCAGGAAGCAATTCACAAGTGCAAAGTGGGTGTACAGATATCTCAAGGGTACCAGAAATTGGGGAGGCGATGACTCTCGCTCACCTGATGCACTCTTTGGATCTGTGGACGCAGATTGGTTTGGTAAGTCACAATACGCCCGGGCCATCTCGCGAGGGTCAAGTCGATCTGACGAGGTTAGTAACATGGATGGTCTTCCATTTTTCCATTTCTCCATCCATGACATCTGGTATAACGTCGAGAAGGAACCACACCTGGCTTTCCTAGAAGTGCGTCTTACGGACGAGAGCGTTTTCTACTGCCTGTGCACAATGACACCCCAGCACGTACTTATGAAGGCCAGGAATCTACCGGTCAAGTTATGAGGTGAGGCTATCATTTGCAAGTTAGCGTGTTGGAACCATGAATAACCCTTTCCTAGCGCTGGAGCCTTGCATTTCGAACACGTCCGTGAAATCAAATCTCGCGACGGGGCGCACAATGAGGAGGTCGAAGCCAACCTAAGCGTCTGGAATTTGCACACAATCCATGCACTTAATACAGATCAGCCTGCGAGCAAGTGCCGGTCCAAAATTGCCAAAAACACCATCTTTCCATGGCATGATCGAGTTGGTCCCTCAGAATAGAGTGACACTCCATGGCACTCCTCAACGCCTATAGCAGCTTGACCAGTCCAGTTGAACAACCACCAAAAGGCTTGCTATCACTCTCAGTCAGTCTACACGTCATTCTGAGCCAGATGAGAACCTGGAATTGTCACTACACACATCAACCTCGCCGGGATTGTCCTCTGTCCAAACCCCGATTTCCCCTCGAACAACGAAGTTTGATTTTCTACCTCGGCTACAAGCTATATAGACACAATACGGTTGTTTGCAAGTGGCTCCATATTTTGCCTTTCTCATCACCCGGGGCCTTGTCTTGTCTTCTCTCTCTCAGAGCCAGACATAGTGACCAAAGTTCTCACCAGCAGGTATCGTCCCCCTTTCAGAACAATTCACCTATGATGTCTCCACTACAAGGACTTCTTGAAGAGATATATCGATACGCCATAATCCCGCGAGAGGAAAGTGTCATCTACGAGCGTCCATGGTCAGACACCAATGACTGCAATCACAGATAACTCTTGGCATACAGTCCACAGAAGAGGCAAAATGACTGCCATATCTATCAGCGGAGTCACGACACGTTCCCCGAAGTGATTGACCCCGGTTTACCTCGCCAATCGAGACCTACCAATTACCAGTTCAAACTCATCCAGCCAGCCGCATGCCGCCTGGCTACCTTTTCTACGACACAATCAGCAGAGAAGCACGCACAGTCAGCGCACAAGGGAGAGCGATATCTGTGCCCAATTCCTCAATGTATGGTGGTATTTGCCGACAAATATTACATTGAGAAACACGAGCGTTTGTTGTCCGATGTGGGCCACGCTGCATGGAGCTGGCCTTCATCAACTGCTGAAATCATCACCTGGATGGCGTTGATATATCCTGCCACCTCGGCGGCTATAAAATCTCATATTGCGCGCTCTCTCCATGCTGTGCGTGTGTTACCAATCCTGGCGTGCATGAGCGAGAGTGACTACGGTTACAAGGTCATTGCCTGTGAGTAGAAAGTTGTCTATAAAGGTCAGAAATTATTTAGTTGCTGAGAATGATGGCCGCTGTACCTGTGCTAGAGGACGATGGTCATCTCTCACCATTGCCCCATTTCTACTCTCTACATTCGGATGATGCTTGCTGCTAGAAAGGTGTCTCGCAGCCTTCCTTACCAAGTGGCGATTTAAAGGACTCGGTGCAGAATTTTTGCGGACTGTCTACGCCAAACGTTACCTTCGCCCCTGGATAACCCGCTCTAACTCAGACTTGACAATTCACTCTCTACGCATCCCCTGTGCATGTACTGCCTTTTATGTTTTGCGTTTGTTCTGTTTTACGGAGCGTTGCATGTTACTTTGCAGAGACATTCTAGCTTCGAATTGGTGCATTTATCCTTGTCGTTTCGCGACCTAGCCGAGGACGGCAGCGGCCTTCTGATGTGGGCAGGTGTTAGGACCGGATAACTCAGCTAGATTCCCTTACGACCCGAAGTTCTCCCACAATCTCCAATGCCCTCCCAGCAGCAGCGGAGACATGAAGCTCCTAGAACTTTGATGTAGGTTTACATTGAAAAAGAAGGGTGATAGCAATTCGCTGGCGGACCCTCGAACAAATCTGACCCGATGGCGCGCGGAGACAGCCAAGCTCTTTGCTATTAGACTATGCTTCTGGTAAAACAACTCTACCCAGTATGCGCTCAAGTGGCACAAGGCGAAGATGACAACTCAAAGCCGCGATGTCTGCCGGCGACCTCATGTGGGATGCGGTAGCGCTATGCGAATCTTTCATGATACTCGGCAGGTGCGTTGAGAGTCCTCCCCCGAGCGAGTTCCGCGATACGGTGGCAACCTTTGCGGCCGAGCTACGCTCCATGTTGGGCTAAGTTAAAAGGTTTATCTTGAGGTCTGTGGGGAAATCTACTTCATCGAGGAAACAAAATAGATCAAGACAGAGTGTAAGGCTTGCTACTACGAAGGGATTACAGGCATGAAAACTTTAAGAGAATCGCTCTTGCTCTACTCTCTGTAGTATTTATAACTGAATTTCGAAAGAACATGATTGATCATAACCTACATGATATCCCGAAAGATCATTCTGGGGCTATGCAGATGGACGGGTTAAAAGACATTTAAAAAGACATCTAAAAAGAGCAGTATTAACAGGATATCTAGCTAGAATCTCTCTCTAGTTGCTAGATTTAGACTTCTACAATAGACATTGAGCAAACAAATTAAGCTCAGTTCCGTTTGTCCTGCCAGTAACCGGACTCTATATAACACCCCCCTTTCCCTCATAACCCCCCTCCTCTTCCAACATTATTAACTATCAAAACCTCTTCCCTGTACCTCGATATTCATATATTTATTTTTCATTGTACCTATACAAAGACCCTATAAATATATTCAACTCCTTCAACCTCTCAATAAATCATAATCGAGGCACCCCTTACCATACGATCAAATTCGGACACCTTTAATCCGCTTCCACTCGCCCTCGCCAAAATCAGATTTCCGATAGCAGCTTTCACTAGGAATCAGAGGCAACCCATGTCAATCTGACACCTCACCCCCATCCTTTGGTGCAAGAGTATGGCGTCAAACCACCTCCTTTACCCGAACGTGCCGCATTGGTAGCAGAAATCATCTTTCTCTCACCTCAGCCTGGAAAAGGAAAAAAACTTGATATCTTTGTTCCTGTCGTCTGTCACCATTATTAATGCTGTCACTCTGTGACTATTCGCCTTCAGATATCATTTCCGTGAGTGATCACCCTTTACAGTCTTCATCTATATGTCCACTATCAACTAACCAGTTTCTCTGTTAGTGAGAGGCGAGCATTAAACGGTACACATTTAAAACGTCGCTGGAATCAAGATAAACAAGAATCTGGAAACCGCGCAAGGTCCGACGCATGTCGGAGGCGGGCTCTTGACGAGCCTTTCAACACTGTTTGCCAATCACCTACATACTCTGGTTCTGGACTATATAAAGAGACTCAAGCGAGAGTCTTAACATCCTTTCCTTTCAAGACTTTGGTTACCTCAGCGCGATAGATCTTATCGTTCAGGAGGGTATCGTCTTCGATACTAAGAGGATTTGCGAGGAAGACACCCTATTTGGTGGGACATTGTCCTAATCTTCTTAGGAGGTGCCTTGCACCTTGAAAACCCAGGTTGTGTACGGAATCTTTAGATGTGTATTATTACTGAAACAGGCGTGTATTCAATTAGCTCGGAGTCTGAATGATAATCCAAAACTTATCACAATCATGATATTTGCGGGATATTAGAGAACTATGTATAAAGCAATATACGAAGCGAGAAGGATAGTTCAAGGTCCAAGGGGAATCACGCTCATATCTAGTTCACGGGCACAAGGTATTAAGGCAGAAACTGATAAACAGGTGATGAATATAGAAATGAAGCTGCATTATGGACAACCCGCACGTATTTATCGGGATAGCATGGCAATGCATAGATCAACGGAGCTCGAGGAAAGAAAATATATGAATCATCACACACTCGTCTCACGACTTCTCCTGCACAGCGGAGCCACCGGGAGAGCCGTGGAAGTGGCTGGCCGTGCTGGTTGAGCGGCTCAAACCGGCCGTTGGGCTAGCGGCAGTTGCATCGACGCTCTTCTCGGCAGCGGGAGCAGCTGCAGCAGAGGAGCTGGCGGCGGCAGCTGCTTTCTCCTTTTCGGCATAGACTGGGGGCTGGGCTGCGGAGTTACCGGCCGGGCTGACGGCTGCGGGGCTGGTGGCAGCAGGACTGACGGGGGAGGTAGCGACAGGCGAGGTGACAGCAGGAGAGGCCAAAACAGGGGCGCGAGTGCAGTCCTTAATGACAGTCCACCACTTCTCAGCGTCGTTGGAGCTGTGTGCCTTGAAGCTTAACTCGGTAGTGGTGTGGAAGGCGTTGCCGACCTTGCCGCTGGACACGTCCTTGCCCTTGACGTTGAACTTGACACCGTCGATAGCGCCGACGATACAGTCAGGTAGGTACAGCGACAGCTCGGGGGTAGGGTCCTTGCGGAAGTCGTCGGTATCGGCGAACTCGTGTAGGTACCGTGCGGGCGTCACGACGTAGTAACCCGTGCTGTAGCCCTTGATGATGGCGCGCGAGCGGCGTTCCAGGGAGCCCTCAATTAGAGGCTGCGTGGAGCGGTGGTCCATGTTGGGATAGGTGATGCTAGACAAGGAGCGTGGTGGCGAGTCTGGGTTGACTAGCTTGGCATCGTTGCTCACGCAGAAGTTCATCCACTCAAAGTCGGCTGGGATGCGCTGAGCGGTGCCGAGGATATCCGCGTACATGGCCCGCTGGCGGTCGAGCTGGCTGCCCATGAACTGGAAGAACTGGTCAAGAGCGCCCTGAATGGTCTGGAGGACGTGAGCCTCGAATTGGGCGAACGAGTTCTGGATGACCAGAACATCATTGCGGTGGTTGTTCTCCTCGGTAACCTGCTTGTTCAGACGGTGGTTGATACCACGGCGGAGGATGTAAGGGTCGTGCTGCGTCTCGATCTTGTTTTGAGCGACAGCATCGTGCGATGCCGAGTGCTGACCCAGCAGCTCAATATGCTTCTGGGTCGCCTGCCGGGCCTTCTCAACGGCCTTGGCACCCTTGACAGCCCCAGACTGGAGCTCCTTCGACTTGTTCTTGATTTCCTTGTGCAGGCGCTCCAAAGTGGGGAGCACGCTACCCCTGAGATTCTTCTCAGTCTCAAGGTACATATTGACCATTCCCTATATCCGAATCTGTCAGCACCGCTCTACGCAGGCGCTGCATTTTGTCCATACCTGCGAGTTGTTCCGCATGTTCTCAAACAGACCAGTCACACCGCCAGCACTGGAGCTGAAATGGTTGCCTTCCTTCAGAGGATCGCTCACGGTCTGTCGCAGATAAAATAATCAGTAATTGCCTCCTTCCCTTGTTGTACGCATTTAACCCCGACCTTCAGGATCTTCTCGTAGTCTTTGGACTGGGACTTGGAAATTTTGGCAGTCATAGAGACATAGTCCTCGAGGTTTCCGCACATGTGCTTCCATGCGCGCAGACGCTCCAGCAGGAGATTGGTAGTCTATTCCAAGACGAGCCGTGTTAGCCAAAAATGTCTCTCATCGCGGGGGATCCGCGCCCTCCGCAAGTTTTCCCGTTCCCTCAACTTTTGTTCCTCCCAGGGGTTTTAGTTACACACCTCGCTGCTATCAGTGTCGGGAATCGCCTCGTCGTCACTGACGGAGGTCTGGCGGGTCAAGCTGCTGCTCATGGTCGCCGAGCGCATCGGGAGCTTGTTCTCCACGGGGCTCACGGGAGTCGACATGTCGGCGGACGGGGATATTGTTTGAACGCCGGGATTCAGGGGGATGTTAGGACGAGTGTGAGCGAGGGGTATTGTATAGACTGGTGAGACTGAGGTACACCTGTCGGTCACAGTTCAAAAGCTAGATGTCGTCCTCTCGTCTCTCTTTTGAAAGTCGGGGATAAGGAGGGATGGAAAAGGCGGGATGCGGATCGGTAGGTCTCGTACGGTAAGTTGTGGCACCTGTGGCTGAGATACAAAGCGCTAGACTGTGGACGGACTAGGGTGGGAAGAATAGACGAGGACAAGTCGAACTTATGCCAACTGTGCCAGACCAAGTGGGGGGTGGGATGTTGGGCTTTTGGGCTTGGGAAGGTGGGATGGCACTGGCATTCTTTAAGCTGCCGATCGGCGGTCGAAAACGCCGATGAGGTCACTGCCCGCATGTTGTGGCTTGTTAGGACCAACACTAAAAGATGAGACTGCAATGACGATGCAAAGATGAATGGGAAGGCGATATTTGTGGAATAATAGGGTGTTTTTAAACTTTTCGAAGCTCACCTGTGTTGTTGTTTCCCCGTGTTGACAGAGATACGTAGCTCTACACGCTAGTACATGTAACCGCCTCGTCGGGAGTCCTTGGGCTATTCGACGCCACATCCTGGTGGAGCCCGAACCATTGAATGCGGATCGCGAGGTTGCATTGTTCAAATGTCGGACTGGGCGCAGCAGATGGTTTGATCGACACTTATTTACCCGATACAACTACGATCACTACACTATGGTCTAATGTCTGGAAAAGAACTTGAATTGTACGGCTCTAGTTGGTTTCTCATTCAAGTCGAGTAGATACCGTGGGATTATTAGAGTACATGCGTTTCAAACGAAATACATTCATATGCGTGATTCGTGCTGCGAGAGCCTGGTTCGTGGATAAGAGATGAAGAATAAAACAAAAAACGATCATGCCCGTGTGTATGATACGGCCCACCCTATCTATGGAGAGGTATTGTCCGAACGCCGAGAAAAAAACAAAAACGAGAGCAGGGTATGAACCATTTCCGATGAGATGCGATGTGGATGGGCAATGCTTGGAGTGAAATGAGGAATACCTGTCGCAGGACGGCAGAAGGTATTCCACTTTGGAGAGACGGCGAGTTGAATGGAGAACAGGGAATAGGGGGTCGTGTCCAGCACTGAGATGGGGAGCTTTTGAAAGGAGGAGAGTAGGGGAGGGGGAATGATGAGAGGGAAAGGAGTAGGGGAGTCGAAGAAGAGAGGGTATGAGGAAGAACGCAGAGAAGGGAAATGATGCAAAGAGGTCGGAGAGTCGATAAAGAACAGAGGAGATATCGTCAAGAGGGAGTTCTCTTCAGCCTCTAGCGCGGGCTTGCACTAATCGGAGTCTGCGTTCGGCATCGTCAGCGTTGGCGCCGGATGCGTTAAAGTGTCCGGGGCGATTCACCTCTAGAGGTGTAGAAAACCCACTGCTGCGGCCGTTGCGAAGGTGAGCCTGCTGGGGGGACTGAAGGACCGGCGGTGTGGGCAAATCACTGGCGATAACAGCATTGTAATCGGGCAGATTGGAGTCGCAAGGACCCACAGCCGCGCGTACCGCAGTCGAGTAGCTAGGCACGCGACTGAGCGTTTCAACCTCTGCGTACTGAGGGTGGAAAGGTGTAGCCATGCCAGATGGGATACGCTCGTGATCCACCTCGTCCGAGGCTCGGCGAGACATCTCGGGGCTGCCTGGACTGTGTGAGTTGGAGCCGGAGGAAGGACCAAAGTAGTCTCCGAAATGAACGTTCAGCTGTCGTGAATTGGGGTGGCTCTCGGTGGGAGAGTCGTGCGATGGCTCGCTGGGGGATTGGTGACCGAAGCGATTAGCGTTCAGCGTCGTGAGACGGCTGTGTAGTGCAGAGGCGGAGATATCAGTGTTGGTCAGCGCGTTCATCGAAGCCAGATTCTCCGACGAGATGTTACGACTCATGGGGCCGAAGGGTGTTCCGGGGCCGCCGCTGCCGGGGCCTGGAGTACGGTAGCCGCTGGGGTCGAGCTCGCTATACAGCTGATCGAATTGATGTTCGCTGTAAAGAGGCGGGGCCTGGTGGGCAAATTCGTCTACCGTTCGGCGAGCTGCGGCAGGGGTTTGGTCGCGAAGGTTGTTGTTCTCGTCAATGGGCATGTTGGGGGAAATGAAGATGGAAACGGGGAGGGTGGCTCGGAGCTGCATCGCAAGAGTTAGTTTTGACAGAAGTGAGGGCAAGTTGCTCCTAAACTTACCTCGCTGACATGGCCATCGGGGTTGTGTAGTTGAATGCGGAACTTCATCTTATGGCGAATCTTGATGCCCTTTGTGTCCGTATCCTGCAGACACCGGGTCAACGTCTGCGGCATATCGAGATAGCGCGTGAACTGGTAGCCCTCGGCGGCCTCATCGATGATTTCGACACGATCCTCATCCACCTCATGCTCATCCGTCAAGATTGTCCGTGTAATTTTGTAGGTATTGCGAATCGAGTCCGGATCTTCCGGGTTAAGTGTCAGGTCGTGACTTTCGATGAGCTGTGACGTAATTTGTCCGATCCGCAGACCCTTCAGTAGTGGGATGAGTTTGAAGTCGACCCGAATGGAAGTACCGAATACGACAGCCTTGGTCGGGGTGCTGATGGAGTATTCGATCTTGTTTGGCCAGATGTTGTCCACGGACTGTCAGACCCTGTTAGCACATGTTTCTTACGGGCCCGGTCCGGCGCCGATCGCAAACTCACCATCGCGTGGGACAGTTCCAGAGCGCTGGGATCGAGGGTTCGGATGATCCGCAAGGGTTTCCGTGCAACAATATCTTTGGCATATTTGCGCCCGATCTCCGCCTTGAAGCGGTACATCACCCAAGTCTCCGACAACCCCTCTACACTCTCAGGCATAGATCCCTCCAGCACCACGTCGAATGGGTATTCGTAGTTGCCCGCCGCCAGGACTTCCGTCTTGCCTTTGCCAGGATCGCGGAATTGCCATGTCTTATCGTAGAAGACTCGTTCTCTCCATGACTTGCGGCCGCCGGCGGTCGAACTAGAGGGGAGGTGCCAGCTATAGAAACCCATATTGTTAGTGTCTGGAGCGCGACCGCGGGGTCCGCCTGGCGGCGGAGGGGTTCACATACCAAACGCGCGACATGCCCGTAAGCTGTAACCGAATGTGCTTGATAGTAAGCGGCTCCGACAGACAGAGCACCAGAGTTCCTTTCAGATGAGCGCTGGCAGCTTCATGCTCGCCGCCACGGAAAACGATGTACTCATCGTTCAAGCTGGACCTATGTCAGCGCCGATGCTTGCGCGCACGACGGGGAGGTCCCACTCACCGAATGTCGAAGTACTTGGCATTGCTGGCGCTTCCGGCGCCACTGAAGAAGCTGAGCGCCATATTGAAGGTATGTGCCCGCCGCTGCGATGGGGCAGCGATTGGATCACTGAAGGGTAAGGCCGATGAGGAGGAAGGGTAGAGGGACAATCGCAGAGCCGGGTTTGAAAGGTTGGATAGTCAAGCGGGGTGGTGGAAGAACAAAAGCAAAGTGAAAAATCAAGAACTGAAAAAAAAATAAACGGGCCAGGCTATGACTCGAATTTTGTCCTATCCTGATCTACGGGACCATGTCCAGAATGGCCCTCCGGTCCGACCAAACGGGTCCCACTGAAGTCGAAGTGGAGTGGTGCCGTTTCCGGTACAAAGTGGCGATACGGAGATGCTGCGAGATTTGACTAAGCTGGTAGGTCAAAGATAAGGATGAGATTTAGATGAGGCCAAGAGAGGAACAAAGAGAAAAGGATTATAAATAGGGGGATTATTAAGAGGACAAAATGAACAGGTCGATGTCAGCCGGGATTATTCTCGGGTTGACGTTGATCTGGCACAATTGAGTCTTTACGTCAGCGCATCAGATGAACTGGGTCAACCGAGTAAAAAAGCATGTGTTAGATAGTTTAATTCTTACATCTATAGTATAGTATTGGGCTATATACCTCATAATTATCTAGCTGACGATGATTTGTAAATAGGTATCTTTCTACAATAATAATACAATTAAATTCCCAGTATCCGTCCAGTCAGCCCATCTGCCGCGGGACCTTCATTTATCCATTCGTCCCATCACGCCATTTCGTCGGGATCGCCCTTCCCGCACAGTCCCCTAGTCTCTAGGGCTTCGATCGATCCCGTTTGACGATCCGAATACTGCGAAACACATCCACGTTACACGACATGATCATGCTTTCTCGGAGCTATCATCTGTACTCCACTGATATACATGCGTATTTCCTGACAACATGCAACGTCTTAAAAGTACCATTCGTGATCTGTAATGTCTGATGAAACACAAACTGCTAGGGATGCGTTCGTGTGACCCGTTGACCTGCAGATAGGCTAGTAGTATGCATAGGTGCCTTGACATGCAGGTCCAGGCCTTATGGTGGTAATTACGTAGGGGGATAGAGGTATAGGGGCATTGGAAGGTATTCTACACTAACTACCGAGGAGTATCCCGTGGTGGTCAAGGCCCTGGTCAATGCTCTAACGAGAATCACAATGCATATGCACATGCGACTGATTTCGGTGCTTTTTCTGCAAAACATAACCTGAAAGCCATGTGGACAACCCATGTGTCTATCATGGTCTGTTATGAGTAGCCTGATTCTCAATCTAATGACAGGGCTATCCTATCAACCAAGCTCCACTTCTAATCTCAACCTCGTCTTTCTACTCTATACTTTGTATAGTCACTTTCTAGCCAGGTTTTGCCTTGACCTACGGTAGCAGTGTTCTTGAAAAACCATCGCAGTAAACGTAGTATATCCCAAACTGGTCATTGATCTGCCCAAAGGGGCCCACCAAAGATGTCAAACTGTTCACCGGCTACACACCAAGACACCCACACCTCCTGTACGTCCTTGGCCAGACAATAATAACTCTCCTGCTCTGACGTGAGTGGTTTCCAAGAACCATGGCCAGAGGGGCCACAGACATGTCCACCCAAGATAAGGTCTCGGGCACTGTATGGATCCCTTTTGCTTGTCGATGGGGCTCTCTGATGTGGCGTTTTGATTTTGACATTTTCCTCGTGGAACGAACCCGACCTATGATGCTGGCAAAAGATCCCAAAGGAGTGTTTTGTACTACTATGATCATAGTCGTGATTACACATGATACGCACAGATTGGATACCGCTCTACAATGCATTGACCGCTCAACCCTTGATCCTAGTCTCCCTGGCGACTGACAGTCTCTGTCTCGGCCTGGGTGCCGACTCCGGGCCCTATCGGGATGCCTTCACATGCGGGTTCGGGCAATCCCGCTCCACCGGAATCCCGAATTTGTCCCGGTTTCTCTGCCCGATGCCATTGCGCGTCCGTGTCGCCATCACGATAATGCATTGGTGTTTCATGATTTCGCCATTGAATTTAGAAATGAGATTACATACCCAAGCGACGGCCCCAACGTACGAAATGAAGCATTTATCAACGATCTCTTTTAAGAAGACCTCTACTTATAATGAAAAACATGACATCAAGACACGGCTAAAGTGCAAACTTATTCAGCCAGGAAAAATCTAAAATAGCCTACGATATCTTCTTCGTAGCTTGAAAATTGTTCTGGCTCCCGTTCCAAGGTCCTCAGGGTTTTCCAGGTCGGTCGGCCCCACTCCGAAGCAGATCATTGACGGTGAGCTTTTTTCAGGAACGGACTTTCTCCTATATCCTTGTCTTTACAGGGTATACATATTGTACTTTGTAAAGCAGCTAGATCCAGTACTCGGTGTGGAATTACACTCCAGTATAGTATATACAAAGTACTGTAGGTCCTTCCAGAATGAGACCTGATTTCTTCACAAGCAGATTCTATTGCATCATCAAAGTCATCAAACCTAATATTGTGGGCATCAAGTCAACTGAAAATTTCGACACTATAAAAAGTGTTAGTGTGCACGATCCAGCAAGCTGAGAGACATACACTCTGTACTCCGTAGATATCTCCTTCTAGGTATGTACATACTCGGTACCTGCACAGTCCCCTTGAGCCACACCTCAAAGTGACACCTTTATTGGTTGTAATTCCTCATTCAGCACGCCACGACCCCCACCAGGAAACCCGCCGACAGCGCGTGGAAAATCATAGTTCAGGCACAAATAAGAAAAAACTGCCCGGTCTTGGCGAGCCTTATCAGCTCGGTTAGTTTTCCGAGTTAACCTTGCCAATAACGGCAATATTAATTGCTTACTGGTGAAGTACATACTGTACATGCTCCATCCAGGAGATAGACAGCACCAGCAAAGTACTCTACTAAGCAAGTATTCCTTGAGCCTAGCCGGGCCGGTGGGGGTGACCACTTACCGCAGGGTTCGCAATACCAATTGCCGTTCAGAGGTGCGGCACGACCTACGAAAATCAGATCGTGACCCACCGCGGGTATGATTGAGGCAGCTCTGGCGGATAGCTATTTTTTCGGCGAGTCTCGGCGCCTTCGGGTTGATAAAGGAGATTTTTTTTCAACATAGCCGTAGTAATCAGATTGAAATGTCCACGTTGACTAGCTAGCTAGTAGAAAAAAATCTGTCATTTCGGGATAATTAATGCCGAGGGTAGCTAGCTGCTTCATTGAGCTACCAAAATTATCGTTGTTTCAGCGTGGTTTCCGATAATCAACCGCAGAAACTTTGAGCAGTACTGCACATACCTATTTCGTTGTTAGAGATGGCTGCAGTAGATAGCCGGGAATCAGCCGAGCTTAAGCGGGACCCGAACTTTGCATTAACATTTCGGGCAGATCGTCCAGCTGCCAAGGAGGAGGGATAAGAACTTTTGCGCAGTCAACGGCACCAATCGTGCCATGCGATCGCGCCACATGGGACGGAGCTAGTGTACAGAAAATAGGGGTCTGCTTCGGGTATTCCGCTAGCGTGGGATGGACTGCCTTTTGTGTCCACTGTTTAGGAGCTGTGAGAGCTGAAGTTTATCAGTTTATTTTGGATCATACTCGGAGCACTACAAAGAGCTTTCATGACACTACGACGGTCAGCCTAATTAAACGCATCTTCCTAGTATAAGGTAGTATAATGACACTAAGGGCATCCAGAATAGCGGTCAACTTAGGTATACCCATGGTAGAGTTCTATAGGTTTAAACCCCCTAACCCAACTTCTAAATCATCCTATTAGTTACAGGTTAAAAGCTAAAACGAGAAATATTACTGGGGCTTTTAAAAAGACGATTAAAAATATAATTGAAAAGACATCCCGAAAAATATTTAGAAATAGGGAAGGTTAAATAAAGCGTATCTAGTTAGGTCTTTCTCTGTATCAATTGTTCTCTAAATTTTTGAACTACCACTATGCATACATAAGCATAGATGTCGGATAGACCGTGCTTTATTCGTAAAGTATATTCCTAGTGAGCCTTAGCGTCCTAATGTCACGAAACCTTCTTGTAGTGCCGTGAGTATGATGCTTTATTTTGGTTTCAGCTAAGAGTACGATAGACGAAGTAAGGACTTCTGGATCCAGCAAACAAAGAAATCAGCATGGCTTTCTAAACATAATGAGGCTATGCCCTCCACACAGCCCACACGTACTGTACTCCGTTGATATTCTAAGCTCAGCAGCAACCATTATCCAACCAATGACCAATTCTAATCGCTATCGTCATCATCATTTCTACATCGGCTCAGCACAGCTCGGGGTATCAACAGCGGGAAGATACTTGACCATCGCCGGCGGGTACACTGCCAACTAACAATCTCCTCCTGGCCCATCGAGCCCCGACGCATTGACAAGATCATGCACATAGCCTCAAACATCCTTCATTCCAACCGCCTCATCATTCGAATAAGCAAGATTGACCACCGGCACAGCCAGAATCTTGCCCCGCCGTCTCTGATAAAGGTCCTTCGCCAAAAGCGTCGGCTCGCTGCCTGGTCCCGAAGCAGACTATATCGGGGTCCAATCGTTGGGGGACAAGATACCCGTTCAAAACCGGGGCTAGAATCATTCTCGAAGTCTAGAATGATCTGTATTGCGCGACTGTGGCGTGCGAGATATGATTCGTCGGAAGGGTCTAGCCTGTAGATACCGATGCAGGTGTCGGCGTTGGTTTTGAAATCTTAGGCCAGAGATTCTTATCATCCCAAGCGTCATCCCACTGTTTGGTTGATGTTTCTGACGGGATAATCTCTGCCGTTTTGCTTATTGACGTCGTTTGAACTGTGAGATCCGAGTCTTCTCTGTCTGGCTGACGCAGTACTGGTTTGTCGTCTGCGGCATACTCTGGGATTGGGGGAAGATGCCCGTGGAAGATGGCAAGGCCGTTGCGGCTGTGTGGACGAACCAGCTGGGCTACCAGGAATAGTAGAACCGATGCTATAGCCGCCCCCGCGAGCAAGGCTTGATAATGCCTGGCCTTCATCATGGTGACATTTCAACACCAGATAAGCGGCGAAGGGTAGGTAGCAATGAACTCAGAAGATGGGATTCGTCATTAACGTATGCGCCTTGTACGCTGTGCAGGAGAGGTGCTCGAGGACGAGGCGATGTAGCTCCCATAAAGATGCCGTGACACGATCATCCGCATCCATCTTGTGCCCTAAATGACCTCCCATCAACATCAAAATAATTCCGCTTTAAGCTAGCACTCGTGTAGTCTTCTCGAATAGCTTAGCCCGCCGTATCTAGTAACGGCATGCCGGTTCCGAGAACAACATTCCTAGGAGTGGGGAATTCCAAGCTCGAGGGATCCGCACCACCGGATGAGACGAGGGCTTGGCAGATGCATTTATTGATGCTGGTGTTTGTGGTCGCTGACTACAAGGCTGTCGTGCGTCATTGCGTTTCGGTGGTGGTCTATGATGCATTATGGGTTGACAGGGTCTAAGGCGAGTGAGATGCCTTTGCCATCAGACAGTGGAAAAAAAGTAGCATGATAAGCCCCGGGATCATTTGAAAAACATCTATGTTCACAAATAACAGCAGAATGAATTAATAACACAGAATCAAAGCAGCCTGGAAACAAAGCACTCGAAACCTAAATGCAAGATGTAATGCGCAAGCTATCTCATTTACACCGAAGACAACTCCGCTCGGCGATTTGCAAAATTCGTAAGGACATCAATCTAAGGACTGAAAGGTTGTATGATAACGCATATGTGGCGACTGATTCGTCGTACTGGAGCCCCGGGCCCGAAATGTATGGTGGCGGGCAGATGGAAATCGAGATCGAGTGCACCCCAGGCGAGGAGGACAAATATTAACGTTCTAAGAAGAGGTAGGGGGATATGGCTCGAGACACGGGAGTCATCGAGATATAGTAAAACTATCTCGGGCCAGCGAGATGGACGATCGTGGGCTTTGGCAGCGAAGGACGCGGTGGCAACGATGGAGCGATCGAAGGTAACGGAGTCGATATGAAGTGGCCATCAATCAGAAGATCCAGCCGAGAATGATGTAAATAAGGAATCCGGCAGCGATGCAGATACCAGCAACTTTCAGTACTGCGACAGTGTCGCCTTGTTTTGCCATCATTGTCAGGCGGGAAGCGCTACCTTTGAGGTTCGTCGAGAAAGAAGAGAAGACTTCGCTCTACGCGAAGACTTAGTGTCAGCAATATTCAACATTGAATCCACGATTGACAACAGCCTCCCAACCGTTGGTTCTGACTCCGATCCTCATCTGTCGAGACATACCGTGTGGTCGATCGTATCTTGATCCCGCGCATTGTCGTGGATGTCGATGGTCACAGATCGCAGAGCGGACACTTTGGATGACAGACCGCTGAGTAGCGCATTGTTCTGCCTATAGATCGATTGTTAACGACTCGTGCTTGAGCGGCATTCGGCTTGAGGAAGGCGGTTCGAGGTGGCCGTGGTAGCTGGCTGGCCCCCCAGCGGTTCACAGTAGGGAGGGTGACTTACTGCTCCCGTTCGTAGGCGTCACTCATCTTGCACAATTTTAAGGGCCTTGGGGTCCTTCTGGTGAGCTATTTCGAGTGTTGACTGTCTGTTGAGAGGGAAACAGAATGAAGGCGACGGTGGTGGCTCGGCCGGGGATAACGGGGATGACAGGTCATGTGACCCACTCTTGGCCGTGTGGGGGGACTAAAGCTAAAGTATTTGACTAGCTCTGGCTAGAGCTTCCTCTCTAGCCTGCTTTTCTATATTTTGACTACAGTATCAGGGCTGACCATCCAAATATGAGTGATGATCTGCTTGAATTTTCTATTGTACAGTCTCAATTCGTCATCGTATCGTGAATCATATACAACAGGCGGGCATAATCGGCCATCCAATGCGTTCCCACTTCATCCAGAAGGCTGGCAAATTCCAGAATAATTCGCTGGGCATGACGAGCGCCGGGGTGATATATTTTTCGATCTATCAAAATTGGTCCGCCAAATCGGATAAATTTGACAGCCTCATTGTCGGGTCTTCCCATGTCTTGTGAAGCCGAAGATTCGGATAAGAGCCCCTCGTCTCTAACGACCTTCCAGCCAACTTGGTCATTAGCTAGATCAAAGGAGTTCCCATCATCAGTCCCACCTGGCGGAGGTAATGCCGAGCTATTCAGGATGTATAATCCAAGAACTAGGGCAGCCATAAATAATGTGCGAACTGACTGGAACGCAGTTCCGTCGGCAGGCTTGCGATGGGACAGGATCCTGAATGTCTGAGCCGCATGAAGACACGCTCGACGTGCAGAGGCGGTTTGCGCCCAGGACGCTAGAGCTTTGCGCGCTTCAGCCATTGACTCAGTGCCATCACGACCAGCAGCACGCCCGAGGATATCGATATCCACCGTCAGGAGGATACAGACGCTGTGCCAGATCACGATGCAGTTTGGATTGGAATGTCTGAACGTATCATCGTAAAGGTGGATCATTTCCGTAAGAAGAGGAACAGAAATACTGGCTCTTCTATCTAGTCGGAGGATATTGCAAGGCACATATCGATGTTGTTCCGGAGGGGCCAAGTCAGAACTTCGAATCAAGCGGTGGGTATCGGCAGTGACACGAAGCAAAGCGGTACAAAGAACCCCGTACAAGGTTAATGCATGGAATCTGCCTTGCAGATTTGGGAGTTCAAATTTATGAGCTGACAAATCGAGGGTTTGGGTGACATGAGATGCATCGCGCGAGAGCTGGGCCCATTTCTTGCTTGTTGGTGCCAAATAAAGGGTGTCCTCTTGAGGAAGCGAGAGGGATATGGCATCCGTTCGGATTATAGGACTTATCGTGAATAAGTCTGAGAGCCAGGAATCGTGCAAAAGAAGACCTATAATCAAACTGCAAAAAGAAGAAGGTTAGAACATAAATGTAACCATAACTGAACAACGCACTTCTTGGTTGATTCCACTCTAGTCCAGGCCCTCCACCTCACCGTCGTCTCCAGATGTGAAGGTAACAATTGGTTGTAGTTTTCGTCTTTTTTGGGCCTGAAGAAACCATGTTGTTGCACAGTCTGTTGATTTTGTTAGTGCTCCAGCTCCGAGTGACTCGACCGGTTACATCTCTTACCATCATAATATGTAAATATAGAGTTTTTGACATTTCCGGGGCAAGGTTTCCCTAATAGTATGATGAGACTGGGAACTGTCAACAGGTACTATCCATTTACTTACCCCGGTTGAAATGAACATAAAAAGAACATGATGGGCAAGCACTAGATGATTCAGGATCTCGGTCGATGCTCGAGACTCCGTTGTCGCAAAAATGAACTGAGTGAAAGCCTCATTCAATATGGTCTATCGCAAAATCAGTCTCGTCATACTATTGCAGAATCATCAGGTTGACATACCGGGTATGTTAGTCGGATGAAAGTCGCCGCGTCTTCAGTCTTTAGATATGAGATTCCAATCATGCACATAACGAACAACAGCAGTTCTGACGTATCTTCAGGCCTGAAGGTAGCGGGGTGTAAGATTGGATATGACGGCTGATATTTGTGAAGGTAAAGATAAAGGCCTTGGTCAAAGACTTCAGTAGTGTTTGCACAGAGATAACGCTGTCCACATGTTGTTTGGTCACCAAACACACTATCGCAGGGACATGTGAGAGTATTCTTCTTCAGGTGCCGAAGGCGTTCTTTGACCTCGCCTGTGAGACTGACGTCAACAGCATTTATCTGATCGGGGCCAACTTGAGCAGGCTCTATACAGCTTCTGATATCGTGGCGGGAGAATATGTTCTCCGGAGAATCGAATGCAATTTCGTGCCAGAAATGTAGCCGTGTGGCGGATAGTGAATTCCCCGGCCATATTTTCCCGATTTCGCTCAAATTCTGACCAGAGTTTCTGGCATTGTTGATGGCTCGAGTGGTATCGAAAACTTCCATCGCAGGATGAACGAGACTAGTAATCTCCATGTCCCCAGAAGAGCTAACGCACGGGGCGTTATTGGACGTGAACTGATCGTTGAATGAAGGATTGAAAAGCATATTCAAGAAATCAGTATTTGAGTCCGGATTTTTTCTCGTATCAGATATTGGAGAAACATCCATCATTGGCTGCATCAATGCCGAGAATCCATTCTCCGTTAGCTGTGGACTGACAATCTCGTCAAAGTGGCCGTTGATGGTAATATCAAGAGACCCATCTTGAGGATTTTGTGCAAGGCTTTGGCCTTGCGGTCCTAGGTCGGTCTGTTTTCTGAGTCAATCCTACGTTCCAAGTAGCCATCAGGGGATTTTGAACCTCATACAAGCAGTTTTTCTCGATCCCCTGCGGAGTGGTTCCGGCGATGACGAAGGAGTACATCTCTGGTCGATCACATCAAAATAAGATCATGTAGATTGGAAAGAGGACATATCTACCTCCGAGCGAAGTGTTTTGTGCAGATTGTGCACTTGTATGGACGTTCTCCGGTGTCTACACGAAGATGGTTTAGCGCGATGTTTCTCATCAAATGCCACCTAACTGTAGGGAGTGAGCGTTGTAATATATATCACGCAACGTACGGGCCAATTGATGACGATTCAAATGCTCCACCTTGGAGAATGTCTTATCACATTGTGCGCAGGGGATCCTATACGGTAGGTCCTTGCGTTTTTGTCGCATATTGTGGAGGTGGAGGTAAAGGAGTGCCGAAGTCGCGGGTAAAAGAGAAGCCCAGTAGGGCTATCTCCATGCGGGGTAACTTGGTTGCCATATTTGTGAGGCACCAGCATATCCACTTCCTGAAATGCCACTATGTGGAATAGAATTGATTTCCTTGGTGACTTCCTAGGAGATCATAATTAAGGAGGTCTTGTAAATGGTCACTGAGAAGTTCCTTGTGGTAAATGAGCGTTCTAGTACGTAGAAGGTAGGCACAGTCCTACGCATATATGGATGTCTATTCTGATGGTTACTAACCGAAGGGACTCCCAGACGATGGTTGCGATATATGAATATGTAGACTGTCTGTGTTATCTCCTTTGTATCTATATACAGAAGCAAGAGAGCAATGCCTAGAATGATGCCACCAAGCCAGAGTACGTTCTGGGGAATCCGATGGCTTTCTGTGGGGAACCTTATTCCCCACATATTTTCTCCCACATGAGATCCAGAGTGCGGGGGATCGCCTTGCCATGCACAAGAATAGCTGAGTTGGGTATGCTATGTGGCTATTGACAGCTCTCTTGAAGGGTGGCATGTATTATGAAGATCAAGATGGTGGGGATTTCTTTCTTAATTTCGAAATATATATAGGGACCACCGTCTCACTTGTGGCAACGAGAGGAGATCCTCTATTCTAGATGACAAACTCGAGCGTTTACACATCATGGCAGTCAATTATCTTTTCAATTACCCCTTTGAAATAGCCTTTGGGGCTCTTTTCTTCAGTATCGTCGGTTATGTTCTGTACCAACGATTTTTTCACCCCCTTGCCAAATACCCAGGGCCATTCCTCGCCTCCCTCACCGATTTATGGCAGGTGCATCAATTTATGACGTTGAAACAACCGTATAATTTGACAAAACTACATGAAAAACATGGATCTATTGTTCGATATGGACCTGATAAATTGAGCATTACCGACGAAGAAGCCATCAAATTGATATACCAAAGCGGGGCAAAGTACATGCCGAAGACTGAGTTTTATGATGCCTATGGAGCAGCTCATCCTAACATCTTTGGAATGCGTGACGAATCTGTCAGTTTTATATTTCTCCAAGTAGACCACTACAATTTATCTGACGTTCCCTAGGCTCATTCCATTCGGCGTCGTCACATGAGCCACTCGTTCTCGATCAGCTATGTCAAAGAAATGGAGCAATACCTCGACGTAAATATCAAGATCCTCCGAGGCAAAATATCGGAGTTCGCAGCAAACAACCAGAAGTTTGACCTCAAGAAGGCGTTGCATTACTATGTGATTGACACGCTTGGCGAACTGGCGTTTAGTCAGACCTTTGGCATCCAAGTATCTGATGATGAGTCCCGTGTCCCACCAGTCATTGAGCATAGTCTGCTGGCTGCCGTGACAGGCGCTTGGCCGATGATGACCAAAAGGCTGAAGAGATGGCTGCCACTTGTCCCACACAAAGGTCTGAAGGCCTTGTTCCAGGGGCGAAAAGCTTGCGCAGATCTAGCCTCACGTTGCGTGAATGTTCGGCTGAACGCGTTACGAAACTCGAGCGAGAGTAAAACCAGTGCACCCGAGCGAAAGGATATTCTTACAAATCTTATCAACGCCAAGCACCCTGATACGGGTAAGCATTTAACACAGACTGACCTTGAAACGGAGGCATTTGGATTCATGTCAGTACCCCTTCTATAAACACCCTGTCTCGAAATAATGCAGTTTGGTAGAATCTAACCCTGCCTCCGAATAGTATTGCTGGAACTCATACTACAAGTGCCACCACGACTCTACTATTCTATCATCTCCTTAATCATCCTGACCTAATGGCAAAATGTGTCGCGGAGATTGACACGAATCTTCCACAGTTGCACGAAGATGAAAGTGCATATTCTGTGTCTGCAGCTGAAAGCTCACTACCATATTTGAGGAACTGCATGAAGGAAAACTTTCGTGTGACTCCGGTGTTTACAATGCCTCTTGCGAGGAGAGTACTGAAACCGGAAGGCATTATCATCGCCGGCAATCATATACCCTACGGTGTGAGTATATTCCAATGCCTATGTTTCACCAAAATGTGGCTAATTGTGTCGATGTAGACATCAATCGCCGTATGCAACCATGCCTTCCACCACAACCCGGAGGTATTTGGTGCCAACCATAATACTTTCGATCCTTCACGATGGGATGAGCCGGAGATAGCGACCAAGGCTAAGCTACTGATGCATTTTGGACTGGGAGGCCGTCAATGCATCGGTAAAACTGTGGCTATGACGAACATCTATAAGCTGATGAGCACTCTCTTGAGCGAGTTTGAATTTGAGTTGGCAGAGCAAAAAGAAAGCGATATCACGAGCGTGAAATCAGCATTCAGTGATGTCCCAGAGTTAATCAGTGTTGGAATCAGCGACCTCGCTAAGCCTTTGATGGTGAAAGCCACCAAACGGACACGAGTCAATCCTTGATTAAGCGAGGATGCTGGGCTTCTGCGCATTTCCTTATACCTAGAGCCATTTGGATTAAAGACGAAAGAAATATGACTATCAGTTGATCAATTTGATTTACTATTTCCATGTACGAATTCAGGAACGTTGAAAGATGAAACTGCAGGTAACTTCTTGTACATTTTGGTGTATGAAACGAGCCATTCGCACTCGATGTAAATGTATGCCGGGATTTGTGCGTTTATAGTTTGGCCTTCTCCATCGTGGTTAGCTTTCGCAAGGGGGGACCCGCCCGACTGCCGTCGCCTTTCATGCCATCGCCGTTGGGCGCATCGCGAGGTGTCGGCTGGAGTCGCCACTTCTGTCGTAATTCCTCCGATGCTTTGTTCTCGAAGCAGTCTGCAATGTATTTGCCCAAAATAGGGAGGAATTTGAAACCACTGACAAGAACGTTAGTTTGGAAATTCTTTCAAACTGAATAGTAATATCTGGCCGGAAAAACTTACTGTCCAGCTCCTCCAGTAGCAACGAAAAGGCCCTGCAGAGTCGGGTGATTGTCGATAATGAAATCGCCCTTAGGGGTATCCGTGTACCAACACAGACGGCGGTTCATCCAGGGCCGATCGGCAAACTTAGGGAAGAACTGACGTAGACCCTTCCTCAGATCCTCATCAGCATCCTCGGGCAGGTATCCGGTCTCCGAGTTACTGCTATCAAATTTGGGTGCTGAGATAGTGCGCTTGACTCCGTCCACATCCACAGTGACCTCGTTGGCATATCCATATCCGTGACGCGCAAGCTTCAAAATATTGCTGCCAGGGGTCGGTGGGAACACGAACACGCCAGTGGTCATATTGATCATGACGGGCGTGTTGTCCAGAGAGCGTGCTTCCTCTTGAGTCAGCTGGATGAAGCCGACAGGCTGTCCGGAGGATGATGCAGCATGTGCGACGTTCAAGAGGCGAGGTGTCCAGGCTCCGGTGCTCAGGATAACCCGAGACGCGCGGAGAGAACTCCCATCGACAAGATTGACTCCCACAACCCGGGATCCCTCGCGAAGGAGAGACACCACACTTCCACGAGGTCCGGTAATGATAGAGATACCTTCCACGCTGCAGCGAGAGGCCAACTTTTGAATGCTTCCGGCGGCATCCGCCCATCCACCCCTGCGGTTGAGGTATCCGCTCATGCCAGCCAAATTGGACTGAATGTTCGGATATGATTTGACCAGGCTTGACGCATCATCTAGATCTTCAACAGTGCCACCATTGGCCCGCACGGTCGCCGCGGACTTTGTAATCCAGTCGTTCTCCGGCGTCTCCGACAAAAGTGCAAAGCCGGATTCATAGTAGTGCTCCTTGTATTCAGTCTTCCAGCCTTGATATGCCTCATAGGCCATTTGACAATAGACTGGGTCGGCATAGTCAATACGAATGATGCGCGAGATATCCACACTGCTCCCATCTACAGCGGGAGGGTTGTACCGGTCCAGAACGGTGACATCAGTATAGCCACGGCGTTTCAGCTCCAGAGCAGTGCTGAGGCCGAATACACCGGCACCAACAATGATGATTGAATCGGTCTTAGATGGAGCCATTTTGGTTCAATGATTTGTCAATTGTCAATAGAGGGCCATGACAATGCGCGTCGTTTTCATAAAAAGGTTCGAGGTGGAGGTGTGACACGGAGAATGCGGTATCGGCCGTGGTCTTGGCACGCGGAGAACCCGGAAGCGGGCCGTGGCCCCGGGCTCTTAGCAGACCTCAGAATATCACACAACCAGCGTGACTGGTAAATTTCACGCTGGATTGAGACTGAGCCAGTCTTCAAAGGCCTTTCCGTAATCTTGCATCTGTAAAAACAATGTCTCCTCGCTGACAAACTGTAAATTTGGATCTTCCGCCGGATTTGTCACAGGCACGCCCGGCGATATCTGGCCTAGTTCTTGTTGCAACTGAGTAGAATGCTCGGTTTGCTCAGGCGGATAGGTCACACATTCTGGGACCACAGTCTTGTGGCCTGATATACCGGCGGACCCAATCAACGCGAAATCGGGCTCAGCAATGTCATTAGTGGATGACATGCCTGAGTATGCAATGCTGTCCTTGGCCAGCTCCGGTCCAAAGATATCCCCGCCAGGGCTTGGAGCTTTGCTTGCATGAGAATATACAAGAATCTTCCATAAGAGCTGCAGATTGACAGACCATTTCTGCCGTGTGTTTGGAGTTGCCCCTGTTCCCGTCATGACACCTCCGGATGATATGCTATCACGTAGCTGTTCTAGTTGACGAGCCTAATAAAGGTCAATACAAATACCGCAGTCGATGTGTAAGGTGTAGTTTTGGATAAAGACAAACCTGTTGATTAACATGAGGCCATCGATGACCCAGTTTGTGTAGAAATCGAAGGCATTTTTCGAACCCTGTTTGCGCCTTCGTACTAAAGTTCTGGTCCTCAACGAAGCTGTGTTGGAGATAGATAGTCCCCACAATAGCAACGCAGTGACCCAAGGTAGGATCTGATACTTCGAAGTTTTTTGACTCGATAAGCTCAAGGAAGTGTATGATCCAGCCCGAGTGCAAAGTGAGCTGTTCAAACGAGTTACGCAGGAATGATTGCGGCATCGTGCGACGGAAATTGCGCAGGCGCATAGACAGTAGGAATGAGTGGTTGAGTAAACAAGGCACGGCATGCCAGACAATCTGGAAGAAAAGCCAAGGACTCCAATAATCACGATTCGCTTGCAGATCCTCGGGCGTGTGCTCGGAGAATCGACTTTCGTGGAGGCGGAATCTTAAAGGCATACAGCTCTCGTGCTCGGTATGCCAGTAACTGATCATTAGATAGTCTGATTGGGGATGCCAAGGTGGGTTTGTGTCAAAGTTTCCATGATTGATGGCATACTTGCACGCCAGCGACCACAACTCGCTAGTGCACATGTTTGCCGAGACGATACCAATGTCGAGCTTCGAGTCATTACCATCTCGACGAGAATATCTCTGCGCTATAGAGTTCTCGAAGGACGGTATCGCAAGTGTGGAGTCACCTTGTTGGTCGTTGCTCTCTCTAAGACACCATGACTGTGAGGTACCTTGGAGATTCTGCAGCATCATGACACTTGCGTAACACAGTCTCTTCTCTTCTCTCTCCGTGTCCAGGTTATCTAAGAAAGTATCATAATCACTCATTCGAATATTGCGAATAAAGTAGCTCGCCATTCTGGTATAGAACCCCGCCCGGATGAGGTGTCCAGCTAGTTGCCGTCAGTTAGCGAGAAATCACCTAGTGGCATAATGACCTTACCTGTAAATTCAAGCAAGCTTAATAGACAGAGCGCTTGGATCGTTGAAAGCTCTACATTTCCATCAGCCAGGCGCCCCATGACAAGCTGACAGGCTCGTTCAGTTTTCGCTTTGATTTCGCGTTCGATCTCCCTATCTTTAATTCCCAGTCCACGAAACCGAATGCAATGTGCGTCCATGGCAAGTAGAAGTTCTGGGTCTCTGCTTCTGAGGGATGCAAGTGAGACGCTCTGTGAAAATAATGGCAATGGCTGGGAGTTGCAGAACGTGAGAAACAGCTCAGCCTTTGAGGGCTCTGGCGAATGTCCTCTTTGGCGGTCGTTAGTAACATTGCTAAGAAGCAGGGCAAAGAAAAACTCACGCGAGGGCTTGACCCCGAGATGGGACTTCGGAGCTCGCATTGACGTACGAGGTTGAATCATGGCTGACCACTGGAGTGGAATTCCTGTCTTGACTAGGTTGCCGGCTGTATCATCAGATGTTAGATAGGGGTGATGAAGCGGAATACGCTGAACTTACGCGATGTAGTCAATGAGCTGCTCCAGTTTCCCCTCAATTCGAGAGACACGATCATCCTGGATGAAATAATCAGACTTGCGACCGATTCGAAAAATGGTGGGGATTTCCTACCATATTCTTCAACTGCGACCCCTCGTCCACACCTTCAGCTCCTGAATAGACGCAAGTCTGGCCGAGTCGGGTGCAGAAGGAACAAACGGGCTTTTCGCCTGGGCATCTCGTCTTCTTCCGTCTAGCCGGCAATCAGCTTGTATTCACAAAGCAGCAAACAGCCGTACTCACCGACAACCATCGCAAGCCTGTCTGGCCCGCTTCGCGGGTCGCTCGTCCCCTGTAGGCGCCATCGTGGTCACGTGTCTAATATGGCTCGACAAGGTGATTCCCTCGCAATCTGTTGGATGATAAAGGTCCACCAGCTCGTTTCAATAGGCCATTACTGTTTTGACCCTGATAATTCACGAAATGACGTCCATAGGGCAGGATCGGATTGAAAAAACGTGTGGGGACGGAAGTGGGTCGGGGATGCCGGGAAGCGCCTAACAGAGCGGCACCACCACTTTTTAGTTATGCCAGTGGATTTTTCTCAATATTTTCCATGGTTATTATTAGTTTGTCCTTGATAACTTATTATGATGAAATACTTTCAATTTTTGGACTCATTTTCAACCTTGATTCCCGACACCAACGGACGGCCGTGTACTTGGTGTTTGCTAATGCTGATTGATCTACAAGTACCGGAGCAAGATAACATCTCAGAAATAGGCATCGTGCAATGATAAACAGATGCATGCAATTACATATAAAATGCGAGGCAATTTACTATACACAACCATAACGCTCAAGATACCTCGACTGGCAGCTTTGAAGAAAAAAAAATTGGCCCCAGCAACCCACAGCGACAGGTTTCAGTCAAACCTTCGCATCTGTATCGCGACAATACGTTCCGGCAACAGTCTCATCAGCTGTGGATGTACCAACCGAAGGAGTAGGAATCTCGTCAGATGTGATTTTAAGATCAAAGTTCGAAACAGTAGCCAAGGCACATTCGGCTGGAGGTTCCTTGGGAGAGAAAGCTGAACGACGAACAGTCCGGATGCCGGTTTCCAACTCGTCATCTAACTTGTCGACGTAATCATAGGCAGCCTTGCCCGCAATAGCCAGCCTCTCGTAAGAATCTAAACCTCCTAGCTTCCATTCAGGCAAAGGCTTGAGACAGCCGCCAATCTCGTATTCGAAGAAAGGCTTCCCATCCTTGCCCACCACCTTCCGACGCTCGTACTTGACCTTGGAGTTGACGGGTTTGTAGATCGGATGTGAAGAGTCCTTTTCGTTCTGTTCCTTGAACCAGTTCACTCGGAAATTCACAACTGGGTGGATGTATTCGCAGGTCTCGCCCATCGATTCCCCGTTGTCTTTGGCATATTCGCCTGGCGTGCGTCGTTTTTGTCCGTTTAACCAGTAGGCAATGGTGAAGCTGTCTTCCAAGATGCCCGTGCCCCAGCTAATTTCTCTAACCTTTGCTTCGGTGGCCTGTTGAATCGCCTTGAAAGGAAGTTTAATCGCCACCACCGCGGTTTTGGCAATCGAGTATGTCCACTTGGCGAAGGACTTGGGTCTAGGTTTCGTAGACGTGAGCTTGAGATCCGTCTTCCTACGCTGCAAGTTGAGCTCCTCGATGTGCCGTTCCCGGTCATTCTGTTCGTCCGTAACGACCTGCTCATTGACCGAGACATGGCCCTTGATTTGATCGAGCATCCAAGCGAACGCGATGTTTGACATGTTTTCCATGTCACCTTCGTCTTTGAGAGTGTCGTCCGATCCTCCGCCGATGTTGATGTGGAAACCTGGTATCCAAACTTGTCTTAAAACCGGGTGTTGCTCTAGTCGATTTTGATATCTCACTCGCTTTCTGGCTGCCTTGTTCCAGGCCCTCGCAGCCACATTGACTTGCCTGGCAGCCGCATTGACGGCCTCGTCAGTGGCTTTACCACTGGCTTTCAGGTCCTTGGCATGCTTCAAGGCCGCCCAGTAGCGCTTTTCAGCCATTTTCTCATCTTCCATATGGGCTTCTACCTGTTCCTTTGTTGCCGTCTTTTTGTTCAGATACCAAAGAGTCGGTGAGAATGCCTTTCTTCGCTCATCTAAGGCCAGGCATTGGAATGCATTTTGGATGTCTGAGCAATATCGGGTTAACTTTGCACGCTAAAGAAAGCAGAATGCAATTTTCGAGAAAGTGAAAACTTACTAGGCGAGAGACCAACGTTGTGCCATCCTTCGCTTGATGGGAGCTTGATCCCTAGGACTTCCGGCATTCCCAAAGCACCGACGGTATCATACACTCCAACCACCTCCACCTCTCGAGAACCCTCCTGTGCCCAGTCACCCTGGGGAGCTTTCGCGTATACAAAATCGCGATGATCCTTATCTCCAGCACCCTGATGCTCATCCGCTTTACCCCACATCCAGTCAAACCAAAGCTCACTACGGTGGAATCGCTTCCCCGGCTTCAGCTTCTTGTATACCGCCCAAAGATCTGGAAACTTGTTGAGGTCACTCTTCTGGCAGATTCCAATGTCGGAAATGAGTCCAGCAATGGTTCTAGCGGTATAGGCTCCTCGAGAGAACCCAAAACACATGATCTTGTCTCCGGGGTTATAATTGAGGACAGCGAAATTGTACGCTTCGATGATGTTGGTTTCCATGCCTGCGCCGGTCGCACCTTCAATAGCATCGCCTAACGCCAGCGCGGTGGTGCCAACTCCCGAATCGTACCAGACGACTTGCTGCCATTGATTACCGTCCTTGTCCGTTCCGACCGGATTCAGAGAGCGACATAAGCGGGTGACATTCGAAGGGACATTTTTCTTGCCCGAAACTGCAGACTGCCAGGTGCCATCGCAGCATATGATGATACGTTTTCGCACGGGAGTGAGCTTTGTGTCCTCCCTTTGCCGAAGAGGCTCATCGCCGAGCAGTTCAGAGATATCCACAGCACCCATTTTGTATGTAGAGATCCAGGGGTAGTCGCGATAATGGCTGCTGAAGGAGCGTGCGACCTTTCAGAGGTGGAAACTTGCCTCCATCGGGGGCTGCAGAGGGGTTTTATTTATGCCCTGCTTCCTTAGAGACTTTTTTCAGCTCCTCGTAAGGGCTTAGGCTGACTCCATCGCCCTTGATCCATCACCTCTACAGTCCGTATGTGCATGAAAGCTACAGGACGCTTACCCCTTTTCAGCTCCTTGCGGACGAACTGCTAATCCACAGTCAAGGCGCGTTGGGACGCTTAGCCGATTTGGGATCATTCGGCTCCCCCGCCATTTGTCTGATTGTTCAGGCCCTACATAATACGATGGTGGCTGACCTTGGCATCAGCTGAGTATAGAATCATGAGGGCCAATCGTTGGGGGCGGTTTTTGGGATGTGTGACCACAGATTCTCTCATTGGTACAGCCTCCGCATGAACTTTCTTCACAGTTTCCGGTCGGTGCGCGGGTGTGGTAGTACAGGGTCCACTTTGTGTGAGGCCCACGCGCTCGTCCAAGGAAGATCGGCAACTCGGTAAAGTCAAAGCAGGTGAGGGTCGGGTGTCCTAACTCAGCCTTGTAGCATCGAGTTAGGCCGACTGTCTGACAGCGGTTGGCTGTGCACAGCTGAATACCTAGGGCTGATTCTTTAAAATAGACGTCAGATATACAATTCAGCCCATCTGGGGCCAAGATGACATCTTTATCAATTCTCCGAGTGGACTGCATGACATGGAGGTAGGTTACAAAAAATATCGATAGACAAAGGAGATATTGCATTAATGTGTAAAAGATTGAAGCTGTTTTTGAAAAAAGTATGTACAGACCCCCAAGCCCGTCATCGAGCAACACTGGGCCAATCTACCCTTCACGCTCCGAGACAATTTGCTCAAATGTCTTCTGAACGGTCACTCCACTTTCTGAGATGACTGGTGTGAGCTCAGGATATAAAGCTTCTTGACTGCTACTGGTATAGCGGTAGGAATTCAACCGTGGCGAAGATACCGTGTTCACGATCGCTCTGTTGTCATCGACATTCAAATCAGGCCTCCAATAGCTGGGGTCGCTGGAGCCTTTTAGTTGGTCGCTCCTCAAGCTGGAGAGTGGGTACTTTCCCGGGCTTGCTGCATTCCGTCCGTAAGTCACACTTCCATCAAGGAGCCAGCGGAAGAGTGGACGAAGGGTGATCAAACTGCCTGCGGTGATCCCGAGACCTGTTTCAATCACTGACCAAATGGCGATTTGGTATGTGTTGCCTGCGAGTGGTTAGCGTATGTTCTACTTGGGTGTTCCCGTAGAAAATGAATCAAGAGAATGAGGCTAGAGGAACTCACGAAGGAAATCCGTATCCGCGTAATAATGTAGGAAGGGCAGTCGGATAATCACGGCAACACTCGCACTGGTTGATATTAGCCGCGTCATTCTCGGGATTAGATGGAACTTCACATACATTGCGCCTAGACTGAGAATTCCTCCAACGGCAATCTTTGTCCTACGATTCATCTGCAACGTCCATACCAGGAAAATAGGCAAAATTCCCAGTGTCAAGTCGCAGATGATCGTCAAAGCGCTGTAAAGATACGCAATGTCAAGAAGTGTCTGGACTGAGAGGCAAGTTCCCGAATTTCTAGGATCCACCCGGTTCCAAAAGTATGAAATGGGATGACAGTCGAAGAGCAGCACAAGCCAGAACATCAGACCAATTGCTATGACTGTGCCGATAATGCCCCAGAGAATAATTCGGTGAACCCTCTTGACGGTCAATCGTAACAGAGCGAGGGCGATCGATATCTTGGCCACGGCAGAGGCCCAAATATACAGCATTTGACCGAGCCACCACCACTAAACGAGCAGAATTGTGATTAGCCAGGAACAGCGAGTAAAGAAAAGGGTTAATTTACCAGCAGCGCCGTCTTGTAAACTTCAAGGCTAGTGAATTCGGCATAAGAGTGACCGATTCCATCTGTTGAACCAATCATGCAACACACTGCCAAGGTTATAAACAAGGCCTAGTAGCTGTTAGAAAGTATGTCTTGGAGAATTCTGGACTAACAATCGTACCAGAGCTGCGACCATCAAGGCGTCATCCCATCCGAAGCCTCGGACAAGGTATACTCGAACGAATGCCCTTAGTGCGACAGTTATGAGAGATATGATCATCATCACAAGGGAGACCACGAAGATCGCGAGACTTCGGCCCACGAGGGGCATGGGGAAGCCCATCTTGAAGCGAGGTATGTCTCAAATCCGCGAACAAACACCTGACGATCGCTAATTAGATCTGGGCTATCAGGATCTCATAATAATCCTGTATTGTCTCCTTATCCCAGGCAGCCTAAAGGAAGGGGAGCATGGGAAGAGGTTTGCCAGAAGAAGTTCAAACTCTGAACCGAAAATCCTCGGCCTAAGGAATACCCCGGCCATGGTAGAAATTCTGAACCAGCCAAGATCGAAGCGAGGGGCGGGGGATGGCGGCTAGGCGAAGTGGAGTTTCAGATCTTGAGCTGGAGCCCATTTCCTGATCGATTAGGTTAATTAACACGATGGTCGAAGCATATGGCCAAAAAGCTAACCGAACTCGAGGTCAAATCCGTGCGCTAGGGTGTGGTGAGATTCCACCAAGGAAAAGATTACACATCCTAGGATCTTGGGGCTGAGAACACGGACAAACATCGCGTTCGCGGTCCAGTCAGGACGGCTGAATATACTCCACTTTTGCAGCTATCGGTAGAAGGATCGCGATTTCAGGGGGTGTATTTGCCGAGGGGTCTGCGCGGCTTTCGGGGACTCGATTCAACCCAAGATCTAGAGCTCCACAGAATTCGTCCCGTCCCACAGAGTTGCGGCTCTAACCGGGCCAACTCAGGAACGAGCATGACTCGTAATCAATGGCCATTGACAAGATCCTCGTGTTATTGGATATAGCGGATCCATCTTGTCAAGTGTCCTGAAACATTGTTAGATTTTAGTAGCCCTGCAGCGCGGCGAGGCCCGATGAAACAAAATAATATTAACTCGTCAGCTTACCCAATGCCACGTTTTTTTGGGTGGACCACTTCCACAGTAAGACAACCGCATGGTAAGCGAAGTTAGCGGAATTTTCCCCTCAACCTTCATTGCTTGATTTCATCTATAACCATATCTTGTTGCCCTCAAAAGACCGCGCCGCCCTAGGCTATCGCGCTTTCGCGCCTCAGGCGTCAAGCAAAGGACATGGTCCATACAGTAGGAGAAATTGCCACGACGATTCATCGTGTGGCCATCGCGTGGCGGCTGGTGTCGGACCAGTTGGGCCCACAACCCCCAAGCCACCAGCCCTTTGGTCCCGTGGGTTGCGATGTTTGGCTTTGCACACAATCTTATCTCCGTGGATCATGGTTATGTTTTCCGCCGGCATATCCGAACGGACAAGGCTGACATATGGAAAGTGATCTTTACTAGTGTACATTCGATCTATAGATAAAGACGATCGCTTCGAGTTGAAATCAAACAAGGTTGCAGAGTCGCTAAAAACAAGTACACCAAAAAAGAAGACGAGAACAACAGAAACACATCCCCACATCCCTATCATGGATGGCCAAGCAGGCAGGCAAAGATGCTCGGATATACAAAAGGCGCCAAGATCATCCACAGACTAGACTTCACCGGGCCGAAGAATTTTTTCCCAGGTTGCCGGTCTTGACTTGATATTTGATGCAGTCCCGTCGGCAAAGCTACCGTCATCACAGATGGGCCACTCGTCAGGCCTCAACCAGTACTGGTCGTGAGAAACTTGCCCTTTCAGCTTGCCCTGGAAGTCAAGAGGGTCGATGAAAGTCTCCCATGGATCACGGCGATCGATCCACCCGGGTCCCATACGCTCGGTGCGACCATCAGTGTCGAGATAACGCGTCTTATTCCGGGGCAAAAAGCGACCGGGATGAAGCAAGTTCAACCAGAAAGTGAAAATTAACATAGGTCCCAGCTCAAAGGCAAACAGATACCATTCATTGCTAAGAATCGGGCCACAGTTCTCGGTGCAGCCGAGATTGCCAAACATCTCGAAAGACTCGACAGCGCGGAAGATGCAGCGAAGTAAGATGAATGTGGAAGTCCCGTATAGTGTCATGCAGATAGTTTTCACGTTTCGAGGGACCGGCCCTGCCTTGGCAGCTCGAATATGGACCATTGCGACAACAGTGATCACCAGGCCTTCAACAACGGCCTGAAGGATGAGACCAACAGCAATTAGAACGCCACCGCTCTTGTATTGCTCCAGATCATCACCAGCTGCTGCATTCTTGGCCGCGCCTGCCACAGTGATACCTTCAACTGCAGCACCGGCATACACGAAAACCATGAGAACGCGATTGGGATGGAACACGGCGTGCATGGGAAGGTAGTTCATAAGTCGACCGACGATATTATATGCGGCGGCGGAGTAGACGGGAGGAGCAAGGTAGATGAATATAGATTGGGCGATGAACAGATTCTTATTTGCGGGATGGTAGCTGCTGATGCATCGCAGGATCCAGCCGATTGTAAAAATTAGGCCGCCCCAAAATGCCCAGAAGGTCACTCTCCAAAAGTGATAACGACTATTTAGTAGTTAGTATTAAGGTCAGTGAGACCATAGGTGTATTTTGAATGCTCACAAGTTTTGCCAAATGTGCGCGACCAAGCTAACGAATACGACACCTGCAAAGACCGCAGGCAGCACATGGCTGGGATCGTATTTGTAGTAGCTAACCACTTCGTCGTCGGAACTCATCTTGTCAAGCTTTGAATGCTGGATTGTAGTAGTTCGTAGTTTGGAATGGAATCCTCCTCTTTAAATACTATTCTTCTTCGTATCCATCGCCATAATGAAGGTGAACTGCTCTAAAATAAAGCGCTACATCGGTCCAAGATCAGAAAATGATCATCCGCCTTGCGCCCCAGAATTCTGCAAACCAAGCCTCAAAGACCCATCTTACTCAAAATTCTCGGGTCCTTGATCCCCCATAGCTTATAGAAGCTCAGATAACCTTGCCATGGGAAGGCTGAGTTGGCCCCCAAGCAGAGATGCCCACATACATCAATTTCAACCAATCAACAGTCAGAATCTCGTTTGGGGCAGCGGCACATACGACCGAATGTGGTTAGACCACACGCCGAGCCATCAGCCAGGATGACGATGATGGCTGTGTCCTCCGCCTTGACATCTTCAAATAACCGCAGCACGGGGGAGTTGAGCGTTCCGTCCGACTCAAAATGGACAGCGTCGGGTCACATTATTCGGTTATTCTCAACAATCGTTCCTGAAAATCCGACGTCAAGGCCTGTACGCTACGCCCGCAACTAGGCACATCGGTTCGCTGTTACCCCACACTACGCGCTTTTAGGGGTCCACTAGAGGGATAGGACATGCCTGGCGTTCCTTCGGGGAAGGCTTGCGAAGCATGCCGCAAACAGAAGAAGAAGGTATGTTCATGCGGTACTGCCAAATAGAGTATCGAGAAAATTGACCCGGTGGGTATAGTGCGATGAGAAACAGCCATCTTGTGGACGATGTCTACGTCTGAAGATTCCATGCGTAGGCTCGGGCCAACAACGCTTCAAGTTCCAAGAAGAAAAGCAATTCACCAAACAAATCCGACGACAATTTAACACTGGCACTCTGCCCACTCCCAGTAGCTCCAGCACCTCATCATCTAGTGGTACACCCTCACCTCCAGGCCAACTCATATTCATCCAAGCCAGACCAAGCAGTAGCACCACGCGATTAGCGCACGCCTTCACCCAAGCCATCCAGCGCTCCACCGATATCCGGTACAACCTCGGGTGGAACTTCGGCCTGTTCCTCGAAGAAGTGCCCCGTCGCCTGGGCACGAATGAGGCGCTAGACCGCGCCGTCGATGCAATTACTAGCGCCCATACGGACTTCTGTACCCGCAAGCACGGATCGGTGCAAGCTTTGACTAAGTACTCGGCTGCGCTACGGACTTTGCGGGTCTACCTGGATGACCCGGTCCATGCGCAGGAAACGAATACGCTAGCCGCAGTGATGATATTGCTTATTTGTCAGTCGATCATGGGGCAGACTACCAAGGGCCAGTGGTGGTCTGGACATGCAGAGGGTGCCATGCAGATTCTAAAAGCCCGGAAAGAGTTTGGGCCCCGTAATGACTTCGAAGCTAAGATTTACATGTCCCTGCGAGGGAGCGTGGTACGTTCAGCCTTATCTCCTTCATGCCATTGATGGAGATTATTCTAATTACGTCATAGCTCTTCGAAGGGCTCTTCAATCATCGAATCCAACTCAGCGAGAAGGAATGGGATTCTCTCATCGTGAATGAATACGACGCAGACAATCCTGAAGGCCGACTACTACAAACTCTCTCTCGAGCTCCGGGCATAATGCGTCGTGCCCGAATGTTCCTCCGAACAGGATCCGATCCAACCGGCGTCCAAGATGAACTATGGGCACTATACCAAGCCTGCAAACTGGACGTCCACAAACTCAAACAATCCAGCATCAACAAAGATCTTTCCCTTGCTGAAGCCTTACCCCACGGATCCCACCGAGCCTGGCTCGAACGAGTACTCACCGTGCATTACGATCGCATATACGGGATCGGTCTCGTGATAACCCTATTTTTCAACTGCATGGTGCAAGCCCTAGAATTACACAGTAACGCAGTGCAAGCCGACGCACACCACTTCACAGAGGAAATCCTCATGCTCGCAGAGATCTCAGAGGATCTCCGGCCCGTGGGGTCTGGGTATCTGATTATCTGTCTTACGACGGCGTGGGCGGCGACGAGAGAGCCCGAGCTGAAGGGGAGAGTTCTCGCGTGGCTGTGTGAATATCAGAGTGATTTTAATAATCGGCAGGTTAGTCATTTGCAGCAGGAGTTGCAGTGGACGGCGGAGCATTTGTGTTTGGGGGATCCGTTGGGGTTGAGGCAGGAGTTGGATTATATGGATTATTTGTTGGATTGATCCATAGATGTAGGGGAACTGTGTTATCGTGAATACCCTTAGTAGACCATGAAGACGTTTTCTACCATCAACTTTCTAAGTGCTTCTATCTGCACGAAGGTCTACTGAAGAAGTAGTGAGGTCTTCAATCAATGGAGACGTCCTCATGTAACTGCATGTCTGACTTTAGAGCGGAAAGGCAATTTGCAGACTAAGAGACCTTTTACTCGGGCGGTATTGCCTTCAGATTCAGAGAATATCTTGAATTTGAGCCTCAACATCTCAACTCAACCATTATGATAAAGAGACCAACCAAGAAAAGTTCCACTAATTCATATAGAGAAAGGTAATAATTTAGTTTGAAAAGGAGAATACAGAAATGGTCCTGGATGTATGGTATGGACTCAAAAGTAGAACCAAAAAAAGAGGTTTCAAACAACAAAAGACAAAAAGGAACAACACGAGAACGGAGAGTCCAAAACAAACCCCAGACGCTATGCGAAAAGAGAAATGAGACCATGTGTGTGTGAACAGACTATATGGCAATGCACAGGCCAAGGCCTCCAAGGCCGGGGAACAGAGACTGCTAGACTTTCAGCAGAGTGGTATGGAAAGGGGTGAAAGTACGGGGCATTGCCTTAGACTCCAAGGTCTGTGGAATAATACGGGTTGAAGCAGATGTGTGTAATGATATAAGACCCGCCGTAACGGATGGGTATCGCCGTTCAGCGGGATATAGGTCGTGGGACGCCACGACGGAGAAACAAAAGGGTGGGAAGACCGGATAGTGTGAGAAAGCAGGGCTTGTGTACAGGTCCTATGGACGACCAGAACAGATCAAGGCAAGGGTATTTCCGTGCAGAGGCAGAAAAAAAGAAACCGAGAAATGCAGAGAGACACGCAAAACAGCTTGGATAAGAGCAAAAATGAACGACCGTCAGCTTCTGATTCACCACATATCATCGTCGTCGTCGTCATCCAGCTGGACGTCGTCACCAAAAGACGAGTGTCCGTACTGGTAGTGGCCCGAGTTGTAAGAGTGGCCATTTTCATAGCCATGCTGACTACCGCTGCCATGGCCCTGGTAGCGATCGTGTGGATCGTCGTCGTAGTCGTACATGGATTCATCGTATGTGCCATCCCCGTACTGTTGTTGCTCTTGTGCCTGTAAGAAGCACCGTTAGTCATCCAGCTCTTCATGGATAAAGGTCCAGGCTCCACTTACTTCTTGGTATCGCTGATATTGCAGGTACTCATCTGGCTGATCCCGAGATTTAGACGACCTCTGCGATCCGGAGGAAGCCACCATCATCGGGGATTGCATCTGCTGCACTTTTTCCAGATACGAGTACATGAAGTTACTCAGCAACACTTGAGAGTATAGAGCCCGGCGCGGATTGGCAAGCTTGATATGGGCCATGCGATAGATAGCTCGCTCTTCCAGAATGGAAAATCGAGTCCAAGGATAGTCCACATCAGCCCGCAGTTCCCGCATGGGAGGGTCGGGAGACAGATTTCGAGACGAGTTCTTCCGGTGATGGCCTTCTCCACTGTGCTTTTTACGTCCACCCCCAAAGATGGAGGAGAAGATGCCATCTTTCTCTTTCTTGGAGTCGCCAGAAGCTCGTCGCGCACCGTCTTTCCGCCGTTCCTCCTCCAATTTCGGATCGAGGCGGTCCATTATAAGGCTCTCCCTGCCCTTTGGTGTGGTATCCATTGACGACTGCAAGACGTCCATTCGCGCATTGCTGTGAGATTTCTCCGTATACTTCGACTTGTTTCTTTTCGCCTCGCTCTCCTTCTCCTTCTTCTTATCCTTCTCTTCACTACCCAGCAGCCAGTGCCAGCTGGACTTGCGACCTTCGGAATCCTTCTTCGACTTCTTGCCTTCAGACTTGCGTTCCTCCGGTTTCCGCTCTTCCGGCATGGTTGGAATGAAAGAGAGGCTGTCCGTCCGCGTACTATTACCCGGTATCATCTGAGGTTGATTGGCGAATTCATCCAGAGTAGACGTCGGTTCTTTCCCAGACTGACGACCCATCGGGGACCGCTTGCTAGGCGTTGAGTCGTGTACCGGAGAGGTCTTGCCAGAGTAGTTAGAGGGCACATCTCGGTCGGGTGATCGAGCGGGCTGAGGACTTGAGCTCGGTGATGGACGGTTGTTGTCGGGTGGAGGAGTTTCAATAATTGAAGGGACTTTTTGTTCGGTTGGGGGAGTGACCAGGGTTGAGCGGCCGTTGGAGCTGATACGAGAATGCCATTGTCGTGATTGAGAGCTTGCATTGCTTCCGATGGAATCTGATCGATCGAAAGATGCATCAGATTGATTGTAGGACGACAACTGCTCTTGTTGCCCAGCCTCGGGATTATCCAGAATCGAGTCAAATGTCGAGCTGGTGGTGGAGCCTGGTGTATATGCTGTACCACGGGACGAGTTAGATGGAGACCGAACTGCTCGCGCTCCAGCAGGATCTGTAGCCACTCGAGTCGTTCCAAGTATTGGCTGTTCCTCGGAGGCGGGAGCGATCGTAGGCGGTCCTGTATGCGTAGACTCTGAAAGCGCTCTTCCAACCCGTTTCGAATATGGCGGCTTCTCGCCCTTTTTCAAGCTTCCCTTCTTATATTGCGTCCGAGTTGATCGTCGCAGGCTGTGACCCGGGGGTGCTGGTGGTAGAATCGGCTTGTCCTCGCTAGCCGCAATACTCGCGTTCTGCATTCCTCGCACCAATAGATCCTTGCTATCCAGCTTGGTATCGTCCACCAGCGACTCCAGCTCCTGCAAGTTGGGACTCAACATGCCATCCCGTCGACTCGTTAGCGAACGCTGACGCTCCAACCGCTCAGCACCATCTTTATAGCCAGAGGAATCGTCAATCTGCTTAGACAGCATGGATCGCTTTCGGCGGAGCCCGCTCCCCGATCCCTGACGCTCGGGCGACAAAGACGACCCAAAGTCGCCCGATTTCCTTTTAATCACATCGGCTTTACTCTCGAGGAATGATTTGAACTCCTTCGGTGCTAACTCCGGGTGCAAGCTGGCTGGAACCCAGAATAACCGTGACGCGTCGTTTTCGTCGGCCGAGGGGGAGGGAGGTAGGGACGGAATCGAAAAGTTGCTGCCAAACGAGGGAAGATCGGGGTCACCTGCCGCCGCAACGTCCATGGACATGCGCCGAATCGCAGCCAAGTTGTTTAGCTCCTGGACGACCGCGGCGGGGTTGGACTCGTAGTCGATATCGTTCAGAGGAAAGGAAGATGTGGCGGTTTCGGAAGGCGATCGCGTCGAGTCTGGGGACCCAGGCTCGCTGTCGCGGTCGAAAGACCTTTGGCCCACGAGAGGCGGCCGTAAATGTCCATTGCTCTGCTTCGGTTGTCGTTCCGTTGGCGACCGCAGTGGAGGTGTGGAGGGGGACAAAGAAGACTCGGAGCCGGCGGCGTGTCGCGGGATAGTTGTGATCGCCTCGCCTTGGGGGGTAGTTATATAGCTGAGCCGCCGGGGATCGTTGCGATCATAGTCATCATCGTACATATGTCCAATAGCTTCCGTCACATGGTGGTTAGGGTCGCTAATCGAGAGATGGGTCGCATGGCCTCTCCGCGTCGTGTGTCCTCCGCCAGCCTCAGGGGCGCTCGTGGAAGCCTAACCGATAAGAAAATCGTTAGCAGGGGGTAACTCGCGTGGTTTGCAGCCCTTGATTGCGCCAATGAACTCAATGTCATGGCGTAGAAGCGCCATCCAGACATCCCTCGTTCGCGAGGGGAGCAGCCAAGGTAGGGAAATTGTACGGCGCTTCCAGAATCTCGGGTCCAGCCCAGCAAGGGAGACAAAAATTGATTTGAAGAGACGCACCTGCATGGGAACCAGCTATACAGGAACCAAAAGAGCCCGAAATAACCCTAAAGACCGAAGGGCGGGCACAGCCTGGGAGGGAGGGGAGGAGGGGGAATCAATGTACCACCTGGGGAAGACGATGAACGATCATCGAAGCGGGGGACACGGAAAGAAAGAGTCGGGGGGTGGGTGGGCTATCCGGTAGCTACCGTGCTCGAGCTGTCATTTGTGGGACAGTGAGAAAGGATAAAAAGACCAGATGCAAAGCGGTAAGCAGAAGAACTCCAAGGCGAGGGCGAGAAAAAAAACGGAGTATGCAAAAAGTGTTGTTGGGTTTCAGAGGGGGAGGGGACTTGGAGGTTTGAATGAGTTTGGGGGAATCGGCGGGCGGAGAGAGAAAGGGCTCTCTTTCGGTCGCAACACCTGATCATCCACAAGTCATCCCAACTGGACTTTTTCTACTTTTTACACCTGGCTGAACCCTCGACAGTCATGGAACACGCGCATGATAAACGCCTTTGTCCTTTAATTCTTTGCACGAGGCCCTGCTTAGGCTCCACTTTTGGGCTCTTCTACGCGCACAACAATACGGTCAGAAGTTCAGAACGCCTGGGCCATCGTTGACTCCACGGGTCTCTCTCCATACGGACGATCACAACCCAGTTTTCTCTGGTCTGGCTGTGTCTGGTTGGAGGAATCCCGAAGATCTACACGCGACCCTCTTTCCGGACCTCTGGACCTCGTTCTAGCGAGACTTCTCGGAACTTTTTATGCCCCATTACTTCGTATTTGCATCATTGACATCTATCTATAGTGCCGTCTCTACCTTCGACTCGACTTCTCGTTTTGTCCCATCTCGGTCTTTGTCCATTGTTCCAATCATAGATGATCGACAGCGGGCAAGTGGTTCATCTCGGTTCAGATTTCAACCTCGTCGGACTTGAAGTATACAAGTACGACCATGCGAACAAGCAGAGCCGTCCCGGAGTTTTTACTTCCTCGATCCGTGGTACGGGAAGTATGCAGGTCGAGGCTGAGAGCTTCGCCTCTTTTCCAACAGAGTCAGCCTCGCCATCAGCCCCATTGACACGGATAGGATATATTGTGATGATGCCGAGCATTTTCGATGGGGGCCAGATTGATAAGGATCACTGGCCATCCCACCTCTTTCCCTCGAGCCAGTGCCCTGGCTATTTCGGACAAGGGTCCAGCAACTCCCAGGGGCTGCCTGAGTGTTCCGCTCCCAATCGTATGGGGAGGATATATCTGCAGTGTCACTCAGCTACGGGCAGCGGGAAGAGCGTAGGCAGCGGTTGTGCAAGTGTCGGCGTAAGCGACATCCCGAACGCAGATTGTGCTGAATGACAAGAAAGTGAAATAGATTTGATGGCGCCTAAGCTGAAAAGAAGGCCGGCTGGCTTAGGGCTGAAAAGTAAAAGACATGGCGGTGGGTAAGAAAAAGGTTATTTCCACTCAGATATGACGGATATGGGTGAAATGAGAACCTCTAGAAATTTGCTTCAAGAGAGGCGCCACTACGCGCAGAACCACGCGCTTGAAAAATAAACTAGAAACCGAATGATCCAAGAACCTTGCTAGCCATAACAATGAGAACGAAAAAAAGACTCCAGCGCTCAAGAGGATGAAGCGAATACGGGTCCAGAATGAAGACGATGACACGGATCCAACGCCCCAGTATATTCAAGCCAACCAATCAAGCCCTGTATGTTCATGAAGGGAGGGGAATCAAGTAAGTGCATCTTACGACCTGAAAAATCGTAGATCAGGTGTAAGCAAGCAGAACGAGAAAAAAAACCGAAGAACAGAAAAGGCTAAGAAGAGGCATCAACGTAGTTGCTGGAGAACATGAGATTAGCTCAGATCTTGGAAATCTTAGAGAAGAACGTGGGAGACGCTTTACTTACCTGGGGAAAATGCCAACGCGATCACCAATGCGACCAGTCCACCAATCCTCTGCCTTCTCAGTACGCTTCAAAATCGTGATGACATCGCCCTTCTTGAATCCCAGGTCTCCATCTTGGTCCGCATCGAACGTGTAGAGTGCGATCGCCTGGTCTGACCGCAGAGCCGCGCCCTGGCCCGTCCGTTGTCCAAAGACTGGCTTAGGAGCAGTCGGGCGGGTAGGGCGGCGATCGGAGTAGCTGTAATCATCGTCGAGTGGCGTGGTGTTGCTGCGACTACGTCCATAGTCACCAAATGAGTCACCGCGAGTAGTCGCAGAACGTCCCAGCCCCCCTGCAGGTCGGTCATACACATCGTCATCCCAGGATGTATTCGCGCGGCGTGGCTTGTCGCGGTATTCGTAACCACCGGCTGCGTCATCAAAGGTGCTCGCCCGGCTGCGGTTGGTGCGTGTGCCCTGACCGTAGGCATCGCCTGTCCGTCCTTCCCAGACAACATTGTCATGACTATCATCGTAGATGGGCATGTCATTGTACATCGAGTCACCGCCTGCACGTGCGCTGCCTTGGAACGCACGCGAGTTGAGGACGCGCATCAGTGCATCGGTCGAGGGCGGCGGTCGCACGCTGCCGGACAGAAGCTGGGCGGCACTGATACGGCTTTGATACATCTTCTCGTTGGCATCCTTGCGCTCCACGAGCATGCTACCCTCTAAACTGACGCCAGCAAAGAGACCCTTGGTCTTGGAGTATGAGAAGACCGCCGCGACGCCCTTGGTGCTGGCCGCACCGGCGGCCTCTGCATTGCGACCGACCGGACCAGCGGCCAGCGAGACGTTACCACCCAGTGTAAGCGTTCCGAACTGCGAGAATGCGCGGACAGCCGAGGCGTCATTAAGAATGAAGACGAAGTCGGTCAGCTCGAATCCGATCTGTCCACCCACACCCGCGCCAGCAGTTACGATGGCGGAGGGAGCCGACCAGGAGCCATCAGCGAGACGGGCAACGACGATACCGGATCCAAATCGACCAGAACCAATGAATCCGGCTTTAAGAACTGTGAGAATGGCGAGACCCTAGAGAAGGTCAAGTGTCAGCCGACATGTGCCTCTTCTTCGCTACCCCGCGCCAGGGCAGAGAGCCCTGCGTACCTTTGCACCAGCCAGAATCTCTGGTGGAATGACCTTGTCCGGACCGAAAGCCTGCCTTGGGTCCACAAAGGACGTCAAGATTTTGGCCGCCTTTTTGCATTCACCTGTTCACATGGGGAGGGTCGCGGGTTAGCCGGAGGTGCCGCGACGCAATTGCGGGGAAGCGGGCACGGGAGATCAGGACACATACTGCTCAAAGACGACGGCAGCGGGTTATGGATACCCAAAGGCATCGTAGCGGTGAGGTTTAGGAAAGGTTGAATAAGGGAGGATTGAGAGAAAAAGAAGGAGGGGAGAAGAGGGGAGAAAGAAGAGGCTGATGCTCCAACTCCGGGCAAAGGTCGGGCAGTTAGTAAGATGGGGCGGATCCACGGACATCCATCCATGTGGGCCTTAGTGATGGCTGACGCGGGACGGTTCGTGGTAACTGTGTAGTTCGTTGCATTTCCATGTTTCTTATGAGCTAATCTCTTAATGGCTGCAACTATAGGCTTAATTCTGTCACTACTATGTACTATTGTGCTCTTATACTAGCATTATTCACTCGAGTTCTGGTAGGTAGTTGCTGTCCTCTGGACTACGAATCGCCAAGCCTCGCTTCCTTGTAGCCAAAGACCTCATAAGGTATAAACTGCGTACTGGGAGTCTTATAGCGTGCTTGTATTAGTGTGTACGGAAACACCCATTTCTTGACCAAGCCCAATTATACCGTGCATGATACTCTGAAGATAGGTACTGAGGAAACGGGGGTTTGAGAACTTCAAGGAGGACTTGCAAGGTAGGAACAACAAACAGACCAAACGTACCTGCCCCAGGCATTTTTGGGATTTCGAAAAGAAGTTCGATCTCTCTCCTATCATATCTCTTCCCTCATCTCTTCGAATCCGATATTTCGTTGAAGGCACATGTCCCTCCTTGCTCAGCAGCTTGTTTTTGACCTTGTGGCACGTCCTTTACCCACGATTCACACGCGACTTCAAAATGGGGGGTTGGGATATTTTGGGAGCTGTTAATGCCCTACTGATGGCTATTGCCCTTCCTCATCTGCAATACGAGGTATGCCTACAACCTATTGTGTCTCAGAACTAAAGTGATCATGCACTAAACGTGGACCTTGAAGAAGCGAATTGAGAAGTTGGAGAGCGAGAATCATGCCGCAGTCCTGGTGAGAAATTATACGAGTTCATTATAAACTGGCTGGACTAATGCCTCCTTTCTGGGATAGGCGAAAAGCAATTGAAGGCAGCCAGGCCATCTCTTCGGCCCTCGACCGGATCGTCAGCATAACCAGCAATCACGAAAGCAAGGGTGCACTTCCAATGCGCCGGATAACCCTCGAGGTCAATAATATCCTTGTCAAAGATCAGCAGCTCTGTTCCAACTATTGTGGTACCATCCTTCTTTGCCCAATTCCCTTTCTATGGTGATTCTCAACAGACGTAGAACATATCCTTTTTCAGCACCATCCCATTTTATAGAATCGACGGTCAAGGAGCAGCAAGAGCAGTCTTTGTGCCAGGAGAAGAAGCTTGACCCAGATTGCCGGAAAAGGGTCTGAAGCCAAGCTCCAGCATTCTGATGTGGACATTGCAAGTGTTTTTTAATCCCATCTCTACCTTCTTCCTTAATCTTGATATCATATCGATTCAGCACGTGCAGATGTCCTTTCAATGAAATTTCAGTGTGAACCCTAACATCTGCAAACGAATGATCGAGGTAGACACAATTATGATCAAGAGTGTATGGTGAGCCGTTGACCGGGAAATGCAGATTATTGTTGTAGAAGTACTTTGTAGCAGGGTGTGTCCGCGATTGAAGGGTCAAACATGTCTCAACTATGTGGAAACAGCCCCGAGGTGTGATCGAGAGACAGGGCAAATGTCAACCTGGTCTGTAGAGGTCATGGAATAAGGCTGTATCGTTAATAGGTCACACTCCGGGCAGTACGGACTTGATCAAAGAGTGTCCGACAAACTCAGACGGGAGTGAAGCATCCAACAGCCGTTACAGTATGCCCATCTTTCATTCTCAAGTTGAATAAGAAACCGGTTCCATGGTCGTTGTTCAGCATTCGGAGTTAATATGACTCGTTTCTCACGTGGGAGAAGTTTAGACAAGGGGATGTTCTGTTCCCTAATGTACGGCTGGAGGCAAGCAAAGAGGTATTTGCAGCTGAGAGAAAAGTAGATTTGGTCGAGAATAGCGAGAAGTTTGAAGATCATGTGGGCTATCTCTTGAGGGAGCCTCTGGGGAGCCTGAACTCTTGACTGAGGGCGTGACGGCTCGAGGGAGCGCCCCAAACTGGAGCATGAATTCTTTTCCGATAAAGTCATCTTAGATGTGTAGGTATTTAGGGGTCATGCAACTTCCCAAATGTGGCAAGTGGTAATATTACAAGGTTATTTCTTTTGGCGAGCCTCGGGACACTGCGAACCCGTATTTATGAGCATCTGACGTCTTTTAATCTCACAGCCCGATACCCAATCCGATTGAAAGAGACAAACTTGCATCATTAGCCTGATGATTAATTTCCGGCTAGCCGTTTGTTGATTATCGAAAATTACGAGCATGGGCTATAACTTCACGAACATAGGAGGCACTGTGCTGTTTGGTGATTGGCCTACATAGGTATATCAGAAAATCTTCCTAAGCAGATGGCTAGGCTGGGAATTTTCCCAAAAAAATATATCAATATCAACTTCTACATTGTGAATAGCTTCCGGGTATTCTGCAGGGCAATATACCGCCGATGAGCTTCGCCGATGAAGGGCAGCTTCAGCGAACGAACGTCTACACTGCCAATCACATTTTTCCCAATCCAGATGGATGTACTGCTTGTGCCTCCAATGTTGATTCTCGTTTCTCGTAAGCCATGATAATGGAAGCTGATGACATGAGACTCGGCACCAAACAGGCAAAAGCGATCTCGCTTTTAAGCAATCTGAGGAAGAAGTTAATGGAGATTCAACTAGGCTAGGTCATATGACCAGTCCAGCGCACCTTCGTTCCCGATTAGGGAAAGATCACATCATGACCAGTTTCCCCCAAGATCTTGAGACGGTCATTATCCCCAACTCTCTTGGCTTCCTCTTTTTCTCTTGACCATCGACTCCCCCAAAGCTCACCCTCCAAAGTTGCAATCTTGACTCAATCGATACCTCGTGTTCGGACGTTACCAGTCCCAAGACAGCATATACAAAATGGGCTTGAGCGACTAGGCGGAGAAAATCAAGGTCCTCTTTAATATCGGAGTTTTAATTCTGCAGATTCGGGCATGTGCTCCACATTCCTATATTGAAGCAAAGCTAACCGTTGTGAAGGTCCTATATCTGGAGTGGGAGCTTCGACAAATGAAGGAAGAGGTCGCAAGGTTGAGGAACGCAATTTACTGATTGTTCACCAAGCCAACATGTTTGGCTGCTGGATTCACCATTGATTGAATCTCGACCTTATTCGCGTCGCCGTGATTCTCCTTCTCACTTTATGCCTTTTTCCGTGTCAGTTAGAGCCTCGAGTCTCCCATGTCGTGGTATCGACTTTTAAGGGGCTCCTTACTTGGGGTGCCTGCGGAGACATCTTAATGGAGTCGTGGAGCTTCATACTTCGTAACTGGATGTTGTCTTGTATCGATTAATTCGTTTCGAACGGCGAGAGTGGTGCCGTCTGGGGATATTGTGTTATACATACATGAAATACCACCATCTGAGTGGATGGAGTATAGTTACACTCACAGAGGCACAATATATACATTGCCAAGGACCATTCTTGTTTCGCTCCAGCAGCGAGTAGTCTGAAATAGTAAAGTTTTATAGGGTAGTCCTATAACATGGCTTCAGCCTGTATCTTGAAACCTGTCACGAATAAGATACATAGTTCCATCTTTGAGCATAGTTTCCAGATTGCCGAGTTCAAAGTAGTCAATCCAGAAAGGTGGGCGTAGAGAACTCCTAACTAATTTAGCTCTGGTACCCAGATAGTTCCTTTGAAGCCCTGTATTAGTGTAGAGCCCCATGGAGTAGAAGAGAGAGAAGATAAACCGTGAATGGCGAAATATTCTCACTCCAGCAGATATCAAAAGTGAGGTCATGGGCGCATTGAGAGGGCCGGGGATCCACATATCGGCTTGGCACCGGCACTGCGCGACCACGTCCCGTTATCGCATCGCTATCCCTAAACACTCCTCGGAGCCCCGGATTTTGAGAGCCACGGTCATGCTGAGAGTATAGTGACAATTGAGATCGCTTTTCATTGGACATGGCGACCGGTAAGACGGATCTTGTCAATTCAAATCAACCTCCTGCTAACATTTCCTAGTCCGGATCTGCGTCTGCGGCGACGAAGGCACTGGCAAGTCCAGCCTCATCACTTCGCTGGTGAAGGGTGTCTTCGTCACGAACAAGATCCAGCCCATCCTCCCCCAGATCACCATCCCCCCTACGATCGGCACGCCCGAAAATGTCACCACAACCACCGTCGTCGACACCTCAGCTGTGCCACAGGAGAGGAACAATCTGGCGCGCGAGATCCGGAAATCCAACGTGATTCTTCTCGTCTATTCCGATCACTACAGCTACGAGCGTGTCGCGTTGTTCTGGCTACCTTACTTCCGATCACTGGGAGTCAATGTACCGGTTGTGCTGTGCGCGAACAAATCGGACCTGGCGGCGGAGCACAGCGAGGCACAGGTCATTGAGGAGGAGATGCTGCCTTTGATGTCGGAGTTCAAGGAAATTGACTCGTGCATTCGAACGAGTGCTCGTGAACACAGAAATGTCAACGAGGCATTCTTCGTCTGCCAGAAAGCCGTTACCCACCCGATCGCACCCCTGTTCGATTCCAAGGAGGCTGCTCTGAAGCCCGCAGCTGTTTCTGCGCTACAGCGAATCTTCTACCTCAGCGATAAAGACCGGGATGGATATCTCTCAGATAAGGAGATTGGGGATTTCCAGACAAGGTGCTTTGGAAAGCCACTCAGTGACGAGGATCTGGCTCATATCAAGGAAACTATTCAGAAGGGGTACCCAGAGTCCGTGACCGAGTCTGGAATCGACTGCCAGGGATTCATTCATTTGAACAAGCTCTACGCGGAGAAGGGTCGCCACGAGACGGTATGGATTATCTTGCGCGCATTCCAATACACCGATAATCTTTCGTTGCAAGAGAACTTCCTCCACCCCCGATTTGAAGTCCCACCTTTCGCGTCTGCCGAGCTCTCCCCGGAAGGATATCGATTCTTCGTGAACCTGTTCCTGTTGTCTGACAAGGATAACGATGGTGGATTGAATGATGCAGAGCTGGCGTCTCTGTTTGCGCCTACCCCGGGTCTCCCTGCGTCATGGGCGGATGGTTCATTCCCATCTTCAACTGTCCGCAACGAAGCAGGCCACGTTACTCTCCAGGGCTGGCTGGCTCAATGGAGTATGACGACCTTCATGTCTCCAAAAACAACACTCGAATACCTGGCATACCTGGGCTTCGAGTCATCCGACCGCAGCAACCTATCTACTACAGCCGCATTGAAGGTAACAAGGCCTCGCAAGCGTCGGCGGCGCCCGGGGCGAGTCGGGCGAAATGTCGTTCAATGCCATGTCCTTGGAGCGCCCGGCTCAGGCAAGTCGGCATTGCTGGATGCCCTCCTCTCTCGAGGATTCAGCACGACATACCATCCCACCATTCAGCCCCGTACGGCTGTCAACACAGTCGAGCTTCCTGGTGGCAAGCAATGCTACCTCATTATGGATGAACTAGGCGAACTGGAGCCGGCTATTCTTGAAAACCAAGCAAAGCTACTAGACCAGTGCGATGTCATCGCCTACACCTACGACTCCTCCGACCCGGATTCGTTTGCATATATCCCGGCTCTGCGAGCCAAATATCCTCACTTGGAAGAGTTACCCAGCGTATTCATTGCGCTCAAGGCGGATTTGGACCGCACGACTCAGCGGGCCGAGCACCAGCCCCACGAGTACACTGCCATGCTGAACATCCCCAGCCCGCCCCTCCACGTTAGTGTCACTTGGACTTCTATTCAGGAGGTATTTGTGCATATTGCAGAAGCCGCTATGGAGCCTAGCACTGCGTTCCCTCGCAGTGAAGAAGACGTTGAGGGCAAATGGATGGCGTGGGGCATCGCCTTTGGGGCGGTGGTCTGCGCGGGGGCCGCAGCAGTAATGATTTGGCGACGAGTCAGTGGTAGCGGGCCATAAATGGTCTTTGCTTGGATTGCTTTGTTTAAATAATACCCCATTGATGATCGCATTCTTCCATTTAGCCGTAGGCATGTCAGAAATCAGTTAGTAGTTCTTAAATAGTTGACCCGACTCTGTTGTTCTGCCAAGATCGGCTCGCCCGGAGTTCGCCCGGACCCCCGCCAGGCACGAGACTTGCGTTTCTCCGCTCGACTTTACCCCGGACATCGCTTCGCTGATCTCAACGCCTCCTCTCCCACTGCCGACCTCCATATTCCTTCCTCAACCCTTGGATCACCACCCATTTGTACATACAGTGCCGGGAACTCCCATTGAACACCAGCAACTCCTATCGGTCCTTCACGAACCGCCACCGACCATCCCACCCCCCGGCGCAGCGAGCGCATCGGCTCTCTCTCTCCACCCGAACCAGTACCGTCCACGTACTTCACATCCAATCGGAGACTACATTCAGCCCTACTTTGGCTTATAACTTGGTCAATTTGGGTTCCATTTGCGACAAAGAGCATATATCAGGCATCATCCCCTGTCTGCAGACCACAGAGCGGCCGGTTCTGTGTCACCTCGATTCGTATTGGTTCGAATCGCAAGTATAAGCCCACCAACCCGTAACCATGTTGTAAGATGACATCCTCTTCCAATCTCTGTTTTGCTTCGTTTCTTTAGTAAAGGGCCTCCATTTGGAGCTACACCCAAGACGTCATATCATAGCTCCACTTTACACATCATACCACATCGGATGTCGGAGCACGCAATTATTGGCGGCGCTTGAAGCTCAACTTTTTTGCGCTACTGGCATCACCTCTGACGTGAAAACTTATTTTTCTAACTCACAACTAACTCGATCACCAGTGTCCTACCACCACCCCCTCCACGCTACACCATCCCTGTCGCTTATGCGGCGGGGGCTGCGAACGGCATGGCGGTTCCAGTTGTCGAGACGAATAACACAATCTCTCACCCCGAGAATGGATGTCCACTGCAAGTCGGAGAGGGTAAGTATTCATACTGAAGACTGGCCTTCGCAGCCTCAGATATCACCCCTTGCAGCTGAGTTTGAGCCACATTTCTAACCTTAAATCTTATCTCTCATGATAGGCACTTACACACTTAAGGATGACCTTCTGCTGGCAACACCACCTCCTCATCCCTCGGAAGCACCAATCATTAACCCGAACCCGCTTGCAACAGTCCCGTCACCTCCAACTGCTGGTGTAAAGGTCTCCCTAGTGAGCCTCGACCCGCGCAAGAAGCCTCCCACTTTCCTCAAGTCTAGCATTACGGCCCCAGCATTCGGAGATGGAAATGCTGCTCTCGCGCCACCAGCTGTGCCAGCCAAGGACGCAGCTAAGCGAAGAAAGCCCAAGAACAACATTATTAAGAGTAGCTCTTCGTTCGTCTCCAGAGTGATTACACACGAGACTTCGGCAAAGCGTCTCAGCGACCGCGACCCGAATGGCGTCTTTGCCTTTGCAAATATCAACCGCGCTTTCCAGTGGCTGGATCTCAATTCAGCTCAGAAGGAGGAGCACCTCACTAAGGTTCTGTTCACCAAGGCGCATATGCTTTGCCACGATATCAACGAAATGACCAAGACCTCGTCGCATTTGGATATCGTGATGGGCTCTTCGGCTGGTGATATCATTTGGTACGAGCCCATGTCGCAGAAGTACGCTCGTATTAACAAGAACGGAGTCATCAACAATTCTCCCGTCACTAATATCAAGTGGCTGCCTGGCTCGGAGAATCTCTTCCTGGCATCGCACGCCAATGGTGTTTTGGTGGTCTATGACAAGGAAAAGGAGGATGCCTTGTTCACTCCCGAACCTACCGGTCATGCCGACCCTGGCAGACTGCCCATTGAGATTCTCAAGTCGGTCAATTCTAAGAATCAAAAGACTAACCCGTTAGCGTTGTGGAAGCTGGCGAACCAGCGAATTTCGCACTTTTCGTTCTCGCCGGACCAGAGACACTTGGCTGTTGTCTTGGATGACGGCTCTCTTCGTCTGATGGACTACCTGAAGGAAGAGTATGTTTCAAACACTTTTATCTTTCTACGTATCTTGCTAACTCAAAACTAGAGTCTTGGACATCTTCCGCAGCTACTATGGTGGCTTGATCTGCGTTTGCTGGTCGCCCGATGGCAAGTACATTGTGACTGGTGGCCAGGACGACCTAGTCACGATCTGGTCCTTCCCCGAACGCAGAATCGTTGCCAGATGTCAGGGTCACAACTCATGGGTCTCTGCAGTTGCCTTTGACCCATGGCGCTGTGACCAGAAGACCTACCGCTTCGGCAGTGTCGGAGATGACTGCCGTCTTCTTCTGTGGGATTTCAGCGTTGGCATGTTGCACCGACCTCGTGCTGTAAGTTCCGATATCACTTCGTCCGTACTCGTTCTGTCTAACAAATCGAATAGCACCATCAAGCATCCACCCGTCATCGCAGCAGTCTCGTCGTGCCCGGCTCGCAGACATCGAACCGCCACCGGGCTGACAGCGGCGGTAACCGAATGCGATCCGACTCGGATCGAACTGAGAAGTTTGATGGGGATCTGGATCCCCTGGCCAGTCACCCTGTTGAGCCCCGTGCTCGGACTGCCCTGCTCCCACCTATCATGGTTGGTCTTATCCGGTGCTTGAGTTTGTGATTACCAGCTAATCAAAATTCTAGTCTAAAATTGTTGGCGAGGACCCTATCTGCTGGCTTGGGTTCCAGAAGGATTGCATCATGACATCCTCTCTTGAAGGTATGTTTCAATTCGTAATCGCTGTTTATGAGCTGTACTGATATGTCTGCGCAGGTCACATTCGAACCTGGGACCGACCCAACGACAGTGTCGTTAAGCAGGACCCTCGTCTCTGATGAGAGAAAGACGGATCTTACTGAATCGTTACGTTCTCGCCCTTCGTTGTTAGCTCTCCGTGAAAGAGCGGGATGTTCTTCAAATAGTTTTCCAGATACCCATTTAATCAAGCAAATTCAGTTCTTCGTGTATTTCTGTCTGTCCTAGTTTCATTCCCAAATGAACGTCCTTCCAAATCAGGAACTCTAGTCCACGGCATAATCTCATTGCATACTATATCACAGCTTCGAAGCCCCCAAAGCTTCGACATCAAACTCAGTCGTACACAACAAGAACGTATCCCGAAGAGCCTGGACAAGTCAGCATATCAACCTCATAATCCCGATAGTCCATCCGTAGTATAACTCACCGACAACCGATACTTCTCGTTAATCTCCTGATAATCCTCCCCAGCCAACATATCACAAAAATGCCGAATAGACGGATAATGCACAATAGAAATCTCATTCCACCACTCCTGCTGCGGTCTCTCCCTCGGCCCTCTCGAATCCTCCAACTGACCCTCTCCGGGCGCCACCACATTCCCCACCAACTTAGCATCACCACCACGTTTCCCCGCAACGGGGATAAACGCCTGCCCATACTGGTAATAGCTTTTTTTACCATCGGGGTGGTGGAAATGCAATAAATTCAGCATGGTCACAGGACCGGAGTGCGTTTTCGTAAGCTCGGTCATGAATTGGAGCAGTTGGGGCGAGACTTCTAGGTTCTGCGAGGAATCTTTGCTTCCTTCGCGGAGGATCTTGTCCAGGGAACCTGTTAGGGGGATTGATGGGGCGTTTTGTTTGAGTTGGGCGTTTCGGGCTGCGTAGGTTGAGAGGAGTTTTGAGGGGATGCCGGTTGTTAGTTTGTACTCTGCTGTGATTGAGGGGCGGAGGGTGGATGGGATTGGGTCCTCGTTGTTGGTTGGTTGGGTGGTTGTTAGGAGGAGTAGGAGATCCCAGGAGGTTGTTGCGAGGGCATTGTTGTCTAGTGTTGTTGGGTGGATTACGACATGGCGTGGGCGGGAGGCGACGATGACTTTGATATTGGGGGATTGCTTGAGATTGTGGAGGAAGGAGTGGGGGTCGGTGGATTTTGTGAGGGAGAGGAGGTGGAGAGTTGCCACAGGCATGATGATGGTGTGTTTTGGACTCTTGGAGTGTAGATCGATAGGTTGAGAAGTTGAGAAAGGAATCTGGGGATTGAACTGGCTATAAACTTGGTCGGGTCGGGGTTCGTTGTGGAGAAGCTGTTGGGGGACCGAGGTTCACTGGATTGGACGCTCATTGGCTGTTGAGGTGTATATAGTGTGTGTGGAAAATATACGGTTGTCTAAGGCTTTCTGGAAAATACGACGCTTTTAACGGTGTTTTCCTTTCTGCTCGAGAGGAGGGGACTGCCCTTTTGGCCAAAATCCTCATTGTTGACGCCCTCCACCTCTTATTCTCCTTCACTCCTCCGTTCCTCCACGCCTCTCTCATCCAACTTCCACACTCACCTTCTTCCATCCATCATCACACCATCAACCTCGTCACTGATATTCAAATTATCATTTCTGCGATCAAAATCACCACCATGGCTCCGACTCCGGGATTCAACGCTGAGGTTGCCAAGCATCACGAGCTTCTCAGCCGCGATGAACCCAGCGCTACGAACTCGTCTCTGAATGGCAAGCCACAGCTGCCAGAAGAGGTAGTCACCGCCCCACTCTTTTCCCTGCCTGCACGTACGGCTCTCTCCATCAAATACGAGAGAAATTACACGAGCAATACTGATGACTCGGTGTATCCTCAATACGGACTCCTGGGTCACCGCGTGGACGACTCTGAGGACATCACCCAGGACTCTCTCGTGTATACCAACACCGCAGCTCCTTGGTCAACCTTCATCTGTGGAAGCCAAGGGAGTGGAAAGAGTCATACTCTGTCGTGCCTGTTGGAGAACTGCCTGATCCCGTCTTCGCCTGCGGGAAGATTGACCGCACCGCTCGCCGGCGTGGTCTTTCACTATGACAAGTTCACGGGGTTTTCGAGCACCCAGCTCTGTGAGGCTGCTTACCTTTGCTCCTCTCAGATTCCAGTTCGCTTGCTTGTGTCTCCGACGAATTTCCTGTCAATGAAGAACGCCTACACCAATCTGGCGGGGTTAGGAAACGTTTCCCACATGCTGAAGATTGAGCCGATGTACCTTCCAATGAAGGGGCTCAACATCAGCATGATGAAAACATTGATGGGAATTGACAACGTCTCGACCCAGCCACTCTATATCCAGGTGGGCTCTTTGATAGTCAATATTCACAACAAAGAGATAGCTAACTCATCATTTCATAGGTGGTAATGAAGATTCTTCGGGACATGGCGATTGCCAATCAAGGTCGAGAGAGATTCGACTACGGCATGTTCCGGAGAGAACTCGATGCAGAGAACTTCATCAAGGGCCAACAAGTTCCCCTGCAAATGCGACTAGATGTTCTCGAGTCCTTCTTTGAGCCGGGTACCATGCCGAATGGGAATGGGAAGCCCCGGAGGCAGTCTTGTGCAGACGATATCTGGAAGTTCCCCAAGGGTACTCTGACAATCATTGATCTGAGTTGCCCATTTGTTGGTCCCGATGACGCATGCGCATTGTTCAATATCTGCATCTCGCTCGTCTTGAAGGATCGCCATGAATCGGGCAGAATCCTGGCCTTCGATGAGGCTCACAAGGTATTCACTTCAATCTATTTCAAAGAAAACATGGACTCAAAGCTAATATGTACGGTCTCTCTTTTAGTTCCTGACGGCAACGTCATCCGAAGCAATGGAGTTGACGGAAAACCTCCTCTCCATTGTACGACAACAGCGGCACTTGGGCACACGCGTCCTCATCGCCACCCAAGAGCCAACCATCTCACCCATCCTCCTCGATCTTTGCAATCTGACCATAATCCACCGCTTCACTTCCCCGGCTTGGTTCAAAGCGATCAAAGCCCACATTGCAGGGGCCCGCGAGAATGCCGAGGCTAGAGAAAGCCTGGAGCGTGATCTCTTCCGAAAGATCGTCCAGCTCAGTACGGGCGAGGCATTGCTTTTCTGCCCGACTGCACTGTTGGATGTCATGAGACGAGGTGATTCGAGTCCCGGGGGGCTGAGCTCTAGCGACTCCGGCCAAATGACGGACGATGAGGATTTCACAACTGGAGATCATCATGCTGTTCAACTGGGGGCTGGTCATGTCCATGTTCGTGTGCGGAAGCGTGTCACTGCAGATGGTGGTCGAAGTATCATTGCGCAGTGACAAGGTTGTACCCACACTCTTATCTGTACGATTTAGGAATGTTGTGTGTTTGTTAGATTAGAAACAGGGGATGTGCATGTACGAGTATCTCAATTGAAAGTACGAGTTCTGACGTTGAATCTGAAGTCGAAACGAGCTCACCTTTTTTAGTAATATACAAGCTGCAAGTACAGATGTCGAATCCATGATCTCCCTTTCAGATAAGCTAGTCCCACCATAATGTATACCTCGAGGAGCACAAACGCGCGTCAAGTCCGCCAGTGGCTTTTACCCTGTTGACAATCACAATAGATACATGAGGTGCTACGTTATTTCTCCGATGGAAGCCTGTGAGTTGTCTCCAGGCTGAACTATTTTAATCCTCTCCGGGCGGTGCGCTTCCCAATTAAAACCTTTCCGACGTATTACAGATGATCGGCCCCGCGATGACCTCTACATAAATGTTGATTCAAAGTTAGCATTATTGTCGCTTGGTAATATTGAAGCATTTAAAAGAATTATACTTGAAGCTGGTATCTCCTTAGCTGAAGTAAATTACATGTCTTTGTAGCGATAGCTCGTTTCCTGTGAGGGCGGCAGTGAGGTTGTAAAAGTTAGTGGACCTTGGGCATTGGCCGTGTCCTACCTCAATCCATGGCTATCAATCTAGACCATGGACAAGGTATAGATTTTGTTTTGATGTGCTAAGGCCCCTTAGACTCGCTGGCTGACAACCCCGATCTCACATAGCCAATCTGGATCCTGTGCCTCGGTCCGATTTACTCTCCTGCTGGCAGACTAGATCGTCGTTCCCATAAGTTGAAGCTCACGCCAGCCAACCCTTTCCCCGGTGATTGATGGTATATTCAATTCCAATCCAATACATCTGAAAGAGATTATCTCTAAGTGACAAACTCCCTAGCTCCAATCGGTCTGGCTGCTGCTTGCCCTAAACTATCTGCAACGATAATCCCAGGCCCAAAGTATCTAAACCGACTAACTCAATACTTGAAGCATGAATATGCAGAGAAAATGTCGCTCTTGCAACACCGACAGGTACCGAGAAGGTAGCATGACGCGCGGCTAGTTCGAATCGTATAGGCTGTGCAGCACAAATTCGCCGTCTACCCATTCCAGTTCAGGCCAAGATTATGTTCTCCTGAGCTTTCAGCACTCACAACATCTACCTCCTCACATATTTACCAAGATAGGCCGTATATCTGGGCTGGGTCCGTTGGTTTGTGTACTTCGTCGGAGGGGAGACACAAGGTATGACGTATCGAGTTGGAACTTCCGAGTGTTCTGTTCCTAGGGTAGTCACTCCCTTAGGCTCCGATAGAAGCTTTTAGATAGGACCAGGGCCAGTATAAAGATTATGAGCATTGCCCCTCGATACTGCCTTCCCTCGGTTTCTCTTTTCCCATCTGAGCAACCCCTCTATCTCCTGTCATTCACTTGAGGTTTCCGAGGCTCAAGCATACCACATACACTCACTATAGTTATTGATTGGTCAATAGTCTATCACAATGCGAGTCACTTTTCTATCTTCCTTGGTGGCCTTTACTGTCACTACCACAGGTACTGGACACCGTCCCCTGCAAACTATGGCTTTAATTGACGATTTTTATCAGCCATTCTCGTTACATATCCCCCAAAGGGTGCAAAGATCGATTGGAGCAAGCCAGTTACAATCAAGTGGGACTCCGTGGAGTAAGTTTGCTTGTTATCAACATTCTTCCACTTGATGATGAATAAGTATTAATCATAAATCCTAGGACTGACCCTTCCACCTTTGATCTATACGTTGTCAATCAGGCTGTCAACCCAAGTGTCTCGACCCTCGTCGCCTCCGATATTGAGACTTCGAAGGGATCGTACACCATCAAAGCTAATAACGAGGATTTGACTACTTCCGATACTGGGTACCATGATTAATCCTTTCACATGCGGGCTTTTACAACTTTAACTAACCCCATTTACAGCGGTGGCTACCAAATCGACCTTAAGTCGAGTAGCGGCGATGGCATTCTCGCTCAGTCGCAGCAATTCAAAGTGACTGACGCAAAGGCTGAATCTGCATCAGCCTCTAGCTCTGGTAAGGAAACCAGTACTGCTAGTGAATCTTTGTCTACCTCTGCTTTGTCGACTTCTTCTATGCTTTCTACTTCCTCGGAGGCGTCGACTACTGCCAGTACTTCATCGACGTCTGCCTCTTTGACTTCTTCTTCGACTGCTTCTTCCACTTCTCCAACTACTACTCACATCTCCACCAGTGCGTCTACCCACACCACTTCTTCTTCATCTATTACTTCACCCACTTCTACTTCTACCTCTACCTCATCTTCTATGACGACTTCTTCTACCAGTGCGTCTACCCCTAGTTCCTCTTCCTTGTCTACTTCTACCCCTTCTACCACTTCAAAATCCACTTCAATGTCTTCATCCACCACTTCTTCCTCGATTTCTACCTCGAGTACATCTACATCATCAAAGACTACCCATTCAAGTACTACAAAGACTCATTCATCTACTTCTTCAGCCCCCACATCAACGTCGAAGTCTACTTCTACATCTTCTTCTACTCTGTCTACCTCCACATCCCATTCCACTACGAAGACCCAAACTACTACACATACCTCTACTTCCTCTACAAGCACCAGTACTCCTGGTCAGTATATGGTGCCATGTCTTGGCTTTCGTTTTGCTTTATACCTCAACGATTCGGTAAACAAGTTACTAACTTTGTCTATACACAGAAACCTCTTCGTCGACCACTTCAACTTCGACTTCTACCAAGACGACTATGTCCACTACCCAGCACACCAAGACAATGGAAACCACCTCTACCGCTTCGGCATCTACTACGTCCAATGCCGCTGGTTTGCTCATGCCTCCCAACAAAGCTGGCAGTCTGCTTTTGGGTCTTGTCGCCCTTGCTCTCTGAAAAGTTTCCATCGGCATACTACTGGTCTTCTTCGCGGTTCGGCCAAAATGGCTCTCGAATTGACGAGGAACAGTGTTGTGATTTCTAGGTCACCTTATTAGGCGTGCTTTTGTTGGATGTTAAGAAACGAATAATGATGATTCGGGGCTTTCTATATCAATTGATACTAATAACTGTTTGGTGATGGCTGTGGACCTATGTATGTCCTTAATCAATATGAAATGCATGAATATCTATGGTTGTGACTAGTGTGCCTAGGAGGTGTCATGCTTGAAATATATACAATCACTACCTAGTTAGTACCGAGCCATATCTTTGATACCTGATTCTAGCTCGAAGGCATTCCATGTTAATTGAATTACCCCAAATTATGAGAAAATCAACAGATTTCCCAGCATTTGTCAAATATGCAGACCCTATTCGGCCAGCCCAAACACACATTGACCATCGCAGGATCACAGAGCTATTGTACAAATGCATCGGAAGGCGGTGAGGTGTTGCCAGGGATAATTAGGCGGAGAAGGAGGGGATTCTCCGTTCCAACGGCAGAAAAAGAGATGCGGGTGGCCCCAGTTATGTCATCTTTCCTTCCCTTTGTCAAGTTGTCTTTGCGCGTCGCAATCCGTGTTCCACAGGCCTTTTCGAAAAAACCACTGTCTTCCCTGCTCTGGTCAAAATTCTAGAAATACTGGCTCGAACATTCTTTTACCGCTGTCACCGTGGCCAGGTCCACATCGTGGCAAAGAAGGCGCACCATACCCCGCGTTATCCCTCATAGCGCGCGCATATCTCGCCATGGGGTCCTGCAGCGATGATCTAAGAAATGTATGTACTTCTGGAATGACTCAAGGTACTTTTGGCCCTTTAGTCGCTGACACATCTGGGACTTGCAGGAGCTGGAGAAGGAGTACTGTCCTCCAGTGGACTCTGCTTTATTTGCTGCAATCACCACCGATTTTGACCTGATGAACCCCAATGAGGTCAAATCGCTGCGTGAGACTCTGGACTCTATCAGAGATTTAGCAATTCAGCAAGAAGGTCTCCCCTTCGACCCATCAGGAACAGCCAATGATCATGTGGATGCTGCTGATATGGGCGCAACCTCATCTGCGCGACCCTCAAGTGCTGGGCGAGACACCCTGCAAACCCACACTGATAGCACCAGCCATGCATCGTACCTCCTAGATAGGAGTGACACCAGAAGCTCAAAGTCCCAGACCACTTCTCACTCCGCGTACACCATCGCTGCCGATGGGTCTCTTCAGTTTATCGGTGGTAGCGAGAAAGAGAAGGTGGATTTGCTGATGCACATGTTCCCAGACATTTCTTCATTCAATGTCGAGCAGAGCTTGAAGAAGAGCAATGGTGACATTGAGAAGTCGATGGACATACTCCTCAATCTGTCTTTCTTCGATCAAGCGACGGCGGACGAAGATCAAGTCGTGGTCCCCAAGGGACTAGATGGGTTCATGGCGGAGGTCCCCGACATTGGCCGCCACAAAGGGCGGAAGAAGAAGCGCAACAAGAACAACAAGGTCACTTTTGGGCCAAACTCGCCTTCCGATGATCCCCCTGCAACAAACAAGTGGGAGAAGGGCCAAGCTGACATTGAGTTCATTTGCTCGCGCACGCCGGATCTTCCACGGCAGAAGGTCGCATCCGCATATACGGCCAATAACAGGTCTTTGTCAGTGACAATCAGGGCCCTAGCGACTGCTCAGATGACAGAGGATAATGGGGAGCCTGCACCAGAACCGGTCATCCAGTCTCAGCTGGACGAGCTTGTGGGTGATTACCCTAATATTTCTGAGACCACCCTTATTGGGTTGCTCAGAATCACTCGCAACATGATGTCCGCCGCAAGTGAGCTGGCAGCCGAGATGATCCGTCATCCATCGGACATCTCCGTGGCCGACTTGATCAAGATCACAGCTCCGAAACTCAACCTCGATGACGAGGCGGACCTTGTCGACACCACAAGTCGCCAGAAGAAGGAGAACCTCCGCGGGATGCTTGACTATGAGGGCGAGCAAGCGGTTGCAGATGCCTACTTTGCTGCCAAAACCACTGCAAATATGCAAGCAGCGCAGGCCGCCCGGAAAGCCAAGTCAGACCCGTTATATGGGGGTGCATCACAATACTATCGTGAGGTTGCACAGCAACAGAGGGAGCTTGCGATGCAGCACCTCTCTGCGGCCTCTGAGCGGCTTGTGGATAGGCAGTCCACCAACGGCGATGTCGATCTCCACGGCTGTCAAGTCCCCCAGGCGATTCGCATCGCGCGTGACCGAGTCGAGGCCTGGTGGGACGGCCTTGGAGATACGAAGCACGTCCGTGGTGGAGGCAAGTCGGTCCACGGCGGCTTCAAGATCATCACTGGCGTTGGCCTTCACAGCCGAGATGGTAAATCTCGCCTGGGCCCTGCTGTGAGCAAGGCTTTGATCAGTGATGGCTGGCGCGTGGAGATCGGCCGAGGTTTCGTGACCGTTGTTGGCGTTGCTAGGCGTTAGCGAGGACGGTAGAAACCTCGTGGTTGAGAGGTGTTTCAGAGCAAAATCCGTGACTGGGTGGAAGGTGAGATGGCGGATGAACTCTGTCTTCTCGCAGTTTGCATCTTCAATTCTCTCGCACCTTCCAATTGATTTGACCTCATCAACGGGGAGTTGTTGGCATTCTGGGTGGGCGAGGTCGTTGCATGTTATGGTGAATGGCTGGGTTGGTTGCGGTGTTTTCCTGCTTAGATGGCTGCATTTACACTAGATACCCCATCATACATCGGCGGAGTTTTCATATTTTACATTTGCAAATGCATTTTTTTTTAACTCTGGATCTATATAAGTCGTATACAAAGACATTGTGAGGACTTTCTCAGGTAGAACCTTGAGGATACTCATTTCTTCCAGGCTCTATCCAGTGTATGTACGTCGTGCTTGTGTATAGAGCTCCGGTAAGCTTATCGGGATGGATAATTTCCCCGCATGATGACGTAAAAGAGCCGGAATCCCGACGAGTCTTTTGGTTTCCACTCCTCCAGCCCACTCAAGCTGCATAAAGCTTACTATCAGAGCCACCTTCATGCGATCACAAGCAATCCGTGCCGTCACTCCTCTTAGGCAACGCGTCCTAGCCCAACCTACCCTATCCCTCCGCCTCCATTCTACCTCGTCTCGAACGAGTCCTCGTCTGACTCCCGGAGCCAAGGCGCTCAGAGCTGCACCGACAATCCCGTTTTTGGGCGCTCTCTTCAGTTCAAAAAGCAACGCCGAGGAATCTGGAGCCATGTCATACCCCGATCAGCGAAGTGAGGATCAATGGAGAGCTGTTTTGAGCCCTGGTTCGTCATCTCTAGATCAGCATCTCAGGTTGCGTCGAGCTAATGGAAATCAATATAGAGCAGTTCCGTATACTCCGTGAGAAGGGCACCGAGCGCCCTGGAACAGGAGAGTACGATTCCCATTACCCGTCCAAGGGCGTGTATACTTGCGCTGGCTGCAATGCCCCTCTCTACACGGCCGACCACAAATTCAAGTCCGGCTGTGGCTGGCCAGCCTACTTCGACTCCATCCCTGGCGCTGTGAAGCGACATGTGGACAACACCCTTGGCATGAAGCGCACAGAGATTGTCTGCAGCAACTGCGGTGGCCATCTTGGCCATGTCTTTGAGGGCGAAGGGTTCCCCACCCCCACGGATGAAAGACATTGCGTGAACAGCGTTAGTCTGCGGTTTACTGAGGATGCGGATGCAGCAGCAAAGGGTTCAAATGAGAAGGCCAAGGCGTGATTGGATGTAGATGTAGATGAATTGTGAACTTTGTTTAAAGTATTCTAGAAAACGAGGCTGGGACGTACTTTAAGCAACGCCGAAGGACCTCGGGGGTTAGTAGATCTGCTAGGGATGTCCAACCACGTTGCAAAGATGGATAAATCCCATGCATCAGGGTAATTTAGTGTTGCATATCCCTGATTAATCCTTCCATTTCCCTTCTAGAAAGCTAAGACCAACTAATTTTCCGTTGGGGTCACCTCCAATTTACATCGAACTGCACGGCTGGCGCTCACCGCCCACCGTAAAGCCCCGGCAGCCTTAGGCCGCATTGCCGACCGCCACCTGCGCATGCGAGCGAAGACCTTCCATTGTTTCTCCTTTCCCACTTTCCTCACTCACTCATATCGACCGCTTCGGAATATGTCTCGACGCGTTACGCCGGGCCAGGCGGCCCAGAATCAGCAGACAATCAAAGCTCTGCTGAAACTCGAGACTAACAAGATATGTGCCGACTGTAAACGCAACAAGCGTGAGTGTCCAATTCCCCCTCTTCGAGATATCGGTCCGCTCGCGCGGCACCACGTCGTCTTCTCTCGAATATGGTTTACTAATTTTTTTACGCCTAGATCCGCGATGGGCTTCTTGGAATCTCGGTATCTTCATTTGCATTCGTTGCTCGGGCATTCACCGTGGTATGGGTACACACATCAGTCGGGTCAAGTCCGTGGATCTTGATGCCTGGACCGATGAACAACTCCAGAGTGTGGTGAGATGGGGCAATGGTCGAGCGAATAAGTCAGTCACTCGCAATTGGTTATGTCGGGCTCGTGCTAAAGTTCTACTAGGTACTGGGAGGCCAAGTTGGCACCTGGACACGTTCCCTCGGAAGCGTAAGTTGATTGTGACAGCGATACCGTTGAAGGCAATCTGCTAACCCTGTGTGCCAATAGTAAGATTGAGAACTTCATTCGAACCAAGTACGAGACCAAGCGCTGGGTCATGGACGGAGGAATGCCAGACCCCTCCACCCTGTCTGATGGAGACGATGACGTGGTGAGTGATGGAACGAAGGCCACACAATCAGAATAGCCACCGCTGACCGACTAGCCTCTTGCTGTTGTTCAGGAGAAGGCCAAGATTGAACGTTCCGCATCGCAGCGAGTCGCCGCACCCAGCCAACCTCCGGCGCAACGTCAACAAGCCCCGATTGACCTCTTCGGTGACGATATGATCTCTGCCCCGCCTCGCCCGAGCACGACCGAGCCTACACCTCGTGCGCCTCCCAGACAAGCGCCGCCGCCGCAGCAGAAGACTCACAAGCCCGCTGATTCATTGCTCGGTCTGGACTTCTTTGGCAGCACCCAGCCCTCGACCGGCAGTCGCCCCTCGAGCACTGCTTCTACACCCGCCGCTCCCACCGGCATGTCTCGACCAGACCTGAAACAATCAATTCTATCCTTGTACTCCAAGCCCCAGCCGGCTCCCGTTCAACATGCGCGCAACAATTCCTTTGGTGACCTGGCCTCTCCGCCAGCGACATCTACGACATCGAACATGGGTGGTCTTACGGATGCTTTCAGCGGACTCAGCTTCCCCACTACAACTTCCCCTCCCCCCGCCAAGCCAGCCGAGAAGCCATCTCCATTTGCCAATCTCGCCAATTTCTCGAATACCAAGTCGACCCCCGCGGCGCCCAGGGTTACCTCACCTTCGGGATCCGCTAGTGGTGATCTATTTGATAGCTTGACCTCCCCTACTCTGTCTGCACACAACTCCCAGTCGCGCAATGCCTCCATTTCTAGTGGACAGGACTTTGGCTTCGGCGGTTTTGCCTCCCCAACCACCAAGGCCGCAAAGCCCAACCCTCCTTCTTCGTCTCTGTCGAACGACCTGTTCGGCATGTCTTCACCACCTCCCGCTCCCGCCGCCCCAGCGGCACCTCCTAAGCCCACCGTTTCCTCTCCTCAAATGGATATGAGCTCGGCTTTCAACCTCTCTAGTCCTCCCATTCAGCCTTCAGCCCCCGCCAAGCCTACAGTGCCCGTTGCAACTGCTGCTGCTGGCGTCATGTCTGCCAGCATGGACCCCTGGGGTGGTAATGCCTGGGGAACCCCGGACCCGGTCCCTGCGCCTGCACCCGTGCCGTCCACTTCCACTTCATCCAACATGATGAAACTCCCCGACACTTTGACCGCCAATGACATCGGCAGTGGCTGGGGAGCACCATCCAAGCCCACTCCCGCCGTCGCTGCAGATGAGGACTTCGGTGGCTGGACAAGCGCCGCCCCCGTTTCCTCTGGTACTACTTCGACCACGACCTCCAAGCCGGCTGGCGGGTTTGGTGCTGGATCTGATGACCTCTTCTCCAATGTGTGGGAATAAATGCTTTTTCTTCCCCTCCATAGTGAATTGAGACATGAGTTATTAATTTTTGTGGTTATGTGTTATGTCTAGCATCATGGTAGGACTGCGCATTGAATGTTGCACATATGTCTGGTGTTTTGTCATCTCGAGACCCTGGCTTGCTAGCTATGGTACCCCATGAATTCCCCCTTTGTTTTAGCATGCATGTTATTACTATTATCTTTGTTCCTAGATACGAAAATGGGCTGGAACTTTGCGATATGATTATTGTATTCGTACTTTCTATTGTATGCTGGGTTGTATGTTGTAGATGAAGTCACATAAACTACGAGGTCATGTTCGAACCGCTCCACGTTGGATTGGATGTCCAAGACCTGGTGTCAGGGCTATGTTTTGCGTAGACATGAAAGAAATAGCAAATAGGCTAGGCCTCACATTAACGAACAGGGTGTGGAGAGCAGTCTTTCACCGAAGTACAGAAGGGATTATGGGAATGAAACATTGCTATTCCATTATACCTATAGCAAGTATGAAGTGCCAGGTATCGCAACAAAATTGGATATTAGGTTAAGAAGTTATAATGATCACCACACAAACTCCACTTTAAGCTTCTTATGCAAGTATTCTTTTAACCACTCTACTCGAAAAGCATGTAAAGCACGGTAGATGTAGAAAATAAATATGGACTCAATAAAGGGATATCAACAAGAAAGAAAGGGTATGAATAAAAGATAGTCCATGAAAAAAAAACAACAAACATTCAAGTCATAAAAACCCCATCAAAAACTGTGCTTGTGCACAAGATCCTTCGTACTCCCCGTCTCATCATTCGTAACTTGCTGAGAAATCGATTCCTGCGTAACAAACGTAGTAACCTTGATTCCGGAGAACCCATCCTTGGCCTCACTGTACTTCTCGCTAGCGCGGAATGACGCCTCAGAAGGAGAGAGCTTGTCCAGGTCGTAGTCTCGGTCGTCGCGGCCACCGATGACGGAGGCTTGTACTTGGGTATTTGTGATTGTGCCGGTGAGGTGGCTGCGACCTGTGCGGGAGGGACGGGTTGTGCGGCTGCGGTAGCCGTTGCTGCCGGTTGAGAAGATGTGCGGGAGCAGGTTGGAGAGGAATGCGCGGGTGCTGGGGAGGGAGGCGCAGATGATGGCGACGTTGCATTCGATGGCGGACCATTCGGCGGCGCCGACGTTGTCGTCTGTAGGATGTCAGGTTAGATTGAGATTCTTGGGAAGATGGTATCACTTGGTAATAGACTTACAGGTTGGATCGGTGGAGTTGGAAATAACAGCAAGACTCTTGAGGCGGAGGATACTGGTGATCAAGACGCTAAGAGGCACTGTTAGCATATTTCCAATGGATCATTGTCGGCGTGAAGACGTACAATCCACCAAGGGCAAAGACACCCATTAATGCAAACTTTTGTCTCTTCGGCAGCTGGAGAGACCTAAGCACCGGCATGGGATACACCAAAATCAAGATATCCGTCAAGATATGAATAGCAGAGTTGGAAAACCACAATGCCTCCTTGTTAAAGCAGAACCCCGGGACGGTAGGATCCCAGAATTTGGCGAGAGGGACGCAATTCGCCCAAGCGCTGACGATGGTCCATGTTCCGTAAACGGCGAGGAAAGCAATCAGAAGGTTACAGGCGAGACGCATCTTTGGTGTTGAGAAGACTCGGCGGTATTGCAGGAGAATTGACATTTTGGTGGTGATCAGACTGCTCTGGTAGATTGGGACTGATGCCCAGAAGCACTATAGGTGGGTCGATGCGATTAGCGGATGCTTTGGATACTGCGGATAATGTTTTGTGGAGAGCTTACGAGCATCTGCATTTTGTAGATTGCTTGTGGAATAAGGTCGTAATGTTCACCCATGCCGTGGTAAACCTCTGCGGAGAATGTTAGAAAATGACAAGTTCATTAGCGCTCATGAGATGGAACATACCACCAACGAACAGGCCGAAGAAGACCCATGAGAAAGCCTAGAGTTCCAATGTTAGTCAATTCAGCACCAAAGGCAAGTCGCTAGTTAGTGAGTTCTCTTACTAGAGCAACCAAGATAGTGTAGTCATCCGCTCCCATTTGCTTCACCAAAATGGCTCGAGTGTAAACCCGGACCAGGACAATGGCCGTAGCCAGACAAGTAAAGACGATGCTGACGGCCAGGGCCGAGCGGCCTCGTGAGGTAGAGAGTGTAGTCATCGTTGCATGTAGACGGTAAAGAGTGTGATGGGGGCCCGGAAATGAAAGAGTGAAGATCCAGGTGGAGGAGAAAAGAAGAAGAAGATCACGATCCAAGCCAGGACCACTTTCTTTTAATGTCAAACTCCGCCAGTGCTAGTGAGTGTAAGGATATCCAGTCCAGTAGTTCTGGTTCCTGGCCACGAGACGCTAACGCGATCGTGGGGCTAACTGGGCGGGTCCCTCTCCTCTTGAAGCGAAGCTCGATGAGGAAAGAAAAGCAGATCTATCGATTGAAATAGCTAGAATAGCGCACAAATGAAAGGGGGCGGATCCAGTTTTGTAGACTACAGGGACCGCCACCGAGGGAGCTATCGCATATAAGCTTGTAGGTTTGTAGCCACGAGAGTAGAAGTCAAAATTGGTTTTAGATTTTGGGCATTTTTTTATTATGCACTCTTTGAATCTTGGCAACCTGGTTTGTATACCGTTATACAGCTGTATTCCTTTATTTACGCAAGCCAACCTCGCCAACAGAGTTCGTCTGTCTTAGCGCCTCGTGGGAATTGCGGAGAACCGCAGTGTGACAACGGTTCGGGTGGCCAACAACACCACAGGGCCTACCAGCCATAAAAACCTTGTCTACATTTCAGGGGCCCAGATGGCGATTGCCGGTGGAGCTAGACACCTCAGCCCATATACAGTATGTACATTTTGACTATGAACAGTATTTTATGAAAAAAATTCTCCAAATGCATTTGGGGCCACGAGAGACTGCATGAATCGACTCCTTGCGGAAGGCGACACGCGGGCCCGTTGCGGTGCGGAGATCCATTGCCATGCATGGAATCCTCGATTGCCAATAAATTTGCCAATGGTATCATTGTTTATAACAATTCTTGGAATTCACGGACTAGCTAGTGGAGACTTAGGGCATGACGGGCTCTTCGGGGTCTGTCTGTTGGAGAGCGCTGGTATCTCGAATGCCCCTCGTTCTTGTTGGCATCAACCTCGATCCATGGAACCTCCACGGTCTAGTCCGAGTCAAAGTTTCTTTTTTTTCCCGTTGGCAGGATCCACTAGACCACGTTGGGATTTCCAACATTGCGTTGCGTCTTTTTTTTGCCCCTCCTACAGTACATAACGAGCAAGTCACAATCGAACCCGGATTATGATGATCATCTAACAGTGATATGATATTGTACCTATAAGCCAATGATCATAGCCGGATGTATTACCAGGCCAAGTGGGTTATATTCCTTAGCGTACTCGATTCAGGCACCAAATGAAATGCCGGAACCAATACGAACTTCACGAAGAACCCGTAGTTTTGCCCAAGCGGCTAAAATGATGACTATTGAGGGAGCTAAACTGCTTTAGTTAGGCCTTTTTTCTCTTCCCCTCTCCCTTGACAGTGGCAAAATATACGTGATACGGACTCCTGGTACGGGATCCATTACTATTGTACCTTGAACCATGGCTGTCCTGCGCTTGCGCTTGTCATCCCCGCCTTGGGTGGCTGGCGATAGATTTCAATAGTGCAATTAATGCCGACCTCATGGCCAGTAGGTAGTCAATAAAGTCATTTCTGCAGAACTTGCTTTTGCCCGGAGTACACCGGCTCAGCCTTAACGCCCCTACAAGAACAAAAAAAAAGTTATGCAGAATGACGCAGAAATCAGTTTGCAGGTGGTACGAGAGATTCACAAAATTTCTTTGTTACCAGCGACCGGAAGTTCGGCGCTGACAAGCCTGCATACAAGCCCCGTTATTTATCGCGCAAAAAGCAACTGTCGAATGTCGATCACCCAGTTCACTACCGTCTTACCCGAAGTCTCTGTTGTCCGTCCATCCGATTGATACGATACGCACGCAAGAGAAACAATCGAAAGCTCCGCCTATTCAGCGATAGACTCGGCATGATATTACCCATGCCGGATAATGTCCTCTTAGCCTAGGATGATCACCATTTCCGGGGCGTGCGCCCTGATCGCTAGAGCTTCGAACCTCCACTTGGCGTTGAGTCCGCCTTGGAGGCGATCAAGGAGCCCGGTTCACTTTGAGCGAAGATCTTCACCGGTTGGCGTCTCCACTGTTCATGAGCCGAGTACTACTGTAGTTTTTCTTTCGGTGGAACTGCCTTTTCGCGATAGTGATAGTCGTAAAATGTTGTAGACAAGGGAAAGGGGGCGCGACGATCATTTTCACCCAGGAGCGAATGGCATTGCTAGTTTGATGGAGAATGGCATTGTCATGGTTTGGGGAACTTGGACCGTGCTGGTGCACTAGTGATCTTATCATGAGACTGGAGGTGACCGAGTAAAGTCCGGGTGATGAGGAAGTTATCGAATTTTCTGTGCAGGAGGCCAGGGGTGATATATTGTCATGCGCATCTTTTCACTGGAGATAGCGTGTGCCGCTATTGCATATTGAGCTCGATTTGGGGATGCTATGCGTTTTCTCGGAGGAAAGGAACATGCAAAGAACAATCTAATCAAGTTCAATGGTTCGTGCTCGAGACCTAGAACAGTCGATTCATTCTCCAAGTCAACTACGTGCATTCTGGGACGCTGAGTGTACTGATCGCTGGAGACTCCCTTCGAGATCGTTAAGTTAACATTCGCTTAATTACAGCCAGGTCAATTAAATTGAAACTACCTCGCGATTCCCTCTCAAGGGCAGTCCTAAATGAAAAAGACCCAGCTGACCCTCCAGTTCAAACAAGTGCCATCTGGATACTACCTGGGTGCTCGGGATCTGGGGAAACCGCCGGAAAATGGCTTCCCCTTGTTGTTTGCCTGACATGGATCTTGAGATCTCGGCGCTGATTGTCAAATATGGAGAAACCCAGTCTGGGTTCGAACAATCATCCAGCTAGATTCTAGAACAATTAAAATTGGCATCCAACATGCAAGAGAAGAGTGGTTGCACTCCATCGCAGACCAAAAGAAAACATCTGGATGCGGGGAAGTTCCCCCACGCTGCGCCGCTTCCTTCCAGATTTGGTAGTGAATACCAACCAACTCAACCACATTGCGGCGATTTACTCCAATTTAGGAACATCATTGCCAACACATCGCCCTGATCAGCTGCTTCGTTTCAGCATCTATATCAACAACCATCAATCGAGCCTTACCCTGCAGAATGAATTCATTCAAAAATATATTCCGCCCGCTAACATGTACGCCATCGCCTTATCAGTATTTCTCTTCGCATACTTCATCGCAAAACCCCTCATCAGCTATTACTATGACACCAAAGGATTGAGAAAGTATCCAAATTTCACGTTCTTTTCTGGTATCTCCGATCTTCCCTTCCTCTTTGAGTCACATAAGGGATTCCGCTCGAGAAACTTGTTCGAGGCACATAAGAAACACCCCGTTCTAAGAATCGGTCCAAATGCTCTTTCGATTTCGGATCCACGAGCTATCAAGGATATTTATGGCCATGGCACGACGTGTATCAAGGATCGGTTCTACTCTGAGACGGCAAGCACGCATTCACATCTCGCGGATGTTGTGGACAAAAGTGACCACGCTCGAAAGAGAAAGGTCCTGTCTAGTGCGTATGCACTGAAGAATCTGGAGGAATGGGAATTCAAGGTTGCCGATGTTACGGGCAAACTTATCAAGGCATTCGACGCTCGATGCACCAAGCCCTTGTCTCAAGGTGCTGTGCCAGAAACCAAAGACCTGACCGTCGACTATCGAAATTGGACTGTATTATTCGCCGCCGCCGCGATTGCCAACATCGGTCTCAGCGAAGACCTAGGTTTCTTGGACGAGGGTACCGACCAGGTTAAATCAGAAAATCACGACGGAACCATCAAGAACGTTTCCTTCAGGGAATGCCACGCAGCTACAGCCCGAGTGTCATACCAACTAGTCTGGGCATACGACTGGTTCAAAACGCTTAAGCGAGTTAGTCAACTAATCTCGCCCAAGTATCGCCAAATGTGGAAGTTGGATGGTGACTGGGGAGGCATCGTCTACAACCGCGCGACTACCCGGTTAACGCGGTATATGGCCGGTGAGAAGCTCGATGACTTTTTCACTGCCATGATGGCGGATAAGAATGGAGCGCCGCATAACCTCGAATGGGGCGAGATCGTTGCTGAGATCAATATCATGATGAATGCTGGGCATGATACAACGGCAATCTCACTACGCAATGTTCTTTTCTTCTTGTTGAAGAATCCGACGTGCATGGCCAAGCTTCGCGAGGAACTCGACGATACTCTCGATGAAGATGAAGTCGTCGCTTCTTATGGGAAGATAAAGCACCTGCCATACCTGCGTGCTTGTGTCGATGAAAGTCTCCGGATGATGCCTCCCGTGATTTTCGGTCTTCCACGTCGAACGCCCCTAGAAGGTGCACCTATCCTTGACGATTTTGTCGCGGGCGATACTTCTGTCAGTATGTCTGCCTATGTGGTTCACCATCAGGAGTCGATTTTCAAGGATCACGACACCTATAAGCCTGAGCGCTGGCTGGGGGAGGAGGGAAAGGCATTGCAGCCGTTTTTCGTTCCGTTTAGTACGGGCGCTCGAGGGTGTATCGGTCGCAATATTAGCTATCTTGAGCAGACTGTGTTGATCGCTTCGCTGGTGCATCGGTATGAGTTTGCATTGCCATCGGCTGATTGGGATCCTGCGGTTCGTGAGACTACGAACTTGAGTCCTGGTCCGATGCCATTGAAGATATGGAAAAGGGTGATGCCATGAAAGGGGATATAGAGGGTCATCGCCGGACCATCTTATTTGAAGCGATAGGTCTGAAGTTTTTGCTAATGTTTCAGGAGATTAAGTAAATAATTAAATTTAAGAGATGTGTTGTTCCAATCACGATGATTCCAGCCCCGACGTGGCCATCACAGCCCAGCCCCGAAGTAGTTAGCGCCCAACGTAAAACCGCCTTCTGTGACTTTTCGGGTTTCCCCAGCCTCCCATGGAAAAAAGCACATGGCTGGGAAAGAGACAATTTCCCTTAAAACCCCCCATTCACATTCCAACTGATGTAATTTTTTTCCCTTCTCTCATCCTTCCATTCCAAGGCAGTCTTACCCTTGCTGCTGGAATTTTCTTTATCGCAAAGGGGCCCTTTCTATCTTGTGCAACCTGGTCGCTGGTGGGTATACTTCGAAGTATACAAACCCCACTCAAAGCAATAGCTGCCAACGAAGGCAGCCAAGGGGTCATTGGTGCTCTGTTTTGCCATTACCTTCTTCTCATAATCTCTTGAGATTAATCTCGCACTCTATCTCAACGATTGATTACCTTTAAACTGATCGCATACCACTTCTCCAAACCAACTACACCCTCCGGGGTCCCCACCTCTCAAAATGGTCAAACGAAACATCACCATCGCAATCATCCTCATCATCCTCTTCATCCTAATCTCATTCGGTGTCCTCATCGCCTACGCCATGAAGCACGAACTCGGTCCATTCGGCCAAAAGCGCGTTTCCGACGAAGAGAGCGACGGCGGCGGATAATAAATGTCCTCACCAACATGACTCTACGACTTGGGCATCGGCATAATTCACATATACTCCCCGTTGCTGGTTCCTTGCGCATATACCATATTCCCTCGGGAAACCCGATTGCACAAAAAATGACTCGATACGATACCCCCCGCCTTTCTCATGACTTGTTACTGCCGTTATGACGAGCTCGATATGAATGTCTCCCGTTCAGCGCTTTGCGCTTGTTTTTGATGCATTTACGCCATCATCAGTGATATACGTTTGCAATTCTTCAGTTTTCCATTGTGGCGTTTATGGATGGGAATATTTCTGGCTTTCTTTCCTTCTTTTTTCTTCTTGAATGTACTTCTCACGAGGGGTTTCTTATGGACATGGTCTATCTGCTATATTATACAAACGATGAGATAAATGACTCTTTATGATAAATCAGACTGGCCGAATAATTCATGAACCGATTCTGTTCAAACATAATTGAATCAATCAATTAACTAGAGCGAGGAAGAGTGAGCATTGTCGATTAGCGAACGGCATATGACGGACAGGTTCTTTAGGGGGTTTGAAGAGATTGATAGCTTTGTTGATGGCAAGACCGAGTCGCTCTCTCAATGAAAGGTTGGACAGACTACTCCATCAATGGGAAGTAAAGTTACTCAATTTTACTCTCTCTAACGGTCACTAGTGTTTCTGCCGACAACAACAGGATACTTCGGCGGAATTGCTATGTAGATAAATGACCCGAAGACTAGACAGAAAACCTCAAAGAGAAGAATGATAGAGGACTGAGCAGGATTGATTCCTCAAAACTACTTATGCATGGGATGTTACACGATTCTTCATAAATCAAATCCATGCCGCCAATGGTATCTCCACTAATCCTAATAACAAATGCAATATAATGCACCCATGCCCTTCAAACCGCTTGGACCAAAATCTCAGAACGCCAATTGAATATAACGGTATACAAAAAAGAAGGGAAAGAGACGAAAAAGTGAGTTAATACTATCCCCACTTAAAAAACGTAGCTGAGCAGCTCTTGAGCCCGCAGAGCCGTCGCTATATGCCAAGGTAAAGTGTTGCTCTGAACACTGCGCATACCCCATGCCCGGGCAAGAGATGACACGTCTCGGTACATGGAAAGTGTGTCACCCAGAACGCTCTCGTGTGAGATAGCGGGGCGCTGGGAGTATAGAAGGTTGACAGTCATTGAGAAGACACCGTCGCTATCGTTCGGACCTTTGCGCCGAAGGAGATACCCGCTGGCCAGCGCGGGGCGAAGCTCGGTGACGTGGGGAGAGGCGTTGAGACGATGTGAGAGGATGACTGCCCAAGAATCATCGCAGATATCGGTCAGGACTACCTCAGAGTCTGGTTCGAGGGAGGGGTCTGTGGGTGTCGGCGCGTTATAAATCGCACTTGGAGTTGGTGCATTGCCCGTTTGGTCTGGCGAGGCAATGTTGGTATTCGGGTTGGGGGTCGAGACAGGAGTTGATGAGAAGTGAGGGTTGAGAACACCCGTACTCATTGGAGAGGCAGCAGTGTTGAGAGTGAGGTCAGGGATGGTGTTGACGGCCACGATAGTGAGCTCTAAAGATGCCGGGCGCATCTTATTTTGTTGCTCGGCTAGGTTCGCCCAGGCTATTTAAAAGAGTGAGAAACAGGCAACTGAGGTGGGAGGAAAGGTTGGAGCTTACCATCAATCTCGTCAGCATCCATCGGGTCGGTACTGACTAGAACAACTTTCCAGCGAGCCTGGAACTTATCCATAATGTGCTTCGTAGTAGCCCAGATCTCGTTGCGTACTTCAGAAATCGACCTGGAAGAACCTCTGTTACGATAGCGAAGACAGTAAGACATGCTCGTCTGGAGAGATCCGGATCCATCGGACCACGCCGCCGACACCCAGCGCTGATCACAACTCTTGGAGTATGCGATATGCAGGCTTCGCCCATCCTGTAATGGGGATACCTTGTCAGGGGCAAGGCGGAAGTTGAGTGTCCTGGGCAGATTCTCAGCGAGAAGGATTGCCGGAGCGCAAGAAAAAGGATTTGATTCGGCGTCCTTCGGGCGACAACGACTGTATACTTCGAGAGCAAGATTCACATACTCGGTTTGCGTTGGCACCACCATAGACTCATCGGACATGATGAACTCTATCGGGATAATTTGCAGAACCACCTCATTGACTTGTTTGGTCTGTCGACGCTCGGCATCGGCCACCAATTGTTGGAAGAGGTTCCAGAAAGCGGCGCAAATGTCTGCCAGAGCTGCTGCATGGGGAAAGGGGTTGATTATGTAGACAACACTGTTCTTTGTGTTGGGGGCAGCAGATTGTGAGAGCTCAGCAGCCAGTTCCTCGCACAGACCCAGGAGAGCTTGCATCATTGAAGTATAGCCTGGCGACTCGGAGTTCCACGTCTTGAGACTATTGTCGAATCCCGTCGACTTGTCGCCTCGTGAATGTGTGCCAAAATTGCAGCTTTCGTATGAGAGCCCAAAGCGATCAAGGAAGACATCTGCTGCTTGACTGGCGGATTGCGGATGAATGCAGTATGCTGAAATATCCTTGGGTCCGTGAGCAGGTTCCAGGCCGAACGTCTCCCAGAAAGACATGGCGGGAGGAAGGGTCTCCAGATACCCTTTGCCACGACGAACTCGTACATGCGGCGCAGATAGTTTTGAAATCCAACTCTTACTCAAGTCCTTGGTGGGCTGCTGGGACTGAGAAGGATTTTGTGTCATGTCTTCTTGTAAGGACGTGTACCCCTTGAGGTCCAATTTCTGAATATCACCTAAGAAGGTCACATCATCAAAGGTTTCGGTAAACGATGCTCCTTCACTTTCCAGTGTAAACAATCCAACTTTCCCTCCCAAGGAATGGTCCAGCGATGACTGTGTGATTTGGTCAACCAGAAGCTGCGCGATTGGAATCTGTTCTTCACGTCGGAGAAGGACAGGGAGTTGTTGTATTTGAAGAGCAGAAAAGTAACCCGTGAAAGTCCAATCGGAGAAGTTGGAAAGGAAATTCCCCAAAAAGGTAGTGTTCTCGGCCTTGACTCCGGCACCCGAGTCGGGGACAACGGATGATATGGCTGGAGATGCCGCGGATTGAATGTCGGATTCGGAGGGGACCCGCTTTCTTTTCAGTTGGGGAAGGGCAATGGAAGTCGATGCAGGTTCGTATGGAAGGTCATCGCTGTCTTCGTCCTCATCGCTGCTACCTTCGGTGGAGTCTGAGGAGTCTCGCTCACGGCCATCTTCCACAGGTTGCACAAGGGCGTTTCCAACTGGCTTATTCCTCGCAGAGTTTGAGGTTCGCGCACGATGCGGCAATCCAACGGTTGGGATCTCGTTCAAGCTGGTCGCTGAAGTTTTCGTTGCACTCCCAGCCGAGAAGAAGAATTTTCCCGTGGTCCCATACTTTTGATCCCAAGCCCCCAGCTTCCTTTCAAAGGTGACTGGCTGGTAGTGGCCTTGTTGAGTATGGCTCTCTTCATGTTTCCCTCGATCCCCAGTCTGCAAGCCAGGAAACAGGATCTTTTTGATCTCCACAGGGCTTAAAGGAGGACTGATAGTTTGGCTTGGTGGACGCTGAGGCGGCTCGGGTGACGGTTCTTCCAACTCCATTGGGTCATCAACTGGCTCGGGGTCATCATTCATGGGAACGGAAGGTTCCTCTAGCTTGGGCACTGTCTCCACCTTTGGTACTTCAGGTGAAGCAATCACGGGCGTTGCTTCGTGGACCTGATCTATTTCCTCCTTGGGATGAATTGCATCATGTGGTTCCTGGGGGGTTTCTTGAGATTGATCAATGGGCATGTCATCCGCCATGTCGTCCATATCAGGATCGTCGAAAAAGCTGAAATCTGCGTCGGTGATTCCCTTGGATCCAAAATCCTTCTCATTCATTTCTCCAAAAAGATCGTCATCGTCACTTGCATCATAATGGCCAGTGCCAATGTCAACCTTTGGGGAGAGTTCGGGGTCTGGAAGAGGTTTAGTCTCATGAGCAACAGCGGGAGATAGAAGATCGTGGTCTTCAGGGTAAGCATCATGTTGGGCGGGGATGTGGACGCCGTTTGCTTGAGCACCTTCCGGGGGCGTCGGGTAGACTAGGTTGGTGTTCTGAAGATCTGGGTATTGCGCCATTCGGGAAAGGCTTTCTAGGTGTTCCCCGTGATCGACTCGGGTGGGGGACAGTCCCTCGTCTTTTTGCTGGGGTTCCTCGAATACAGGGATGTTCTGAGGACCAGGGGGAGCCTTTATAGATCCTGCATCCGAAGACCATCTCTCCGCAAACTCAAGAGGCTCTTCAAGGGATGTTTCGGGCCACGAAGACCGTATCAATACACCTGTCCTTCGAAAGCAGAACCTCGCCGGCCAAAGCATACGTTTCAATGGAAGTGCAGATTGAGGTTCATCGTTTTGGCGCCACGCTTCACCAGCAAGTCGGGCAAAGAAGGGTTCCCAAACTTCCACCTCAACCCAAGGTTCCTCGTCAATCGAGTCGATGTGCAACCCGAAATTCGTCAACCATTGCACAACATCCAGCTTCCATTGCCTTCTTCTCGCAAGTGTGTCGCCAGAGGTAGGGAATCCAGGTGAAGGAACAGCCGGTGATTCGATATTTGCCGTGACAAGTCGAGCGATGGCTCCATTAGGACTCAGCCAAAGATCGGTCCCTGGTTGTACTCGGAACAGATCTGATATATCATCGCGGGGAGAGCATAATCGTGTGATGCCAGCCTGAACAATCGTCTGCGTCGAGATAGTCAATGTTCCCGGGGCATTCAACTGTACATTCAACGAGGTCAGGCTGGGAGAAGAGAATAAACCCTCGTTATCAATTCTGGGGTTTTCATATCCAATCCTATCAACTGCGGTAAATAGGGTTCGTGAGCCAATTGGTAGAGCGCCCTGAGTGCGAACAAGATGCAGGCTCAGAGCACCGGTAACGGCTGAAATAAAGGCAGAATATACAGCAACGGAGCTGCTATACCCGTCAGATCGACGTGCAGAAGCTTGAGGATGCTGCGGTCGTTGTGATGGCGTTGGTTGAGATCCTTGTTGATTTTGACCCTCGGATGAAAGGCCCTTGATCAACTCTTGGCATGCGATACTTCCCGATGCCGAGACTACAAGCAAAAATGAGCGAAAATGTTCATCATGTCCAAATTGCACATATATCAGTGGCATACCTTTAAGAGTGGTGGTGTCCACAAAAATCTTTGTGGTTTCGACGTCTCCATCCGTGATGTACACGGGGCCAAGACTTTCAAATGTTGGGGTGGGAGAGAATACCCAGAGGCCTAGCCGTCTTGGGCATGATGCTAAGCAACCTATATTTCTCAATTGCGCTTCTAGATGCTTGAGGCGACCAAGATGCTTCAAGATCGTATAGCCATTGGCAGGTCCTTCCTGAGAATGACTGGTAATACCGGACTCCTCAGTGTAGATCCTCCAGTAGATGGTGGAGAAGCCATCCTAGAGTCACCGGTTAGCTATTGACCACGCCTACCAGACCAGAACGCTTACTATTAGATGTATGTTGGTGGTTGCGCCTCCGGGAAAGTCCATGATTTCGCAGTCGCGGACAGCCCCGGGAAGCAGGCACGGTTAAACACAGGGTGATCGAGGCTTCTTCGAGGAGTCATTTCCATAGATGAGATGCTCCACAACGAGGACCCTGAACGCAGAGCAGCAAGGGTAGCCCCATCAAGTGTATATGATCATCGCAGAGGACACAGACAGATCCGATCTCGGATGATTCTCGTCGCAAATGCACAACAACGCCGCGCTGCGCAATTCCGGGGAAGTTCGAGGGACGCTCAGGCCAATCACCGGGACCCGCACGGGCAGGTCACGTGGCCCCTATCGCTATCTTTTTTTTATCGCCGCGCATTTTTTTTCTTTACGATCTGAAGTCGAGGTTCCAAGTTGTTCACCTCGCCGCCATGAAGCTGTCAAATCAGTCCGAGGTACCGGTGTATACCATCTCGGGCTCCAACACAGCCCGACCTTTGCCTGAATGGCTGGCTCGACGTCGTAAGCGCAGCTTGAAAGATGACCCGGAGTATGCGAACCGCATCGAGTTGCTGCAAGACTTTGAGTTTGAGGAGGCCAGTCAGTGTGTGAAGGTCAGCGAGGATGGTGAATGGGTTATGAGTACAGGTATGATTTGACAGCGATCGTGGGTTACCTTTTCGCAGCTAACAGCCTCTTCTAGGCACATACAAGCCCCAGATTCATGTTCACCAACTGTCGCAACTGTCCCTATCATGGGCACGACACACCGTTGCTCTCAACACGAAATTCCTTCTCCTCTCTTCCGACTATTCCAAATCCCTCCACCTTCAAGGCGATCGCTCTCTCGAATTCCACACCCCGCAAGGATGCCACTACACTACTCGGCTTCCACGATACGGACGTGATCTTGTGTTTGACCGTCAGTCAACGGAGGCCTTGATTCCCTCGGTCGGTGTCAACGAGAATGGTCTGGGTGAAGTTTTCCGGTTGAACTTGGAGCTTGGTCGATACATGCGGTCTTTCGAGATCGAAGTCGGTGGTGATGATTTTACATCTGCGGGAGGAGGCGCTTTGCAAGGCGGCATCAACACTGGTTCGGTTAACACGGGTGCCATCGCGGAGGAGAGTCACAATCTTCTTGCATTCGGTACATCTATCGGAACAGTGGAGCTGTGGGATCCCAGAGCCAAGGGCCGCGCGGGCATTCTTCTGCCCCCCACCCAGTCTGTCGGCGACGAGATGCGCTCCGAAATTACTGCACTTGAGTTCCACCGCAACGGTTTGACACTGGGAACCGGTGCCTCCAACGGATTGATTCACCTCTACGATCTCCGATCCCCAGTTCCTCTGTTGAAGAAGGACCAAGGATATGGTTTCCCCATTCACACCCTCAAGTTCCTCCAACCGTCAACCGAAACCCGGGAGGCGACCATGGATCCTAAGATTATGTCCGCCGATAAGAGGATTATCAAGATCTGGGACCCCCGCGACGGTACACCCTGGACTTCCGTGGAGCCTGCTGTGGACATCAACGACGTGGCCTGGTGCAAGGATAGTGGTATGCTTCTGACTGCCAATGAAGGCCGCCAGCAGCACTCCTTCTTCATTCCTCAGCTCGGACCCGCCCCCAAGTGGTGCTCCTTCCTGGACAACCTGGTCGAAGAGATGGCCGAGGACCCGAACGACCCCAACGCATTCACCAGTGCCCAGGCTGGCTCTATTTACGACAACTACAAGTTCTTGACCGTGCCCCAGCTACGTACTCTCAACTTGGAGCACCTCATTGGTCGTACCAATCTTTTGCGACCATACATGCACGGTTACTTCGTTGCTCAGCGTCTGTATGAGGAGGCTAGGTTGATCACCAACCCATACATCTGGGAAGAAGAGCGCGCCAAGCGCGTCAAGGAGAAGATTGACAAGGAGCGCGAGAGCCGTATCCGTGGCAAGAAGAAGGTTGCCGTCAAGGTCAACAAGAAGCTGGCCGAGAGAATGCTTCTCGCCGAGGAGAAGCAAGAGCGCCGCAGGGCTAAGCAGGTTCTTGAGCGCGGCGGTGATGCCGATATGGTCGATGCACCCGCCCCCGAGACCGAGAAGACGGGTGTTCTGGGCGATAGCCGTTTCAACAAGCTGTTCGAGGACGAAGACTTCGCTGTTGATGAGCTCTCCCACGAGTTCAGGATGATCAACCCAAGCACTATCCCCGAAGCCCCCGCCAAGAAGGAACGCGGTCTGACCGCCGTCGAGCAAGAAGCCATTGACGACGTTCCCAACTCCAGCGACGACGACTCAGACTCCGAGAGCGAAGCCGAGAGGCCCGTTAGAGAGAAGGCTTCCAACAAGATTTCCTCCGCCGACTACAAGCGCACCAAGCGACCCCCACCACGCATGCAAGTCTCCTCCTCAACACGCACAAGCTCCACCCGCGATCGATCATTCGGCTCGCGCGCGCAGAACATGAAGACCAAGCAAAGACCCATGCGCCAGAACGGCGTCGTTGGTGAGCGCGAGGTCAGCTTCATGCCCGCTTCCAAGTCGAGGAAGCAAAAGCCAGAAGTCCAATACGACAAGACCGAGTTCCGGGCAAAGGAGCGTCGTAGTGCCTCGGGCAATACGTTCCGGAAGATGTGATTTGGTGGTGTTGTTTGTTTGCACCATAATGGCGTTACAAAATGGCGGGTTTTTATTCGGATTGTTTGGCCTGGTCTTTTGGGCTTGAATATGTGTATTCTTATCATGGTTATGTTGCATGACGGTGTCACCTTCTGCATTTAGAGCCTTCTTTTGTTATATACCTCAACCAGCACCCAAAAGTATTTATTTCTAACCTAACTCCCGTCAAGTAATGGACTTGACTGAGCACTACTCGCTGTATACCACGGCGTGAAAAGCGAGAACCTACTCATCTCACGCTGCATCTCGTCGTAACTACCCAAACTTTAGGCAGAAATGTTCATGCATATTTCGAATTGTAATCTGTCTGCTCTAGGAAAAATGCCCAAAGATCCAGCCTAGCCACGCAAATTATGTTTTAGCAATCGTAAACCAAAACAAAAGCCCCCAGGGCCAGGGACTAGATAACCTCGAAACCAAAGCATCACCTCAGCAGAGGAACGGCATCAAGTCATATCGATCGTGCAGTTTAGCAAATCCATCCCAATCGGAACCAATTACTCTGACGGGAAACAGACCAAAAAAGACCAACGCAAAACAAGACAGAAAACTAAAATAAAAAAAAAACCACTCCAAACTCTATGCACATGATATGATGGAGATAAAAAGGAAATAGCTGCTCAGATGAGAAAAAAAATCCGGTCTATGGTAGCAGCGAACTCAAACGCAGAGACATGATCAAAAGAAAGATACGAGGAGAGATGAAAGTGAACTGTTTTAGATAGAAAAAAGTATCTGAAGTCACCATTCAACCGAAAGAACAAGGAGGAGAGACACGAACAAGAAACAAGGCAGATTGCAGGGGGTATTGGCTTAAACGGGGCAAACTAGATTCGACGAAGGGGAAAAAAAAGATATCAACTCCAACAGCGCGGTCTCACTCACCCTCAACCACCACAACCTACCAACCACCGGGAAGCCCAGCTCCACGGCGCCCGCTACCTCGCCGCGAACTCCCACTGGATTCCGCACCGTGATTGCCGTGGCGGGTCTCCTCGAGACTCCGCCGCGAGGCGCCAAAGTCGCTCATAGCGAACAGCAGCGGCTCGTCGTCTTCGTAGACGGCTTGCGAGGGCGGGGCCCGACTGGTGCCGGGACGGTGGATGGAGGTGCGGCGGACCTCGGTCGTCGAGTTGCCGCTGTTGCTGCCGCTGGCGTTGCCGTCGTGGTCGTCGCGTTCGACCAGGTGCGGCGGGATGTTGGCGCCGCGGGCAAGGCTACTCGACGCCGAGCTGAGTGAGTGGCCGCTAGAGAATCCCCGACCCCGAGAGCTGGCGAAGCGCGGCTGGTAGACGTTGGACGCGGACGAGGCTGCCGAAGGACCCGTGATAGTCTGACCGCGAGTAGCTGTGCCGCTGGTCGTGGTGGAGGGGTCCTCGGATGGCCGTCGTCCCGTCGAGGCTTCGGGGTCGGGATTCTCGTACGCCGGCCGCTGCTGTAGCGGCCCGGGTGTCTCTGCTCCCAGGCTCATGCTCCGGATCACGAGGTTGAAGATCTCCTCGTCGTCGCCGGAGTGAGGTCGGCGGTGCTGGGCGGCGGAGCTTGAGCGCCGATATGCAGGTGAGAACACCCGTGGCGAGGTTGGGATATCTATCGCACCCGCGGTCGAGGTACCTGCCTGTGTACTTTCGAGGCTAGGATTCTCTTCCAGCGGCGAGTCGTGCTCTAGGTGCGTTCCTCGCCGGTCGTGCTCCGTGGGGACCTCATCTGCAACGCTGTTCGAACTCAGACGAGATCGGATGGCGGGAGTGTGTGGTGTGTGTGGTGTGTGTGGAGAGATGGGCTTTCCAGGAGATGAGGCGGTTGAAATAGAGGTGCCAGAAATCATTGGCGGCACGCCAGAAAGCTGCTTGCTCGAGGATGTGGAGGAGCGGTGCAAATGCATAGACGATGACATGGAGTCTGACAGCGCCGCATTGGAATCTCGCATGCGCTGGAATCGCGCGAGGGCTGCTGAGGTAGCAGTGGGCTTTCGCTGACCGGACTGGAGCGACGCGGTGTTGCTTCGGTTCATGAGATCCTTTGTCGAGTCTAGCATTTTCAAAAACTCGGAGATATTTTCATCGTCCGCGTGGAAGGACTCGGCACTCGTCCCAGTGACTTCTGCAAGAAGGCCAGAGCCTGGTTGCACGTTGGACGAAGCCGCACTGGCCTTGCCACTCGAGTTGTCGTCCTCATTCTTAGCCATGCCTGCAGAAGATGGTCGACCGCGTCGATGACTAAAGGAACTGCTGTAGCGGGAGATAGGTGCAGGTTTGGGGGAAGCGGAAGTAGATGATGAGATGGCTTGTTCAGATGCAAGAGCAGCAGGTTTGCGAGCAGAAGCTGCGGAGGAAGGAGGTGGCATCACCCGGGATTCTGCTGAAGTGCCCGTTGGAAGGCGAGCAGATATGGTGCGAGGTGAAACACCGAGAGGAGTATCCACTAGAGAAGGAGATGCGGAAAGTGGAGGAGCCTTGAAAGCTTGGAAGGAGATGGAGGGGCGACGATGGGAGCTTGACAAACTTTCACTCGCAAGTTGAGCGGCACGTCCAGTTGGGGGTGCGATTCGTGCAGCAGGCAGAAGTCTCTTGGAGTGCGCATCAGATGGGGATGAAGATCCAATGCCGGTATCTCTGGCCGCACGCAAAGCAGAAATCGGGCTAGTCCCCGTCGGGCCAACGTGGTGGAAGGTAGAGAGACTGCCGTATGCGCGTGAACAATCCGGGTTTTCCACAGTCTTTCGCTCTACAGGCACCGATCCGATCTCAGGATTCAGACGACCGACGTCATCTGACGGCAACGAGGGGCGGAAGATATCGTCGTCAGCACCCATAAAGCGCGAGCTCAACAGTGCCTCGGAATCGTCGACACGGAATTCACAGTTCAACCGGTATGTGACTTGCACTCTGAATGGTCCTGCCGGAGACTCGGTGGCCCCGAAGCTGTACGTGTCCACCGTCTTCCCACTTTCCTCGAGGAGGGGTAGCGTCAAAAGATCTCGAGATGCCCTTGACTGATCACTCCGAGCAGCAGTATTCGGATCAAGTATGCGGTACTTGATCTGCAATGCAGGACTTCGCCGCACCTTTGTGTTGCGCCGTGAGAACTTCCAAGCCGGCAAAAACTTGGAGTATGTGTACAATGACCGAAAGAGGATGATGCTCTTCTTGTACACCGTCGGCAGCATGGATCCCAGCTCGGCAGTGGGCTTGCTAGTAGCCTCTCCTAGCTCGATCCTCCACCGTTCCAGAATGACCTCGTCCGTGCCTTGGTGATATGCATGCGAGCCGGCGCCACGAGACGCCGCAATCGAGTCTTGTACATCCCAACGCTTCCCATTTTCATCCAAGATCACCAGGCTTTGGTTGTTCGTGAGTGCCGAGGCGTCCAAATACGTTTCGATGATAAGCGGCGGGGGTCTATTCGTGGAGGCATCGCAGGTCTTCCATGTCCACAACTGTTCACGAAGGACATCGGTGTCTTCTAACTCGACATTGAACTGTTCCATCCGATCCAATATATCAGCATTCAAGCTTGACAGGAAGCCATCAGAGACCGGTCGCGCCGTGACTTACCCAACGATTCACTTTTGGGGTATCTGAATTCTTAGCAAATGCAGGGGGGAGGTCGACACGCGAATGAAGGATGATGAGGGCCGCTTTTGTGTGGTAATTCTGCACCAAGGCGAAAGAACGGTCGTCAGTCAACGTTATCCATATGGAAGATGGCAACCCCCCACTTCGTCACATACCGAGATGATTTGATTCAACTTTGTCATAGCTTCTTTGCCCGGACCTCCAAAGTCCCGCGCCGACGGCTCTGATACCGGATCCGCACTTGAATCGATACCCAGACCCTTGGCGGGGTGATACCGGCCATCAGTGGTGGGGGAAGTCGGCACGGAGTCTGAGTCTTTGAGGTCATCTCGAGCGGGAGCAGATTTGGCGGGTAACTTGGGTGCCGACGAGGGTACCGCCGGCGACCGCGGGTGCTGATGCATGATGTGATTCTGTCAAGAGGAAGGTTAGGGACGAATTGTGAGGACCCGACGCAACAGAGCTTACCCCGACAAACGAGGTCGGGAGGCGAGCGCTATCAGCAGTGGCGGAGGGTGTTATCAGGAAGGCAACGAGACGGCGGTGGAGCTGGAGCCGCAGGCATGCTAATCGCTGTGCAAGAAGAAAGAGTCCGATCAAACTCCAGGCAGAGAGTGAAGGGTGAAATATGATTTGCGAATGGAAAAGGCCCTGAGCAGGCTGCGCATCGTTTGGTGGTCGGGCAAAGGGCAAGATTGGGTGGTGGATGCTCTAGAGGCGGACCTTTGGAGCAATAGAGCTTCTCCGCATCGACGAGAGCGGAGGCGGTTTCTCGTCTGGGGGGAGTTCACAGCGCGGGCACGTTGTGGCACCTACGGAACTATGAATGTCATGTTCGGGGATGTTGTGTTGAGGGATAGAATTTATGACTATGAGGGAAAGGGAGGAAGATGGAGGAGGAGAATAGTTGAACCAGTGGATGCAGAAGGGGTGGAGAGAGAGGCTTTGGGCTTGTTTCGTCTGTGACGCACACCCGGTGACTCGACAGGTCTCGAGGGTTCAAGTCAGCCTGGAACGCCACACTATAGCTGATCAGACTGGAGATGTGAGTTATATCTGCTTCTGCTTCTTTTCTTTTTTTTTTCTTGCAACTGCAGAAATCGGAGAAAAGCAGACCCAACGGGTGTGGTGCATCTGGAGTTGGTACAATATACCTTTGGTATAGTCCTCGTACTCCGGTCGCAATACGATACTTTCGATACTTTCGGAAAGACCAAAAGATAAGGAAATCCCCAGCTGATCATCTCCCAGCTGATCGTCCGAGCACAATCACGTTAACATACCAGATACTTGAGAGGGTCATTCACTGTCGCTTTGTCTTGTGTAAGACATACCATCTCCTCCGTATTCGGAGTCATACTACTGCTACAGTTCATTGTTCTCTGGTACTGGAAATCCTTTCGCGAGCCACTTTCCCCTTTTAAGCTCGTACATTTTGTCTACTAATGTTAATGACTGTCTCGGTCTCGACCTCATGGCTGCCTAATTATGATTCAACATTCTACAGGGATTGCAGTCTCCAAGAAGGCCACAGAATATCGGGCGGAGTTGCAGTTTGGTGCGCGACTCCTGCCAGGCAGACCGCCGGGCGCACTGCAGCAGAGCCGCGACGAATGACGCAAGCGAGCACGGAATAAGGATCATTGAAGTTTAATTCGGGTTGTAGTGGAGGTGAATCATGCTTGCCTAGAACAATGTAGTAGATCCTACCATACTACGGACGAAACTATGGTTTCGTCTGAAAGGATGGATAGAATTAAAGACAAAGAAACAATCATCATGGATCTAATCTGAAGGGAAGCCCATTGCTGATAGGGAGATACTCTTTCAACTTCACAATCACATGATGCGCTAGCTCTAGTACGGCTAGTGTCGTTTCTATACATTCGTTTCGTGTTTGAATGGTAATAAAACAAACCGAAGAAGGCGTATAGCTACGTATTATTATTTACAACCTTAAGGACCAGACATGTCAGTCGACTACCACGCCTTCCTCCAGAAGTGCATTCATGAGATTGGTAGAGAAATGAGAGTGTTCAAGGCCAATTCTGAGATTTAGCCATAACGATAGAGAGAACTTTCAACAGTGGTAAATTGCCCAAAAGAACGCATGTTTACATACAAGTACAGGAAAGCACAATCAAACACGTGTTATAAGGTAAATATGAAAGTCTAACATATAACCCCGCTCTATTTAATAGAAAGATCGTTGCCGTATGGCCAGTTTTCAAGAGTGGGAATGTAATTCGCCAGAGTCGAAATGAAGTGCGAGTGGTCGCTCGAGGCCCCATAACCTTCATGGTAAATCTTGCTGGTGGATGGGACATCCTCATAGTCAATAAAAGGCAGGCTTGCCCAAAGCTTACCCGCAGACTTCTTCTGGTCTTGCAAGTGCTTCAGAAGGTCATTGGCGTCGGCCGGCTTAGCAGTGACCTTCCAACCCTTCATCTTCCGATACCACTCAGCGCCCCTCGCCATCTCGATGGGTTTCAGGCCATAGTCCTTCAAGCTATCCAGGCCTTTGACAGTCTGCCACTTGCCATTAAGTAGATTCTTGAAGGACTGGGCCTTGACGAAGAAGTAGCAGTCACCATCCTCGTAGACACCATCAAACTGGTCCAACTTGTCCTTGGAATAAGCCTTGGTGAGGTCACCATTGACGTTCTTCGCTATGACAACGAATATCTGATCCAACTGCCAGCTACCACTGATAGCATAGAGCGGTTTATGTGAGAAAGACTTACCGAGCAGGGCAACGAACAATGTGTTGCGCATGATGAAAATAGCTTTGAATTGAATCGAGCGTACGATTGAAGGTTTTCAAGCCTAGGTGTCGGGGATTTTGCTCGATCCTTTTAAAGAGAAGAAGTATTTGGTTTGATGACTTGCTTTATCCATGGCAAGAAGCAGATCTTTATAGCTTTGTAGACTGCAGCCAAGAAGCCATCGTACAACTGTTCGATACTGATATCATACTACATATCTCTTCTGGCCCCCTCCTGATGTTTACAGCTGACTCCACGCTTGACATATAGAATAAACGAATATTTTGGCAAAGTTCTATGTATAAGGTATTCCGCCCCATCGATACCTAACGTCACAGTTTGATGTACTCTAGAGGGAACCCTGAAACACAGGACATGCATCATTACCGCGTACAGTTTATACATACACCCATATTAGGCTTAGCCCAACCTCATAGTTAAGTGTTAAAACAGTCTATATCTCTACGATGGGGGCGATGACAAGCATTACTGTAGATTAGAGCTCTCATTACAGACTAAAGCCTGAATTGCTATTCATCCATATCATAATGCATCCATACATAACAGACATTGAACCACCCTCCATCCCACCCACCCATTACCAACTTCTAGTTCACAACCCCTGAGATCCCTCAGCGTGACCAATTCATCACCAGGTGACAACCTCATTAAGCACATTCAAATTCTGTTTAACGTTCGAGTCACTCTGACCCAGGTGAGCAAGCACGTCAATCAGCTTAGTCAGAATAGGCTCAAGCTCAACACCTAGGGCAATAGGATTGAGGATACTGCCAAGCTCGGTATTCTTCGAACAGCCGCTCGCCGTTTTACCAGCAAACGCAGCCTCAACAAAGCTGATCGCGTCCGGGATAGCAATTACCTCCGTTGTCGCGTGACCACCAGTGGCGAAAGTGGTGAACTTGACGCTGGCCCCATTGCTACACCATGAATCGACCATCGTGGACGCATTAGCGTAGGGTATGATCTCATCTTGCGTCGCATGATAAACAAAGACTGGCGCCGTGGGAGTCTCCGTCTTATTAACACCCATCATGTTCTTGCTGAGGATCTGTTGGATAGTCGGTTGGTAGAGCAGACGGTCGCCCAGGCTTTGAATTTCTGTGGACAACAGGGACATCTCAGGGAATGCGAGTATATCACCAACCGCGCAAGTAGTTCTCGCAGTCTCTAGGACCTGTGCACCCTTTGCAGTCAGGATGCCGTTGATTATGGGGTTGAGCTCGGCGCCATAAGCACTGGGCATCGCCAGACCCGCAACAGCGGCAGGAATGAAACCGCTGAACAGAGTGTTATCGATGAAGACCAAGGTACCAGTCAAGTTGGCAGGAGTACCGCCCTGTACCCAGCCCTTGATGTCCAACTCGGGAGCATAAGTAGGATGCAGTGAAGCTGCCCAACCAGTTGCAATTGCACCACCCGAGTACCCAGTACCCACAATCATAGGGTTAGCACTGGACAAACCTAGCGTCTTGAAACTGGACACGGCTCGCATACTATCCAAAACGCCCATCCCCTCCAAGTGACCCGGCCCAAAGGCTGCATCGGGCCCCTCGTAGTCAGGCGAGGTGACAATGTAGCCCAAGAGCAGGTAGACTTGCAGAATCAACTGCTCGGCAGAGGAGATGATGTCGGTCTGCGCAGCACCCAGCTGATAATTGTAACTAGGGTTGCAGATCGTCGCTGAGCTATCGTACGCTGTGTGGAAAGACAAAAATCGATCCTTCTTCGCCGACGTTGGCACGAAGATGGTCGTCACCCCAGCAATAGCCGTGCCGTTGATGGCTGTCGTGCGGTACAGCAATTGGTATGCCTTGACGGGGTCCGGGATCAATCCCAGGAAAGCGACACTGATCTCACGCTCCCGCAGGATAGTTCCAGGCGCCTCCGACTCGTAGCCAGCTGGGGGCTGATAGAATGGGTCATCGCTGGGAGCCTTGGGGGCAGCGCGCGGCAATATCCTCATAGAAGCCGGGCGAGCCGAAGCCATAGCCAGCATGAATGCCAGCAAGGCCATCACGGCCAGGCGTGCCGACGAGCCAAGATAAGAAGTCATAGTGAGCAGAACCCTCTTCAGCTGGTATTCAGGGCTTCTGGAGACTGGGTCTTTGACGATTCCCACAAGACAAACAAATTGTCCGGAGGGAAAGCCCTAAATATCCACCGTCCGATGGATCCGGTGAATGTGATGATAGCCTCCTACCGAGGCAGCTTAGCCCAGCTTTTGGGCGCGGTGATCCCCCTATCCCCTGAAGGAAGCGGTTCCTGCATCATTCTCTTCCAAAAAGACCAATCCATGAGCCCACCCATCTCGTAACGGAAGTCTATAAACCCGGACAGGGTGTCATCGAGATGACCGATATTTTCCGGGCCATCTTGCCAAATATCAGGTCTCGTGGTGAAGAAACCCTTGTGCCTGATCCAATTTTGCGCCGTGGGCGGTTCGGGGGGAAATTATTGGGGAGAAACTACTGGAGAGGATCGGCGGTGACCCCGCACTATTGGGGCCCTCCCCAGAGTGAGTTAGTCTATTCTCTAGAGTCATCCTAATAATCCTGGTTAGGATCGACGCCGCACGGCACCGTATTTGTGAAGGGTGAACGGCTTTCGGAGACAAAGTCAATTACGATAGGACTAGGTGAGATGGAGACCGGGATGATAGATGGACCGATGATGAGCAATCTTGATTCTTCGTGACATGTGCTTGCTTATGAGGACCCTGACTGATGATCACTCCGCTAGATAACGGAGAGGTGTCGGGGTTATCCTACCAAGGAATCGTATTTTCTGCGTATTCGAAGCGATGGGTCTTCGGAGGGCTGAGAATTGAGAAGCACGGGCCTGTCAGCCTTGTTGAAGATTCTTTAAGATTCTATTCTCTCCGCATCATTTTCTACTATGCCTCTGAAATTGAGCCCTAGGTCTTTTCAGATTGTTCACTCCAGTAGCCCAGCAGGAGAGCCACCTGTCCGCCACCTGACTTTTGCAGGGCAGTCCGCTCTGTTCCTCGTGAGTATATCTATACTGATCCCGGTACCAACCTAAGATATGGACCCATCCATTCCCTGGAGGATAGTCAAGTCGAGATTCTTTAAGATTATTGAGTCTGCGCTCTCGAATTACTTACGTGTAGATTCATGAACCGATTAGTGGTAGTGAGGGGTCTAGATAGGAGGTCTAGGGGTGGAATGAGATATATAGCTATGTCCCGGCAATTGAAGACTGGTGGTAATGGGCTTGATGGTCATGGCGATAGTGGTGGAGTGATAGTCTCGGGACACCTTTCCCAAGCACAGGAGTAAACGAATTCAGCACTTTAAAAGTGCTTCATAGAGGAGATACGGCGTCTGCAAGATCCACCTCAGTCAACTGGTATAAAACCCTACCCAACTCGCGATTAACTCGATACTTCTCGCCGGCCGTTGAGTCTTGTAATAAATCGTTAGTTTCCATCCAATCATTGACCACATTAAAAATATCATATATCTCGAGATCTATGCGACCATCATGAATGATGTTGCAAAACCTATCCAAATATAACACTCGTGGGCCTCCAGTCTGGAAGGTTTCCTCATCGGCAATGATCATATATGTACTTGTGGCAGATTTCTGCAAAGCTATCGCAGCTTCTTCGATCAAGGCATCTCTATCCATTTTCTATAGGAGATCCAAGGGCCCTGTCAAGAATTCTATCAGTATCCAGTAGTTGCATTTCTTAGTTGATCCATTATAGAGCGCCAGGCCTGAAGTCCAAAGTGGAATTTCAGTGATGTATGTGATGCTCTGACCGGTTTCTGTAGAGTCAGCCGTTAGATTATCAAATGACGCATCGAGTGACAGGGGCAATTTTAAACATGTCATCTTGAATATTTGGGGGTTGAGCATTGACCATTGATCGTATTCGATGGACGGCGGGCTGTTATGCAGAGACGACTAGGGATTGCCTCCGGTTGATCATCAAAGGATTTCCAATTTCCGATGGGCTGGTCAGCATGTACTCGCAGGTTTCCAATGACATGTGTTTCTGAGTGCTTCCTAAAAGTACCGAAATGAACAAAGTTCACCCCTGCAGGATATTCAGGGTAAGCTGGTGAGATGAATCTTGGGTTGCATCGAGAGAAGGGTTGGATAGGAAACCAGAAATTTAACGGGCCCAAGGCTTTTGTAATTGCATTAGAAGGAAGCCATGGCAAATTTTATCCGTGGATGAGATGAAGTATTTTGGGCAAGGAAGGCGGGGCTGTAATGTTGATCATATTGGACAGTGCTCCTTGAATCAATCCTACTTCTCCGTTACTTGTGCAAGATGGTAACGGTGTGAAACAAAGATCTAAGATATTCCCCGGGGGGGGTGTCTTTGATTATTCTGAGGGTCTTCTTCGCTAAGATCTACCATACCCATGTTTCAGAGTATCTCTGCAGGATGCACATGCTATCTTGTCACACGCAGGACACTTGAAAGCAAAGCGACGAGTTTCCGTCAAGCAGCGACTACATCTGAAACGTCCCTCAATCCTGTTCCACCAGGCATTATGGTCGCAGACAATTGTCTGAGAGCTGTATTGCGTGCGTTGTTGAGCCTGTGCCCGGTTTAAGTTTTCCCTCTCTGCCATCTTTTTCGCCCAGTCTCGGAGATAGGTCTCATGGAAGAGCTTCCTGGCTTCTTCCTTTCGCCTTCTAATCTCCGACTCGATCTTAGATGCCTGTCCATGGTGCAGATAAAGGAGTCTTTGACGGTCTTGTATCTCAGCCAGTAGAGAACGTACTTCCGCCTCTTTGATTCGTCGAGCAGCAAGCTTTTCGCGATATAAGCGATCTTGTTCTTGTTTTTGCTGTTCAAGTCGAGCCACTCCTCCGGGGAGAAAGGAAGTCATGTAGTCCCACATAACTTGCCCCGTGGATGCCTTGTCTTGCTCCATTGTCCGAACCTCATTGTTCAAACGGGATATTTCTGTTTGGAGCTTCATCTTCTTCTCGCGTGCAACGCTGAGATGGCGCTCTGCGATCCTGGCGTCAGATTGGCATTGTCGAAGCTTTGATTCTAGGTCTTCCATTGATGACTTCCCCCTGTTATCATCTGACGTCTGTCCATTTGAGTGACTCGCCGAGGGCCGGGCCGTTGTGTGCTTGAAGGCGTGGTATTTGGCATCGTAGGCTTGCCGAGTTGCGGGATCGATAAGGGTCGAGTACGCTTCGTTAATCTAATCGAGGTTAGCTAGTATCAAGTTGAAAGTGAAACGGACTCACGAGCTGGAAGGCAGCTTTTGCATTATTTGCTCTATTCTTATCAGGGTGCGTGGTCAGGGCTAAGCGCTTATAGCTCGACGCGATTGTTTTTGTGTCTGCGTCCCGTGAGACCTGAAGAACTTCATAATAGTCGGGCTCCTGTGTTGTAGAGGCCATGATGGAACTGTCAGCGACGAGGACAAACGATTAGGAAGGTCTCTCGGGATGGAGGTTGTCTTTAAATGTGGAACTGTGGGGATCTGAATACAATGATCATGACCTTTGGCGATGCTCAAGGCGAACTCTGGCTAACCGCCGAGGCTCTCTTGTTTGCCTCTCTTAGCTGCAGCAAACATGTTGGTGCCCAACACCAACACAGGAAATCGGATTGCCAGGGACCACTAAACTTTGAACAATACACTCTCATCGAATCATTCTACTGGGCGTCAACTGTCAATTAGCGTCCACTTTGAAACAGCTTAGACACATAGAACGGTCATGATGCCTTAGAGAATGATTTAAATTATCTTACAAGTTATGAGTGAAATGCCCCTCATCGACCGTCCCAACATCCAACGGTAAGTAAAACGTAAATGAGTCCAAGCTTTAGCTTTTTAATGGAAATTTAATTGAGGCACGGAGGAAAGCTTCTATCCCAGATGTGTATAGACGGTCTGATATCGCGAATCGCCTCATTTTAGCGCCACTAGCGGATCGTAACCCCGCCGGGGTCGGTATATTATCGAAATTGGTAGAATCAGAGCCTACGGCTTTGATTTATTTCACATGAATCAGGATCAAAGTATATTGAATTTGGATAGCACGGTATACGTGGGGGTACAATTTAATTGTATATCTTGGCTTCAAGACCCGGAATAATCTCGAGAGCCTTCTCTCCATATGTGTACTTCCCATCTTTCGAGACCTTGACATCCTTGTGGCGCCGTTGTTGCTGGCTTTGTCGGACCTTAACCCACTGCTCTGTCGTGAGATGCTGCCCTATCTCAGTGAACACATTTTGCGTCAGACCCAGTCGATTCAACAGCGGGCTGTTCTTGATCGGGTCCAGGACAACATGGTTATTAGGGCTAGAAAAATAATTAGACAATTCAACGGCAGTACATAAATTCGCGTTTTGGATGCAATGGCACTTACCGGGCAAAGTATAGAACTCCCAGCCGATCGACATGTGCCTGGTCCGCGGGCGGAGTGTGCACACGGTGAACACTGGACTTGATCAATCCACCAGTGAGAGCCGTGAGAGCATCGCAGGTGTTGATAGTAATAGTTCCATCTTCTGGGCGCACCCACTTCCATTCACCGTCCGAGTTGAGAATCTGCAGGGCAGCAACGGGTTGGCGGAACAGAAGTGTGATTGAACCTAAATCAGTGTGTCCAGGGCTGTAAAGACCGCCAACTTTCTCGTTTTCTTCTGCATTACGGGCTGCATAATGCATGTAGCGGAGATGGTCCTCGCCCTTGACATCGTACTGGTGGTCGCGAACTAGTTGGTCCTCGTCTGGTAGTTCGAGGAGGATGGCAAAGAGGCGGAGTAGCTTTTCCACAACTTCAGTGTGACATTTCTGTAGAGATAGTATCGTGAGTGTCTGATTCTGATTGTGCATGAGATGGGTTTAGTATACATACACGACTGAAAGCCTCAATCTCAGCAATGTTTTCCGAAAGCACCAGGGGCTGCTGCCTCTCATGATAACCATCGAACTTGGGGATATTGTAAACCTGGACATTATCCTTGACTCCATTTCCGAGGCTGTGATTTGGTTTAGCATAAGTCCTATAATTTGCGAGGAGCATTCTCACATGCGATGACCGGCAGGTCGATATCCATTGTACTCGCCCCTTACGAGGTCATCCGCGTTATGATACTTGAGCTTCTCTTCAAGCGGCAAGGCGTAAAACTCGCGACCTAGAGCGAATTGCCGGTCAACATCTTCTTGGCTGATGTTGAAGTTCTTCACATAGAAAAATCCTGTTGAGATTCTGGTTAGCTACTAATTAGGGTACTCATCGTGGGAATAAGCTTACCAACATGTTGCACAGCATGCTCTAGTTGTTTAACAAGCTCTTCCTTGCCACCAGGCTGCTCATACTTGCTCAAGTCGAGGGTGACTAGCTCCGCCCAATCCACTATTTTGGATTAGCGAAAGCCATCAGACGCAAGGTAATGGAGCTATGGCATTGGTCAACGTACAATTCTCCTTGGTCACAGGAACGTGATCATATCTGTCAATGATTATTCCGGGCATATTGACACTGATTCAATGAGTCTATTGCTTGTATGGTGATTGGGTCGAGTATTGGCCACAATCGAGCTATACTCAAAGCCCCACGAGCAACGGCAGCATGGTACCACATATAAAACCAACATCTCGGCACCGACAACCGATCTCAACCCCGCACGACTCGGCACATTATACTGATTGATAAAGCAAGCACGTCATAAATATGTCCGCATGAGTCGTGCGATAACGGGTGATTTTCGGTTGGCGAGAAGTTGCTGAAGCAGGGGGCTGCGCACGCCATATTTCGTCCGCATGTCGCGGCCGTCAATTCAAGCAGTGTCGTTCTGCATTGACCACTTAGCTTCTTCGTACATTTGCCTCCGCTCGTTTTTTGTTTCGTTTTATGCTTGACTATTTCTATGAGGTTTCGCGTCGGACAGACTCCGATGGTAATCACGATGGCGACACTATGTGGAGGAATTACACTGAGGACTGCGAATGAAAAACTGCATATATTCAGTGATGGGATCGAGAGGCAAATACTATTTAACCATCTGCAGGGTTATAGAATTCCTATAAAACTATCCGAACGGCATAGGAAATCTCATTGAGAGGTGCCGGGTAGACATAATTATGTCTGAAGCAAAACTGAGGCCTAGAGACTCCGCTCTCGGGGTCATCAAGGAGGTCTTCAACTGGTACCCGTCTAATTATCCGTCCGAGGAGAGAAGGTGAAACAAATCTTACGTCTAGGATCAGCACACGAATGTTGACATTCTCCAGGTTACTATTCAAGCTAGATTTGTCAATCCTGGTCTTTGCCTGCCTATGCTGTGAGTCTAATATAGATTTCCAGTTTGATGTCTAAAACTAACGCGAAATAGTTTTTGTCAAATACCTGGGTAGGCTGCCGTCTGAACTTTTGCTAAGAGAATCGAACTAAAACCGGTGACCAGATCAGACGAATATCAGCAATGCCTACGTTAGCGGTCTCAAAGAGGAGTTCGCCCTCTACGGAAATGAGCTGAATTACTTCAACGTCTGCTATTTCACAGCCTACGTTGTTTTTCAAGTTCCCGGCCTGCTGTTGATGTCGCGTCCCAAGCTGTATGTTCATACATCTCGTCCATCTCCACCAGACTAAACATCAGACTAACGAAATCAGAGCTCGATGGCTACTTCCTGGGCTTGAAATATTATGGGGTATCTGCACCTTCGCCCAGAGCCGCGTCACCAGTGTCAATCAGATATATGCGCTACGTTTCCTAGTTGGCATGCTGGAAGCCCCCGTTTTTGCTGGAACACATTTCATTCTCGGTAGGGACAGCTTCAGTCACAGGAAGCAGTCATGTACTAATTATAGATACAGGATCCTGGTATTCAGGCCCAGAGCTCTTCAAGCGGGCCGGAACATGGTTTATCTGCAATGCGCTAGGTACCATGGTCAGTGGCTATCTTCAGGCAGCTGCCTACACCAATCTGTCCGGGGTTGGTGGCATGCCAGGCTGGAGATGGCTATTCATCATTGACGGCATCTTCACGATTCCCGTAGCGTTGATTGGCTTCTTCATTTTCCCGGGTATCCCAGACTCGCCTCGACCATTCTATTTAACAGAGAGTGATATAGCCTTGGCCAAGGAGAGACTGCGCAGAGCGAAGATCCGTCGACCGGGGAAGTTGAATGCAGATGTCTTCAAGCGTAGCTTGAAGCGCTGGCATATCTGGGTTTTTATTTTCTGCTATGCGTATGTATAAGACTTGCCTGGTGTGTTTGTTTTAGGATTTTGATCTACAAAACTAACATTGGTGGGTTCATTATTAGATGCATGATTATTTCTTCCTATCCTATGGGCTATATGAATCTGTGGCTCAAGGCTGAGGGGTATTCGGTCACTCAAATCAATCAACTACCTACGGTCACTTACGCAATTAATATCGTTGCCTCATGGCTTGGAAGTACACTTGCTGCCATCTACCCCGAATGGGTAATTTTCTCGATTGGCTCGGTGTGCTGTTTCTTCTCGGCGATCTGTATGATTGTGTGGTTTATTCCCACGGGCTTGAAGTAAGTTGATTCTCGTGTGAATGCCCCGAGCCAACATCCCGCTCACCTCTCCTATAGGTTCGTTGCATGGTATCTCTTTGGCGTCTCTGGCTGCTTAAGTCCCATCTTGTATTCAACCGTGAATACGATTGTCAAGGATGATTCTGAGGAGAGGGCATTGATTATGGTATAGTATTCTCTCCTGTCTCGCCTATGGGCGATAAGACTAACTTTCCTAGGGCTCTATGATGACCTTTGGTTACTCCTTCAATATCTGGGTCCCACTCCTGCTTTTCCCGACTGCTGGCCCGAATGGCGCTCCCCGGTGGAAGAAAGGCTGGCCAGTGGCTTTTGTGTTTTACTTTTTGCTCTGGGCGGGCTTTATGACAGCTGTGATCATCCATCGACGGTACGTATATCTTGATGACATGTGATCTCACGTATACTTACTCTGCTACCTAGTGAGAAACGAAAAGAAGCTGCCTTGGCTGCTCAGGAAAGCACGGACGAGGATGTGGAAACTATCATTGTTGACCAGGACGCGAATGCTAAAGCTGGATCAAAGGATTAGATTGGCTGAAGGATATTAGCCTGGACGGATGAAGCGGGGTCTATTTGAATAGCTAAAACTATATAATACTTCCCAATCTAGTCGGAGTATCTCAATAATAGGTTAGAGTACAGTCAGACTGTACAGTCCGGTTGACCTCGCAACTATGCCAGTACATCTGCTATTCGTATAAAAATAGATGTGATGAGCTTCGACAGATGTCTGGATACATATCTGTAGAGATCTCGCGGTAATGGCGGGCCTTTATTCTGTTGGGAGTGCGGGGAAGAAGCTCCTCCTGTAGATCGAAGAATGTCACGCAGATGGCTAAAGAACGTCAACTGGTGCAAATATCTGCATCACTGCACCAGCCAGCAGTCGGTCCCCATTCCCCCACGGGCTCAATCAGCTCGGATCCGATCGTCAGTTCCGTCCACCTCTCATGGGGCCGCATGGAGGGACGTGCGGCTGGTCATTGGCCAGAACACTCGAGAGGGTCCACGATCCGTGGGAGCATGACGGAGGGGGGGCACGATACAGAAATTCAAGAGATGAGAGAACAGCCTGTTTCTTGAACAAACTCGATCTCGACCTCGTTAGCGCTGCGCCGTCGCGATCGCGCCTCGTCCCTCCTCCTTCCCCCTCTTCGTCAGCCGGAGATCCGAGTATTCCCGCAAGATACCTCGCACATAAGGACAGCTCATCGCCACCGCGTATACCCTATCCTTGCGAAACCCACAATCGAATTTGTGTCACCGCGCCCTTTCTCCAGGTCTCATCAGAATCGCATCGTCGACTGCTCGAGAACGCGTCGATTCATCTCGAGTCGACCCTCCCATCCTTCGTTCCATCCTCCCAGAATCCTCTTATCACCCAGCTTCCCCGTCGCAGTTCACCCCGGTCGTGGACTCGTGGTGACGGCGACGCTCCGGCGCGGGCTTGATAAGAGATTCTGCGATCCGACCACTCCGGGCACATGAGTAGCAAGCTTTGGGAATATTTCATTCAAGATGATGTGGAGAGCTTCAGACGGTACCTGGCGAACGCGACGTTCGCCGGACCGCGAGCTTCTGGAGTGTCCAGCGCAGCAGCTGCCGCGCCCACAGCGGCAGCGCTGTCGTCTAAGACTGGAAGCCCCGGATCAATGATCGCCTCGTCACCGAATCCAACCAAACAAAGGAAAGCATCCGCGGGATCACCAGCAACCTCCGTACCCGACCGATCGGGCTTTCCACGTGGTAATACCGCTCTGTCGCGCGCCGATGTCAATGCTCGCGACCACTTCGGCAGGACACTTCTACACCATATAGCATCTTCGCCGAAACCCACAGCGTCAAACTTTGCGCGCGCGTTGCTCGAGATTCCGTTCCTTGATATCTATGCACAGGACTGGGAGAGTGGCTGGACGGCATTGCACAGAGCTTTGTATGCGGGGAATGCCACGATTGCTCGAGCTCTGATGGCGCGGGACACGCGGGACATGACGGATTACAGTAAACCGGGTCACACGAGTCAGAGTGGAAGTCTGATCAAGATCAAAGATCGTGAGGGCTACAGCCCGTTCGATGTCTATGGATCTACGATCACATCTCGAGATATCAAGCAGATATCATCAGCAAAATGGCCTGGGTCTATCGTCCCCGATCTTGAGGGGAGCGACGCTGCTTCCAACCCTGGGTCAAATTACGGAGAGGATGGCGAAGACGACGCATATCTTGCGCGAAGCGTTCTGAAATCACGCACCGACTTTGCGGCCGACGAGGTTTTTACTCTCGGCAGTAACAAGAATCTGAATCTTGGCCTTGGTGATCAAGATGATCGACAGTTCCCGGAGAGAATTGTATTGAAGCGCCCTGATCACTTGCTCAACCGATTCTACCGTGAGTACGAGGAGCAGATGGAAAAGCTGGGTCTTGAAGATCTTCTTGACCATGGCAATTCCAACGAACTACCCACAGTCATCAAGAACAAGCCAATGAAGCTTCAAAACGTGGTCATGTCAAAGCTGCATACTGCCGTTATTACGGATGACCCTGAAGCCAACCTGTTTATCTGCGGCTTCGGTCCTGGTGGTCGTCTTGGAACCGGTGATGAATCTACCCGGTTTAGCTTTGTGTGTATCGAGACAGGCGGGTTGGCAGGTAGAAAGGTCATGTCCGTTGCTCTCGGCCAAGACCACAGTCTGGCCATCACCGAATTCGGCGAAATCTTCAGTTGGGGAAGCAATAAATTTGGTCAGCTCGGGTACAGTTTGCCCAGGACGAGTAACAAGAACGATGTCCCTATCCAGTCAACCCCGCGACAGATCTTCAACCCTTTCAAGAAGGAAACTATCCTCGGTGCGGCCGCTTCCTCCATTCACTCGGTGGTCTTCAGCAACTCTGGCCTGTATACATTCGGTAAGAATGAGGGCCAACTTGGACTGGTCGACTCGGACGCACGATCGCTAGAAGTTCAGACTACCCCACGACGTGTCGGTGCTTCTCTCTTTAAGTGTCCTATTCAGATGGTATCTGCTATCGACCGTGCAACGGCTGTGCTCCTACAGAACCACGAGGTCTGGGTCTTCTCGCAATATGGATATTCCAAACTTTCATTCCCTCTCGAGGCGAGCTCGAGGTTCATCCGGGATAGCTTCATGGCTACGCGATACGATGGCTCTGTGAATCACGTCGTCAAGCTTGCATGTGGCGGCAACACAATCTGCGCCTTGTCCAGCTCTGGTGACGTCTTCACTGTCCATGTGAACAAATCCGAAGATCCATCAGCCCAAACGTCCACAACCAACCCTGCCAAAATACGTAACTCACTGGCTGCTCCCGAAAGGGCCTGGTCTGTCAAAAAGTCCCACATGGCTGCAAGTGATGTCGACGTTGGTCAAGACGGATCGATCATCATTTGCACAACTTCAGGCTCAGCCTGGAGGAAAGAAAAGCGGACGAAGAACAAAGAGGGTGCTTCCAAAGAGTACAAGTTCGCTCGCATTCCGGGACTATCTAGGGCGGTGGCTGTGCGCAGTAACGCCTTTGGAGCATATGCGGTTGCTCAGCGCGACTGTGATGTGACAAGAGAGCAAATTCACATTGATGAGAGTACTCTCTGGGATGACCTCCTACCTCTCTCGCCGTTCATGACCCCTTCTTTTGACGATGTAGAGGCAATCTTGGATGGAGATGCTACAGATAACCCGATGCTTCTGTCCTCAGCCATGGCTATCAAAAGGGCAATCATTCAATCGTCGGAAATCGAAAGCCAGTTTCTTCCCATTCGCTCCGAAGGAACTGTGTGGGTTACGAGCTCTCTATCCGACGCCCGGATTCCGGTGCATGAGTTCCTCTTGGCTGGTCGCAGCCCAGTGCTTCGCAAAGCATTGCAAGATTTCCGCGAGTCCTATTACGCTTCTCTGCCCGATTTCTTTGACATTGAGTACGGTAAAGATGGCATCACCCAGATTCGGCTTCTGGGTACTGATTTCTTGACTGTCATGAATGTGGTGTTCTTCTTGTATACCGATGGCATTCTCGATGTCTGGCATCAAGCTAGGAGCTCACCCGAGAACGCGGCACGGTACCGTCAGGTTCGCCTTGAAATCATGAAGGTCGCGACTAATCTGGGTCTTCCAATGTTGGAACGCGCTGCGAGGTTGATGGTCGAACCCCAAAAGAGTTTGAAGACCGACATGGCTCATGCGATCAACCACCCTTCCTTCTTCAATGATGCGGATGTGGTGGTCGAATTAAATGGTGACTCTGTCAAAGTCCATAGCCAAGTGGTCTGCCAACGATGCCCTTTCTTCGATGCTCTGTTCCACGGTCGCTCTGCGGGTGGGTGGATTGCGTCTCGTCGAAAGAACCCTACAGACAAGGTCCATGTTGACCTTAAGCACATTGAGCGGTCCACGTTTGACTTTGTCTTGCGGTATCTCTATGCCGATACGGAAGAACAACTCTTCGACCAAGTTCGAACCAAGTCTCTCGATGAGCTTATCGACCTGCTTCTGGACATCATGTATGTGGCCAACGAATTGATGATCGACCGCTTATCGCAGATCTGTCAAAAGATGCTTGGCCGGTTCGTCCATACTCGGAACATTTCCTACCTTCTTAATTCAGTCGCACCAGTATTTGTCTCTGAGTTCAAAGAGGCTTCTCTGGAGTACATCTGTCTGAATCTGGAGGCCATGCTTGCCAACCGCTACCTAGAAGACCTAGACGAAGATCTTCTTCAAAAGCTGGACATGGTCTGTCATGAGAATCAATTGGCATGCTTCCCAGTCTCGCGCGGCCGTAACTCGGAAGACTATGTCTTTGAGAAATATCCGGAGCTAGTGAGCTCAGTCGGAATTGACAAGCAGCGTCGTATCGATGCAATGACCTTGCAGTCTCGCCTCAGTGAAGTGGAATCATATGATTTCCGACCCCGAGGCCCCGCAAATGACAAGGTCAATGCATCGCCGTTGGCACGGAAGTCAAAGGGCAGTGTCTCAAGGGATACTGAGAGTTCTGTCAATAGTCCATTGCTGAAACCAAGACAATCCACCAACGATCTCATGTTCCAGATGGATGATGAAGCTGCTCTTTCACCCGGGGATTCCATCAAAGGCAAAGCCGTCATGCGTGGCCTTGGCATCGAGAGCCGGTCTTATCCTGATTCTCCTGCACTGGGGGCAAGTGTTCCAGAGGGTGAATCACTCGGCGACGGAGGCTTCTTTGATGAACGAATGTCTTCACCACGGGAGGGTCTTCTCGCGGAGTCTCCGACAGAATCACGGGCAATCGCAATGCACAAGAAACAAGCTATGGCGTCCCCTGCCGAATCAGGCTCTGCACCATGGGGTTCTCCAGTCACCCTAAATGCCAAGAAGGATCTCAAGGATATCATGGGCGAAACGTCACAATCCCGGGTATCCAACCTTACATTGGAAATGGAGAACCGACGCGAGAGCAGTGGCAACTTTAACGCCAAGCTATCCCAAAAGGAGCGAAAGAAGATGCAACAACAGCAGATGCAGGATAAGCTAGCTGCCCAGCAAAAGGCAAAGACTGCTCCCAAGAATCCCTGGCAATTGCCTCCACCAGCTGCTCCCACGACCCCTGTTAAAGACCCTCTTCCCGGACAGAGTGGGCCTGCTGCACCGGCATCAGAGCCGTCAAAGGCAGCTCAAAAGCCGGCCATGACCCTCCGGCAAACAGTCGCTGGAACTCCTCCGCCACGATCCAAGCCAATGGCCACTCCTGTCAAAGCGCAGAATCGCAGCGTCTCGGGCAACACCGCACCCCCTCCCTTCTCCAAACCATCCCCTTCATATCCACCAACTTCCCCTCCACAAACGCTACCCAAAACCTCACCACAACCCGCAATCCAATCTATCCGCCACATCCCCCGCCAAGATCCATACATGCGCTCTCCATCCGGCGGCTCCCTCTCCCTCGCAACGATCCTCCTCCAACAACAATCCGAAAAAGACGAGATCCGCGAAGCAGCCACCGCCAAGCATAATCTGCAAGAAATCCAAGCCGAGCAAGAGTTCCAGCAATGGTGGGATCAGGAAAGCAAGCGTGTACAGGGTCTCCTTGAAGTCGAGCCTACCCAACAGTCTGCTGGTGGGAAAAGCGGTCGTGGTGGCAAAGCTCCTGGTGCAGCTGGGAGCTCGCGCAAGCGAAGAGGCAATAAGAATGCTGGGCCTGATGCTGGTTCTCAGGGTCAGAAGCAAACTGCACCTTCTTCGGCGTCTAGTACACCCAAGAAGAATGTCAATGCCAATGGTTCTGCACCGGTGCCCGTGCAGGGAACTGTAGCCGGGAATCATGCCCCTGGTGCGGGAGGTGGGAAGAATGCCCGCCGTGGTGGACATGGAGGTCAACGTGGTAGGGGAAAGGAAAGGGCATAAATTTTGTGCTTATTTAACCACATCACTCCCTGTGTATATTTCGACATGGTTCTTTGGTTCTCGTGCTACTGTCCTTTCCATTCTGCGCCTCTTGAGAGAGGGCTTTCATAACCTTATTTTCAACCCAGCCCAATTCGTTCAAACATACAAATACCCCCTTCCTTTGACTGTTTATCCCTCATTCTCCTCTTTTCGGATATTGATATACGTGATCCACAATCACATTGGATATTATGGCGTTTCGGTTGATCCTCATGAGGATTCGATAGACTTGTTCGAGCTTGCAATACGATTTACTCCAACGGATCCCCGTTGTGAATCTAGTCTACCCTTATCGTTCTATCTGAAATTTAGCATGAACGTCTATCAATACGTATATTCATCCGCTAGCACGACGGATCGAAGGCTGACAAAAGAGCTATCTGACCTCGAGAGACCGCAGGAAGCCCCTAGCGAAGCTTGACGGTGCCGAAAATCTGAAAATAACTCTAGCTGAAACGGGCTTGCTTAAATCAATTACTAGATGGCTTTTACAAGTTCGCCCGCTGAGCTACTCATAGACAAGCCTGGTAGCAGGGTTTATGAGCAAACAGTCTAAACCAAGCATCTCATAAGCACCGCTCTCATCACGAATAGGCTCGGGAATCGGCATATTAGCAGGACGGCTGGTAAACCCATGAGAAAGCAAAAGATCGACAACCATTGCAGCATTGATAGTTCGGACCGTCTCCCCGTCGAACCGTACAGCGTGCGTGGAAAGGACATCCCAAAATATCTTGTCCAAGGCGTCGTAATTATCATACCGGATCTAGCCAACACCAAGGCGGTATTTACTCATGAACTGTTGAAGAGAATGGAGATTCGTTCCGAAGGGACCAATTCCTGCTTCAGCCCAGTCGATAACACCTACGAGATGGTTATCCTCGTCGACAACCATGACGTTGCAGACGCCGAAATCCTTGTGCAGAAGGACCATTGATAGTTGGAAGGTGGCAGGTAAGGTGTCTATTGACTTTTGGATAATTGGGTGAAAGCGATCGGGCAATGCAGCTAAAAGTCGCTGTAGGTCTTTGGCATATCTTTGTTGGATGTCTTCACGACCGGATCGGTCGATAATCTGAGGGTTCTCCCAGGCCAGCGCAAAGAATCTTTTCTCATAGGATCTTCCTATCAGATCAATCTCGTAACATTAGATAGCTAACTCTAAACATACCTTGCAATGTCGGAAATCAAATTCTCCCTCCAGACAAAGTACCTATGTGAATTCTCAGGGGGTTATGCGCCAGAATAAAATCCAGATGGCTGATGCCTTTGACTCGACTCATCACATAAATAGAGAGAGGTTCTTTCCCACTGACATCGTTTTCGCCAATCTGACCATAAGAAGAGACGGAAGGCACCAAGGACCCATATATATCGCTAGCAAGATTTGTGATTTCGGTTTTTAGGCCCAGAGACTTTCGTCGAAATTGAACCACAAACTCCTGGTTTGGGCCTGCGTATACGGAATAGCTGCAAACGCCTTGCACTGCGATAGGTATCACGGTACCTCCCATGAGCTTTGAGCTTGATAGTCACAGTATGAGCGGGTTGTAGAGGCTTTCTGGAAGAATTCAATTATCTCTTGGTCCAGTGAGTACTCTTGGGTTCCGGAACTCGTGTTGAAGGACGCTGGTGTCTAGGCTGGTGATGAAGAGGCGAGAAGAGATATGGCGAAAGAGAGGTGAGAATAGGGGATGCTATCCGAGTAAAGAAACAAATGCAATAATCAAAAGAGTGGAGAAGGCTGAGTTCCGTATGTATGTGTAGACTTCAGGAATGCCAGCTGAAGTGTGGTCACTTTGCCATGTAATGATTGCAGCAAGAAATGCCGCCGGAGAAGGGTAAACATTTATGAGCAGTGCTCGGTCATGCAGTACGTAGACCGTACTGCATATTTCCATACAGCTTTCGGTTGAACCGCTTTTTTAGCGGTTGATCCTGACTGTCGAGCTCCATATTCGCGGTTTGAAGGGAAGGAGATATTGTAGCAGGCACGAGGCGTGGGGATCGACGTACTATTTTCTGTCACCATATTTCCTCGCTCACAAGATCTGTGCAGCGGCATTGAATAAGTCTGAATATCAAGATCATCTGATCAGTTATGCGATAAAAGGTCAGATAAGAAAAAATTACATCTTTCCAAGTATATTTACACATTAAGCATAACTATATCTCACTCTAGACTAACACCGCAAAGACAGAAAGAAGAACCACGATAACACCGGCTCCTACTCCTGGACGACCGTACCCCCCAGAGGCATATCCAGCATTCATAGAATTATTTCCAAACCCAACAGTCCGCAGCCACGTCGGCGTCGTCGTATTCATATCCAACACATCCGAATGATAAGTATCCAACTCACCCTTGAAGGTCAACCGAATAGTACCCTGGACCGAATCTCCAATACTTATCTCACCACCATCCGCAGTGCCAATATAACCCGTATCATTCGCTCTCAGATAAGGATATGCCACGAATTTGCCCTCCAGGATGAAATCGGCGGTCTTCTCGTTGAATGTCGCATTCATCGAAGGTAGTTTGAAGTCTGTCCAGCCCTGCGTGCTCCACCATTCGTTTGCTGGCTGGTCGGAGATGGCTAGTGTATAGTTGCCATAGTAGTAGCTAGAGTAACATGTCGGCATCGAGATAGGCGAGAAGCCTTGTGAACCTTGATTGGCATCTAGAATGCCGGCAAGTGAGAAAGAGTCCGTAGACTTCGTTGTTGTGAAGTTGAAGTGATCGTTCACAGTTTTGTTTTCGTTGGATTGCCAGGTCGGACTGTGGATTCGTCGTCAATGTAGTGGTCGAGGAATATTCAACAGTGGTCAGGAATAACTTACTCGGCAGATTGCAATACCCACCACAGTGGTTGAGAATATACTTCTATTCCCGGTAGGTCCAAACCAGACTTGTTGTAACCAGGCGGCATCAGGTTTAGCATTACGTTAACTGAGTTGGATCCCTTGTTGTATGCTCCTCGGTCCATAATGGCAAGAATCGAATCCCAATGCGAGGTTATCGTTTGATTCTGTAGTGGGGTGCATGGTGCTACTGTTCCATTGAAACCCCTCTCGATAATCAAATCGAGCTGTGTGGTTGCATTATAGTATCTATTTCAGATACGCGAGTGAGTAGCCAGGACTTTCTCGGCAAAGGGTGATTTACTCACGATCCAACCCAGGCATACATCCCATCCAAGCCCGTAACATTTTGCGGACGGAAATTTTGCGTTGCGTTGTAATTTGGATCATCTTTGGCAAACGCAGACAGAGGCAAGCCTAAAAGATAGACCCCGACAGCGAGGGTTTCGAGAAATCTTTGCATTTTGCTCGCGGTAGCCGTATAGGAAATTGAATGAGGCTGAAAATTACATTCTCCAGATTCACACAAAAAGGGGCTCTGCGGGGATCTTAAAGACCTAAGCGTCCATCATAAGGGCTGACGCTCAGTCCGTTCAATGGTTGCCCGGCTTTTAGCCCCGGGTAAATCGGCCGGAGCCAACGAGACGTCCGTTCCTCGCTTATGGCTTGCTTTGGCTTGCCTGTTGATTGCTCCAGGACCTAATTTTAGGAAAAAGGGCCAAGGATAGGGTATTCCATATCTTGTGATGATCAACGGTTATGATCACAGACACTTAGCCTTGGATATACATAGACAAGACGTGCAGGTTGTAGCTCAGCTAGCACACAGGCATGTCCGACTGTCATGCTCGTTGGCCAACAAGGCTTAACTCAATTGGACAAGGGTAAGCTTGGCCCCCAATAATGACGCCCCGCCACTCTCCATTTTAAAGACAAAGATAGGGCATCGCTTAGGTAGTGAGGCTTACTGGAAAGGCGCAGATTCATAGCGCCCGGCAATTCCTACATGGACATCGCTTGTTCAAATTACTTCAATACCAATGCGAGAGCAAAGCTAAAGCCCCCAGCGCCGAGAACTGTTTAACTTTCTGCTTTTGTCTCATGTTTATCACATCAATTAAGGCCATTTCAATACCGATAGTCGCCATTAACAATGGAGCACCCATTCTACAAAGGAGATATGCTAAAACAGTCTGTAACACCTTCCAGCATCATGCTTCACGACGTTCCCACCGCACTGTCGCAGGCTGCATCGGCCGCGAGAACAGAGACTAGACATCCAATCAGTCAGCAAATCACCATAAAACCAAGATCCAATCCATCTAAGAGTACTCACCGAATAATCCGTCTCGGGAACCCCCTCCCTATCCTCCGGATTGAAAAACCGAAACTCCCTCACAAGCGTCGCAACAATAACATCAAGATTCAAATAAGCAAATTTCTCCCCAATACACCTATGTCTGCCCGCTCCAAACGGCAAATAAGGACTCCTCGTCCCCTTCGACACAGCACCATACCCATAATCCACCGTATCAGACTCATCCTCAACTTCAACACGCTCCTCCCACCGATGCGGATCCCAGGTCAGCGGGTTACGGAAGTACCGCTCATCACGGGCCGTGACACCCGGTGCGGAGAGGAGGGTGTGGGATGTTGGGATCACGTAGTTTGTTCCCGGGATGGGCATGGGGTTTTTCACTTTGCGCATGAGGGTATGGATGGATGAGTGGATGCGCAGTGTTTCTTTGATGACGTTTTGAAGGAGTGGTAGTTTTTCGAGGTCGCTGTATTGCAGGGGTGGTAAGTTCACGCCTAGGGCGTTGGTTTGCTCTTTGTATAGTTTTTCTGTCATTTCGGGCTCGGAGGCGAGTCGGAGCATTATCCAGCAGCTGATTGCGGATGAGGAGTGTTGACCGGCCATGAGTAGGGTGATCATCATATGGGCGATTTCTTTATCGGGGATGGGTGTGCCGTCCTTATAGGCGCAGCGCATGAGATTCCAGATCATATCTTTCGTCTGAGATTCCTCGGTTGTGCCGGCCTTGCGTCTTGCGCGGATAATTTCCAGGTAGATCTCACGCATGCGTGCATGAGCAAGATCTCGTTTGCGATTGTGTGGCAGCGGTGCCCAGGGAAGCATGAAGTTTATAGGTGAGAAGCCGAGGTCAAGGTCGTGGTAGAGGTCAGCGAATTCAGAGGTGAGTTTTGCGCGGACTTCGTCTCCTTGGAGGGTACGGCCGGCTGTGAAGATGGTGATTTCTGCCATTACGGCGCCGAGATCGATGGTGCCGGATTTCCCTTTGAAGTGTCCGGATGTTTTGACGTATTGTTTGACTTCCTCTTCGATTAGAGGGACGTAGGATTCTAGGGCTTCTTGACTGAGGCCGAATTTGATGAACTGGTTGCGAGAGGAATGTTAGACAAAGGCTTCTTTTCTACCTCGAGGTATCTCGAGGAAGGTTCGAGCTATTTCAATGGGGATTTACCTTCTTCTGCTCAATGAGCTTGGAGTTTGGGCAGTCGTACACGACATCAGACCCGAAGACTGGCGTGGTCAACTTGCCATAGACCTCCTCAGCGTTGACGTCCTTCAGCTTTCCGTTCAGAATGAACTCATTGCCATCCGTTCCGAGATACACGGTAGTTTTCTTGCCCAAAAGAATGAAGGTGAAGATATCCCCATGCTAGTATTAAGGTTGGCGTCAGACCTTTCAACTTCATCCTCGTATAGATTCATAGTTTGCATCGAACAAGTACATACCTTCCGTCGACACGACAAAAAGAACTGGTACGGATCCATACCATAACTAATCGTACTGCCCAAGATAGGAAACCAATGAAACACGACCGGAGGCTCATTCTTGCTGTAAAAGAACAACTGGTTGATAACATTCAGAACAACTGAGATCAACACCAAAGCGATGCCATAGCCCGAAATTCGCAGCACCTGGCCAATGACCAGCTGCGGCAGTGATTCCATTTTGACTCGATGATTGCCACGGTGTTGAGTGGATCAAAATGAACAGAAATGTATACAAGTATATACTTGGCCAGAGGTCAAATCAGACAGGGAGGATTAATCATCTTAGGGCTTGGGGGTCACGCCATGGTAGATCCCCCGGAAGGCCGCGCTGCCGAGTTCCAGATGTGGGACGATAGAAGCGCACCCTCAGCCTCGTAATGCAACTCCTAGGATTGCGTCCAATAAGAGCGAGTGTATTAATCCACTTACCCCTTCCTACTCATTCTCTCTACATATCTTTCTAGGCTGGCGCCTATTGCCAAGCTCAGATTAAAAAGGGGGTGAATGTGAAAAGGCTAAGATTCTGCTTGGCTTTTGGAGGGAGAATTAGGCAACGAAAGACCTAAGATCCTCTAGAAAAAACCTAGATTCATGGCGAAACCTTGCTTTTCGTTGAAGGGAACAGCTATAATTCGACTAGAAAGATTTAATAGTTATGCCTAGCGGTGTATTTTGCAAGGGGCAACGTGGAAAGACGGAGTGATACGTGCGCAGCAAAACTAGCGAAGATAATAGAAGAGAAAGAGATGAAATAAAGTCAAAGCAAAGAGACAGAACATGATCGGTGAAGAAGCGGAGTGGTACTCGGAACAGAGCCCTAAAATGTCTTCGTGCAAGTTTGAACCAGCGCGTTGGATAGAAACGACCCAAATAGAGGAGCTCAAAGTCAAAGGCGAGAGCCGTTGCCTCTACGACCTCCACATATCTGTCTTCGTTCACAGGGGAGAAGCCTATGATGTTTTCCTTAATGGTAGGGGAGACAGACTAGTGAATACACTGGACGAGTTCAGTTTACTCTGCGGAAGGGCAAACGTAAGTGCCGGGCAAATGGAGAAGAAGACTTGTTCAAAGTCCAGGTTGAAGTCAAATTACTCACTGTTCTGCTCGAATAGCGAGCCATGTTGGGAGGAGAAGGGCATTTCAGCGTATACAACAAGCTGCCAGGCAGCCGAGATGAGTTGGACTGCTGCTAAATGCTCGAGGATTGTGCGAAAATGTATACCCGACAGTATGGACAAGGGACATGGCAAGTTTAAGAAGGGGAGGTCGCGAGGAGGTCGCAAGGAAAGTACCAGCAGTACCAAACAGTGTTTCTAAGCAACCAAGGGCCCAACAGTGGATGTGAGGGACATCGAGAGGCACGCCAATTGAGGAAACGGCACGAAATAGCAGTCAAGGGAAGCAGGGGTCAGGAATCTGGCGCCAGGCACCACGCTGAACTCCTTTGCCCAATTCACCATCCCCGAAGACTACAGAGTAGATAATCAAGAGCTACAAGCCATGGATGTAGTAAAAAGGTTCAGTAGTATGAAACGCAATCCATGTTTGCATATCGAAAATAATATTAGCATCAAGAGCTCTGGAAAGAACAAATATGTCCATGCACGCAAATGAAGGGTCGAGAAAGCCATATCCAGAATGACCGTGCAAGATAATGATAATGCGCCACCAACACCGGGGAATTGCAAAACAAGAAAAAAGGCAAGTCATTAACATGAGGATGAGGGAGCAGTGCGAAAAAATCATAAATCAACCAGACGTGGCCACCTCCCGAGTCTCCCACATTCGCCGAATCATCAAGTCGGTCTCGCTCAAGTTGGGGAAGTCATCCGAGGAATGATCGCCGGTCAGGCCATGCGCAGCTTCATCGGAAGTCGACAAGATCCGGTGGGATGGGTGGGAAGATGTAGCTGCCTGGGTGGTATCGGTGGATTCGCTGTGTGTTGCGGGGTCCTCAGAGGCCGAGGAGTGGGGATCAGGCAACTGCGACTTCGTCTCGGGGCTCGAGTCCAGCCGAGTAGGTCGATTGCCTTGCTGGAGAAGCGTGAGAGCGGGGGCTGATTTGACAGGTTTGCCCAATGCAGATCCACTCTGAGCACTGACTGCTGTTGCGCGGGCTACCGCGCGAAGACGGTAGAAGCTGTCGGCCGTGGGAGACTGGAACCGACGTGCCACCATCAGCTCCAACGAGACCTTCTCGTACGCCTTGCGAATTTGACGCGCTTCAGTATCATGGCCCGGCACTCCAGCCCGACCGCTGCCATTCATGCCTCGGCCGCCGTCAAAGTTCGATCCAGCGCGGGAGTGCCCGCCCGGAACAAAGGCTGGGTCAATATTCGATGGCGATACAGTTGTAGGTACACCATGAGAGTCGGGTGGGGAGTTGTTCAGAGTGGCAGTGCGTTGAAGCCAGAGCTTCTGCTGGGTTCGCGAGGGCAAGTCGACACCACGAGGACGTGCTGGCGACGCGGTGGATTTGCCGTTGGCACGGTTGGGAGATGGCGGCGTTTGCGGATGGTAGTGAGGTAGGAACGAGGATGGAGTGTTCGGGTCTGAGTCCGTTCGTGAAGAGGACTGTAAGCCGGTCTTGTTGCTCATAATGAATCTGGACACGCCACCTTCCATAGAGGATGAAGTAGCTTGAGGTTGGCTGCCGGGTATTTGGGCCATGTTGAGGTTGGATGTAGAGTAATTACGCCGTGCCGCATCCAGGCCACCCGTCAAGTTGAGTGAAGTGCTGCGCGAGGTCGAATCCGACGGCTTGGCCATCGCCGAGATGGAAGACATAGCGGGCGGTGCCTTGGCCGAGTGTGAGGGGCTCAGGAGGCGGTTCGCGATATCGCCTTGGTCCGTCGGTTGACTAGGACCCTGTGTATCGTCGGAGTTGTCCTCCTCGTCCTCCTGTTCCTCGTCCTCTTCGTGGTCCTCGTCGGGATGATCCCGTACGAATTTGCTCGTGATAGAATCAGGCAAGCTGGTCGCGCGGGAAATTTGCGGATATGGCCGCTTCACAAATGTAAGAGGATCGACCAAGACCTGATTGTTATCTGCGCTATGGTTGGAAGGGGCAACGGAATTGCGCCTCGTACTTTCGGGTGATTGTGTGGTATCTTCCCACTCGGCGTCGTCGTTGTCATCGTCGTCACCCAATTCAAATCCGACCGACTTCTTCTTTCCCGCGCTCGAGTGTGGCCGCTCCGTCACCAAGGTCTTCTTCACTATCGCTGAGTTATTCCGTCGGAGTACGGGGGTCGAGTAATTTCTCTTCATCGATTCCTTGGGATGGTCGTCCACCGCCCCAGCCCAGTGTACATGTGCTTGGCCCTTGGGGCTGCCGATAGGAGTAGCGGGGGCTGACTTCTTGCGCTGATGATGTCGACTGGTGGTCTCAGGACCTAGTTGGAAGCGCTGGAGTTTGTTCAGGTTCTTTCCAAAGGAAGGGTTTCGGTGGTGGTTGCGGTGACCACCGCCCACGACATGAGCTCGGTGAGGCTTATGGTGCACGGTGGTGGTCTTGGAGGAGTGAGATTGCGACAGCTCGTTGGGGTTGGAGCCGGCGTTGGCGTTGGTCCTCGTGACGACCGCATGTGAAGACACGGCGCGGCGGCCCAGGCCGGGGCGCTTGACAGGGGAGGAGGTGTTGGTTGGCATGGCGGCAAAGGCACCAGAGAGCGGCGGGTAAATCAGCAATGTACCGGGGGCATGGAAGGGGATTGGCCGAGGCAAAGAGCAGGTATCACGGCAGCTGGGACGTGCAGGCGAAAAAGCAACAAGACTGCAATAGTTCGAATGCAGGGAGGCGTTCACACCGCCCCGCTCGAGCCTACGGGTTGTGGAACAACCGGTTTGGCGATTGTGGGAGGGGGGGAGAAAGTGCTGGGAGATGGATGAGAGGAAGAAAGCTGGGGAAAGCTGGAGGAAAGAAGAACGGAGGAAGAAGGTGGAAGTCGTCGATCTCGCTGTCTTCGGCGATTTGGGGGGGGGGAGGCCTACTCGGGTAATATTACGGGCAAGACTGCCGCCACCCCCTAGATTTCCCGCGCGCACCCCCTAGGGCCTTAGATCTCTGCCTGGCGGGCTTAGCAAGATGGGTACAGGTATCTTTTTCGGGGTGTCTTTTGAAAGCTCTTTCCAGATAGCTCACATGATATCTCTCGAACTATTTTTTCAAAGCATGACTACTAAAATTATTTTGACTTCTAGTCAAGATTCTAAACTTGCCATAGTTAAAACTCCAATATATAGATAGTAATATGCAAGTTAGACGGTGGTAACTATGCCAGGTAGAGATCCCAAGGCCCTAGGGGGTGCGCGTGGGAAATCTAGGGGGTGGCGGCAGTCTTGCCCGTAATATTACGGTACGGCCACGACAAGTGGCTGGACCCTTGGACTTTGAACCTTGCGATAGATTTCTGGTCAATGCTGCTCATAAGATCTTGGATTTAAAAGCAAATTGTTATCAGAATATGACTTGTGGAAAGTGTCTCCAAATAGATCATAATGTTAACTACCTTCTGGGACCACTTTATGCATGGCTTCAAATGTCTATGCTGTCATTGGAACGAACTATGGACATTATTGGTCCGTGTTGGGAAATTTTGAGTTTCCATACTTCTCGATTCTCTCCCGATCTGGAGCTAAGCAATGAGTATGTCACGGTATAGTGATAGATACAGTCTACAATGGGTTTACCAAAAATGAAAGAAAGAAAGAAAGCAAGAGAAATCTCAGGTGTCATGGAGTACGTGGTTTATGGTTTAGAAAGAGGTTTGGAGAGAGGTTTAGGGCGAAGCAATGAGCATGTCACAGTACAGTAATAGATACAGTCTGCAATAGATTTACCAAAAAGAAGGAAAGAAAAATCTCAGGTATCATCGAGCACGTAGCAGACCAAAAGGAGGAGAGCGAAAACAGAGACAGAGGGAATGACACTCAAACGCCGTAGGGAGCAATGCATCTACACTATAGCTCAATCAAGCTCTCTTCCACAGGCCGGGCTGGTTGGTGTGAGGCGGGAGGCTGCGCTTGGGCGGCATCTGGATATGCGCCTGGTTGGCCCGCAGTCATTGGATAACCCGAAGGTACCGCGCCGGGCTGCTGAGGTTGATAATAATAAGACTGAGGGGGAGCCCAGTTGGCTGCTGACCTGCTGGAGGCACGTTGGAGTAAGTAGGTGAATGGACTTGCTTCGGCGAGTGCGGTTCGGGAGCACTGGGGGTAAGACCCGCGGGAGGTGCGCTGGCCTGGTATTGCGAGTCTCGCTGCATGACGGGTGATGGGTGATAAGGGGTTTCGGAGAATTGCGATTGAGAGGGATCTTGCTCCGGCTGAGGGACGTAGTACTGGGGTGCACCAGTCGATCCAGGTGCAACCTGGTTACTGGGAGTAGGATGGGTTTGCGGTGGAGGGGATCCCAACGATGGGTATGGGTTCTGGCCCCAATTGTTATGCGCCTGTTGCGAGTAGGCCGGGTTCGTCACAGGAGGCGCATCATACCCACTACCGTTGACCTGCCGAGGCGCATATGTAGATGCGCGGGGAGTGTCTGGCGCGTTCGTGTAATAATAGTTCTCAGCGCCAGATTTCATATCCGGCGCATGGGAGGGGACACCGGGCATGACCGGGTACTGTGCGGCACCCGGAATAGCTCCATATCCCAGATTCTGTTGAGAATAGGCACTAGATAAGCGCTCTTCCAGCATTCGATCGTAGTAACGAACAACAGTAGAAAGCTTTGAGTGTAGATCAAGGAGAGTATCTAGTATGATTTGTTAGCCTTGCATGTATCAAAGAGCCCCCGAGTGTCCAAATCTTGGCTTACCATGTTTGCTCATTGTTTCTCCATAACTCCGTGTTAGTTTAGGCCGAAGTGTACCAATGCTCTCATAGAGTTCTTGGATTTGGGGTTCTCGAAGGATGGTTCCAGGAGGTTGTTGTTGTAGTCGATCGACAAGAGTAGAGAAAAGGTGGATATTCTCTGCCTCCACCGCACTGAGCTCATATGGGTTCTTTGGTAGGGGGGTTGACGTGCTAGATGAATCATGGAAAGCCGTGGATGGCGGAGGATTGCTCTTCAACGCAGCCGCATGTTTCTGCTTATGCTCTTCCATATCCCGGAGGGAGGCTTCAATTGCAGCTTTCAAATCCGCATCTTCTTCTTCCACATTCGAAGGGCCAGGAGCGGGAGCAGTAGCTGGCTTGGCTCGTTCAGGAGCATTGCCGGTTTGCGGCACAAATCCAGTGGGTCCTCTTCCTTCCGCCTCCTCGAGGCTCATTTGCAATGCCCGACGAAGATCGTCATCGAAACTGGTATCCGCTTTGGCGCCCCGAGGCTCCATCACATTGGATTTAGTGATGGAATTATTCTTAAACGCGGAACGATCCTGTAGCCCGGCGGGCGTGTATGACTTCGAGGTCAGTTTAGCGTAGCACCCATCGTCAACTCTAACAGGCTGTAGTATTCCGAGATGTGGGAGTGGGAGGGTTTTGCTGGAGCACTGTTGATCAAAGACGTTGCCACAGTTTCGACAGTGGTGTTTCCTATTCATAAAGCTAAAAGCAGTGCGGCATCGCATGCACACGTCTGAATCAATCCACTCTGGTGGCTAAGGTGGGGGGAATTAGCCCAAGTGCCATGTTTCGACTTTGACACCTAAAAATAAATTATGGAGATTCCACACTTACTGCATTGCTTTCCAGCATGGAACCGCTCATTTCCGTCTTTGGAGGAAACTGGAATCCTTCGTTTTGAAGCTTCCTATATGTTTCCCCAAGATACATCAAGTCCATCCGGCCCTGGGCCGCCATCGCCCAGTTCTGGATGAGCTCCAAGATCTTGCGTTGTACATCGGGGTTCAGCGGAGCGCCTTCGGATTTGAGTAGCGACACTAGATTGTCCATGAATTCACGGGATGCGATCTCGGCCAGGAAGTGGGTGCCACCGTTCTTGACACAGGTATCGGTCAACTAATAAACAAGGGGACATGTCAGCTTTCATTCTTCATATTCAGATCAAGCCGAGCAGCAAGTACCAACCTTCAAGGTTGCTAGCTGAATATTGGGGTTTCGGTTTTCCAGTCGACGCTTCAAAGACCTCATGGCATCCTTGGGCTGGACACTCTTCGATCGAACCATATCAGAGATCTCCAGGTTCAGAGCGATATCCTCTCTAGAACATTGGTCAGTCTTGGGTACTTGACAAGTTCATAACAACAGGTAGATCGACAACCCAAGTGTGTTAGGCAGCAGGTGGGTTAATGCTGGGTGATAACATACAGAGAGGAGCCGGTCGCCCGCTCGATCTGCTCATCGAGGGGCGACGTTGAGGAGAACCAGCCGGCCATGATAAAGAGCTGAGAGCAACACGCAAGGAACGCGCACAATCTTGCAAAGGATTATGTAGAAGCAGCCAAGAAAGTCACGCCGAGTGAATCCAGGATGAGATGGAGCTCCAGGCAGCCCGCAGTGGCCGGAGTGACTAAGCTCCCTGGCGTCATAGGCGCGGGGGCGGTGAGAGTATTGTCACTCCCGTTGTACCCCAGACCAGACCCGCCGTGGTTTCCAGTTCCTAGATCGTCTTTCTTGTCTTGGCTTGTTCGTTCTTTCGTTATTGTTGGTGCCTTGTCGACCCCGTTACAGACTCTCTTTCCACTCCCACAAACGATGCGCTAAGAATATTTCTCTTCATTCCACGCTCGCTGCCTCGACCATGCCCACCGATGCGGCGGCTTTACCTACTCCACCAGACATACCACCGTGGAAGGACAGCCGTCCTTACTCGGTGGGGGGCAACATGCATTCCAACGGCCATGTCACCAGACCAGGCTTTAATCCGAATGGCGCTCTGCCAGGACCACAACCCAGATTTCCCAGTATCAAGGACCTGCAGGATCAGGCCGCCCTATTGAAGGTGAACGAGAACACGCCGGTTAGTACAGATCATGGACATGGACTCCCGCGAGGAATGACACTTGGCTCATATGACGCCTCCTAGATTGACGTCCTACTACGAACCGCGGCTGCGGCTTTCGAACGAGCGAAGATCCTCGCGGACGGCGACGACTCCGACAAGGCCTATGTCCAGTACCTGCGCGCATCGGAGATCACCATCAACATCATACCCCACCACCCCGAATATCGGACGATACAGACCAGAAGCCCTGAATTGTACAAGGAATTTGCCGCGTTGATGATGGTATGCTCTTCCAATTTAGCGCACTTGGTCCACTGCAAGCGCCTGACAATGCGCTTTGTCAAGCAGATCACATGTACAAGAAGCTGACCCCACTATTTCAATGCAGGCGGTGCGAAGCAAACAAGCGACGATGGATGCGATTAAACGGGAGATTATCGAGGACAACTTGAATAGTAATGTGCAGCCGACTGGATCTTTCATGTCGACTTCGCTGCCAGCCTCCAGCTCTCTGCGAGGTCGCGAGAATCACGAGCCTACAAACACCTCTGTGAGAATGCCGAGTCCAACACAGTTTCAACGGATGCCCGATTCTCAAGTGCAAGCCAAGAGGTTTTCCGTCCCCGCGGGGGATTCTCTGGCCGAACGTTTTTCGAGATTAAAAACCCCTCAGACTTGCGATGGGTCAAACTCGAGTGTTGCTTCGTCCACAGTTCAGTCCACCGCGAGTCAATTCTCTGCTTACACGACTAATACACCTACCACAAACCATGGCTCCCCCTACGGATCACCGTCAAGGCGCCCACTGGGTCCTCGCAGCATGGGGTCCTCGACCCATGTCCCATCGATTCCTCCCAAGCTTCCACTAAACACTTCTATGCCGCGCGCTCCCGACCCTGCTTATAGTCCGATCTACACGGTGCCCACACAGCCTCCTCCAAATCCTCCCCGAACATCAACTGAAAGCACGCGATCATTCAACCAGCGATATTCCCAGTTCACCAACTCTCCACATGGGAGTCCAAGTCGCGGCCTCGACGATCATCCGTATCGATCACGAACTCCGAATGGAGTCAACTCTAGGCGTGAGACACGGAGCAACTCTCCCGATTTGCCCTATAACACGCATATTACAGCCGAAAACTTGATGGATTACTTGCGAAAGTTCAACGTCTTGGTGATTGACGTTCGTCCTCGAGACCAGTTCGACAATGGTCACATCTATGCCAAGTCGATCATTTGCATTGAGCCGGTTGTGCTGAAAGAAAACGTGTCGGCCGAAGAGCTTGAAGAACGCCTCGTCGTGTCCCCCGAATATGAACAGACATTGTTCGAGCGGCGCAACGAATTCGACCTTGTGGTATACTATGATCAAAAGACGGCCTCTGTCAGCTATCTCGCAGGATCTCCTGTAGGAACGTCAGCGCCGCACTTGAGAGCGCTCCACGACACTCTGTACGAGTTCAATGAGTACAAGCCATTGAAGGCGGGTCGGCCGCCTGCACTTCTGCTTGGTGGACTAGACGCATGGATCGATCTTCTTGGGCAGCAATCACTGGCTACGTCTTCTACTGCTGCTGTCATGGGATCTCTCCAGGCCAAAAAGCCCGTCCCAAGGCCCGGCCGGCCCCTTGGTCGGGTTCCCACCATGGCTAGTGCTAATTCCAGCCTGGAGGTACGCAGGAGGAGGTTGCGCGAGTTCACACCGCTCAATTCAGAAGAGCTGTCGGCATGGTTAGAAAAGTCGAAGAAAGAAGAGATCGACACCAGTCACTATCTGGAGGAGGAACCGCTGGCCGAAGAGCCGCAGGAGGAGGGGGTTCACCCAGAGCCTACCATCCCATTTGTACACACTTATGAAGCTTTCTTACGCCGCTTCCCCGAGCCACATCATATCCAGCAGTCGATGATGCACCCAGAGTCTCGACCATCTCCCCCGCCTATGTCGAACTATCCTGCTCCCGTTCCGGTCGCCCCTTCACGGCCACCTCCTGCGGTGCCTCGTCCTAGCTATAGTGGTGTCTCCGACGGTCGCCACACCCAGCCCCATCTGCAGCGACAAAACTCAGCAAACCGCGTTGCCTTGTACACGTCAAACTCATATCTCAGTCGTTTGAAGCTTCCACGAACTGGTCTGCACAATTTCGGCGTCACTTGTTACATGAATTCCACCATTCAGTGTCTCAGTGCGACTAGCATGATGAGCAAGTTCTTTATCGATGATCGTTACCGATATTACGTGCAGAAGAATTGGAAGGGCTCGCAAGGTGTGATGCCGGGTTTGTATGCCAATCTCATCCGGTCTCTATGGAAAGGCGATGTAGAAGTGATCATGCCTACTTCTTTCCGCAATTTCTGCGGTCGCTTGAACCGGGAATGGGCGATTGATAGACAACAAGATGCAAAGGAATTCTTCGATTTTCTTGTGGACTGTTTGCATGAAGATCTCAACATCAATTGGCAGCGCAACCCCTTGCGGCCATTGACCTTTTCCGAAGAAATGCAACGAGAGCGAATGCCTGTACAAAAAGTCTCAGGGATTGAATGGAATCGTTATTGCCATCGGGAAGACTCGTTCATCTCCTCACTCTTTGCCGGTCAGCACGCTAGTCGATTGAAATGCACCACGTGTCGCCAGACATCGACCACCTACGAAGCGTTTTACAGTATCAGCGTTGAGATTCCACCCGACGGCACTGGTGATATCTATCAATGCCTCCGAAGCTACTGTCAAGAGGAGATGCTCAGCGGTGATGAGGTTTGGAAATGTCCACACTGTAAATGCGACCGCATTGCGACCAAACAAATCATCATCACGCGTGCCCCTCAGATCCTAGTCGTCCATTTCAAGCGCTTCTCTGCGTCTAAGACTCAGAGTGCGCGCAAGATTCACACTCCGATCGAGTTTCCCCTTTACGGACTCCGGATGGATGACTTTGTCGTTTCATACCCAACCTCCGGCCCACCAGCCGAGTCCGGTACACCCGCTATGATGGGTTCGACCACGCCTCCATTCACATACGACGCCTTCGGGGTGTTGCGGCACATCGGATCGTCTATGGGTAGTGGACACTATATCTCGCTGGTGCGCGACGCAGAACGGCAGTGCTGGCGGAGGTTTGACGACGAGCGGACCACTGATTTTAACCCGCGAGACCTGCGGGCGCGCGACCGGCTGCAGAATGAGCAGGCGTACATTGTGTTTTATGAGCGAGTTCCAGCGAAATGAGCGTTAGCGTTTATTCTGATTGTTCTGTATTGTTTTTCCAAGGCCCCCTATCCCATGTTGTCTACATCCGACCTTTCCGGCCGTTGCGGTTCGAAACTATGTTCTATTTGCCTTGGACATCCTTGGTTCTTTCCTTTTTTATTCGTGGATTCCTTTTAGTTTTGCATGTCACGATAATCATGATTGGATAGAGATGGCGCTAGGGACATTCTGGAGGTATATATGTACTCGCCTTCGGGTAGTGCTGAAATGCATCATGCCGCCAGGGTGTCTATGAGTTTAGGTGTTTTGAACTTGTAGACCACCTCCACGAAAGAGATACTTATTTTTAGTGGGTATCTTGCCTTGACTGCCTTAGGTATAGTTTCACTGGCGTAGTTTGACGGTGTTGATCATCGATCGATAAGTCGAGATGAATACTTCGATTGATAGTGCACAAGTACCCTTCGGAACGGTGACATGGATTGAGCCGACCTTCCGGCAGTTCGCCAATACAGTCTAGTCTGTACACGGAAGTACGGTGAAGAATGCAGGTGGTACAAAGATGGGCTAGGTATAGACAAGATCTGATTACAAGATCACACCCCCAAGGATGGAGGTACGATCTACTACAGCATTCCAGTATGAGATGATAAAATAATTGATTCTAAGTATTTTGTATAGATCTAATCGCAATGAACTTCCCTAAACACTTTTTCCATTAGTATCAATCCGGTTCATCCGTTATGCACGAGATCAATGGAATAATCACGTCAGCCCCAGAGCGGGAATAATGGGGATGGGCTGATCGACCCGAGGGGGAGAGGGGACAAGTCCTTTCCATGAAATTCCGCGGGCGCGGAAAGCGGGGACTAAAAGCTGGAGGGGGGGAAGTGCGGAGATGGGATGGAACGGAACGGCTCTGGGTTGATGGATCAGGGGGTGTAGGTAATGTACAAACTACTTACTGTACGGTCTGTAGCGGAGGGCGGGTACCGGGGCCATTACCCGAGTGGTGGTTGACCGAGGGTATGGGGAGGGGATGGGTATGAAGGCTGGCACTTGAGTCTGGGGAGTTTAGTATCCGGTTATAGATGCGAGATGAAGATCATGGTTCTCCGTTAAAATTACTAGGTAGAATTTTATGTTTAGCATAGGTGTAACTATTTAATGGTTAACTGTCTGTATAAAGGACACCGAAAAGGGGAAGTTCATCTCCCGACTCGAAGACCGGATTCCGAGATGCAGATGTAGTTGTACTAGAGTGTATACTTTGAAAAGCATAGTAGTGTTAGATCCATGAGAGTGGATCAAACAGTTATTTCTCAAGTTATGGGTACAAAGTGGTGGTATATCACCTTTTCACACCCCCGTGATAGAACAATATAGTAATCTCCAGAAAGTACAGCAGTATACTCCTCTCTTCATATGCGCCGAGGCACCAAATAAGCAGGCGCTGATAGGCTCGTCCGGCATCGGATCATACAAGTCTGGGCCTTTTGGTCACACAAGTCAATCCCGGGACATCTTCTCGTAGAAGGAATGCAAGATAAGCCCCTCCTCCTCCCCTCCCACTTGCACCCAGTAATCATTCCCTACATAAATAAATTCTCAGTATAGCCCCGGCTAACCTCGTGGGTAGTTCGCCTCCGGGTGAAATTCACGGCAGGGGAAAATGTATGTTAGTCAGGGTTGGGGGGTTAGTAATACCATTCTGCCCAGTAGTAAACAAGCAAAAGGGAACAAACTCGAGGACCAAATTCATTTTTGGCTCCACTTTGCGGGTGACCGCCTTTGAAGGGCCCTGGAAAACAGGCCCAATAATCTAGTCAACTCGACACTCTTCCTCTTTCTTCCCTCGTCCCCGGCCTTGTCATTCCTGCTTAGACTTCCTTTCTCTGTTTCGGTCCTTCTCAAACGTGAGTCCATCCCTCTTCATACCCTTATAATCTCGCCTTGGTCCGTTGGGACGGCCTCCTATCGGGCTTTTTTTGTTGGCTCCGTCGGAGAGAGAGGATCCCATACTCTCCTGCCCGCCCATCCAGACCCCTCTCTCATTATTACTCTTCCAAGAGTCGACGGCGTCTTACTTGGCTTTGACGAGTCTTTCAATCTATACTGTAACACCGGGCTAATTCTTTCTGCGATCGCGCAATCCTCCAGGCTTTCTTTCTACCATCACCATGTCTGCCACTAAGGAATTCACCCTCCAGGAGGTTGCCTCCCACAACACCAAGAAGGACCTGTACATGGTTATCCACGACAAGGTCTACGACTGCACCAGCTTCGTCGATGAGCACCCGTACGTCCTCCTGTCCTCTTATTTCCGTACCCGCGCTTGCGCCGATGCGAATCGGCTCATGCGACGGTATACCCCTATCGCAACAGCATAGCTGCAAATTATCCAATTCTAGCCTATTTCCTACCCCACGATCTCACCGGGTCTATTGATTACCTGTCAATCTTCTGGAGAGTTGAATTACTGACAATCACCCTACAGCGGTGGTGAGGAAGTCCTTCTGGATGTCGGCGGCCAGGACGGCTCCGAGGCCTTCGAGGACGTCGGCCACTCCGACGAGGCCCGTGAGATCCTCGACGGTCTCCTCGTCGGCAACGTGAAGCGCATGGTATGTGACAATACCCAACATCCACTTTATCACTGGCAATCTCCCCCATTTAATCCACTTCTTACTGACCACGTATTCCAGCCCGGTGACCCCGCCCCCAAGGCCCACGCCGCCACCAGCTCTTCTTCCGCCTCCTCTTCCTCTTCCTCCGGCAGCTTCGGTGTCGGTCTCTACGCCGTCATCCTCATCGGTGGTGCCATCGCCTACGGTGCCTACAACTACCTCCAGGCCCAGCAGCAGGCCCAGTAAATTTCCCTTTATCCGGGAAATTGGTCCGCGCAATGGAGGAAGTGTTACGCATAGACTGTTGATGATGAGGGTATGAGTTCAAGAAGAGTTGAAAAAAAGATTAGGGAAATGGCGGTCACAGGAACAGAACCCCCCGTGAGGGGGGAGTTGCTAAATCCATGGCGCCTGTGGAATCCGAAAGGGGAAGGAATAATAGACTGCGGGGACGAGGAGAGGAGATTGGAGAGATTGGAGAACGTACCCGCGACCTGTCATGATCCGTTATTCATTCAATGGGGTTAACAGGTTCTTGATTTGTTCGGGATTTTTCTACTTTTTTTTTGTTTATTATTGGCAGAGTCTTGTTTTTATTTTTTTTGTTCATGGAGTATCCTTTCTATACCGCAGAAACTCTGCGATCGCTCTTGCTAAACCTTTCCTTGCTTTTGCACTATTTCTAACTCTGTATGGTGCTGTGTTGTCCATTCGGGGTTCATTTCCTCGTGGAACCTTCTAGCGCCCGAAAGCTCAACGATTGTCCTCTTTCCAACAAGCCTGCGCGGGATTTTTTACTTGTTTGGGCGTGCCGTTCCGTCGTGTGGGGGGAGGAAGGTGCCCGCGATACGCATGTGGGGTTTGGTTTTGGGTTTTATCTAGGAATGAGGGGAGGGGCAGGGGAATGAGGAGATAGAGTATTCCTTGGTTCTTTTGGTTTCTATGCATGTATTTATAGATTGATATGCATTGCTTTATCTATGGTTTGGGTACTCGGTGAGTTGATTACGATTCGGGATTATAGATATCACCTCTATCTACTATTACTACCAAAGTAAGTAGTGGAGGAGTATTGTAGGGATTGAGGACAGAGAAAAATCAACTTGGAATGAAAGAAATTAGCAAAAAGATACTGCCATCTAATTGTTTAGATCAGCCAGTGTATGTGTTGATCCGAAATTCCTTTCCAGTCAGAGGATCCTTAACCATCGGACGGTCATCGTAATCCACGCTATTCAGCGCCAGTCTCACCTGTAGGAGAAGATCAGCTCCGAAAGTAGGACATTCCTGAGCCATGTCAGCAAACTTGTATCCGTCGTCTTTGAGAAATCCCTCAACCGACGCCGTCGCTATAATATACCGCACACTATGACCAGGAGGCAAGTAGTGCGCAGAACGAATGTGCTCCTCGGTAAGATGGTAGGTATTTATGTCCTTCCATCCGTCAGGTTCTGGGTTCTTAATGAGCACCTTTTTGATGTATTCCGCCATCTCAGTCTCCAGTTCCTTAACGTTGCACATGTCTGCTAGGCGGGCAAGTTCGATGGCGGCGGTGATCTCCTCATCGGGCTCGTCGTCGGTACCGAACTCAACACGGCGGTGGTATAGCCATTGGAGGAGAGCTACGAAGCTCTGTTCCGAGACGATGCCTTCGATCTCTTGCATCTCCACAGTCTGCGTCTGTCCCTCGATGAACTCGCCTTCGAACATTTTTTCGAAATACGAGGATTTTTTGCAGAGGAGCGGCTTGGATACCGTGTATTCGGCGTCGCTGGGCTTGAGTTTGATCGTGACGAAGGGGCCATGGTAGAGGTGGGAGATACTGGATGATAGCTTATTAGATACTGGGATCTCGTAGTCATAAATTGATGCTATGTTACTTACTGCTGCGCGAATTCGCTTGCGGGGGTGTTGAAAATGTCAGACATGATGTCGGATTTTGGAGGATATGAGGTGTGGGAGATGGAAAGGGACACTGAAAGGCAGGTCGTTCTTGTGACCGATACTAGACCTCTGAATGATGAGGGAGAGGTGCGTGGTGTGGGAAGCTGATTCGAAGGGCTGAGAGAGATCAGAACGATGAAGAGGTCGGAAGTAGATCGAAGAGGATAGTCGATGAAGGTTGGAGAGGAAAAGGAAACGAGAAAAAAAGAAAGAAAGAAAGAAAGTTTTGAAACAGTTCTCAGTCGAAGAACGTAGTTGCCTCATTTAGATCTGATTCATGGAAGGAAGGAAGCATGGCAAACGATGAAGTAAAAAAGGCCAGCTCCTTCCCCGAACATCCTAGGGATATCATATGGGAAAACTCTATGGAACAGTTAGAAAAGGGAGGCAATCTGATTTTCTTTCTTTTCTTCTATTGTATTCGCATTTATTAATGAAGAGGATTCAATTTCAAAATGGAATACTAAAGAGACTTCTTCGCTGCTCCAGGAGGTTGTTCGACATAACCGATCTTGATTATTTCTCCATCGAGAGGATCTGTGACTGTCGCACAACCACCCTTACAACTCAGGCTCTGGAGTGCCCATCTGACTTCTGCCAAAAGGTCAGCTGCGAAAGTAGGATGTTCGCGATCCTCCTTTACAAATTTGTAGTTTGCATCAAGAAAAAACCCCTCCACCGAAGCCGCAGCAACCACACGACGCACAGGATGCCCACGACGTAAATATCCCGCGGCGAAAATATGTTCCCGAGTAAGGACGTGAGTTTTCAAGACTCTGTCCGTAGCATTGGCACGCGGTTGTCCACCTACGCTGGCGGCGAGAGTACTTTTAATATATTGCACTACTAGAGTGTCCAAGCCCACGATGCTGCACATTTCCGCCAGCCGGGCGACTTTGATAGCAGTCGAGACTTTCTCTTCTGGGTTGCCGGGGTTGAATCCGATTTTGCGGCTGTATAGCCATTGCAGAAGGCATTCTATGCTGCGCCTCGATACGATGCCTTCGATGTTTTCAAGGGTCACAACCTGCTCTTCTCCCGTGGTTGGCTTTTCTTCCTCCTTGGTGGGTCTGCCTTTGCCGTTGAGAGGTTTGTCTTCGACTGTCGTGGACTTGCCATCAAGAATTGTGGAGAAGTAAGACGATTCCTTGCATAGTAGAGGCTTCGAAACTGTATATTCGACGTCCTCGGATTTTATTCGGATCTTGACAAAGGGGCCGTGGCAAAGAGGTAGTATTCTAGAGAACGGTAAGACTAAGAGGCCTCTGTATTAGACTGGGAGCATTAATCACCTTTCAACCATCTCTCTAGAAGTTATATCGAGGAAGTCAGGCATGGCTCAAAGTTTTGAGTGTGTTAAAGGTGAGAATAGAGAGAGTTTGGAAGCAGCGGGGTTGTCTTGCAAGAGAGTTCCCTGTAGTGAGTCTGATTCCAATGGAATAACAAGAGCTGATGAAACCATGTATATTACAATGACATGGGTAGCCACTCATGCTGGGAGGTGAAAGAGAAGAAACCATGAAAATAAGAACTCCAGGGTATAAATAACCGTCCCCTCTTCTGTTCATAGTAAGTGTTTGTGAATTTGAAACAAAGAAGGCAACTCCACTCAATGGTAGCTGTAGTGTAGTATATCTCGTGACGATTCATTTGGTAGTTGATATCTTAGTGAGATCAATGGTGTTTAAGGTTTATTTGTGATATGGTTGCTGCATATAGGGAGCCAACTTCAGGATAGGGCTGTATACTGAGCTCTTTTGTTTGGATTGGAAGGGAGAATCATACAGGGGCGGAGATCCCAAAGAGCTAGTCTACAATTCTGAGTCTTTTAACACTATTCTGCTCTTGAGATCGTGGTATGTCACTTATATAATGATAGAATATGCTCTATTTTTTCCCAAAGGGCGACTCGAAATGGTTTACAATGAATCCATCACTGCATTCGATGGAGTTGAGTAGAGTACCTCCAAGACCAAAAAAGAAAGACTATTGTAGGATGCGGATACCGGGCTCTTCGAACATCGTAAAGGCTACTCGACGGCCATCATCAAAGAAGTCAATTTTGTAAGAAAAGCTAGTATAAGCGTAAATTGTGTTCCTGCCCATTTCTTGAAGTAATACAATAATAAATAAGCTAGTGCAAAAAGCTATAAGGAATTTAAAGCTATCATAAGACTGAAAAGGTTCCCACTGGTTGATAGAGTTCTCGATCATCTGAATTGGTGGCTTCTTGTGAGCAGACCATTACAAAAGGTAAATCTATGTTCCAGAATTGCCCACCAGAAGCCGAAACCAAAAGTGCCCAGCTTAAAGCTCGCATTGTATTGGATTTTCCCAGACTGTTTAGGATATTTACGGGCACCAGGTACGAGCATATATATACCTAACATGATTGCACTCCACCCCAAGGACGCAGCAACAATGATTAGTAGAGCCACGTCTCCAACCACCCCGCCCTGCCTGTGGATGCCCGAACTTTCGGGTTACCAGGCATCAAGGCCACCAACTTTTTTTCTGCCAAAAAGTTCTGCCACCACTCTCTCTCCGCCTAAACTCTGCCGCCCTTTCTGCCATCAACCTGCCACTTTGGTCTCTATGGTCTACCTTTCTGGTTTACATAGTAAATCCACCATACAATCTACCGTTAAATGCACGTTTTGACAGAGAAATCTACATTAAATTCTTACAAACCTAAATCACCTTCCTTAGTAATATAACCAGTCCTGGTTTCCTTGCTGCGTAGGCCTGGTAGATCTAGCAGATCTCCTGGTTACCCTGGTGATAGTGGATTCTGCCTCATCCTCTGCCAGAACCTCCGAATCTTCCGTATCTTCCGAATCCTCTAGCGAAGAGGTACTACGCCCACCACGGTTACCACGGTTACCACGGTTACCACGAATACTACCGCGAGTACCACCTCGTGGTGGTGGTCGATCTTGGGGGTGGACGGTGAGGGCGGTGAGGAAGATGGTGAGCCAGTAGTAGAAAGCGGTGAGAGTGGTGAGAGGGGGATTGTGGATAAATATTATTCCATGAGCAAACAAGACAAAAACTTTTGCCTTTATGCTTGAAATCCCGAGAATTCAGGCATCCCCAGACAGGGGTGGCTGGAGACAAGGGGGGGGGGGGGGGGGTGCCTCTAGTAATCCCCATATTGGATTATCGTAAATCATGCCCCTCATCCAAAACGGCTAGCTCCAAATGCGTATGATGTCCACTTTGCATGTTTCAAAAATCCTCTCTGATAAATTTTGCCGAGCCAGGTTTGGGTATGCGTTCTCCCATGATGACTCCATCACCCTTAAGTTATGTACCCCCTTCACAGGCACTGAACGCTCATCCTCCACGGCACTCCATTTGGTTCTCGCAGAGGTGGAGTGAGGCCATAGCTTCTTCAAGGTTGCGTTTGAATATTGCAGTGAGAATTGGCAAGAGAAGGATGGAGTTTCGGGTTTGCTAGTTTGGTTCCTGTAAATAGCAGTGAATGATAGAGACTCTTTACAGTAGCGGATTAGAAGTCGACTGCTCATAGGCTCGTGTCGTTGATGCGGAACTTTAGCACGAGGCTATTGGACATCGGAAACATTCTAAAGGAATGTTAGATTTGTAGTTTTAGAGCCATGCGGTATCACTTACTGGTCTGTCACCTTGAGGGAGGGCGAGCGGAGGAGTCCAGGAATCACATATGGCGAGGTAGCAGGAGACTGAAGTCAGATAAGATGGCCGACGAGTCAGTTTAAAATGGTTAAGAGAGAGTCTATGGGACAGGGGGTGGTTCCAAGCTTTCCTTAACGTAGAAGATCATTAGAGCCACGTACCTAAATTGTATATTGGGACAGACTCTGTGGACGGGGAAGAAAGAAGCGATGTCTTGCTGGCGAATCTTGTCTAAAGCTTCACGCCACAGCTGGGAGATACTATGGCGGGACTCAGCTCGGATCGGTTTCACGTGCTAGCATTCTTCAAGGGTAACTCCTTCGAAAAGGAAGTCGTAGAGGGCGGGTGCACAACCAGCGAGGTCCTCTTTCGGTATTTCGAGTCGATTGTCCTTGAGCAGGCTCTCTGTAAAAGACCTTATGAATTTGAAACCGTTATATTGACGTGATTATCACGGAGGAACTGGTCGCAAGTCGAGGTTGATCAGGTACATAGCGACGGGTGAAGATCACTGTCGACTTCCAAGACGCGAGACCAGTACTGAGAGACTCTTCGTGCACAAGATCCAGTTTGAAGACCAGCTCTAAGGTGGATAATGTCATTTAGCTTCGTCGACCTAGACGGTGTCAGATACTCACTCCGGTTGAAATTCAGCCATGTTAATGACCGAGTCAATATATCCCGATCATTGAAAGAGGAAGAGATATCGTGACAATATATCAAGAGCAGCAACCTTCTTGCAATGTGTCTCGAAAAGCTCTCCCCGAGAGAAGGAAAGGAGAAAGGAGACAGAGAGCCAAAGGCGGGTCAATTATAGGTCTTGGAATGGTATTCTCCGGCAAACAGCAAACGAATTGGACCTGGAAACGTTCATCCACGGGGGAAATCTCCGTCAGGTTCATAATGATACGCTACAAAGAGAATGAAGGTAGATATTGTGGTGGCAAGCATCGATGACTCTTTCCTAGTCCTCGGCTAGTGAGTATATTAAAGGGGAATGGGCGTGTCATTCCATTAATGAGAAGATGTTTGGAGGCAGTATCGATAAGTATGGATATAGCCTAACTGACTTTGGCATAGGTCTCAGGGTTGTGCGTTTAAAGATGAAGGAAAGTACAGACGACCTTTATTAGACATGCCACAAAAAATTCCCATCCAAGGCTTCATCAATATTGCAATTACAAGGAGGTCAATTATAATCAGATTGATACTCGAATGCAAGTCTCTAGGGCCTGGCCGGGCCCGGCCGGCGTCTGCTACCCCGCTATAGTTCGAAAGGTTTACCTTGCATTGTTCCCCGCAATTCGTCTAGTATCAACCTCTAGAAATACTAGCAGGTTTCATAACTGAGCTTATCATAACCTCGCGCCTAAAGTAGGGTTTCATTCGCACGGTCCTTTGACTCTTCCTTGGCCGCTGCCTGATAACTCATCCCGAGGCTCAGCAATCTTAAACCAAGACACCCCTCCTTCCACAACAACTGATACTTCGATCACGGACCATTGCCTCTCACCAATTCAAAAACAACACCTCCAATCAATCCTCCAAACCCACCCACCAATCACCAAAATGCCACTATCCAGCACAGACAAAGTCTTCCTCCACCGCACAATCCAACTAGCCCAAGAAGCCCTAGAAGCAGGCAACGACCCCTTCGGCTCCCTCCTCGTAGACGCCAACAACAAAATCCTCAAAGAAGACCGCAACCGCATCCACACCGAATCAAACCTGAGTCTCCACCCAGAATTCACCCTCGCCCTCTGGGCCCAAAGCAATCTCTCTGCTGCCGACCGCGCCGCCGCCACGGTTTACACCTCCGGCGAGCACTGTCCCATGTGTGCGGCTGCGCATGCGTATGCGGGATTGGGGCGGATCGTGTATGCTAGTTCGGCGAGGCAGCTGGAAGGGTGGATGGTGGAGTTGGGGGCTAAGGAGGGGCCGGTTAAGGCGTTGGGGATTAGGGATGTTGCGCCTGGTTTGGTTGTTGATGGGCCGGCGGCGGATTTGGGGGGGTTGGTTTTTGAGTTGCATCGGTTGAGGAAGGAGAGGGTTGATGCCGAGGCGGAGATAAAGGTCAATATATCCTGAATTGATTGAATTAGAGATCTGCGGCACTTGATGCTCTACTGGGATGCATGCAATTGAGAGTATAGCAAAAAGAAGCTGGTGGATGTCGATTTAGCTAGTTGGTCTGCAGACGTACAATAGTCCATGCAATTCATCAAGAAAGTCTGTGAAAATATAAGAAAATCCTTTGTCTAACCTAAAACTCCATACAATACATGGGGAATCCAAATCAACTCTGCTCAATGCAGGGATATCTAGTTGATCCACCCCTTAGGTCCAGCCCAGTTACCCTTCACCATGGCATTATAGTACACCCACGGGAAGAAGTCCTTCTTCAAATAATAGAAGGACCGACGGGGCTTCGCCTGGTCAATACCAAACCAATCGCCAAACGTCTCCTTGGGCTCACCACCATACTTGAACTCCGCGAGGAGCACCTTGCCGTACTCGGTCAACAGCGGGCAAGAAGTGTACCCATCGTAAATCGCATCGGGCTCCTTGCCCTCCATAGCCTGCAGCAAGTTGCGCACGACAACGGGGGACTGAGAAGTCACAGCAGCTGCGGTCTTGGAGGTTGGCAGGGACGAGGCGTCACCGGCGGACCAGACATTGGCGAACTTCTTGTGGCGGGTAGTACCGTCGTCAACGTCAACGAAACCAGCCTCGTTTGCGAGGGGACTGTTCTTCACGAAGGCGGGTGCACCCATCTTGGGAGCCACGTGAAGCAGGTCGAATTGCTTGGTGACCTGTTCCTGGCCATCGGGGCGGGTAAAAGTCGCCGTGTTACCGTTAATAGCGACCAGGTCGTGCTGGAAGAGGCCGTTCACACCGCGCTCCTGTTGCAGGGCGGTCAAAGCCTTGTTGTACTTGGGCACGCCGAACATGACTGGCAAGCCGGTGGCAAAGTTAATTTTGATTGGTGAGCTGGCCGGGTCGGCTGGGTCGTAGAGACCAGCGCGCTTCCAGTGGTCCAGGGCGAGCCACATAATCTTTTGCGGGGCTCCGGCGCACTTGATCACACCGGCGGGTTGAGTGAAGATGGCATTGCCCTTTTCGAGCTTCTTGATGGTGCCGAACACCTTGCTGACGGAGTCGTAGCCGTAGATGGAAGAAACGGGAGCTGTGGGGTCGGCCAGAGCCTCGGGGAGACCCTTGATAGCACCCCAGTTCAGGGCCAGTCCGGGGGCTACGATAAGCTGCTCGTAGCTGAGCTTGTCGCCGTTGCCGAGAGTGACGAAGTTCTTCTCGGGGGTGAAAGTGGCCACGCTCTCGGCGTAGAGCTTCAACTTGGGATCAGCCAGATCCTTGAGTGGTCGGCGCAATTCCTCCTTGGTCTTGAGGCCACCGCCGACCAGCGTCCAACCGGGCTGGTAGTGGTGCCACTCTGCGGGATCGACGATAGCGATCTCATCCTGGGAGAACTTGCCAGACTGCAGCAGCTGGTGGCTAATTGCCATACCGGCAGAGCCACCGCCAACCACGACGACCTTGTGGGCGCGACCAGTCGCGACTGGTGAGGCTGTCGCGAATTTTCGGATGCTTGGCATTGCGTGCGCAGTGCGGCCAGCCGCACGGGCTGCCGATGATACTTGGCGGCCGAGCATTATGTACACTCTAGGAAGAGGATGTCAGGGATTATTTGCGATGGGTTTGAGAATAAGAGGAGAGAAAGAGAAGAAAGGCAGGAGAGTTTCCAGCTATTATTAAAGGAAGAAACAGCTCGTCTCGGCCGTGATCGACCGGTAACTTTACGATACGCCGCGCTTACGGGATCCACTGCTTGCGGCTGGCATGGCGAGATCCAGGGGATGGCCCAAGAGAATGCTGCGAAAAAGGGCGAATAATAATGAACATGGAGTTGGAAATTAGAGGCTTAAAACATTTGATTCATTAGTCTCCGCTCTGCCGGAGACATTTTCATTATCAATCGCCGATTCGGTGGCAATCGGCGACCACAGAGTCATAGAGAAGCCCGGTCCCGTGGTACTTTTAAGCTTATTCCCTTGGAGCTCTAACAACCTCTGGATGTCGTGTCTTTCATTCGAGTCACAATTTATTCGAAGTACTCGATGATGAAGTGTCTTCACATGCAAGCTTCTCGTCGCTGGCCTTCTGCAGCTGGTCTGAGATTGACGTCCAGCGCAGCATTCATCCCTTGTAGCCAGAACGTCCATCTACAACTCCAGCAAGGCAATAAGGCGACATACGCGACGCAAAGGCTTCAAAGGACAAAGTCTGCCTTGAAACGAGTTCCTCCAACATCGACTTATCGCACACAATATTCTATTTCCAATATCCATCCACACAAGGTGTACCAACAAGCAAGATACAGCACCACCGCCACCACCACAAAACAACCAACCATCCACAACATCTTCGAGTCCAAAACCGGAACGTGGCAATACATCGTAGCAGATCCCGCTACATCAAAAGCCGTAATCATCGATCCAGTTCTCGACTACGATCCCTGCACGCAGACCATCACAACAACCTCTGCCGATGCCTTGCTCACCCTCGTCAAGGAAAAGGGCTACACAATCGACCGTATCCTCGAAACCCACGCCCACGCAGACCACTTGACAGCCTCATCATATCTGCAAAGACAGCTTACTCAGACGCAAGGCTTCAAGCCACCCATTGGAATCGGCAAACGCATTGAACAGGTGCAAAGGTTATTCGGGCAGCGCTACGGGCTAGCCAAGGACGAATGGCTCGGTGTATTCGATAAACTATTCGATGACGATGAAACCTTTGTCGTTGGCGAGTTATCCGCAAAGGCAATTCATCTCCCGGGTCATACACCGGATCACTTGGGATATCAAATCGGAGGTAAGCCTACCCATCTCACAAAAACAATTTCTACAAACTACGCATGAGCACAACTAACACCATTCCAGACAACGTCTTCTGCGGCGACTCCCTCTTCCACGCAGACATCGGCACAGCCCGGTGCGACTTCCCCGGCGGCGACGCAAAACACCTCTACCAATCTGGCCGTCGCCTGCTCAGTCTAGACGACCATGTCAAAATCTGGCCTGGTCATGATTACCCGCCTGGGGGCCGGGAACCAATTCCCTGGATGAGTGTGCGAGATCAGAGAGACCAGAATAAGCATTTGAGTGATGTGGTTAGTGAGGAGGAGTTTGTGGAGATGCGGAGGGAGAGGGATAGGAATCTTAGTGCGCCGAGATTATTGCATCAGTCGTTGCAGGTTAATATTCGGGCTGGACGGTTGCCGAGGGTGGAGGAGGGGCATCGGATGTTGAGGTTGCCGTTGAAGTTGAATGGGTTGGATTGGTAGGGTTATGTTGGAGGGTTGGATGTTCCAGTGCTCTGGGATGGTGGTGGTTCTAATTGGATATGCTAATCTCTAATCGACGTACGAATTTGAATGTTGTATATTGTACCCGGAGCTCGAGCTACCCGGCCACGTTAGTAAAGACCCTACCACCCAACCCTGTCAATAAATCAATATCCAGTGAAAATAGATATATAGATATACAGCACATCCATATACTTCACTCTCAAAAACAAACGGACGGTATTTACCCACCAAACTCGCATCAGTAACGATACCTGTATGATAGCGATGGCATCATCGCTTCTCGCCCGAGTAACCCATTTCTCGCCCGAGCCGTCATCTTCTCGTCCGAGTAGAGCTCCTACACTTCCGAGTGCTATACAACGAGTCGCCGATATAATCGTACGACATTATAGGAAGAGAGTCGACAGTATAGAAACAGTTTCACACTTGAATTTAATCGTTTTGATATAAAATCAATACCTCGGGGTCTGGGCCCTCTGGGGGGTAGTGCAAGGGTGTGGGGGTGATTGGCGTCCAATCAAAAGTGGTGGATTGGAGTGTGTTTTTGGGGTGATGGAACCTCGGACGTCATGGGATGGAAAGCTCCGCACTGAATTACATAAAATATGGTTTATTTAAAGCATTATTATATGAGTTGAGAATGAATGGTGGATCTTATCTTTGACCGAAGAGTCTCCACATATGTCAATCGGCGTTTAACATGTCCAGGTTCTAGGAAATGTTTACAACATTGTAGTTATCAAGATACGGTCATCAACAGGCCCAATTCGCGCAATTCCGCGTGGCACCGCCGATCCTCCAAGTCCATCCACCGCAAGACTAAAGTCCAATCGCCATATGACTTGCATCTATGATCTTAAATCTGATTAAGCTTCAAGTATATCTATCCTAGCCACTCATCCCCTTTAACCCCCCTATTCCATTCCAAAAATGACATCTCTCCTGCGCCGCCTCCTCCCAACACGCATACCCAACACAAGCTCCCAACAACGCGACCACCACGCCAACGAACGCACATTCCTCTCATGGACCCGCGCAGGCCTGGGTTTCGCCGCAATGGCCCTAGCCCTAGACCGCCTGGACAAAATCGATCAAATGCTCTCCTCAAAATTGAACCTGGGAGCTCTATTATCTCCGCAGACACACTCGCAAGTGGAACTTCAAGAAATAGAGCACTCTGCAAACAAGAATACGGCTCCAAAGCATACGCCTGGGACAGCAGGTAACATCCACGATTCCAAGGCACCTTCCAGCGCGGTGATGCTGTCGAATACGTTCTCTGCATCTCGACTGTGCCAGTTACTCGGCCTATGGTCATTGGGGTATGGATTCTTCCGGTATTGGTCGATGAGGAGGTATTTACTTCAGGGGCAGTTTGTGCCTGCGTTTTGGGGGCCGGTGTTTATGACTGCGGGGAGTTTTGGGGCGTTTATGATGTTAGGGGTGCAGATGGATCGGCGGCATGCGCATCGGGAGTGAGGGGTCCCCGATGATGGAGGCTTGTCTGCGATTTGTTTTGATTTATATAGAAAAGACCGTTTGTCTGGGTTCCAATAGATAGGCTGTCGTGAGAGGACTTATGGTGTTGGGAGGACTGAGTGATAAGATATTTTATCCCGCTAGGTGCCCATAGAAGGTTACGTAGTGATAGAGGTACATGATTTACGGAACCGAAGCAACTTGACGATACAATTATAAGATCACCCTCCAACTTGCATCGATTAGACGAATAATTTATATTCACTGTTTGAGAGAAGAGAATCTTTCTTTTAAAAGGGAAATAACTAGTTACCATGGTAAAGTGTGATCAAAAAGTGCAAAAAAACAAGTTAGAGAAAAGTAACAAGAATGCCCCGTAGGGAGATCAAGACGAAAGAGAAAAGAAAAGGGGGAATGAAAAGAGGTGGTGTATATGTCTGGTGCAAATATGTCCTGTCGACTCTCCAGCCTCAATCTCGCTCATTCAGCCGCACGAAAATGTTCGCAAAAGAAAAAGAAACCAGGGTGGATTTTCCACCAACAACGCATCGATAAACTCGATTGTCTATCACCGAGCAGAGCCGTTTAGACCATTCTGAACAGCCTCCAGGATCATATCCCGAGCCTCATCCAGGGTAGCGGCATTGCCGCGGATCTCGATCGCCTCACCCTGAGCCTGGTTCTTAGGTACATTGATGCGGCATCCGGTCTTCTTGCGGATGGCGTTGATCTGGCTGCCACCCTGGCCAACCACGAAGCGGTAGGTCTTGGGGTCCGGCAGGATCAGATAGCCAGTGGCAGACTGCTGGCCAGAGGAGGCAATGGCCTTCTCGATGGCGGCGCGGGCCTTGGCAACGTTCTCGGGCGAGCCGGTCAGGACCCAGGGGAAGGGAGAAGCGTCAGCATCGCCAGCGGCGCTGGTATCAACGACCTTCCACGAGTGGGCATCAGTAGCAGTGCTAGGGTCGTCGGTGATCAGGGGCAGGGAGGCGCCGTTGGCGCCACTGCGAGTCTCCTCGGTGGCAGGGTTAGCGGGGACAGCCTGGCCAGCGTGGTCAACAGTGACCTGGTAGTCGTTGCGAAGGCGGCGGAAGATAGCGCCGTTGTCAGCCACGGTGTGGTGCAGGTTGCGAGGAACCTCGACGGTCTCGGCGTGCTGCTCCTTCAGCATACCCTGAATGTGCGCCTTGGCCTCGGCAACAGCGGTGCTAGGACCCTTGAGCTTGACATCGGTGCGGCCGGAGCCCTGCTTGGGGATATCCAGAGTGACGTTGAACTTGGACTCGATGCCACGGCGGGTCTCGCCACCACGGCCGATCAACATGCGGTGCTGAGCGGTGGGGACATCCAGAGTCTCGGAAACTTGGTCCTCACGCTCCTTGACGAACTGTTCAATGGCAGCGACAATGTTCTCGACAATCTTGCCATTACCCTCCAGGCGGATGGTAGACTCGGTGCTGTCGGGACGAGGGAAGCGGACCATGCGAGCAGCACTGCCATCGTTGGGGCCGCCGGCGTCGGCGACAATCTTGCGGATGTTGGCACCTATTACATGAAGTTAGCATAAATCACAGAGAGAAAATGTTATGGGAAGGGGGAAACATACCGCCACCACCAATGAGAGCCTTGTGGTACTTCTTGTCCACATCGATCGTCTTGGTGACAGTCGCATCAAACTCGGAAGCACGCTGCTGTAAGACCTTCTTGGCCTCGGCAACCTGCTGCTTGGTACCCTTGACACGGATCTGCACACGGCCCGAAGCATCGGGGGCATCATTCGCGCTGGGGACATCAATCTGAGCACCAGTGTCGGCGCGAAGCTTGTCCATCTCACGACCACGCTGGCCAATCAGAGAAGCGACCTGGCTCTGGGCAACAGAGATAGTAGCGGAGTGCGAGTGGTCAACAACCCACTGGAGGAGACTCATAATCTCATCGCGAGCCTGATCAGCACCTTTGCTAGGTCCCTTAATCAGAACCTCGTCGGCGGCCTGCTGGGAGCGACCAGGGCGGGCAGCACCGGCATCACTAGCAGCATCGCCAACGGACTGGTCATCGGCAGGGGCAGTGGCGCGAGGGAACTGCACACGAACCGAGTAACGGTCCTGGAGACGGTTGACCTGGTTGCCACGCTGGCCGATAAGCTCACGGTGGTACTGCGCAGGGATCTTCAGGATGTGGGTAGTCTCGTCCTCCAGCTTCTTACCGAGGTTGATGATGCGCATGCGAGCAGCATCAGCCTTGGCCTTGGGACCCTTGACCTCAACCTTGCCATTCTCGACCTTAATGTCGACATCGAACTCCTCACGAAGCTTGTTGATGTTCTCACCGCGCTTGCCAATCAGGAAGTTAGCATACTTCTGAGGGAAGTCGAAGGAGGTGGTGTATCCACGCTCCAAGTCGTCCTTCTCCTGCTCGGCGACAAAGGCACCCAGCTTGACGGCAATATCGATGACCAACTGGGAGGGTCCACGGAGCGCAACCTCACACAATCCACCCTTGGCGTCACCAACGAGAGCACGAACGGGAATACTATCCTCGTCCTTAGATTCCTGCTCCCGGAGAAGGAACTTGCGGGTCTTCTCCTGGTATTTGGCAGGAACAGAGACGGTCTTGGCAACGATATCTTGCTGATCTCCAAGCGCACTCAGCAGGTACTCCTGAGCCTCCTGCAGTGACTTCTCGAAGGCCGCAATCTCGGCCGGAGAGGGACGTTGCCGGGGAACCTCGAAGTTGGCTGCAGAAGCAGACGGGCCCTCATAGACAAGGACAACATCGGAGCTGTTGATGTCCTCGGGAACCAACAGGTGAACACCAAAATCACCCTGGAGCTTGGACGCACTGCGAGAGCGCAGGTACGGGTGGAAGTAAGGGTCAACGGGAACGTGACGGAGACGAGAAGGGGGGTGAGCCTGAACCAGGTTCATAATGTCGGAGCGGGCACGGATAGTGTTCTTGCCATCACGAGAGTAGACCTCCCAGGTGACGGGTCCATCAACGCTCGGGGGCAGAGCAATTCGGGCGTCATATGCGGTCTCAAGCTGCCTGATGATGCGGCGGTGGCGGAGATACTGGGTCAGAGCACGGGCGTGGGCATTTGAGCCAGCGGGGGCATTGGGGTGCTGGCGGGACAAGTCAATGCTCGCCATTTGCATGCTGGTAGCAAGATCCATGGCATGGTTGATACCGGCCTCAATCTGGTCAAGGGGTCCAGTGATGGTGAGGAACTCGCTCTCATCGGTGGCAGGGGGGAGGACAATACCGCAACCAGTCTGTGCAAGGAACTGGTGCAGAGCATCGGCCTCATTTCCGAGGATGAACTGGTGCTGGCCACGGTTGATAGCAAGCTGGCGGAGGGTCAGGTTGCGCTGAAGATCAGCGGCCAGGCGCTCGATCTCGGCACGGGCCTCTTGGGCGGCGGCGCGCTCTCCGGAGATGAGAATGTGCTTGTCAGCGCAAGGCGCAAACTGCACGTGGCCGGGGTTGGCCTCCTGGGGAGGGGGCTGGGTGGACCATGTGTCGTAGCGGGGCACGTGGACCTGAGCCTTGGTGCGCTCCTCGATCTCTCGCAATTGCGCATCGTGGGCACCAGCAATGAAGGGGAAGAACTCTGGAGGGATCGTCTTCAAGCGCAGGCTCATGTTCGAGCCCCGTTCCTTGACAATTGCCTCAATCTCCCGGCGCGCCATCTCAGCAGCCACAGCATCACCCTCAATCAAGACATCAATGGTATCATCGTCATCCTCCTCGTTAGCAGCACCGTTCTCCTCGGCGCGGGGAACTTGCACACGAGCACCAGTGCGGGTCTGGATATCCTGGACCACGGAGCCCTGACGACCAATGATATGGGCTCGAGCAGAGGTAGGGATAGGAACACGGACGGATTGCTAGATAGGGAGAAATATCAAGTTAGAGATGCGGATTTTGGTCCCAAAGATCTTTTGTCGGACGTACCTTGGATCCGACCTGCTGCGCAACTTCCTTGAGAGCCTGGCGAACAGCATCCACGGAACCCTTGCCTTCGAAGATGATCGAACCACCAGGGCCACCGCGCATATCAACGGTAGCCTTGGATCGCCGAGAGATATCGCGCAGGATATCTCTAATGGGCTTCTTCAGTTGCCCGCGGGGCTGCATCTGGGATGGGGCGAGTCGGAGCTGCTCCATGTGCTTTCCGGGGAGGGACATGACCCGAGGGACATCTATTTCCAGAAACCGTCAGACACATCGCATTATACGTCAAAAAAGAAGAACTTTCTGGTGATCTTCACGTACCCATTGGCTGAGAGGGGCGGCCATTGGTAACAGCCGCAGCCGCAGAGGGCTTCTTCGCACCCCACGTAGCCGCCGCGGGAGCAGCAGGCTTAGGTCCGCTACCGAGGGCAGGGAACAGCTCCTCCGATTGTACGTCGAATGCTGGAGCCTTCTTAGGTGCGGGTTTCGGGGCGGGTGCGGCGGTCTCGGCGGGGGTCAAGGGCTCGTCGGCGGGGGTCAGAACTGGGGGCAAGGGCTGGTTGTTCGCAATGGCCGAGGGAGGAGGGTGCTTCAGGTCCTCCTCATCCACAACTTCCTCGACGGTGGGCTTGTGAGCCTCATCGCGGGCGTGTTGCTCCTCCAGCATAGCGGCGAGGGACTTGGAAGCGCCGTTAGTGGCGGTCGATGCTTCAGCGGCCATGGTGAGCGAGGGGAATTGAGCGGTAGACGAGAGAGAGAACGGGCGACAGAACGGCGAATGGGGGCTGTGCAGGAGAACTGCCTTCAATCAGAACTGGATCAGGTCAGTATGGGAATGAGACGTAACGGCAACCGTCTGGGGGAAGAGAGAAAATCCAGAGAGACAGGCGGGATAAAGTGGAACTCACAGATTGAGTAGTCACCTTGCTAATTGAAGATGGGGAAGGATCCGATGCCCGAATTGTCAACTTGGCTGAGGGCAATTCCCCGGAGAGAATGGGGGGGGAGAGCGGTATGTGAGAGAAATCTGGGGAACCTGGACCAAGCACCCAGGAAGAATTAAACCCAGAAGCGGGAGCCCCAAAAGAAATGAGAAGGGGGGGGAGGAGGTGAGAAAAAAAGAAAACGGAGGTGAGGTGATGGGGAGGGGGGTGGAGGTGGGAGGAGGAGTAGAGGTGAAGTCCAGAGAGAACCCCAGAAGTACACAAAGTGACCGAAAAGGCCAGCTCGAGGCTCCGGGGAAGTTTTCTCCGAGTCCGACGGGCCACGCGAAACGTCAACTGGTCACCACGCCAAAAGTAGGATCGATTGTGTGCTTGAAGGAGAAGGAAGAAGGAATTAGATAGTCAAAAATGATTGGTCTATTTGAAAGGGTCAAGGATCATACTGATGAATAGTTACAGCCAATCTGACAATCCTCGCCAACGGGGAAGTCCCTAGTTTGCCATCTTGATTCCACTCTCCTAGACCTCTTTAAGTATCTTTACTGACTTTTTTTTGAGGTGTAATTAAACTTCAATTGTAAGATTGTATAATCTTACGACTCATTCCGTCTAAATGTCCCCAATTGATCGAATACCCGGGTTGAGAGTGCGAAGACTAGGCGGACCACGTGCCAGTGGACGAAGGCAACGTCCCTTCTTGGCAGTCAGTTCTATTGACTGATTGTGATACAGACTATCTTCCATGCAGACTATACATTGAATCCATACTAGCGAACATCAATTGGATGCTTCCATTGGACATTTATCAACGTAAATGTCCCGAGATAGTACCAATTAAGGAGGGTCGGAGTGTCGGCGACAGCAGCCACTGACCAGATACTTGAGTGTCAGGTGATCAACCAAGAGCATCAGCCTCACGCTGCAGACATGATTAACCTATCCAATGGCATATTCCTATTACGACACTGTATCTACCATCCTGGCTCCCAATCAGAAGGAACCGATCGAATCAGCTCGGCGACATCCGACCCCACCTGATAACGGAAGAATTTTCTGTCGGACCGCCCAAAGCTTAGCCCAAAGCTGATCCTTGCCAGATGTCGAACCTGAAGAAACTAGACCTGGAGGGATACAACTTTCTTATTGACCAGAGCTACATAACATGCAATGGAATTTGACTACAGCCTAGTAGTTAAGAGAAGTAATGCAGCCATATCCCATGAGCTAGCCCATTTGTATTCAAGCAAATCTTCCAGTGGCGAATCAGAAAAAAAAATGAAAATGAACTTCATACACCACCCGATCAGACGGCCTACGGCCCACTACAAAACGGGTCACCCAGGGGCCAGCAAAAAGATTCTGAGACTAAATCACAGCCCCAGATTTAGGCTCGTCTAGTCGCGTGCGGAGAGGTCTAGAGAAAAAAAAAAGTCGACAATCTTTTCCTTTTTCCACTCTTCATCCTTCCCACCTTCCCTCGTCCCTGCCAACCCGAACTGTCCGCGCCGCGACATTTGCCCGCCGTCGCAGCCATGGCCACAACCACCACTGCGGATATGGAGAAGAAGCTGCACGCGGAGCCGGCCGTGTCGCCGGTCGACGAGGCCGAGCCCGAGAAGACTTCCAAGCCGCGCGGTATCCTTGCGACGATCCGATACTATGAGGAATACTTGGATCGCAAGATGGGCATCGAGTCGCATAGTTTGGATCGTGTGCACCCCGAAAACCGCGACTCGCCTAGCTCCGTGGTTATGGGACTGATGTGGGCGTCTGCGACGATGAACATTAGTTGTTTCAGTACTGGATTCTTGGGAAATGAGTTTGGGTTATCGCTGGGTCAGACGATTCCTATTGTGATCTTTTCGACCCTGTTGGGTGCTGCTGTTACGGTGAGCATGAACCTTTCTCTCTTGTCTTCTTTTGCTGTTGCGCAAAATCTACTGCAATTGCTCTTACTCTCGATGCGCTGGATAAATGCTAATCGTCTACGTTTGGTTATAGGGTTGGTGCGCTACCATGGGCCCTGGTACTGGTCTGCGCCAGGTCGCCATCTCCAGATACTCCCTGGGTTTCTATCCATCCTCCATCATCGCGCTGTTGAACGTGATCGAACAGCTAGGCTGGGCCTCGGTCAACTGCATCACCGGCGGTCTCGCGCTCAGCGCCGTGTCGGACGGCCGTGTCTCCATCGCAGTCGGTGTCGTGATCATCGCCTGCGTCAGTCTACTCTTCAGCTTCATTGGATTGCGCGGCGTTTTGCTGTACGAGAAGTACGCTTGGATCATGTTCTTCATTATCTTCATGATCATCTATGGCGAGGCAGCTCACCGCGCGAACCTCTCCGCGCCACCTACCGTCACTGGTATGACGGCGTCTGGCAATGTGCTGAGTCTCATCAGTGTGATGTACGGATCTAGTGCGTCGTGGAGCTCGATCGTCTCTGACTTCTATGTGCATTACCCTGTGAATACCTCGAAGACCAAGATCTTCTTGTATACTACTTTCGGTATCACGATCCCCACGTGCATTGGCATGTTGCTGGGCGCGTGTATCAGCTCGGCGCTCGGTACTAACCCCGAGTGGGCTGCTGCGTATGAGAATGGCATTGGCGAGATTCTCAAGGAGATTATCTATCCTAGCGGGTTTGCCAAGTTCCTACTGGTCCTGTTGGTCCTGTCTGGCAGTATGTTCCACCTCACATTCAAAGCGGGCTACTGAATTTCTCGATACTAACTCTAACCCTACAGTCGGTGTCAACTGCATTGCGATCTACTCTGGCGCACTCTCTGCCCAACTCTTCGCCGCACCTTTCGCCAAGGTTCCCCGTGTGATCTGGTCCATCCTCGTATTCGGCGGTATTCTTGCCCTCGGTATCGCCGGCCGCGACCACCTGCTCGACGTGCTGGAGAACTTCCTCTCTCTGCTGGGTTACTGGAACACCTCGTTCTTTGCAATCCTCTTCATCGAACACTACTACTTCCGTGAAGGTAGTCTGGCAAACTACGACCTCGACGCCTGGAACACCCCCTCCAAGATGCCTGTTGGGTACGCTGGACTCACTGCATTCCTTTGCGGTGCAGCTGGGTGGATCGTCGGCATGGTTGAGACATACTATGTTGGCGCGCTCGCGGCGAAGATTGGTGCCGACGGAGGTGACATTGCCAACGAGCTGGCACTTGTTTTCACCACCGTCTCATATCTGCCCCTGCGCAAGCTGGAACTCAAGTACGTGGGGCGGTAAGTGGGATTTTCAGGGTGGAATGGCATGTTCGCCAAGCATTCTGTATACAACGGATATTGCAAAGTGAGCCGAAGGAGAGATACGACTATACTCGGTCATACTTGTGTACAAAAAGGTGCATACAAAAATAATTAATAGACAGACGGATACGAGCGGGTCCGGATGGACACAAAACAAAATATAGACTAGCGACGAAGAAACGAGTGTTTTATTAAGATCTTTCCATCATATGCAGATCTCCTGAATCCATCATAGTGACTGTGCATTAGCCCGATAAGGGCACACCCAACAAAGTGGACATCACTCCCATTGAGCCAAACCACATTAAGATATAGAAATTAGGATGAAAACACCTGTCAGACAAGCGCGCGCCGCCCAAGCAGCCGCCATGCATGGGGTATCGAACAAACGAGTGCACAGTGGTACTCAAAAAAGAAGCAGGGTAGGTATAAGTATACAACCCCCGAACCATTGACAGAAAGTATAAAAAGGGGGATACTCGAACGACTCGTCAAAGCCGTTTGTGATCCCCACGTGCGATATGTATAGAATAGAATATAAGAAATGTTGCTGGAAGGAGACCCGCAGACTCCTAGGAGAATGGGCTTAAACGGCCTTTACGACTGGCCAGCCGGTTGAAAAGTCCAGCTCGTTCCAGCCGTACTTGTAGCCGGAGACACCGGTTCCGCCGGCCTCTTTCACCGAGAGCGGGTAGTAGTGGTAGTATAGCACGGGGCCGAGATCCTTGTCTGTGAGAACACCCCTGTGACATGTGTTAGAGCTCTGATCTGATCTAGCCTTGTATCGGCGGGGGTTTAGTTCAGTGGAGACGATGGGGGCCAACTTACTGTCCACCGGGAGCATAAACCTGATCATGGCTAGCAAGGATAATAGTACCACCCGATTCGAGACAAGAAGTCCCAGCCTCATCGACCTATCAAACCGAATCATTAGTCAAGATTCACAGACACGACGCTCTAGCGTCGCCGATCACGAATCCACTCACAAAGCCCCCAGTCCCACTCGTTGAGCGGCAAACATGCACACGGTACTCCTCGCCCTGGGCGGGGTAAGTCGCCGTATACGAGCCCGCAATACCACCGCTGAAAAACAAGTAATAGTAGCTACCGTGCTCATACAAGAACGCGGCCTCGACGCGGTGGTTCAGACTGGCGTTGTACGCGATCTGGTGCGGCGTGTTCGACCCGACCTGCAGCGGGCTTTCCAGAGCAACTTGGTAGAGGTCTTGCCAGTAGGAGCCGAATTGGATGTATTGCTTGCCGCCGATGGTGATCCAGTTGGGATCGATTCGATTGTAGGCGCTGTTGGCGGGGATGCCGATGATACCGTGGTCGGTCCAGGAGCCGGGCTCCATTGTTTTGGAGGTTGCTACGCCGATTTGGGAGGTTTGAGTGCCGAGCTTGGAGAGGACGTAGTACATGTAGTATGTTCCGCCTTGGTAATGCACGTCGGGGGCCTGGACAGGGATGTTAGCGTTTTGGGGGGGGGTTTGGTTGGTTCGGGGGGATTGGGGGTTATCGGTATATTTAGAAATGACCCCGGGCTAGCTTGACTAGTAGTATAGTCCAGTGCTCGGCGCTGTTCTTGAGATCCCGTTTTTTGGTACATACCCAAATGTTGCTGCTGTCTACACCGTCGAGAGTAATTACGGAACCATTTGGCAGAGCTGAACCCACGTCCGTCCATGGTCCCTTCAAGGAAGACGAGGTCATTGTGTTGACACCAGTTCCAGTCGAGAACCGGAAATACGTGCCATCGGACACACGCTGGATCATAGCAGGATCATGAGTCCAGCAGTCTCCCGTACAAGGGCCTCGCGCCGGGTAGGCGCTAGCCAGAGCTATAAACAAGGTGAAGAAAATAGCCAACATGGTGGCAGTCAATGAAGATGGAAGATCGACAAGGGTGCGAAGAAGAAGAAATAGAAATCAAGAATGTCGAAAGAGGCCGGGATTGTCTATTCTAGAAGGAATCAAAAAGTGATCCTTGGGGGGGGGAGACAAGTTATTTATGTTGATCTTTTTGCTTGTTCCCCCCTCCTTCCTTCCACCTGTCGGGCTTTAGATCTAGGGCTCATGGCCTTTCTGCCATGGAGGGTCATGCAGATGTCGTCTTTGCGGGTGCGTCTTTCGCCTTGGCAATCAAGAGAGGGTCGTGGGACCACTCAAGCAGTGTGGACATGCCAATCAGAGCTTCATTCTCCGTGCATATTCATCCTATGAATGTAAGGCACATGTCAGTATCAGTCGTTAGGCTGGGCCCCCCGACGTGGCTCGGGCGCCACAGTAGGGATAGTGCCGAAAGGCCAAGGGGAGTTGAGGACAGGAGGAGATGGGAGATGTGGATCATTGACGTTCTGGGTAATTTGCAAATAGGCCCGCTCGATTGATTCTCATAGGAGGATCTGTTGAATAGTAATCCGAGGGTATTGACTAGATACGGTGAGTATACAAAGTATAACGAGTTTGAATGCACGGAGATGTATGTACATAATTATATCAATACACTATCTATACTGGAGTTCAATACAAAACAAGAGTTAGTTGTCAATAGTCTAGTAGAATGTGTAAGTGTAAATGTAAGATTGAGAGATCAGACGGGCTGTGCCGAGCTATCCCTTTTGTGATGTCTCCATCAAGACTCCACAAGAGCCTGAAAGAGCGCACCAAATTGCTACTTTTCACCACAGCGAGGAACACGCTAAGAAATTACCTCATATCCACTTCCATGTCCAACTTGAGATCGAGAATCCTGGTAGCGGGCCCTGGTGCATAACCCTTTTTATTGTAGGGGGGTTAAAGGGGAGATGTTGCCGAAGATGCATGATTCGTAATTTGTGAAAGAGCGCGGCCGCATGGGCCCACATTCTCTCCTAGGAAAAGTAAATACATACAAAAAAAATAAAAATAAAAACTAGCAGATGCCATGGTTATCAGCAAGGGGATCATCCGTGCTGAAATACGCTATTGATTTTTTGACGTTGGTTATAACTGATCATGGATATTTTTCATGAACTTTATCTATCCTTGGAGTTGTTGGGACTCGATTGAACTGTGTGGAGTAGTCTTTATCATGTACACCAAACACTTTGCTTTCAAGCTAATACATCAACATGCAACAAAGTACAGTACTCGATACACTTCACTCTTTTTCATCATGCCTCGTTTCTATGCCAATATTAAGCAAGCCCTCTTCTGCATCACTTGCGACATCGGTCATCTGCACTCCCAAGCTTCGGGCAATTAATTTCTGCCCCAACTTCCCATCCATTTTTGACTTTTAAGGCTTTGGGCCCAAAAGAGTGACTCCAGTCCGGGGAGGCTGATGATCGGCCCCCATGTGGGGACAATCCCGGCACTCGCTGCGCCAATAACCTTAGCCGACTTTTCTCGCTAGATCGCCAGCTGAACTGTGCTCGGTCGCAAGAGCCGGTGCTGACCGTCTAAGATCGACTGGAACGGTTGATTTTCCGCTAGTGATGGTGTTGGGGAGGTGATGGTTAGAAAGCGGATGAGATCGTTGAAGATCGTCCCATTGATCAAGTGAGCGATCCCATGCTGCGAGAAGGAGGTGGACTAGGCTACTGGTTAGTGAGGGCAACCTAGCTACTGAAGGGAGCCTTGTACCCTTCTTCAGCAGGGCCAAAGGGGCTGTGAGACCGCTAGGCTGTCAGGGCCTCTGGAAGTGGAACACTTCCGAGGAGCTGAGCGGTATTGACCTGCATCGACATCTGCATCTGTCTTCCCGTGGTGCTGGTAAAAAAGGGAGCCTTGGGCCTTGTAAAGCGAGACAGACAGGCGTGGCAGGGCAGTAGCGCTGCACGAGCTGTAGTCATCAACAGTTGGCTTCCACGCTCACGGTCATTCCTGCATGTATGTCGTAGTTTAGTCTCCGAAGAATTGGGGGCTAACTACACCGACCTTCCGGGCGCAGTCATTCGCTGTACTGAACAGGATTTTGGCTGTTGTCACCGTCCTTGGCTGGGTATGTACATCCTAGGATGTCTATTTTCTATCTGTAAGATTCTTAGATGGTGAGAAATCCCCGGCAGACCCGGTAGCCGACGGCCGACCTTGGCTATCGTCATGCAGCAGCTCCAGTCGGGAAATAAATCATCGTTGGTTGCGATATTTGCGAGCTTTTCGAGCCGATGTCATCACGCGAGTCATGGGGGAAGTTACGAGATGGGCGCGATGTGGAGAAGCGGCGCAGTTTAGAGCTGACTAGCCAACAGCTAATCCCAGTCGATGGCCAGCCTGTTTTCCCCGCTATGATCATTATAGTACCAGGGTTCACGATCCTAGTGGTAGCATAAGTTAGTAATATCGCAGAATATTGATGTCCCGCTGTATATTCCTCATCGCTCATCATGCATGACTGCTGTCCATCGGGATGACTGCAAACACGAGACTCATGGCGTGCTCCGGTCGCCCGTCAAGGTTAGCCAAAGGCGTCCAAAGGCGTCCCCAGTGCTCCATAGAGAAGCCTCGCTGGCCCTCCTTCTCCCGCGTCAGTCAATCTGACTTTCGGGATTTCCCTCTCTTGGGATAGAAGACGGCATGGTGATCAAGTGGGATTCTGACATCAGACAGTCGGCCGATGGTAAATGCATGATGCAAGTCAAGAGTGAGGATGGAAAGACTCGGGTATCGTCTCGGAAGTTTTGTAAGTCCCCAAGGCTTCTTCTCGAGATAATGCTTCTTGGCTTTGCGGGGACCCCGCGACCGTAGCTAGTCATACTATAGACTAGACAGATATAGGATCAGCCCTTCGACTAGCATATGTTGACATCATCTAGACCACACTATTTACTTGCTGTATAGTTAGCCCTTTTCTCGTTTTTGAACCCCATCTTCATCCTTCATCTTCACATCAAATATCATTGCGATCGACAGCCTTGCTGCAGGCACCGTGTCCACGTTGACGACACATTCCTCACATTTAAGCTTGTTTACGAAGAAACCATCTTCATCACTGATGACGCGGCAGGGGCGCTCGCAGGGCTTCCACATCGAAGCTTGATTTGGCCACATCCAATAGTACCTCGGATGTGCCCGTATTGGCATCCCATAGCAACTTCTAACGGTATAGAATCCAGGCAGGATAACAAGATACTACAGATCGAAAGCAAATAACCCCCCTGTACACCCAGGATGGCGATCTACGATCCCAATCTCAGATCGATATTTTCTATGTAAATCACGCCTGCGAAACATATCACCGTCACCAATAACGTCCAATAATCACGCCATCCATTCCCATCTTTCTTTCTCTGCATGCTTCGTATATCTCGTATCGCATCTCTCATTCTAGAATAGCGTCCCACGCACTGTACGGTTCAATTGCGCCGCAAATAGCTTATTCTCATTCAGAATAAACATGCGCCCGTTGCGTCCGAAGGAAAAGTTCGACGTCCCATCCTTGATCAGGATCTTGCCCAGTAGCACACCTCCAGCTGACCAGACATTCACGCCATCCTTGCAGCCTGCGTAGACATTGCCGTTCTGGTCGACCTTGATTCCGTCCGGGATTCCATCGCCCGGCATTGCGAAGACGCGCCGGTTAGTTAGGAATGGTTGTCCGTGGATAATTGTCACGTCGAATGCATAACTAGATAGATCAGAATTAGTGTTTAGATTTAATCTCCAATGATGAAATAGTATAGCCGCGCGTATTCCGCAAGGGGTTCGTAACGAGGATCGAACTTACATAGTCGCAGGCAACAACGGATCAGTAGTCCCATCACCAACAGTCTCCGCCGTATCACTGATATACACAGTCTTCTGATCCGGCGAAAACGAAATACCATTAGGCCGACCAAACCCATCAGCAACGACCCGTACATCCTTCGTCGCCGGATCATACCGATACACCTGATTCGGCAACTGCGGCTTCGGACGAATACCCTGCTTCGACGCATAAATGGGATCGGTAAACCAGTACGCGCCGTCCCGAGCCACAACCACATCATTGATGGAATTGAACTCGCGCCCGTAGTAGTTCCCGATGATCAACTCGGACTTGTACGGGGCAGTCGTGGACATTTGGAATAACCCGCCCGTTTCGTTGAGGGTCCCTTGGCCAGCCCAGAGGATCCCGTTGCCATTGTTGACACCGCCATTGGGCATAGGGATTGTCGTATTGATGATTTCAGCTGTGACGGGGTATGCGCTCACATTGACTTTGGTCACCTTGATGGTGGATTGGTTGGTAACCGGGTCGATGAAGATATTACTCGACATGAACAGCGAGTCCGTGCTTGGGATGTACACGCTCGCCTCGTGGGCGAAGGGGTATTCATCGTTCTCGAGGAGAAGCTCCAGTTTCGGCGCCGAACCGAGGATATGCAGGAAATCGGGGTTGTAGATACTGAAATTGGACGGGATGGACGCGTTCGCCTGCAGGCTCGCGTGGGATATGCCGGTCACCATATCTGCTTGATTGTTCGGAGCTCTCTGATTCTGATTTGTTTGCTTGCGCGTCCAATTTGCTTGCCAGGGATATCTCGGTTCTCGAGGCTGGTTTTTTTGCGGTTGTTTTTTTTCTGCAGAGGGGGACGCTTGGTGGGAGCTTGCGCAGGCTAATTAATGATGTCAGGTGTATCCACCTCCGGCCATAAACTCAATCGCGTTGGATATAGCTAGACCGTGGTTTTTGGCTTGGGGGTGTTTCGCGGATGGCTGGGACTGCGATCGGCGAGCCAAGATCCACATCGGGAGTTTTCCCGAAATTTTGCCATGGTGAGCTTCCTATTCTAAACGGTTGATGTCTTACTTTGTTGACAGACAGATTAAGGGGGAGATTCTTGTACGGAGGACTTTGTAGGGTAATTCTGAGGTGTAATCGAAGTTTGGACGACTTAAAGTGAGCGGGACGCCTATATAGCGGCAACTTGAAATTTGGCTCGACTAGGACAAGACTAAACAAACTAGCGCTAGATTCTAATTCCCAAAATTATCAGACTGGATAACTATTATCCATGAACCACTTAGTAGTCGGTCTGGCAGACTTACGTTCTTAACAAATGATCCACCTTCCCTAGCTTGAGGTAGCTAAACCTCTCCCAGCAGACTAACCCAATCCCTGTTCATTCACATCTCATGCAAGGTTATCACAAGAAGAACGCGTGGCCCTGTACCTGAATAGCAGCCGAGGTGACAGGTCCAGCACACGCTTATCAGCACCATTAGAAGACATGGCTGCCGATCTCCAACCTAAAGCGAAAGACCTTGTCCAACTCCAACACCTTCGTGTGTGGTACAGTGCCCAGACCATTCGACAGCGCAGATCAGGGGTAGAGTCTGGGGCGGTGACTACACCGTAGTGTACTTTCGTAATTATTTACATCGGGGAGTGAACTTTGCAATGTAAGGAAGGGTATCTCTTAAGGTTGTTAAATCGCGAAGCATTACTCTGTATGAGGTGCTGTGCGCCCAATTGAACGATTTGGAAATGGCAGCATGAAAGTTGAAGGACGTGAGTCTTTACATGGGGATCTCCTGTATATAAGGAGATGAATTCTCATCCTAAATATCTACATTAAAGAGTTTTAGTGAGCATAAACAGGATCAACCCAGCTCCGATTGGCATTGTCGGTGTATGTCACGTCACACCTCGGACGACAATCGCGATACTAACTATAGTCGTCAAGAAACCTACCTACTTGTATCTGGATAGCATGACTCCTGGGGAAGATTTGAGAAGGAAAAGTCTGTAGTCTAGCTAATTCTCATAATACTGCAAGGCCAATCTAATCTAAGGGGCGAGTTTCCTTTTCATGGCTCATGCTAACTGAAGAAGATATAGAACAACATAACTCCATCTTCAGCGGTTCCATCTAATATGAACATTCAACGCCGTCAATTCCATTCCTAGGTATTTCCCAAACCCATACCGCCAGATAGTCATAAAGTCATACCACAATTCTTATACCGAGATAACACTCACCAATTCCTGTACAATCTAAATCAGTGGTCTGAAACGCTCGCTTCAAGCTATGCCCAAACATATTCGTGGGCACCGCAGCCTCCACGGGCTGTAACGACTCCAATCGCATCTGTTCAGTGACTGAAGCCAGGGGTCCATCAATGCCGTGAGGCCGACTGAAGAACGTCACTTCATAGATAGGAGTTTCACCTTGCGGCGTAGGCAGCACATCAACCAGAAAGTCGCAAATCCGAACATGTTCAGGAGGTAGCCAGTCATCGTCCGGGCGTACACCCGGTAGCAGACCACAGCCCGCTTCTTCAATCTCCATAATCCGGGAGAAAATAGCATGGTAATGCCTAGCCTCGAAGAGCCACTCCCGCCTCGTGGTGCGAAGCAACAAGTCCAACCCTTGCCGGCGCAGTCTAGGCCAACGGCATTTCCAGGCTACAGCGTGCAATGGGAAAATCAAGCCGAAATCCAGACTGAACGTGCGAGACAGTTCATCCGGAAAACGGACTCGATCTGAGACAATTGCGTCGGCGAATCGAATCAAGTCTTCGTACTCGGCTCGATGCATGTCCCACTCACACTCGGATTTGGTCTCGTATGCTCTCACCCCGAATGTAGTAGAAAGTCGGATGACACAGATAGCGTCAGCAATTCGCTGCTCTTTCGTATCCCAGGTACATTTCTGTCGACGGATTAGGTCGTCCACGTTACGCTGCCATCGCTCGAGATTCTGCTGCACGGAGGAAGAGACTACCACGGGGTCGATATCGGCGAGTGGTCTACGTACGAGGCCGTTGTTTAGCCCGTTACAGACAGACGTCGCGTCGGTGATCATATCAATGAGTCCGACGCGAGCCTCGTCGAGGGTCTCGAAGCGAGTCGCGAGGAGTAATGCCCCGTTCTCATCTACCGGGTTCAAAATGAATTTACTGCGCTGTCCGCCAGCGCATTCGATCGCGTTGGTGTTGAACAGGCTCAGTATCGGCGCAATCTCCGTTTCCATGAAGCGCGCCTCGAAGGAGGTATACTTTCGGCCCCAGGGCGCGATTGGCACGCCATTCTTTTCGCGCCAGGCTTGTAATAGTTTGATTCCCGCAGTGATATGGGCTGCGGCTGCTTTCGCATTACCCTGGATGATCTCGAGGCAGGTGAAGAGTACGTTTGTCATTGCGAGTAATGGAGTTGCATTTTCGCTAGAGGTGATCTTGTCGAGGACTGCGCGGATGGATCGATTGTATAATTTGATGTGGATACTCGGTGAGGACCTTCTCGCGAGTGTGCCGTGTCTATCTGTCGCCGTTTGCTCGTGCAAAAGACCAATTGCTGCGATTGCCTGGCGGATGGCTGGTTCGGCGAGGCTTTGCTGGAGGACGCTGTGCTGGAAGAAGGCACTCCCGAAGAAGCCCGCTAGTTGTGGTGCGGTCTTGATGAAGAAGAATTCCAGCGCGGGCGGTTCGATGGCATCGTCGACTGCTGGCGCGGGGGCCAGTGATCTGGGCAAGGGCGTTGCTGGTTTAGGCGTTCCATAACCCTCGCAAATTCGCCCGGCGTTGGCACAACTGTAATGTGGTTAGTTCATGAACACGGCTTGGAAGATGAGAGCAAGAAGAAAAGGAAAGGAAAGGTGAATCTACCGAGTACAAGTGGGTTTACCTTCGTCGCATTTGACCCGTCGAGTCCTAGATCGGAATTAGTGACGCGTTCGATAGATTAAGTGCAAATTAACCCGGGGATTGTCAAGGGTCGGGATCGACTAACTTGCAGGTCTTGCAGCCAGAGCGCACCTTGGGCTTACTCAGTCTTGTGCGCTTCTGTCTGGAGGCTGGGTCCTCGAGCGACATGTTCAAGCCACTGTGATGAGTGTCGAGTCGAATCGGGAGAGATATGTACTCGACTCCATCTAGAGTGATCTGGCTGATTGGAGATCAGTTTTGGGCTCTGATATCATGATATGCCAGAGGCAAGCGTGGGGGCGAAAATCATGGGCGGTCAGAAGTCCTCATCGTGCGGGTTAGGCGACCTCACTTGGTAGGGCGACCAGCAAGTATGCAGGAGAAGATAGAGTAAGCAGACAGTGCAGTGTACCTGCAGAAGAGAAGTTATCACCAAGCATTGTTATGGAGAGATGAGATGGTTGGTATAGTATTGAGTTTTGTATCGAGTCAAGATCGGATAAATTGCCAGTTCGAGGGTTTATACTTTATAAAGAGAATGCAGAATGGAAGAACGAAGAGTACTTAACTACCCGACTACCTATCTATAGCTACATCTACACTACTTCTCCGATCGAAGATAACCAGTGACGCTACGGAGGATAATCATTTCCATCGTCCAGAGTTGGTCTAGTCTGGTGGAAGTAACCCACATCTATTCTTGTCCCGCGTTTGGTCAACGCCTACCGTTTGGGTGTCCACTTACTTGTCCACTTTAGCCCCGTTCATCCACTCGGGTGAAATGAGGAAATGAGCAGTCCAGGGGAGGGAAGGGGCCTCGAAAATCTAGAATGCTTCGGAGAAATTAGATTGTGGTGGGAGGTCCATGACCTCGGGGTGTTCTAGTACAATACAGTATATACTGGTAGTGCTATAGTATGCCATGATCACATATCAAATAATCCAAGAGAGATTATATCAGGACTGATGAATATAACTCTAATAAGATGATAATATACTCGAACCTTTCATTATTCATCCTAATCTCTCCTCTAGACCTGCCAAACCTGCCAAACCTGCCAAACCTGCCACCCTCGGGTCCCCCGCGTCATCGTCCTAAAAAACCAGCCACCAGTCCTCTTTTGCTTCTCCCTTTTCATCTCCGCTTTCCACGTGCCGGCCACTTTTGGGCTTCTTGCTCTCTGAATTATTATTCCCCTTCTCTCATTCTTTTTTTTTTTCCAAATCTCCTTCCCAAAGCTTTGACGACCCTGCCCCAGACTTTTTACCTCCACCACAACCACGTTATAATAAGCCTCCAACCCCGAATCAGAGAATTACTGCCCTCAGTCCCGCCTCCCGACCGTGACCTCTACGGTCGCTGTCAAATCTCCCCCCCAATTGGCCTTGGAAAATTCTCCTAATTCCCCCTCCCTCTCCTCGGCCCAATTCCAATCTTAACCTTGTCCTGTCACCCCCCAACCGACAGCGACCACCCTGACCTGCCCACCATGAGTTCGGAAAGTAATTTCTCGTTGAAATTCCGGCGCCCCTCCAGCAAATTGCACAAGGATCCCCCTAGCTTCAGTTCGCGCATTCTTCGAAGTCATCAAAGCACCACCTCGCTCAAGCGTCACCCCTCCGCCCCCGTCTACCCGCGCTCCTCTCCCAGTGGCAGTCGCGAGCACGTCCGATCGCGATCCAACGCAGCTTTTGGCTCCTCGTCCTCCTCGCTCGAGCAACATAGCCAACATAGCCAACATAGCCAGCACAGCCAGCAGAGTGGTGGCCCTTCCCCCGTCATTGATGAGGGCTCCTCGACCTATTTCCCCAGTTTCTCCAGCTCCTCGCGCTCCCGGACTCGAAGTTCCAACCGCTTCTCCTATAACGAACACAGTTCGGATGACTTGAATAATTCCTCCTTTGAAACGCGGGGTATGCTCAGTGCGCTGGATGAGAATAGCGCCGAACCCGATCATCAGCCCCAGCATTATCAACATCACCCACAGCCTCCGACATTGCGCTCCCATCACACCAGTCCCGACGATCCGCGTGGCCGCCAGACTCTCCGACAATCGGCCAGCCTCACGGCCCTTCCGAACCGTATGATGGATTCCTTTGCGCATCGGGACACCGAACGATCTCACCACGATAAGCGCTACTCCGATGAGGTCAATAATGGCAACCCGGTCCCACCCCCTCCTCGGGTGGGAAGAAGCAAAAAAGCCAGCTTCTCCAGTTTCGTCAACAGCATGCTCGGTTCGCCCCGCAACATCAAGATTTCTGCCCCGGAGAATCCGGTGCACGTTACGCATGTGGGATATGATAATCAGACCGGCCAGTTCACCGGTCTGCCCAAGGAATGGCAGCGACTGTTGCAGGAGAACGGTATCTCCAAGAAGGAACAGGAGGAACACCCGCAGACAATGGTGGATATCATGCGATTCTACGAAAAGAATACGCGGGGAGATGATGACGAGGTATGGCACAAGTTCGATAATGCATCATACAAGCCCTCCACGACAACTCCAGCAACGGGGACATCGCCGCCCGGTAGCCCCCGATTCCCACAGAACCATGAAGGCAGCTTTGAAAACCCACGATCGCCGCCTCCCATTCCTCGCGGTCCTCCCGCAGTCTCGCCAGCTGCCGGCATGTCTCCGCCTTTGGGTAGTATGGTCCCGCATCGTGCGCCTCCAAAGCCCCCGACCGGAATGATCCCAGCCCGTCCACCACCACAACCTCCTGTATCGCAAGCCTATGGCGCTTCACCGCAGCGACCAATTCAAGATCCATATGGCGCATCGTTTGCCGCACCACCCATACCCGACGCAGTGCCCGTAACCTCCGGATCGCCCAAGCCCAGTCGCTCCAACTCCCGCAACGGTGTCCCGGCTCCCAAGCACAATGTGATCGCCTCGCCGACACAATACCAGCAGCAACAAGAGCAGGTCATGGCAGCTGCCCAACAGGCAATTGCCTCGAAGCAGCTGGATCGGAGCACGAGTCAGCGCACGCAGCAACAACCACCTCAACCACCACCCTTGGCTACGAATTTCGGCCCCTCGTCCGCGGATCCTTCGCCTGCTTCTGCTTCGCCCAACACCCGTGCTCCGCCCGCCGCTCGCCCACGGCAACGCCAGCAGCGTCAGAGCAATATTATGGATGTTCGCCAGCGTCTGCTTCAGATTTGCCATCCAGGGGATCCCACACAATTATATCACAGCTTGAACAAGATCGGCCAGGGTGCTTCCGGTGGTGTCTATACTGCATATGAGACGGGTACCAACAACTGCGTGGCCATCAAACAGATGAATCTCGATCTTCAGCCGAAGAAGGACCTTATCATCAACGAAATTCTTGTGATGAAGGATAGCAAGCACAAGAACATCGTCAATTTCCTGGAGAGCTTCTTGCACGGGCTGGATCTGTGGGTTGTTATGGAGTATATGGAGGGTGGCAGTTTGACGGACGTGGTCACCTTCAACATTATGAGTGAAGGGCAGATTGCTGCTGTTTGTCGCGAGGTAAGTATTTCAAAATTGGTTCCGGTTTTGGACTTGAAGTACAGAGTTGCTGACGAATTTATCCTAGACTCTGAGTGGCCTTCAGCATCTGCATTCGAAGGGTGTGATTCATCGTGATATCAAATCCGATAATATCCTGCTCTCGCTAGAGGGTAACATCAAACTAAGTATGATTCCTATCTCTGTTTACCCTACAATCGCAATGCTAATACTTCATATAGCCGATTTCGGTTTCTGTGCCCAGATCAACGACTCCCACAACAAGCGCAACACCATGGTCGGTACCCCCTACTGGATGGCGCCCGAGGTCGTCACTCGTAAGGAGTACGGTCGCAAGGTCGACATTTGGAGTTTGGGTATCATGGCCATTGAGATGATTGAGGGTGAGCCACCTTATCTGACTGAATCGCCGCTTCGCGCTCTCTACTTGATCGCCACGAACGGAACCCCCAAAATCAAAGATGAGCATCAGCTGTCACACATTTTCCGTGACTTCCTCTCCTTTGCCTTGAAGGTCGACCCCGAGAAGCGTGCTTCGGCTCATGATTTGTTGAAGGTATGTCACTTCCCCTTCTAGTTCTTAATTCCATATTTCAGTGAAGTCAGCTCACTAACATCTCCATAGCATCCATTCATGGGTCTGTGCTCTCCACTAACTCACCTCGCCCCGCTGGTCAAGGCTGCGCGTATCAGCCGCGCTCAAGAGAAAGCGCAGAAAGGCGGCGCTTAAACGACTAGATTCCCCTTCCTCCTTCGATGTCCATGTTTCGGTTCTTCATTTCCTTGATATTTCATTGCGTCTCCCTCTTCCCGTCTCGTTCAGATACCCCGTCACTCCCGATGTTCTTTCTTCTAGATTCCGGCATGTCAATATATTTCGCATCACCATGTCGTTGGAGTCGGTCCTTTTTTTCCCTTCTACTGATTTATTCATTATATTCCCATTGAACCATGTCATTTTTTTTCATATTCACAAGTCTATTTTCTTTTTCTCTTGACGAATATTGTCCTCATGCGATGAAAAAATAAAGATCTCCTCGATCTTATGCCTTTGTTTTGTGACCCGACCCTGTGATGCTTGGCGAGGGCGAAGCTGGGTTTTCTTGTTTCTCTACTCTGTCCATCTTATTTTATCTCCCCCCTTTTTGTGTTTCTATGCTTCCCTAGTGGGGGTGTCTGTAGTATTATGTAGTTCATTTGGCATCTTGCCATGCAATTCGAGTATAATCTTGAAGTGGTGATTGGGAAGTGGGCTGAATCTCGTCCACTGCTGTATCTGCTGCGTTTGCGTTATATGTCCTGCCCTCGTGGCTCTCTACCGAATGGGATGAGAATTTGCTTCGTGCGCATTTGGTATTCGAGGCTTGGAATTGTCTGTCCTTGAACATCGCGAGGAGTTGCTCCGTTTATGTGATCGTACATCAATTATGCCTTTTGATGGTATTCTCACCGAGTATATTCCCATTGAGTGGTCTCAAGAATATTTGCCCATCTTTCTATATCTTCGTACGCAATAGAAATGACAGTCTGCGGTGTTCCTAGAGAGTTATCTTGACAGCCACAGACTGTACGAATACGAGAGCACACACGCATTTACTGCGAAGTAGCTGTGGATATATATTTCTCTCAGCCACAGAGCGATCCAACAAACCAAACCCACCAAAAAGCCGGAGCCTATATCTGACAGATTTTAAAAGGGGGGGCAAACTTGAGTAATCCGACATTAAAGCCACAATAAAATAGAAAATCTCTTCTCGAAGATCCTCTCAAGGCAGACACAATTCCCGTGGGCCCTGAGCTAAGAATATCCGAGCTCCCCTCCCAGTGCCCACCGTCGTCATCGGTCCTGCTGACTCAGTTCCGCCCGGACACAGCAGCACTGACAACACGCAGGCTTCCCTGATCATCGCCTGAGAAAACCCCCGTTGCTCAAGACAAATCGCAGCACCTTCTTTTCGAACTACCTTCTTCCAATCTCGCCCTTCTTCTCGTCTCGCCATCTATCGATACTCTCGCACCGCCGGTGTTGGCACGAATCCTGCCCCGTTTCAGCCTCACGCTGGTTGTTCTCGCCCATCCCCGCATTTAGTGGCTGGACCTCCGACTGCTGCCAATCTGGTGCTTGATATTCCCGGTTTCAGAGGAGATTTTGACTCGGATTCATTGCGACGAGGGATCCTGGTACACCGTTTGCAGGATTTCTTGGCAGAGGCGTGACTGAACTGCTTAGCGTGTGCTGAGAATCGGTGCCTGACATACCTACCGATTACGATACTACACCTGCTACGTACACCCCGTGACCGTTCCGTTCGGCCTCGCTGGAGGGATATACCGTGGCAATGTTTCGCGCGCAGCAGAATGCTTTTGATGATGCCGTCGGTGAGTCGTTTATGTTTCTGGTTTCGTTTGGGGGTCCTGTGTCGCTGGTCGCATGCTGGATCGTATGCCGGAGTTGCGGCGGAGCGCGAGGGATTCTGTAACGTTGGTGTTCTGGATATATGCTAACCGGCGATTGTTTTTATAGCCAAGGCGACGGATGAGAATCTGACTTCTGAGAATTGGGAATACATTCTGGTGCGTGTTCCAGGCTGCCGGGATATTGACCGGTTCACGGTTGAGGAGGTTGGGAGCTTCGGAGCTGACTTAGTTTGATGGTGATGTAGGATGTCTGTGATAAGGTCGCTGCGGAAGAATCGGGGTATGTTATCTACATTCCCGCTCAATGCATTGAGTGCTGTGATGTGGAGGGGCTACTTGCTGACTCTGGGTTTCGTTTAATAGGGCGAAAGAGGCTGTTGCTTCTATGATCAAGAGGCTGGCGCACAGGAATGCCAATGTGCAGCTCTATACTTTGGAGGTTCGTATCGCATTGTCTCGGTGTTGTGGATGGGTAGGGTCGGGGTAGGGTTCTGACTTGGATTATCTAGCTCGGCAATTCGCTGTCGCAAAACTGTGGTCCCAAGATCCATCGCGAGCTGGCCTCGAGGAGCTTCACTGATGCGCTTCTGCGCCTGGCAGCTGATCGTGTAAGGATAATTGATGACCTACCTTGAGAACATGGTTCATGACGACTGACGCCTGGTTTAGAACACACATCAACAAGTCAAGTCGAAAATCTTGGAACGCATGCAAGACTGGACGGAGATGTTCGCTTCAAACCCGGATTTTGGTATCATGGAACAGGCGTATATGAAGTTGAAGACTCAAAGTCGGTACCCTGCTCTTTACGACCCGCGCGGTTCATTTCTGACGGACCCTTTTATAGACCCCAATTTGCAGCCCCCGTCGAAGCCTGTCAAGAGCGCAATGACCGATGTTGACCGACAGAAGGAAGAGGAGGAATTGCAGATGGCGCTTGCACTCTCCATTAAGGATAAGAACCCACCGCCAGGTCCGGCACCTCAAGCCGAGTCGTCCACTGCGGCTGCTGTATCTTCATCCGCCCCGGCCCCAACGAACGCAGCCGAGGCTGTCGCTCAGCCTGTCCCCTCGGGTACATCCGCGGCCACCGTGTCGCGCGTCAGAGCTCTTTTCGACTTCCAGCCCTCGGAGCCCGGGGAGCTTCAATTCCGGAAAGGCGATATCATTGCGGTCTTGGAATCAGTCTACAAGGATTGGTGGAAGGGCTCTTTACGTGGACAGACGGGTATCTTCCCTCTGAACTACGTGGAGAAGCTTCCCGACCCGACTGTGGAAGAGCTGCACCGAGAGGCCCAGATGGAAGGCGAGGTCTTTGGCCAGATTAAGAATGTCGAGAAGCTCCTAACATTGCTGAGCACACGGAGCTCGGACTTGAACGTTCAGGAGAACGAAGAGATTACTACCCTTTATCACTCTACGTTGGCAATTCGCCCTAAGCTGATTGAGCTTATTGGGAAGTATTCGCAGAAGAAAGGTAGGTGTCTCGTTCCTAGCTGTGGTCTGCCCTTGCTATGAAGTTTGCATACTGACTATGATATAGATGAGTTCACTCAGTTGAATGAGAAGTTCATCAAGGCGCGCCGTGACTATGAATCGTTGTTGGAAGCCTCAATGGCTCATCCACCACAAGCTCAGTACGGACGTCCTGGCCAGCCGCCATATGGGTATCCTGGTGCCACCCCTGTTGGATATCCTCAGGGTCCTCCCCAGGGTGCTCCCCAGCCGGATCAGCGATACTTTAGCCCTCGACCCCAAGGTATGTCCATCTCAAATCTTGAACTAGTTGGATACCCGCTCATTGAATTTTTAGAAACCCCAGCCCCGCAGTCGCAGCCCAATGCGTACTACGGTGCGGAACAGTCGATGCCATACCGACCCGCATCTCACTCCCCCGATCCTCGCACTCAGTACCCAGGTGGAGCTCAACCGCTGTCACAACCTCTGGTTCAGCCGCAGGCCCCTCAGTCCGACCCCTACCAGCCTGTACACCACCGTCCCCAGTCTACATATGATTCGCCGCAAGAACTTGGAACATCGGTCTACGACTCGCCCGTGGATCATCAAAATGCTGCCAACCGTCCCCCCTACCCTCCCTCTGGTCAAGTTCCTCCAACTGCCCACCAGCAATTCCAGCAACAGCAACAGCAGCAACAACAAGATTACTCGCCCTCCGTCTATTCTAGCGATGACCCCGTGCAGCTGCAGTCTGCCTCTGGAATGCATCAGCAATCCCCGCACCAATACCCTCCCCAGCAGCAACAGGCACAGCAAGCTCCTTACCCAACCTCCCCACCGCACCAACAACCCCCACCCTCACACCAACCACCCCCTGTACCCGGTGCTACCTCCCAGCCCACCCAGTACACTGCCTTCAACCCAGCGCCCTCGGCCCCGCCAACCGGGGAATACCAGGCATACCAGCCCTCGCAGGCTGGCGTACCTGCCTCAAACCCAGCTTCCTTTTACAGATAAATATGGCTACGTGATTTCCTATCTTAGCTGCCGTTGATTGATACCTTGATACTAAATGATTGGGGGTGTCCGTTATCTTTCCTTTTGCCTGCGGGGTTTTGGATGACGCTTAACTCTCATGTGTTTCTCTTTTCTCTTACTGGGCCTTTCTGTTGTATTTAGCCAATTGATGACAGACGGTCTAAGTTGTTTGCCCGTACATATGCTTCTTATACCTCGGGTGTTGAGCAATTGATTGATTTGCCAGTTTGGAAATGCTGCCTGTTGAGGTGTTCTTGGATTTGTAGTTTGGTCTCAAGTAGGATTATACAATTTCAGGGTCTCTTATTTAGGCCTTGAATTCAGATCTGAAAATTATTTGAGTATGTTTTAACATCATCATTGAAAATTTAGATTCTTTTGTTATTAAAGCAACATATATGGCACATAGTTCATATTATTCCGCTTCGGAGTTCATACTTCCTGCGTTATCGGGCAGTCATCACGTGATAATATCGACACCTCAATCCCGCGACTGTCTTCAGGCGGATGACAACAAGTATCGGCAAACACGGGTGTACTTTCCCTTCGGTATCGCATTGAGGAGGGACGGGCCCTAACCTTTCGATCTGATCTCTCACTCCGCTATCTTTTTTTCACGCGCTATTCCGTCGACGCACGCACGGCCTCCCAAGACATCTGATAGCTTCCCCGCAATCGCGTCCCCTCGAAAGACAATGCTCGGACTCGGTCTTTTCTCCTCTGGGTGAAGGTCGCAGATCCCGAGCCAACATACATTCTGCGAAACAGGTGCTATCCGATATCGTAATCTGGGCGACTCCGCCTGGAGTAGCCTGCCGTCGCGATGGAGGCAGATTGGGACGAGTTGTCGCGCATCCCGATGCCACCACCGAGTGTGCACGGGCTACCTACGATTGCGACGACGGTAGCGTTTGACGATGTGATGGAACTTTTATGGACGGGTAATGAATATGTGAGTGTCGTTTTTCTATCATCAGACACATAATGGTAATGGTGCTGATCGTGTTTCTCTTTCCTTTGCTTTAGGGTAGAGTGTCGTCTTTCTACGGACCGGAACTGCAGCGGTATACCTCCGTTCGCGCACACCCTGTCTCCGAAGGCCCGGTGCGGCAGATAATCTTTCATGAACGGGGTGTGATATCTTTATCTTCGAAGAGTGTGCATATGATCACGCGGCGTGGCTTGACACAATGGCACATAGCGCACGAGGAGATGGTTGATCTCCGCTGCATGAGCTTTACGGCACAGACGAATCGGATTCTGGTAGCGGGTTGTCAACGTGCGATGTTCACGATTGATATTGACAAGGGTGTCATCGTTGACAAGTTGCATACTGATTCGAATTATACTCTCATGAAAAAGAGCCGGTATCTTTGCGCGGCTACGGATACGGGGTCTGTGAACGCGATTAGTTTGACGGATTTCAAGGTCGTCAAGTCGTGGAAGGCTCATGGTACTGCTGTCAATGATATGGATGCGCGGAATGACTTGCTTGTCACTTGTGGCTTTTCGGTCCGCCATCTGGGGTCTCCGATTGTTGACCCACTGGCAAATGTGTATGATCTGAAGACCCTGTCACCGCTGCCTCCTATACCGTTCCATGCGGGCGCAGCATATGTGCGGATGCATCCAAAGCTACACACGACGAGTTTTGTGGCTTCGCAAACTGGTCAGCTCCAGGTGGTGGATTTGATGAATCCAAATGCCATCAATCTACGACAAGCCAATGTTTCTTTCATGATGGGCCTTGACCTTTCACCATCGGGTGAGGCGCTTGCTATCAATGATGCGGAATGCTCTATTCATCTCTGGGGCTCTCCTAACAAGGTTCACTTCAATGAGATGAGCAAAGAGATTGAATTCGCCGACGTACCTGCCCGACCACCTCCCATCGACTGGTCCCCCGAAACCCCCTTGAACATGGTTGGTATGCCATACTACCACGACCGCCTCTTCTCAGCATGGCCTAGCCATTTCGTTTTCGAAGTCGGCAGTCCACCGCCTCAATTGGATCAGTCTCTCCTTCCATATCTACGCCCGGCTGAAGTCGGGCACGGAGCACCCAATCCTCGAAAGACCCGCCGCTATCAAGTCGAGAATACCCGTGCACTAGCTGCAGCCGAGCCCGCTCTCATTGCACCCAAGTTCCTGAGTGAGAAGGCTCGGGATCAAGGCAAGTCGGACTTGAAGGGCTCTGTTAGTGACACGGCGGAAGCATTGGCAGGCGCAAAGATTAATGGCGAGAGTGACGATGATCCCCTCCTTAAGTATAGCAATGTCGAGATCAAGTATAGTCGATTCGGTGTCGACGATTTCGACTTCCGCTTTTACAACCAGACCACTTTCTCTGGTCTGGAAACTCACATCGCAAACTCCTTCACGAATTCCCTCCTCCAACTCCTCAAGTTTATTCCTCTCTTCCGGAATCTTGCTCTGACACATGCTGCGGGCTCCTGCATCTTTGAGCACTGTCTTCTGTGCGAACTGGGATATTTGTTCGACATGTTGGAGAAAGCCAATGGCCAGAATTGCCAGGCTACCAACTTGTTGAAAACATTCAGCAGTTTCCGCGAGGCTTCTAATCTGGGTCTCCTAGAAGAGAACCTCACCAATAAATCCCTTTCGACTGCGATTCAAGCCGTGAACCGCTTCTTCCTGACACAGATTGCCCATGATTTCCGCATGATCCAGCCCAGCTCTGAAGAACTTGACCAGCGCCTTGCCACCATTGCGTCGGAGTCTATTCGTTGCATGTTCTGCCAGAATGAGACCGTACGCCCGGGCAACTCTCTTGCAAACGAGCTTCTCTATCCTAACTTGGATATCAAACATGCTCGGCGCAATCCGGCGTTCAGATTCTCGAGCATTCTGCGTGCCAGTATCGAGCGTGAAACGCAGAACCGTGGATGGTGCAACTACTGCCGCCGCTACCAGCAAGTCATGATTCGCAAGACTGTGCACCGGATGCCTCTCATCCTTGTGCTGAATGCGGCCTTGACAAATCCAATTTGCCGTCGCCTGTGGTCCATTCCTGGATGGCTGCCGGACGCCGTCGGTGTCGTGATCGATAACGGACAAGTGATGTGTTTCGAGGGCGATGAGCTTCGGGCACGAGAACAGAGCAATACTCCCGGCCTTGTGGTGTATGATCTGGTGGGCCTGGTGGCGGAGATTGATATTCCAGAGCATCAGAAACCGCATCTGGTCTCATTTATCAATGTTTCTATTTCGGAGCCGGAAACCCAGGAACCCAAGGATAAGTGGCATCTTTTCAACGATTTCTTGGTTACTGAAGTCGATCGCGATGAAGCCCTTCGCTTTACCCAGCCGTGGAAGCAGCCCTGTGTCTTGGCTTTCCAAGTGAGGAGTGCGCGCCATGGTGTCGACGACTCTTGGAAGAGCTGCTTGGATACCACTCTGCTTTTCCGCGAGTGGTCTTTGAAGTAAGTACTAGCCATCGTGCTCCAGTTCAATTTATAGTAGGAAGTGCATGCTAACGAGTGACGTAGTGGTGGCCATCAAGTCGAATCCTGTCGCACACTGACCGAGGAAGAGAAACCACAAACTGGCACGCCCGTGGCCCTCGATACCGAATTCGTGGACCTTGAAAAGGCCGAGATTGATGTCAAGGCAGACGGATCACAAGAGATCGTGCGGCCCAACAAGAGTGGCCTGGCCCGTGTATCAGTCTTGCGGGCCTCGGGTGTGGATGAGGGCGTGCCTTTTATCGACGACTACATCACTATCCGCGAGCCGATCGTCGACTATGTCACCCAATACTCCGGTATCAAACCTGGTGATCTCGACCCGCGAACCAGCGAGCATAACCTCGTTCCCCTCAAGGCAGCATATAAGAAGCTCTGGCTCCTGCTAAACCTGGGATGTATCTTTGTCGGCCACGGCTTGGCCTCGGACTTCCGCAAGATCAACATTCAAGTGCCCAAGTCCCAGACCGTGGACACACAATATCTCTTCTTCCACCCTAGCAAGAACCGTCGTCTCAGTCTACGGTACTTGGCTTGGGCCGTGTTCAAAGAATACATTCAAGAAGAACCGACCTCCGACGTGATTCAAGGCCACGACTCCATCGAGGACGCCCGCATGGCTATGCGCCTGTGGAAGAAGTTCCAAGAATACGAAGACGCCGGTATCGTCGCGCACATGCTCGAAGAGATCTTCCGCGAAGGATCGAAGCATGGATTCCGACCCCCTCCCAAGAACGGTGGCGGTAGCGCGGCCGCTGTTCTCTCACGCCCTGGCACGGCCGTGGCGCTGTCGAATAACAGCGGTCGCAATACACCCAGCACCCCCGACGCAGCTGGAGCATCTGCCGCATCTGCCGCGACATCGGCACCAGTGAATACGGCCACTCCATCAGCTGGACCTACCAGCGCTCCTACTACACCCCGCCAGGCATTCCGGCGCTCGATCGCCCTGACTCCTAGCAACGGCAGCTTCTCTGGGCCCGGCGCGGGCGACTTTTTCGGCGGCAGTCCACTGCGATGAGGGTGCGCCTTGCACACTTGATTCAATGTCCTGGATTTGATGAATGTGGAGGCAGACCAGGCAGTGATTCTGTCTCTCTTTGTTTTTGGCGATAACCCTTATAGCACATGGCATGGTCTTCGAGACTGCATAGACGTAGGGTTTTACTTATCTTATGGATGCAATAGCAATTGTACACAGTCACAAATACATTTTCCTTTTCAACTTTCAACTTCATCTAGATTTGAAAATTCTACTCACAGGCTACTTCATATCCATGCAATCTATATACTCTAAAATACTCTTCTACTGCCGCAAGTTAGGGAATGACATCGCGGGACCCTCAGCAACGCCGGTGGAGAATGACGTGGGCCGCAGAATCGCTTCGACCCAACAAAACACATTCCAACTTCCTGGTGACTCGCACTTCCTCGAGATCCTCGTCTCAGGAACAACGACCTCGACCTGGTCACTACCCTCATTCTCTTAATTCTAACTCCACACTCCCTGTCTTTTCAATTGACCACTCGCCTCTACCTAACGGCGCTAATCACCACCCCTCCCTCCCACCTCCCTGCCCAAGTCGCGAACACCTTTCCTCCCTCCCTCTTCCCTAACCCGCGACAACTAGACCCGATGTCGAGACACCGCGTGAAGAATGTCGGCTACGACGACGACGACTTCGAGGATGATGACGGTTACGACTCGCCCGATCCCGAGGAGCAGGAGTTTCTGCAGCAGTGTACAGCTGCGGTCTTGGGACAGCTTCGCGCGGGGCAACCGTCGGTAACGGCCACAACGGAGGAAGTCCAGGAAGCGCTATGGCATTATTATAATGATATCGACAAGGCCGTGAATTATTTGAGGGGTATGGATTTTGTCTCTTCACCCTGTTCTTTGGTTTCTGGCGAGATGAGGTGGTTTTGATGGTGGGGGTGTGCCAGGGTGTTTTGCTTTGCTATGACTCAGTGGACTTTTGGCTAATATTGGAGATTCTCGTGTGCAGGGAAGAAAGAGAAAGAGATTAAGAAGCAGCAAGCTCCGGCTGTGCAGAAGCCCAAGGCTCAGGCTGGTAAGTTGCTTGATTCCGTTTCTTCGTTGGTCGATGTGTCGTGGCTGGGCTCGGGATACGAAAACACTCTGCGCGTTCCTCCCCATGGTGATGATTTGCGCCGACGAAGCTCTCTTCCTCAAGGTATGTAGTTGAGCCTTGTCCCCGGTGGTGAAACACCTTACGATTGTTCACCTAGACTTCAAGACTGACCGCACGGAAGTTTGGACATCGTTCTAACAGGTCTCCCAGAGCCAGGATTCCCAGCGCCTTTACCTTCTGCTGCGCACTTTTCGGCGGCCGATTTCTTCCGCGATTGTCCTTGGCTCAATGTCCCTGTCCACCGCAAGGCTGATATCCTTGTTGAACCGCTGTACCCACGGCTTGGACTGCTGGGTGGTGCACCTGAATCTGGGGGGAAGATGTCGAAGCTAGCCGCTTTGGCGGCAGCACGGAAGAAGAAGGAAGGCGAAAAGGCTGCTGCTGCTGCTGCTCCAGTAGCACCGGAAGGCCCATCAACCCCGCAGGCTGAGCGTTTAGAGGCGCTATCGCCCAAACCATCGGGCACACCTTTGTCTCTGAGTGAGAGGCTTGCGGCCAGCAAGTTGTCGAAATCCTCTGACACAAATGGTGGACTACGCCGACTGGGAAAGCCGGGTGCCTCTGCTTCCTCGCCAGCTCGCCAGCAGCCAAAGCCTGAGGCTAGCAAACCTCCCCCTCCACCTCTTCCAGAACAAACGCAGAAAGAAGAGCCAGAAATCAAGCCAGAGCCCGAACCGCCAATCCCCACTATTCGTGCTTCTCCATCCACTTTTGCCAGTGTCATCCTTGGCAACGCAGCAGGACCAACTATGGCCGAGCCCAGTCACCTTGACTCGAACAACGTGGATCTGCTTCAAATCTACGGCCAGGACCATGCTGAACCCTTTGACTTTGCAGCTCCCAGTCCCGATGACGTGGTATTGAATGCGCAGAATACAGCAAAAGGTTTGGCAATCCGCAGAAAGGGTTAGTATCCACTCGCCTAATACAGTGTAGGGTTCAAATCCAAACCGGCTGCTAAGGCAGCTGGCGGTCAGAAGGGCCAGACCGATCTGGCTGGGGGGATGAAGGATCTTTCCGTCGAGGAAAAGGTTACTGTGAAGAGCAAGAACCTAGATGTCCTGGCGGAATACAACAAGTCTACACGGAAGAAGTCGGCTAATTTTGTGGTGATTGGTGGGTCATTCTCTACGCCAGAGATCGAAATGTATGGCTGACAAGACGCAGGACACGTGGATGCCGGAAAGAGTACACTTATGGGGAGGTTGTTGGCAGATCAAGGAGCGATAGACCAACGTACGTTAGACAAGTACCGGAAAGAGGCCGAGAAGATTGGCAAGGGCTCTTTTGCTCTTGCCTGGGTGATGGATCAGGGTTCGGAGGAGCGTGCACGCGGTGTCACTATCGACATTGCGACTAACAAATTCGAAACCGATACCACCGCCTTTACCATCGTTGACGCACCTGGTCACCGTGATTTCGTGCCGAACATGATTGCCGGCGCCAGTCAGGCGGACTTCGCGGTGCTGGTCATCGATTCGAGCGTGGGCAAGTTCGAGTCTGGCTTGAAGGGTCAGACCAAGGAGCATGCTCTTCTGGTTCGAAGCATGGGTGTCCAAAAGATCATTGTTGCCGTGAACAAGATGGATACTGTGCAATGGGACACTGGGCGATTCCAAGAGATTGAGCAGCAGATCTCGGCCTTCCTGACGACCGCAGGTTTCCAGCCCAAGAACATTTCCTTCGTGCCTTGCTCCGGTGTGCTTGGCGACAACATCACCCGGCGCAGCGAAGACCCGAAGGCTTCCTGGTACACCGGAAGAACACTTCTCGAGGAACTGGAAACCTCAGAGCCGTATACTCATGCATTGGACAAGCCTCTGCGCATGACGATTGGCGATGTGTTCCGCGGCGGTGTGCAGAACCCGATATCCATTTCTGGCCGTCTGGATGCTGGCAGTCTACAAATGGGCGATCAAATCCTCACCATGCCCAGCGGCGAGAGTGCCTTGATCCGCAGCCTGGAAGTAGACGGCGAGCCCAGCGATTGGGCCGTTGCGGGTCAGAACGTTGTTCTCAACCTGGCCAACATCGACCCGATCCATCTTCGATCCGGTGATGTAGTCTGTCGAGCCTCGGCCCCGATCAAAACCGTCACGAGCTTCACGGCCAAGGTCCTGGCCTTTGAACACTTGATGCCCATGCAGGTGGACGTGCACCGAGGTCGTCTACATGTGCCCGGCCGCATCAGCAAGCTCGTTGCTTCACTTGATAAAACCTCGGGACTGGCGCTCAAGAAACGACCTAAAATCGTGGCTCCTGGAACTGTGGCGCGAGTGGTGGTGGAAATCGATCAGGCTGTGCCCTTGGAGGCACCGACGAGGATTGTTCTACGTGCTGGAGGAACAACGGTGGCTGCGGGGCTGTTGGAGTAAAGGACAGTCCTGTCGACGATGTTATGCCTGGAGTCGTTATGATTTTAGTAATGAATATAGACATACACAGCATAAGTATTCATGCGCCTTACGGATTCTGTATAGTCTTACCATGCTTGTAGTAAAACCCAAACCGTCAATTGTCAGAAGGGCTAGAGGAGACTGCTCACAACTAAGGGTCGTGGCAGTATGAACCTAATCTGCCCCTATCGTGGAGCCTTACGCATACTTTGTAGACCCTGTTCTTCACGTATGAGGCTCTGTAGATCCCCCTGGTCCAGATGTTCGGCCCCATGCTGCATGATCGACAAGGAAAATAACACTTCATTCCTACAGTCTTACATAGACGACCAAGTCGTACTATCCATCACCCACACAGTATTAACTCATCATAGATATCCATCGTACAGGCCACTTGGCTACACAATCTTGAAACGTGGCTCTCTGACGAAATCGAGCCACCCCCAAAGAAAGGATGGGGGCAAAACGCTTAGCTGTTTCTAGCAAGTTCGACATCGGTGGCGGTCCCTGAGTGGTCGACCATGGGATCCTGCCCTGTCCAGGGGTCCATCTCTACTTACTCGATCTGGTTAGTCAGTCACCCAAGACAGAAGGCGGTCAGCGCGTGTTTAAAGTTGGGTCCTGGCGAGTGCTGACTCATGCGTGACCGAACTCCTTCCCGCCAATCACAGCGCGAGGAGTGACCTCTGGGAAAAGGCCAGCATGGCCGCTGCGCGAAGTCGGTCCCTTGGTCTCCATACAAGAGGGCCCTTCGTCGTCTTCTCCCTCTTTCCCCTTCTCCATCCCCCCTTCGCCTTCGGGTCCCTCCCGCCTATCCACCAAGTTTTTGAGGGTTTAAAAAGAGTCCCTTTCGCGCGACTCATCTGTACACGCGCTTAGAAGCTTACTCGACTCGGCTTCAGTTCCTGATACTCGCTTTGTTGCAGAGGATCAATCTTTTGAACAACTTTCTCTTCTTCCCCCCTCTTATACCTTTTCACAATGTCGCGACTCGCGAGCCGCGATGGTGTGTCCAAGGGCTTCACCTGGACCACCGTCTTCTACCTTCTTCTCGTCCTGATTGCCCCCATGGCGCTGTTCGGCACCACTGCCCACGCCGAGGAGGACAACTCACCCGAGAACTATGGCACCGTTATCGGTATTGATCTGGGTACCACCTACAGGTTAGTGAAGCTCCAGCAACCCATTCAGAATAGCAATTGAACCCGTTGAGCTAACGCAAAAAAACTTCTAGTTGTGTTGGTGTTATGCAGAACGGCAAGGTTGAGATTCTCGCCAACGACCAAGGAAACCGTATTACTCCCTCCTACGTGGCCTTCACTGATGAGGAGCGCCTCGTCGGTGACGCCGCTAAGAACCAATACGCCGCCAACCCCCAACGGACTGTCTTCGACGTCAAGTAAGTTTTTCTTCTCGGATGTTTACTTTTTGGCCAGCGTGGCCGGTTTTACCCGATGAGTCGAAAGACTAACAATTCCTCTTCATAGGCGATTGATTGGTCGCAAGTTCGATGACAAGGACATCCAGAAGGACGCCAAGAACTTCCCCTTCAAGGTCGTCAACAAGGATGGCAAGCCCATGGTCAAGGTCGACGTCAACAAGACCCCCAAGACTTTCACCCCCGAGCAGATCTCCGCCATGATTCTGGAGAAGATGAAGGATGTCGCTGAGAGCTACCTGGGCAAGTCGGTCACCCACGCCGTCGTTACCGTTCCCGCCTACTTCAACGACGCTCAGCGTCAGGCTACCAAGGATGCCGGTACCATCGCCGGTCTCAACGTCCTCCGTGTTGTCAACGAGCCCACCGCCGCCGCTATCGCCTACGGTCTGGATAAGACTGGTGACGAGCGCCAGGTTATCGTCTACGATCTTGGTGGTGGTACTTTCGATGTCTCCCTTCTGTCGATTGACAACGGCGTTTTCGAGGTTCTGGCTACCGCTGGTGACACCCACCTTGGTGGCGAGGACTTTGACCACCGTGTCATGGACTACTTCGTTAAGCTCTACAACAAGAAGAACGACGTTGATGTCCGCAAGGATCTCAAGTCCATGGGTAAGCTGAAGCGCGAGGTTGAGAAGGCCAAGCGTACTCTGTCTTCCCAGATGTCTACCCGCATCGAAATCGAGGCCTTCCACAACGGCAACGATTTCTCCGAGACCCTGACCCGCGCTAAGTTCGAGGAGCTGAACATGGATCTCTTCAAGAAGACCCTTAAGCCCGTCGAGCAGGTGCTCAAGGACGCCAAGGTCAAGAAGTCCGAGGTTGATGACATCGTTCTGGTCGGTGGTTCTACCCGTATCCCCAAGGTCCAGGCTCTTCTCGAGGAGTACTTCGGTGGCAAGAAGGCCAGCAAGGGTATCAACCCTGACGAGGCCGTCGCTTTCGGTGCTGCCGTTCAGGCCGGTGTTCTCGGTGGTGATGAGCACTTGACCGAGGTCGTTCTCATGGATGTCAACCCCCTCACTCTGGGTATTGAGACCACTGGTGGTGTCATGACCAAGCTGATTCCCCGTAACTCCGTTATTCCTACCCGCAAGTCCCAGATCTTCTCGACTGCGGCTGATAACCAGCCCACCGTCCTGATCCAGGTCTTCGAGGGTGAGCGTTCCATGACCAAGGATAACAACCTCCTCGGCAAGTTCGAGTTGACTGGTATCCCCCCGCGCCCCGCGGTGTTCCTCAGATCGAGGTCGCCTTCGACCTCGATGCCAACGGTATCCTCAAGGTTAGCGCCAGTGACAAGGGCACCGGCAAGGCCGAGAGCATCACCATCACCAACGACAAGGGCCGTCTCTCTCAAGAGGAGATCGACCGCATGGTTGCCGAGGCTGAGGAGTTCGCCGAGGAAGACAAGGCCATGAAGGCCAAGATCGAGGCCCGCAACGGACTGGAGAACTACGCCTTCTCCCTGAAGGCTCAGGTCGGTGACGAGAACGGCCTCGGCGGTCAGATCGACGAGGACGACAAGCAGACCATCCTGGACGCCGTCAAGGAGGCTCTCGACTGGCTCGAGGACAACGCCGCCACCGCTACCGCCGAGGACTTCGAGGAGCAGAAGGAGCAGCTGTCCAGCGTGGCTTACCCCATCACCAGCAAGCTGTATGGCTCTGGTGCTCCTCCTGAGGATGACGAGCCTCTGGACCACGATGAACTGTAAATTATTCTGAGGCATTACCCATGGAGTTTTCTCTTTTCTGTTTGCTTTTTTTGTGTGCTTCTAGTCCTAAAGATCTAAGAACTAAGAACAGCGCGGGTTGATACTCGTCGCTCGAGCCTGGCTTCTTGAGTGTACCGGCTCTTAAATACCATGATACCTTTTGCATACACTACTATCCTCTTCGTAGTTGTAGCCTTTCTATTCTCTATATACTAGTCCTATACAATCTATCCACTAGTTCATCTGCATTTGGCATTTAGTTCCCCTCCGCAATAACCTGCTTAATCGTCTCCGCCACAACCGCATGATCATCCTCCTGCTTCAACCCACTAACAACAACAACAGCAACAACCCCCTCCACCCCCTAACCCGAATCGGATATCCACCCCCATGAATAGCAAATTCATCCGCAACCGCACCCCCACTCGAACTCGCCAGCGCAAACTTCTTCACAAACGCCTCCTCAACAGCACTCGCACTGTCCGCGCCAGCAGCACCACCCAGACCGGCCAGCACCTTCATGCGCATCGCCCAACTAGACACACCCCAGCGCAACACGGTATTCCGCTTGCGCCGCACCCAGTTCTCGTTATCCGGGATCGTGCCGGATTCCGTCGCGCTTTGGAACAGAATGTGTGGCGGGTTGGGGGATGTAGCTGTTGCGAGGGCGATGGAGATTAGGGCTGGTTTGCGTTGGGATGCTGGGAGGGAGAGAAGACGGGTTCGTAGGGCCGTGCCTAGGGTCCAGGCTGTTTCGGCGGTGAAGGTGCGGAATTTGTAGTCGTCGCTGGTTTCGAGGGCGATGAGGGTGTTTGGCTGGTGGTGGGTTAGTAAATTGGAGATTGGAGATGGAGGTGGGGTATATGGAGAGGAAGACGTACGTCTGTGCTTGGGGCGGAGAGAGCCATTGTTGTGGGATTTGAGGGTTAAAGTGATTGAGATGGTTGGAATGAAGGGTTTAGAGAGGTAAATGAGGAAGAAGGAATAATTGAGGGGGAATTGAAGTAGTAAAGATGGGGAGGGTGGGGGTGTGAATGCTTTCGGGATCGACTGGTGACGTTGGGAAGGGTGGACCTTCCCTCGCTCGATGAGTGTGGAGCCTTCGGGACTTCGGGATCCGTGGGAATAGTTTCCAATTATAAATGCCGAATTGGACACATGGTTGATATGTTTCTGGTATGGCAAGAGTTTTGGACTGGATGAAATTAGTAAAAAAGCAGAGAGGGGAGCAGTTGCTAAGATAGGGAGAAGAACAGAAGGTACATCTTGAAGCAGCAAGCTATTATTGTTGCTTTCGCTGTAGAATTCAAGAGCAAGCGCGATATAGGGATAGTGTGTATACAAAATCTCTCTTATTCGACCAAACTAAGACTAAGACTCTTGATGTTATCTGGCAGCCATTGTTTTTCGCAAGAGAGACGACTTTAATACCCTTGAGAACGGCCCTTTTGAAATCATTCTACCCCACCAAGACCCCGTCGTCAACTCGCATTCTTCTTCATCCTGAAATTCTTCAAGGCCACTGTGTAGATCAACCAAATGCGACTCAATCGCCCACGGCTCATGTCGATACCAGAAGCGATGGCCTAGATAGATAACGATAAACAAGGGAAGACCGATGTAAGCCGAGAGAAAGTCTGCAGTGGACCATTGGGAGGGAAAGAAGACTGTGAACCCGTTCAATAAACACAGCAGTGTGAATACAACCAATGTAACCCATGAACCGATGGGTTGCAAGGGAGATCTTGCGATAAACTGTTCCCTAGGCAGATTTTGGACATCGCAGGCCTTTCGAAAGCGAATATAGATGACTGCACAACAAATCCAGGAAATGAAACCGCCGGTATTCACCAGATTCATCAACCAGTCAAAGACGTTCGCCGAAGACGAGTTCACATTCATATAAGCCAGCAAGGAGAAAAGCGAGCTAACAGCCACAGCGTAAACGGGCACTCCGTGGCGTGTGCACTTCTTGAAAATCCGAGGAGCATTCCCTTCCAGGGCCATGGAATAGAGAGACCTGCTAGCCAAGTATAAGAATGAATTGCCCGAAGACCAAGCGGCAGTAATAACACCGGCATTGATCACACTGTCAAGACCGGCAATTCCTGCATTTCGAATGCCAACGACCCAGGGCGAGGATGCTGCACCGGTGCCTCCACTCGTTAGAGCGGAGGCATTAGATGGACATATCACAGAGATTGCGAGAGTGCCACCGATGTAGAATACGACCAAGCGCCAGAAGAAGTTTCGCGCAATTCGAGGGAGATTCTTTCGCGGGGACCGGATCTCACCGGCTGTCACGACGATCATCTCTGGGGAAAAGGTGAATGGGAGAACGCTGCTTATGACCGTTGCGAGGAGGGCCACGAGTCGTCCTGCGTCTCCATCAAGAATGTATGTATTTGCCGCACCGGGGTCCTTCCAGTAGTGGAATCCGAGTCTTTGATGACTGGGACCACCACCCCAGAACAAAACGAAAGAGAGAATGATCAGTCCAACGATCAGAATGACCTTGATACTCGTGAACCAGAACTCAGATTCGCCATAGAACTTCACTGGTAACAAGTTCAGTCCAATAACAAGAACCAACATGATCGTAATCCACACAGCGTTGTTGACGCCGGGATTCCAATAATTAATCACCATCGCCGAGGAAGTCAATTCAAACGGGACAAAGATAGCAAAGGAATAAAAATAGAGCCATCCCATCATAAACCCCAGGCTTCGAGAGACGTAGCGACTGCCGTAATAATTCATCGTTCCTCCGGGTAGAGGCAGATAGGCGGATATCTCTGTCACAGATACGAGGACTAGATAGATCAAGGCTGACATGAAGGTGTAACTGCCGACAAGCAAGGCTGGCCCACCCGTTGCGAGGGTTTTGCCAGAGCTCACGAATAAGCCTGTTCCTATCGCGCCGCCGAGGGCGATGAATTGGGCGTGCCGGGAGGAGAGACCGCGTGTGATGGGGAGGTCTCGCGCATCGATGGATTCGATAGATTCATCGCTATTGTTCGAGGAGTCTTTGCTGTGTATTTTCTCTTCCAACTTGCCCTTATGAGATAAGGAAGCTGCAGACATCGTGAATGTGAATGAAAAGAAACTAGTGTAACAAATTCGAAAACTCGTCCTGGCTCGTGGCTCGAAGTAGATTTTATACTTCTTCTAGCTAGTAGACATTCTTATCGCCATCCAAAGGAATGTCTTGGATTTTGTCCGACCCAAGAATGCTTCTTTACATCGATTGAATAGTCTTATCAAGCGATTCACCTATAAAATCTAGATGCGCTTGATATCGCTGGCGCTTGCTAGTGTTTGATAAGCGGGCGGGTCCACTAGCCTTGGCGGCTCGCTGGCGCCTGCCATTTCTATTGTTCTGGAAGAGATAACAGCCTTATCGCCGCTGGCAATCTTGACCCTTAGATCATCTTATTGATGTTCAAGCCCCAGAGGACGATGGTCTATCGAGCTTATCGCTTGTGTATTGACAATTCTGAATTTCTAGATCAGAGTGCAGATAAGCCTATTCGCTTAAAAGCATTATAATCCGTATGTCTAAAGCAGAGACACTCTATGAAATGCAATGGAGTACATACAGTAGTAGGAGTAAAGTATGATATTATTGATCTACTGGATTAAAGTGACCTGTAAGCTCACAACTACCCAACAGAAAGCCTATTCAAGGCATCTCAGGTGCCTGCTTAGCATCTGCAACAGACACAACATAGTCCCGGCGTCTAGTCACAAACAACTCCAGCGCAATCGGGATATTAGTCTCTTCGAGACATCCGCTCTTGATCAATGTGATATCTCCCAGAGCCACTGGTCGCGAGAAAAGACTAGATCCACAGTCTATACAAATATCCATCAGTATATAGAGTTTATGACAGTGAGAAGTGGGCGTTGACTTACCCCCGCAGAAAAAGTGTCGATTCTCCTTGCCAGAAACGTCTCCATTTCGGACCCAGCTCTTGGGCTCGCCCTTGGTGAGGGAGAACGCCGTGGTCGGAACGCCCACGTTAGATGAGAATGCACTGCCACCCCAGTTCTGGCACCCTTTGCAGTGGCAGAGTGCTGTCAGAGCTGGTTCTCCTGCAAAAAGGCAGTTGAATTCGATCAGGAAAGGGCTTTGAGCAATGGATAAAATAGGCAACTCACCAGAGTACTGGAAGGATACATTGCCGCAGGCGCAACTTCCAAGGCCAGGCATCTTGATGATTTAGTCAAATTGGTTTGGTGAAGGATGTGAGGTTGTAGATTGCTGTGGAGTTGTTGACTGAATGAGCAATTATCGAGGGATCTCATTGACTACTTATAGCTTTTACCTGTAAATGATCCTAGATCTTTTGCTTTCTAAATCTCTATCATGATTCCAAAGCATCGCAGTTAAGTCCAGTCATCTGTGTGTATTTGGAATCATTTTCACAGGGAATCGCGTCGCACGGCTAGATGCTTTGGAATCATTTCACTTTTGAAACGCCGGGTCCCACTTACCTTACCGGCCCGAGGGTCAGGACGCCGGCACTGTTCGAGGCCAAAGTATCGCAACTACGCAGTCAATTCTTTAGGCTGGCTTCTACGTCTACACATAATCTCCTGGTCAAATTCATGTTTTGATGTAATTGTCCTATTCCTCAGAAAACACATGCTTTAGCGTCGGGGGTTACTGTCCAAAGATACACTGGAATAGATCCTCGAATTCATCGTCCTCAATCAAGGCACCGAACCTGTGAAGATATCGTCAGCACATGCAATATGTCATATCATAATAATGAAAGCAGGTAACCTAACGCATATACTCAGTTCACCGGCTAGTTCAGCACACTTACCCATAACATTTAACATGGGGAATCATAGCAGACCTCAAGCCCTCCAATCCGGGACCCAAGATCTGCTCCAAATCCAAACGACTAATGATACGATTCCACGCTTGAACAGGGGTAATGTACCCATCCAATCCAAGACAACCCGAGAGCTCGAAAAGCTTCTGCAGTTGCCGGGCGGAAACTTCCCATGTAGACTGATCGTGTAGATCCTGCGGGGCTCTGGAGAGCAAAATTCCTTGCATTGATAATGCATGTCCAGATGGGTCTTCGGTGTTAGAGTGATGTGTGTGGAAGAGACAGGGTCGTTCAATTCTGTCGGGTCAGTAATTGAAGTTATTGTTGTTGAGGCTTTACGTACGATAATACGAAATCAATTCCTAGTTGGGCAATATTTATGCCGCTGGAGTAATATGTTGGGTCACTGGGCCGTCAAGTTAGATTAATACTTGGCGCAAAAGTAGTGCTAAGATTAGACCGTACCTTATTCCCGAGAGCTCGGTAGAGGGGTCACTTGGCTGGATCGATTGTGACCCTGTATTGGGCCCTGCAGAATAATCTTCCTGCGGGGCAGGCCATTGATTTGGCAGTTTGACCTGTAGACGTTGATCTTGGCCACCATTATTAGTGAACGTTACTTCCACCCATGATGTCTCTTTTACTGGCATATCGGTAGGCAATGGTATTGAATGACGGATCATAATCTCGCGGAGAATTTCATTTTCGAATCGGAGATTCCGCAACTCTTCCTCCGTGGTGATGAGATGATATAATCGGTAGAGCTCATCTTCGAGCTGACGACAGTGGTTCTCCTTTCGTTCTCGGTGCTTTCTAAATTTCATTAGCTATGTTAGGGTATATGTGAAGAGGGGTGACTTACTTTTGTGCTCGTCTAACCTGCTCACGCCGTCGGTCGTAATTAGATTGGGTTGTTGAGTGGTTGGTAGTTTCCGGGGTGTGAGGAGGCTCTTCCTCGCCTTGAAGTGACTGGGCCATTGCCGCGACGTAATTCTGAAGTGCTAGATGCGAGGCTATTACTGTACCAGAACTTGTGTTGGAAATGCGCCCAGGGAGCGATCGCGCGGACGTGGTGACAGCCTTGCCGCGAGCCGCTAGTACAGGAATCGGGGCCAATTATATCTCGGATGACACGAGGAGAGATAAGATGACGATAGTATATTCGTCAGTCCCACGTTACTCGCTTGGGCTGGAAAACCCAACAGATGAAATTCTTTCTCCTAGCATTGATATATCAAGCTTGACACCGTCAGAACAGAGACAGGTCAGGGTCCTCGTCAGCACTTTGCTCCGGAAGTGGTAAAGTCCAGCCACGTTGACTTTGGATGGCTGTCAGCCAATGAATATGTGGAATCCCGAGATCCCAGAGGCTTCCACCAATGAATGGGGTCAAAAGGGAGTCTATGTGGGGCAGTAGTCAGAATGATTCCAAAGCAAAATGATTCCACATCCACTTGCCATACTGTATGGAAAGGATTCCAGAGTGAGTGGATGATGTGTGTGCGAATATTTTGGTCGTGGATACAATAGTTCCCGAGATAGATAGGTGGAGGCTACGTCCGTGCCTGGTCTTTTGAATTTCGTTTTGGCATTGCGAAATAAGAGTGATCTTCAGCTATTTGCACGTAAAATATATCGCGACATTTCAGATACCAAAACTTGACATGGATCTGCATCATTGGAGCCAAGAAGATTAAAAAGCCAGAGTTTTGAAAAAACATGACCCAAATCCCGACCCCGAATCCCATCCACCACCCTCATGGTCCAAACCCCGACAATCGAGATTCCTAATAACGCCACGCTGATGTACAAAGCCCTAGCCCAGACACACCCAAGAAAACCGAGGAAATTAATTACGGGAAACCATCCCTACCATTTTCATATTATACGTCGTCCTTGAGCACAACTCGAGGCATGGAGAAAGACTTGTTATTTCGCACCATCCGGTGAGCACCAGGTGCAGATTCGACGTCCTCGATTTGTTGGGCGCCACGGTGTGGTGAGCGAACGGTATTTGCATTTGTGAGGAGGATCTCGCCGCTGGCTTGTTTTCGGAGCCAGTAGGCGCGCATTCGGTCGAGTGCTGTTTTGAAGTCGTCGAGGATGACTGTGTCGCAGAGACATTTGAAGATGAAGGATAGCTGAGTTGATGCCGATGTTAGTGAGGGTAAAGAACAGGGGAATGAGGCATGATGGAATGATAGAAGCGCAGACTGATAGGTAGAATAAGGGGGGTGAGAGATGCATACCTTCCAGAATGGCTCGATGCCCTGAGGTAGTGAATCGCTAAAAGCGTTCAGGACACTGCAGGTATCTACCACGATAAATGCGATAGAGAGACACATCGAGGCGAGCATAACTCCAAAGCGGGGACTAATGAAGACGAGTTCCCACAGTCCAAAGTTGTATTCGCGCTTGATGGTGTAGAACAGGGAGACAGTCGTAAATACCCACCAGGGGTCCCTGAAGATCGGCTCAAGCGGACGAGTCGTATGAAACAAATTATTGATATTATTGAAGTAAGTGAAATTGGCATAGATCTCGACAATCCAATACGGCCAACAAAGAATGACGGTGACGATGTAAATCATCGAAACCCGGCGTGATAAAAATGGTCTATTCTTCATCCAGGCAATGACATTGTGCAATGCCCAGGATACGTTCAGACCGATCGCCGTAACGGAAAGATACCAACCATAGGCGGGCTCTTGCAGGAAGATAAAGGTACCATGACCCATGGCGAGGATTAACTGTGTGGGGAGGGTTCGGAATTAGCCTCGTGGTCTAGCACATGTTTCATGCAGGTACAAGTCCGCGGGGGACAAGGGGATAAAAGTCTCTTTCCATCATATATCGATATTGGGGGAATTGGAATAAGTGATAGTCGTAGTGAATACTTACTTCTGCGAGGATGAGTTTGTGTAGAAGAATGTGCTTTTTCATGTTTGAGAGAGTGATAGCCGCCATGATGAGCAAGCTGCCAATCATCAGGCCCTGGCCCCATGCCTCAAGGACCAGGCCCTCGCCAGTAGGCCGACCAGTATGATCAGACATGGTGGATTCTATTTCATGGCACTGCTAGGCGAAGGAATGATGGAAATTGAAGAGAGCAGTAACAGGGACCGACGAGGGAGATCGAAAATACAGCGAGAGAACTGGGACGGCGATCGTCAATTTCGCGACAGGGAAGATAGCGAGAAAGGGGAAAATTGGAAGAGTGAGAGAAAAGTTCTTCGGGTGTTCGAAATTTGCCGTCTTGTAAGGAGAACCGTTGCACACGGGAGGGCATTAGAGTTCATTCGTTTAGAGAGGGGAGACTGAAGTGCCCGAGCTAGTCTTGCTAAAAACAGTCTGGCGTGAACGAAGTGGCTTTTAAGCACCAGCTCGGACCAGGAGACCCATTGGTGTTAGCTCGATTGTAAAGTGATGTACGAAGGACGAGCGAAGGATGAAGGAAGATCAAAAGCAAAGATAGGCTTGTTCTCCTGGTGGATGATGAGTTGGAGAGGGCGGCCTTGCAGTGCTTTCTACAGACGGCGATAGAAGAAGGGAATTCCTCTTAGTCCCTGGAGATTTGTACTCCTATATTAACGAGGGGGCTTCTTTATGCTAGGCGTGTTTTAGGTGTCCTCCAATTTGACTCTGCGTTACGTTAACTGTTGGTTATTGTGGGGATATACGATCTGGTCGAGACACTGGAGTAGAGTAGTAGCTTTGGAGCCGATCCACCGTTACCCTGGGGGATCGTAGTTCGGTCGGCTTACGGGGACGCTCTAACGATCTCCAATCCACACAAGAGGTCGAGATGGACCAATTTAGACCTCAAAAACAGGAGCAATTATGGCCAGAACAAACCCATGTCCATCTCATAGGTTGAAAGCACAGAGTTCTCCCCAGGGTATGTCTGAGGGGCCAATAGCCATGCATATACATCCCGGGCCGGTTCAAATCTATTGGACCGGCCCCTAGAACCGCAGAAGAAGAGCGTGGGACCCGACCAATCTGTCGCGTGCTCGACACCAGTGCGAAAGCCTGTTTGACAGCCGTCCCGGGGGAACCTGCCATTCACGACTCGGGACACGAGAGGATTGGTGCCTGGGAAGGGGGCCGAATAAGTGGCGCCGGCCAGGAAGTTTAACAAAAACACTCGGCTTGCGGGGTTTTTCTAAAGTTTTTCGAGAACGTTCCCGAGTTGAGATAGAAAAAAACGGGCGCATGGGAAAAGATAGAAGACAAGCTACCACGGTACCCAAAAAGGCAAGTTTAGAAGCAAAATATGAGAATGTATTACTGCCCAAAGTGGATGATGTTCATGTCGCTCTGTCACACCTCGCGAAAGAGGATGTCCCTGGATCCCATCGGGAGCGATATTCTTTTGTGCTTCGGGAGGGCCGAGGGTTCAACTAGGTTAACTAACTAACAACCCTGTCCTGGCCAGTGCCAAGTGCTTGTCTCCGCTATTTTCCCGTCTACGTGGGGCCGAAAGCCGGGGAAGTTCGCCAATCCACACTCAGAGATCCAGAAATGGCATTAGGCGATGTGGTAATGGGGTAAAACGGGGTTGATTAGCGTCTCGTGTTTGTGGAGTAGAAGTGGAAAACAGTGTGATTCATGAGGGGCATAGAGGCATTAGTAAAAAGTAGATATCCATGAGTTATTAATGTAGAGATGGCACCGATGGGAACTCGGTGCGCAAGTAGTATCCGAATCCCGACGAGCAGCATTGCCAACAATGTACCAGGTTTAAGATCCTACTCTTGTCTCCTTTGAGACTGGTTCGACATGCTCTTGGTGGTCGGCACTTTCGATGTGCTTTTCCACTCTCGGGCCACCACCAAAGACTTCTTGCATCTCTTCCAGTGAGTGTCGCGATGTCTGTTTGATTCAGTCAATATATGCCTGCGATAAAATTTGTGTGAATGACGTGAAATACCTCTTTAAGAACGAGCCAGGAGTACCCAATAATGGCGTAGTTGAAAATGGCAAACATCAAGAACATGCGCCAGCCAATATTATTGATCGCATGCGGCGTGACCTGCGACATCATGAAGTTGAACAGCCACTGCGACGCAGCACCGACTGTGACACCCAACTCACGAGTACGACTGGAAAAGATCTCGCCAACGTACAGCCAGGGAAGTGGACCCCAGGACATGTTGTAGCTGAATGCCTCGCCGTAAGCCATGATGATACACGCAATACCCGCAGAGGTAGGTCCTGAGGATGTGCTGTTGCTGTTGGCCGGGTGTGTCGCTAGGATACAAGCGATGATGAGCATGAACGAGCCCATGGCAAAAGCGCCGACCATGAACGGCACCCGACGCCCTATTCTATCAAGGACAAAGAGTTGGAAGATCGTGACGCCGCATACCTTGACGAGACCGAAGAATCCAGTCACTAGCTTGGAAGCACTGCCAGCCCCAACGGCGCTGAAAATCTGTGTCGCATAGTATGCCAGCGAGGTGTTGCCAGTAAGCTGGGCAGATAGCTGGATGGTGACGGCGATAAAGAGACGGTAACGATTCGCCGGAAGGAGAAGTTCTTTAAAGGTAAGATTCTCCTTGATGCGCGCCTCTTCCTCAATACCAGCGAGAATCTCATCGAATTCCTTCTGTAGTTCTTCCGTCTCCTCACCTCCACGGACCCATTTCAACGACTCTCTCGCTTGCTCCAGCTTCCCTCGAGCAGCAAGCCAACGCGCGCTCTCTTTGACCGTGCACATGCCGACCAGCAAAAGAGTCGAACCAAGAAGCTGCAGTCCCAACGCTGTCTGCCACTGATTGGTGCCCGGAGACTGATCCTTATCGACCGCATATGTTACCCAGTACGCGATCATAACACCGATAGCAAAGAAAAGCTGGAAGCACGCCCCAAGTCGACCACGAATCTCCTTTGGCGACATCTCCGCCGAATACATCGGGATTAGCACCGTAGCGGCGCCGATGCCCAGCCCCGCAATCACACGCCCGGCATAGAATGTGCCCAGAGTGCCAGAGTTGATGATCTGCAGGATAGTGCCGAGAGTGAAGACGAGGGAGCTGATAATCAAACCGGTGCGACGGCCGAAGTACTTGGCAACAGGGGAGACGAGGAAGCAGCCGAAAAAGGCCCCTGCCTGGAGGATGGAGACGGCGTTGGAGTTGACATTGGTCTTTTGGGCTTTGGTGTATCCAAAGTCTTTCTGGAAGGATTCGAGGGAGAGGACGCCGCCTGTTTGGATGATAGTGTCAGTCTATGATGGTAAAATGTGACTATTTGGGTATTCGCTCGACCTACTGATGACACCAGTATCGAAGGCGAATGCAAAAGAGCCCATGCAACTGGCCGAGGCCAGGTAGGCTGCGCGAAACAGGCCAAGCTTGCGACCCATGGTGTCGTTACACCTCCGTTGAGCAAAGGTACGACCTGGGATTTGGAAAAGGAGTGTTCAGTTAAAGTATAGGAAGTCGAATCGCACAAACCCGCTTCCACGCGAGTGTTGTAAGGTATATGCCCAAGTAAATCAAAGGTGAAGTTGAAATGTTGAATCGATGATCAATCCAGTGGTAAAGCGAGAGCGGAGAAAGAAAAGAAGCAAACACGGGCTACCACGCAGTCTTTATGACCTGCCGATCATTTGAAAGGCCAGAACTGATGCACCGCGTGGTTGATGTAAGGCCACTGCAACCAATATCCGTCAGGTAGAAGCTCACTGGCTCAGCTTTGAGGGGGGGCCAGACCAGGCAAGCTCTCTCAAAGCCACGCGAGAGCCGACCGGCTCGCAACCGAGTACGAAGTAGTGCACATGCTCGTCATTGGCGGTCGGCGAATAGCTTAGTGGGAGCCATAGCTCTGGGTAGCGGGGAGCTTGGATGCTGATTTGCGGGGGGTTCGTGTGATGGCCGTGCTACACAACGAATATGGAAGGGGATAGACATGGAAACTGCTGTCTGAGGACGAGCGTAAGGGGGTGTTGCTGCAGTGAATAGGCTGGGTTTTGCGGTCTGAGAAAGCTGGCGCCGTACTTGGACCGTGGGAATCTGTTTTGTTCCTCGTCATGTTAGAGGATCTTAGTGGATGGGTCTGGTGCATTTCTTTGTTTCCATATTGTCCAGGTGGAGTTGTCCTTCCCCGTAGCGAAAAGGCTAACCCCGGATCTGCGCGATCTCATTGCGCCACCAAGAAGTGGACTCTCGCCTTAGTTAGCCTACCTTTAAAGAGCGATTTGAGTTATAATTGAGCAAATCCCAGGTGGATACTAAAGCTATCTACGGAGACAGTTCAAAAGACCTTTGGAAAGACCTTTGGAAAAACCCTTCAAAAGAACTTTAGAAAGAACTTTAGTTTGAAAAGAACAGTAGTCCAGGTCAAAACATATCTAGCTAGGTGTTTTCTCTGGTTTTTATCCGGACAGGGTGGTGGTCGATCGAACTAGATCGAGTTTGGTGTATAGCAATCTCTGTTTGATTCGATCAACATATAATGGGATGGATGAATAGAAAGGCCATAAACGCCACGAGCAATCTCGAACAGGTTTCTGTATCAGACCTCACACGGAGCCAATCAATATTCAGGGGGAGGATAGTTGCGCCCGTTGTTCCCGGTAGGAGAGACCTCCCAAAAAGCTCGCTTCGTAGGACGCGCACTTGTTGCTGAGGTGCCCCTAGAGCACACATACCACGCCGCAAAGTCGTGGTAAGTGGCCCCATGCCACATAGATAGGTAAGATCTCTTTACTTATAAGTTTGCTTATATATAACCTTCGCGATGGCTCTACCAAACACCCCCTTCGGTGACATGGTGAAGAAATTTACCGACGCATCGCAGTCCTGCCATGACCTCCTATCGTCGGAACGAACCAAGAGCTGGCACACGGCCGCGTTCGCAAAATACGCGTTAGTCGCTTTGCAATACCCACGATTCGGTGCGAACCGCCAGTTCCGGTGCCCAGCGATCGCGGACATGACTGCATTCCTCGCGATCAGCCCTCGCAATAGAAGACCCAAGCCCGAACCAAGACAGGACGAGGACGACGAGAGCGACGAAATGCACTGGATTTCCCCTGCCCTCATTCCCTTACGTTGCCCACGGGAAGCAACCTCGTTTTGCATACAGAAGCATGTTTGTGGACTATTATCGCATGCCACGGCCACATCCACATCCCTAACGAGGTACTACGGGCCGTGCTGGCTACCAGACCTACCTACAGGAATCCCTGCGCCGCCTAGATTTCCTCTGCAAACAGTCTCAGATCTTGGTTGGATAATATAAAGTCTCTCTCCAGGGGCGACTGAGGACTGCGACCCATGATCTTGTCGAAGGGTAGAGGTCGATATGGAATCCTTTGGTTTGGTCGGTTGTAAGAGAACCACGAATGAAATGTGAGAGTGGAAAGTTTCTGGGAGACCTTAGAAATCCTCACCGATGAATACGTTTTTCCAGACTTTTCTGGCACCTTTAGACATGAATGAGCCTAAAGTGGTTGAGGATCTAATCTCTTTTTCATTCCCCTTTTTCGCACCTCTTTCGACGCCTCTTTCGGCACCTCTCCTGTAATAGTGAGGGTCATTATATCGACTCCATGTTCTTTTAACTACCAGATAAAGAATACTCTCCCCGCACGCAATAATCGTAGCTATAAATAAAGCTGAAAATATTAGTCTTAGGCAAATTTACAAAGATGTTAAAACACCCGCCTAGCTCTATATTCCCTACGAGATTTCGTTAAGAGAGTAAACCAGTCGAATTGGGTTTAGTTATCGTGTTACGATATCTGCTAGATTCAGTCAAGAGATGCTGGTAGCGAGGGATCAAAGGATCGAAGAAGCTAAATAGAGGATGGGTTCCATAATCCCCTTTAGCAAATTTGGTTGTACAAATTAAGTTAAGCAGGAACAAGGGCCTATTCCAGCGAGCCTTTCCCTAGAGATCATTCTAGCCCATCGACATCGAGGGCTAGAATGTCGTTGGGGTCTCGGTTAGGTAGAAGCGATTTCCCAAAAAGCTCCCTCGCGTGATTCTCACATGTTCTGTACTAGAGGGAACCGGAAATATCATCACCGTCTGATCTAGTCGAGGGAATCCTTGTGAGTCGGTCCGATAGAGCTCGAGGGATCCGCTAACGGTGACATTATTGGGTTGTCTATTCCATTTGATGATAATAACGATCCGAATATCACTATTGCTACCGACGAGTAATCGATTCATATCATTGTGGAGGGCTGGGTAGGACTCGGACCAACAAATATCGACAACCAAGGTTGGAAGAATCTGCGGGTAGAGGCGGAATACCGCAGCCGGCTCCTTTTCATAGGTACGATATGGACCATTTTCGATCTCAATAGCTACTGGTATTAGCCAAGTGATCATTTATGAGCATGCACGAAGTACAGAGGGGAACATGTGAAGGTTTGTGCATATAAGGACAGCAAGAAAACTAGAGAAATGAGGCCAGGCGGAAGCTTATAAGTTAATGGCAGTCAATGAAACTAATGAATCAAAGAACGAAGCGCGGAAGCATTCCGGAAACAGCATACTTGCGGAGCTCTTAACCCTGATAAGGCATTCCTCAGCCATAGTTACGCTCCCCGTACGACCCCACGTCAACATAGAGGTTGTTAACCATCCTACACCAACATCATGAGCAGGCGTGGACCGAACCATGACCCGTAGGGTAGCCTCCACGGGGTCGTATGATTTCCGGGTTCCTGGAGACTCTCCTCGATTTCCCACAAGAAAGCCTCCCATCCCCGGGGTACATCAGTAATCATAAGTTCTTGAAAGTGTCGATCTTGGCATATATTCTCAACAATACATCTTTCGAACTGAGGTTGGCCCGTAAACTGCCTAGCGGATATCACAGTCGTTGGCGACTCGGACTGAGGAGCAGGAAGAGAAACCATGGCAAGGGTGGAAATAAGGCGATCAACCTTAGTAAAGTTCTAGGAGGAAAGGCAATATATGAATCTGTTTGTGATATTGGTGTAAGAAGATCAAGTGGCAGAGGGATGTGGAAAGAGAAGTGAAGTAGGGTGGGAGAGGATACATATTAGAAGAATAATAAGTATCTCACATAATGACGTAGGACTGGGATCAGTTACACTAAGCACTTTATAAATTCGGGGTTCCCCAGAGGGGATTAGAAGTGAATGTATGATCCATAACAGGTGATATAAGTCCAACGGTAATCAGCAAAGGCTCGAGTGCTTTCCCTTTTAAGTAAACCTCCATGTCATGTCAACCAGATCGCCACCTGCCAATAGACCTGGTAACTTCTAATTGTGCATCTCTAACCGTCGACAACATGCATATTCTCGTGTTGTCGAATATTGACAGGGTTTTCGATTTCCTTACTGCTGGACTCCAACTCCACCCGCTATCGAGCCGTCTACTGGTGTATCCTGCGACGATCCCCGTCGGCCAGGCCGGCGGACTCGACACGGAAACAACTCGGGGAGGATAGTCTTTACGATACTGACTTTCTCTACTCCTTGCTGCGGATATCGCACACTTCATACAACACGGTGCCCCTCCAATATCTTGATTCGAGACTCTCACGGCTGCTCTCGACAGTTCCCTCATCCTGGATAGCCGTAGCCGATCGCTACCAGACACTCTCTTCAGGGGCGACGGCCAACAATTCCCAGGGTCCAGCACCACTGGTCCCGCCACTCACACTACTTTGTCTCTGTTCCACACGCTGGTAAAACGGCAGAAACAGTTCAATCACCGGAAAATTGTGTTCCTGACGACGATTCGGGTTTTTTTCCACGCGACCTGCCACGCAGGCCATGCCCCATCCATAGTGGATATTGACTATGCGAAACACACTGCCAAGACCGATCGGCTCGCTGATCCTCTCGCCTTAGGCTCAAGTGTGTCCTGGACGCTGCGTCCTGGTTGGATCTAATCTCGGCACTTGATTGTAACCTCCTGATTTCAATTACCCCTGCAGTATCAGATTAAGCCTTCTTACTCGAGGAGGAATATGGCCTTCTTCACCCCTGTCCCCATCTGCAGATGAAACCTCCGTCCGGCTCTGTCGCGGGGACCCTCGCTTTCATGTCAAAGATTTGCAGAGTGATGAAGAGCTTCGCCCGTCGGTCCACCCAATGACGGTGGCCAAGCCTGGTTATCCAGACTCTTGATGTGTCGTTGTTGCGCATAACGAGAAGGCCGGGAGACGATCATCTTCGCTGGTCTACCTGGTTGGATAATGGCCCGATTCCAGCCCACTGAACATCAACGTGTTGGACGGCAATGATCTTCAGTGTTATCGCCCCTCTCGCGGAGTTTCGGCGGATGAAGATGGAACGATGTTGGTCTGATTTTTAAATGAGCAGCTCCCCGGGTATGATGGGCGTGTTGGATGTTCTAGAAAAGCACGCCTTTGCAGCTACCACTGCCGTCACTCTTTTATCTACACTCCCATCCATTCATTTTGACTTATATCCATTGTCTTTCTTTAATAGGCAAAGTGCGTGATTTTTGTGTTCATTGAACCTCCGCAATTTATGAGCGACTATGGCTCCATTGTGGTATACTGCTGGGAGCACGCTGCTGCTGTCGTCGCTTAGTGCGGCGGCTTGGCCATACTCGACCTATACTTCGATGAGCTTCCAGCCTCCTAAGCTCGAAGTCAACAAGACCGGCACTACTGAGCCGGGTTATCTCTTCCTTGGTCCTCGTGGTGGTGTCCAGCCTGCTGGTCAAGCGGCACTAATTTACGACGACGAAGGCAACCTGATCTACGAAGGCCCTGAAGAGGTAACCGCCAACTTCCGTGTCCAAAAACTGAATGGCCAAGATGTTGTCACCTTCTGGTCCGGCACTATGATGGATCTGGGCTTTGGGTACGGTGCGGTGCATATCCTCGACAACACCTACAAGGAGATCCACACCGTCACTTTGACTGGCGCCTTCGTCACTCCGGACAACTCGCCCAGGGACTCGTACATTGACCTGCATGAGAGCCACATCACTTCTCGCAACACGCTGCTGGTAACTGCTTACAATGTGACCCAGCACGACCTTACCTCCCTCGGTGGAAATTCTTCAGAGTGGATGCTCGATAGCCACTTCTACGAGATCGACATCTCCACTAACCAGATTCTTTACTCATGGAGTGCCCTTGACCACGAGGACCAGATTCCTTTGAACTCCTCCCACCAGAAGCTGGGCGCCGACGTCGGCTCCCAGGAGAAGCCTTACGATGCCTACCACATCAACTCTATCACTGCCACCAACAACGGGTACATGGTATCCTTGCGCCACATGTGGTCCGGCTATTATCTCTTCCCCAACGGCAGCATCGAATGGCAGCTGGACGGCGCGAACGGTGGCGACTTCGCACAGGTCGGCAGCGCGACTTTCAGCTGGCAGCACGACCTGCGTGTGTACAACGAGACCGACGAGGGCCTGGTTCTCAACCTATTCAACAACGCCAACACCCCAACTGACTCTGAGACTCCAACCACTGGCGTAAGCCTGGCCATTGACCTAGTGAACAAGAAAGTCACTGGCCTACGTTCCCTAACTGACCCGAACGACCCTATTCACTCAGTCAGCCAAGGCAGCTACCAGCTGCTCAACGAGGCCGACGGACACGTCTTCATGGACTACGGGTCTATCTCTAAAGTCAAAGAGTTCGACGGTGACGGCAACGTTGTGTTCAGTGCACAGTTCGGTCCAGATAATGCTGTCGCCTCGTACCGCGGCTACCGCTGCCAGTGGAGCGCCGTTCCTTTCTGGAAGCCCTCTCTGACGGTGAACAAGACTAGCGACGATGCCACTGTCTATATGAGCTGGAATGGTGCTACTGACTATGATAACTGGGTTGTCTACTCGGCCGCCTCTGCCACCTCGGCCAATAGGACGCAGATTGGCACTGCGAAGCGGACTGGCTTTGAGACTGCGGTTACTCTTGATAGTCCGCCCTCTAACTCTATTCAGGTTGTTGCCCGTCAGGGTTCAACGGTTCTTGGTACCTCCGAGATTGTCTCTTTCTAAGATGGATGTTCTTTAGACATCTGTTTTGGTATGGGTACTACCATTTCGCACCTGTAGTTCCGGGGAGATATTTCTTTGAGTAATATCCCTGGTGCATATAGGACTCTGGTGTCTCCATGTGGCTCTTTGAGAAGCTGATTCTTTCTGCTTGTACATATTTCTCCTAAATTTAACGCGTACATATCCTACTTACTTTCTTGATCCCATATACTATCCTGACAGAGAGTCTCACCAGAATTATGAATGAAGACACCGATATCAACGTAGACTCTCAAAGCCAAGAACCCACGAGACCTGAACCAGATATGACGTTAATGTCTAAGCCAGAATGCCACATGGTGGCAGCTCTATGTCAATGACCGGCGATGAGTCAACCAAGGATCTTAGTACAACTATGTTCAATGTCTCTTATGGACAGGAGCTCTGTTTCATGCATTAGGATGGATCTGGCCGAGAGGCATCTGACAATTCCTTGTGCTTACGGAAATGAAAGTGTTGGTAAATTAAGTACAGATTAAATAGGTGATTCTGTGCCGGATACTGATTTTATTCATATAATATTAGGCTTCGTTCAATAAAGAAGCACACTAAACTCCTTTCCAACTTTGTTGTCATTTTGGTCTTTGGAATGTGACGAGAGCGAGTGCCAATCCAAATTAACGGGTTGATTGATCACAACCCATGTTTGTAGTATTTCAACCGTTCCATTGAAACCACCAAGTCTCCTAAGGTGTATATAACGATGCCAGTATACTGCATTTCCTCAGATGAGATACGTCAAGGCCGGCGAGAATACCGACATCAAGGTCTTCCACTGCTGCACTGGCTCCGTATTGCGGGTAGGATCGTAGGCCGCAAATGCCTCATTCCAAGCCATCTTGTGGTCGACAGTTATCTGCTTCATGGGACCGACAGACTCTTCGGGCATCAGAGCTTGGAGGGCAGCGGAATAGTCGTCCGCCTCTTGGAACAGAGCTTCCATCATAATCGGTACGAGGAAGCTGACGCCGGCCTTGTTCAGCTCTGGGGCCTATTTGCAGTAGAATATTAGACATCATCAAATCAATACTGGTCATCATTGGGTTTCAAGAGCGTATACAAACCTTCTCACGGTATTCGTCTAGCAGAGTTATGGAGTCTTGATTCAGGGAGGTGAAATGCTTAACCACCTCGTCCGCCTCCTTTGGTGTGAATTTCGTGTCGGTGAGCTTAGAATGAGCCTCTCTCAGGGCGTACCAGCAATCGTAGTTTTTGCGCCCAACGGGAATAGCGGCCAAGGAGCCACCTTGATAGCGACTGATGGCATCTTGATTTGCCTGCACCGCCTGAGAAACGGTACCGATGCTGCTGAGGACACTATCCTTCTGCGATGTGGGTACGGCCGAGGTCACCAGAACCAGCGACGAGAAAGTGACAAGGGTTCTTAGGAAACGCATCGTGTAGAGCAGGTACGGAGTAGTTGGGAAGGAGCAAAATTACCGCCAGGTGACTGGTCGAGAAAAAGCTTGACGAGGCGTGTACCAGAGAAGTCAAATAAATAGATTGCTACAAGTCGTGTAAATCTTACGTTGGGCATTCCATTCGGCAGGGAATCCTAGGGGCTTGTTATTGCATACGATGAAGTGTGAAACTTCGTTAGTCGGTCAATAAGCTGCAAACTCCTGCAGGCAATGTGGAACATGCACATGAAAAGTTTAATTCATACTTCTCCAGAAAACTGTTTCCTTGGCTTGAACTGTCATGAAGAGGGCATTAAGTGCCTGATCAATCGCCTTCTGGACACATGATTGTCCTAGGGGTTACATTGTTATCCTAACCTACCGTAGGGAGAAATTTTCCGTACATGCAAGGGGCTCTTACCCCTGCATGATGAGGTGGCTAACACTCTCAAAATGAAGCTTGATGATGCTCTTCCTTGATCTTACAGTAACAAAGCAGAAAGGAAATACGTCCTTCAAAATAAAGTTCAATAAGCTGTCAACTTGTCGGGGGATTGCTTATTGGTGGGGCATAGAAATGGACTGGCTGAGGAGAAACCGGTTGATTGCTTTTTCTTGAAGGTTATTGAGCGGTGGATATGTCACTTTTGACTGATCGTAAAATCTGTAAAAAGTAAACATGTAAATTTCTTGTGGGTCTAGAGGATGCCTGTAAAAATGAGGACCTGGTGGAATCAGGAGGGTTGCCATCTGCCCAGTGTGGTTAGCGGTTGGACGTTCAAGGACTAGAGCAGTACTGTATGTCGTTAGGTAGTGCAAAGGAATCCACAAGTAGCATTCCTCCTGCTGGTTACAATTATCACTCTACCTTGCCCAAGATCTAGTAGGAGTCACTATTTCTTTCGCGGCACAGTTTAGCTCGATATTGACGGAATATCGTCGATTTTGGCTCAGACAACGTTAGAAAACATGGCCATTCCCACCGCTACTGCCGATGCGACGGCAGTCCCCAGGGATTCGCAGCCCAATCTTTCTGGACTGGATCGCTCCAACGAGGTGGCCTTTCCAATTGCTATCGTCGGCATGGCGGTGAGGCTTCCTGGAGGGGTGAACACTACGGAGAAATTCTGGGACATGTTGATCAACAAAAGAGATGGTCACTGCAAGGTCCCAAAGGCAAGATATGCAGCAGACGCATTTTACAATGCCACCCGACCAGGCACTGTCAAGACCTGCCATGGTTATTTCCTGCAGGAAGATATTGGCTACATTGACCGGTCATTTTTCTCCATGAGTAAGACTGAGGCAGCAAAGCTGGATCCCCAGCAGAGGTTGCTTCTAGAGGTCGTATGGGAATGCATGGAGTCTGGGGGACAGACGAACTGGCGTGGGCAAAGTATTGGTTGCTACGTTGGTGTCTTTGGTGAAGATTGGCTAGAAATGTCTAGCAAGGATACCCAACACATGGACCGATTTCATGTTGTAAGCGCAGGAGACTTTGCGCTCTCGAATCGTGTGTCATACGAATACGATCTACAGGGCCCGAGGTGAGTAGTCCAAGTAAATTGCATCGTATAGCTTGGATTCTAAGATAAGCTGGTAGTATCACATATCGAACGGCTTGCTCATCTTCTATGGTCGCCCTGCACGACGCCTGTCAAGCGCTGTACAGTGGCGAATGTTCCTCGGCCGTTGTCGCCGGATCGAATCTTATATTGACACCCACCATGACCATGTCCATTTCCGACAACATGATCGTATCGCCTGATGGAATTTGTAAGACTTTCGATGCTTCTGCTGACGGTTATGGCCGAGGCGAAGCGATCAACGCCATCTATATTAAGCCCTTGGCGGAAGCTCTGCGACAAGGGGACCCTATCCGTGCAGTCATTCGATCCACGGCCGTGAATTGTGACGGAAGAACACCAAGCATCACAACACCTGGCTCAGAAGCTCAGGAGCGTCTTATTCGACGTGCTTATCAAAAGGCTGGCATTGAGAACCTCTCCCAAACAGGGTTCTTTGAATGCCACGGGACGGGAACAATTGCTGGGGATACGGCAGAGACATCTGTCGTGGCCAAGGTCTTTACTGACGGTATCCATATTGGAGCGGTTAGTTAAGCCGTATTGCATATCATACCTCCACAGTTTGTTGACAATACTCCAGGTCAAACCAAATGTTGGCCATTCAGAAGGTGCATCAGGAATCACTGCTATCATCAAATCTGCGCTCGCGCTTGAAAAGAGAACCATTCCCCCGAATATTCATTTCAAGAACCCAAATCCATCGAGTGCGTATTTCCTACACACATGTTCTAACAGCGATGACTAACTCTCTTCACGAAGTCCCATTCCAAGACGCAGGCCTCAAAGTACCTCTAGACCCGGTCCCATGGCCAGACAGCCGATGTGAACGAGTCAGTGTAAATTCGTTCGGGATAGGCGGTACAAATGCACATGTATGTGATATGCTTGAAGTTAACCGGATTTCTTAATTCTGTTTTTGCTCATACTTGCAAGGTCATCCTCGAGTCTTTCTCATCCATGGTACATGACCAGAAAGAACAAGCCACTGGTGAAACAGGCCCTCATGTCTTGGTCTTGTCCGCAAAGAATGGGAAGTCTCTGCAAAATGCTGTTGAGCATATGAAGGAATTTACCGCCCAAGTTTCGTTTCCAGTGAAAGATCTGGCTTATACCTTAGGCTGCAGAAGAGAACATCTGGGACATCGAGCATTCGCCATTGTTGATCCCGATAGGAACATTTCGGATTTTGAGACGGCCCGTGACACGCCATCTAGCGTCACCTTTGTTTTTACTGGCCAAGGGGCACAGTGGGCTGGTATGGGGAAAGAGTTGATGTCCACGTCACCGAGCTTTCTGAACAGCATCAGGTCCCTGGATCAGCAGTTGTCGTCGCTGAAAAATCCTCCGAGCTGGACCTTAGAGGGTAAGGACCTGCATACCAACAATATGATACAACTAATTCTAACCATGTGACAATTATAGAAGAGCTTGCAAGGGACCACGAAACTAGTAAAATTCAACAGCCGGAATTTGCTCAACCGCTGTCTACGGCAGTACAGCTCGCCGTGGTAGATCTTCTTCAGGAATGGGGCGTACGTCCGACATCAGTCATCGGTCACTCGAGTGGTGAGATTGCGGCTGCATATGCGTCCGGAGCAATGACTGCCGGCGTGGCAATGGCTGTGTCATACTATCGAGGGAAAGCCGTAGGCGATGCGAATATGAAACCTGGAGGCATGGCTGCGGTTGGTCTAGCAGCCACCACGGCAAGCAAGTACCTCATTGGGAATGTGGCCTTGGCGTGCGATAACAGTCCACAAAGTGTGACCCTTTCCGGTACTTCAAGTGCTCTCGATGAGGTCCTCGAGAAGATACAGGCAGTTGATCCAGAGACATTTTGTAAACGGCTCAAGGTCTCTGTTGCATATCACTCTGGTGAGCCTACCCTTTCTATCTACTTATGACACTGGATCTAAATTTTCGCAGAGAGTATGAAGGAGCCGGGCCTTGCTTATGAGGAAATGATGAAGCCTGTGATATCCCATAATAACAACATGATACCCCTCTATTCGACAGCTAGAGAGGATGTCATACTGGATCCGACTGTGCTGGACGCATCATATTGGCGGGAGAATCTGCAATCCACTGTTTTGTTCAACGGTGCTGTTCAACGATTGCTCCGAGAAGCAAAATTACCAACTCTCTTTGTAGAGATTGGCCCTCATTCAACGCTTTCAAGCCCGCTACGCCAAATTCTACGCAAACACGATTCTGACCAATCGTCCAAGTATATCCCGACCCTAGTTCGCGGTCAGCCACAGTTGAGGGCTCTTCTTACGACTGCCGGGCGCCTTCATATCAATGGAGCACACATTGACCTAGCTGTGATTAACGAGACCAAAGATGCTTCAATCTTGAAGGATCTTCCGGCCTACCCTTGGCTTCACGAGGAAAGTTTTCTCAGCGAAACCAGACTGGTTCGGGAATGGAGAAACCCCAAAGAGCCGCATCACGAGTTGCTAGGACCTCGCTCTCTGGAATCGACCGACTTGGAGCCTTCCTGGAGGAGGGTTCTATTTGCAGGACATGTGCCTTGGTTGTGGGACCATGTGTTGGGGAAAGAACTCATATTTCCATGTGCCGGATACATTGCCATGGCTGGTGAGGCAATTCGACAGATAACTGGGACGGAAGATTACACAATCCACAACTTGAGCATGAAGACACCACTGGTACTCAAAGATTCTGAAGCAGCAGAGCTGGTGACTAGTCTTCGGCCCGCCAGGCTCACCATGACGACGGATTCTTCCTGGTACGAATTCACGATCTCAGCCTACCAGGACGGGACCTGGAAAAAGCATTGCACGGGGAAAGCAAGAGCGGGGAGTGTCAAACAACACACCCATCATGAACATGTTTCATATCCGCGCATGCTTCCTTCAAAGACATGGTACGAAGCAATTAAAAGGCGTGGCATGAACTTTGGCCCTGAGTTCCGAAGATTAGAGAGTATTTCTGCCAATCCATGCAGTCCTCAAGCTGGCGCCCGTGTCCAGTACAATGACGAGGGGGATTCCAAAATCACAAGTATTTACGCTCTTCATCCAACCATAATTGATCAGAATCTCCAAATGCTCGGGGTTGCAATGTGTCGTGGATCTTCTCGTCATATGACAAAGCTTTGTATGCCCGTGGCAATTGAAAGCATTTATATCGCTCCAGGTCGTGGAACGATGTTTATCGATGCCTCATGCAACCCTACCGGTGACTCCATCATCGGAAATGCAACGATGATCTCTGGTAACAAGGTTGTTCTCTCAATGGAACGAGGCATGCTTTTCGCCGTTGAAGAGGTGGATGAAACTGAGCGAAATGATTCTCCGATTGCCCGAATCGACTGGAAACCACACATTGATCTAGTCTCATTGACTGACGAGGTTCTGCCTAAAATGTTGAATAATCGCGGCTTGTCTCTGTTAGATGCTGTCATTAGATCAATGATCACAACAACAGCTGATAAGATTCGATCGTTGCATCCAAAGACCACCCAACTTGAAAAATACCAGCTCTGGGTCTGCTCCCAGGCAGATGCAATCAAACGCACCATGAGAAGCGCGAGTTCACTTTGCCAAGAGGATAATCTAATAGATATCACGAAAGAAATCGAGAAAGACTACGTTGAGTTGGTGCCTCTCTTAAAACTTGCAGGCAAGATTTCAATGCTCTCAAATGACTTGTTGGAGGGGAATGTCACCCTCGAGGAGGTGGGAACTCCGGAAGAGACTTTGTTATGTGTTTACAAGTCGTTGTCATCGACAGCCGGGTGTGCCGACTTCTTCTCTCTCCTTGGCCATTCCAACCCGATGCTTCGAGTTTTGACGATTGGCCTAGGCAATGGGTTTGCAGTGACTCAAGCTTTATGCGGACTCACGTCGAACAATGGCACTCCCATGTATTCGAAGTGTACAGTCACTGGCAGATCGGAAGCCGAGCTCCGCCGCGCGAAGGAGACACTATCTTGGGCCCCTAAAATTCAATACAAATCTCTTGACATTGCCCAGGGCCCTATTGAGCAGGGATTTGAGGCTGAGGGCTATGACCTTGTCATTGCTTCAGAGGCATTTGATGCTGACATGCCGATGTCACCCTCTCTGAAAAACATCTTTACATTGCTTGCCCCGGGTGGTCGAGTTTTCCATCAGGGTGTGTTTTCAAGCATTCCTTTGGTCGGATATGTTATGGGTATCTTTTGCGATTTGTGGCTTCAACAAGATTTGGCTTGCAATAAACCCTCCATTACCCCAGAGCAATGGCGGAATGAGCTCAGAGAGAATGGTTTCGAAGAGTCTGACATGTTGACACTGAAGGACACGTCAATTTATCACGCGGGAACAACGATTGCATCGCGGCCATATCCATTGACCAGGCCCAGTTCGAAGGAAATTGCGATTCTCTATCTCTCCACCGTCCCAGAGTGGGCTCAAACCTTGGCAAAGAGTCTGGAGAAGGAGGGGCAGCTTGTTACCTGGGTTGCCTTTGGTCGCGATCCATTACCGGCAACAGGAGTGGTCTCCGTCGTAGACTTGGAAGGCCCGCTTTTCGATAACATCTCACCAGAACGGTTTACTCAGTTCCAGCATTTTGTCAGTCAGATCAAGAACTCGCACGTTTTATGGCTCACCCAGAGCTCCCAAATGTCCTGCAAAGACTCTCGGTTGGGACTCATTCTGGGAGTTGTCAGAACAATCAGACACGAAGTGACGCCTGAATTCTATACCCTTGAGATCGACGATTTTGATGATGCATCTGTCATCGCCACCATTCGAGTAATAGAGCATATAAACCGACAGCGGGATTGCTCACCACTGGATCCTGACCGTGAATTTGCACTGGAGCAAGGAAAGATCCACGTCAGCAGGGCCCATTGGGCTAGCGCTCGCCAGGAGCTGTCTACCGCAAGACCTGCGGTCTGTGACAGCAAGTTCCTAGACATTGGATCGTATGGACTACTGAACACACTTGCGTGGTCTGAACGTGAGACGCGCGTTCTGCAAAGTCATGAAGTCGAAATCGACATGAAATACGTCGGACTCAATTTTCGGGTAAGCAAGTCCTGCTCAGTAAGGGCTTCCTACGAAGCATGTCAGCTAACCTTCAATCCCCAGGATATGATGGTCGCTCTTGGCGTGGTGGGTGACAGGAGTGAATTTGGTGTCGAAGCTAGTGGCGTTGTTCGTCGAGTAGGCTCATCAGTAACACATGTGACCGTTGGCGATGCGGTTGTTGTTATTGGCGATGGGCTCTTGTGTACACGGAAAATTGTCGCCGCGGAGCGCTGCTTCCCTCTCTCGAACGACATCAGCTTGGAAGACGCTGCCACAGTGGCTTGCGTGTATGGAACAGTTATCTTATCGCTGATTTATATTGGTAGGCTCCAGAAAGGCCAATCTGTTTTGATACATTGTGGATGTGGTGGCGTTGGACTGGCAGCCATTCAAATCTGTCAGATGTTAGGGGCCGAGGTACAACACACTTTTTTCAATTTCCTACACTATACCGCGGTGGCTAACGGTAACAGATCTTCACCACTGTTGGCAATGATGACAAGGTTCAGCATCTCATGGACACATTTGGAATTCCTCGGAACCGCATTTTTAGCTCCCGAGATCCTTCATTCTTACATGGAGTGATGGAGCAAACCGGGAATCGCGGAGTAGACCTTGTTCTCAACTCTCTTTCCGGTGAACTTCTGCATCTTTCCTGGAGATGTGTGGCCAAGTTTGGGAAAATGGTCGAGCTAGGAAAGCGCGACCTGCTGGGGTATGGCCAATTGGACATGGATGTTTTCGCCGGAAACAGGGCTTTCATAGGGGTTGATGCGAAGCAGATCATAGATGAAGACATTGGTCAATTCCAAAGGTAAGTTACTTCTTTTGAATGACTCTCTCTTTCAGTTGACTAATTGATCCGGCGGTCTAGTATCATGCAAGAGTGTATGGAATTTCTCAGGCAAGGGAAAATAAAGCCCATTCGACCACTTACTGTTTTCGACGCTGCGGAAGTTAGCCAAGCTTTTCGCTTCATGCAGACCGGCAAACATATGGGAAAAATAGTTGTGAAACTGCCCGATGATTCCTCGGATTTACATGTTTCTCCAATTTCGACATTCATAAACCTCCCCTCGGATGCCTCTATTGTGATTGTTGGGGGGTTGGGTGGCTTAGGTCGCACCGTGGCAACCTGGTTAGTCGAGAAGGGAGCGCGAGATTTGGTATTTCTCAGCCGATCAGGAGGAAAGTCTCCCGGGGCACAATCGTTCTTGGAAGAAATTCGCAGTCAAGGTTGTTCAGTGACTGCGGTCGCTGGAGATGTGGCCAAGATGGATGATGTCCAACGCGCAGTAACGGCTTGCCAGAGGCGCATTGCTGGGGTCATTCACATGCCCATGATGTTGAAGGTAAGCAAAGTTTCCTGTCAAAATAGAGAATCAACTAATTGTGCCGGTGGTGGACAGGATCAATTATTGTCGAAGATGACTCATGATGACTGGCGCTCGGTGTTGGCTTCAAAGGTCCAAGGAACGTGGAATTTGCATAATGCTCTCTTTGACACCAGACTGGACTTCTTTGTGTGTTTCGGCTCCCTGGCTGGTCTCTGTGGAAATGCCGGTCAAACAAACTATGCGGCAGCAAATGCATTCTTGGATGCTTTTGTGCAGTATCGCTCAGGACAAGGGCTTGTAGCGAGTGTCATTGACCTTGGTCTCATGAACGATGCAGGATTTGCATACGAAAATGCACCCAAACTTATCCAACGTGCCAAATCGGCATCGATGCGAACTGTTGAAGAGAATGAGCTAGTCCAGGCTCTAGAATTGGCAATTTGTCGATCAGGTCAAATTGCACTGGGCCTTGGAACCACGAAGCCCCTCTCTAATCCTGGTGTCGTGCCACCTTGGACTCGAGATGCCCGCTATTGCCTGTGGTCAAATATCGTCTCGGCCACCGAGCCTGCCGCATCTTCGTTGGACGGAGACCTCAAGGAGCTAATGGAGTCTGTCAAAAGCAACCCGCATATTTTGGATGACCCTGCTACCATAGGGAGGATTTCCAAAGTCCTTGGCTTGGAAATTGGATCTCATTTAGCAAACATTGACGATATGGACGAGAAAGACATAAACAACATGGTGATTGAGTCTTTGGCTATGATTGAAATCCGGAGCTGGTATCGCCGCCACCTCGGCTTGGAGTTGCCCCTCGTCGAGATTTCAAATGCGCAAACAATAGGAGGCCTTGGAAAAGTGACAGTGCAGGCGCTACGTGCCAAGTACAAAGAGGCTTCCAGCACGGAGACTTCCGCGGTAGATACCGCCATTGCAGAACAGGAAAAAGATCTCCAGTATCTTCAAGATGCGACACTCGGTCAGAATTTCCACCCTATCGCAGACAAAGTCGCAGAATGGTATGCAAAATCTGAAGGTCATGTGCTTTTGATAGGCGCAACTGGTTTTGTTGGCGCATTCATGTTGTCCATGTTGGTGGCATCACCCGAGGTAAAGACTATCACTTGCCTAGTTCGCGCAGAGTGTACCACAGCGGCGATGAAACGACTCGAAACAGCATTTGCCGAACTTCGCCTTCCAATGCAATCCTGGGACAAGGTTCGAGCTGTCACCGGCGACATCACCCACGAAGACCTTCGTCTGGGAAAAGCGGAGCTCGTTCAGCTATCCAAGGAATGCAGTGCCATTTTCCACCTTGGAGCTGTTGTCAATTACACTCTTTCATATTCTGCGCATCGGAACACGAACGTTTTAGGTCTTGTCAATGTCCTGAAATTTGCCAATACGCATCGCCTCAAGCCTGTTCATTACTTCTCGGGTATGGCAGCATATGGCCCAACTGGCTTCCTCAGTGGCCCCACATACGTGCCTGAGAACGAGAGACCAGTAGCTGGCTCCGGGTCTTTGCAACACCATACTGGCTACTCGCTCAGCAAATATGTGGCGGAGTGCATCGCATGGGATGCCATTTCAAATGGATTCCCCCTCGCAATCCATCGAGCCGGCTTCGTTCTGGGACACAGTGTGACGGGAATCGGAAATGCAGATGATGCTGTCAATCGACTAATGTCGACCTGTATCAGCCTGGGTGCTTATCCGATTCCTCCAGCTCAGCGCAATTGCTTCGTTCCCGTCGACTTTGTGTGCTCAGCGGCTATACATATATCTCTGTCCAACAACAATCTCGGTCAAGCGTACAATTTGATCCATCCCGATCAAGATCAGAATATTGACCTATCCACAACTTTCCACATGCTCAGTCAATTAGCCTCGACTCCACTCCGCGCTGTCGAGATTTCGGAATGGGCAGAGCTGATGTCAAAAGCAGTTGGCCATCGTCTGAGTGGCATTGCCCCAATCATTGCGGAAAGATTAACGGAAGGGTCAATCTGGTGGAACAACAAACAGGACTCGATGGTAATTCATGGGACTGAAAATCTTCACAAAGCTTTAGGAGATCGACCAGACCTATTGAACTGTAAGACGATGTTTGAACTCATGGAGACATATTTCGCCCAGTGGAGCCAGATTTCGGAATCTGGTATCTTGATGCATGATATTTGATTCCTGTGGTGTCTTCTTTTGATTATCTTACTAGCACGACAAAAACTTAGCTAGATTGCGACAAATCAGGCCTAATCATGGTAGCTCCTGCCCTACTCCCGGTAGAATTCCCCAGCTAAATATTTAAGGAGTTCGTTGATTATGGCCCAAGAAAGCTATCTAGAGAGACAGTTCAACCCATTTTTAGAAAGCGTTTCTAGCTAGACTTTCTCATCATTGGCCAGAGTCAGGCATTTATACAGAGACAAAATTAAGAGACATAGGTTTAGTTTGTCCTGCTAGTACCCAGATCGTTCCTTTTTGCGGCAGATCTAAGTACGACCTTCCAACTTTTTGCAAGACTTGGAACGCGATATAGTATCCAAGTATAAACTGTATTGCTTCTATGCCTCATGATTACCTTCTATCTGTATACGTAATAAGTGAAAAGTATTACAAGTAGAGGTAGAGTATGGCCTGGACTTTTAGACACACTCGTCGATACCCCATGGTTCTGGCAGCAAGCAAGTTTTCAGTGAACCAAAATAAGACTACCGTCTTAAGCTCATACTCCATGGAGTGCGAGGCAATCGATAAGCGGCAAAGAATGCCTCCTGGCCAGGATCATCCAGTTGCCAAGGCAGTATCAAGAGCAGCCAGGTGATTGACGAGATGACTTCAATAGTCCAAAGTAGAAACGGACCTGCTACTGAAGCCTTCGTCCCTCGAGACACAATCCACTGGGCATTCGCTTTCTGGTATATAGTTGCCACGGGCTGGAAGCAGTAGGCGGCAAACACTCTTGTTGCAGGTATAGCACGCCGAGAGGATGTAAACGATGCCATAGCATGTGAAGCCGCAGTGATTGCAAACACCACCCATATATGGGCTTTGCTGGAAGTGTCAGATGGCGTTAGCCACTGGGCAACAGACCACATTGGACGCCGAAGGACATCGTGCCACCAGTTGGCCCAAAAGTCTACGAGTCGATAATTAGCTTTAATTCCTGGGCCTCTTATGCAACACACTTTACCTTTCAGATTGGGTGAGGACAGCCGGAATCCCCCAAATAGCGTCGGATGTGTCCACGTCTCTCCCGCAATATCGTCCGAGATGACAGAGATTACACCGACAGCAGCAAGTGAGAAAAATGCGTGGGATCCATCCAGAAAGAATTGAGCGCTGATAATACGTGCGACACGCCCTAGCCAATTGTATATTTCCTGGCTCATACCTATCGTGAGATGGGCTCCAAGGCTTTCCGAGATATATTTGATTGTCCGTGTTATGAGAAGACCATTATCATGAGCAAATAGCACCAGATAGATATCGAACCATAGATACGCTATCAAAATGCGCCGCGCCTGGGTTAGAATGAAGGGCCAACGACTTGGTTTCCAAACGTTAACCCGCTTCGATGGGGTTGGAGAGTTACGCTCGTTGATAATCAAACTCGCAGGGGGACGATGACCTACAGGGCCATGACTCCAGCCAATTGCCCGTGGGTTCGCAAGCAAGTCGATGATATAAATGATGCGACGGATATCAGTTGGCGGAGGAAAGGACTCCCAGCAGTAGAGAGTCCCAACTTTTCTCAGACGCCGCATAGAAAGTGGGTTAGAGACGATAAGAAGTTCTATCGCTCGGACAGGATGATATACCGACATGAATCCGGTCATATAGTTGAATAACGGGCCTGCAGTGGGGTGCTGTACAGAATAACACGAGTAGAGAACACTGAGCCCACAAAAGCCATACCGCAAGCGATTAGACTTCGCAAGTTGCTCGTAGAATAGTAGACCTAGCCCGTAGATTCCAAAGGGTACTCCCATCCAAATAACCGGTATGGTCAGTGAAAGGTAGTCCGATGCCATTTGGGCTGATGTTGGGAGACGTTAACAGATTGAATGGGTCGTGAAACACAGCGGTAGAAAGGTCATCAGCATCATTAAGAAATCCTGTAATGAGTGTTTTTTTCTCTTTAGTAGCCCTTTCAGCGGGCTAGTTTTTGACCACTGATCGGCGGATCAAATTGCCTAATTAGTATATCTAATACATAGTCAGCAAGGACCTTGCATTCTTAACTATGTATCGATTGACAGCTGTACATTCCATTCCGTGGGTAGAGTCATACATACCAGATAAAACACAGGTCAACTCCATGGTCCGTGCGTGTCGAATTTAAATCCTTGTCTGGGTTGAATTGCTCAATAGATAGATCATCTACTGTAAAGTCGTTAGAGTTCACGCTTGCAGTGAAAACTAATAGTTTATGCATGTTCGGAATTGCTTTTGGTGCTTGGATTGCGATCGCCCCTTGCATACACGTCAAAGTTTGGACGAGTAACTTGGATTTGCAGCTCACTATTCTAAAAGTGATTCTAGGAACACGAAGATTATAGGCTTCCTCCCCAGCTTAGGAGGAGCATCAAGAGTCCGTTTCATTTCATGTTAAAAGACAGCCATTACGGACAGCAATTTCAAATTTCTACCGCACACTGTCAACATGGGCACTACGACCTTTCATCAGCTTGAAGAAGACGGATCTCATCCTATTGCTATAGTCGGCATGGCAATGCGATTGCCGGGAGGTGTGCGATCTGCTGCTGACTTTTGGCAACTTCTGAGCGAAGGACGTGATGGAAATTGCGTTGTACCGGACTCGCGATATAGCGAGGAGGGTTTCTACTCAGACTCCGGGGCACATTCAGTCAGAATGCAACGTGGTTATTATCTCCAAGAGGATCTAGAGAAAATAGACACCTCTTTCTTTGACATCGAGGGACTACAGCCATCTCGGATGGATCCACAGCAAAAGATGCTGCTTCAGGTTGTATGGGACTGTCTCGAAAACGCCGGACAGGTTGACTGGCAAGGAAAACCTATTGGTTGCTTTGTCGGTACTTATGGTGGAGATTGGGAAGAGATAGAAGTCAGGGATCCTCAAAATGCACACAACTTCCATATGATCGGGCATGGAAAGTTTTCACTTGCAAATGTGATTTCTTACGAGTTTCATTTTAATGGCCCTAGGTAAGAAGATCCCCAATATTACTACAAGATTGTCCTTGCACTAAGAAAACATAGTATGACAATTGAGACCGGCTGTTCTTCTTCACTAGTTGCTCTGCATCAGGCTTGCCAGTCTCTCATCTTGAAAGATTGCTCTACGGCGATCGTGGCTGGATCTAATCTGATCTTCACGCCCACCGTTGGCATGCACGGCTCGGGTCTAAGTGTATTCTCCCCATCTGGAATATCCAAATGCTTTGATGCGTCCGCAGATGGATACGGAAGGGGCGAGGCTGTTAATGCAGTCTGTATCAAGCGATTGGATGACGCGTTGAGGGATGGAGATCAGATACGAGCTGTCATTCGGTCTTCAATGGTTAATTGCGATGGTCGAAGTCCTGGAATCACCACACCCTCTGTCAAGGCACAAGAAAAGTTAATACGGGAGACGTATAAGCGAGCCTTGATCAGAGATCTCTCACAGACTGCCTTCATCGAGTGCCATGGCACCGGTACGTTAGCAGGCGATCCTATCGAATGCTCTGCAATTGCCAAGACCTTCCTCAAAGAAATATACATTGGCTCGGTTTGTGGCTACCCTTCACTTGTAAATTTCGCCTGATGGGCGCTAACTTCCTTATTACCAGGTCAAAGCCAATGTTGGCCACTCTGAAGGTGCCTCGGGACTCACAAGTCTGATAAAAGCTGTTCTTTCGTTGGAAAATAGGCAAATACCGCCCAATATCCATTTCCACCAACCGAATCCAAGGAGTGTGTATTAACTCGTATCCTTAAATCCTTGACCGGTCACGACTTATAGAGATTCTAGTTCCTTGGGACAATGGACGTCTTCGTGTTCCGGAGAAGCTTACTTCATGGCCTGTGAATCGAAAAGAGAGAATCAGCATCAGTAACTTCGGTATCGGTGGCTCAAATGCACATGTGAGAAACTCAGAACTTGACAAGAGGCACCAACAGATGGAACACTGACAAATTTTTAGGTTATTCTTGATTCTTCTTCGTCCTTTATACCCACCCAATTAGTTGAAGATGAAATGCAGGAAACAAAGCCGATTTTGCTCGTTGTTTCTGCGAAGTCCCAGGAGGCTCTGTTGTATCGAGAGCAGAGTCTGTTGAAGTACATGAGCATTCATCCGAATCGTCTTGGCGATCTTGCATATACCCTCAGTGCCCGTCGTAAACATCTTTCACATAGGGGTTTCTTAGTCAATGCGAATGCTATCTCCCCGAATGTGGGATCCGTCAAGCATTCCGTCGCTAGTCGGGCCCCTGACTTGACTTATGTTTTCACGGGCCAAGGCGCCCAGTGGGCCGGTATGGGTAGAGCACTGATGGGCTTCAAAAGCTTCTGTGATAATATACGGTCCTTGGATCTTGTATTGCAGAGCTTGAGAAAGCCGCCTTCATGGAGTCTAGAAGGTAATCGTGCCACGATGAATCATGAGTCCTTGAACAATCGCTTACAGAATTTCACCATAGTCGCCCTTGCAGATGCCAATATTGATCAGATAAATACGCCTCAACTCGCTCAGACTTTGTCTTGTGCATTGCAAATTTCGTTAGTAAATCTTCTTGCGGAGTGGGGTGTCAAGCCCACAGCAGTTGTCGGTCATTCGAGTGGCGAGATCGCGGCTTCATATGCCGCGGGAGCAATTACAGCTGAGTCTGCGATTGCTGTGAGCTACTATCGTGGTCTACTGGTAGACGAAGTCGGCAAGGAGGGATCAATGGCCGCCATTGGTCTTGGTCGAGCGCAAGTGGCATCGTATCTACGGGACGGTGTTGCCATCGCCTGCGAAAATAGTCCTAACAGTGTCACTATATCTGGAGAGTCCTATCATGTGGATGAGGTGATGAGCAAGATCAAATCAGATCATCCAAATGCACTCTGCAGAATGCTCCGCGTCAATAGAGCATATCATTCAGGTATTCCATTCATTTTACTTGCTGGAGAGGAAGGAAGCAAATCCTGAGTAAGCTAATCATTGGACAGATTCCATGACCGCCGTGGGCAAGATGTACGAGACCAGCATTCGATCCTATATCAACCCTCAGAAAGGAATGATTCCAATGTACTCTAGCGTCACAGGACAAACGATTGTGGATCCGAAGCAGCTCAATGCCAAGTATTGGGTCCAGAATCTTGTATCTCCTGTTCTTTTCTGGGGCGCCGCCGAGTCCATTATGCAGGATCATCCCAGGTCTTTCTTCTTGGAAATTGGTCCACATTCTGCTCTGGCAGGACCCCTTCGTGACGTTTTCAAATCTTTGGCCGATGCGAAGAAGGAGATGTCCTATGCTTCCTGCCTCATCCGCGGACAATGCCAGGAAACATCCCTCTTGACTGCAGCCGGAGAACTGTTTCTTGCAGGAATTCAGCTCAACTTTGAGGCCATCAATGGACACAGAAAGATCCTGACTGATCTTGATCCTTACCCCTGGCAAATCGGACAGTGTGAATGGTCTGAGAGTCGGATATGTCGAGAGTGGAGATTCCGCAAGCATGCCCACCATGAGCTCTTGGGTTCGCGCGTCGTCGAGTCAACTCAACTTGAGCCCTCGTGGAGAAATATGCTGCACATCGATGACGCGTCCTGGCTTTGGGATCATTGTATCGGAGGGTCGACAGTGTTCCCTTGCGCCGGATATATCGTTATGGCCGGTGAAGCCATGCGTCAGATCACTGGGTGTCAAAAATATCGGTTGAGAAACCTTCGGCTTTCTAAAGCATTGACCCTCGACGATCGTGGCCGAATTGAGATCTTCTCCAGCTTCCGACCGGCTCGACAGACCGAAAATACTGGCTCAGGGTGGTATGAATTCTCCATTTCCAGCTTTAGGAGGGGGTCGTGGGTGAAACATTGCACGGGACAAGTGCGAAACGAAACTTCCTCGCCTGCTCCACGAGATATCAGAGGTCTGCCAAGGTCTGTGGCCTCTCATACTTGGTATGAAAACCTAAAAGAGCGTGGGCTTGAATATGGGCCAAAGTTCAGACTGCTCCAGCATATATCCGCTCACCCCACACAACTATCAGCGACTGCCAGCTTAGAGAGAGATGGATCTTCCGAGACTGTTGACGCTCCCACAATTGATCAGTGCTTGCAACTTGTAGGGGTTGCCGTGTCCAACGGTCTGTCTCGGAAGTCTGGTGGAGTTGGAATGCCTGTGTATGTTCAGGAAGTCTTCGTTGGCAGGACAGGGCCCGACGTATTTCTTGAAGCTTCTGCATCAGAAACGACTATGGGAGCAACCTCTGGCTCTGCATTTGCACAGTGGGGAGCCGAGGTGGGAGTCCAAATTGACGGTGTTGAGTTCATGGGCTTTGATGAAGGTTCATCGGCAGATGGCGATCAGAAACTGTGCTCGAATCTCGTGTGGGCCCCAGACGTAGATTTGTTACCAGAGGGCCGTCTTCTGCTGCCCTGTAGTCCAACCACGCCTACCTTTGGTGGGACTTATGGCCCAAGACAACAGTTTTTCGATATGTGCATCATTGAAACCGCACGACAGATTGTTGATTTGGAGCCGGCCTCAGGGCACCTGCGCAAGTATCAACATTGGATGACTGCAAGTTCAGCTGCGATCCTCAATAAGATCCATTCTCACGTGCTACCCAAGGATAGGGAGTTCTTGGATGTGCCTAGAGACAGATGGGCCACAATTCTGACAGGTCTCAAATGGCAGATTGATGAAACGATGCCACTCAGCAGACATTTCGCACAACTCTCCCTTCTTATCATGGAATACTGTGTCGACATTGTCCAGGGAAGATGCCAGCCTCTGGGTTTACTGATGGAAAATGATGGATTATCAAAGCTTTATGACACAGGTGACAGCAGAAATTACGAGGAGTTCTTGAGGCTCCTGGGCCACTCCCAACCCGATCTTCACATTATCGAGATTGGAGCTGGAACCGGAGCAACGACAGCAAGAGCCCTACAATGTCTTCATCCCGAAGGAAAGGCTCGTCAGTATTCACGCTACGTGTTTACTGATATTTCGTCAGGCTTTTTCCAGGCAGCGATGGAAAGATTCAAAGCACATGAAGCAATTGAATTTGCGGTGTTAGACATCAGCCAGCCTCCGGTGGATCAAGAAATCGAGTCCGGGGGCTTTGATCTAGTGATTGCGTCGAATGTACGTCCTTCGAAGTTCTTAGGTAAGGTACAGAATACTCACCACTTGGTTGCAGGTACTTCATGCCACGTGCAGTATACAAGAGACTTTAAAGAACATTAGATCTCTCCTCAAGCCAGGCGGGCGGGTTTTGATTGAAGAAATTTGCTCTGGTTAGTCAGATGAAATGGAAGGGAACTTTCCGAACGAGGACTAACATATTTGAAGAGGCTCAACCAATCGAGTTCATCATGGTAAGTCCATCGATACTTCGGCTCATTTGACGAGGGACAATATTAATGACTACAGGGTGTGCTCCCTGGGTGGTGGGTTGGTGAAAACGACAACCGTGTTGAAGCTCCGTACATTTCGGCGGATCGTTGGCGTGATGAGCTACATGAAGCCGGATTCCAAAATTTCCAGTCGGCACCAGGTGAAGCAGAGATTTACATGACATCTATTCTGGCATCTTTTCCCTCGCGATCGCACAGCGAAAAGACCACTGTAAATGTTCTGTACGATTCGCAGCCATCCCCTTGGGAAGTTCAAGTTGCCCAAAGGATCGAGGCTTTGGGCTTCCCCATTCGTTGGTGCACGCTTTCCGAGTCACCTCCTGCCAACGAAGATGTCATTTCTTTCCTCGACATTGAAAGCCCGTATCTGTATTCCCTTACAGATACCCAACTCGTCCAGCTTCAACAGTATCTTTCATCATGCACATCCACCCGTGTACTTTGGGTGACCCGCAGCTCCCAGATGCGTTGTCCAGATCCCCGTTATGGATTGACTCTGGGATTTGCACGGACAATGCGTATGGAATACGAAATCGACTTCGATACAGTCGAGGTGGACGATTTTGATCCAATCTCACAGGATGTCATTGTTGAGACCTATGTGAAGTTTCAACAGCAGCGGTTCCGAACGGATGAAACAGCGGATCATGAGTATGCCGTCCAGGATGGGGTGGTTCATATCCCTCGGTACTATTGGAGCAATTTGTCTGAAAATCTACTGGAAGACCCTTCTCCGGAAGCTCCGAAGACCCTCACAGTCGAGCAGCCTGGGATTCTGGACTCTTTAAAGTGGGTCGACAAGGATTCGAGCGATATAGGAGAGGATGAGGTGGAGATTGATGTGAAATTCGTGGGCCTCAACTTCCGCGTAAGATATTCCCTCACCATTATCTTAAGTATCAGAAGGTTGATCATATGAGCAGGACTTGATGGTGAGCCTGGGAATGTTGCAAGGCAAGACCGATATTGGACTAGAGGGCAGTGGTATGGTTAGACGAGTCGGAAGTGGCATTACACATCTCCACGAAGGAGATCGAGTGGTATTCCTTACATCGCCGGCTTTCAGGACTCGTGTTGTCGTTCCAGGAGCTCTAGTCGTGGCGATACCTGCTGAGCTCCAGTTGGATCAAGCAGCTACCATCGGATGTGCATATACTACCGCAGCGTACTGTCTGCTAAATGTGGGACGACTACAAAAGGATCAGGTATCATCTTTCCCGTTTCAGCGGTATTCATCTAGGGAAAATTACTGACCTTCTAATAGTCCGTGTTGATTCACTCTGCCGCGGGCGGAGTAGGCATCGCATCCATCATGCTCTGCCAGATGCTCGGTGTACAGGTGAGTACCAATGAAGTCACTATTATTAGCATAATATTTACACGTTCTAATTCAAACAGATTTATGCCACGGTCGGCAATCCAGAAAAGGCGCAGTATCTGACAGAAACTTTTGGAATTCGGAAAGAGCACATTTTTGATTCAAGGAGTACTTCCTTTGCGCCGAATCTGCTAAAAAGAACCCGAGGCCGAGGTGTTGATCTAGTGCTCAATTCATTAGCAGGAGATCTCTTGCTCGCATCATGGGAATGTGTTGCTGAAGGAGGCATGATGGTTGAAATTGGCAAACGCGATTTGATGGGTCACGCTATGTTGCCCATGGATCGGTTCCTTGCCAATAGATCCTTTGTGGGGGTAGACATTCTTTCCCTTACCAAATCACGGCCCCAGGTTGTGCTAGAGTGAGTTGAGCCATCATCGGCTTTTCAGAAAATCGGGTATTGACTAACATGGGTGAACAGATGTTTGAAAACAGTTTCGACCCTTTTGGCCGACAATTCCATTAAGCCTATTCAACCTATGCGTATCTTTGCAGCGAGTCAAGTCACCGAGGCATTCAAGTATATGCAAGAAGGCAAACACATGGGAAAGATTGTTGTCGAGATGCCGGATGCTGCCAACAAACTTCCCATGTCCAAGATCCCAGGGCATATCTCCTTCTGCCATGACAGTGCCTATCTGCTCGTTGGTGGTTTGGGCGGCTTGGGTCGTGCAGTAGCGCAATGGATGGTTGAAAATGGTGCTAAATACCTGGTCTTTCTCTCACGAAGTGCAGGTGATGGGGAGGATGACGCAAAATTTGTCTACGATCTAGAGCTCCAAGGATGCCATTCCCTCTTAATCCAAGGAGATGTTGCCAAGCTGGCAGATGTCAAAAGAGCGGCTGCTGCGAGCATCAAGCCGGTGAAGGGTGTCATCCACATGGCAATGCTCATGAAGGTAGGCCACTACTCCTTATTTCCAGACGTATCAGAGTGCGGGGCTGATCTAGAATACTCTTCAGGACTGTCCTTTCTTTAGCATGGCGCACGAGCAGTGGACGGGAGCATTACGTCCAAAAGTGCAAGGAGTTTGGAACCTGCACGAAACCTTTTTTTCTCACAGTCTCGACTTCTTCCTCATGTTCAGCTCAGTTGCAGCAGCCGCTGGCTCGGCTGGGCAAGCAAATTATACGGCGGCCAATACCTTCCTTGGTGCCTTCGCACGTTATCGCCAGTCTTTGGGCCTGACAGCATCCGTTCTCGATGTGGGTTGGATCACCGATGTCGGTTATGTTAGCCAGCGTCCCGAGCTCTTGGACATGATGCGGTCTAAAGGTTTCATTCCACTACGAGAGACCCATCTTTTGGCTGGCATCCAACTGCTCCTTTCTCCGCCAGGAATGGTCGATGGGGTGCCGTCCAAATTCAGAGATGAACACCATATATCGGTCGGGTTGGGTCTCCTATGGACACAGGCGTCCAGTGATGTACGATGCAAAGACGCTCGGTATCGTCAGGACCCAGCATCAAGATCTACACGCCCTGAACCACGTGCTTCGGGTGACAGCTCTATCAAAGGTCTTCTTCAGGCCGTGGAGGAGAATCCCCAGATCTTGAGACTTGCTCCCACCGTTGATCTTCTCACGAAGGAAATGGCGCTGTTGATGGGTCCGTATTCGGCCGCCGTGAAAAATGAAGATTGGGCTGCTATGGCTGAAATCACGGTAGACTCGCTCGTAGCTGTGGAAGCTCGGGCATGGTTGAAGCGCAACCTTGAGGTGGATCTCGGTCTTGTCGATATTGCAACGGCAGGTACCGTTCACGGCGTGGTCACTCTCACCATGGCTGCACTGAGCCTGAAATACGCCGTCAAGCAGTGATACTACGGAGTAGTAAGAGTCGATTTGATGTCATGGATCTCTTACGTCCTTCTATGCAACAATTTGTCTGATCAAGATAGCAAAATTATTATATCATTTCCATGATTAGCACAGTATAATTTTCTCATATAGACTACTCATCAGGCTGTACACATAGATTAATTTTTGACACTGCATCTTGAAAGGTTGTAGGACATACGGAACGATCAGTGGCCAGAATCTTCCAGAATGAAGACCTGTAGACCCTTCAAGATATCATCCGCATGGGAAGAGTGAAGATGACTTCCATGATAAAGATCAGTCGCATCTTTCCCAAGTGACTGTTGAATCAGGTCACGACCGCCCGGGTGATCGTCCATAAAGTCCGCAACATCATATATAACTCCGCTGATGCATGTGAGGTTATTTGCATCATCAGATCGCTTTCTAAAGTCTTCCCAGCTTATTTGGGGTAGCTTTGACAAGGCCTGGATATCCTCATGGCTGTCTCTCTGTCGCTCCGTTCTGCCCTTTAACTGGTTGCTTCGAGCACGTTCAATCTCAAATGGACTGGCAATATTTAGATCATTTGCCCACCCTAGTCTTCCCCATAGCCAGATAATCCATCGCGAAAAATCGGGTTCATTCCAATTGACTCCATTCCTATAGTCGGCCGGAAACACGTGATGAAAGTTGTGATTTGCTTCTCCAAGTGTCAAAATAGCAAGCAGAGGGATATTCCGTGCAGTCGTACTCGCCGAGTACGGTTGTGTCCCAGCCCACGGGGCATGAGCTACTGAGTTGATCAAAAAAGTGATGTGTTGCGTGATGATAATTCGGGCCAATCCAGCGTAGAGAATACCACCTTTCCAGTCACCCCAGCCATAATGAGCTATAGCGCCAGGTAGAAGAATGCCAACCGTGATAACAATCGGCCAGTATAAGCGAGCTTGCCAAACGACAACTGGATCCTTTTTCAAGTCTGACACATCTACTGGGCCCCAGGAATTCTCATTAAGCCCAAGTAGCCAGCCGATATGAGAGAAGAGTAGACCTCTTGTGGCATTGTAGGGGTCTTGATCCGTGTCTGTATATTTATGGTGGGCTCGGTGATGTTTCACCCACCACAGAATGGGCCATTGGTTCTGGGCGGCTCCAACCACAGCAAGTGCGATTCGTATCCCTAGGCATGCTGAGAAGGATCGGTGAGCCCAAAGTCGATGATATCCTACGGTCGCGTTAGGTACAGACATTCTCAATTTTGGTGCTCTCTAGGTATAAGGGCCCACTCACCAATCGTAATGCTAAAGCCTCCTATTATACCCCAGGTGATGGCCATAATGATGGTGTTTTGCCTAGCAATGACATATGGGGCCGTGAGAAAAATGACAATTATTGGTCCCAAAAGACTGATATGAAGAAATCCGTGAAAATTTTGCTTGTACCACTCGATTTCAGCCTTCCAGGTGTGGCGTGGCACAGCACGAGACCCCAGTCGAGCGAGCTTGCCCCGTGGATTTGACATTGTAGGAAACTGGCTCTGCAAGATAGCCGTTGCATTTGGATGAAGCCTCGAGTGGAGGTTGTTGGTTATATTTTGTGTGTTCGTCTCACCAGAGTTTTTTGCTTTGCTTTTTCTACTCACCCCCTTACATTGAGGCATGCACTTGATACATCAAGTGGAATAAACAAAGGATAATCAGCCACCAACCGGCAACTGGACACAAGAACTACTTGATCGGCTAGCCTCTAAATGATGCTTGACGAGTAGACATCTCCATAAAATCTATCAAAAGTGCACCGAGACCAGTAACCGGGCGGGTCGCAATTGGTTAAATGGAGAACCCATGTTCTTTCCACCCTGCAAACGCCATAGCCGTCACTAGCTTGCGTTGGAAGACGACCTTGTCCTCCTGCCATTGCCAAGGGAAAATGGTCATGAATACAGCATCAACCATCCAACTAGCATGACTTGAGAGAAAATAAGACAAAGAACCACGTCTCCAACACACAGTTTAGGGATCGTATCAATAGTGAGCACTAACCACATCATAGCTCTTGGCGGGGCTATGGCCGATCTCTCCTTCGGCTTTCATATGAAACAGCTGAAACCGGCTAACCGAGGCTCTCCAAGGGAACATCTGGAACTCCCCCAGATTTCCGTAAACCTTGAAGCTCTACAGCCCCGCAGAATCACAATCAAAGATGGATCGACTGGATTTATTATAGTTCTGAATTCAGATATCGCCCAGACTTGAACAAAATTTATGACGCTTAACAGCTATAAAGCCAGGAATTAAATCCAAACCTAAGCGGCACAAGTTAACTAACTCGTTCTAGCGTAGTTTTCTAAGAGTGTCATCCCCAAGCGGAGGGGTTATAAGCACCTCGCAAGAATGTCTCGAAGCAGCCACGCCCGAACCTCCACAACTCTCCGCAAAACGCAAATCATAACGCTGTCATAGGTCACCTCGTTCCCATTTCCTGGGGAACCGGGCCCATTATGCTCCCGATTGATAACCCACTGCATCCAGAATGGACCACTCACACGTCTCCTGGAGGCACCATTAACCGTGCATATGTCGGCTGGAGTGGAGTGACGCCCTGGGTTCTAGCTTCCCGGACGTTATGCTGTACCTTTGTCCATTCACAAAGGACTGGGCTGAGATCATCATCTCACTGTTAGATCATCTTGCGAGGAGTCCCACCGACGGAATTACCGTGGACGGCTCCCAGTTTCCTCGCTAGCGTGCCATGTGCAAATGGAATTCGGCATGGACCCGTAGCCCCCGACCGCACCCCACGTTGGCATATTAAAAGACAAATATATCCTGCTGACCCTGGTTTCGAAGAATCTGGCCTCCTTTGAGACTTGATTATCGAGTAACTGGCCATCATGATTGAAGAAATCGTGGGCGATTTGACGCCTACCAGGGCAGCACTGTGGTTCCTGGGGTTATTCACGGCTTTCTGTGTGTTTCGCAAATTCCAAGCCTCTGCGCAGATCGCTCGCCTGGGTGCTCGTGCTCCCAAGGTCAAATTTCATCTCCCATATGGTACGATTCGAATCCAGCCTTCTAGCATGCGTGTTAGACAAAAGAAAATGGTGGGACTCAAGCTAACGAATCTGCAGCTCTCGACTTCATCTACAAGGGCCAGGTGGCCAACCTCAAGCACGAGGATATCGAATTCTGGGATGACACCATCATGGCGGCCAGCGGGCGCAAAAATTGCAAGACTGCTGAGGTCGATGCTGGCATCTCCACGCGCGTCGTTCTGACCAAGGACCCCGAAAATATCAAAGCGCTGCTCACCGGCCAGTTTGCAGATTATGGCAAAGGCGAGCCGTTCCACCGTGAGTGGAAAGAGTTCCTCGGCGATAGCATCTTCGCGACGGACGGCGAGCTATGGTCTCGCTCGCGCCAACTTATTCGACCTATGTTCGCGCGTGAGCGACTTGTTGATACCGAAATCTTTGAGAAGCATGTGCAGAAGCTCATCCCCCTTCTCGGCGGTCACCCTAACGGCAGCAAAGTCGTCGATGTCGGCTCTCTGTTCTTCCGGTATACCCTCGACGCAGCGACCGACTACCTCCTCGGTCAGGGAACCGATAGTCTCGAGAATCCAGCTACACGGTTCGCCGAAGCATTTAGATACGTGCAACAACGACAAGCGGAGCTTTTCCGATTCGGGTAAGCAACATCTCCCCGATCTGGTGTAATGCCCAGCATCAAATCCCTATTAGAAGGAGCAAAAAGCTAATCTGTGATTCTGTGTAACCAAAACAGCGTCTTTAACTTTGCCATGTCACGCACCGAGTTCCGCCGTAACCTCAAAATCATGGATGGCTTCTTGCAGCCCTATATCGAGACTGTGCTGGCCATGTCCCTGGACGAATTAGACCAAAAGCTCTCCAAACGTGAAACCTTCCTCCACGCCTTAGCCCGCTTCACCCGCGATCCTAAGGTCCTCCGCGACCAACTCGTCGCCGTCCTCCTCGCCGGTCGCGACACCACCGCCGGCACTCTCTCCTTCTGCCTCTTCGAACTAGCGCGTCACCCAGAAGTCGTCGCCAAGCTACGCACCGAGATCCGCGACCGTCTCGGCGTCGGCGCTGACGCCCAGAAACCTACTTACGATGATCTCAAGACGATGAAGTATCTCAACGCCGTGATCAACGAGACAATGCGCTTCTACCCAGTAGTCCCCTTCAACGTGCGCTATTCACTAAAGGATACCACCCTCCCCCGCGGCGGTGGTCCAGACGGACAGTCCCCCGTCGGCGTGCGCGCCAACTCCCGCGTTATCTACTCAACACTCCTCATGCAGCGTGATCCGGATCTGTACGATGGACCGGAATCCAAGAATTACTTCGACCCCGGCCGGTGGATTCCCGAACGTTGGGTTGAAGGGTGGCAGCCACGGCCGTGGCATTTTATTCCATTTAATGGCGGCCCGCGCATTTGTATTGGGCAGCAGTTTGCGACTATCGAGATGGGATATACGATTATTCGGATTTTGCAGGCTTATGAGAAGATTGTTGCGCTGCCGGTTAGTGGAGAGGATTCTGTTAAGGATCCCGTGTTGAGGTTTGAGGTTACGCTTAGCCCTGGAGCAGAGTTTAACTGTGTTTTTGTTAAGGAGGGGGAGGAGGCTGTCAAGGCTGGTATTTGAAGAGGTGCTATGTGGTATAGGGTATATGGTATATGGTATTTTGTGAATATGGCGTGGCTGGGATTGGGTTCCATCGCACAATCTCCTCTCTGCTTTGCGTGGCTTGACTCTGGAGTTGAGCTAGCACTGATTGCGATGTATACGAGAGACGACTTGCAATGTCTTAGCTCAAAACAAATTGAATCATCATTCTGTCATAATGGTACAGCTAATAGATCCAACTAAACTGGCTCAACCCTCGACAGGCAAGCTCTAGCTATCTAAACGCCAAAAAAGATCTACCGCCAACTGGAGCCTCAAGTACTTGCTTGAACGTTCATATCCATACCATCTCCAAGTAAATTCCCCAACCTAGAAATAACTCAACTTCAATTTTCTCAACTTCTTCAACTTCTGCAAAATCTCCACCTTTCTCAACTCCAAAAACAGATCCTCCTCATCCGCCTCGTCCAAATCCCCCGAAACACTAATCAACGGCGTCTTCGCCGGTGAAAAGTCCCAATCCCGATATCTATCTCCGTCCCCATTCGCAGCCGTTCTCGTCTTCACTTTCAGTGTCGTGTTCAGACCACCACTCGTCACTAGTTCCGAGACCAGGGGCGAAGTATTCTGTCGCGGTGCAGTCTTGGGAATACCCATACCCCGATTCTCGCTCGGCGCTGTATGGATCCCGTTACTTGTGGTCTTGGCCGTGTTGTTATGTTGAGTCTCGTGCGAGGTGGACTTATTCTCGCCATCCAGTTTTCGATCTCCATCTTTGTCCTGGGAATCATCCGAGCCAATCCAGCCCCGGCTCATACGCACTGCTTTCTCCCATTCACCAAACTTGTCGGCGCTTTCTTGGCGGGTGATTTGGGGCTCGAAGACGGCGCCGCCGGCACGATTGATGTCGCGCAGTTCCGCAAAGTTGCGCCACATGCCTACCGCCAGGCCAGCGGCGATGGCAGCACCCAATGCGGTGGTTTCGCGCATTTTGGGACGGTATACTGGGATAGAGATGAGGTCTGCTTGGGTCTGGTTGTGAAGTGGTTAGGCCCGGTTTGCATCGTGGTATGTTATGCGTCAGTCTTGGGGATTCTTACCTGCATTGCTAGATCTGAGTTGCTCATTCCTCCATCCACTGCGAGTTCAGAAAGGGCTTTGCCGCTGTCCTTTTCCATTGCGTCGAGGATGGCTTTTGTCTGGAAACAAGTTGCTTCGAGGGTTGCGCGGGCAATGTGACCTTTTTGAGTGTACTGGGTGATTCCAACTGCCCAGAGAAAAGACAAAAGTCAGACATCACGAACAGATCGAAGACATGACTGGGAGATCATCGGGGCCATATCCGAGACTTACAGATTGTCCCCTTGGCATCGTCGATCCAATAGGGTGCAAACAAGCCACTAAACGCAGTCACAAACACACAGCCCCCGTTATCCTCCACCGTCAATGCCAAATCATTCACCTCCTTCGAATCCTGGAAAAACGACAAATTATTCTGCAGGAATTTCACGCCAGAGCCGGCTACCGCAATACTGCCTTCCAGCGCATAGACAGGCTTCCCGCCAAAATCATACGCTACCGTCGCTAGTAGCCCATGTTTTGAAATAACTGGCTTTTCGCCAACATTATACAGCAGGAAGCAGCCCGTGCCGTATGTATTCTTCGCCATTCCCGGCGAGAACCCCTTCTGTCCCACCAGCGCGGACGACTGATCACCTAGACATCCCATGATGGGCACCTGGGCAAGAACACCGCTCGCAATTACCCCATACGCCTCGGGGTCACTCGAGGGGACAATCCTCGGCAAATGAATCTTCCCCTTAATACCGAAAAAGTCCAGCAGGGCATCGTCATACTGCAAGCTCTCCAGATTAACAAACATAGTCCTTGAAGCGTTTGTCGAATCCGAGACAAACACGTTAGCAGCAGCGCCGCCATTCAAACGGTACACCAGCCAAGCATCGACAGTTCCAAACGCCAACGTCCCGCGGTCAAAAGCATCTTTCACCTTGGGCACGTGCGCGAGCATCCATAGCAGTTTTGTCGCGGAAGAATATGTTGATAGCGGGAGGCCGCAGAGGGATTGGAGGTGGGAGGCACCGGGTCGGGCTTTTAGTTCGGAGACGATGGCTTGGGAGCGGGTGTCTGTCCATACAATGGCGTTGTGGAGGGGTTCGCCCGTCTCGTGGTCCCAGACGACTGTCGTTTCGCGTTGGTTGGTTATTCCCACGCAGGCGATGCTGGTGCGGTCGTGGCCTTGGCTTTCGAAGGATTGGACGGCGCCGGCGATGCAGGTTTCCACGGACGAGACGAGTTCGAGGGGGTCATGTTCGTGCCAGCTGGATTTGGAAAGTTGTTAGCCTTGTATTCCTTGGGGATTTTTTTATCTGTGTCTTTCATGTTGTCTCTTTGCTTGTTATCTACGGGTTACTTACCCAGGATGGGGGTAGATCTGGCTAAATTCCACCTGATGCGATGCGACGGGTTCACCATCACGGTTAAAGATCAGAAACCGGGTGCTGGTCGTCCCCTGATCGATCGAGCCGACGAACATCTCGGAGGGCTGCATGGTTTTTAAAAAAGTAAATAGGCGTGGGGGTAGAAGGTATTGGGGAAAGGGTCTACTAAGGACGCAACGCGACGAAACGAAAACGCTCTATGCAGTTATGGGGTATCAACAAAAGACATGAACGACATCGCTCTCTCGGTTATCAAGGAAAAAAAAAAAAGAAGGCTCGGTATCTCTCTTAAATACCATAGCCAGAGCCCTGTTGTGACACCAAAAGTTCCCGTGCGCGCGGGGTCTCGAGCTGTTGGGAGGGTTCAAGAGGTGACAAGACTGCGCACAGATTGGTGGGATTATTGGAGTTCTCCAGGACATGTTAGCCAGGGGGTGGGGGGCTAATCCAAGAGATTGGTCCGAGGCTGGAAATAGGCTTGAGCGTCTTTAGTTTCGTTGATTAGGACTACAGGATAATATTTTTTTGTTAGTAACAGACTTACAGTCTATTGTTTAGGAGGTCGGGGCTCCACGCTCCGAGTACGAGACTCGACGTTGCGATGTTTCCAACGTGCTGCTTCATGCTTCCTGCTTCCTGCTGGTCGTGCATATAGTAAGTGCATCCAGGATCTAAATCAGACCGTTGCTAATCTAACATTTTAACCAGGCAGAACTCGATAGGAGTGCTGGACTGTACAGGAGATCGCCTGTACATGAACACTCCACTCCGACGATCTTTCCGGGGGAACAAACCCACTCGATAAAGAACACCTGGAGAACGAGAATTCGAAGAACACAATACTCCAGAGATAATAAACAATGGCCATTATGATCTGCATACTCAGCGACAATTCTCAGCCCATTCAACCCACGAGATTATCCAGCACAAAGCAGAAAGCCCGACAAGACCAGTTCCGGAGGAATTGTGGGGGCAAGACGAATCGCCCCGCCGTGGAGAAAAAAGAATGTCACGACTCCACTCTTGCAGAATATGATGCCTGTCAAGTTGTCAACTTGCAGCAAGAGTATGACCATCACCGACATCGCTATCTACCATCCACCATCAAGTCAACCCCGTCCAAACCGCAACCCCGTCAGAATCCCAATCTGACTGGCACGCCCTCCCCTTGTCTACGCTTGGCCAGTTCTTGGCCTACCAGTCTCGTTTCTGTCGGTGAGATGAGTACTGCGGCGATAACCGACGAATCCGATGGTCGGATTTTTCTCGTGGAGGACAAGAGTGGAGGAAGACACTTTCCACTTCGACTTTTGCCTCTCACGGATGATAAATCATCTCCTGGTTTTCTGGGGTCTATCCTGTTTATCGCGATGCGACGATACATGGGTGCAAAGAGCCACAAAAGGATGGGATGTTGAGTAAGTGGTCACACGAGCAAGGAATTGGGTAATAGGGTGTCATCTTCCCTCCAAGTCCCAAGGCTTCAACATCCAGAGAATAAAGATCATGGAAAATGAACGTGAAAATACTACTTGTCAGACTGCACCTCGACATGAGCATATCCATTTCAATTCCAGTGGTTTGGAAGGAAACGGGTATGTTGAAAGGCGGACGGCCAAGTCCAGCCTCCCCTGGCTGGTCGGTACAGGAGACGGTGAAAAAAAAAAAAAAAAGAACATCGCCCGTCTACTTTCCAACTACCTCTTCCTCGCTCACAATTGCAAAAGCTTCGAGTTCGCAGGTACAGTTCGAACTTCTAGAAATTGCAATGATACCTGCGTGTCTCTTCACGAGTCCGTCGCTTTGCCGATGGTAACAGAAGCAATGGAAGCTTCTCCGTGCAACCTTCAACTTCCCAATCTCTTTCCGATGCCCAGATGTGTCATTACCAGCCCAAGACTCTATCCCCGTCGCAGAGCCATTGGGAATGACGCGCAGTTTCTTGGTGTCACCAGCCCGCTTATTCCACCGCAATTGCGGCGTGTATCTGTTCATTGCACCCCCCTGCCAATGGCATATTGGCAAAAGGGACACAATTACTACCGTAATTGTTACTCGTTACTCTTTCCTATTGTACTCTTGGCTTCGGCAATCAGAAATGGGCCGGTGGTTCCCGATCAAACGGCCCTCCATACAAACGCGGACCATTGGGCTTGAAGAAATGTGTGCTGTCAGAAAACTATACCCCCCATTCTTTCTTGAGAGAGTGACATGTTCTTTTCGTTCCGCTCTTTTGGGCAGCAGCGAAAAGAGGGGAGAGAAGAGAAAAGGGCAGCAATATCCCCATCTGTGGAGATTTTCTGGAGAATGGAATTGTATTCAAGTATCAAAGCCCCAACCAAAGCCCCCGAGTCTGTGTCTGTCCTTGCCCTCATCCTAGTCTGAACGGCTCTGTACCCTGGCACTATTCTATCACTCCGGCCTTCCCTGTACGCTCACGCAGGCTTGGAGAGAAGAAAAAGAAAAAAGTGAGAAACACGCTTCCTCCGAGGCCCCTCCATCCTCCAATAAAGCCGATTTGGCAGGATCCTGCCGGCAAAGTTTGAGGCCAAGGTGTTACACGGCTTAGACCGGTGCTCGGTGATATATCGTTGGATGACCGCGCTGTTGAAGAGGATTGTCGCTGAATTTATCCTGCTGACGAGTCATTGCTTCACACTACCCTATTTATCTGCCGGAAAGACTGTCGACTTTATATCTCCATTGGCATTGAGCGTGAATATCTGGACGGTTTCCACGACTGCAAATACCTTACAGTCCATGTCGACTACTCACAAGGAGATAGGGTCATTGGGGAGTCAAGATAGTGGGTGTACCTCTCTGTACCTGGGAAGTAAGCACGATCCATCTATCCACGACGTGTCTTCCGGACTCGAAAGTATACCCGGTGAACCATCATTACTCTTGTACAAGATCCGCGCATACGGACGGGATGCCTTCTCCGAGTTCTTCGGCACAATGATCCTGATACTCTTCGGCGACGGGGTCGTCGCCCAGGTTCTCCTCAGCCATGGACAGAAGGGTGACTACCAGTCCATCTCCTGGGGTTGGGGGTGAGTATCGCCCACTACTGCAACATATCAAACCTCTCCTCACTCTAATGACACCTCATTCCCAGACTGGGCGTCATGCTAGGCGTATACGTCAGCGGCTCCTCGGGAGCCCACATCAATCCCGCCGTAACATTCGCGAACTGCATCTACCGCAGCTTCCCCTGGCGCAAATTCCCCATCTACATGCTCGCCCAACTTCTCGGTGCAATATGCGGCGCGGCAATCATCTACGGAAACTACAAAGCCGCCATCAACGTCTACGAGGGTGGTCCGCACAGTCGCACCGTGCCGGGTTACTCGACAACCGCGACGGCGGGCATCTTTTGCACATACCCGGCTGAATTTATGACCAAGACTGGCCAGTTTTTCTCGGAGTTCTTGGCTAGTGCGGTGCTTATGTTTATGATCTTTGCGTTGAAGGATGATGGTAATTTGGGCGCGGGGAAGTTAACGCCGCTCGCGCTGTTTTTTGTGATTTTTGGTATTGGCGCTTGTTTTGGGTGGGAGACTGGGTATGCGATCAATCTGGCAAGGGACTTTGGACCGCGACTCGCGTCTTATATGTTGGGGTATGGGCATGAGGTGTGGTCTGCGGGCAATTATTACTTTTGGGTATGTGATGACCTCCAGTCTTGTTTTCTTAAATTCCTTGAGGTCAGCTTTTCTTACGCAAGCTTTGTCCAATAGGTTCCCATGGTTGCTCCCTTCTTGGGCTGTACTTTCGGCGGGTGGATCTATGATGTCTTCTTGTATACTGGACTAGACAGTCCAGTCAACACGCCTTGGTTGGGTATTAAGCGGCTGTTGCGACCCAGGCGCGGTCAACAAGTTGCCCTGCCTAGTCCTGTCTGACGCTGTAACGAGGTTATGATCTATGAAAAGCAAAGATGAAGTCACAATCATGTAGTTTGATAGCACAAAATTTACTTTTCTCAGAACAAGTCTCACGTTAAACCTGAGCAGGACTCAATTGCGAAACAGCAACTTCCAATCGGACCATGATTTGTACACTATAGCATCGACCTCGCAGAACGTTCTGGGTTTTCCAGTCCCAGAAAACTAGAAATAAACTCCATCTAGTCCCAATAGACATGGTTACCTCGATGACATCGTGTCAGGGACCACAAAAATTCAGACCCAAACCACCACCCGCATAAACCTACGGCGTCTATCTGCAGTCACGTGCGCATGCATCCCTCCAATTTCCGAGGCACGAAAGAAGGAAGGAAGAACTACCAAATACTCCAACTTCATCCATGCCTATAATGTATTTCATGCGTCGCGCCTAATCCTCTTTCTGCCAAGGCTGCACGCACTCGCATTCTAGTGTCGTGCTGACTTGTTGTTCGGGCTGCATGGCTCTGCCAGGTCGAATGGATAAGCATGGCATTGTGTGTGATGCGTGCTGCGTTCTGCAAGACTTTGATGACCACATGACGTGAGTGATGTTTGCTAGGTGCAGGAGTGTAGTCGATAGCAGGCGTTCTTATTGCAGGGTTAGGGCTTTGGCTCCAGACTCTCCGAGTTAAACAATCCACTAATTCAAGTGGTCTTGATTACTTTCATTTACCATAGAAACAAGAGTTGGGGTCCATCAATCAAGGTTATGTCGCCCCCGGTGGGATAACTTGATATTCCTTGCCCTCGAGCTGGAGGTTTGACCCTCTTAACTCTCCTATAAAAGCCATAATCTTTCTTCGGCAATAACGCCAATAGAATTGAACAGACGTAAAATACATGAATTCTCACCAAGTTCATCAATCCATACCAAACCGAATCTCCCATATTCCAAATCTCCACTCACAACATCCGATCCGACGGCCCAGGCTTCCTCCCCACTACAATAGCCGGCTGATTGATATTATCATGCTCAAACCTACAACCAAGAATGAACATTACTCAATTAGCCACACTTCATGATCCCTTCCTATCTCCAAAGCACATCATCATAAACTTAGATACCTAACATAAGAGAGAGTACTCACCCTAATACAGCTACACCCCCCGGCTCAAAAATCAACCTCATCATCCCCGTATCCAACGGCAAACCAACCCACCGAATCGCCATCGCAGCCAGAATATGTCCATGGGCTACACAAACGATATCCTGCGCATGCTGGCTGCGATGAGAAATAATCTGGCCGCCGGGCCAGGTAGCCGAGTTCCCCTCGATAACGGATTTGATTTCGGCGATGAGTTCGTCTAGACGGTCGCTGACTTGTTGGGGGGATCTAAGGCACAATGTTAGCCATGGATTAGTTTGGAATAGCCTGGCCATAACCCTCACGCAAAGCCAAACAAAGGTATACACATACTCTCCACCAGGACACCCCTCCCTCCAAATATCCCAAGTTGGATCCCCAAACTGCTTCATCCGCGCCTCCTTAATCCCATGCAACGTCAACCCCTCGTAATCCCCATAATCCCACTCTTCTAACCACTTGGTTAAATGGATATACGCATCCGCCGTCTCCCCCTTAATCTGCGACTCGGTCTTGAATGTCTTCCCCGTCTCGCGGTCCAAGAAATGTAGGTGATTGTGGATTCCTAGTTTAAGGATTTCAGCTGTGCGGCGGGCGTTGCTTCGTGGGGAGCAGTAGCTGTGATAGATGATTAGATTAGTACTGAATTGGATTGAATGTTCTCCTCGTTTGGTCTGGGTATCTTCTTGTGGATTGTGTGAACGTGTTTGGAAGAGGGGAGGGATTTGCCTTGCAATGATCGTACTGACATTTTGGCTACACCCGTTGGATCAATCATTTCGTTTTCGGCGACGAGACGCTCACGGATTAATTCGACGTCTCGTTCACCCATTGTAGATAGGGGGACGTCGGTTCGACTGGCGAATTTTCCCCCGGTGATCCAATCTGTCTCGCCGTGGCGGACGAGGAAGATGCGAGCAGAGGTCGTGGGCATACTCATGATAATAATACAACGGGCTAAACTGTGAGGCTTTCCAAGATTGGCCTGGAAGGTGACGGGTTGTGGAGGGCCAGTTCAATCGCCAATGTTCGCTATTCTGTGGCGATTCGGATTGTTATTACCCAACCACCTAATGTTGAGGTCAGTGTTCCATGGCCACGGAACATGGTTCCTGCCCGTAGGCCGACGAGTGAGTCTAGTCTACAGTTTGAACAAGGTAAATTGCGTGGTCAACAGCCCGATCGAGATTTGCATCTTCGCATCAAGCCATATAATTTATAAACCATCTATGAACACCAAGGGTAATACATGAAAACGGGCGAAGACAATCGCATCGCAGGGCAAAACATTCATCACCTCTTTGCTATAAACATTCGAAACGATAATCATAAACAGGAAAAGAAAAAGCTCAAAGGGTCATAAGCGCCAATATGCAGCATCCCTCTATCATGATGAGCCATAAAAACAAATCATTGTGCATGCAGCGACATGGTCCGCTGAAGGTCGGGTAAAATGTATGTCGTTAACGCCGTGTCGAGTTCATCCCATCATCAATAATAATAATACAATTCGACAATGCCAATCAAAACGCAAAAAGTCTCTTTTCAAAGCAAAGCAAAGATGCCACCGAGCAGCACACAGACGATGCTCATAGTCAGCGCGGCTGGACCCTGGTACAGGCTGATCCCTCCGCCAACCGAAGGGGCAATGGTAGGAGAAGAAGTAGCCTTGGCTGAGGACACAAGGGTCGTCGCGGAGTCGGTTTCCCAATATTCAGTGTGTCGGTGTTGGGTCTTGGTGGTACTCGTCGAGGTAGTCGTGGCGGGTCGTGTCACACTCTTCGACGGTGTTTCAAGCCCAGAGCGGGAAGAGACAACCGACGAGGAAGCCAAGGGCACTGATGTAGATCGGAAGGTAGACTGCGAGAAAAGAGGATCGGTCTTAGTGATTGATACAAAGGGGGTGCTGGTAGGTGCAAGGCAGTGCTCACTCACTGAACCCCCACCGGGCGGTTGAATCTGCCCGGAGCCAGATTCCCAGCCACTGGGGAGGCCAGTGGACGCCGTCGGCGAGCCGGTGGCAACCCAGGGCCAGACATCGGGGGTAACAAAACTGGAGGTTTCTCGGTGGGTTCCACTCCAGGGAACGGGGACACTGTCCACCGTTGCAGTAATAAGGGGTGCCGACTGGGTGGAAGTAGGCTCATCGGCACTGTTGCCATTGACCTTGCCTCCATTGGCAACGATAGACTCCCAGGAGCCCGACTGATCGCCATAGCTGTACGAGTTTCCAGTCGAGTAATCGGTCACGGTCATCGACTTGAGGTACATTGTGAAGGGACCCTTGCTGTAGTCGGTCAAACCGCCAGCCCAGTCTAAAAAGAAATGTTAGGACTACAGATCAACCATATCGAAGGCATATCCACTCACCAATTGTTCCCTGAGCATTGTCCGAGTCACCGCCAGCCCACACACCGACCTTGATCATCATCGGAGTCTGCGGGTACTGGTTGGTGTCGGCGGTGGAAGGCGTGAGGACACGGACAGTCTCGCCGTCGATAGCCCACACAATCTGAGAGCTCGTCCAGTCGACCGAGTAGGTGTGGAATTCGTCATGGTTGCCATTGTTGGCATGGAAAGCACCACGGTTGTAGCTGCTGGTGTCTCCCTTGCCGAAGTAGTTTGTCTGAACCTGACCATTGTTGCCACCCAGCCACTCCCAATCGATTTCGTCCAAGTCGTCGGATTGCAGCACGGCACTGCTGACAATACCCGTTCCGGATGCCGCCTTGATGGTGAACTCGACCTTGCCGAACATGATGTACCAGCCCGACTGGATCAAGGGACCATCGCCTTTCTTGGAAATTGTAAATGTGGCGCCGTTGGTGCTATCGTAGGTGACGGCTCCCGAAGCAGCGAACTGGGAAGATGAGCCGGAGGTAAAGTCGTATGTCTGGTCGGCCATTCCAAGAGCAGTATCTGCAGGGCAAGCTGTGTAGATAGTTAGCTTTGAAGAAAGGTTCGTCTCGGTCGACTCACTCTTTTTGAGCGGGTTACAGTCTGTGTACGTCTGGGCTGTCACCAGGGCAGACGAGCAGAGCAAGCCCAGGGCTGTTCCCAGAGCCAGCTTCATGGTGGGCGATGTTGTTGTGGAGTTCAGGCGTGTAGTGGTAGAGAGTATCAATAAATAAACCAGTGTTCAGCTAAGCGGGATGCGTGAGAAGAGAAACGGGATGGGATAGCTTGGAGAGAGGATGAAGAAGGGAGAAAAAGGCTAGTTGAAGGAAATGACAACAATTGAAATTATTTCCGAGTAAGTACGATCTTTGTTGTCCTCCAGGATCTGGGCAACTGCCAGCCACCTTCATTTTGGGCTCGTCAACTTGCAACTGCCCAGTTGCGACTTTCCTTCCAATCACTTTCTTTGGGCGCCGATCCGTGGGTCCCGAGCTGTCATGGATCCAATCAGGATTGACCTGCGCCACGTTATGCGGCTGATGTTTGACCCTGACTGATCGAGAGGACTGAATCTTCGCATCTCTCCTGCAACATTCTTCCGATCCGAACTAGAGCATTCCGACCTGTCCTTGTATTCATATCTTTATTTTGATCTGAATACTCTACTCTAGGCCTTGACAGTTGTCTATCGCAGGATCTAAACACTGAATTCGTCTAACACTCATCAAAAAAGTAGGGGGCAGGAAACCCCTCTGATCCAGTGTGGATCCTCCCCAGCCTCTTTGATTTATCGCCCATCATCCTCCTCCACTCACCAGCGCATCCAGAGACTCACGATCTGGGCAAACCATGAAATTGCCTTTGCCGAGTCCTTCTACATCTTGGCCTGGCTGCCTACACTAATTATAAAACAGTAGCTAAAACAACAGCTCATCGAATCGGGAAGTTGTTGATATGCAAGGACGCGTTGTCCAACCGTGGCCTTTCACCGTATACTTTCTATACTTCTTATAGTTCTTACACTGCCATACTTCCTATCCAGCCAAGAATTGCAAGACCTTGGCTAGAATTTGACTCATACAGCGAAGTCCTTTCAGAGGATTGGGTCGCAATCTTACAATTTATTCGGGCTCCATTCGAGTCGGTGTCCAGTTGTGTTGTGTTAGCAACGCCGATCCCATTTCCATGTATTGAAGATCGATCGGGAGTGCCACATGGCGAGGATCGGCTTGCAATTCATGGAGCTTAATCATTCATTTACCCATTCATCACGGGTAACCAATTCTGGATATCCTTTGAACAGACTCGATATAACCCCCGAGGCTTGGTGACACTTACTTGCTCAATGCTGACGGACCATGCAGCCTGTCCCTCGGAGGGTCGGGCAACACACCTATTGGGGGTTTGATGGACTGTACTAACCTTTGAAGCACGATGAGGACTCAGTGAATGCTTGATGGATTGTGTCGTTTTTCTCAGTCGTCTGAAAGACTAATTCCATCGATTTATGTCCACTAATTGGAGTGTGAAGCCAAAACGCCCCCGAGCTGGGATGTGTATCAAACTTCATCAGAGACCAACACGTCAAACGTCACGCTTGCCCACACATGAATACTGACATGAACCGAGCCCTTACCGTCACTCTTTCTCTGCACCCTGACTAGACCACCGATTCGCTCCGTGAGGTCACCGCCGCACCCGTTACCCTGGCCTCTCGGTGCAACCCTCACTGACGCTTCGACCGCTTCGATGTACAAGCCTACATTTATGCCAATCCCTCCGGGTACAAGCCTAGCCGGTAAGACCGTCCTGGTCACCGGAGGTAACTCGGGACTTGGGCTCGAGTTTGCACGCGAAGTGTTGACTTTGAATGCATCCCATGTGGTCATCACGGTTCGTTCCCAAGCGAAGGGCGAGGCCGCGATCGCAACTCTTCTGGCAGACCCCGAAGCCCAGGCCACCAATCATGATGCTAAGGTAGAGTACTTTGATCTTGACCTGGATGACTATGAGTCCGGATTGGAGCTGGTGCGGAAGGTCTATGCAGAAGTCCCAGAGCTTGATATTCTTCTATGCAACGCGGGCACGAACTTCTTCAACTACGAAACAAGCAAGAGTGGCCATGAGCGCCTGATGCAAGGTACCACTCTTCGAGCTATTACCGAGACGACATGAAAAGTATGGAGGGTAATCAGCTAATTCCCAGTTTAGTCATTGGCTACACTCATTTCCTCGTCGTCCTCAGTCTTCTCCCTCTGCTGCGCCGAACGGCAGCCAAGCGTGGATCGCCAACACGAGTGACTTTCTTGAGCTCATATAGCCACGTTCGACACACTCTGGAGTCCAATCCTATTGCTGCAGAGGAATCGGTCATTACCCACTTTGACAATGTCAAGAAATACGTCTCTGGCAAACGGTATCAGGATAGCAAACTCGTCATCAATGCTTTTGTCCAGCGCCTCGCTACCATTGTGCCTTCCTCCGAGGTCATTGTCAACTGCGTTTGTCCGGGCATCGTGGCGACAGATATCAATCAGAACTTGCCCCTTTGGGTCAAGCCATTTATGTGTGTCTTCTTCATGATCAAGGCTCGGCCGGTGACCGAGGGAGGACGGGTCTTGGTTCGAGCCGCCGTGGTGGTGGGTGAGGAAAGTCATGGAAAGTACCTACAGACGGGCGAGATACATAGGTGAGTGGAATTATCTGGAATTCTCAAAGGAGGGCGAGACCCAGGAAAATAATATCTGTTGACTGGCGATAGTGGTGCATCCTTCCTGGGTCAACCAGCAGGCAAGCAGTTTATCGAGAAGCTATGGGCTGAGATTGTGGCGGACATTGGCAAGATCAATCCAGAAGTGAAGGTCTATGCTTGATCCAGTCAAAATAATGAGACAAAGGACAAGCTACTGGTCTGAGCAGTGGATTCCGTAGGAGAGCTACCAGACCATCAACTCGTGGAGCATTTCTTTGATAGGGTCGGCAATAGGGTCGGCTAACGGCAGCTTTATGTCCCAAGACAAACAGTAACGGTTCCCATGCATCTCCTTTGACAAGTAAAAGCTTAGACAAACAACAGACCCATAACTAAACAACCATGCACTATGCACTATGTTCCTAGTGTCATATAGGCACCTCGAGCAGGTGGATACATCAATGGTGGCTGAACTATCGTGTCCGTGGAGCTCCAGTTTGGAAAAGGAGATGGACCCGACGGCGTCTGAGTGGACATGTGGCTACTAGAGATCAGATCCCAGATCTTGTACTCCATAGCTATCTTGCTAGAGTCTTCACTAGTCCACTAGAGCAATCACTAGCTTTCGTTGTTTGTAGATGACGCTGGGACCCATTCCAAACCAACAAAGCCCAGCCAGCAAAAAAAGGGCTTCCCGAGCTCCACCGACCTCCCGTCAAGCACGGACAGCGTCACGGACCACATCCCCCAGAAACAAGAAACCCCCCCATGTCCATGTACAGTCCTGGTCGACGAATCGTAGAATAATTAATGTTCTTAATCGATCTCCTGCGGCTGCAGATTTAGATGAATGACGGTCTCACTGTGAGACGGGACTTCCAACAAGCCAATCACGTTTTCGACTGAAGCTCTGTAGCGCAAAAGAGCCTCAACCCTCCTGCCCTTCTTCCCTCCAACCCTCTTCAGCTCTTCGTTTCATCCTCTTCTCCCCTAGTCCACCCTCCACCACCACATCCTCCATCGCAACCTACCGAGGTCGAGTCTGTCGCGAGAGAGTTTCTTCCTCGTGCGCCGCCTTACTATTACGACTCACGACTTATTCCAGGGCCCCCCCCCCGGCTCGTTTCCCCCCCCCCCTCTCTCCTCTCGTCTCCTCTCCCGTCGCACCTCGACCTGGTACCTGCTTCGTATGACGCCCACTACGATTTCCTCACCAACCCATCCACCTCATTCGTCCTAACACACAATCCCTCTCCTATCAGAGAATGTTCTAGAGGCCACAAATTCACTGTCACGACGCCCGATACATGCATACCTGCGTACCTACGTACCTGCGCCCGCACCGTCGTCTCGGCTTTTCAAACGCGCCCTACTCTCAGCATCCACATCTCAACGCCCCCGGCCGTGGATGAGATAAAATACATCGCAAATCCGTGCCCCTTGACACCTCCGATCGAATCACGAAATTCTCCCGGTCCTACGATATTCCAAGCTTGACGATTTACCTCTACATACCCGGCTTCGAGCTCCGCCCCCGTGGCGCAAGCATCCGCGACCGCAAACCCGTCACCACACGTCGCCAGCCTTCCCTTCCTCCCCCTTTTGCCCCGGCGCTTCCGATACAAGCACCGCGCCTATTAATGGTGGCCTGTACTGAGATTTCACGATATTTGGAAACGCAGCTGGCGGTGACTTGATTAAGCTCCCGACGGAGAGATTCGGCCAACTCTAGGACCAGTCATGCCCGTGCGGGAGCACGAGCAACCCGACCGACAGGGTTCAGAGAGCTCGACCAGCAGCTGGAGGTCCCAAGAAACCGTCCGGAATACAGACACTTTGCGCCCGGATCAGAATAAACCATCATCCAACGGTCGCAATGCTGACCAGTTTCCAGGAAGTTTAACTATGGACAAGTAAGGGCCCCCTCCTCTCTTTCTCTCTTCTCTCATCCCCAAGCTCTCTGCCTACAAATTACATGCTTTTTTTTCCTGCGCACCGTGCACGACGGTGGAAATCATAATGAATACAGGTGCTGAGTCGAATATCATTACAGATCTGGGCCGTCCAAAGCTCAGGGAATGGACTGGAGTTGGACATGGAGCTCCCCAGACATTTCCCCCACCGAGGAACGGAAGGGTTCTGGGTTCAGTAACCATCGCAAGGCTCTGGCAGTCCTTGGAGCTGGTGATGATCCCGCCCGATCATTTTCCACAACACCGCACCCCCTCCCATCAACCCTCCACGCCCCGGCGCCGAAGAACTCGACTCGATTGCTCCGTGGGCCACGACAGCCAACTCCGAAGGCCCGGGAACCTTCTTCAATTCCGCTTCCGAATATGAAGCTTCACCTGCGTCGGCCACGTTTCGCCCGACTACCGGGCGGACATTCGCCAGTGAACCCGCCGATATGGATTGGAACGGGGACCATCGCCGACCGTCTGCTACGAGCATGACGAGTAGCACAGGGTCCAAGTCAAGCACCGGTGCGAGGCTGTGGAAGAAGAAATCCAAGGCTTCGGCTAGTGATGAATGGCCCGTGCCTGATGAGCCCGATGAGGATGGCCACTATAACACATCCAGTAGGCGGGGTGGGCCAATTGACAAGGTCAAAGCTCGAGAAAGAGCCAACTCAGATGGTTCAGAAGCATCGCAGCGGCCTTCGCGAGCTCGAGCAGGAACCCCGGCCCCATCGAGTGAGATTACGCCGTGGTTGTATCAAAACGTTCACGACATCTCACAATATGGCGAGGCTCCTATACGACAGGTGCCAATCGGTCCTGATGGTCAGCGTCTCGCCTCCGCGGGCGGTCTTCCCCGTGGTACTGCCAGAGATACTCGACGAACGGCCAACGGACATCGTCATTCACGCAGCAAGGAGGAAAAGCCAACACTTGCTGGGGATTTGGCTGGTTATCAGTCTCGTCCCTCAGGTGGACGGGATGACTTCTCTGTCGGACTGAAGCCCTTCGGTGACCATTACCTCCATTCGTCTAGTGCTATGAGCTCACAGACCACCTTGAGTGGACGGCCTACCAGCCCGACCCCCAGTGTGCAAAGCGCTGTCTACCGTGATCATGGTTATCATTCTCCCGGGGCGCCACACGATAAGCGAGGTATCTTGAATCGAGTCCGACACCTATTGCCGGGCTCGCACAAACCGCATGAAAAGTCGAAGCACGATCATACACTGCGCCGGCAGCCAAGCCTCGAGGGAAGTTCTCCTCGCCTAGACTCGGCAGACTCGGACCGAAAGAAGGAACCCGCAAAGCGCAAGCTCAAGGGACGATTCCCCATCGGTGGAGATCCCCACGCCTCCAGGGAGAATGCAGCTCAAGACGAAGAAGGCTCGCATGTCTTCAAGCTCGATACCAATCTCAAGGATTTAGACGACATCGTTCGCGCAGCTTCTCCCAGTCAGATGAAACGCGTTGCTGATGGCACAACCACACCACGGGAGGACCCGACCAAGTCTGAACAGGCGGGAGGTCTCGATACCTGGTCGGCTCCGGAGAGTTGGGCTGTGAAGAAGGAAAAGGATCCCGTCGTGGAGGCTGGACCACAGCCCACGAGTGCTGCCTATTTCATCCGCGTCTTCCGTATAGACTCGACATTTGCAACTCTCTCGGCCGGTGTCAACGCAACCGTCGCTGAGATCCTGTACATGCTAGGGCGCAAGTCTTTCCTGCAGGATCATCTCAACAACTATGAGATCGTCCTACGGAAGAATGACCTCTCTCGGCAGCTCGATCATAACGAGCGGCCAATTCTCATGCAAAAACAACTTTTGGAACAAGTTGGATACACGGAGAAGGATCGTATAGAGGACATTGGTCGTGAGGACCACAGCTATCTCTGCCGCTTCATCTTCTTGCCTACAAAACTCAGCGGTTACACCAGTCTCGAGGGTGATCCTGGCTTTAGCAAGATGTCAAAGTTTAGCCACGTTGATCTTCAGGGCCGCAGCTTGGTTACTATCCCCATTACTCTGTACAAGAAGTCCTCCGAGATCATCTCATTGAACTTGTCCAGGAATCTGTCTCTTGATGTGCCAAAGGATTTCATCCAGAGCTGTATCAACTTGCGGGAAATCAAGTTTATCGGCAACGAGGCTAAACTTCTTCCTTCGAGTTTCAGCCTGGCCAGTCGCTTGACTTACTTGGATATATCCAACAATTTCCTGGAAGAGCTGGAACACGCACAGCTTGATCGACTGACTGGTCTTGTCAGCATCAAGATGGCGAATAACCACTTGACCAAGCTGCCCAGCTACTTTGGAAACTTCCAGTATCTCCGGAGCTTGAACATGTCTTCGAACAGCTTTAAGGTTTTCCCAGAGTTCTTGTGCCAGCTGCGGAGCTTGGTGGACCTCGATATCAGCTTCAACAGTATCGAGGAGATTCCCAATATCGGTCAACTGGCTACGCTTGAGCGTCTTTGGATGACGAACAATAATATCAGCGGGTCTCTTGATGAGTCTTTCCGAGAACTAGTGAACCTAAAGGAGATCGACGGTCGCTTTAACGCGATCACCAACATTGACAACTTGTCCCGGCTGCCTCGCTTGGAGCAAGTGTTCTTTGGCCACAATCTTATCTCCCGATTCCGCGGGGCGTTCCCCAAGCTGCGCAGTCTCCACATGGATCACTGTCCACTGACCCAGTTTGATATCGACGCTCCTATGCCGACTTTGAGCTCCCTTAACCTTGCATCTGCCAAGCTCTCGCAATTCCGTGATGCCATGTTTGAGAACTTGCCGAATGTCTCCAAGCTTATCCTCGATAAGAACCATTTATCGTCAATCTCTGCACAAATCGGCAAGCTGCGACGCCTGGAGCATTTCAGTATCATCAAGAATCCACTCGGTTCTTTGCCTGCCAGTATCGGCTGCATGACTGAGCTAAAAGAGCTCAACGCGCGAGAGTGTAACCTCAAGTTCTTGCCAGATGAGATTTGGCACTGCGCCAAGTTGGAGACTCTCAATGTTTCTACAAATCTTCTGACTACATTCCCCAAACACGGCGCTCCTCAGCCCCTTGTTCCTGGAGAGCCCACCACAACTCCCGTGTCAACCCCGGCACTGGTCGGGAATCCGAACTACGAGGAACTGGGCCCCTTAGATGAACTCAACTTCCGCCGACCCAGTCAAACATCCAGCGGCGCTATGGGATCCGGGTCATCTCCGAGCGGCTCATATCGACACCCGTCGACCACACCTTCTATCGGACAGTCAGGGCCAAGGAAGGTTTCTACTGCATCACGGAGTGCTACTGATGCGAGCTCCGGGTCTCGCAAGGATTCGAATTTCTCGCAGCATGCAGCGGCTCTCACTTTTGCCGGGTCTCTCCGCAACCTGTATCTTGCTGATAACCAGTTGGATGACGATATTTTCCGCGAGCTAGCTCGTCTCCCTGAGCTTCGTATCGTCAATCTGTCTTACAACGAGTTGACAGAGCTGCCACAGGGTGTCCTCAAGCGATGGCCTCTGATTTCCGAGCTTTACCTGTCGGGCAATGAGCTCACATCGCTTCCATCCGATGACTTGGAAGAAGGCAGCAATCTGAAGATTCTCCACATCAACGGCAATCGATTCCAGGTTCTGCCTGCAGAACTTTGCAAGGTCAGCAAGCTTTCCGTTCTTGACGCGGGAAGCAACGCGTTGAAATACAATGTCTCCAATTGGCCCTATGATTGGAACTGGAACTGGAATCGAAGTTTGAGGTACCTCAACTTCTCTGGCAATAAGCGTCTTGAGATCAAACCCAACATTGGCACTGTGGGCCAGTCAACTGGAAGTGGTGCCGATCTGACTGACTTCACGTCTCTCACCCATCTCCGAGTTTTGGGTTTGATGGATGTCACCTTGACCATCCCCACTATTCCTGATGAGAATGAGGACCGCCGCGTGAGAACCTCTGCCTCCCTTGCTGGCTCGCTTGCATACGGAATGGCAGACTCGCTGGGCCGGACCGAGCATCTGTCTATTATTGATATGATCGTTCCCCGCTTGAAACCCGACAATGTCGAGACATTGATGGGTATGTTTGACGGGTCAACCATGTCCAGCGGTGGCTCTCGTGTTGCAAAGTATCTCCACGAGCACTTCACGCCAACATTCTCCCGCGAGCTCAAGAAGCTCCAGCAAGACCGGGGAGAAACCCCGCTCGATGCTCTGCGACGTGCATTCTTAGCCCTGAACAAGAACATGGCTGGACATGCGTACCGTTCCATCGATGACCGTGAGCTAAGACAGTATAACCGTGGATCACTTGCCTCGAAACAGCTCTGCCAGGACGATATCCAAGCTGGTGGAGTCGCTACCGTGCTGTACTTGAATAACATGGATCTGTATGCAGCCAATGTCGGCGATGCACAAGCGATCCTGGTCAAGCAAGACGGTTCATCGCGCCAATTGACTCGAGTTCACGATCCCGCAGAATCTAGTGAGCGGGCACGCATTCGCGCTGCTGGCGGATTCGTGTCTCGTAATGGCAAGTTGAATGATGTACTCACTGTTTCGAGATGCTTTGGTCACTTCCCCATGATGCCCGCTATAATTGCTGCTCCTGCCACCTTGCATGCCACCTTGACTGAGCAAGATGAGATGATCATCTTGGGTTCAAAGGAGCTGTGGGATTATATTACCCCGCAGCTGGTAGTCGACGTTGCTAGGGATGTGTATCCAAACCTTATGCTCGCAGCTCAGAAACTCCGCGATCTAGCTATTGCCTTTGGGGCAACAAACAAGTTGATGGTCATGATTCTGGGAGTCAGCGAGCTGCAACGCCGGCAGAAGAAGTGGTCTCGTCCTAGCATGAACTTGGAACGTTCTGCGTTCCCCGATGATGGCATCGTTCCCTCGACCAAGATTCGTCGCAGACCTCGTGATATGCCAGCTGACACTCGTCTTGCGCGCTTCGATTATGTCGATGCTCCGATTGGTGAGTTGGCTATCATATTCACTGATATCAAGAAGTCGACTGGTCTGTGGGAGACTTGCCCTGATGCTATGCGCTCGGCTATTTCCATTCATAACGACATTCTCCGGCGACAACTCGGAATCATTGGTGGTTACGAGGTGAAGACGGAAGGTGACGCTTTCATGGTGGCTTTTTCCACCACTACTTCTGCCTTGCTGTGGTGTTTCAACTGCCAGAACAGTCTTTTGGAAGCTGAATGGCCTACGGAAATCTTGGATCAGCCACAGTGTGAAGTCACCTCCGACATGGAAGGAAACATCATCTCTCGCGGTCTGTCCGTTCGCATGGGTGGCCACTGGGGCGAGCCCGTGTGTGAAAAGGATCCCGTCACCAACCGTATGGATTACTTCGGTCCTATGGTGAATCGAGCCTCGCGTATTTCCGCCGTTGCCGACGGAGGCCAGATCTTCGTCTCGTCGGACTTTATGAGCGATATTCAACGTAACCTTGAGATCTTTGCTGATGCCGAGCGCTCCGCGTCGACTAGTTCGACTGACAGCCATCCACGAGTTGATAGCCTTGGGCACAACATCCGTCGTGAGCTGAACCAGTTGAACAGTCAGGGCTTCGTGATCAAGGACCAGGGCGAACGGAAGTTGAAGGGACTGGAGAACCCGGAACCCCTTTATCTCGTCTATCCTCATTCGCTCGCTGGTCGCTTGACAAGCCTGGAAGAGGCTCAGCAAGAAAAGGAAGGCCAACCTGCGACCATAGAAAAGGCGTCCAAGCTCAACCTGAACACTGACGATATCTGGCGTCTGTGGGAGGTCACTCTCCGTCTCGAGCGGATTTGTGGCGCTTTGGAGAACCCCACTAGTGCTGGGCTTGGGGAGCCTAATGTCGCTTTGTTCAATATGGTCAAGAACCACGGTGGTGAACTGAATGATCCCACCGTGCTTAGCTTGATCGACCAGCAAGTCACTCGTATCGAGGTAAGTTTCCATCCTCTGAGCTTCTGCTTTTCGTTCCTCAACTAACTCATTTCTCAGGCCACCATCAATACTCTCACGGTCCGCAACATGATGCGCCCCTTCAAGCCCGGCGATAAACTTGGAGACCACGCCGTCCCCATTGGCGAAATCTTCCAACAACTAGCCACCCAACTCGCAGAGTACCGCGCCCTCAAAGAACAAATGGCCGTCGGGGCTGCTGGCATCCCCGGCGGACCACCTGCACCCCATTACAGCGGCATCACCCTGCACTCAAACCTCAGTGCAGACAGCAACACCACCTCTGCCTCATCCTCCTTCCTCCACCTGGACACACCTCGGTCCTTCGATACTCGCAACAACCAATGATCTGGGCCTGGTGCACATATCTTCTCTACCTACATAACATCCATTTATATACCTTGATCACGTACGGGATCTCTTTAATAACGCCTTTTCTCAACACCCTCTCGCCCCTTTTTCATTGGCCTTTTCTCTCGCTTTTCGCTTTTGAAAACTTCTCATGTCTTGTGGGCGGCGTCTCACTTTGTGGGGAGTCTTCAGATTGTTTCTTTTTTTTTACCTGTTTTTTTCTTTTCTCTTTGCGTGGCATTTGGGGGCATGGAGCTATGGCGGATTTTGATTTTGATCTAGTTCGGGTTTGCTTGTATTTAGGCCTTCAGGTATTCTCCAAGCTCTTGGTGTGTGTTTGGAGCCGGGCTTAAATATATACATTCAATATTTTTTGGCTTTGAGTATTGTATTGCTTCGACTATATATTCCGTAGGGCGGAAACAGTCAATGGACAAATGACGAAATTTTAAAATCGGCTATCAAGCCCTACAATGGGAGAATAGTGAAAGATAGCGTCTAATAAAGTTGAAAACACTAGTATTTCCAAGAAAACTACCTTGGGTATGTATTCCCTTCATGTCTTAGGCTTTAGCTGCCATTGAACTTGACGAGTACGGAAGCTCACGGGTGGCAAAGAAATCACGTGTCAGCTTTGTTTGTTTCCTGCGTCATCGTGCGACTCTCTTCGCCGGTTTAGTTCTCTTTCTTCCATCCTTCCTCTCTTCATCTCTCGGTTGTAGCACCACGTCCATCTCACTCTGTCCCTATTCTATCAACCTTAATGTCATCGGATTCCATCAAGTGACGCCAATAGTCAGTTAGGGCTCTCACGTCGTTCAGACCCGCCCCGCCTGTTGCCCTGGCTACGAACCCGACCAACCGTCTCGGGTTTAATGGACAAGTGGACAAACATCCACAATCGTTTTTCCTCTGCTCACAACCCCAGGCCAACTTTCCAGAAAAGGAGCGATCGGTGGATTTCCTTATCTGCATCTTGAAATCTTGACTGGACACCCTCGCGCCGTGTCGCAGTCCTTGCATCATTGTCACTGACCTGTGGTGACCGCATCTCTCCAAGATTGCGTGCGTTGGCGACCAGTCACCAACTAGCCACCTATCCTCATCGTCGCGACTGATCACCTTTCACATAACACACCATGGCGGACGAACTTGATTATCTACAGCCAGACTTCGATCTGAACTCCCTCACTGTGCCCCGCTTACGCTCTATCCTCGTCAGTCACGACGTGCCCTATCCAGCCTCTGCGAAAAAGGCGCAGTTGGTCCGCATTCTGGAAGATGAGGTGCTCCCCCAGGCGAGGAAACTTCTGCGTGACCGTGAGAGGGTAAGGAGAACGAGTGCAGGCATTACGGATATGAGCCGGGAAAACTCTGTCACTCGCGACGAAGATGACCGCGATTCGTTGCACCCACCACCCACTCCATCCACAACAGGAACCAGGCGAGGTACCTCACGACGAAGCGTCCGCGGATCGACCGTGGAAACGGATGGAGGTTACGCTCCGGCTACGCCTGCGACTGCGAAGCGCAAGACCGCTGCGCGGTCGGTGGGCAAGCACCCCCGTGCTTCGGATACAGAAACTGGTGACGATGCAATGGCGACGCCGGTCCCTGCGGTCGGCGCTTCGCCTCGCAAGTCTACTGCGCGGAAGCTTCGGCGGAGCTCTGTTCTGCCTTCGACCGAGGTGGATGAGTACACGCCGTCTGTCAAGACTGAGCCTAGGGAAGATAGTGTCTTCACGGACGAGAACCCTTTCCAAAGTGGCAGTCCTTCAGAGGTTATGAGTAGCCGGCGAACTCCTAGTCATGATGGAAAGCGGAAGAGTGGTGGACGACTATCTTCGGAGAGCCCTGCTATTAGGAATAGCTTGCGATCCCGCAAGTCGGTTACGCCTAGTGCGATCAAGCAAGAAGATGGCTATTATGCTCCTTCAAGGGAGTCTTTCGACTTTGCATCACGCCTCAGACCTACCAAGGAGGAGCCCGAGGAGGAATCTGAAGAGGAATCTGAGGAGGAATCGGAAGATGAGAGTGAGCTCATTGCCGGCGAGGAGTTTACTCCGGAGGAGCAACTAGCGCTAGAGAGTGAGCAGTATGCGCCATTGATTCAGGTTCGAAAACGGCCGAAGAAGCAGAGCTCGATTAGTATCATGGCGTCGTGGTTTGTTATTCTCTCGGTGCTGGGTAGTTTCGGCGCCTGGTGGCGCAAAGAGAAGATTGAGATCGGTTACTGCGGTCTTGGAAAGCCTACATGGTCTCTGGCAGAGACTAATGTGCCGGAATGGGCCAATGTCCTTGAACCTCGCTGCGAGCCCTGCCCGCCTCATGCGTTCTGCTATCCCGACTTTGAAGCTCGTTGTGAGCACGATTTCATCCTCAAGCCTCATCCTCTGTCTCTGGGCGGTCTTGTCCCTCTCCCGCCGACTTGTGAACCGGATAGCGAAAAGGCGCGTCGTGTCAAAGCTGTTGCAGACAAGGCCGTTGAGGAGCTTCGCGAGCGGAGGGCCAGATACGAATGTGGCGAGTTGAATGAGGATGGCAAGCCTACTTCTCCCGAGATCCCAGAGCCGAAGTTGAAGGAAGAAGTTGCGAAGAAGCGGCGCAAGGGTCTCACCGAGTCCGAGTTTGATGACCTCTGGAAGGGCGCTCTTGGTGAGATTATCGACAAGGACGAAGTTGTGAGCAACTCCAAGCAGTAAGTTTCACCCGCTCCTCTAAGGATGACTCTCCGTTCTTTTCCTTTGCTACTACCGTTCCGGATTTTCTATATCTCGTGGCCATTTTCTTCTAAAAGGTCTTGGTTCTGACATTGTGTACCGGAACTAACAGCGGCGCCCTTGCCATCACAGACCTTCCGCCGTCCTCGTCCTCAGCTCAACATCAACCGCCCGACTCCCACTCAGTTGCGCCGCCCGCCGTTACGTCCGACTGGCTCTCCTCGCGTATCGACTCCCTCTTTCACTTCTAGTACTGACAGCTTGTGCTCTGGCTTATGCCCGCGCTCGGGTTCGCGCCCGTCGCTCTGATATCGCCCGCGTGCCAGAGTTGGTCGCTACCACACTTGACCGACTTGCGACGCAGGCTGCGCTGCATGCCCGTGGCGGTGCGAGAGAGCCTTACATTCCAATTGGCCAGCTGCGCGATGACGTCCTGCGCTCCGAGTTGCACGGAAAGCGCCGTGAAGAACTGTGGCACCGTGTCCGCCGCGTCGTTGAAGGCAACGCTAATGTGCGTGCTGCCGTTCGCGAGGGACGCAGCGGCGATGTCGCCCGCTGCTGGGAGTGGATTGGCGGCATTGGCAGTGTCAACACCCCTGCTGGCAGCAGCGAGCTTGACAGCAGTACCCGCCGTGACAGTGGACGGTTTTCCCTGCCGTCACCCTCTGACAACGTGGACGTGGATCAACATCAGATGATCCCCGAGAGCAAGGATGATCATGCGACGAGTCCTAGACAATCCCGCCGTTGGGATGAAGGCCGACCGATCTATTAAGATGGCAGGCCGCTCTTTGGCTATCATGATTTGATATCGGGCAGCTTTGCGTGTGTTTTGGGCTTGTTCATTTGTTTTGATATTCCCAAAACTTTGGCTGCCTTCTGTGCGAGACGGGGATTTCTTTTCCCGCCCTTGCCTCGTTAGCTTTACCCCCCGTTACGTCCATTGGTCTTTCTTCGGGCTTCTTTCACGTACATATTTCTCTACCTTTCCCTGTTTATTTCAGTTCTCTTTTATGCTACCATGTTCAATACCCATCATTCTCTTGAGATTTCTTGAATCTTGGTCTCTCCCTTCACTAAACTGACCTTGTACCGCCTAATACCAATTTCAGACTGTGGTACGATCCTCCGTTAGCTAAATGCACATACGTCGACTAGGCCGATCGTTTCCTCTATGGATGACTTCGTTTCCAGCTCACATGGCGATCTTTCCTTGTTGATCTCAATCATTGTGGCGCTCGTTATATCCCGAAATCTAGGTTTTGCCAAGCTGTGCAGTACAACCCTTGATTAGCCATTTAGCCCTGTTTCTTACTCAATACCGCCAAGGTAGCCAGGACCAACTGCTCCGACGATCTCAATTGTGGCTGACGCTTTCTCCGTCCAAACCCGGATTCTTCAAGACAAGATACGTAGATCCTAGCTCCGTTTTCCTGGTTCGTTGTAAAACAGCTACGCTAGCTAGCTACCTAACCGCTAGTAAACTTCGGTCTGTGCGTTGCTGTCACCGTACATTCCATCCCAACCTGCACTGTTGTCCTGCTTTTCATCGGAAATATATCCCGGTTTGCTCACGCTCTTTCCAAATTACACGCGTACGTCCCTAGATCCCAGTTACCTTGACCAGAGAGTTTGTAGTGTGCTTAGGTTTTCTGCAGAATTGCTCATGCATGTAATCCTCGATCTGGGCTGATGAATGAGATCTAGGTACGGTATGGGTCAGGCCAACCTTAGGACTATTGGTATCCCTGTCCTTACATGCCCGGGAAATAGGTTCCTGTCGGTATGTTCATTTTCAAGAAGATGGGGATGAAGGGGTGGTTTCGGCTTTTCAATTGAGTTGTGCATTGACAAGGATGTTAACGTGGTCATGTCATGTCTTGGGGTGTAGGTGGTTGTAAGTATAGGTGTATACGGTAGCAGTTAGGGTGAAAGTAGTCCCGTCATATTTGCTTAGGCTTGGCGGATACAAGTAACATCCTGGCCCGGTTTGTAGAAAGCTCACGCATAACTCTTGGATAGATTTTCAATTATACATTCATTTCGGAGTCTGTCAAACAACTAGCAATGCCGTTGGATATGTGTGTCCTTGTTTACCTTCAGGGTTGCACAGCGTACGCTACTTACTACGGCCTGTCAAGATTCAAAATGCGATCTCGAGTCAACCTAGTCCGTGTATCGAAAGTCTACCCAGATTTCTACCGGATTTAAGACTCCTGTGGCGCAGGTGCTCTTTTTTTTCTCCTTGATGTACCATTTTAATATCTCCAGCTTTGTGAGCTCGAATTAGGGCTAACGCCACGGCTAGAGACATGTAGGCATTTTGCAAACAGTTCGACCTGTAGTGTCGCCTCCTGTGGCTGCTGTGGGAGAGCGCAAACTTAGTGCTTAATCGATTATTCCTCAGACCCCGCAGTAAATACAGTAGGGCATGTGCAGGCACACCATACTGGGGACCCGATATCTTGACAACACAGACAAAACGCATTGAATCGGGCCAACGATGAGCCGAACCAACCAGTGAGCAGATTCTTTTTCTTTCGCTACTCGTTGACTTGGTATAATAAGGTTAGCGTCTACTTGACCTATTTAAGAGGCGCCTTTAGTGTATAATACTACATACAGACCACAGAATTACGACTCAGTTAGGCTACTTCTGTTCACTCAGTTAGTGGACCTTCATTTTGACCGCTTCTTGCGCCTTGAGCAGAGTGCACATATCGTCATCGAGGCGTATCCTATCAACGGACGGTCTCGGGAAAGTGTGTGGGTATGAGGGAAAAGGAGGCGTTGTGGTTAGGCGAAACAAAATACGCCCCGCTCTTCTGTGTTTGTGGTTTCACTGGTATGGCTCGCTCGCTTCCTGTCCGCTGCATGCAAGCACATAGGAAACTGGGGAACGGGCTTGGCGAAGGTTGTTTTTACTGGGAGATTTGGTTATAATAGACGAGAACGGGTCTGGATACGTGGCGGCGTGTTGGCGGGGTCGAGAAAGTCAATCTGGGTATGACCTTGCAGTATAGGGGACAGTGTTTTGAAGTGATATCCAAAAGGATACAGAAATAGGATGGAAGTATTCCTCATCATCTTGAAGCTGTATATATCATTTTGGTGCCCTTTGATATATTGGCGTGTAAGTCCTCAATTTAGCCCGTAAACTTGACAATTTCAGTCTCCCCAAACCAGAGTCAAGGATGGTGTTCACCGAAGATGAAACTAGCAAACCCCAATCTAGTTAAGCTGTCAAAATGGAGCAACACACACTGCTCAATAAAGAATAATCTGCCAGATAAGCCCTAGCATGAAAAGCAAGGGCTGCAGCCTTACCATCGATCGTCTTAACTGTTTCAAGAGGAGCCCGAAGCCCGGGCTGTCCCAATTCCACTTCGACGTTGTAAGTATAACAAACGCCGCAGGGGTCGATCCGAGTCTAGCGTCGACTCGCGACCTGGTACATGGGCCGGGTTGCATTGACCTAGAATAGTAAAGTCTCAAGGGGCTGTACCAGATGAGCCGGGGATCGGTGCGCAAGGAGCAATCCGAGTGAAATTTGGCAACAGAATCTGCTCGGCAATGTGCAAGCAAATCATCGCGTGGAAGGAGTATTTCTCCTGCGATCAGCGAGAAGAAAATGCCAACCCTGCATGCGACGAACCGAGGAGCGCTTCTGCTTGTGCTTGGAACGGAGAACTAGTTGACCGAATGATTCTCGTTGGTCTTTCTTGCAAGGGCCATCTGTAGGTGACGAGTTTCGTGTGGTGCTCGAAGGTTTCTTAGGGTTGTGGTCATGGTGAGCGCCTATCTCTCTTGCGTGTCATGTTAGTCACCCAAACAGGCCGTGCTCCTGCGGTGAGTGAGTCAAGTAGTGGAGGGGTTTTAATAATAATTTGTATCCACCAGTGTGGACTATGACCCAGTTCGGATGCAATTTGAGATGAGATCGAGAGAGAAACGACGGAGTCTTTCGCCGAGGCCATTACAGTTCAGGGCGGCGGTTCCACATGTGCAAGCCGTTAGGTTGCGGCGGTGCCTTTGGGAGCTGCCTATTTGGCTAGGTTGGCATTTTGGGTATGATTTAGTTTTGGACCATCGTAAGGCCAATTGGTAATGAGGGTTGTTATCATCCATAGTAGGTATTCTGTCTGTGAAGGTAACTAAGTATAACGAGGTCGTTTAGTCAATGTTGAGAACCTCGAGTCTGTGCCCAACCCCCACATCGATTGCTCATGGTTCGATAGTACTTCTGAATAGGAGTAGACGACCCATGAGCAGCGGACCGCAGAGTAGTTGGTATTAACCAAGTACTGTCATGTATAACGTGATCATAGCTATCGCTGGTTTCAAGCATCATCACAGCAAGAGGTGTTCCGTCCTCTGTGCTGTTTTGGCGTTAACGGAAATCGGCTAAGCCACCACCACATAGAGACGTCATACTTAGATCCATGGAGCGACCACAGGGATTCCAAGGGAAGCTTGTCACCGTAACAGCGCCACGCGCGGGAAACTCCGGTGTCAAAGCATTTTCTGGGACTATAGCCAAGGAACACACCATCCTTTAAGGGCCCAAGGGACCCGCGATTCAGCGAATGATGCCATTACATACATACAATAAATGGCCCCATAGAGTAGAACATGGACCAACTTCTGTATCATAGTCTCGGCATTTCAATGTTTCCCCCTCAATTCCAAAAGGCTGTATGTACCGTATCATCGGTCCTGAACCGACAAGCCAACAGAACATTCCACCAGTGGTGGCGAGTCTCGCCAGCCCCCTCTCCCCTCGCCTTTCGCACATCATTCGTCAGATCGTGTCGGCAGAAGTTTCCAGCCAACTAACAGCAATCGTCAGAGGCACTGGCACCTCGCAATTCGACACAGACACACTTTCTGGCGCCTGTGGCATCATCATCTCTCCTCACTATCATAAAGTATATCCTCAGGCTAAATCTGTTCTCAGCTTCTCAGTCCACGTTCAGGCATGGACAATTCTTGGCTCATCCCACGTCTTCCTGTGCAGTGGGACAGCCACAGTGGGGTCGGACGCATTTACTTGGTGGAGATTGCTCATGTTGTCTGCAGCCTGACGTTGTGATGTTCTAAGTGGCGACCACATTTGGGGGCCAAATAACAACTACTGTCAGCGTTGTTCCCGGTAAAGCGACGAATTCAGTATGATTATCCTTCGGTGCCTTGCGCGGGGCAGATGATTTTCTTCACGACGACCCTCCAGATGACGGCTATACCCACTTGGGTATTAGTTAGGTGCTTTTGGCGGTTTCAAATTCACTAACATAATGCAACAATACATGTCGCTAGGAGGGATTTGAAGGTCAGGAGTAACAGAGTATAGGATTCTCGTCGGCTTTGGTATGAAGTCTCGTGCGTGTTGAAGAGTATGCTGTATTGGCTAACAAGTGCGGGATTCGAGAAGGATTCTCTAGAAGGATTCCGTATCAGATCGAGCCAAACCGAGTGTGGTATTTCGTAGAGTTAATTATGCCATTAGGGTTGGCCAGCTATCCAAATTGCAGCAAAGCATAGGCATCCCAGGTACCAACAATGAAATAAATGATTTACTGTCCAGAAATACTGACATACTGGAACTACAACATCCGCCATCAAGTAACCCTGGAACCAGTTGGGTGGGAGCTGTCGAGATCAGCCAATAATCAGCGTCGGAAGTATTCGTCTCCCTCGATCGTCCCTCTTTCTGCATGAGAAAATGGAGAGACGAGAGAAAAACCGAACCCGATGACGCCGTTATGACTGTGGCTTCAATCGCGGACCTATCAATTTTGCCGGAAAAGTGTTCCGTAAAAATCCCCCAATCTACACGTCCACATAGCTCATACCCACTCCGTCGGTCGCCCTGGGTATCGTCGATTCGTAAAAGTTCTTGCGCGCGAGTAAAGGGAGGGGGAAACAACCTTCAAGGGCCCCCCATCGGGATATGTCCGAAATAAGTCCTCCAAGAGTACGCTATCTGCGATGAAGTGGAACGATGTGATGTGATGCCGTATTGACGAGGAAACATGCTCACACCCATTTTCCCACCTCCTCCTTTCACGAGCTCAGCTCAGTCAGCCACGGTATTTTAAAGCCTATATGTAGACTATCAGCGCGAACCGAGGGGCTGGGATAGACCTATAGACTAGTTAAGAGAGGCTCCGGGGAAACAATACCAATGTAGTATAGAGCGCGGGTAGGGTCTGTGGATTGCAGCGATGCCCCGTGCCACTGTAGATTTCGATTCGCTTGAAACTTACCGTCGAGTCGTCGACCAGACAAGACGATCCTTACACCTGTGCGCTTCCACCTCAATTGTTGTCTCCATCGGGGCTTAGACGTTGGGTGATCGGGTTTTAGCTCGAGACATTTTTGTATCTATACGGGATATACAATACCACAACCATCACACGGTCCTCTTTAATACTGTGACGGTCTACTTTTTTTTCTTATTTATTGTTAATTAGACATGTGTTCATTCAATGCATGACACTTTTTTCGTAGGTCGGTTCGAAAGGAACTTAGGTTTTGGGCAATGATCGGTGTGGTGTGGCGTCTTTTTGAAAACGAGTCACCCTCTATCGTTTAGGTATGCCCGTCAACGACTAGACCGGGGCAGATCGTTCATGTTCCTGGGCGCTAGTTTTCCGACAGCGCGGTCTACCACGGTCGATTGACCTTCGACTGGGGTTCCGCCGACCGGGGTCTTTGGGCCTTCTGGGTCCTTGTCTAGTCATATTCTATTGAATTTCACTGGATACAGTACACATTATTTTAGTGGAATTTCATTGTTGTTACGCATCTTAGTTCTCTGGTCGGAGAGTCCATCCATTGCCTAATTTACTAGCCTACTAGCCACTAACCTACGGTGTATTATTATTGTGCTTTCCCCCGTTTTCCCTATCCCATAGATTGGTATTACTAGTATGATTATCATAGGTGATAGGCGGTCTTAAGTATTATCATTCGCCCACTCTTCTGTTCGGGAGAGAAGGAAAATGTCAGCTCCCAAAGAGCTCCACTTTGTCTTCCGCCACACACGCAGTTTCTCGATCTTCTCACATATTTTTTTGGCCCTTTTACCCCCCTTCCCCCTCCCTTTCGCTTTCTTCCTCCACTTTTTCCTTGTTGGCTGTCAACTGGGGCTACTCCGTATGCGACGCGGCAGAGGGGGTGTGTGTGTGCAGAGAAATAATACTAAATTAACGGCACGGGCTTCAAGTGGAAACGCATCAGCCACCCCGAATCTATTTTTTGGCGGAGGAATTTCTTCACGGTTGATTTTCTCTTCCATTTTCTCTCTTTCTCGTTTATCTCTAAACCTTCTATTTCACATCTTCTTTCGGACGCTCTCGAACGGGCCGATTAGTTTATATCGATCCACGTGTGGGATTAAACTAAACTGTATGTTCGATGTTGCGCTTGCCGAATAGCGTATTGTCTCTTGCAACCGGACTCCTGGATCCTTTTATCTAACTCTTATTCTTATTCTTCTCTATTTTCCTAATCGGTCACCCTTCTTTTTTTCCATTTTTTTTTCTTTTCTTCTCACATCTTTAACCCCCCTCCTTCTCTTCCACCTTCTACTTCCTCTTCCCCTTCTTCTTCCTCCCCTTCTCCTCGACCCGTGCCTTTCCCATCCCCCCGTCTCTTACCCGCTGTCTAGTGCAATGGGCGACGTAGGCCGGGCCTTTAGGCCAATTGCTCCCCGGACCATGCCTCCCGGCGGCGGGGTAGGAGGCCAACCACCCCTTGGTAGCAGCGGCGGAGGACCTCCGGAGGATGGCCGGATGAAAAGAGCTTCCACTGCTTGTAAAGAGTGCCAGAAACGTCGAACCAGGGTAATTAACCACCATAATCCAGTTCAATCCACCTTACCTTTTTTTTCTCTCTCTCTATTCAGATTTCCTTGTTCTCCGAATCTTGAATTTGATCCGCCTTGACTTGCCGTCTCGAGCTGACATGCTTTCTTGATACCACGCCGGTTTATGATTCTTTTCTAACGAGTCTCCTTTTTTTGCGCCGTTAGTGCACCGGTCCACCTAAATGCTCGGAATGCGATACACATGACCGAGAATGTACCTTTGACGAACAAGCCGACAGGCGGCGCAAAGCAAATGCGCGCCGGACACAGGAAGAGCTGGATAACTTGAGGGAGTTCACTGACCAGCTCCTGAGTGTCCTTCGATATTCCAACAATACAACTACACAACACGTCATCAATGTCATTCGCTCTCGCGCATCACGGGAAGAAATTCAAAACGTCCTGTTATCGATTGTGGCCCAAAATCCTGAATTAGCGCAGCAAGCGTTTGGTCCTCCTCCGCCTCATCAGCAACAGCCTTCTGCTGCTCATCCTTCTCACCACGTTGCCAACGACCTCGATCCGCATAATCTCGGCCCTTATTTTGATCCGCGATAATATCTAGGAATGGAGATGTTTCAGGCCACGGCGCTGAGACCGGCATGTTGCATTTATAACTGGAGTGCCTCGGGGTTCTTTTGATCAATTTCTTTTTTATGATCCCTGGACGCAAAGTCCCGATTTTTTGCACTCTTCCGATGTTAAGCGATCGCATACACGACATGATCTTACCCTGCCAAAATTTCATTCATTCATTCTGATATGAATCCGTTTGGTTGGTGTTCTTCGACCTTTTTTTTCATTGATTTGCTAGCTTCTTTTTTTTCCTGCCTACGTTTTCCATCTTGATAATGAGCATGTGTTCCCTTTCTTTGCGACAGTTCCTCCCTTCTCATCCTTTCCATCATTCGGGCTTAGTTCCCTCTTGCTAAAGAACCATCAGCTTCGGAACTTTCCCCACATGAGGCTGACGGATTCTATCAAAGATAAGCCGCTTCACAATAAAGCCTTCGTGCTGAGCATTACCGAAGTCAATGACCCCCATGCCTTACACATCTGTCACCTTTTTGGCCCCTCTAGTTCTTGTATTCTGTTCGAATTTCCCTCGTGTGATCTGCTGGGTATGTCGTAGCGCGTCACAAGATGGCTTGCGCTACTGACCGTGTTGGGTACCGAGGGAGATGTGGAGGGGTTTGACTCTTGATCCTTGACCCTCGACACAGGATTCTCGACGCACGAATCTTATCTGATTTGAGTTGGCATATCGATTGGAATCTTGTGATATTCAGCTTTCTCCAGATGGTGATGGCAAATTCGGAACGGACCTCCGAGACCAGCCTTCTAATACTACCATGTATTGACGATACGAGGCAACGCCACCTAGGGATGTGGACAACCGAGTCAATGGTGTCTCAAGGGTCCAGAGTTGTCTGACCGGGTCTGATCACAAGACATCGAGTTTATGCGGAGAAAGGGCAAGAAGTGGCTTTGCGCTAGACCCCTGTTACTTTGGCACCGACATGGGTTTATAAGTCCCTTAATTCTGCATAAACTGGCCTCTTTGCTATACTGAAAGAAAAAGACACCAGCTTTATTGCAAATTTTGGTATGCAGTCTGGCCTATTGCAGAATATGCCTAGTTGGTGCACACAATATTCCCGGGCGGGACTATACAATCCAGGAAGAGCGCATCTTCGGTGCTGAAAGTCCAATTATGCTATGGAGGATTTGCAAAGAGTTTCCATAGTCTTCAATACAAACGAATGTGATACGCTTAGACTTGGCTGATCGATGTATACAGCGAGTATAGCTGATTATCTGAAGACTTAAGGTTTATGACCCTGAGCTTGTCAATCTTCTCTAGTCCCACCTAAGCAGCACGGTAACATTGTAGAGTCGGCGGAACAGCTGGTGAGCAAGAAGCAAATCCAATCGTTGGGCCTATAAGGTCCCCGCGTTCGCCGAAAGGGTATGATAGTATCGGGCCTGGCCCTATGCAGTGGTACCTGAGCTCGGCAACTGGTATCACATTTGCTTCTGCAGTGGGGATCACTCTCAAGTGACCCGTTCACGGTCGTGCAGCGTTACCCGCAGCAAAGATTTCCTTCTATGCATCTTCCGTAGTAGCCAACGTACTTTTCAGTGAATAGTTCGCCGAGTGTTAAGGAATAAGCAATCAAAAAAAATCCGGGGAGATCAAGTGGAGAGGAGCCTCCCCGCGCCGACCGGAGAATCGCCGAGGGGCAGAACCTCTCCACCTCTCCACTTTCAACTTTCCTTCGGTTAGTCCCTTAACCTTTCGCTTCCCTTTTTCCTCCCGGATTCTTCTCCTTCCCTATTCCTCCCCTCCCTATCAAGTGTGCTGCAGTCCACCTCTTGATACACCCCGCTTGCCCCCCCCCCCCCCCCCCCCCCGGAAACCCGCAAATGAAAGCCTCCATGTGCCTCTCGGCAGTTCTAGCCCATCGCAGATCCCGACATGGCGACTGTTACTAGCGTGGCCTGCCCCCCCACGCAAGGGCCTGTCGGGTCTGGAATGCTCAACGAGAGTGCTATTGACAAGGGAGAATCTCACACTTCACCGACGGGCCCCGGACGCAAAAGAAAGTCCTCCTCCGGTGGCCCGCTACAGCAACCCTCCACGGCCAGTAAAAACGGCACCGTTCGCCAGAAGATCACTCGAGCTTGTGACTCGTGTAAAGTCAAAAAGACCAGGTGCACAGGTACCCTGCCGTGTACTCGGTGCACGCGGCTGTCGCTCTCATGCAATTATAATGCAGCCTACTCGAGAGGACTCCCTCCCGACCCACTCCCTGCATCGCCCGACCCAGGCGAGTCTGCTGCTACGCTTGCCGGGTCTGGTACTTCAGAGGTTGGTCGTACCTTCAGGGGCTCGCGTTCGCGTGCTACTACGACCAATCTGACGGCTAGAGATCCCGTCAGCAGCAACCATGGCTACCTGAGCCAACCCCAGGGTGTGTCATTGCGCAACTCTCCCGAGCCAGGGTCGACTGATTTTGAGGGCAATTATATCGGCCCTTCCTCGGGAGTCTCCTTTATCAATCGTGTTTGGAGCCGATTGCACCAGGATGAGCGGGCACAGATCCCCGATGCGCTGCAGAATGAGTCTTCGACGAACACGGGCGTGTTCATGTTTGGCGATAAGCCGTACTCGCATCCTCAGGATGTAGATTTTATGCTGCCATCATTCGAGACTGCAATGGAACTTGTCGCGGTCTACTTTGATTTCTCAATGGTCACCTATCGCTTTCTACATCGTGAAAGTGTGGAGAAATGGGTGAAACAAGTATACGAGAACCATACCTCGATATCGAATTTGCCCGTGGGCATTATGGTCGCCCGAACGGCTATCGTTTTGATGATTTTTGCAGTGAGCACCCTTCATCATAAAGAGCCACCGCCAATGAATGGGATCAGTCAGAGTGAGCGCTGGTATGCAGCATCAAAGTATATGTTATCTCTCGAGTCGGGGCCTCCGCGCTTGGAAACGATTCAAGTTCGACTCATCCAATGTCTGTACCTTTTATCATCATCTCGCGCCAACGAGTGCTGGTATTCCTTTGGAACGGCATTGCAGGTTGTAACAGCCCTAGGATTACACCGCAAATCACCTGTGAAGCTATCTAAGAACGGATGCTCACACTTTGAGCTGGAAGTGCGGAAGCGCATTTTTTGGAGCGTTTACACTTTGGATAAGTACCTCAGTATCATGTTTGGGCGGCCTCGGCTACTTCATGACGAGGATATTGATCAGGAGTTTCCGGGCGAAATGAATGATGAAGATCTACTAGAGGAGGACCCGACACGGCGGACAGGATCTACAGATAGCATGATGATCGCATCTGTCCTGCATTACCGGTCAGTTAATCAATTAGGCTTTCGGGTCAATATGCAACGTTACTTCTCGATCTACTAACACCCTGTCTGCACAGCCTTGGTCGAATCCTGGGCGAAATATCGCGACAGCTGTACAGTATCAATCCACTTTCACGGGACTCTCCACTCGAAACAGCCGCTCGCCTCACATCAGAACTAGAGAAATGGAAAGAAAGCGTTCCCCCTCTGTTCAACAGCGTCCGACCATCCAGTCTAATACCACCCCTTTGTCGACAAAGCCAAGTTCTTCAATTTGCCTACGCCCATGCAATGATCCACGTTACCCGTTCATTCCTCCTCAATGACTTCACTGACCTCAGCCGCCGACCAAGTGACCCCCATCCGATGGTCAGCGCTCACGTAAAAAAGTGCATATCAGCAGCTGAAGATATCATGACCCTAGTCGACGACCTTGCGCAGCAAAACGTCTTTGTTCAGTCATTCTGGTTCACCCACTACGTTACATTCTGCGCTATCTTGGTGGTCTATATACACATCATTCAGCAACATCGCCAGGCTACCGCGCCGAGCCCAACAGCGGGGAGTCCTGCTGATGCCGAGAAACTGCATTCCTTATTCCTACTAGCCGAAACCTGTCAGCAATACCTTGCGGAAGCTACCCGCAAGAACTGTCCTAGTAGGCGGTACAGTATCATTCTCGGAGAGCTAAGGAAAGAAGTTCATCGTCATATCGGCTCGGATGAGCAGGATAGAATTGCTCTGGCGCCGGCTGTATTCGATGATGGGCATATCATTGAACAAAGAGCAATAGCTCCGAATGGCGTCGATCGCACCGTCTCCTTTGAACCCCCGAGCCTAGATTTCCAGCCAATCTCGGGCGATCTGCCCCCAACCGAGTTGAGCGCACCTCTCAATGCTGTGGAAGATGCCGGACTTCTTGAGAATCTCGAGGGTTCGATTTGGTGGGCGCAGCTTGATTCCTGGGTATGTGTATATCAATACGTTCTTTTTCCCCCTGTCGCTCTTAGTAGTTTCCCTTACTAATGGCGTATTAGGCGTTATCGAGTTTTCCAAATGACCCGTCTGCGTTTAGTTTCTAGAGGCGCTCTGCGGTGTGTATCGGTCTAAGCCATTTTGAGTAGACTCCACGAGATACAGTAATAATATCGATGCAAGTTGGCTGGATCGTCAGCCCGGCTGTTTTTACAAGACAAGAAAAAAAAAACCAAAAGTACCATACCATACATACATGACTCGTTCTAGCGCCCTAAACTCTTGGCTCGATAGAGTGTTTTAGCCCGTGTCTTTGTATGGCTGGATTCTTGTCACATGCCTTCTAAGGGACCAAGTCACATGGCTTTAAAATAAGAACGTACATTATTCTCACAATTCCCCCGCTGTTAACACACCAACCTAAACATAATAACTGAGGATCAAATAAAGTTGCCCAAATTGGGCTCCATACTTATCCGAGCAAGATTAGATTGCCCTTGCCCGGCTCAGCTCATCCACCCAGTCGGAATATCACCCGTTGATGGTCAGTCACGAACTCGGGAACACGAGCTCGGGAATATATGCGAAGTCTCCGTGTCGAATATAGAGTTTCAATCTCCGGAGATCAAGTGGAGACGGGACACGGAGGGTCTGGGTGCTTTTGTTGGTATTTATTTAAGCTTATATGGACATGTACTATATCCCGGTTGATTGATAGGTCTGTGAGTTTGCTGTTGATTGTTGTGGGGCATGCTGGAGACAATTCAGTGTCGGTTAGATGTCCGAGGGGCCGTTTTGTGATACATGTTTTCTGCTCTGCGTGCTGGACATTCTTTCTACTTTTACGGGGTTTACCACTTGGGTTGGGTATAGCGGTTGAGATTGTCCGATGCTGGTCAGTCCTTGCGTTTCATTCATAACACATGAATGGTTGAGAGTTTAAGGATACGGACCTGAATAGAACAGGGACTATCATAGTTTCTCTTCCTCTCTGATTTCTAAAGACCGATCAATAGCGTTAACTTGGGATATCATTCATACTACCACATGACTATGGAACAAGATCGCTGGGCGTAAATAACTCGAAAACGCAGAATCACCATAAAATCATCTTCTCCCAGTAAAAGGATATGGGGCCTGTTCCGGCTACACAAAAGAGATTATGTACTTGAAACCACGACAACTACTTAAACTCCTCAATCTGATCATGGCAGTACTGAATAAACAATGCCGCATTCCCCGTGCCCCCCTCTTCCTTCGTTTTCATCGCTTGTAACAAATCCTCCCGGGGCTTGGGATGAACTCGCCCCCAAGGCAGAATATACTTCCCCCGTCAGAAATCGTAAGTTCCGGAGAAAACGCAGCCCAAAGCTGGCTATAGGCACCCATGATAGGATGATACAGCAGAGGCGCCACGAGGTAAGGCACCCACGAAGGAAAATGACGAGTCAGGTTTGATTTCAGGTTTCCAGGGTTAACTACCACGCTCAGGATACCGTCTGATCCGGCCTGCTTTGCTAGATCGTTGGCTAAAAACCAGTTTCCGACTTTGGAGTTCTCGTAGTTGCGGTTCATCCCAGTGTCTCGTCGTAGAAACTCCTCTAGGTTCACGCCGTGCGCGGATGTGGTATCTACAATGATTGAGGATAGCCAGATCACGCGGGCAGAGGCGGGAGATTCGTTGTGAGCGGTCTGTCTAAGCGTTGGTAGGAGTAGCTGGGTGAGCAGGTGATGGCCGAGGCAGTTGGTTGCCAGTTGGAGCTCATGGCCCTGTGTTGATATAGATCCCAGTGGGGGGTTAGAGACACCGGCGTTGTTGAATAGCACATCCAGTCGAGACTCAGTGCTCATGAATTTCTCCACTGCTGGTTTGATGGTAGTCAAATCATCGAGTTTGAGAGAGAGAAACACGATCTCGCCTTCGGAATTTGGGCTTGCAGTTTTGATATCGGCGATCGCTTGTAGAGCTTTTTCTTCAGAGCGGCCTGCAAGGTACACTTTACCACCAGCCTGGTACAGGATCTTGCATAGTTCGAAGCCCACGCCTGAATAGCCACCTGTGACTATAAACACTTTGCCTTTCTGGCTGGGTAAGTTGGCCTCTGTAAGCGTCGGCTTGGGTGGGAAAAATTGAGACCAGACGATTCCCATTGTCAAAGTGAAAAATCAGATGGGATTCCTCGGGGGAATAGGTTAATATTACCGTCGTTGGGGCTCGGGCGATGGGAAGGGTCTAGGGTTATATGTCAACTTCTATAGATGACGTACCCCGGAGATAAGGGAGGAGGTACTAAGTAGTTATTATCATACCCCTTGAGGGGAAGACCAAAATTAGAAGGATTGGCAGAGCCACGTACCAAGTCCAGGATATCCAATCAAAGATCACTATGCACTAGTCAAGCTTTCGCAAGGTTGGGGGCCAGAAATTATCGAAGGTAAACATCACCCAACGATCCAGGTTAGCTTCACGTCGTCCCAACTGCTCTTCACCTGAAATGACCATGATCTTTGGTCATGCTTGACTATCGTTTTTAACCTTAATGGTAGCAGAATCAACTAATGACTACGCAAACAACAAATGCTACTGATTAAGAAATGGAATTTATCAAAAGCTTATTCTCAGAGAAGCCATTAGGCCCCCCGTGCTTTGAAATCTCACATGGAATAATATGCGCCTACAGCACAGAATACATATGTACAGCCCACGTTCTACGCTAGACTGATTTCGTCTAAGCACCAAAAATACAGCCTTCCTAGACCCACTATTGTGGTGGAAAAAGACAAAAAGAAAGCTGGACTCGCGGGGAATCGAACCCCGGACCACTCCCATGCTAAGGGAGTATTATACCACTAAACCACAAGCCCACCTGTTGTGTGAGAAAAGGTGAAAGAATGCTAGATGAGCCAGATACTAAAATATCTCAAGAACATACTGAGCTCTAGAAACATATCATCGGATATTTTGGCCATATGAGGATTTCTTTTCTAATTGCTAGTATATGTCCCATAGGGATATAATAGCTTACCCCGAAGATATCGACTGATAACGGAAGACGGTTCGTAGGCGTCGATCAAAATCTCTGAGATGGGAATATATATTGCGCCCTACTCTTGGAGGGTCCACTGAGCGGGCACTCAATGGACATAGCTGGGTATTTTTGGTTATTTTTGGGTGCACTGGTCATTTTGGAACTGGACTAGGTGCACAACATGTAGAAGACAATGGGATCAAGACGCCCAACTAAAATCGCCCAACTAAAATCGCCCAACTGCGTACAGGAACCTTCAGGCCGGGGTAAGTTTCGATTTAAACAGGGAATTCAAACAAAGTAACTCAAGGCCCCCCCCCCCCCCCCCCCCGGGCCGCATTAGCTACCCCTTCCAGGTTAGGGATTCAAAGAATCCCAAAGTGATTTCCATGTAATTGCAACATAAGAATTATCTTTTCCATATAATCAACACTATATCATCATTCATCGCATCATGACACCTTAAGTATATGCAAAACTAGTCAAAGTCCACCGGAGGAAGACTCCTCACCTCCAATGCAGTCTGTACACTTTGTTGCATCTCTCCAATTGCCTTTTGCCAAGTCACGACACCCTGTTCACTCTGTCCAGACGGCGGAGTCTGGTTCTCCACTCCGTCCCGGGAAAGTGAATCTTCACTTACTAGCCACATTAGCCAACGCACCACAGAGACGGCTTTATCAATATCCTTCTCCTCGGCAATGACACGTCTGAGATAGACACATAGTACTTCTACGTCCTCACCGTAGGGACCATCGGCCGCGAAAGCGGAATGCCATGCACCCACGGCGTCACGAAGATCCGGCAAGCCTGACAGGCGCCGTGAGGTGAACACAGGTCGCTCCGGGAGAGGCGGGAGAGGTAGGGTTTTCTCGACGGGTGGAGGCGCGTTAACAGAAGCTGATGTGGAAGCTTGTGGCTGGGATACTGGCCTCGAGGCAGTCGTAGCAGAGGCGCGAGCTCGTTGAAGACGAGCACGTCTTTGCTCCTCGAGAACCTCCTGTCGGATATCCTCCGGCAGTGCAGCGAGGAACTCAGCAGATACTTCCGGTTCTTCTTCAACTGCTGGTGACTGTTGGCGAGACACCGAGTCTCGATTCGATGTGGCTATGACGCCAGAGGCGGTTGAAGGTCGAGGGAAAGCAAAGTTTGTTTGGGTCAGAGACTTATTGCTACTAGAGGCTGATTTTGGCGGACGGCCACGCCTTTTCTTTGGTGGTGACGTTGGTCTCTTGAGCTTCAACGACCCAGCCTGAGGTACAGAAGGAAGAGAAGGGACAGAAGGAGCAGCGGGTGGAGGATCAGGGACAGTGGTAGACTGCTGGTTATAGTAACCAAGGACCTCATTTCGAACGTCCTCGGGCAACGCAGCCAGTGTCTCAGGGTCCAATTGAGACTGAGGTGGGAGGGGGCTGCAGCAGTAGGCTCGACTACACGATGGCGCGGTGGCGGACACGGGGACCCCGATGGAGGCGGTTCTTGTCGAGGCTTTGCCTGAGCCACAAGCCTTGACCTGATATCTCCGGGGAGCTCGGAGAGAACCTTGGGATCCACCTGAGTGGGCATGATGAACTGCGACCCGGATATGTTTAGCGGCTTGTGAGCGCTATTACTGAGAACCGGATCGACCTGAATCCGAACTGAATCGCCTTTACGCGGGCTTTCCAGTTCATCGGGGTCGACATTGGCGGCGACACTCTTGCGCGACGGCGGTTTCAAGAAGTTGAGTTGCCGCTGACTGCCCTCGACGGTGGCTGAGGGACCAGCCTTCAGCGGCTCGAGCTTCGTCATCTGAACGCCAAGGCCTCTGAGATCACCGGGGGAGAAGTTGAAACTTCTTAGCATCGACACGGCTTCTTTGCCCAAGATATCGGGTGCATTCGTGGCCACCCCAATCACAACACTCTTGTTAAAGACATCGCATTTGCCGTGACCGAGATGTTTGACTGGCTCCAGCGGCGCATCCATCGACCTTCGCATAACTTTCAGTGTGAGTTGCTTGCCTTTGACCAGGTTCTCGACTAATCTGCGGCCCAGTTCCTCGCAGAGTGATTTGACGAAATCCTCTGCCTGATCTTGATTGACAAATCGAATTCCCCAATTGACCTCTGCCGACACGGATTTCCTGACCACTTCATTGCCAACCTCTGTTTTGTCAATGCCTCGCGCATACTCCCATATCTTTGTTCCGGTTTTTGGCCCCAGACTGGCGCACAATCTCTCCTTGGTAATTTCCCTCGCGTCTTTGACGAACTTCACACCAAGCTCTTCCAGTTTCGACCCAAGACTATACCCAACGCCGGGTAAATCCTGGACGGTAAGGTTTCCAATAAAATCCAAAATAGCATCGAGTTTCAGATGGAATTGTCCGGCAGGTTTTGCCTTTCGCAATGCCACTTTAGCGAGCAAGATGTTGCCACCGATCCCCACCGACACCGCGCATCCAGTTTTCTCCTTGATAGAATCACGCAAGCCTTGCGCTATTTCATCGGCCTTGGCTTGTTCGCGGTAGATTGATCCCTCCGAGACACCTTTGCCGTCAGATCCCCCAGCTTCCAAGCACTGATTGGAAACATCAATCAGAGCCTCATCAATGCTTACGCTCTGCACAATGCCGTCAATGGAGAGCACCGAGCTATAGAATTTCCGACTGGCATCCTCATAGGCTGGGAAATCGTAGGGCAACACCTGAAGCTCTGGACATGCTTGCATGGCCCCCTTCATCCACATGCCATTCTTAACTCCACGTCCACGTGCAACATAGTTACAACTTGCGATCTCGGAGCCAGATCCAGAGCCATGTGCGATGGCAACAGGCTTCTCGCGAAGCTCAGGATGCTTGAGAATGGAAACGGCGGCAAAGAAGGAGTCAAAGTCGACATGAAGAATATATCTTCTGGCTCCTGGAGCAGACCTCTTTTGACAAGTACCGGATATCGCCTTTTCCCTTGTTGCAGCCTGAAGCTGGGCTTTAAGATCGGCTTTCCAGGTTGACAAGTGATGGAGCCGAGATTCTCTGTAGTATTGCTGAAGGAATTCCGGGTTGACCACACTGGACTTCTTCATTCGAGGGTCAGACAAAAGTTGTGCATTATATTCCTCAGAGGTCATTTGAGGATTTGAAGGACTCGTTTGCTTCGTGGGCGAGATCATTTGCGCATTTTGCAGCTGTCGAGGTGTCCGGCTACCCGTATCGCTCGGCGTGGTATTGACAGATGTTGGCATAGTAGGTTTGACCGGTGTAGTTTGCTTGTGTTGCGGCTCCTCCGCTGCTGGTTGCTCCTCTGCATCGTCTTCTAAAGCAGCGAAGCTAGGAAAGTCTCCATAGTCGGATTGAGAAGGTTGAGACGGCAGTTTAGGAGACGCTCCGGGTATTGGTGCTGAACGGGTTGTACTGGGAGGCGTTCGAGGCGCACTTGTAGAGGTGACAGGGTTTCTCTCAGTTGGTGTCATAGCTTTGAGCTGAGAATTGTACCAGCTCGAGTTTGATTGGTCTCGATACCCAACCCGAGGGGTGTTCGTTTGACTGGTAAAGCGACCATCGTCAAACTTGAGGACCTTCTGCGAGTGGCCCTCATCTACGACACGAAATTCGTGCCAAGGTAGTAATCGAGTAGCTTTAATACTCTCCGTGACCCATGCGGGCTTCACGATGCGGTATCGCCGAAATTCCTCATATTTCTTTGGGGTCAAAGAGCTCGCGATGATATGAGTTGCGACGGTCTTGCCATCCAAGTATTGAAGGAACCCACCGCCATGGCTGACAATGAGGCGGTGGAGGTCTTGTAGGGACGGCTGCGTGTAGCCGTTGACATGCGCGACGACTCCGCGAAATATCGGTGGACAGTCTCCGGACGAGGCTCGAATGTCTGCATCTAGATTCTGTAACTTGATTTTCTTGCGTCGCATATAATCTCCAAAGCCGCCAAAGCTGGAGGCTTCATACTCTTCGCCCGCCTCATCGTGAAAATCATCTATATCCGAGTTCAGCTTAGAATGTGGATCCTCAGTACTGGATGAAAGCGGATAAGAGCCTGCAGGACATACGGTTTTCGATGCGCTTGCGCACAGCGCTAGATGTTGCATCAAGTCGGGAGCCCATAGTGGGCCAGCAGGACCACCATGACCGTCCGTACACGACAGAACAGTCTTCAAATAGTCCGGATGAAGCCCAAGACTCGCGCGCGCCACATGAGAATCACGCGTCACCGGCAGAAATCAGGTGATAATGAGGCGGTGGATCCATCGGTGAGTGGAGGCAAGTCACGGGAGCGGTGAGAGTCTTAAATGTAACCTCATTGGCCTAATGAGTCGGGCAGAAAAAATTAATTAAAAAAAAAGAGCAGAGCTCCGGGCGATCTCTGTTGCTGCAGTTGCGGGTCGCATCTTTTTCTTCTTCCCATCCACGCCCGTTTCTCTTCGGTGGTTCATTTTCCTCTCTCCCTATTCATTCCCTTGTGTCGTCTGCATTTTCATTTTTCTTCCACCAATACCATACAAAAATGTCTGCCGTTCAGCCGGTTGCCGTCTATGCCCTCCGGGTTCCTCCCGGTGTTATGGTGCCCGCTGTGCCTAATGCCGCCGCCTCGGTCAGTATCAGATCTCACAATGCAGTCCGACTTTCTCGCTGACTGGATTTCTCTAGTTCCGTGTGAGCATGGCTGCTATCGACCCCGATGAGGAGCCTGAGTTCGATGACGGCGATTCCAGCAAGCCTGGTCGCGCAACCTTGAAGATTGTTCGCCCTCCTCCCGGTCTCGACATGGGCGATTCCGATGACGAGGACTACAGTGATGATGAGGACTACGATGATGAGGAGGACTCTGACGACGAGGAGGTCAATGGTGGCCCCAGCGACAAGGAGAAGGCCCGCAAGCTTAAGCAGGCCGCCGCCCAGAAGGAACTCGAGGAGGCCATGGAGGAGGACGATTCCGATGACGAGGAGGATGACGGTGGCTTCGACCTCAAGGCTGCTATCTCCAAGCTGATCAAGGGCAAGGGTCCTCTCACTGATGACGACGACGAGGAGGATGACGAGTCTGATGAGGGCCTGGACCTTGACGAGAACGTTATTTGCACTCTGTTCGCTGACAAGGTAAGGATTATCCTGATTCGCAATGAATGAGATGTTTGCTTCGATACTAAACTCCTTTCTGCAGAACTGCCAGCAGCCCCTTGACATCGTCGTCTGCGAGGGCGAGCCCGTCTTCTTCAAGAACACTGGTAACCAGACCGTTTTCCTCACTGGTAACTACGTTATTGGCCTCGATGAGGGCCACGACCACGACCACGATGAGGACGATGAGGACGACTACGACCTCTCCCCCGATGAGGATGAGCTTGACATGGAGGAGCTGATGGCCCTCGATGATGACGAGAGCGACGACCTGGATGGCATGGATGACCCCCGTATCACTGAGGTCGACAGCGAGGAGGAGGCCCCCAAGTTGGTTGAGGCTAAGGCCAAGGGCAAGGGCAAGAAGCGTGCCGCCGAGGAGGAGGAGACCCTCGACGACATGATGGCCAAGGGTGCCAAGGGCAAGGCCGCCAAGGAGGAGCCTGCTCTGACCAAGGCTCAGCAGAAGAAGCTGAAGAAGAACAACGGCGACGCCGCCGCCGTTGAGCCCAAGAAGGAGACCAAGGCCGACAAGAAGGTTCAGTTCGCCAAGAACCTGGAGCAGGGTCCTACCCCCAACGGTGACAAGCCCACTGGTACCCTCGGCGTCAAGGAGGTCAAGGGTGTCAAGATCGACGACAAGAAGCTCGGCAAGGGTGTCGCTGCCAAGAGTGGCAACACTATCGCCATGCGCTACATCGGCAAGCTCGAGGACGGCAAGGTCTTCGACTCCAACAAGAAGGGCAAGCCCTTCACCTTCAAGCTCGGCAAGGGCGAGGTCATCAAGGGTTGGGACATCGGTGTCGCCGGCATGGCCCCCGGTGGTGAGCGTCGCATTACCATCCCTCCTCACCTCGCCTATGGCAAGAAGGCCCTCCCCGGCATTCCCGCCAACTCCAAGCTGATCTTCGATGTCAAGCTGCTTGAGATCAAGTAAATTTTGGACTGATTTCTATATTCATATCTGTTACTTCGCAAGGGTGTTTTATTTTGTGGGTTTGCCGGTTTTATTGCATGATTCACCGTGATATCCGGCTTGTCTGTCTATTTATTGCCTGTCCTGCTATGGCGGAGATGAGGCATATCACGAGGAATTCATATTCCCTTTGCATGGAAAAAGTGCCCGATTTTGTTCTGTAATTTGTGTTATGTATTTGAATCAAACAGCCGCCTGGCTTTTCAGAGATGCTCATTCGGTTTTTCCCCATGTTTTAGTATTCGGTAGAATGACATGCTGTTTACAGCGGGAAGCCCTAATTCGCGCTTGCCACTTTGTCGAAGACTTGACTTGTTTCCCTTCCCATTCAAAATTTGCTTCTGATCTTTCAATATTAATGATTCGCAGTTCTTCGGATTGTCGAATCCAACCTGCAGCCAGTCACTTTCTATCGTTAAACAGTCAGCGTGCATGTCGCATGTATAGCCAACAGCCGCCCTGTCAACGGAGATCACCGTTCCTTGATCTCCGCTGGGCGAACCATATCCAGCATCTTACAAAATGACAGTCTCTTACGGAAAGAAGATGCGACGCCGACGAAGCGTATTCAATCTTTGGAATCAGACCAAAGTCACCCCTCGCCACAGCCAACCCTTCCCATCTCCAGCCGATACGGCAGTGTCAGACAGTACCCTATCTCCCAACCCCATTGACAGGGGCAGCAGAGCTCGATTCCGGTTCCGATTGACACGGAGCGGTTCGAAGTTCTTATTGTTACTCGGGTTGGGGAATTCATCCAATAGTGTGTTCTCATATGTCCTGGCCTGTTCCTAGCTTACTATACTGACTTTGGAATCACAGGCAACAAGACAAGCGTGGAATCCCGTGACGATGTTCAAAGCCCTGATGATGGCCAGCACGTTCTATCAGTCCCAGGGGCTGAGCAAAGTACCCCGATTTATATGAGAGGCAGTTGCTTCCTCGAGACCCAACCACTGATTGCCAATACTTCCGGCAACACAATACTGGAAATCCCGGACAATAATTCCTCGCAAGACCTAGTAGATGGCGAGTCATCAGACCGTAAGATTGATGCTCAAATCGACAGCGAGGATATCCAGCAAGATCGTGTTGAAGGCGATGACATTCATTCGAAAACTCCTGTCGAACCCCAAGGTCCGTCAAACTCGAGACTGGTGGACCGCGTTTCTCAAAGGCTCTCGTTAACATTCGGGCACCCAACTGTGGTTCATCGCACCCACCTGCGCTCCAGGCCCAGTGAAATTTTCCCTCACTCTCCAATATTGTCTAGCAAACAAGGGGATGGAGCCAACGACGACAGTTCCGATCCTTCGACCACTCCAAGCAGTAGTGGCTCTCCCATGGGTTGCTCAACACCTTGGACCCCAGTGACTTCCGGAGAGCCATCTCCTTCTTCATTGGAGAAGTACAAACCTGAAGTGAGCGAAATGTCTGAAATCTCAAACCGTGTCTCGAGCCCAGGACCGACGTCAAGCGGCAAGTCGCCCGTCACTGCTCCGTCGATTCTTACAGTGGAAACCGTGTCTGTCGCCAAGGTCTATCTTGAACTATACTTCAACTCCATTTTTGAGAATCCAGACCCTCGAGTCCAGCGTCATAACGAATTAGAGCAGCACATCTTTGCATTCCACCTTGGTCCCGAAGAGCAGGAAGCCACGCGACATAACTGGACCCTACAAGAGAATGCATATTTGCGGCAGTGTCGAATGTTGAAAACCCGTATGAAGTCTCCACGGATCAATCAAGCAGTCTCTGTTGCTGGATACGAAGTCATCAAGACGCTGGGGAAAGGCAGCTTTGGTCTGGTGTGTTTGGTGCGCGAGAAAGACAGCCGAGACATTTCCAAGGGCGATGATGAGAGCCCGACGCGTGATGCCATCACTTCCAGCACAAGAAGCCGTCATCTTAATATGATAAGATCGGCCGTTGATGGAGCCAGAAATAGCAGACGCAGATACATGACAGGTGAAAAGAAGGAAGTCTATGCCATGAAAGCGATCAAGAAATCGGACATGATCCGAAATTGCCAAGAGGGCCACATTCGAGCGGAGCGAGACTTTCTCGTTGCGTCTGAAAGATCTCGCTGGGTCGTTCCGTTGATATGCAGTTTTCAAGATGACAGCTACCTGTACCTCGTCATGGACTACATGGTTGGCGGGGATTTTCTTGGGCTTTTGATCCGCAGGGATATTCTGCGTGAAGAGTGGACACGGTTCTACATTGCCGAAATGGTTCTGTGCATCGAGGAAGCTCATAAGCTTTGTTGGATCCATCGTGACATCAAACCGGACAACTTTCTCATATCGGCGTCTGGGCATCTGAAAATCTCTGACTTCGGATTGGCCTTCAATGGACATTGGTCTCATGACCAGGCATATTACAACAACCACCGCTATTCTCTGTTGGAAAAGCTTGGTATTAACATCAAAGGCGACGCTGAAGATCAGGCTCTGGCTGCCGAAGCGGAGAAAGACCCGAACCTGGATCCAAATGCAAAAGAGCAGAGTGAGTTTAATCAGTATCATGTGCCTTCAACGGGTCTTCTTGCTTGGCGAAACAAAAAAGAGCGACGGCGATTCGCAAAGAGCGTGGTTGGCACCAGCCAGTACATGGCACCAGAGGTCATCCGTGGAGAGATGTATGATGGAAGATGCGACTGGTGGAGTTTGGGTGTGATTCTCTACGAGGTAAGTGAAGCTTAGTCTTTCCAAAAGGGAACAGCGCTAAACTTACATTTCCAGTGTTTATATGGCTTCACTCCCTTTGCCTGCGAGACCCGCTATGACACTAAGATCAGGATTCTTGTAAGTGACACCGAGAATCCTCTTTTCTACAGAAACAGTTTAACAATGCCATTCTCTAGCAACACTCCAGAACTTTGATATTCCCGAGAGAGAGTCCAACAGAGAAATTGGTATCACAAGAGGCTATTGATCTCATTGCAAGACTGCTTCAAGAGCGTCAATTCCGACTGTGCTCTCCGAGATACCGAGCAAATGACATGTTGGCTGGTCAACCTCCATCGGCTCAATTTCTGTACTCAATGGATCCCCGATACAAAAACTACACGAGCTATTGGGTGTACCCCAATGACGCAACAGACATCAAAATTCACCCATTCTTCAGAGGCATTCGGTGGGATGACCTCCATATGACTCGGCCACCACATATCCCGAGAGTCAAAGACTGGGAAGATACTCGTTACTTTGATGGCTGGAAGAACGTCGAACAACTCGAGGCGCAAGCAGAGGAAAGTGACTCAGAGGAAGAGTCTGAGGAGAACATTGACGCGAAGCCCCAGGCTGCCTCTACTGGTAACATGGCCGCACCTTCTCCTGACAATCCGCTTTTCCAACGGCCAGTACCAGGAGGCGATGCTATTTTCCCGGTGGTACCACCCGCCCAAGCTGTTGCAATGAACGCGCCCACCCAGAAGACAGAGAAACAGAAGGAAAGAAAACGACCACGAGACAAGATTTTGCGGGATAGAAAAGTTGGCAAGACAGCCTTGGAGATTCGCAAGAGAGGTGCCTTCTTGGGATACACATACCGACGACCGAAGGGTCCAGCCATGGCCTTGAGAACTGAACGAGGACGACAGCCATTCGCCAGGGGAGCACTCGCAGATCTCTATACCCCATGAAAGTGGTCGCATGGAAGCCTTTGAGCTTTCTACTTTCAGAGAAGTCTTGGTTTTGATTACACACTTTGGCTTTGGAGGTTGTGGACTTTCTTTTATCAGCATATTCATACCCACTCCCTCTTCCCTGCAGGATGCACCGTGTTCTGGAGCTAAGCTTGAAAGCTTGCTCACTTATTGCTTGATATTATTATAGCTCTAGGCTTAAATGAGTTCCCCTTGCTTGAGTTGTGCTGCTCTCTATTAAACTCGGAGTAAATGATTCCCAGGGGTCTCTCCACTAGTCGTCGATGTAGAGGCATGGGAGATTCCGAAGAGATCCCACGTGTAACTCCTCGTAAAGACTACAGGGAATTAACCATTCTTCAAAAGAATGAAATACTCCATAATGTTGATTGTATTGATGTATCTGATGTAGAATATGATGTACAAGAAACAGAAAAGGCATCGTATGCAGGACATACCCCGACCAGACCATGCTGGTCAACATATTAAAAAGGGAGTCAACAAATCAACGTACAGAGCATTCTGTCTCCAGCCTTCGGGATATGATAGAGAAAAGCCTGAAAGACAGAAGAAGTCCCGATATTTGTGCAATCATAGCGTGGGTATCATATTGAAAGGATGCACAGAAAAGGGACCATTCCACGGGATTGTTTTTTGATTGTGTGGAACTTCTTGGTTTGAAGAACCGTTTAGATGATAGGTGCACTCATGGAGAATGCCGAGTCTGTTACCCGATCCTCCGGCTTCATCGTACCGTTCAGCAGAGGACAAAGCTTCTTATTCGTCTTGATGTGTCCGACCTGGCCGCAGTTGGCGCACTTGCGTTGTGTTCCGGCAGGTTTACCATCCGCAGGAGACTCCCCAGCACGAGAGATGCCCTTTTGCTTCTCGCGCGCGAAACGACGTTCCTTGTTTCGGTTCAGACGGCTTAGTTCGGCCTCGATCAATTTGCGGTTACGAGCGTCAACCTCGGGGTCACCGGTTGGTTGGAGAGATTCCAGTTTGGTGGTGAGAGCCTCGGAGCGGTGACGGTGCTGGATGTATTGTCTGATGACGCGCGGGTCCCAGACGAGTTGTTCTTTCTCCAAGATTTCACCGTTGGGGGCCTTGAATTGGCGGGTGATGCGCAGGACCTTGCCTTTCTGACTCGTGAAACTCATCCGACTGAACTGACTGGTTGTTTCATCATCGTATCGTCGGGTAGGCGCAGGTGTCGGAGCTTCAGATCGTGGGGTAGGCTTGCTGAACTCTTCCATGTCGCCTCGATCGACGTCGCTTTCTTCGTCCGAGTGCTCAATAGTGGAGGACAGACTTGCCCTTTGGGCATCCCAAATTCGGCGGATGGAGGTTTCGTATGACTTTTGTTGACGTGCGACGTTATAGCTATGACCGCCGAGCTCCTTAAGCCTCTGTGCGTCAAGCTTATCCTCAACACTTTCACCAATAGCCTTGAAACCACCTTTCATCGAGGTTTTGATGAAACTGAAACCTTCACCACGACCGGTGGGATCACCTTCGCCATGAAGTTTGAGCATGGCTTTGCCCTGGGAAGCCAGCAAGAAGTTGCGCGATGCCTTCCAAGGAGCCATCAGTTGTTCGAAACTCTCGCTTTCCTCGTCCTCGTCATTCTCATTGCCATTTTCAGCGTCGTTGCCAAAACCGGTATCGTGAAGATGTTGTTGGCCGACCTGCATAGACTCTAGCAGACAAACATCCTCTGGCTGAACCCAAGACCGGATGGTGTCTTGATCAGGGAGGACGGGATCCAAAGGTTTCCAGTACTTGGTATCCTTGTCGTGCTGTAAGAAATCTTTGACTTTTTGCCGATTCTGCATGTCTGTTGTACCAGGTATGTGGGCCGTGACATCAGAGATTGCAAGTCGTTCGTCCGAACTCTTCTTAAGAAGTCGGTAGACGAGCATCTTCATTCGATTCTTAGCGACGGTGGTGACTTTGCGTGAGTGTGGGCCAGGGATATCAACGGATGGGAACTGCTGTCCAGCGATAAAGAAGTTCTCAATGTTGCGGATGTAGTAACTCATGCCCATCGAGCCAGTCGTACTGCGAATGACCAGGAAATCGGTCGACTTGGCTTGATGCGGAAACAATGGCGCCCGGTACATTGAGTTGGAGATTGCTGGGACAATCTCACCGGGGTCAACATGCCCGAAGATAGAGAAAGGACTTTTATCTTGCGGGAGCAAGACCGCAGTTTCACCAATTTCTGCCTTCGGGCGAGTGGGGTCTTCTGGGTTCTTCCTTCGGTAGTAATTGATGAACCGGTTGCACATGCCGAAGTTGGAGAGCACCATGGGAACCTCCTCAGAATACTCCACTAGCAAGACGCTAGAGTTATCGGCCAGGGAGAGTGACTTGGTTGAATCGAAGAGAGCCTTGGCATCCTTGCCTTTGAGATGCTTCCGTTTGACATGTCCCGGGTTCTTAAACCAGGACGTTTGTGCAGTCCGGAAACTCAAAGCTGGTCTGTGGAAAGATCGAGCTTCTGCTTTTTGTAGCTCAGTCTTGTAGTAGGGCCACTGCAAGCGCAAGGCTGGCAGAGCATGTTCGAGAGTAACATTTCCAAGAGTACTCCGAATCTTGTTCTGGTGATTTTGCTTGAGCATCTCGTATGCCTGGTCATTCGAGATGTTGTATCGCGAAGTGAGCTTGCGAGTTAGGTTCGTGTCGACATCCTCCCTATTTCGGGGACCAGCCTGTTTGGGCTTGGGGAGCACCGCGTCCGGCCTCAACTCTTCCACAAGGATATTGGGGTCGTTCATGTCAATAGTCACTCTCTTCGCAATCTGTGCAACCGCCTGTTCCGGCTCATCTAGAAGAGGAATGTCAAGGTGGGAGAGGGCGATAACGTCGATGGGTGTTGGCCCAGTCTTGCGCTTTTTAGGTGGATTTTCTTCCATCAGCCAATCTGCATCATCGTCGAAGAGGTCGGTAGACTCATGTGGCGCCGGAGCAGTAATGATAGGCTCCTCCTCTGCCGTCGGGAGGATTTCATCCTTGACATCCCAGTCGACACAGATAGTGCGGAGGTCTTGCATGGTGAATCCTCCTGGGAGTATTTCATCCGCATCAGCATCACCCATGTCAAAGTCTTCCCTCTCCTCCTCTTCCTCTTCTTCCTGGGCGGCTTCAGTGATAACAACAATACCCAAAGACTCATGATCCAGACCGCGTTTGTTTGACTGGCCGGTTCTGAACACGCGTTCCTGGTCAGGAGCGAGTTCGATGTTGACTTTTGTAGGGAGAACTGGCTTGGGGACCTTGAGAGGCTGTTTTCCAAGGTAGAACGCCTTCTTGTGTGGGATGATCTCTAGCCAACGAGGGAGGGTGTTGCGGTCAAAGCTGGGGAACAGGGAGTGCAGAAGCTCCTCGTGATTCTCCGGTGGCGCTGGTAGATGGTCGGGACCAGTCCTCCCGGACATCGCAAACAACTGTTGTTGGAGCTTCCATGCGCGCAGAGTCGCTTCGTCCATTTCCTCCGAAAAGACACTGGCATCATCGAGAATGTCGTCCTCGTCCACATCCTCAGTCATGCGCTGATCCTGGGCTTCCTTTACGGGCGGAATCGGCGGTAGCTCGACGGGCTGCGTTGTCAACGACGGTTCTTCATCTTCAAAGAGGTCCCGGGTATCATCCGCCTGGCCAGCAGGAGGGGGAGAAAAGGGCCCTTCGCCGAATAAATCATCGAGGTTATCGTCCTGAGCCTGTTCGCCTTCGCCGGTCCCTCCAAAGATGTCGTCACTCGGTCCAAAGAGCCCAGCATCGTCAGCTCCTAGGTCTGCGAAAAGGTCATCGTGCGCGTCGTTCGTGGATGGCCGCTGCGTCGCTTCCGGCTCTTCCTCATCGGGAAGTTCATCATCCTCAAAGTCTTCGTAGTCGACCGCGTCATCTGCCTTCTCTCCAACATCCAAATCTCGGGTGAGGAAGTCAAACTGTGGGCCGCCTTCGTAGTTGTTCAACTGGCGCATAACATTGTCGAACTCCGCATCTTCAGGGGCCTCCTGGGCCTGGTTCTGAGTAGCGTGAGGCATGTTGCGATGAGTGATGAGAAAATGTGAAGAGGAGCGGGAGGACGGTGAGTGTAGGGTACGGCGCGGTCGAACGTCAAGGTTAAACGAGTGGTTGGGGATGCCAGAGACTGGCGCAGGACGTTGGTGAAGGTCGAGCGGGTAGGCAACAAGAGAAGAACCAAGTTGCGCGCATCGAGTTGGCTATCCCGCCAGAAGTGATGGGAAAGTTGACTGAAGGCCTCGGCGGCGCGATCAAAACGAGAGGAAGAAGGGATGTGGTGAGTTGCCCAAAGTGGTTTAGTGCCGTACCGGAGTACCTGTAGCTCTCCTCCCCACTTCGACCTCGTCAATTCTCAACTCTCTTCTTGACGATCACATCTCACTTTTACCTTTGATATAGGATATAGCCCTTGTATTTTTATTGTAACTGTTTGCTTATATTTATCAATATGGGACAGTCCGAATAATGTTCTCCCACGTTTATTTGAGGAGGAAGTCTTCCCATACTCTCTAAACTAACCACGATACATACGACTTAGTGCTAATACAGCACAAGACAGTTATACATGGGCCTGATAGTGGTGCCTAGACTTCTTATCACTGATCACTCATCTGGTCGAGTAAGAGTGATGGCGACACTGAGAGCTATAAAACATGTTTATTCATTCCTTGACCAAACTCGGCCCTGAAATGGCCCTTGAGCCTACCACGATGAAGGCCCGTCACTACTGCCAGAGATCTAGCCTATAAGGGGCGAAATCTCTTCTTTCTTGAGCTATCCAATGGAAATACTAGGTGTGCAATAAGTTGAAGGTTGCGTTTCAGAAGCCGTTGAATACTAAAGATCAAGAGATCAGCATAGCCGTAGCCCGTCAAATACACTAACCCAATTAGGCAATTAGCTTCGAACGCTGGATAGAGCTCGAGGAGATGTAATCATTTTGAACATTTCATTTCATTAACGCTTTCATTAGAGTTGAGGCATAAGCTAAGAGAAGGACCTGCCTATGAGTGGTTATTAAAATCGCCGTAGAAGATACACAGCGCTTTGCTATGCCCATCCATGCAATAGTGCATCACCTCGGCCTTGCGACCCTCAGGCACAAACTTGGCCATCTGCCTCACATCTGATGTCCGGGGCAGATACAGAGCGACGTGAGGAGTGAAAAGCGAATACTCCTTGTAGAGTTTTTCGAGGGAGTATGGCTCCATGGTCCGTAGGTTGAAGACCTGATCTGAACGATATCCCGGGCCTAGCACGCAGATGTCAGTGAGGTTCATTCGAGGGGAAAGGTTGATGGAACTTACCACCCCAAGGTGGGCTTGCAAAAATCACACTGTATGGTGCTAGATCTTTTAATTGGTTCTTCAGGATCTCGAAGCAGTCGCCCTCGAACCAGGTGATCTTGTCCTCAACACCGTAGATCTTGGCATTGTGTTTGGCACATTGCAGAACGGCGGGGTTTTTCTCGATGGCATAGACACGCTTCCATTTGCCTGTCTTTGCGAATGCGATCGTATTGCCTCCCGCGCCGGCAAAGCAATCCACCAAGATACAGCGCCCAGCCGGAGCGTTCTCAACGAGATGTGTTGCTATTTTGCTGTTCAACGCGTCAGCAATGTACTATTGCAAGATGAGAAAGGCATATCAAGGGCACACAAACTTTGCCACTGGTTCTGGAGTAACTCCAAACCAAGCATCATCCGTCAACCATACTCCATCGTCATATCGGGAAAAGATGCGGTGCCGTTGAGACCAGTAACTAAGAAAGAGTCAGAGCTGACATGATCGCCCGGACGGGATATTGGAAGAACCGTACTTTTGAATATCCCAGGGAACTTCTTCAATACTTTCGTAATGATGCACCTCTGGCGGTGCCACTTCTTCCTCCGCCATGTCGCAAAGTCCGGTGGAGATATAAATCGCAAGTCTTCGATAACGAGCCACCCGATAAAGAAATCAAAATTTGTTTGCTCTGTTTGCACCAACATCCGGCCAGCTCGCATGCCCGCCATAGCTTCCCCGAGTATGACCCCGATCCTTTACCTCCAATAAAGCCTAAACCCAGTGCAAGTTTGATTGAGAACGTCATGTTTGGTGCGCTTAATCGATTTATTGGACGGCTGGACGGCGAGCCTGTCCAGCAACCTCGAAATGGCCCAAGCGACAATGCCTATGGTTTCCAAGTACTCCGCAACAAAGACACCGAGCTGCCCTTGGAGCCTTGGTTCGACTTTATTGTAGGAATTAACGGCCATCCTATTGTGAGTACACTCATAGAATCTCATTAACAGGATACGCGTGATGCTGATACCTACTCTTAGGAAGATCCAGACCCGAACCTCTTTGCGACGGAAGTGCGCAATTGCGCCGGCTCTAGCTTGACGCTGGAAATATGGAGTGCCAAGGTACTTTGAGACTGTCCCAATATATTACTATGGAATGGCAATTAACCTCTAGCGCTTTCTTCACAGGGCCAAAGAACACATACAGTCACAGTCCCCGTATCGGCGACGACGCCCTCCCTCGGCCTCGCGCTACAACTTGCCCCCCTTTCCTCTACCCAACACATCTGGCATGTCCTCGGAACCCCATCGCCACTGAGCCCAGCCTACCGCGCAGGACTCCTGCCACATTCAGACTACATCATCGGCACACCGAGCGGGACATTACGCGGGGAATCTGCGCTCGGGGAGCTGGTAGAGGACCACCTTGACCGCACCCTCGTTCTGTGGGTATACAACAGTGAATTCGACGTCGTACGGGAGGTCGAGCTCGTCCCTACGAGAGGATGGGGTGGCGAAGGTGCCCTTGGCGCTGAACTGGGCTACGGCGCTTTGCATCGTCTACCAATTGGACTGGGCGAGGAAGTGGAGGGACCTGGCGAGGTTGTCTTTGAGACGCGCGAAGATGGATATCCCGCGCCAATGCCGAATTATAACGGAGCTCCGGCGACGACTGAACCCTCTGCAAACTACCTCGTCCCGGCAAATATGGTCTCACCCCCTCCTCTTGCGTCTCAAACAAGAGTGACTTCACCCCCGAGTGGAGCATCACCCGCGAACCGACGGAGTGCCAAGGCACGACACGGCGTCTCTCCTAACAGGGCGTTTGACGATTACTTTGCCGAAGGCGAAATGAAGAGTAAGGAGCAAGACTTTGCACCTTCGAGGAAGGGAACGCCTCTGCCTCCTCCGCCTAAAATTGGTGCCCCGCCCTCTAATTCGAGCAGTCCAGCTCCGGCCACGGCTGAAGTAGCAGGGACTGTGGAGGCGATGGAGGGAGAACCTGGTCCAGCTCAAGAAGAATAATGATACAATTCTTGTTGAAGCTGGATTTGATGTAGACTGCATGAGTTTAACCATTATACCAATTACAATAGTTTTTCCAACCCGAACAACTAGTTAGCATACTGCCAAGTATTGGAACACTTTTTTGTTGAACCAAATGATATTTTTTTTGTCAAACAAAGGGGACGTCCGGATTATATCATCGGATCTACGAGTTCTAAGCGTACATATGCAAAAGATGAAACTCCTCCCCGACCACCCAACGGTGACCGGACTCAAGCCGAGCGAATATAAAAAGTCTAGTGACCCTTGCTCACCAACTCCTCGAGCTTCTTCCGGGTCTCACCAATCTTGTCCTCCATCATCTGGCGGGCCATACCGCTGTGCGCAATGCCGGTATACCAGATGTGCTCCGCCCGCTCCCGAACCGCAAGGTGCTTCTCCGCAACGACGGGGAACTTCTTCTCATACTCCCAAGCCAGATCGGAGACGTTCTTCATCGTGACGGGCAGGAGAGTGAAGGCAGCGACGGTACCGAAAGTAAGCGGGGACAAAGTGCGGAGGAAGACGCCGCGGTTGCGTGACACGATGGAGCCGGCCATGGCAGACACGATAACGTAGATACCGCCGGGAGTCAGGCGCTCACCAGACTCGGCAGAAGGCGCGAGCGAAGCAATGGTGTTGGTGAACGCGTTCTCGATGTGCAGAGCGCGGGACAGGAAGTCGTTGAAGCTGTTCTCCGCGGCGAGGGAGTGGGAGTAGAGGAAAAGCCGGGCTTGCCGGATCTGAGCAGTCAGGATGTCTGTGGGAGTGGGCGAGGAGGAGGTGGATTGCGATGTGGGCAGAGAAATCGCCTTGGGAGCCGGAGCTGCGGGCTTGGAGAGTTCCGGGATATCGGATGGGAAGTCATCGTAGATGGGCTTGCGCTGTATTGGGAAAGTAGGCGCGAGTCAGAAAGAGCTATCCCGGAGGCAAAATATCAGGAACGAGCAGATTTAGCTCATCTCACCTCGCGAGGCTCCTCGGCGAAAGCAGTCTGCTTGGGGTACAAGGCCAGACCTCCTGCGAGGAGGGTGGCTGCGATCGGAGCCACAGCCCGCTATCATCAAGTTAGCACGCCATTGAACAGTCAATTGCACTGGGAAGACTCGATATCAACTATCGGCGATCAGACATACCTGCTTCAACATCGGCCGGAATGACATCCTGGGGGGTGTGGGGTGATGAAGCAGAGGGTTGATGGGTTGAGGGTGAAGCAAAGTCGGGTTGGAGCCAAGAACGGGAATTCTTCGGCTCGGCGGAACCCAAGAAAACTCCCCGTCATTGCCCGTGTCCCCTTCTCTCATCTCCGCATTCGCAGCCCCAGGTTTCTTATGGTTTTTTTGTGCATTGGTGGCATTTTCCCGATTTTAATACTCTTGTTTTGAATATTTTATACAGCTTCTACCATGCTCCGCCCTCTCGGGCGACGGTCGTGGACGTGCCGCAAATGTCTTTCTCAACGACAATCACGAGCCTTCGAAACCGCCGCGTCGCAAGCCCCCAAATTCCACGCCGATTACGTTCCAGCAGACAATACCGCACCGAGAAAGACTATTGATGATGAAACTCTACGCCGTGTGTTCGACTCGCAGCAGTTCTGGAAAGAGTTCTCGTACAAACGCGGCGCAGCCTCCAAGCGGGCAGGGTTGGTTCAGAACCAATACTTGACAAGCCCAGATGGCTTCCGAACTTTTGCCAACGTGTCGTTGCAGAAATGCCAGGCGATCGTGACAAAGGTATTACAAGCGTCTACATTGGATGAATATCGGGCGCTGGCACGGAATCTCGATCGGCTCAGTGATCTTCTATGTCGCGTGATCGATCTTTCCGATTTCATTCGAACGATTCATTCCGATCCCCGCATTCAAGAAGCAGCGACGCAGGCGTACGCGCTCATGTTCGAATACATGAATGTCTTGAACACCACTACGGGCCTTCACGACCAGTTGAGCAAGGCTATTGCGAATCCTGAGGTGACCTCGCACTGGACCGAGGCGGAGACAATCGTGGCACAGATTCTCATGAAGGACTTTACAAACTCGGCCATTCATATGCCGCCAAGTGAGAGGCAGAGATTCGTGAATCTGTCCAACGATATTAGCCAGGTCGGCTCCGACTTCTTTGGTGGCGCAGAGCCAGCCAAGTCTCAGGTGGTCTTCAATGCGAATAGCCTCCAAGGCCTGGATCCGTTGATGGTACAGCGAATTAAGAAGTGGAATAACAAAGCTCCGGTGCCAACGGCCGGTATAGTCCCCCGACTTGTGCTACGATCTGTACGAGACGAGTCCGTTCGAAAGGATGTATACCTTGCGACTCGAACGTCTAGCTCTCGCCAAATTCACCGATTGGAGAAACTTTTGATGAAGCGATCGGAGCTGGCACAACTCTCCGGCTACAATAGTTTCGCTAATATGACACTGAGCGATAAGATGGCCAAGACACCCGAGGCAGTGTCTAACTTCCTCACGTCGCTGATCTCGAGCAACCGAGGACTTGTCAGTGAAGAGCTGTCCCAGCTGCAGCAAATGAAGGGTAGCTCGCTGCAGCCATGGGATCATGCTTATTATGTACACAAGCGAGTGATGGAGTATTCTCAGGCTCGCCGCTCACGTGAGTTAAGCTCCGTTCCCGAGTTCTTCTCTCTGGGTACCGTCATGCAAGGCCTTTCTCGACTGTTTGATCGTCTCTACGGTGTCCGGTTGGTACCTCAGGAGGCTGCTCCTGGTGAGACCTGGCACCCAGATGTCCGTCGATTGGACGTGGTCAACGAGGCCGAGCAGCATATTGCAGTCGTCTACTGTGATCTGTTCTCGCGACCTGGCAAACATCCTAACCCTGCCCATTTTACCCTCCGTTGTTCGCGTGAGATTTTAGCTGATGAGGTAGCGGAATGTGCCTCTATGGATCAGTCCGTTCACCCGAACGATGGCATGGCGACCGCGGTTGACCGGCAGACGAACACTTTGCGCCAGCTGCCCACCATTGCTCTCGTGTGCGATTTCCAGGAACCTGTCACAAATGGCTCTGGTCGACCGACACTCTTGAGCGAGCAAAGCGTGCGCACTCTATTCCACGAGATGGGCCATGCTGTTCACTCGATCTTGGGCCAGACCCCCCTCCAGTCGATTTCCGGCACTCGATGCTCGACCGACTTTGCCGAGCTTCCTTCCGTGCTTATGGAGAGCTTTGCTACCGCACCGGAAGTGCTTTCGCTCTACGCACGACACTGGAAGACGAACGAGCCTCTGTCGGAGAGCATGATGCGTAGCATGGAGCAGGACCGTAATGCCCACGGATCGATCTATGGAGCCGTTGAAAATGAGGCGCAGATCCTCATGGCTCTAGTTGACCAGGCCTACCACTCGATCCCCTGCGACCAAGCAGCCAATGGCATCGACACCACCGATATCTACCACAAGGTGTTCAATCAGTATTCGAGCCTCCCAGACCCCGATGATATTCGGCCCCGGACCTCCTGGCAAGGCTTCTTCGGCCACCTGTACGGCTACGGCGCTACCTACTACAGCTACATTTTCGATCGGGCAATTGCCAACAAGATCTGGCAGGATGTCTTCCTTTCTGGAAAGGCTGCGGTGGATCGCGCCGCAGGTGAACGATACAAAAACGAAGTTCTTCGCTGGGGAGGTGGCCGCACAGGCTGGCAGTGCGTCGCAGGCGTGTTGGGCGAAGATAACCCCTCCAATACCGACGGCCGATTGGTCGAAGGTCGTGACGAAGCCATGCGTGAGGTTGGCCGCTGGGGCCTCGGGAGAGACGGGGTGTCTGGCTGATACATTTGCTGCAAACTTGTAATCTTTATAATGATATCCTGTATATGTCCAAATCATATTTCCGAGTGACTGCATCTAACCAGATCCCGGGTTGCAGTTCGCCTCTACAAAGTATAAACCTGGTTATTGCATGGGTGTCCCCGGCCTAGTAGTTCACCGTTGTAGATCAAAAAGAAGACCGCTCGCTTGGCAGCAGCAAGCCCGATCCCACCAGACAGGACTAGTATGCACGAGGAACCTTTCGCTCTGCATCAATATTGGATGAAATTGTCTCGGACCAGCCAAGTTATCAGCCAGGCTTCGTAGGTGGCGGTTGGTGGGGAGCGGTCGCAATGTCTCACTCGTCGTTGGAGTGTCTCACCGTGCGATAAGACCGCCTGCGCCCACGCGATCAAGTCCTCAAACTCTCCTGGCAAACTGGTGCTATTATATATGCCAATTGTCGGTAATCTGAGCCGATGGCATATTGAAATTTGAAGATTGTTTAGAAGGGTTGGCAATGCCTTTCATAATATCCTGGGGGCCCGTGGTTCTTGGGGATACAACAACAACTGCGTGTGCTGCACGCCCTAGTCATATCGTGCAGGTGGCTGGCTGCAGTGGTACGCCCCCGAGAGAATGAAAAAGGCAAAGAGGGGAGTGCTCGTGAAGCTTGTGATCGTCCAGGCAAAGGCACAGCTGCCTAGTTATAGTTACTCCAGGGTCGCATTCTCGATAACTTCCGGGCGTAGATCTTGTATATCTTTCCTCCCAGACCCTGTTCTACAGTTCTACACTCGAGACTTGTGGATAAACTACCTGAGAGCTTGGCGTACATGAACACCTCTCCAAGTACTGTGATAATGTGGGTACCTATTTCTCGCTTTGTTAATCTGGGCTTGGGCTCATAGCTGTCTCAAGTTCTCAACTGACTTGGCTTAAGTGTGGTGAATTCCCGGTCCTAAGAGTCCGTCTTACGCTCTGGATATTCACCATAGGAATGGCATGATCTATCTACTTCCATCTATGCTTTCGACATCCTTATCAAACCATCTACACGCCAGTCTCCTACAATCTCGAAGACGAATCCTTCAATATGCCTGAATTACCATTTGATAGCGATAATGAATCCGTCCATTCCTCCTTTACCACTTTCTCCACAGCCTATCAATACATCCATCCACAACCCCGTCAACTTCGCCGCAAAAATACAGTGACCCAACTGACGCGATGGGTTTCAAAGAGGATCTCACGTCCATCCATGACAGACAATATTCGGGGAAATGAGCTTAGCGAGCAAAACCTCAAGGAGCTGAACAAGGCAATCGATGCGGAAGCAGAGAGCCATGGTTTCGAACAGACCAAAACCGACTCAGGCACTGCCTCCTTCGTTAAGGAACGGAAGGGAACGTTTGAGACTATCGGTGAGATCGAAGAGGAACAAATTCCAAAACTGAATCTCGAGAGAGAACGTGAATTACACGTGCGACGATCCTATGCTGCCTTTTGTGAAGACTTCACTCTATCGGGTTCTCTGGGCCCGAAGCGGATATTTCATATGACCATGGGAATGGACGATCGCATAGAGGACACAGAGCAAATGGAAAGCTCTACCAGAGATTCTATATTAGAATCCCGACCAAGCTATGGTGAAGCACGACAAAAATCTTTGGAGCCCGTCTTACCACATACAGAAAGGAGATCAAATACAACGGAGCCGTCAAAAAATACCCTGGATGAAGACCACGAAGACCTGAAGTCTCAAATACTACCTACAACCTATCCTCACCCACCTTCTGCGATCATGACGCCCGCTGTCTACAAGGAGATGCAACGCGCAGCTCGAGAAAGGAAGCGTGCCCGAAAACAGAAGCTCTTGGGGCCCTTTCGGGCATTGTTCCTGAAGGTACAGCCTTTGCGAACGGAGGTGTGATATGAAGAGAAAGGCCAAAATTGGCAAATTAATAATCTCTGAGGACTGCTTCGCATTCCCTATACCAGCCAGGTACATCCATATATAGTTAATCCAACCCCAACGAAATACTTCAGCCGAGGTCCCATAGTCGAGCTTACATAGAAGCAGACCACAACCTAGGAGCGAATAATTTCTTATGATCATAATATACCGAGGAACAAGTATCCCAACATTCCAGGCTGATTCTAAACGGCAACGACTGCGTTTTGTTGAGACCATTACGTGACTCAGCAAATACGAGGCTGTCCAGAACACAGGACGCCACCCTGGACTTATAAGCTGATGGCCCCGCCAAATCAGTTGAACTAAAATCAAACGTCAACTTCTATTGCCGTAAGAGAATAAACCATTAATCAGCATGGAGACCTCGGCAAGTTATGACGGTAGCTGTCACTGTGGACAGGTGAAGTATACGGTGAAGATATCACCACCAATCTCGGAGCAGACTGTGATACAGTGCAACTGTAAGAATATGATCAATTCGAGTTTATTCTCAATGTATCCTCAAGGACCGACATCAAAAATCTTCTTCTAGGCTCAATCTGCCACATCAACGGCTATTTGATGATTTACCCCAAGACAGCCGATGTCACTTTCCACCACGCCGATGATGCTGTGAAGGTCTGCTGAACAGATAGATATATCCGAGATATTGCACTAATTATGAACTCAGGAGTATCGATTCGCGTCAAAGAATGTCCCGCATTACTTTTGTACCAATTGTGGTACCAGTGTTTACGGCAAAGCTGAGATACCGGAGAAGAGACATATCATGGCTGTCAACGTATGGCTTCTAGTCCTTGATTATGACTTGACTACCCGACTGATACATAGCTATATACAGGTCCGAACTCTGGCTGGAATCGATCTTAAGACGTTGAAGATCCATAATCATGATGGAAGAGGTGACTCCTAAGTCTAGGGTGAATTGTATGCCAAAATCTGAGGCTGGCGTAGTAAGAAGCAGACTGGTGATTCACAAGACGAACATATTTCCAAAAGAAATACAATTTGAGGTTCTTTTCTTACTTCGACTTTTACATAACTTTAAAAACTGCTAAATCGATCAGCCAATCTGGGGCGATGACAGGCATCCCGAGCCTGAGGAGCCACTAGACTGAACATTAATCCCGGAGGTCCAATGCTGCCCCCCGGTTCCAATCGTGAATAACAGCTTTCCGCAGACGCCGAACAGGACTAAGTAACTAGTGGAAGTGACATTGATCGCATCGTCCTTTTTAGCTTATGAGCATGCATCTGGTCGGGATGACGAATTTGAGGGGTCTGGGGGCTGCAACGACGAGCGAAACGACACATATGAAAAAAAATTGAATGCAGTCCTGATCGAGGGATGAAAACATTTCCAATGATGAGGTTATCTTTACCTTCTAGATATTCCCTGGAATTTCACTCGAATGATGGGAATTTTCAAGTTCATATGCTTGTTTATGTTCAGCTAAAACCCTCCGAGGAAGCTCCACCACCACGGACGGGACTTGCGTACCTTGACCCGGCTGTCATGGTCGAACTGTGGAAACAGATGTCGTGATGCATGAAATTAACTTCCGTCAGCCTATAGAGTACGATATTTGAAAGTCCTAGCTCATTGATTTGATAAGAAACGCGAGAAACGCCGGTCGTTGTCCAGTCCTTACCCCGTATGACGTGCTTAATTCTACGGATGAAGCAAGCAAAATCGACCCATTTGACGTCTCAACCACGAGGGGGAAACAGCAAATAAGTATATATAGGCTTGAAAGATCCATTTCAAGGGTACGACCACACGGCCTTCTCGCGCAAATCTTGTCTTTGTACCAACAAAGCTCTGCTTTTCTGGCCTTAATTTCTTATGAATATATAATCGCAAAGGACACCTGCTTATACTCTACACTGTGTGTCCCTGCCGTAAACATGTCATCCTGGGATGACAAGGAGAAGACTGCCAATGCGGTTGCGCATTCAGCTTCAGGGTCAGACGACTATGCCATTCGAGAGGGAAGCGCGGAATACACAGCTGCCGAAGGCTTGAACTCTTCGACAGTGACGTATCAAGATGCGAGTGGTGCCCCCGTCGAGACAGAATCACCTCTAGGGTACTCCGTCGACGTCCTAGTCGGATTCTGTCTGAACATCAATCAAATGGTCGGAACTGGTATCTTCTCAACGCGTGAGTAGACTAGCATCTTGTTCATTTCCCCGGCCCCAGCCCAGTCCAAGATACTGACATAGACACAAGCCGCTACAATTCTGAAGGGTGTCGGATCCGTGGGTCTTACAATGATATACTGGTTTCTCGGATACTTGATTGCCCAGTGTAGTCAGGCTCTATACCTCGAGTACACGGCCTATTTCCCCAGCAGGTCGGGATCGGATGTCGTTTATCTGGAACAAGCGTTTCTGAAACCGAAATACTTGTTCCCAACGGTCTTTGCGATGAAGCATGTTATTTTTTCCTTTGCCAGCAGTAATGCGATTGTCTTTGCAGAGTATGTCTTTGCGATTGGTGGGATATCTTATACGAATTGGCAGTTGAAGGGAGTTGCCGTTGCGGCGTACACACTTGCACTGATTGGTTAGTCATGGATTCGGAAATTACGAAGAGACAAATGGCTAAGAGATACAGTGGTTGCATCAAATACCAAATGGTCCTTGAGGTTTGTGGTTTGGTTTGGAATTGTCAAACTTCTGACCCTGGTGTTGTAAGTTTGACCCTGGGACGAATACAATGACGATCCCCTATGCTTACTTCTTCTGATATAGAATTTCAATCGCCGGATTGGTCGTTCTGGGTGGCCACACCAAAGTGGCAGACCCCATGGCAAATTGGCGACATGCATGGGAAGGCACATCGAATGCTAGCGCCTATGGTGCCACAAATGCCATGATCAAGCTGATTTTCTCCTACGCTGGTTATCAAAATGTCTTCGGTCTTGCAAATGAGATCAAGGTCAGCGCTGAATCTCCCTGCTAACTCTCATTCAATACGATACTAACGACTATCATATAGAACCCCGTGAAAAAGCTCCGCTGGAGTGCCCCGTTGTCGCTCATCATCGTCACAATCCTATACATCCTAGTCAACGTTGCTTATTTCTCCGCAGCAACGAGGGAGGAGATCCTCGCATCTAAGCAGATCGCAGCAAGCATCTTCTTCCAGAAGGTATTTGGTACAACAAAGGCCGCTCGTGCTCTGAGCGTCCTTATTGTCATCAGTGCATTCGGAAACTTGATCGCCGTGATGATCAATACTTCTCGCATGCTTCGAGAAACAGGAAGGCAAGTAACCGAATCCTCTATTTACCCATATTGCTTTCCCAATCTTGACTCATTCAGATGAGCTGACTATTTCCAAAGACAAGGTCTCCTCCCCTGGCCCAAGTTCTGGACCTCCACAAAGCCCTTCGGAACTCCCATCGGCCCCTACACGGTGCAATGGGCACTCACAGTGATCATGATCATCGGCCCACCAGCCGGAGACGCCTTTAATTTCGGTCCGTATCACCTAAAAAACAAAACTCCCAGAAGAGCCCGTCTGCTAACCCCTGTAATCAAAATAGTCGTCGACCTCGCCGTCTACCCAGGCAACATCTTCAACTTCCTAATCGCCGTCGGACTCATCCTTCTTCGACAACGTCGAAAGGCACTTAACCTGCCACCACCGGACTTCAAAGCATGGAGCGTTGCTGTAGGCTTTACACTCCTGGCTAATGCTTATATGCTCATCGCACCTTGGTATCCACCGATCGGAGGGGCGAATGGTGGAGATGTCAGTTTCTGGTACGGAACGTATCTGGCTGTTAGCATTGGGTTGTAAGTTATCCTCCCTTCACTCGCTATCCTTCTTTTGTTTTCCGTTGGTTGCAACGGCTGATGCGGTCTATAGGTTGTCGCTCTGCGGCATCTACTATTACTTCTGGATTGACTTGATTCCCAAGTGGAAAGGATATGAGTATAGACAGACTATTGTCAAGTATGATGATGGTGCTGTTACGCATAAAATGGTGAAGATTCCGAAGGCTGATTTGGTTTCTTGGGACCAGCAACATGATGCTGCTGGGCGCCTTCGCGATGAGGTGGCACGTTAGTTGTTTAGTGAAGTGGGCGACGTAAGAGGATGTTTCGATAAGTACAATACCAGTCAAAATGATGAGATTCAGAGACTCAATGTTGCACTCCTGATTGTTTGGCCTTCCTCTGAAATCTCGGTCATGAAATCTTCAGGTCATGTTTCTGACTTAGTAGTTCCCCTCACTAATGTCTTGTTTTGAAAAGAGTTTCTTCTACTGTAGAGGGCTCAAGATTCATTCCCTGATAGTCTTATAGGACCAAATTGGCATTAAACAATATAAACGTATTAAACATGAACAAGCCAGAACAAATCCAGCCGAAAAAAAGCAAGAGCAGGGTATCCTGGGTCCTATTACATACAGCGAACGAAGCCAACGACACGAAACGAGCGAAACAGGATCCAACAAAGGAAATTCATGCAACAACCCCCAATCACAAGAAAAAAGGGGGCGGTACACTGAAAGGCTGCCAAGTACAGCCAGACACATGTCACTACCGAGCCGCGGGGACCTCTTCAAGTCTACCGCGGCTATTTTCCGACTCGGGAGCTGATGCTGAGGTTTCGGGGTGCGGGGTCGATGATGCACTGGGGGGATTTGGCGTGGCTCGACGAGAAAATTGGGCCAATTCTCCGATAAGCCTGCATAGCGATCGTTAGTGTACATTCCTTGGAATGCAAGGGGGGGGGTGTGGATTTCCAATAGCCCGAGTTGGGGGTACTAACCTGCGGTGCTCATCGTACCACTCATCGTTCGCGGAGCGGATGTGCTTAAGCTGTTCCTGAATGCTTGCCATCTACGGATGAGAGACAATTAGTCTTTTTGTACGAAAATCTTTGTTTGGCCTCATCTTCAAGTAAATGGATGAAAATCGGGCAAATCCGAGGAGTAGGAGTTTAAACGGGGATTTCCCACCGTTCCCTCAATGGATGATCCAAGGTCCTCACCTTCCACTGCGGCTTGACCTTTCCCTACACCTCCATCAGTGTCCTCATCTGCCGACGCCCATTGGCTTGCAGCCAGACCGGAAGTGGTGCTCTTGTCGTTGTCCGCCTTCAGAGCGGCCAGCTCAGCCTCGAGCTCGCGAACGCGCTTACGGCTGGCGGAAATGTTGTTGTCGACCTCGCCGAGCTGGTTGAGAAGTTGCATGTTCTTGTCGATCTGGTCGTTAAAGTCTTGCTCGCCAGCGGCAAGCTTTCCCTCCATGGTCTTGTTATAAACTCGTAGCTCCTCCAGCTCCTGGCAGCTGGCAGTGTGCTTTTCCTTCAGAGAGGTAATCTCCTGCTTGGACAGAGCGAGATCCTTCTGAATAGCCTCTAACTGAGACTGGCTACCGCTAGCCGCAGCAGTGGCGGATCTTTGAAGCTCCTCCACCTGGGCAGCCGCCGCCTGGTGCTTGTCCGAGAGCGCTGCGTGCTCAGCCTGGATCTTAGAGAGCTCCGCGGTGTGCTTCTCCTGAAGCTCCCGCGAGGTGGTAGCGGCTGATTCCTGCACTGCGGCATGGGCCTCCACGGAATTGGCCAGCTTCTGCTCGAGCTCGGCAATGGTAATCTTCAAGCCGTCAAGAGCAGAGGTATCCTGAGCAGCAGCATTAGCCTTGGCGAGCTGCTCGTTGACGTTGACAAGGACAGCGTCGTGTGACTTCTGGAGTTCCTCAAACTTAGCCTTGTTCGAGGATTCAAGCTGCTCCCGGAGACCGGAGATCTTTGCCTCCTGAAGAGTGAGAAGCTCCTCGATAGCCTTGCCATGCTCAGCATCGGCATCAGCAGCCTTCGAAGCCTGGGAAGCCTCAAGCTCGGCCTGGAATTTGGCCTTGGTCTCTTCGAAACCGGTTTGAAGGCCGGCAAGTTCCTTGGCGTGAGCTTCCTTGTCAGCCAATCTGGATGCTTGCAGAGCCTCGAGTTCAGCCTGGAGTTTAGCCTTGGTCTGCTCAGATGAGTTCTGCAGCTCAGAAAGCTGCAGCTCGCGAGACTCGGTGTGAGAAGCGATCTCTGCAGAGTGGCGTTCGAGTGTAGACTTCAACTCAGCCTGCAGAGACTCAACCTGGGAAGCATGGCTTGACTCCAGATCGCGGTTCTTGGCAAACAACTCATCGTGCTTCTGTTGAAGTTCGCTCAATGCGCTGCTGTGAGATCCGGAAGCTTCTTGCTGAATGCGTTCAAGCTCAACAGCGTGCTCGGCCTTCAACGACTCAAGATCCTGAGAGTGCTTGTCAGAAGAGGCAGCGGCAAGTGACTTGTGCTCTTCGAGGAGGGCGGCGGCCTCGGCAGCCTTCTCTTCCAAATCCTTAAGCTGGGATTCCTGCTCCTTGAGCAGGGTCTCTCGCTGGGCTTCCTTAGACTTGGACTCGCTCTCGAGGTTCTTCAGATTGTGGTATAGCTCGTCAGCCTCGGCCTGCTTGCTCTGCATATCCTGTTGCAGGGCCTTGATTTCACTGGTGGTGGTCGACAGCTGGGTCTCCAGGCTTTCAACCTTGTGATGAAGATCGTCAATCTCGTGGACGGCATCCTCCTGAGCAGAAGCCTTGCCTTCCTCTAGGGCCTGGCGGGTTTCCCCGAGAGCCTTCTCGGATGCCTCGAGTTTCTCCTGCAGGGACTTTAGCTCGACGTCATGAGCGGTTTGTAGCTCAGAAACAGCACGGCTCTGTTCTTCCTGAGCAGCTGATTTGGCAGTCTCGAGCGAATCGCGCAGCTCTTGAAGCTGCTGGGAGTGCTCGGAGCCAGTTGATTCGGCAGCAGCCTTGGCAACAGTGAGCTCCTCAGCATGGGAGGCAGACAGAGAGCCCAGAGCAGTCTCATGCTCAGCTTTCAATGTGGCGATCGCAGCTTCGTGAGTGGACTCGAGATCCTTCACCTGAGCAGCGTGTTCAGCTGTAGCACCGTCGCGCGACGACTCAAGCTCTCCCTGAAGCTTCTCGATAGCCTCCTTAAGCTCGGTGATCTCCTTGTCCTTCTCCGCAAGAGAAGTAGTAATCTCCTCCGAGTTCTGTTGAGTGGCAGATTCAGCTTCGGCAAGCTTGGCCTCGAGCGAAGCAATCTGGCTCTGTAGCTCCTTGGCGGCGTCCTTCTCAGCTGTGATCTCTTCATCCTTGTTATCCGACAGCTTCTGAAGAGCAGCCTTGAGCTCATTCATGACTTGGTCGCGCCCTTGCAGCTCTCTCTGAAGGCTGTCGATAGCCAAAGCCTTCTCTTCTTCCAAAGCAGTCTTCTGGGATTCAAGGTCGGCCTTAAGCGTGCTGATCTGCTCTTCGAAAGCAGCCGCGGCAGCCTTGTGCTCTACAACATCCTTCTCGAGGCCCTTCTCCAGATCCTCCAGCTGGGCTTTGAGGCTCTCATTCAGCTTAACAGCAGCGTCAAGCTCCTCATCGCCCTTAGCGCTAGCGGATTGCCTGGCCTCCTCAAGGTCCTTTTGAAACTTCTCTTCGAGATGCGTGCGTTGAGTGTCGGCCTCCTCCAGGCGAGTCTGCAGAGACTGAAGCGCCTCAGCATGAGCAGAAGTCAGTTTCTCAAGCTCTGCAGCGTGCTCTGCGCGAACAGACTCGGTAGCATCAACATCCTTAGTGCTATCTTCTCCCGCGACGGAAAGCTGGCTCAGCTTCTCGTTGACGGTTTCGAGTTCGGCCTTGAGGCTGGCGACTGTCTCCTCACTCTCTGAAAGCTTGGTCTGCAGAGCCTGCAGCTTTTCGGCACTCTCAGAGCTTCGGGCAACAGTGCTACCCACGGTACTCAAACGCTTCTTCGGGTCGGTGACTGATGAGGCGACACTCCGTGTGGCGGTAGTCGAAGAAGTCGGACGAGTCGCTGTCCGGGTCGTGGTAGTGGAAGTAGTTGGCCGAGTGGTCGATGTGGTCGAGGAGGTCAGCTTGCCCACAGGCTTGCTCGCGGAAGTAGAAGTAGCGGTGCGAGAGGTGCTGGAGGGAATGGTCTTTCTCTCCAATGCCGAGCCGGCAACGCTTGATCGGCGATCAAGAGTAGAGGATGACTTCAATGGGGCCCGAGTGGAGGCAGTACCGGCCATAGACATGCGCTTGGCGGTTCCCGAGATACCACGCTTCTCATCTCCGGAGCTGGCAACGGACCGAGGCTTCTCGTCAGCAGAGCTGCTGATTGAAAGGCGAGACCGATGGGAAGCAGTAGTTGAGGTGCTCAGCGGTCTGCGGGTAGCAGTGGTGCCAGTCGTGGGCCGGGTAGGAGGTTTGTTCAGCGTGCTCGAAGTCGTGCTTGTTCGAGTGGCCGAGGTTGCGGTCTTGGATGCGGCGGAGGACGAGGTGGGCCGTTTGGTCGCAGTTGTAGAGCTCGACACTGGACGCTTAGTGGCAGTCGCAGTACTGGTGGTCGACTTGGCCGGGGACGCTGGGGTGTTTTCCTTGGACGCCTCGGGACTGGATTTGCCGATATCCTCGCTTCCCGACAGCACAGTCGAGTCGACGGGGGTCGCCGGTGGTGCAATCTCGACATCCACGTCGGAGTGGATAGGCGCAGCCTCTTCCGTCGACGCCATATTAATCAATGGGTGTGAATGTTGCAGATACGGTAAAAAATTAAGCCGAGGAAGTCGCGTAAAAGGGAAGTATCAAATGCACAGAACGGGAACCTGGGTAGGAAGCAGGTGATTAGTATCTGACCGGAAGACATATCGAAGTAGAGTATATGAATGAGCAGTTTGGAATAAGTTCCCTTAGCCTCGACCAAAAGTGGCGACTTGGGTCCTGCATCTCAAAGCTATACGGGGTAGTCAAGCATTGCAGCTCAAGCTCCGAAGCTCGGTACAACCACGAATTCAAGACCACGGCAACCGGCAGCCATTGCCCTTCGAATTGAGCAAATGTAGCACAAGGCGGTGTTGAGATGAGCCCCATTTGACCAGTCGAAGGCTCAGGGAATGACGTTTCGAACAGCACCAGTTGAGAGAAACTCATGATACTCACTCAGTGTAGATTTGACCAGGAAGCTTTCAGGGGCTTCGATCGAGGAGGGAACGAGAGGGTCGATTCTCAGATCGATCCTGACAATCGACCAGAAATTGCGACCGCCAGAAGAGAACAAGACACAACAGTTGCAAATGGCGCAAAGAACGGCTTGACGAGAGGAGTTTAGATTCGAAAGTGGTAAAAAAGGAGAAAGCGGGAAAAGTGAAAGCGGTGTCGATGGAGGAGGGGGAGGGATCGTCGTTGCTCCATGCGCGTCCCTTAGCTAACCATCTTGGGGGGACCGAGGACCGTGCTGGAGATTTTTTTGTTTTTTAGATTCTGGATTGGAGTGTCGTCTTTATGAGTAAATAGTAGGTAGTTAGTTATGCTCTTTTTTTATCGTGATGGCTATTCCTTTTTTTTCCCAAGAGCACAGGGTCGTAACCATCTTTCCTCAAGGCTGCCCAACGTTGTCGATCAGTCCCTATTAGGCTTTAACCCCAGATTTAGCTGATGCAGCCATACTACGAAGAATGTAAATGGATCTTTGGCTAATTTGATCTGAGTATATTATTCTACACGTCCCGATGCCCACGAAACAAGACCCCCTGAATGAGATGCCACCACGCGTGGCCCCTTTTTGTTGACCAAAACAATCGTATCCATGGTTCGCTGGAACCCGAACCGGCCGATCCGAACAGTTACGATGGGCGATAGAGGGGATTATCCCATATCTATACATTTCCTATATCTCCTATAGAAAAGCGATTTGACTATAGGCAACCGATTAAAATAGATTTAAATCAACCAACTAATAAGATTATTTAAGCTGAAATTTAAATATAATCTACAATCTCAAGACCAATCTCGAGACCAATCTCAAGACCAATCTCAAGACCTAGAATCTCATAGCTAATCTCCTAAATCACCCACGTTAGTATATATAAGACGAGTAAATAGGGCTATAGATAACGCCTTAGTAACGAGCTGTCTGATTTATGATATAAACTATATAAACAGTACGGAAATAGTTGGATTGGATTAAGTAGATCAGAAGAAGAATTCTTAAATTTATGGCTACGCTAAAGGGTATACAACATGATACAGAACAATCAAAAAAAAATGGCGACCTCCAACTACGACCGCCTAGAAATCATCAACGAACGGGCCCAGCCCGTCCAATTTGGCTTTGAGATCCCGACACGTTCGCCGTCGCAAACGATGTCCATAATGACTCATGACCAATGGGATAGGATCACCATATTCTGCTCTAGAGATTAGTTCAATCATACTAGGCCGGATATTAGGGGAGGCTTACCAGAGAATCGCCGTACCCCATCACGGAGGGCATTCTCTTCATCCTGAGACCATGGGCGCTGTGATGGGGGTATATCATAGTCTGCCACTTGCGTCCATTGCGTGAAGATACTGTCGTCTTGGGTAAAAGACATATCACCCTGAGTGGCTACCGTTGGACGGATACTGCTTGACACCCTGCTCGAGGCTCCGCTTGCACCTAAACTACTACCCATCCCAAGAGCCTTGGTGATGCGCCTCAGGGGCAGAAGAATGGCCTTCGACCTGGCCTGCGTTCCCATCAAATAGGAAGTCTGCGCGTAATTGAAGATCTGAGTGCAGCACCACATCAACAACTCCAGCATACCCTCAAACTGCGCGTATGCTGTTGAGCCCAACATTTTGTAAGCTCTGTAGCCAAAGGTGGCTAGGGTAATCAAAGAGCCCACCACATGTGCCTCGAATTGATTAAGCAGCTCGGCGCCTTCACCCGTTTCTTCCGGTGCCTCCTCGGCTGCGTACTCGAAGATGCGTGTGGCTTCGGTACGGACGGCTTCTCGAAGATTGCTGAGCTCCTTTTGTGTTTCCCATGATAAGGTGGATGTGTTGATTATGTCGTAGTAAAGCTGCCGCATCTCTGTGACCTCAGAGTTGGCTCCAGTAAGATACTCTGGTATGGGTTTGATCGCAACTTTTCGCAAGTTTCGCCTGCAATTGCGAAGGATTTCCCATAGTGCACCCTGGGGAGATGACTCTATCTCCTGCGCAAGCCACCGGCTTAGATCTTGCAGTTCATTCTTCTGAGAGCGCTCTTTATGTGGCGATTCGTTGATTGGTGGGCCATTAGAGGGCTGCTCATCGCGAGTGTCATCCACAGGTTCCACAGCAATGGTGGGCTCGGGATCAATCGCTTGAAGCTGCTGGGCCCTTTGTCGCTCGCCTTCGGAATCTTCCCATGGGAAATAATCATCATCCTGCTCACTTTCTTCACTTTCAAGCACAGACGATTCGACGTAGCTGGGATCATGGTCGTGTCCATTTGGTTGGTCAACACTACTCCGATTATCGACCACGACTTCAATGTTGTCAAATTTGGGTTCTTTTTGATATGATGTTGGTTGATCGTCGAGTATGACAGAGGCCCCATCGCTGGAGTCATCGGGGACATTATCTGAATCCTCTGGCCAGAGATTCACACGGTTCGGTAGAGGGTCCTCCTCGAGATCTTCCTCCTCATGTTCGTTTTCCTCCTGACGTGTCTCTTCTTCCTCATTTTCCTCTTCTGGATGTGAATCGTGGTCTAGTCCGAGGTGCTCTTCTTCATTGGCTTCGTCGCGGGGTTCCGGGTCCTCATCTGCTTCCTCGACCTCCGGAGGTGACGACGCGGGAGTCTGGTCTTCAGGTATAGATGCGGCCTTCGGTGGTGAAATATCAATGTTGCGACTTCGCAGTTGTCTCGTTAGGGGAGGTTCACTTTGAGGTGGTATCGCTCTGCGCCTTTTCGGAGGTGTCACGGGGATATCGAAGACGTCTCGTCTCGCGTCTCGGGGCGGAGTAGACGCGCTGTGTGTGGTATTGCGCCTCGAAGGCGCGCTCGAGCCACTGATCTCATTGAAGAAATTCACCGAGTCAATGGTGGAGTTGCGTGGCTTCCGCTTCTTGGAGGGCGACATCCCTGCAAGAAGCAAGGCACTTGTCAAAGGCCGCGGCACAGGGTGTTGGCAATGTGACGGAGTGCAGCTGAAGGGAAGCTCGAGTGGAGATCTGCCACCCTCACAGCGTCATCCCGCCTTAGGACCAAGTTCTTCCCCTCGCCTTCAGCTCCCCGCACTCTTCTCTTTTTTTTTTCACTTCACAACTCCAATCAGCAAAAATGAATCCCGATGGCAGAGCCATTCGCGTCCTGGCGGTATTGGACCCGTCGGAACCACACACATTTGTCGAGCCTGCGAAGAAGATCCACGAATCGCAAGATGTATCCGCATTTCTCACCTCGAAAGCTTACTCGGACATTATGACTTTTATTCTGCAGCTAAACCGCGCAATGTTTCCTACAAAATCACCCGATGATACCATACAAACCTGGCCTTTGGGCTCCGAAGACGTACAATACTCTGCGCCCGTTCGCCAGTTACAAGGACTGCTCTCAAAGGTCGAGGATATCGTTCAAGAGGTCCCGCCAGACACCGGACCACGGAGATTTGGAAACATCAGTTTTCGGAGGTGGCATGAAGTATTGGCTAGCCGAGCATCTGACTTGCTCAAAGAATGCTTGCCGGCGGAGCTCTTGGACAGGCCGTCGTCCTCGGCCGAGGGAGTTACTGCAGAGGCGGAGCTCAAGGCATACTTCCTCGGTAGCTGGGGCAGTGGTCAGAGACTTGACTATGGCACTGGCCATGAGTTGAGCTTTTTGGCTTTCCTTGGTGCGATTTGGAAACTCAACGGCTTCCCACAGTCTGAATTCGGGGTGGAGGAGAGAGCTCTTGTACTTGGGGTGATCGAGCCGTAAGTACCTCGTGCAGACAGAGCCCACGGCGATCGTATTCTCTAACAATAAACATCAGGTACCTCGAGCTCGTCAGATTACTTATAAAGACGTACACTCTCGAACCAGCGGGTTCTCACGGTGTCTGGGGCCTTGATGATCACTCGTTTATCCCATACGTATTTGGCTCTGCTCAATTATCCCCCGCTATTGAAGCCACAGATCTCACACCCGAAGAAGGCTCGCTACCAGATGCACCCGCCACAGGTGGAATCATGAAGCCCACCATTGTAGAGCGTGAAAGGAGAGCGAATCTCTACTTCTCGGCAATTGGGTTCATCTACGATGTGAAAAAGGGTCCTTTCTGGGAACACAGCCCAATGCTTTATGACATCTCTGGAATTCAAGCTGGCTGGGGCAAGATCAACAAAGTAAGTTGCCATAACCTTGTCTGCTCATTTGCTCTGCCAGTTAGAGAATTTATCTGACAATCGTGACTTAAGGGAATGATCAAAATGTACAACGCAGAGGTTTTGTCCAAATTCCCCGTCGTGCAGCATTTCCCCTTCGGATCCCTCTTCAGCTTCGATCGTGATCCGAATGCTGCCATGCCTCCAACAACTGTTCATACTACATCTGGTCCACAGGGACGCCCTGTCGTACCAGATGCGGGCTCGCTATCATCTTCCACGGCTCGACCCAGCGCAGATGCTGGCACCAAAGCCCCCTGGGCTACATCCGGGTCTAGTACTCGTGCTCCACCTATGGGCCCTACGGCAGCGCCGTGGGCGACTGGCAGACCAACTGAGTCACCAGGAGCACCTGCAACTCTACCTGATACCTCGCGCCTACCACCAGGTCCAATGGCTCCTACTAGAGCTCCATGGGCGAGCGCACGGCCTCCGCCGCCACCACCTGGAGGTGATGGTCCTACTAAAGCCCCCTGGGCGAAATAAAGTGAGATTAAAAGAGTAAGAAAATGATACCCAATTTAGATCAGGATGAAAAAAATGCCATATGGAATGAACATACAGGACTGCATGTCTTCTTGAATTTAAAAGAAAAAGATTTGAACGCCTTCCGGGGGTATCAAAGTAATGTACAATGCGCAAATATCATAAGTGATCACTCCGTGTCAGAATCATATCCCACCAATGCCGAGGTCGCCAAAGCAGCCGATGAATGCTGGACAGTGTTTTCAGGGATATCATTGGGCGCCACTGGGTGGCCCTTCGAGTCTGAGTATGGCGAGTCCTCACCCACCCTCGTCGGATTCTCTGAAGGTCCCCGGGGCATCACTGTTGTAGAAGAAGGCTTCTTCCTCTTGACGCCTGGCTTCCAGATATCCTGTGGATCTCCCATATCCTTGAGAAAAGGATCTACCACAGCACGCGTGTTCCCCTTCAACTCATTCCGCAGAGAAGCCTTGCGCTGTTCAACGAGGTCTGCTGCCCGCGTCTTCCGGATCCCCTTTCTGTCCTTTTCACGTTTCTCACTCCTCGGGGAGCTCTTCGAATCCACTGTCTCGAACATAGGTCGAACCCGAGTTGCGCGCGCAGCCTCCATTCTAACCGAAGACTGACCATCCCCAAAATCCACCATCCCAGCGCGCAGACGATCCCCCTCCGTCTCATCAACCAGATCAATACCCAGACTCATCTTGTCCTTTAGAGCCTCGCGATTAGCCTCCAGCTTCTCCAACCCCTTCCGCTCCGTCCGAAACGTCCGCCGCAACCGTTTCGACTTCTCATAAGGATCCTCCCAATCCCGACTCTGCCGCTCCTGCAACTCCAAAATACGACTAGATTCTGTCTGCGCACGCTGCTTATCCTCCACCTTCCCCTCCAACTTCGCGAACGGGTCTTTCTCCGCGGGATCCTGCGTGTGCCCGCGAATAAGAATCTCCCCGGGCTGCAGCTCCTTGCCTTCCCCAGTATCTCGTTTCCTCCCACCCTCGAATACCACGTAAGCCGTGTTCTTGGGGTCGGTGTGAATCTCAATCCATCCTCCACATGCGGTATGTTTCATGCGAAAACTGTAGATAGGTGTGGAGTAGTAATTGCCGATTTTCTTCTTCTCGGCGTTGAAGCGAACGCCCTGGCCGATTATGGTCTCGTGCGGTTTGCAGGTTGTGCACCATACGGCAAAGGGCATCTCGAAGCGGACGATGAGGGCGCCTGTTGTGTGGAGGTGGCGTGCGCGTGCGCCGAGGGGGTGTTTGCCGGCGAGCTTGTTTGCGGAGGTGACGCCTTCTTGGTCCGGGGGGACATATCTGGGAATCGTGTCAGTTTGAAAGTTGGTCATGGAACTCTTGGGATTGCTGTGACGGACCGTCCCATATCTGGCGAACATGTCAGCGATTACTTTTTAGGTGACCGCGGGGCGACGACGACTTACTGAACCCTTGCATCTTGAACCGTGGTGGCCCTCGCGGCCCAGGTGTTCCTGTATCGTGGGGAACAGGCCGCGCCTGTCTGGAGGCGTATGAGGAGGTCTGTGGGAGCTGCTAACAGCTAGCTAGCTCTGGTTGTCTTAACGGTGGTCGAGATGTCAAGTCAAAGCTTCAAAGGCGGTGGATTAGGCGTGGTGGCCGGACTTAACGGGCTTAAGCTGAGGCTTACTCATCTTTTCAAGGGTTCTGGAGCCCTGGTCTGGTTCACCATAGAGGCAGCATGGCTTTTCTTCGTTGTAATGCCATATTGCGTAAAGCTTAATGCATTGACTTTCATTCAATAAAGCCTCAAAATCTATTTCAACAAAGCGCCACCATTCGACTCAATAACCGATCCAGTCACAAACTCATCCTTCATGAGGTAAATATAACCCTCCGCCAAATCCTCCGGCTTCCCAACAGTCCCAGTCGTCGAACTATCCCGGAAAATCTTCAACATAGCCTCCAGCTGCTCTTCAGGGAACATGCTAAACAGCTCAGTCTTAACGGCGCCGGGATGCACCACATTCACCCGCACTGGCTTCAAATCTAAAGCAAGACCACGAGCTAGACCGTCGATTCCGCCACAAATAGCCGTAGCCATACTCCAGCCCGGAGCGGGTTTCTTGCCTCGCATACCGCCAGTGAATGTGAAGGAGCTAGATGGCGAGTCCACCACGTATTTTGGAATGAACTTGGCCATCATTGCGGGTGCGATGTAGCGAACCGTCATGCCGCTGTACATAGCATCGGGCGTGAGATCGGCGAGCTTGGGGAGATTAAGTGCATCGCCGGCAGTCGTAACAATGTGGTTCAGTTTATCGGTGCCGCCATTGGTAGCAAATTCGAAGAGCTTTTCCAGGTTTGTGTTCAGGTTGGCGACATCGGAAAGGTCGCAGACGTGAGTGGTGATAGTCTGCTTCTCGAATTCAGCTGGGTAGGACTCCTTAAGCCGGGCAACGGTCTTGTCGAGCTTGCTCTGGTTAGAGCTCGAAATCACTAGGTTGGCTCCGTGCTCGAATGAAGCTTCAGCCACGGCGAAACCGATTCCTGAGGTAGCTCCAAGAATCAAGACTCTTTGGTTGGCGAGCTTGTTGGTATACTTTGGTGCCATTCTGATGAAGTTGTGACTGTATCAAGGACTGCAGAGTATAACAGGCAATACTTCGAGTCTGCCACATGTTTCAACCCGGAATCGATGTCAATTTATAATGCAAATCCCATAGTTGCGTGACGTTGTATTCTACTTCAACCGGAGATAAAGTCAACGTGTAGGACTGACCCAGTATTAACTCCGGGCGAACCATAGCACAGAACAAGACCTTCTCAGGCATGCTATATCCACAATACATCATTCAAATGGTTGAATTAATAATCTGCAGCCTCTTTATGCGGAAGATCTTTTCACCTGGCGAATGCTATCACAGAGCTGACTCCACTTGTACTTTTTCGTCCGTTGCTCCGTCGGTCCAACTGGCAAGGCTAGCCCTGACTCGTATCCGGCAAGAATCATGAGCCCACATCCGTTATGCATTCCACCGACCGTCTATGCATCTTGCGGGGTCAGGGGTGGTAATTGAGTTCGTGTCCGAAATCAACGCCATGTGTACATATTGACCCAAGCCTTGGAAGAAGGTAAACGGCCCATATTGAGGGAAGCTCGATAAACCTGATACGAATCACGACGGACGAATGCCCAAAAAGTGACTTTGAATATCAGACGCATGTACCTGGCACTACCCACACATTGATGAAACGCGATAAGGACAAGAATAAGATGTTAATTAAATCCAATCCAGACACAAAGGACAAAACTCCATAGGCCTAACGAGCCAAGTGATTTCCTCGTCACAGGAGCTCCGCCTGTCTTGGTAGGCTCTGCGGTTCCTCCAGCAGTAGTTGTTGCCGCAGCATTCGAAGCTCCAGTCGGGGGATATAACCCATTGCATCCTCCCGAACCTGTAGCTTTCTGATTCTCCCCAGCACTGCATGTAGACCGTCGCGGATCGACACACTCGGTGAGATAGCTGTCATCCCAAATCGTCGCCGAAGGAATAGCCTTGCTATTCAGATACACATCGCATCGGGAAGTCGTCACAGCCTGGCCACCCAAATTGGTGCTGATGGTTGATATATAAGTCGTCACGTACGTTGCGAGACTGGAATCGGTCGCCTGTGCGGTCAGACTGTCAGGCAGTATGATGCTGATAGAATCAGTGTATGTGAATGTCGTTTTGGTGCATGATGCCGGATTGCTGAGCGTTACTGGGAGGTAATACTGGGTGGTGACGGTCGGACTCGCAGTGGTTGATTCCGTTGGTGGGTCGAAGAAGAAGGCGCTGACAGGGAGGCCGGTAACGTTTGGCAAGATGAGATACTCTGTCGTAACGCTGATGATGCCGCTGGCTAGCTCTTTTCCAGTGGCATAATCGGTATGATAGTCACTTGAGGTGGATATTGGTGAGACTGTGAGAGGCGCGGTCGTCACCACTGGAGTGATTGTTGTTGTTTCGCCGCCCCAAGCTAGAGGTACGACTGTCTCGGTTCCATAGTATGTGACACGCCACGCTGCAGATGACTGCGCCCATACAAAGGATAGTAGAAACAAGGGTATAATGTGCATTCTAAAAAGGCGAAGCTGTATTCAAAGCTAGTTTGACTCAAGTTTGAGGGGCCCTGCCTTCAATATTAATAACTACAGGAGAATGGGGGTGGACGGCCCTTCTCGTTTCGGTTGATGTTATGGACGCTAACAATAGGCGCGAGAGCTCACCAAGCCACCAAAATATCTTAGAATGCAGGGTAAGATGAGAAATACGAGGCCAAGGACGCAGGGTGCAGGTCTCATCACTAAGATAGGTGGAATCATTTAGCGCCTCGTATAGATGTAGAGATCTGGGTGATACCTGTGGCATTGACCACCCCCCTGGCAGGTGAGGGTGGCCAATGCCATGAGGTATAATGAAAGAAGAAACATTTTTGGCTCTTCCTTTGGGCACTGGACTTGGTTTAAGACGAAAGTGTAGATCTGACCTATAGGAAAAGAACTATAAGTCAATTATTCGGAGTTTTAGGCTCTATGAATCTTGAATAAATTATACTCTACTATTAATTTACATGAAAATAGCAAGGAACTGGGGTTTATCTTGATGGAAACCTACACACAATGGATCTGGCTTTTGCTGAGGACCAAAAAAATGGACTAGCTTTGTTCCATGGTCATGGTTGATATTTGAAGAAGTGACCTTTGTTCCCATTGTTCTGCACAACTCATAATCTTTTAAAGAATGCCGATATATCCCTGATTTATGGCAAACTTATTATCAAAGGACCATTAGACATTCTACTCACCAAGTCAAAGATGTTCTTTCTGTTTAAACGCCTACTGGAATACCTTCGTTATGCAAATCCATGGGTCTACCTTAGATCTGGTCGCAATCAAAGGATCAAAGCAGAAACGAATCCTATCAATCTGGTTGTGACATATGGTATGGATCAAGCAGTGCTTGAAAATTTGATCTCTATTTTACTGCTATTGCTCAGCTGTTTACCGTCTATACAAGCTATCTTGTACTTGTTGGACGAAGCTCCCCAGTGTGTGGATTACTGCGATGATTGCCTGAAAAATCATTTCGCAGACAACCTGTATGGCACATCGCAGCAAACTAAGCCGGTTCACAACGGTACAATACTGCCCCAGGTAACAGAACTGGGTGATGAAGGCAGAACAAGGGAACCACCACTCCCTGAACTCGGAGGGTGTCCAGATAGGTCATGCTCAAGACAAGTTTCGGCAGACAATACCAAGAAGGAAACCGCCAAATGTGAAGTATGTGGGCAAGAGAATTGTACTCGATGCAAGCGAAACCCACATAAAAGCGAACTGGCGAAAGGAACTGCTGAGTCCGAGAAAAACCAGCAACAATGTCCTCAATGTGGCAATTTAGCGACCAGATGTAGTCATATGCTGTGAGTTGAACGATAAACTGTATGAATCAAAGGAGAGACTGACTGTGTTTATTTTAGATGTCGCTGTGGCTTCGAGTTCTGTTATGTCTGTGGCGGAAAGTGGAAAGCATCCCATCCCAAGAGATGAAAATACGATGCCAAGGTATATAAGGGCCGGTTTTGCTTCAGGGACTGTCGAAACTTACGCAAGCAAAGCAGCCTTTTAGCCTTTCCGAAGCCAGGGCATGTTAGCTCTACAATTGGATACTATAATCTTAAAGGATTTGCCAAGGTATTGGCGACTAGGAAATAATTACACCTGACCGGTCGGGTTCTCATTTTGCATGATTAGACCTGTTTCTGTAACCCCGGTCCTAGCCTAATTTTATTTAGATTATACTAGTAATGGTTTAGCGGTTAACAATAGAGTCCTAAGCGGCCCGCTAGCAGCCAATTCGTGGACCCTTGTCAAGCCCAACTGTCAACCTGCAACCAATTGCAGGGGTATTTTGAGCGGCTTTTACTCCAATCTGACAACGATCGACTCCTGGCCCCCAAACCAGCTGGCTTTTCTTGTCAAACGAATGCCGAGTGATAAACACCATTGCTGCACATGGTCAGGGATCCTGCCCCCGGAATTCTTTTAACCTGGAGAAACTGACCGTTTTGCCCTTCACTTGTCGCCCTCGATGTGGCTTGTTCTTTAGAACGAACATACTCCAAACCCGCTGCCGAGAATTAGACTATTCCCAACTGTTTTTGGCTTCCACGCTGTGGTAGACATATTCTCGGCCCCCAATTTCTACAGCATCGACGACCCGCCACGCTCCTCAACCGTACTGGCAGCAGAATATGGACGGAATTGAAGTGGTACATTCACAACAGAGACCCGCAAGGGATGATCCGGGTATTGAAGTGGCACCCGATTCTGAAAAAGAAGTCAGTCAGAACAACGATCCGATCTATGTTTCCGGGCCAAACAGGCCAGGTGACTCAGGGGAGGACGATTTGAAACATCCGAATAAAACGATATGTGGTCTGAAGCCGACTGTCTTCTGGACACTACTTGGTATCGCATTATTGGTGGTCATTGGGGCCGCGGTTGGTGGAGGAGTAGGAGGGACACTTGCAAATCGTCATTCTTCCGAGCCATCGAAAACAGACAGGTAAGTTGACATTCTCAAGTCAAGAAATATTACAGAATTACTAACATTACGGACCCATTCAAGTTCTTCGTCCTCTACATCATCTACATCCTCAACGTTATCGACATCGTCAACGACTTCCACGGCCGCAACGACCCTCACTGCATCCACCACGAGTTCGGCCCCCGTCACCTCGGGCACGACAGGCATAGCCGCGAATCCTTGCCCTGGAAAGAACTTGACAACGGTCACTGGTTCTGATGGCTCCATATTCACGCTATTATGTGCAGTTGATTGGCCAAGAGGAGAGCAAGCCTCATCAGGCAACGGGACTGTGAAAGATCTTACCCGTACCACTCGCTATACGCTGCAATCATGCATCTCAGATTGTGTTGATTGGAACAAGGATAGCTCCAATGATTCCACGTGCAAGGGGATTGTTTATTCTGCCAACTTGACGGCTGCATATGATGGTGGACAAGACGGTAATTGCTTTTTGAAGAATACTGTTGGCGTCTATTATCCCAACGGTAATACGTCAATGGCGGCAGGAATGTTGGGAGCTTAGAATAGATTATGTCCTGATGCATTTGACTCGCGCGTTTATTTGTACATAGTACTAAAATTCCAACTTTTGCACATGAGCGAAACCATTCGAATTCCTGGGGCTTCAAGGTTGTAAGGTTGCCCTGTTACTTGTCGCTTCAACCAGGAGGGCCATTATAAATCCTTTTATCTAAGCACATAGCGCGCCAGAAATATGAGCTCAGACCTAATGCTTCGTTTGATGTTCCCAACACAGAGTTGTTGAGTGAAACATGGAAGCGCATGGCAAGTTATTATAACGAACGTGGAGAGTTCGAAATGCCCATGGATCCGTCACAACCGGAGAGTTGTGACTTTGCAACTCCTTGCTGCGGATATATTTTCCGAAGCAGCTGGAACTTTACATTGAATATCTAAATTGTGATGGGATGGAGCCTGGGGTTGTGCTTCACGCTGTAAATATAGAATCGGAACAAAATTGTGACATGCAGGTCAAATCAATAGTGTTGTTCATAAGGAGATTAGCTTTCTCCACAAGCGGACAATTTTCTTCTTTCTATCCTCCCGACTCCATCGCGAATGGAGATCGTACCTGGTTCATCGGTGACATACCGGCCCAGACCAATTGACACCCCCACAATGCCATTCAAATCCGAGCAACGATCGACCCGCCTAGGTGCGGTTCCTTGACGCATTGCATCATCGTTTATTCAAAAGTCTGATTTCCAGAAGCACCCGCTCGTGGACCTGGCGATCGCCGATCGATCGCACGATCGAACCAACCACCAAATTTGCGAGAATGCAGATCCCATCCACCTTCACACTGTGTCACTGTCAAAAACAGTTCATTCGCCCACCCCCTCCTGAACGACCGTGGATAGGATTCAATAAGCCGCGCTGGTCTGCATGATGGAGCCATACGGAATGATCAGCGACATCGATCGGTCTGCTCTCTTAAGGGTCTGCTGCCCCGAGGTGCAGGCGCAAAATGCCACAAGTAAAAGTGCTAAAGGCATTTCGTGAGAAAATGGACATCCCAGACATCCTCGATGATCGTCCACTTAAGACTGGATCGACGAGGTCCTACTCGCCAACTATTGTTCTTGACGAGGCCGCACTTGAAGCCGAGATTCAAACAAAGAGTCTCTGTCGAGACCACGACAATGCGCCGAATGGCGTGAACACCAGTGTTGACCAATTCCAGCAGCTCAACATCAATGGCGAGGAACGGTAAGCCAGAAGACTGCAGAAAGATAGAAGAAGAAAAGGGCCGGTCGCTAAGAGTCGCAGTCCTCCCAGCGAGCTAAGTACCAAGCTCTCCAACAAGGCGCTGCGCCGCAATTTTTATGTCAACGAACTCCCCCTCCTCCAAGCGACGAACCCCTACGACGGCACTGGACACTTAGATCCCGTGAATGAGGAGGAGAATGAAGGCTCATACGACCTCGTTGCTCCGTACGAGGGTGACGAAGCCCCACTCCACTCCCTCGAACGCCAGGCCGACGTGATGTTCTCCTCGGAGCATATGCTGGTAATCCTCAATAATCCGCGCTACTTGGCTCGATTCCGCGAATTCCTGATCGCTGAGAGGCCGAGGTCACTCCCGACACTGACATATTATCTCAACGCTTGCAAAGCACTAAAAGCAATTCAGTATGCCAATGCCCTAGTTCGGCTCTCAGTCGATGTACCTACGGCCGGCATTGAGACAGCTAAGGAACCCGTGGGACCCACCTCAAATGCCGCGCTTGAAGCTCGCGTGCAGCATGCGCTGGATGCTCTTACAGCGGAGGAGTTACCGGCATTTATCACTTCAAACTGTATCAACATTACTAGCAAGGTTGTCGAGGAGCGCATACGAGGAACGCTCCCGGACAAGTTTCAAGGCACAGCCGATGCGCTGGCAGAAGTATTTTGTCTGACAGATCCATCACGGCCGGATAACCCTATTATCTTTGCATCTGGAGGTGAGTCACACTGTTTCCTTGCAGTTGATAATCTCATTGTTGAACTAACGACCCATTTCTAGAATTTCACCGTGCTACACAATATGGCATGGATTACGTGCTAGGGCGAAATTGCCGTTTCTTGCAAGGTCCTAAAACGAACCCCAACAGCGTACGACGCATTAGAGAGAGTCTTGCCGAGGGTCGGCACCACTCTGAGATATTCCTTAACTAGTGAGATGACCCGGGAAGCCCGATTGGGAAGTATGAATAGTTAACCCGGAACGAATAGTCGCCGTGATGGTTCGCCCTTTATGAACCTCCTTCAATGCGCCCCACTTTGCGACAGTCAAGGCAAAATCCGTTACTTCATCGGTGCCCAGATTGATGTATCTGGCCTGGCAATGGAAGGAGCGCAGATGGAGTCTCTTCAAAATCTCAACGGAGAGACGGAGGCGCCCGATGATGAATCCGTTCAAAAGCCTTTGCCCAAGAAGACTGAGTTCCAGGAGCTCAATGAATTGTTCAGTCATCGCGAGTTACAGAACGTTCATGATCATGGCGGTAATTTGTTCCATCCCGTCGTGGATAAATTGAACGCGACAAACAGTCGACTATGGCTGCAAAGCCCCGAGCACGAGGGTGAACTTCGACTAAATGGAGTAACTTCACCTGGCCCTACTCCTAGCGCGTCTTTGACGGGTGTCTACAAACATGTAAGTTTTTTATTCTTCGATGTGGTGGCCGGGCATTATCTAACAACTGTACGAAAGTACCTCCTCGTCCGCCCTTATCCATCGCTCCGAATCCTCTTCACATCTCCCTCGCTTCAGATTCCCGGCATGCTGCAATCTTCATTCTTAACTCGCATCGGCGATTCTAGTGAGAAACGTGAGAGTATTCTACGTGCCATGATGGCTGGCCGAAGTGTCACAGCCCGAATCAAGTGGGTGAATCGCTTCAGCGATCAGGGTCGTTACCGTTGGATCCATTGCACCCCTTTGCTGGCTAATAATGGTGAGGTTGGTGTCTGGATGGTAGTGGTGATTGATGACAAGGAAGAGGAACTTGTCCGATGGAAAGGAAATTGGCCGCGAACTTGAACAGCTTCGAGTTTGATGAAAGAACATTTTTCTTAACATTTGGGGAATGGCGGGAACATGTACAGTAGCAAATTACGGGGAAGAGGGTACCCGAAGGCGTTCGTAGGCAAAGTATTTAGTGATCAGGCTCTGGAAGCTTGGATTTCAATGTTGAACAGCGCGTTCTGGACCAGGTGGAAGACCCCGGCATACCGGAATAATGGCAATATAAGATTTTGCGAGTGGCCAAGATATTGATACTTTTAGGTCATAGTAAGAACAACCGAGAGTATATTAAGTGTAACAAAAAATAGAAAAAGATTATAAAACATACAGTAAGTGTAAATATGAATGAAAGAAAATGAAACAGACGCTGATGATGGATAGGCGAAAACAAGCACGCTTTAGATCCGAGTCAGGTATAAACATGATGATGCTCTATTCTTCGTACTTAATCACGAATGACGACTGCTTGGATCCATCAGAGTCGCTCATGATTGCTTCGTGATCCTTGACCTTGGTGCTTTCAAAGATTTGCGCAACTTCTTCCAAAGATCTTCCCTGTGTCTCTGGGAAGAAGAAGTATACCAGGGCAAACACAACGACCAGACACCCCACATAGATACTGAAGTATCTCCATTGAAGTGCTGAGAATGCCACCGGATTCACGTACTGGTTGAAGAAGCAGGCCAATGAGTCTGTTGTAAGTGTGACGGCGAGACCTTTGGCGCGAAGCTGGAAAGGTAGGATTTCTGCCGGATAGGCGATGAAGAGGGGCATGTATGCGAAGTCATATGCTGCGCAGAAAAGGAATAGCATGGGGACTACTGCAATGCCTGCTTGCAAGATGTTCATTTCAGCGAACAGGCCGGCCATGACAGTTGACGTTGATAAGAAGATGAACATCAGGGTTGTTGCGCATAGCCAGAGAACTCGTCGTCCGTATTTGTCCGAGGTGCTTGCTCCCGCTACGGCAAACATCAAGTTCCAGAACTGAAGACTAATATTGACGGCAGCTTGGTGTACTGCATTAGTTATACCGACGGAACCCAGGATGGGCGGTAGATAGTAGGAAGTGACGCCTTGTCGAGAAAATAAGGTTAGCCGATCATCCGAAAATCAAAAAAGTGGAGTTTAAATCCCGTACCATTGCCAGTCCACTCCTGCATGAATCCCAAAAGAATACAAATGGTAAGACGGTGCATGTCCCCTTTTGATCTGAAGAAAGCGGTCCATCGTGAGGCAGACTTTTGATCGGCCTCGGCATGAATACTGGCACAAATCTGATCGTATTCATCTTGAACCAACTTGTCGTGCATATCACCATTTGCATGGTACCTTGTAAGCATAGCAAGAGCTTCTCCTTGTCTATTTTTCGAAACAAGCCATCTCGGGCTCTCGGGAATAACAAATAGTGCCACGAGTTGCATGGTCGGATAGAGGACTTGAAGCAGGCATGGTATTCTCCAGGACCAGCTGTTGTCTATAGACAAAGTAGCAAAAGCGATGGCAGCTGCAGTAATAGATCCACAGAACCAGACCGCATTATACAAGCCAGTGAGGGTTGGCCTCTGACTCGGGTATGCGGTTTCCGCAATCAACAGCGGTGCTGCAGTTTGTGAGAATCCAACGCCTGCCCCGGTAACGATGCGAGCACCGAAGAAAACCCAGGGATGCTTTACTGCAACTTGCAGTATAGATGCGAGTATACAAAGTGTGGCTCCGATACTAACGCATCTCCGGCGGCCCAAGCTATCGGCGACATAAGAAGCTGGGATAAAGGATAGGAAGGACCCAAGAGAGACGGAAGCGATAATTAGGCCGGTTGAGTTGGAATCGAGGCCGCTCAAGAACTCGTTGACTATTTTTCATGGGTTAGAATACACGCTTAATCAATATCCCCTCGAGAATGAAAGTAACTCACACTCCGGAAGTACGAGCAGACTATTGATCTGACTGGCATTGTATCCTGATGTAGCAGACGCAGATAGCATCAAAAAGATACCGAGATTCAGTCGTCGCAACCCATGGTTAACGGCAGATTTTGGAGACATGATGTGACCGGGGTAACTACCTGCGGAAAATTTAGGGATGCTATAAGTGTCAAGCAAGCTCTATTTGACGTCCCGAAAACTGGACGGACAATTTAATCGGGTGATTGCAAGCTCTACATTCCTTATGATTATATCGCCGATACCTGCCCACTAGGGGTCGCCCGGTTTATTGAGCTTATTGGAATGTAGGGTGAGTCCAATGAGCGAATCATTTCATGACCGTGCACCGGAACATCACTCAACTAAATAGTTAGACTTTGCATCATGCAAGGAAAAGCTGCCTTTTAGCTCTAATTCTGGATAGATAGTCCTCGGGACGTTGCGCTGATCAATTTTCCTTGCACAGAGATGGGGAGCAGTTGCACCCACGTTGAACAGGGTGACGCAATTCATAATTATTTATTGAAGCTCTGACCTCTTATATTATTACAGTATCTCAGGTTTGGAATTATAGATAACATGGTCAAGGTATCGATCATCGCTGAGATCTCCCGTCGTTGGTGCTTGATTCGCCGGCCTCTTCAAAGTCCCGCACTCTTGCAACCTTGGTGGGGGTCTAGTCTTTCCTACAGCTTTCGTCAAAGCTCCCTCATAGTTATCTACTTTTAGCTTTATCACCGAAGGGCTGGAAAAATGTTCCGCATTCCTTTGCGCATCTCGCTTATGCCTATAATTCGACTGCTAAGCAGGGTGGTTGTAACCGCCGCTCCCGCCATACAGATAGCATCTTCACAGTGATATGTCCAATAGCTTACCTTTGTGCCCTTTGGTCATTTTTTGAATCATATGACTGCGATTATTCCATGAAGCAATATCGTAATTGATACGTATGACAAATTAAGATAAATTTTGGAGCCGAGTCAGCCGAGATTGAGGGCAAGGCAATTTTCTTGCTGTCACTAGTTTAGTGTCTATCATTCAAGCAGAGTCTTTAAAATGAAATCCTGTGCTATCGAGAGCTCTAAATCCTAATCTTTAGGGCTGAGTGCTCGTTTATGTAAACATAACCAGGAAATTTGATTTCAGAACGCAATGACGCATTGTATTTTTTGTTTCGGGTCCCATCTGCACCTGAAATATGCATAGATTCTGGAGACTTGGATATACCCCAGCGATGGAGCTAGAACTCGCTTCAAGATTAAAATTGGCGAGTTTTCTCATGAATTTCATACAAACAAGGTATGAAGTTATATTGCTTGCAAGAATGTGGTTTTATAGCCACTAGGCTAAAGTCCATCTGAAGTATATCTCCATCTCATCCTTAGTTTTAGCCTTGTCTCCGATTCAGAAAGTCGAAGTCGAAATATATATTCTCCACAACCTCCTAGATACTTGTCTCCAATGAGGGTGACCCATGTATCCCGGGTGACGAGTCAAATGCAGTGGAGTTTTTTGAAAATACTTATCGTCTTTTACACTCAAAACAGGCTTCAAACATTCGTATCTGCTTTCCAAATTACTCGCCTATCCCCACACTTTGAGGACATCTCATTATGTTCCGTAACAATCTAGATTGACATTCTTAAGGCTGACATCAGGTGTAATCTAAGTTCAGGGAGTTCAATCAATTCGAATTGACCCTTTCTTGAAACGCAGCCCCGTGTCCCAAGAGCTTGACTGATGGTTAACACTAATTTACCCCCACATTATCGCAAGGCTATCTTCAAGTATGGGTGGGTATCAGATGACCTCAAGAGCACGCAATATTGAAGCTACCTCTAGCCTCAAGATTTTTAGACAGAAAGTGAGTTTGGCAGTGATCGGTTCTACCTTCCAAACCGGTGGAAGTACCTTTGCTGCTGCATATCTACATCCGGGGGCTTAGGTGAAGTGCGAATTCGAAGTCTAAATGATATCCAATCAGCTCTGTCCGCACAACCAAACAAACTAACTATATATCAGATTTTTCTTCATTGGTCAGCTTTGTAATAGTAATATTCTACCATAAGGCAAAGACTTACTAGTTAACTTTGCGCCAATAAGTCAAGCCTTGTCGTCTATCCTCACGGACCATCTGACATCCGAGCTAATTTGTCGGATCTTCGATCCGGAGCCCCGACTGCACAATTGCGACAAGGCCACTGACGATCTCACGTGCATAGGGCACGGTTGATTTACGGATTTCATTCACGAGCGATCGACAAGCCGGTGTAGTACTTTTTTTTTTCTTTCTCACACCATCTTTCCCTACCTAGGGGCAGTCTCGCCGGTGCCAATGCAAAGGGAGAGGAATGCGGATAGAGCTACCCGGTTTCCGAATTTGGATCGGGATTTGGAACGTTAGTTGGAAAAGCTCAATGCATCCCGTGATCGTAAAAACTTCACTCTCCTTCCTTTATGGAGTTTTGTCTGAATAGTGACCAAGGGTTTACAATGATGAAGGGTTGGCGGTTAATAATACTCGTTATAAATGCAATCACAGTGCACTTTTGACTGTAAGTATGTATTAGTAATTCCATTCATCGTGGATTTAGCCACGAGGGTTCGGAGGTCACTTACTGGAATGGAGGGTGACATCACTGGAATCCAGGCCCAAGCTATTTGGTCAAAGGGCTGCCCCATTTACCAGGTTTGTACTACTGGATAGCTCTCCGAAGAGTGATAGCTAGGTCCAATTGACTGTAAAATTTACCGGGCTTCTCATCTCACAACGAATTTTGCCGCGCGGCGTTTGAAGGCGCCAAAAATATAGATTCTGACGTGATGAAATTCAGGCATATGTATCTGATGCTTATTCTGCGTCTTTGTGACCGTCAATCACCCGTCTGACCTTGCCAGAAATCCAGCAGCCCTTGACATCACTGCCCTCTTGCAGCCTGAACTGAACTTGAATCTCAGATGGCTTTCCCATACACAATCCCTGTCTCACAACAAGAGGCTTGGTAGGCTCAATTGGGAGAAGTCCATTCTTTAGAAGCCCAAAAGACAGAGCTGCTGCCGCGATACCAGTCGCCGGATCCTCAGGATAACCGGCCGATTTGGGAAATTGCCGTGCTTCGACGATTTGATCTTCTGCAGCAATCACAGCATAAGGATAGAGGCCCGTGGAGTTTATCTTTTCACATATGTCACGAATTGGAGTTGGCTCAACCTTCAATTTGTCAAGGACATCTCGGCTTTTCAAAGGAACCAATGTTTTCGTTCGAGAGGTACGAGCATTCTGGACCTTGAAGCCTGGCGCGAGGTCGTCTTCAGTGATCCCCAAACATGACAAAATTTCGAGGACAAGTGTGTCATTTATGTCTTCCACAGAGCCTTTAGGCTGGGAGACGAAAACGCGAGTTTCCAACTCTCCACGATCTACTCGTGCCTCGACAATGCCAGATATGGTCGAAATGGAGATTCCTTCGGTCGGAGGTAGTAGCCCCAGCTGGTCCATGACCCAGATGGCACCGACTGTGGCATGGCCGCACATTTCCATTTCGTGGTTTGGCACCCAGTACCTCATTGTGAGGTCTGCACGGGGTTGATCACCGGTAGGCCCAGATAGAACGAATCCACACTCGTGGCCACTCTCTTTGGCAAGTGATTGCATCTGCTCTGAGCTCATCTCGTCGGCGTCGAGGAAGATGGTGGTAGGATTGCCTCCATTTTTAGCATCGAGAGAGTATGGGAATACCGATAGATGATGGGCATTAGGCGGCTTCATTATATATATAGTATTTTCTTAGTGTTTCCTTGAGTAGAGGAGAAAATGTTGACAATCGTGGGACAAGGCTGAGAAAGTAGCTGCGGGGAAGACGTGAGTCAGGATATGTCTTGGCGTGGAGGTCAGGTTAAGCTTAACAACAGCGAAGGTCATCTCGATAGGTAAAGGCTACGAACAATCTAGGCTCAACTACTGTGTCTTGAGATTATCTGTGATTTTAAGTTGTCATTCTCTTCCTACCATCATCACATATTCTTCCCCTTCAAGCCGGACTTGCTCGTAGACCAGATCCAACAACTTGTATTTCAAGATGACCAAATTTTTGTACACACTCTTCACTGACCACATGCTAATTACGAATCCATGATCCTCGCAGACCGAACATTCATGGGTACCTCTAAGATTTCATCGGCAGCAATCTGATTGAAAGAGATCCCAACAAAAGCCCTCGCCACACCTTCCACCCACAACTCTCGCTATCCACAAGTGGATTCATTTGACAATGCCCCTAGGGGCCTCATGGCCCCTAAGAAATTCCGTCCAGACAGGATCTCGAAGGTCAACAAAAATGATTGTCGGAAATATCTCTCTTAGAAAGCTAATGCCCATCGTGTTCATGAGATAGACTTGATTTTCCCCGACGGTGCTTAGCACCCTCAAAACATAAGACTCTTTCTTTCCCCATCCACCATTGAAGATCAAAGAAGTGGAATAAGTTCTAAAAGACACGAGAATTCCCATTAGAAGTGCCAAGGCTCGGAGGGAGGCCTGAAAATCAATTATTATGCGGGGCAAGGCTGCGGTTCGTATTTCATGCATTTGGCCTCAACGCTTATTGGGACTATCACGACTGTGGGGCTGAAAAGAGGATCCTCGCGGAGATATTATTGACAAGGCTGTGACAATGATCTCGGAACTCAATTCAAGCTTATTTGATCGTCTTCTCAGAGTCTCGAGTTCTTGAGGCTGGAGTGTGACAATATTTTTGACTGCGGGCGGATTGTATACTGGGCAAGATTGTTCTCAAAAGAGTGTGTTATTAGTAGGAAATGTGAAGGAGAGTTATTGAACGCTTCTGTAATGTATAGATTGTCATGGCTTGGTGAATCGTAAACTATTGCACAATATTAGGAAGGAAGAGAAAAAAAATGTATGTACATGCTCCCGAGCGACTTATTTCTGGATGTCAACCGAGAGTTTGGGTACCGAGAAGGTAACGTTCTTATCTACTGAGAACGCCTCGGTACCGAACTGGAAGATACCCATATAATCCGTGTTAGATGGGTAGTTATCGCCAGTCAGAGTGTAGAGATCGGTGATGAGGGGGTAGATGTCGCCGGTGAATTTCTCCGTTGCTTCGGTAGCACACCATGATAGAACGCTTTGATTTGCCGAATTCGTGCCGGTGTAGAGTTCGCTGCAGAGAAGAAGATTAGTACCTCCACATTTAGAACCGATGGCCTGTCTACTCACAATGTCGTTCCGTTCAGCGTCTTTGTCGTCACCGCGCCAGCGGAGAGACCGATAGGCTGAGCGGAGGAGCCGTAATCGGCAAACCAGACCATGACTTCGTATTTTGCGAGAGTGCTGTTTGCTGCATTCGTTTTATCCGAGTCGAAGAACATATCGATGGCAACGTTGGTCTGGAGGTTTGCCGCTGTGAGGGTGTCCTCGTCGGTCGAGGCGGCGGCGGTGTTGCCCACGCCATAGGTCCAGTGAAGGTCGAGGTCGACCTGGGTCATCTTGTCCAGCTCAATGGGCAAGATATCGTCCACCATGATGTTGGGGTAGGCGTGCACGGGCTGAGTTGAAGGGCCGGCATCGAATTGCCAAGTCGCGGAGAAGCCTGGGGCTGTGTATTTGGTCGGATAGGTTTCATTGTTGAACGTCGTGACCTTGAACGAAACAAAGTCGATTAGTCGCGAAATTGCAGTAGCTAGGGATACTCATTGGATACTCACATTCATGCATAGCGCGCCCGAAGTTGAATCTGTCACTCCCCACTGGTTGGGATTGACTATTGCAGGTGTTAGTTTCGAATCCGGCCGGAGTAGAATAGACGGGCCTAGAAGAGAGCCGCTGCGCCGACTATGGCACAACAATGCGAATCTCGCAAGGTAGATTGAAAGGCGAACTTACGAGTATAGAGCTGTCCGTCCGACGGTGGTGAGATACCGTAGGAATTTTGGCAATACTGAGTGTTGGTGACGCCGTTATTCGTTGTAGAGCCACTACCACCGGAGCCGCCCCCAGTGCTATCGCTGCCAGAGCCAGAGCCTGAGCCGGTATTCGAGTTGCCGTTGTTGGTGAAGAGTGGTGGTTGTCCGGTCGCTGATCGGTGTGCATCAATACCTAGCAGCGTGCCGACCGAACCGCCGATTGGAATGGCCAAAAGGCCGGTGTTGACGAGTAATCGCAACGCCATGGTGTCGCTGATCTTGCCGAGCGAGTGTAAAAAGAGCAAGATAAAAGACGCAAGATATCACAGATAAGAACCCCGCCCACGGAAACGAGTGTTAAGGTATAAGGAAATATGAAAAATGTATAACAAAGTATAGCGAAGTATTAGCGAAGGACAAAGAGTATAGAGGGGGGATAGTAGTAAAAATGGAGGAGAAAGGTGCAAAGATACAGTCTCGACTACGGAGCAAGCCAAATCATAATCACTACAGTCAACTGAGACCTTTCTAGCCAGACGGTTATCAGTCGAGTCCAGCAAAAAAAAAAAAGCCCAAAGGCCGGGCCCGAACAACGCCAATCAACCCAATTGGCGCTGCAAACCAGCGATCGAGTGGCCCGAGGCCCTTCCGCACGCGGTTTAGCGGCAGGTACTACGGTCGGATCAAACGCTTGTGCCTGATAAGTGGGCGAACAAGAGTGGACAAGGTGGACAAAGTGGACAAATTGGAACGCCACACTGCATCTTGCCCCCCTGCGTAGTGCGACCCCATTTCCCTCCTAACGCAGTGGGGGAGGAGTGTAGGAGTTTGGAAGGTGACCAGTCAGATGCGACCGACCGTTCGGTCTAGAGATGGTGATGCGCGCAAAGATTAGCCAAGTAAAAGTCTAAGTGCGTACAATACATAACTGGTTACAACTGGTTCTAGAGTACTAAAAGAAGCAATTTTTTTTCTTTGCTTCGGCGTATGTCCGGGGAATATTGTAGTCCGGATTTTCTTCATGAATAATGATATGGAGCATTACGGAGGCATTGGACGCAAGCCCTAACGAAACACTACCAGTAATAATAGGACTCTCTTGCCACCATGTGAACGAAACATGGAACTCAGTCCTCCCCGAACCCTTGGCTGTCCCCAACAGGGACAAATTTGTTCTTTTTGTTTTCTAAATTTAAAATGCACGGTGGTGGGTCGAAAGGGGAACGAAAGAAAACTCTTTGGTCGAAAATTTCTTTCTTTTTCCCCCCAATTTCCCTTGTTTTAGTTTACCGTTCCCATCCTATTAGTGCAATTACTGAGGGTCACCCCATAGTTGGCAGCTAGGGACCAACCATACTGCGACGACATCATCATCATAGGCATCGGGTCTCGAGGTCAATGGCCGGACAATGATGACGCAAGCGGAAGTGGCTGCAACAAAGAACAAGACGAATCGTTATTGTTACACTCTGCTCCACGATCTATCCACCCCATTCATCAGATTCAACCCATTATATTCATTCTATCGTCGTCAGTACTCCATAGTTACATTACACAATGCACATGATTGATGAATATCCCCCCATAGAATCATAGATTAGCCTATCGCGGGTTGTAAGGTGGGATTTCTATTTATACGCTTGGCGCGGGTGACGGAACACCGGAGCAAATCGCACTCATCACACTGACTCTCGGTATGATGTATGAGGTACTTGTATCTTGCCGTACGGAAATGGCTTTTCCGCACTGGAGATCTCCGAAATTTCTTGTATGACAGAATCCCGACTTAGGTTTCGCCGATTGGCTTAGAAGCCACAGCGCCAGCACTTTCCCCTAAACCGGATGGCTGAATGGGCTGGATAACCATTTTCGACCAGCCACTCAGGATCCTCTAGACCGGAGAGCAGATCGCCCTCGATGGAGCCCGGCGATAAGCATGGTAACGCGTAGAGACAGTTAGATGAACCTGGGTCCTTGGTACTTACTCGGTACTTCCCCTTCGGACCGTCCAGTAGGTTATTGGCTAAGCCTCGCTGGTTCCCATCCACCTCTTCATTATTCATTATTCGCTCTCGACTGAATTTCTTCTTTCATACTACCTTGTTCACCTTGCCTTTTTCCCCCTCGACCTTCCCAGTTTGCAGCTATTTGGGCTGATCACACTCGTTTGAAAACGTCGCGCTGCTGGGGGTGATTTACTAGCTTCCCATAGTATCATCTGCTGCCCTCATTTATCTTTCTCAATCGTTTATTCTCGGCTCGTCTCTTATCTACTTGCCCTATCTCTTTGGTTCAAAGTCTCAGTCCGCACGCGATCTATTCACGCGACCACTGCCTAGTGTCTCAACATGGCCGGACACTATGGCGGGCAACCATACGCCGCTCAGTATGGCGAGCAGTATGTAACCAACCCGTACACTCACGAAGAACCCGAAGAAATGGTCGAGTTGAGCAGCCCTCGAGCTTATCGGAGCCCCAGAGGCGTGGACCAGCACGAAAACAACTTCGACTTTCAGTTTCAAGAACATCCTTCTCCGAGGCCAGCCGTGATCCCGTATAGACCGGGCTTGGGACACAACCCGCCAGACTATACTTCGTCGCCAGGTCTTTTCCCCACGCCTCGCACATCCTATGGCCCTGAATCGTTTGCGAATACGCCGTATGACTCTCGCTCGGCTTCTCCTACCTTGGTAAGACATGCTTTGATCCGATTTTGATCCTTTGTGCATATAAAAGTACCATCTAACGGTTCTTTGTCAATTGACAGTATCACCACTCGCAAGTCCAAAGCTCTGCAAGTCTCGGTCGTGCTCCTCTCGTGAGCGCCCCGGCCTCGCCAGGCTTCTCAAAGGATTGGATTCAGTCGGGATCCATTGCTCGCATCAGTGATCGCGACGATATCGATATCTGGAAGGGCTGGAAGCGAATCGTATTCAAGTTCACCCCGCTCCTGACCTTTGCCAACACCGGACTCTACTTGTTCTACCTGGGCCTGCGAATCTACTGCATTGTTTCGGCTCAGAATGCTGCCGGTGTCAGTTATGCTGGAGCATGGGTATTCGTTGCCATTGAGATTGCCGTTATGATTCCTTCTCTCATGCACAACTGCTGGACCATGATGGCCATGAAGAAGCGCGGCCGCCCCAAGTTGCGATTGACCGGCGATGACTGCCCGACTGTGGATGTATTTATTACCTGCTGCGGTGAAGAAGACGAGGTCGTTCTCGATACCGTCCGTGGTGCCATTGATCAAGACTACCCCTTCGACCGGTTCCGAGTGATCGTCCTCGATGACGGCAGATCCGCATCTCTGGAGGATTCCGTCAACAATCTGGCCATCACCCACCCGAATGTCTACTACATGGCTCGCGAGAAAATCCCCGGCAAGCCTCACCACTTCAAGGCTGGTAACCTCAACTACGGTTTAGACCAGACACTCGCACTGCCTGGTGGAGCCGGCCAGTTCATGGCCGCTCTGGATGCGGACATGGTAAGTCAAAACAAAGCACTCCTTACCTGGGCGCGAATCATCGCGCAAGGGCTAGTCCCCAGCCCATGTGTTTTCTTAATCTAATGCGCATTGCAGATCCCCGAGCAACAGTGGTTGCGCGCCATTCTCCCGCACTTGTTGGTGGATCCTAAGATGGCCCTTGCATGCCCACCCCAGCTTTTCTACAACACCCCTGCGTCGGACCCTCTCGCCCAAAGTCTGGACTTCTTCGTTCATGTCATCGAGCCGATCAAGGACGCGCTCGGCGTCGCCTGGTGTACCGGTTCTGGCTACGTTGTTCGCCGCGAGGCTCTCGACCAGATTGGCAATTTCCCCCTGGGCTCGTTGGCCGAGGATGTCGCGACTTCGACTTTGATGCTTGGTAAGGGATGGAAGACTGCATACATCCACGAGCCGCTGCAGTTTGGAACCGTCCCTGAAGATTATGGTGGTCACTTGAAACAGCGTACTCGCTGGGCTATCGGTACCGTGGACACGGCCTTTAAGTTGAAGTTCTGTCTGTGGGGTGATGCCGTCCGTAAGATGACAATTGCCCAGCGGTTCTCTGGTTTCTTGTACGCGACGCTGAGCTTGTACACTCTTCTGCTCACCGCGTCGCTTTTCGCTATTCCCATCATTCTCTTGTGGGGCAAGCAGCTCGTCGCGTACGCGAACCAGGACCAGCTTCACTGGTTGATCTGGGCTTGTTTCGCGTCGACACTCGCTAATCGTCTTTGTGAATTTGCACTGTTTATTCCTGCTGGTTATCACACCGGCCAGCGTGGCTCTCGCTATCAGCTCTGGATGTCCCCATACATCGCCCTCTGCATTGTCCGCTCCTTCATCCTACCCTCCTGGCTCGGTGGCCAAGCTCAGGCCTTCAAGCCAACCGGTTCCCTCGGATCCGCTTTGAACGAACGCGACCCCAAGCAACGGAAGAACCTATTCGTCCGCCTACGCGTGATCCTGTTCAACTTCATGGCCCTCTTCCACTTTGCCTTCGTCTACGTGACCCTGGTAGCAGTTGTCATCTCGACATACCGCTGTTTCGCAATCGAGCACAGCTTCAAGGGTGTCGTCATTTGCCTAATTACTCACGCTTTCTGGCCTCCTCTCACTTTCCTTTTCATTTGCACTTCGCTGTGGACACCTGTCTCATACGCGATTGATCCCCCATCGATGCCGGAGCGCGAGGAATTGTTGACCCGGGACCCGAAGACGGGCGTTGCGCACCCGACGAAGAAGAGCAAGAAGATTGCATTTGGTGGACAGGCTGCATGGTTTGAATTGGAGTATACGGTTGCCACTGTTGCCACTATTTTGATTTTTGTTTACTCCTTTTTCTTCTAGATGTTACCATATACATAATGCATTATGAGGCGATATGCTCACTGTTTTTACAATGGGGTCAATTTATCGGGGCAGAATTTCATGAATCAGGTGTCGGTGTTTGTTTTCTCTTTGATTCTAGCAAGTCAGGCCATCAATACAATCTCAATTGAACGATATCCCCATTCTTGACTAGGTGTATTTAGCCCGTTGGGTTCTTCCCAACAGAAACCCGAGCTTGGGCAGCAATCCGCGCTTGCAGCGCACCACGTAAACAAATCTAAAAACAAAGCTGCAGACCTGATGCAGTGCTAACACACACGAATGCTGTCTCCTATTACACAAAAATATCAATAATTCTATCTTTTTTGCGGTCAAACTTTATCTGGCCGCGCCTGATGGAGCGGTCAATTCGAAAAAACAACTTCCAAAGTGCCAACTGTACCTGGCAAGGTACAACGCAGAGCATGCGGCTTCATACACAAAACTCTCTATCTAGATGGAATTGTTTATGGGTTGACCTAAACTTCAATGCCAGAATCATATAACTACCCTTCGGACTCGTCTTGAAATAGATAGACCGCACAAGCCTGGAAGAAGCTGCCGTAATGCAGATGGCGTGATAAAATGCTATCTTGCAGAGAACGCCGAAATAACCCCTACAATTGCTTTTTCCAAATATTGATGACACGACTGCCCTGATATCTACTTGACAACTTGGCGGACTCTTTAGTCGTTGAAGGAATACGTTGTTGCTATGCGTGACTGGAGTGCGCCTTGTTCGAGGAGGATATGCTCTGTTATTGGTACCTAGTTACGAAGTACGTGGATACCTGTCCATATTATGGGTCTGTTTGGGGAAGAAAATGAACTTCATGATTTTCTTTTGAGTTCGGCTTCGGGGTATGAGTTTGATACGACTGCAGATTATCTGAAGGCTTGCAAGCGAATGAGATGTAAATACCCTCATCGGATTACTTTCACCCACGGCGATCTCAAGGCTTATAATGTTTTTGTTGGAGATAATGGGCATCTGTCTGGGTTTATCGACTGGGAATCGGCTGGCTGGCATCTTGAATACTGGGATTTTACTATTGCGATGAGGTTTGGAAGGGATAGTTGGTGGTATGGCCTCGTGGTTGAGAAGATTAGTACAACTGGGAGTTGACGGCCTGTTACCTCTTCCCTCTATCACCTTAATATAAAAGACGCGACCTGCCCTCTCATCCCCTTCTCTCCGCCTTTTCCCTCTCTCCAACTACTCTACCTTGTACTCATCGCCGCCCCCTTGCCTTCGCTCTAGCGTCTACCTACTGATACTCCTCGATTTTATCCCAACGGTTTAGTTAAAATGAACAATATGGCATAAAGAAATCCCTGATTGTCTACCCAGAGCAGCCTGAGTGAAGGGTGAGCAGATCCCCAGGCAATGGCTGGAATGGAGTAAGCATGGTAATCAATCGAAAAGTACTCAAATTTAAACACATTGGAATTCTCTTAATATATTCAATGGTATCCTGTCCAAGTAGGTAGTGCACAGTAGATAGGAAAATTAATAAGATCTAACCCGCAGACCATCCTACATCACCAGTCCTACCTCTTTGGACCACCTAAGACTGGATCATTCCTTGGAGGGCTTCTGGAATCGACCTTTCTCATATTACTCGGACTCTTCGCAGTTCTGGGGGTAGTTAGCGCTTGTTTGCCCCTCCGGTCATTTGCGGCTGCAGGGATTCGGTTGTAACACTGATCACAAGATAACACAACATGCGGTCCATAGTGGTTCCTCATTGATGTACCTGAATTCGGCTGCCCGATTCAATTCAAACATGCTTTTGAACCTATCGGGAATCATGGTTTTAGCTGTCTTTGTTGTGACAGCGTAACAGCCCAGCACTCGATCATTTAAGAGGACGACAAATGAGGCTAAAAACCGGTCGACATTTTCGTTTTCAATAACGAATCTGAACGTTTGTCGAGGTTTGATGGGAACGGTCAGTTGGATTTTATCTGAGGCTAGTTGAACTTTCTGGGGATCTGTCCATAATTTACGGATCCCCCCAACCGAGCCAGCTGAAAAGCTACCATAAATGCGATCGTCTTGAATCACAAACTGGGTCACAAAACGATCATCGCCCCACGATAGCATCAAGTCGTATTGCCTTTGCTCGGCGACGGTAGAGAAACTCTGAAAGGGTATCGAACGAAGTGGCATTGTAAAGTTCAGTAAACACTCAAGAAGACTGTGGTTCAAAAAAATCACCAAAGGACATGTTCGGTTCGATTATTGAGCGGTTCCCAGAAGGCTAACTATAAATAATTATGGTTGGAGGAGAATATGAAGTGTTGCGTGTGTCACAAGGCACTAAATAGCATCTTCTACCTTACCTGGGGGAAGGCTTACGTACACTCCTTTCAACGATAGGTAGATAATGATACTCGTTACCAGGGGCAGCATGTCCTCAACGCGCACCCTTGAGTCTGCCAAGTCCACGGCCAACCTAATCCGAAAATACCCACGTCGCAGAGGCTGACAAGGCAGTCTAGTATTTAGGGAATGAGGGAGCCGTAGTTAACGGGCCCAGGTTGGTGGATTTAGTGAAAGGAGGAATGCAGATAGTTGAGCTGCCCTGAGTAACGAATGTCATCTTGTCATCAACACATGTTGAAGGCAGTAATGCGAAGGATGTCGAGACGTTTCCAGGGGGTATTGCTAAAAGTACACCGTCGACCCAACTCATAGCTCTAATGACTGTTCTGTATCTCTACACCTGTCAGGCGTCTCCTAACCTCCTCTACTTCTAAATACTAAAAGTCACTCGTCATCGATATATAGATTTGAGTACTGTGGATGGCACTGCCCAGAATTGTCCTACTTAGTAGTCCAGCCGTCAAGATCATCTTGGCTGCTTGTAGTGCCATTGGCCGGCTGCCGAGAATGCGCTAGATGTCGATGCATGGAGTCTGAGCACAAGGCTTACCAGAGTTTGCCCGAACTGGAACGATGTTGGAAAGGACTAGTCCAACTCGAGTTGGTCTCTTCCTGCACCTTAAATCCTGTGCTGATCAACAAGTATAAGAAAGCAGCATTGCGTATGCCCATTAACCTAATATGTGTAAGATCATGTCTGATACAGGCAAGACTGGTCTTGGCTTTCAAGGCCGTCCCGTGTCAACCTCAAGTCGTCGCACGAAGCCGTGCTCTCGACTAGCGTAATAGGCTACTGAGCCTCAAGACTTGGCGACCGGACAATCTCCTTAAAAGCCGCAGGGACTCGATCATTGTGGGGTGCTAAACCCTTCCCCCTTTTTTACTGTGCGGCGTTGCCAGTTATTGACAAGAACAGAACGTGTTGCCTAGAGCATGAACAATCCAACTTGGCTTTGAAACTTGATCCACGTCCCTATAAGGCAGACCGAAGCGCGACCAAAACGAAATGTCGAACTCCTTTGGAGCCGTGTGGGGTCGAAGCCCATATTCATCGCTGGTGTTTCGTTCGACATCCTTAGTCTGATAGCCTTTGTCGGTTTGGTCATGATGGCTTTTCTGATCCGCGGCCGCTATGGACACAGGACGAGCATACTGGTTACGCTATTCATGTGGCTATGGTACGACGGAGGGCATCTATTTATTCAAGAAACAGTCACCCCTTACTATAAAATGACGGGTTCTAATTAGGTATAACTCTAGTTTTCAAATTTGCATTCTCATCCGGGATATTGTATACCTTACCGAAACCCCTTTTATAGAGTACTACGTCGAAATAGTGCTCGATATCTTTAAAAGGATCTGTGGCTCCCTGTTGTTCTACGTCTACTACAGCCTCCTCAACGGATTTCTGAACAGCCTTACAGATACGGGCAAGCCATATGCATCCGTTGCGATTATTAATTGGGCTCTTCTGGCCATCGTGTCTATTCTCTCTCTCGCAACTTGCAGCGTTCATATTGCGTACGAGGTGCAATATATCACCGAGGTTGGGCAGCTGGGCTTGACATGCCATTATTTGAAGCTGTCAAGTGCGTCCGACATCGTAAGGTGGCTCTTGTCTCTAGAGGTTCTTTCGTAGACCGTCTTTGTGGCTGTTAAGGCCGGGTCGCATCGGTTTAGGTCGAGAGTGCGTGACATCACGAATCCTTAGGCCCTTTTAGCCAATTTAACGAATACAGACTAACGAACCATACACAGAAACCCATTATCTCCCTGATTGCTAGCAGTGTGAGCTGGATGGCATTTAATCTTATGTTCGCCATAGAAGATATTTGCTATTCCATCGAGACCATCTCTAACCGACCAGGATATATATGGGCTCTCCAGCCGGTCTGCTCGTTCGTCTTCCTGCTGGGCATCTTTCTTGGCATTCTTCTCTGCTCAAAGTGGCGCATGGTCGATGATCCTCCAGCCATCCCTCCAGTCACCGTATACTACAGTGATGGCCCTTTGACCTACCGTACATATCACCTGGGGATAAACGCACAACAGACTGTCTCCAATAAGCGCTGCGATATGTGCAGTACAACAGTCACGACGCCATTCTGCGGCAAGTGTGGTGCCAAACAAGCACACCCACGACAGGCCGTCTCCGATAAGCTCTGTGACAAATGCGGTACGACAGTCACGACGGCATTCTGCGGCCAGTGTGGTGCCAAAGAATTGGAAACCGTCGAGGCGGAGGTTCATGTCTCCGGCCGGGCGCCTCAACAGCAGGATGAAAGTATAGAAGAGATGTATGGAGTTGCTACTAGAACAGCACTGGCTCAGCCTAAGTTACATGCTGGCGCATCAGAGGCACGGCCAAGCGAAGGGGGCATGAAGTTTAGCTCGGGAGAAGAAGCGCTCGTCCGGTCCCGCGAGCTTCTTAGGGAAGCCCGCCAACAACTAGATGACTTCATCACCACTCGATCGAAGCCGCACCCCTTCCCAAAGGAACAGCCAACATATATTCAGCTCGCCTCCACCGTTGTGCTTGGGAAAGGAGATATTGAGTCGAGGGCTAAGTCCCTTGAGGACAGGGCGACCCCACGCATGATGGAAGCTTTAACCGCCCAATATAATTAGGACAATGTTATTGACACGACAAAAAAATTCACGGCACGACAGAGCTAGTCCTAATTAGGAACGTACCCCCCAGATACAAAATGCTACCTTCGACATCCACATAATAATTGCCAAGCCCTTATGTATGCATATTCCCATACATAAGCGCTTCCCGCGGATGCTCTAGTGTCGTCAGCGGTCATACCCGCCTCTATCACATGACCTCTATTTGTTTATCTCCATGACATACCAAGTCGGCATTCCAAACTCATTCCTACATACTAACCCCCTTCCTACCACCAAGTTTTATATTCAATGGCTAATTGATTCTCTCCTTAGGGCCGATATCTCTTTCTAATTCGCTTCCTACCAATTCAACTCCTACCAATTCAACTCCTACCAATTCAACTCCTACCAATTCAACTCCTACCAATTCAACTCCTACCAATTCAACTCCTACCAATTCAACATGGCTCTTCAACCACCGCCGAACAACTGGCTAATCGAGGTCGAAACTAGCCAGGAAGCCCGGGCTATCCTTAACCAATTTGCCTCTCACCAAGGATACGCCATTACCACTGCGAATTCGAACGATCGGTCGGTTACCCTCCAGTACGATCGGGGTGGCCAGCCTAGGAAGCACCCTTCTAAAACCACCCGCCAGACTACCTCTCGCCGCTGCGGTTGCCACTTCTCTGCCTACCTTAAGAAGGAAACCAACGGCTGGCTCTTCACCGTTAAGAAGGGCTCTCATACTGGCCACACGGCTTCTGCACCTGCAATACACCCAATTCACCGGCGCCAGCAGATGAAGGAGACCCAGGAGCGGGTAATTCAACTATTCATGCTAAGGCATTCGAACCTCGAAGTTATCAGTATCCTACGGCAAGAGGGAGCTTATAGCAAGGCCGAAGTTAATGCAGAAGACCCATACCAATCCCGCATTCGCCTCAACCCAAGAGACTTGGCGAACCTTCGCTATCGTGCACGGAAGCGGTTTCTTAGGGGACGTACGCCTACTTCGGCCCTCCTGATGGGGCTGCCGGGCTGGGACGTCTTTTATAAGGAGACCGAGGGGGGAGAAAGCCGGGTCCAACACATACTCTGCGCATCTCATTCGGGCCTCGACCTTCTCGCTCGATTTTCCTCTCTCCTTTGGATTGATGCCACATACAAGACCAATCGGTTCAATATGCCTATGGTTAATATTGTTGGAAGGTCAGCTAATGGGAAAACCTTCTATATTGCCTGCGCTTTTATATCGGATGAGCAAGAGGGTGCATATCGGTGGGTTCTGGAGATCCTTCGGGATCAACTTATTAAGCACCAAATCCCCTTTCCAACAACTATATTCTCTGACGATGCAGAGAGTCTCCTGGCTGCTATAGCAACGGCCTTTCCAAATACAACCTCCCTGCTTTGTATATAGCATATCCAGAAGAATATTGAGAAGAGACTGCGGCCGAAGATTGCCCAGCATCTTCTTGTCTATCTTAAGAAGGAAGGGGACATTCGAGACGATATCAACGGGCGATGGAATTCTGCAAAGGACCTCTTCAATAAAGTCATCTTTGCACCTACAATAGCAGAGATGGAGACTGCTTGGAAGAGCTTTAAGAAGCACTATAAGCACCAGGTTTTCACAGAGGCAATTGACTACATCTCGAATCAATGGATGAAGGATGGTATGCAGCAACGCTTTCTCCGCTGTTATACTAATAACACCTTCCATTTCGGCGAAACTTCATCCTCGCGAGTGGAAGGGGCCCATGCCTATTTGAAGAGATTCATTAAGTATTCAGTTGGCGACCTCCACACTGTTATGTGTGGGATTCGAACTGCGGTCAGTGCTCGCCATATTACCATCAACCAATCGATTGCGGAGGAGCGTGAGAAGCTGCCAGGGAACCTCCTTACGCCCCTGTTTCGTAAGGTTCTTGGTTGGGTGCACCGGAAAGCCCTTCAATCGGTTGCTAGGCAACTAGATGCATATAGGAAGAAGGAATTGGAGATGGTCGATTGCACCAATTACCATCGGCAGGCACTTGGTTTACCATGCATCCATGAGATTTTGGTGGCTATTGAAGGCAATCTGCCTCTCGAAAGGGATCAGTTCCATCGCCAGTGGTGGCTCCTTACTTCAATTAAAGACGATTACCAGCCACTTTACATACAAAGTGTGCTTCAAGTCAAGGAGCCAGCAATCGCGAAAGCTGCAGGGCGCCCCCCCGGGCGAGCTAACCATGCTCGAAAAGACCCCATTGTATTGGCAGCGAAGGAGACTGCTAATGCCACGGCAGCAAAGAAACAGCCAAAGACCACTAAAGCCAACAACTTGAAAACCACCAAAGCCAACAACTTGAAAACCACCAAAGCTAACAACTTGAAAACCACCAAAGCTAACAACTTGAAAACCACCAAAGCTAACAACTTGAAAACCACCAAAGCTAGCAACTTGAAGACCACCAAGAAAGCCACCCGCCGGTCAAATCGATTAGACCGATCTACCAAGCGAGATCCTTCTGGTTTCGAGGTTGTTAGGAAGCGTACTGCGCGGATTGGGCGGGAAGGGCGTGTATGAGGGTGAAATCGATCTAGATAATATATTAATTAGCCTCTGAAATTTGAAATTGCTTCTGCTTCAAATCCCTGCATGTTTAGATGAATTAGGTGGTTGTAAAATAGCCTTGGAAAAGGGTGATGGTAGGAAGTGGGTTAGGAAGCCGACTTGGTATGTCATGGAGATAAACAAATAGAGGTCATGTGATAGAGGCGGGTATGACCGCTGACGACACTAGAGCATCCGCGGGAAGCGCTTATGTATGGGAATATGCATACATAAGGGCTTGGCAATTATTATGTGGATGTCGAAGGTAGCATTTTGTATCTGGGGGGTACGTTCCTAATTAGGACTAGCTCTGTCGTGCCGTGAATTTTTTTGTCGTGTCAATAACATTGTCCTATAATTATCGAGTGACACCGGCGCACCTCCGCCCGCTTTATCCATCCTACCGGTCTTTATATGCCGATGATTCAGGCCAAATGATGTTCCAGCCATGGTGGGGTGCCCCCCGGCTCTACGAACGGAAGGATCTATCGGGCCAGTCGAGTACGAAGGAAACACCTTGCTACCACTGGCGCTACGACCATGGCGAGAACCAGGGCGGCCCCTCGACATATGTTGAGATGACCGTGAGTGCGGAAGGAATCGTCCAACTCTCTTCTGGGGATAGGTCCTACTTCCTGGCCACGGCCGAGGGATTCTCCGCGCTGCTCGAAGAATGGGATAAGAGATGAAGCAAGACTGTGTGAGATGGAAGCGGGCGCGACTGTGTCCACGTTTGGGATCGGATAATGCGTGGAGGAATATATACGATCCCTTGTTCCTCTTTGTGGGAGCCCTCACAAGTTAGCTTTCTTTCACTAGCGGAAGACTCTATAAAATATGTACCAATACTGAAGCGACGCATTATGAACGTTATAAACCTCACTCCGCATCTTCCTATTCCGTCTTCTGCTTCTTCTTTTTCGGCTCCTCCCCTCCCCCATTCTCACCGAACAACTTCCTCCACGACCCATCCAAAACCTTTTCATCATTCCCATGCAATCCCACATCATACGCATTCTTCATGTTATCCAAGCAAATCTGCCTCCTCTTATCAAAGTCAAACATCGGCTTCGGATACGACTGGCCGCCCGCAGCATTGTCGTCATTCGTAACTCTACACCCCCACTTTTTCTGATCGGCGATCGGCGCCTTCCAAGGCTCGTAGATGAACTTCTTATCGAATTTGGCTAGTTCGGGTACATAGCGACGAACAAAGTCGCCATTGGGGTCCCACTTCTTCCCGAATGCGATGGGTGAGTAGCAGCGGTAGAATTGTGTGAAGAAGGCCGTGCAGGAGAGCCACATCCAGTTCCCCGCGTTTGAGGCTGTTTCGTCTATTTTTGAATTAGTAAGTATAAGTAATGATACCGTGATGATAGCATAGCGCAATGCATATCAGGTGGGGAGAGTAGACTTGCGGTCGAGTAATAGTTCCTCAAACACTTCTGCGCCCCGTTCCCAGCTAATGTAGCACCCACCACGAGTCAAGAAACACGCAACGCTATGCCGACCAAGATGGTGGATCCAGCCCTCTGACCTGAGCTGGCGCATTAACGCGTCGATCCAGGGAAAGCCCGTTCGGCCTGTCTTCCACCTTTGGAACCACTCCTCAGCCTCGGGAGAGTCAATTTCATAATCGCGAGCGGGTAGAACTCCGTCGTCGTCTTCCATCGCGTCCTCATCTTTCTCCACGGTCTGAAGCGGCTTTGATTGCAAGTGCCAGTCAATAAATCGGGCGACTCTGTTGCCGTGTATCCGCGCAAATGGGGCACCAATCGCGGCTTGTGCTGCAAAGTACATATCGCGGAAAAGTAGCTGGCCAGGTAGATTAACCGGGACGAAGGCGTTGGGCTTCTTTGCTTTTCTGCGTTTGGTCATGACATCTTGGACGTCCCACCAGTACTTTCGAATGGAAAGGGAGCCAAAGTGCAAGTGTGGAGAGAGGAGAGTGGTGGATTGAGGCTCAAAGGCAGCCGGAGAGGTCTTGGGTTTCTCGAATGTACCGATATACTCTTCGTCTGCAATAAAATCGGCCAGCATCTTCAAAGCTACGGACTCTCCACCTCGATGAGGAGTCGTTGCTAAAGATGGATCGATGCCAATTTCCTCCATTGTTGGCACGCCAAAGTCGTTCTTGGTGCCCATGATTTGCGTGTATTGTTTGTCCTTTGTCCCGCGATGATCTGCGTTCAAATCGGGCGTCGGGTTTGTGACCTTGTGCTCAATATCACTAAGATCCATTTTATCTTTCTCCCAAGGATCCGGAACACTCTTAGGCGTCTCCACAGGTCGATCCGGCTGTCCACCATTAATCTTCTCAGCAGCCTTTTCAGTTTGCGTCATACTCATCGTCGGCTTCCCTCCATTCTTCCGGACCAAATCATCAGGATCAAACAGATTGCGGCCCGTTCTCACAATAACCTCGACGCCAGCTTCTTCCGCCAGTTGAACGATGGCTTCATCGCGTTCGCGAGCATAAGGGTCGGTATCCTTCTCGAACACGAGGTGCGTGATTCCCCATTTCTTCCAAAGTTTGGGAAGGACTGTCTGTGGACCTTCACGGACAAGCCAAAGCTTTTGCTTGGGGTTGAGCTTAGTATATGATTTAGACAGGTCGTTTTGACATTCCAAAAGGAACCTCCATCGGTTTGGTCCGACTCGTGCTCTGTAGACGTAGTGAGGGTCCCATGTCCAGACGGGGATAAACACTGATGGCTTCAAGGCCAAGGCAGCGTGTAGAGCTGGCGAGTCATGTAGTCGAAGGTCTGTTCGATGCCAGTATAAGACGACTGTTTTGGGCGCAGCAGACTTCATTTCGCCGCCTCTGTGGTCTGCGTGGTCGTAGTCTTCCTTTTCAGAGTTCTTGAGAGGTTGACAGGATGTTAATTTAGCAATAAGAGAAGTACCCCGCAATAGAAACAGGAGAAAAAGATCGGAGATATTGTTCATCGGGATTCTCGATTTCGATAATGCATGACGTCAATCTCGATGGATCTCATGTAAAGGTGAGCCATCGCCCCACTCTTTTCTACAATAGCAGAGTAGCGGTAAGGAATCGCATAACTTCCACTGCCGTAGTATCCTGAAGATTTGGTGAATTGTGGTATATGGGTGGATAAGCGTATGCCTGTCAGCTTTGGATCACATCGAAGCATTTCAACTGTTCAAAATCTTTGTCCCATCATCGATTCTAACGTATAAGAGCATCCATCTCAGATTAAGCCTGACGGCTTTATAGAGCTATATATATTCAATCTGATATTTTGTGTGAGATCGGCTCTGTTGATAGCACCGATCGGCACTCTAGGATCGGTCTAGAATGGTCTTATGCAGAGTCGCATAATAACCCTCCCGCGGATAAAATCTTCGTGGCCTGCTCGGCTAAAGCACCCTCTTTCCGATTCTAGCGATCTTGTCAATCGTATATTCAATCTATATCTTTGAGCAAAGCTTAGCGGATGGTTTATCTGCCATTGCGCTGTATGGAGGTAATTGAAGTGGAATTAGACTTGGGATCCACGACGGAGTTGAGAGGACCAAAAGATGGACGCCCAAAAGAAGACACCCTATGAAATTACCTAGAGAAGCTGAGAATGAATTTTAGTTATTTTAAGAGCATTCTAAACACAGATTCTATATATTCGCTCAGCTTAGCTATGCAATCCCAAAAGCAGACCTCAAGCTTCTAGTGTTCTTTGACCAAAGCCTGGTAGGTCCGGTGCAAATTCGCTGGACTTAGTCCATGTAAATCCTGTCCGTCGAGATTACCGAGCATTTGAGTCAATGATAAAATGAAGACTCTCCTTACGATCTAAGATCATCATGGCTGTAATATCTTTAGCCTCTAGTTGCATCTGTCTCATAGGCATATTTTCTTGCAGGTATAGAATCAGGTACCGTGACCGCATGGATACGACCCCAACATATTAGTTAGCCTCTTTCATTTCTTTCTTTGTCACTTTCCTAAAGTCTCCTCGCCATAGTTTCTGATTTTATCAGTATACGTTCTGGTGCCATCGCGAACAATAATCAAAACTTCCTATACTTGGCACTTCTCCATCCTTTCGTGACTCAGATACGTTCTAAAAGTTATACGAGCCTCTTTAGCCCTTTTACTAAGTAGGTCAATCTGATTGAAGGAAACAAAGTACCATGACTCACGCAACACCCACTAAACCCTGATGGTATAGTCCAAGCGGGCTGATTCGAGAACTCCGGCCTATTCCGCGCCCCACTTAACCACGATAAGAAACCCACGCGGCGGGGTCTGGGGCCTGATGAAAAAAAAGTTTTTGGGGGTTCCCGCTGTTCCTGACACTCCAGCACCAAAGCACACGACAAAAGACCAGTCCTACCGGCCTCTATCAAAGAAAGGAGTCGCGTGGACAAATATGGCCGGCGATATGGAAGTAATCGAGGCTGGGTCCTCAGCCCGGGGCAAACTGCGCATCGTCGCAATTATGACTGCGCTCTCTGTAAGACCAAAAAAAAATCTCCGAACCCCGTGCATATTTGGTCCATGCTTTTTTTTTGCTGATATTGATATACAATTTTAGTTGGCTATGCTTATTGCTGCATTGGATCAGACTATTCTGGCTACTGCTATTCCCACTATTGCGGCAAAGTTACACTCTGCTGCGGGTTATACGTGGATTGGTGGCGCTTATTTGCTTGCCAATGCCGCTGGTGCTTGTATCTGGGCGAAGCTCTCGGATATTTGGGGTCGGAAATTGATCTTGCTGATTGCCGTGGCTTGGTTCTTTATCAGTTCCATTGTTTGCGCTGTTGCTGTTAACATGGAGATGTTGATTGCCGGTCGTGCGTTGCAGGTTAGTCCGTCGATTTCTGAGAACAGTGGCCTCGAAGAATATTTACTGATTCATAGCTATAGGGTGTCGCTGGAGGTGGACTGCTACAGCTCATCACGATTATCATATCTGATCTCTTCAGTGTCCGGTATGCCATTCTTGTCAGTGAAGGTCATGAACCAAACTAATACCTCTACAGACAGCGCAGTCTATACCTTGGCCTGATGGAGTTTATGTGGGCCTTTGCTGGTGGTATTGGCCCCCTTCTCGGTGGTGCATTCTCCCAATATGTCTCCTGGCGATGGAACTTTTGGATCAACGTCCCCGTCTCCGGAATAACATTCATTCTCCTGCTCTTCTTCCTGGACGTGCACAACCCCAAGACCAAAATCATGGACGGCGTCAAAGCGATCGATTGGTTCGGCAGCGTCTCCATCCTGGGACTTACACTGATGCTCCTCCTGGGCTTGGACTTTGGTGGCGAGACATTCGCCTGGAACTCTTCTCAGGTTATTTGCCTGATCGTCTTCGGATCTTTCTGCTCCCTCCTTTTCATTTACAGCGAGAAGAGACTAGCGAAGTACCCGCTTATGCCTCTGAGCATCTTTTCGCGTCTGTCTAACATTGCCACATTGGCCGTGGCTTTTGCACATGGATTCGTGAGTCGAGTCTAACCACTACAATCTCACGAAACTTCTCTAACATATTCTCCAGGTCTTCATCGCAGGCGAATACTACATGCCCCTATACCTCCAATCAGTCAAACAAGCATCACCCATGCGCTCAGGAGTCCTCATCCTCCCCTCCCCCTCGCCGAAGCCTTCTCCGGCATCGCCACCGGCGCAATCATCCACAAAACCGGCCGCTACCTCGAACTCATCTGGGGCGGCCTAGTCCTCATGCTCATCGGAAACGGTCTCTACATCCACCTAGGCGTAAACTCCTCCCTCGGCGAGATCGTCGGCTACCAACTCATCAGCGGAATCGGCGCAGGCTTCCTCTTCCAAACGCCTATCATCGCCATCCAAGCCATGGTCTCGCAGGATGAAACAGCGACCGCGACAGCTACTCTCGGATTCATCCGTAACATGGCCACTGCCTCGTCGATTGTTATCGGCGGCGTCGTGTTCCAGAATAGCATGGGCAAGATGAAATCGAGTCTTCTGGCGACGGGCATGTCGGAGGCTATGGCGGATCGGATGACGGGGGATTCTGCGGCGGCGAATATCGAGTATATCAATCAGATTGATGATGCGGCGCAGCTTTTGGCTGTTAAGGAGGCGTTTGCTTGGAGTTTGAGGAATATGTGGATTTTGTATACTTGCATGTCTGCTGTTGGGTTGTTCCTTTCGGCGTTTATTTTGAAGGCGAGGTTGAATAAGGAGCATGTTGAGACTGTGACGGGGCTGAATCAGGAGAAGAGGGCTGTTGTGCAGGATGTGCGACCGGTTGATGAGTAGGTAAAATGGTTTACTCTGGGGTCGTCTTTTCTTCTGATCGGTTTCGTTCGAATGTACATAGCAATAAAATTATGTGTGAGCTCGGTATATACACAATCCAAAGAGAATAAGGATAACATGGTCCATCAGAGACATGCAGACATAAGACTGGACCGTAGAAAATAATCAATACACGAGAATCAGAATAGGAAAAGGTAAGGAACGTTTGAAACATTCACTCAACGGAGCATCCTCCACCAACAACACAAAGCACCGGGGTATCAGCAACACTATTCCCAACCCAAATCTTGATCCCCTCCCCATTAACAGGCGCCTTCCAATCCTGCACCTCAACATCCCAAACACTAACATCCTTCCTAGTAATCTCCAACGTCAAACTCTCACTCTGACCCGGCCCAAGCGTCCCCGTCTTCTCAAACTGTCTCAACTGCATCAACGGCGTATCCAACCCCAGACTAGCCGGCAACTCCACGTAAAGCTGTGCAACGGCCTTGCCAGATCTGGACCCCGTATTCTTAACATCGACCTGCACGGAAAATGCAACGTCGAAAAGAGCGGGGTTCCCACCCTGGCCACCACCGGCACGTGGCGCCGGCTGCGGGGTTGTACTATATCCATCCGGATAGGGATAGTCGTCCGATGCAGTGATCGATTCTGGGTTGTCGAGGTAGGGGTATAAGTAGCGCCAGATGCGGGTGAAGTTTGTGGAGGACCATGAGACCTCTGAAGCGGCGGGGATGGAATCGTTGTAGACTGGGGTTGATCCGTGTGATGGTGCGGTGGGAGGGTAGGCGGTGTTCAGCGCTGTGACGACTGAGATGGAGGGATTTGAGAAATTGAAGGTTGTGTAGGAGAGGCCGTGACCGAATGGGTAGCGCGGCGTGATGTTGGCGTTGATGAAATGGCGGTAATCTATGTACAGACCTTCGGTGTAGGTATCCTGAATTTGGCCGAATGGTTGATTGATAATACCAACGCTGTCTGGATAATCGGATTCACTGCGGGGAATGGTGTAGGGCATGTGGCCGCTGGGACTGTAATCGCCAAAGAGCACGTCGGCGAGGGAGTTGCCTGCTTCTTGGCCTGGAAGGTGGGCGACAAGCACGGCCTTGACTGACTCAAGATCAATCCATTCTTCCATGAGGATAGGTCCAACGGTGTGGATCACCACCACGACTTGTGAGAATTTCTCCGCTGCTGCCTTGACGAGGTCGTCTCCATTGTGCCAGGCATACAACCCAGCCTCGGTACGGTCACCAGGGTTTCCTTCTACGGTAATGTAGTTTTCCCCCGAATCGGCGTTGATGAAGACGACTGCGATATCATTGGCAGAGACAGTCACATCGGACGGGAATGAGTCGGTGATGTAGAACTTGGCGTTCTGGGTCACGTTCGAAATGCCCTCTTGGGGCGTAATAAGATAAGGCAGCCTGGCAGTGCCACTGCCCCAGCCCATGGTCAAGACACCCTTGTCGCAGCCCATGTCAGAGCAGGAATTCAGTCCATCGGAGTTACCGCCTGCATCTGTGCCGAACACCTGCAACGAGTCATTCTTTCCCAGCGGAAGGATATTGCCTTCATTCTTTAGTAGAGTGATTGCCTCGCGAGCCACGGCGCGTGCAGTGATGTTATGGGTACCCTGGACGTTGACATATTGATTCACGACTCCGCTAGGAGAGAAGAGTGCTCCGGGGTATAGAAGGCCAGTTTCGTCCTCGGTATTGGTTGAGAAATTAGGCAGAGGATAATCTTCATCCTGACCCATTTGGTACCATGTAGCCACAATGCGAGTCACCTATCGTGATTGTCAGCATAGACCTCAACTGAAGAGTTGTTTGGCGTAGCTTGTACTTTGTACATACCATGTCATTGAGTCTGTCAACCGGGACACTCCCGTTGAGAATAGAGCGGGACATCTCCGAACCCCAATAGCTATCACCAAGCAACGGCACGGCACCATCACCAGGCATGCACATATCCAACCCAGACAGTGCAGATCCCACACCGGTATAATGGCCCAACCAATCAGTCATGACAAACCCCTGGAAACCCAACTCATCCTTCAATATCCCATTAAGGAGCTTGCTATTCTGGCTGCACGCAGAGCTATTGACCTGGAAAGAAAAGCAATCAGCCCAATCCAACATCCTTGCACCCAATCCCACCGTTAACACTCACATCATTATACGCAGTCATCAAAGCCCCAACCCCAGCCCGAACACCCTCAGCAAAAGGCCAAAGATAAAGCTCATGAAGCGTGCGATCATCAATATTAGACGAATACCCCTTGGTAATAACACTGCTCATCCGATACATCTCCTGCTCATTGCCGATATAATGCTTAATCGTCGCAATGGCACCAGTACTCTGCATGCCCCGGATCGTAAGCGCACCAGCAATCCCCTGCAACGAAGGATCCGCCCCAAACCCTTCCCAAATCCGACCCCCACGCGGCTTCCGCCCAAGCGGCCCAACTGCAGGACCGAGCTGGATATTAACACCCTTACCACGAGCCTCCTCGCCAATGCCCACGCCGCGCGTGTACATCAAATCTTTATTGAATGTCGCGCCTACCGTGATACCAGGCGGGAAGGCGGTGTTGTGATCTGAATTGCGGATTCCAAGGGGCGAGTCTTGTAAACAGAGATTCGGGATGCCGAAGCGTGGCGCGCTGCCCGTTTGTCCGACGCAGGGGCCCATGTAGAACCCCGTTCCCGTGGTGAGATTCACTTTCTCGGCCAGCGTCATGTTGCTGACGACCTGCTGGGCTTTTGCGTAGGCCGAGGTCCAGTCGGAGGCCCAGCCGCCGTAGGGCGTGGGATAGTAGGGTGGGGAGTCATAGCCTTCTGGGGCTGAGTCGCGTTGGTCTAGGTGGACTGCGTCGTCGTGTCGGGGGTCTGCGACTGGAGTAGAGGATACCGCTTGGGCGAGGAGAGGCACGAATGCTAGACGCGTCCATGGTGCCATGGCGGGCAGTGGTATGAATCACGGCGGAGCAGGAGCAACCACGAGGCTCGGGTATCCGACTTGAGATGGAATGAAAATTCAGAGACGATATTTCCTGTCAAGATTTGTTCGATAATAAATGTGTTTCTGCATATCGAGAAGAGAAGGGGTGGTTTTAATGTCCACGTGCCATACTGGAAGTATTCTGCAGTCGATCCTGGAAGGCATGGATCGACGACGACACTGTCTATCATGACTTCGCTTGCATAACCGAGGGAGGATAAGCAAAGACGACAAATATCATAGGTGGAAATCACATCTATGTCTCGCGACACGTCCACGCCAAGCTGAAGAACGAGTGGTGGTGGCAGCGAGGTGAGGGCACTATGAACGACGATCTGCGCAGCACGGACTATCCTTTCCGCAAATGGCGCGCTGTCAGGGGTAGACCCCAGCAGGAGAAGGCATAAACTGGGCAGATTCTAAATCAATAGTTCCCATAATCCTTGTTCGTGTATTCAGTACATGCACCGAGATTTACCCGGTCTCTACTCCATCAAGAACGAAGGCCGTTGTGGTTCACGATCATGGGGTTCCCCTAAAAGAAAAGGGTGGTTCATCCTCAAAACTATGTTTTACATGTGACTTTTTTTTACCACGAATGATCTTTAGATCTTAGTGTACCGCAAGTACGGCTTGATCTCGCGAACCTCGCCAAACTTCTTCTTCGCGTCCGCGGTGGAAACGGAGGGGGGCACGATGACGTCGTCGCCGACTTGCCAGTCGATCGGGGTAGTCACCCCCTTCTTATCGCCAGTCTGAAGAGAGTCGATGACTCGGAGGACCTCGGTCGAGTTACGACCAGTCGAGGCGGGGTACATCATAGTAAGACGGATCTTCTTGCTAGGGTCGATGATGAAGACAGACCGAATGGTGAATGCGATGCCCTTTTGGTCGATGTTATCCAGGTCCTGCTGGTCAATCATGTCGTACAGGAAGGCGACTTTACGGTCGGCGTCGGCGATGATGGGGAACTGCACGTCAGTAGAGGAGATTTCGTTGATATCCTTGATCCATTCACCGTGGGAACCGATGTCATTGGCGCTCTAAGTATACCGGGGAAGGGGGTACCGTGAGCTCGGAGTCATTATCGCGCAAAAGGCAACAGTATTGGACTAACCAGGCCGATCATCTTCACGCCACGCTTGTCAAATTCATTCTTCATTTTCGCAAAAGCACCCAGCTCGGTGGTGCAGACGGGGGTGAAGTCGGCCGGGTGGGAGAACAGGATGGTCCAGCTATCGCCGATGAACTGGTGGAAGTCAATTTCACCCTTGGTGGTCAATGCTTTGAAGTTGGGGGCTTTAGGAGATTGCAGTTAGTGTACCATTCCCTCTCCATTCAGGTTTGAAATGTGTCAAAACATACCAGTTGACCCCAGACGCAGGCGCGGCTGTTCCTGGGGAGCCGCAGCGAAGAACCGGCGGAAAGCAGGTTGGGCTCGTGGCAGCTGAGCAGAGAGCTTGGCCCAGGGGGCAGCCTTTGGGGTGGATCTGAAAGCCCGGAGTGCCATCTGGGGTGCAATCATTGAAGCCATGATGGAGTTGTAGGGGGGGGGGAACAATTAGGATGCGTTGATTTCCCCGGATGCTCTACTTTCATCGACATCATCGCGGGGATTATCTCAGCAGATCACGCGATGCCACTAGCCGGTTCCGGTAATGAGCTTACACTTGATCTTCAAGCTTGTCGAATCATCTGATGCTACGATATTACTATATGGTCAGTATTCTCAGATAAAAGTGTTGCTGTAATTGACGAGGAGTAGGTATCTCAGCTCGACGAGTTATCAAGGACCATAGATACCATCCTCGTACTGGAGCTTAAAGAATGAGTTTCTTTGTCCACGGGAGTCCATACTTTAGATTTTGTGCCGGTCCAATCAAAATGTGCGCCGATCGGTAGTCATTGCTTTCCATGATTACCCCATTTAAACCTCTCACCACTTGACTCTTGGCGATGTCTTATCTTCCGGGGTCAAGTGGGCTGCGTGGCAAGTGTCTCAGGCCTCGCGTGACGATCATTGGCTGTGGAACGACGCATCTACACATCACATCCGACCATCTGGCACTCTCCCCGTCATTCAATTGACCAAAGACAACCAGCAGTATGGAGTGTCATTCCTCCACTTTATCCTTGTCAATAATGACTGACTCTCATATTCTTTTCAGGCGCACCACCCAACTCCATCTCAAGTCTCCCATCTTACAGTTCTGACCTTTGGCGCGCTGGACCCACCAGGGTCCAGTGCCACAGACCGAATGAGACCCAGCCAATAGCCTTTGTACATCTCTTATTCTACCCACCTCACAAGCACATCGATCAAGTCCACGTCGCAACACATCTCAATGCATCCAACTCGTATCACCATTTCCGTCCACACGGAGCCGACCCTGATACAACCGTACCTGGCGTCTACTCGAGGTACACCGACCCTGAAACTTTCTTATTCGCACATGTCAACCTTCCAATACGAGTCGGTGCCATGGACTTATCATCGATCAATTCCGGCCGACACGATCTGCAGGGTCCAGCCAATCTATCGACGTGGGTCTTTTTCGATTTTGAACCATTGAGATCACCTTTCCAGGGCTCGTGGGCATGTACCAGACTTTTTTTTCAAAAAGCAAAAAAAATCAGGGGCCCTATAGATCGGCGACTATTATTGCTTTGCAGTACGAGTATGTACTCTACTTTTATCAGGCCGACCAGACTGTCGATACTTCTATCTTTTCCCATCCCTTCATTCCCAAGCCTGCTTGACAGTTGACATTCCAAGAGGAGCGCCCATAGTTATCCCACCATGCCGCGCTCCTCATACTATCTATTAGCTCTCCTGCTATCATTCATTGCAACCTTCCTCTGGTTCTCATCAAGCGTCAAATCCTCAACCAAAACGCCAATCTTAACTCTCGCATACGGCTCCTGCTCCTGTCCTCCAGGCTCCGACCAAGCCAAAACTGACCTCACACCCTCCTCGCCACCTATCAAACCATCATCATCTCTCCCTACAGGGATAACAATAACCTCGCCATCACCTATCCCACCACTCCACCCATCCTCCGACTCCACCCCAGAACCACCAACATCATACTACCTCCCCTACACACCAACAACCCAACTATCCCGCCACCCCTTCCCCTCCAAACTTTGGCAAAAAGCCGGCCCCAACGGCATAAACGAAGACCGCCAAAAAGACATCCAATCATGGCTATCCCAAAACCCCTCCCTGCGCCATGAAATCTTCACAGACGGATCCGCAGAGCAATACGTCCGCGATCAATTCTCCAAATTCCCCGACATCATCGACACATACACAGACCTGCAAGTCCCCATCCTGAAAGCAGATTTCCTGCGCCAATTAATCCTCTACGCGGACGGGGGCGTCTGGAGCGATCTCGACGTAACATGCCACATCCCCATATCCGCCTGGATACCGGATGCATATAAAAACGCGACGAATCTAGTCGTCGGTCTTGAATTCGACGGGAACCAATTCGCTAGTTGGACCGTCATGGCGAAGCCCAGATCTAGCCATATCGCCGCTGCGATTGAGTATATCATGGATGCGCTGGAAGATTCGGCTGAGCAAGCGAATACGACTATTTCGGGGTTGACGATGAAAACGATTAGTGATGTCGTTGCTGTTACGGGGCCGCAGGCTATGACGCGGGCTATTTTGCAGAGTGTTTCGAGGGAGTTGGGGGAGAGGGTTGAGGGGGGGAATGTGTCGGGCTTGCATGAGCCAGTTTTGTTGCGTGATGTTTTGGTTTTGCCGAATGCGGCTTTTGGGGCGATGCAGGCTGGTTGGCCTACGGATCAGGGACCATATTTGGTGGAGCATCATTATGCGGGGTCTTGGAAGAATGATCATGGTGGGGAGAGTGGGGGAGATAAGGATGGTAGTGGTGATGGTTCTGTTGAGAAGGATGGTGGGCAGGAGGAGGAGGGGGGGGAGGGCGAGGGTGAGAGTGAGAGCCACGGTGACAGCAGAGTTAAGAGTGAGATTCGAGAGAGGTGATTCAACATTTGGTTGTTCTTTACAGTCTGGGATATCCAGGCGGTTGCATATTATGGTCATAGCCTGGGTTTTGGACTGTTTGGAAATGGCGTTGGGGGTTTATACATTACTTCATCATAGTTGAAGGCGTTGGAGCTCTATATCTACTCATTCGAGAGCATATCTCTACTGTATAGGATAATCTTACAAATTATCTACCAAAGTCAATATCATCAAATGATGCATATCATGAAGATATCACAAAAGAGACGATTATCCCCAGTATGCCTCAACGTCAAACGATGACACTTCCTCGTATGTACAGCTTCGCGTCGCCAGAGTCAATATGTACCATCATGAATATACAATCCACCATCCCTCTCCTCAATCACACCTCTGCCCAACCGAAACCCCAAACGAAGCCAACGCAAGCGCCTCCTTACAATGCCCCTCAAACTCCCCAATAAGCACCTCCACCTTCCCCTTAGCCTCCTCCTCACTCCCCGCCTGGCCCAACACCACCATCGACGGCGGAACCAGCGCCCGCATCACACCAGCAACCCACTTCGGCGCGATAGCGTATAAATGCTCCTTCCCCTCAGTCGTGTATATCTCCCGGTGGATATTGTGGAATCCGCCAGCAACGATCTCCTCGTAGACTGTTGGTGGGGCGAAGGGCCAGAGACCGAGTTTGAGCATGGCGTCGATGACGGTGTTGCGCATTGTCGTTATCGCGGGGAGTTCCGGGGTGACGTTTGTGCAGAATGTTGTTGTGTCGACTTCTTCCCATTGGATATAGCCGGTTGGTTCTGTGGATGGAAGTTAGGAGGAGGTGTTTTCCTTGTAGGTGGGGATTTTCCAGGGTGGGAATTTTTAGAGAGTCAATGGAGTACATACTCAATAGTTCTCGTGCATTCTTTAATACCACGGTATAATCGCCTTGCTTGAGACCCGCCGTCAAGAGTCGGATGTGTACGAGATCGTAGCGCCCGATGTGCTCGGAAGGATATGGTTGCAAGGCATCGTGGACGGAAAGTGGAATTCGTTTCTTTCCGGGAACTATGATTTCATGTGCAGTGGGAAATTGGGCGGAGGAGATATCGAAGCCGTGTAGGTCGAGTGATGATGAATTCGAATTCGGGAATTTTGTCGCGAGATCCTCTAGCCAGATTCTGCAGATGTTAGTTTGCGGATTGTCCTCCAGTTAAGAAATCCAAATCCCAAACATACCCAGTGCCCGTGCCGATATCCGCGACCGCGGTAATTTCCTCCTTGGGTATCGAAGGGTGAATCAATTCGTCTCCGGAAATTGCCAGCAAAAAGCGATGCTGTTTATTGAGTCTGAATGCGAGACATGATCATCAGTACAGGAGTAGATCGACAGTTCCTAAACGGCCCAAACGGCGTGCAGAAAAGTGGGCGTGGCGCAGATTGGATGCCGAACTGTCGGGTCCTGGCCCCATTCCAAGTCCCGAGGAACTTTGCGACAGCTTGACAGGGGGGCTTTTGACGGGCCCGGCACGTTGGAACGAAGTGGAGAGGAAGAGTGGAACTCAAGGGGAAATTGGAAATAGGGGGAGGAACAGTAACGGTGTTGGTGTCAGGGCCAACGGAGATTCCCCTCGTGGGTATCACGGAATTTAACTGGGTAAAGAACTTCATCGAGAAAAACATACCGTTCGGTCTCGGCCTCATCTCGGCCTAGGAGGTAGATATTCTCGTCAGACGCGTGACTTCCCATTTCTTGGATTTGTTGGTGTGGTAAGAGTGATGTTGAAAGGAAGAAATTTCAAAAAAAACTGGGACGAGACGGGGTTGGTGAAAACGGGGAAATTGGAAGAAGTTATGAATTAACAAGGAAACCCTATATACTTTGTACACTTTATCCTTCCCCCCCCACCACTATTTTCACAAGCAATTATAATCTGATTCTAACCCAACCATCCGGAAAATGTCCCGAGAGGGGGGATCCATTTTTTTGATCCAATTCGTCGGGTCTCGGTGGCACAATGGTCAATAACCAATAGGTCGGTTCATTACCCCCGACAAGATTGACAACGCCTTGTCCCCAATGCCAAGCACCCAAGCAAACGTGCTTTAACACTTAGTACTTGCTGACCCTTTACCCCCCATCTGATCTATCCACTTTGCAAGGCTGCTGACGTGGTTGTTCGTTTTCTTGAGGCAACTATGCCCGCGGCTGAGGGGGGCATGGAATGACCTCGGCCCACAGCCTTGCAATCCATACGTTAACGCATTGACGGGTGTTCTGGGCCGAAGGATTAGAGTGATTAATTCGCTGCTCAATATGAAACAAGGACCTTAGCTAGCTGGGTAGCTCAAGCGGACTACTGACTCGAGATAAATGAGCTATCTGTGTTGAACTGGTGGAGACCTCATGCGGGGAACCGAGATAGGAACTACACATGGTGAAACAGACGGGGTATGGCGGACGGTACTTTGTTGAAGCCTTGAACGCTAAAATCCTGGAATTTAATAGCTCTTCCGACTGCTCCAGCGATCATTTCCAGCCTTGCCACTAGCACCCTTGGACATGATTCGTGCTTTGAGCCTTTGATTTGTTATTTAATCGGCCCCTATTTCCGTAACTCAACAGACTAAATCTGCCATTGACAACAAAAGCTCTAATATCGGTTAACGACACCCCTGCCAGCACTTCAAACCATAGAAAGGACCAAAAATATCGGCTTAAACAATAAACCAGTAGAAAGTCTTCACTTCACATTGAGTATACGCGCTTCTGCCGCCGCCGAAGGTGTTAGATTTGCCGAACTTTTGGTCGTTATCAATCTCTCACCTTGATCCAAGCTAGGAGTGGAAATCGCTCACGGTTTAGACCAGTGGAACACTTATTCCTGACGCTACTAAGAAACAAACACTTGCCACGATGCAGGGTTATAAATACTAGAACCCTGGGTTGTCATATACCAACACCATTCGCGCCAGAGACTAGGAGACGCCATGTGGATACCTCGCTGTCATGCCTCCGGAGATGCCGAGGGTGGTGTTTGATGAAACGCAAAACAGCCTGTCTTTAGAGTGATCAGAGAAGACCGGTTAAGCCATAGAGTGCCGAAAGCGAAATATAATAAATGATTATACGTGATAATGAACAGTGGATATAGCCAGTCTGCAGTCTTCAGTAGGCTAAATTGCCTGCACTAGGGTTAAGATTTACGGCTCTTTTCGAAATCAACTCGAGCCCCTGGGAACAATGGAGAACTTCTACCAGAGGCCGAGACTTTTGAATTCTATAACACTTTTTCATTGTTTCACTTCATGTACCAGACGACAAACAGAGATAATCGTCTGCCTCGCGTTTTTAACCTTTCACTCTCAGATGGCACCCTTTCTGTGTAATTCCTATATCATATCAGTAGATCGGGGATTAGATAAGGACTATAGATCTTTAGAATATCCTGAATTAGGCATGGTGTTCTATATTGATAGTTATGATATCTTGAATTCAGGATAAAGGGTTTGGGAGTGTGTTATTGGGACCGGTTGAAGCCACATCATGATTCTCGACCCTCGTCCACGGGCCTGGTGGATCGTTATCAAGTATGAGCCCACTGATGAGCTTCATATAAAAAAGCTATACATCAAGTTCTCACTGCAAGATGTTGATAATCAGCAGGGCTACGTGAAGATCAATTCTATTCAAATGGCCGAGCGAGCAGAGCATCCAAAATCCCAAAGACAACTATGGCTCAATCATAGCTGAGACACGGTAATCAGTACAACGACATGACATAAATATATACTACAATGAATAGCCAGAAAGTAGCTAACTATTCTTTTCTGGTAATCGTTCATTCATGTCCGGCATCTATAATGAGAAATGCTCTCCTCATATGGGAAATTCCTGGACAAGAAAAGACGTGATGATGTTCAACTCAATAATTCGGGAGGCTTTCACCCCGGATCTACAAAGGGAGACCTCTAAAGAACACAATGAAGCTTGTCAAAAATAGGAAACATCATTTCACCTATTGTGGGATTCGTAGGTGGTTTTACCTTAACCACCTACTTAAGATTCGCTGCCTTGATAGCATAACAGCCACTTTTCTACGCTCCGCGTCCACACTTTTCCTAACTGCCCCACCCCTGTTATTTGGGCAATATCCGTGGTTCTACAGTCATTTCCGGAAGGTGACCGCTATATGCGTTTGTTCCTTTTGTTAGAGCTCTACCCTACTGCCTTGAAGCTTGCATCAGGAATAATCTTCGTGGCTCTTGCGTTTTACATTTATACTCCGCCCAGCCTTATTGGAATAGGGGGGATTATGCTCGTTGGTTCTATGAGCCTACTATATAAGGTGTGTACTGTCCACTTATTCGCTGATTGTGAATTATTCCGGGGGTTAGTTCGGTATCTCAAGACTCCACGAAAGAGTAAGTGCTGTCAAGGTTGCCCATATTATGTTAAACCATCATTGACCAAGGAAAGAAATAGCGGCACAGACAGAAGAGTGGCACCACCAACAGCAGCAATTCCACGTAACTGACCCGCTTGATAAGACAAGTAAGTTTCGCCAGTTCTTTAGCGATATTTTGCTTATCTTTGTTAAATTCGCCGCCTATTTGGGTTCGTGATTCTTACTCACATCGAAGCAGGCCATGCCCCAAAGAAGTTTATTCTTACAGGATAACTCATCTAACTGTTAATATTTGCCCTTTTCTTTCGCATTTCCCCTAAGATCTGATCATGTTCTGTTCTCTTTCCAGATGATGTTACGATCCCTCAACATCCAAAGAAGGCAGAACGCCATTAAGAAAGGCTTATGCTCAACGCATAAAACCACAGTGACTAGGAATCAGAAAATTCTCCATTTGGAAACAGAATCAATAAAGAAGAATTCTCACCAACATAGCTCTATTTGGAGCTCCCTGGCCTATGCCTCCGAGATAGCACAATGGGCAAATCAGACTCCTTAGCTATTCTACGAAATCACTCCTTCAGCACTCTAAAATATCAAAACCAAAACTGGCATCGTGGCCGTCTCCAGTGTCCCCTACCTTCATCAAAAGTGATTGCCTAAATCTCGAGTTTACGAGTCTCATTTGAATTTCTAGAGCAGATGCTGACTATTCATTATGGGATATAGAGACTCTATGAGACTTTCTTAGGATTCGGATTTGAAAGCACAAATGACTAGGGATTAAGTCACAGTCAGGGATGCAAGCCAGCCCAACACGATAGACTTTAGAGAGCAGGTAATAATTCCGAGCATGAACTTTGGGCTAGTCCGGGGGACAAAAGACTTACCAACTGCAATATCATATTGACTTTCGAACACCCTAAGAGTGGTTTATGTGGGGAGAGCAACGAACCCTTATGGGTACGGGAATAAGTGATGGCCATCCAAGAGACAGTGAAGCCGAGTCTGGAGAAGAAGCCATGACGAAGCCTCTCACGATGAGGACTGTTTTGACGAGTCACTGAGTATCATGTTGTCAGAATCTTCTGTAGAGGAGCTGGCATCTGATGAAACAGACCCGCAAACCCAGGGCTTTCCATCTTGGGGGCCCTGGACCCGATGGACATGATTGATAGCTCTGTTCCAGGGACAATGAGCGAGGGGCAAACTGAACTTGACCCATCCCGAACACCACGTGTATACTTGGACCTGGGAGATTTTTTGAATTAACAGCACTCGGAAAGCATGAGCGGGTACTTTGTCGAACTCTTTGATAGAAGAACAATGAGATGACATCTTTAGCTACCGTAGATGATGACCATCTACCGGCTTGTACGATATATTTTAAGCCTTGATTCTATGATTCTTGTGATACGGGATTTTCTCGGCGGCTCATAAATTTCATAGGCTTCTTTCAGGTCTTTAGCTACATTTCATAATTTATCACGACATAGGACGAACAGAATTGAAGTCTGAAGATGCAGATATATCCATCATAAGGTTCCTATATTTACAGAAGTGAAAGCCCCACGCGGAAGTAGTAAATTAGTCTCGCGAAGTCGCACGGTCTACTAAAGAATCTCCATGCCAGTCTCTCTCCATTATGTCTCTCATTCAGGCTCTAGGCTTCCTATAGTGTCCAAAAAGGTCGTGAAAGAGCTGTCGCTAAGGGACTATACTCTCGCCAGGTTATGATGAGTGCTCGAAATATATAATCATGGCCATGGGTTCGCCAAACGCAAGCTCTTGGAAGCAGCAAACCTAGGCAAAGAAAGCTCGATTTTGTCTACACAAGAGAAGTAGAAGCCAAGAAGGGAAAGTCCCCTATATGGGCCAACAAACGTTGGTGCCGGAAGCAACCGACATAAGCCACGAAGGGGAGATCTAGTAGGAAATCTCCGGAAAAGGTCATGCAGGGAGGGTCCTACAGGAAGATTCCATCATTTACTTTAGACCTCGTGATAGATACATGGGGGCACTATAGTATCCCATGCCCTAAGCATCATTCATTGATAAATCGGCATCTAGGAAACTGATATTCATCCTGATTGTATTAGACTTGGCAGATTTGACGTCAACACTTGGGGGTGCTGGCTTGCGACAACAATGGATTTCCCAAGGGCACTTGCTGTTTTATCAGCGCATTCTGGTCTGAAATATATCGACGACCTTTGCTTGACTTAAAATATTCTTTTCGTTCTAAACGACTAATCAGTTTCACTCCTCGACCATGTTTCTATTTGAAGATATATCTCGGTAGGCCAATAGAATATTGAGAATGACCGCTCAAGTCCACCCT